GTTCTTTGTGTGTTCTTTGTGTGTTCTTTGTGTGTTCTTTGTGTGTTCTTTGTGTGTTCTTTGTGTGTTCTTTGTGTGTTCTTTGTGTGTTCTTTGTGTGTTCGCTGTAGTCCTTTTGTTTGAGCTGGTATGCACAGAACGGCTGAAACAAGCTACCAAGGCCACTGTCAGGGCGAGCAACCATGGATTCACTAAATTCACTAGTACAGCAGCACTTGGAATGTAAGAAGGCAGATGAGGCTCGCAATACCTTTATCGGAAGGTTGATCCAAAAGATTGACAACATGCAAAAGGCAATGGACAGAAACGCATTTATCATGGTCCTGATAGACGGAGACAACATGTATGTACGTGCTACATGATTTCCTCAGCGTTGGCAATCGTTTCTTGGCTACTCCCCCCGACCCAAGGCTGACGAGTGACCAAGTTCTTGACTGAGCTGGTGAAGAAAGGTGCCGTCGGTGGCGATGAAGCCGCAAAGCTTCTTAGACAAGCTGTCTTCGAGTATCTGCGCCACGACAACAACTTCAAGCATGATTATAAGATCGTCATTCGGGTCTACGCCAATCTGAAAGGCTTAAGCAAGTTTTATTCGGACATGAATATTCTGCCCAGCGCCACTTCATTCAATCAATTTGTCCTCGGATTCAACAAGGCGCATCCGCTGTGTGACTTTATGGATGCAGGAAATCATGAAGAAGCTGCGGATACCAAATTGAAGGGTAGAATATACCGAAGGCCACCATTTTTTAGAACCGAGCTGACTCCTTTAACAGAGCATATCAATCTCTACATCCACAATGTCCATTGCAAAACATTGCTCTTCGGCGGGTCGAGCGACAACACCTATGCATCCTTCTTGAGCTCATTTTTGATCGACATGGACATTGCGTCCCGCATCAGGCTGATCAAAGGCCGACCTTTCTCTGCTGAGTTTTCAAGTATTCAGGACAAACTGCAATGGACCGAATTTGCCGCCGTGTTCAGGAACGCTACTCCTTCCAAAGAACGCACTCCGGATGGCATTCGACGCGACACCCAAGTATGGGTCCAACAACCACAAACACAAAGGTCGTGGCAGAGGACTTCATCTGGTGACCGGTCTATGGCGTCACGACCGAAGATGATTGCGGATGTCTACGGTAACAACGTAGGTAGTAATGCAATTGCCACGACACTGCTCGAGAACCTCTACCGTGCTGAGCGTGGCGTTGACGAGGCAGATACACACTCATGGAATTCATCAGCCTCACTCAAGTCGCCCTCTAGCCCAACAGCGCTTCCGAGAAGAAGGGCGGATTATAGCGCAGATGATATAGTGACCGCACTAATCAAATGCGTGAACGACATGCTTCAAAAGACACCCAAATCTCTTGACTTTGGTGATGTCAGGAGAAGAGTGGAATCAATATTCGGGCTGCCGTCCAACTTCTGGGCAGGTGATGGCTGGACTCGCAGAAGTAAGAATATCATCAAGCGGGCTGTCGTAAGTATCCGTTTCTTAGCTCACTAGCTGTCGGCTAAAGAGATCGCCCGACAGGAAAGCTGGGTAGAGCGAACCGGCAACCCGCGGCCGGGGTATGCTACTTGGGAGTTTGCATCTAAGCCTCCTGGGCAACCCTCGCCGCCAACGAACCAGAAGACACCCTCGTCGAAAGGTAGGCCATCACCAGGGTAATACCAATGAATCTCAACGGAATACGCCTATGTTCTGCCCGCCAGTGTACGAAGGCAGGGGCGACGGTTCTCGGAGCCTCGAAGGTTGCCCAATCGGCGGTCCTGACTCCTGAGCCATGGTAGTTTGAACCAAGGTCTCTTGAGCGGGCCTCGACAGCGACATCCGCGTCTATGCGATCTCCAAGATCTGCTGCCCGGGTACGGAAACGGGGCATGCGGCTTACAATCACACTCGACCCTAACCGACGGCGAAATGGGGTTTCTTCTGTTCTTCTTCTGATGTTAAATGCAAGACTCGTTCTGCGGACCCAAGACATGTATCGAAGGTCATTCCTGCCCGAAAGGGAGAAGGGGAAAGCCTCTGCTGGTTGATTCGCGTTCGGGGCGTTGAGGCCACAAGTTCAGTCACACAGGTGTAAGCAAGGCGCTTACAATGTGACACGGGAACACTGAGCGGCTATCGAATAAAGGGCGATTATGGTATGCCGCCACGGTATACTTTTAGTCGCAACTTAGCAGAGAGCTCCAGACACGACTTTACCCAGGCCTATCTCTGCGGGCTCTGGCATGAATGATGAATTTTCTTTGTATCCCCATTTTCGCGGCATTAGCATCGCTGAGCCCGTCGCTGAACGCATCACCGCCGTTGGCCTCGTTACGTGACTACCCAGAATGTCAACCTAGGATCTTAGTCGGCGGATGGGCTCGCTATCGACGGATTGGTCGCCGTGGCTGGAGAAGGCCTCGTCGAGTTTCGGAATACATCCCAGTGTTTGGCTCCTGCTGGGGGAAGCGCTAGGATCTACGACGAGTTCACATGAGGGGTCGAAGGGCGCAAATGCCGTTGCTTAGCCTTCCCCGCGAAAAGGCTCGGCGGCACAGATGTCGTAAACACCAATCCAGACCAAGAAATCAGAGCTGTCTGGCCTTTAATCCACGTCAACTTCTTTCGATCATTCAAGCCCCCCTCCCCTCTACGGGAACAAACAGTTTACAAAGCCTGGGAGATTTGTGCTTCGCCAGCAAAACACACACACACGCACAGCGCGCCCCCTGTACCAACATGGAGGGACGGTGCCAGTGTGGCCAAATCCGCTTCACGACGCCGCTCCCGCGCCCGCTGGAGCTGTACATCTGCCACTGCACGGAGTGCCGGCACCAGTCGTCGTCGACCTACGGCATGACGGCCATCTTCCCCTTCTTCGACATCCGGCGGTTCGCGCCCCACCCGGGCGCCATCGCCGTGCACACGCGCCCGAACGCGCAGGGCTCCACGGAGGGTTACTTCTGCACCGGGTGCGGGAGCCGCCTGGTCCACGTGCACGTGTCGCGCGAGGGCAAGACCGCGCCCATGTTGAGCGTCAAGGCCGGGTGTCTGGACGGCCTGAGCAAGGAGATGATGAGAGGCGCCGTGCATATCTGGACCCGGTCGGCTGTCGTGGAGGTGCCGGAGGGGGCGGTGCAGTATGAGGAGGAGCCGCCGGGGGGCAGTTTCCAGGAGGAATGAGTGAGTGGGTGGGTAGGTGGATGGGTGAGTAAATGAGGGAGGTTGCGATTCTTGTTCTTCTAATTTTCGAAAGGGGGATTTTGCGACGAGATGTGGTGGTGTGGAAGCGGACAGGTATGTGGACGGAAGGCCTTTGGGGGCCGTTGCTTGCATTTCTCAAAGTCGAATCGATCGTCTCGGGACTCTATTGCAGAACCCACGGCATCAAGATTTTAGACGCACTGCGTTCTCTTCCGATCATGTCTCGGTCTCCAGCTGTGGCGCATGCGCGAGTTGCGGCGTCTTCTTCTTCGGCTGCGCTTGTCCCTGACCCTGGGGGCCGGCGTCGGCGTCGGCCTGCTCTCGAGGACCGCCTCGACTCCCCCGCTCACGTTGGTGTTTGTGATCCGAAATGTCGTATTCCTCTTCGTCCTTGTCCTTGCGGTCGCAGCACCAGCAGCACATCAGCATCATCCAATTCACCAGGTCGAACATCCTGTTCCTTTGCTGCGTGTCCGAAAGTTGTGTCCTTTCCTGTCTGCCAAGCCGCCTGCCTGCCTGCCTGATTATGTTAGCCTGGATAAAAAACACGCAAGTTACCGGTCGGCGATTCATCACATGCTAGCTTCGACCTGGGCGGGATGAGAAGGGTTTGGGGGACGTGCATACACACCTGCGGAGATTCCTGCGGTCGGTGATCAGTACACAGCGTAACCGGTCAGGGGACGAAAGAATCTTCGGAAAAGTGGCCGGCCAGGAATAAAGGAACTAGAGAAAAGAAACTCTAGAACTTCCTGACTGTTAATAACAAGTGATATTGAAGTCTGAGCAGACTGACCGGGCAGGGGGGTGGCTGTGTTGACGTGTCCGAAATAGGATTCTCCGATCTTTGTGTTCCAGCACAGGTCTGGCGGGGAGAAATGTCGAGTTTCAGCGCTGTGTCGTCATTCGGGTCGTTGAAAGTGGCTCAGGCGGTGGGAAACGCGCTGTGGAGTGAAGACTGCCTTGTGGTGCCTTTGTATGCCCACAAATTTTGTTGTGGGGGACAATGATCAAGGGGGCCCTTTTGATTTTGATGTCAGCCTTGCGGTTTCAGCGGCTCGGCTGAGAGACCTTGGCGCGACCAATCGTCGGCCACACAAATAGATAGGCGAGTTCGCCCCTTCTTTTTCCTTTGCTCCGTTCGCGACGACGCAGACAGTGAACCTCAAACAAGGGAGTCAGCCAAGTATCATTTCACCTCATGCGCCTCACTACACTCCGCCTGTGACAAAATTGGTTGGATCTCTGATGGCTGTCCTAGCAGCCAGCCTCGACTTGACACCGCAGGCCCAAAGCTTCAGCCTCGGCAGGGATTGCAGTTCACCACGGAGCAAATAAGTCATGGCCAATCACATGGAACAAGGCTCGGGGGGTGCAAAAGGGCGCAAAGAAAGAATGCCTCTGAGACTCGTCCAGACTGGAAACTGGACTAAAGAATAAACATTAAGTACTATGCCCGATAAGTTTGACCGTGTAATGCTTGCTGTGAAATCCTGTGAAATTCTATTGCGTACCCAGGTTTGAGAATGGTCGTGACGTACAAACAAGCACACCCTGTCCTTCTCCACCTCCTCCACCACCTCCTCCTTCAGACGTAAATGTAGCAGAAAGGACCTGCAGTCGACCACAAGGCGTCCTGGTTCTGGATCGTCTGTCCCAGACTGCCCATGTTGATCGGGTCGGTAAGCTGTCCGGGCGGGCTGTTGACGGGATCCAGGGTGGAAGTACCACCTGCAAAGGCGTTCCTCCTGTTCTTGGGGTCCTGGTTCTGCCAGATCCACCAAGTCCGGTCAATTTGGGCGTGGTGCAGGAAGAATGTCGGCTCCGCGGGAGAGGAGAAGAGATCACCGCCCGGGTCGCCGCCAGTCGTGAAGTGGCCGGCGGTGTGGACACCGTAGAACCCGACGCTGAAATCACCCTGCATGCGGTTCTGGAACGACAGGATGTCGTTGTAGTTGGAGATCAGGTCGTAAGAGTCCGAGTCCTTGGTCCAGTTGGAAGAGACCCAGGATGAGATGTCGCGACGGAGACAGCGGGGATTATAGGCGAGAGGGTTCGGGTTGGAGTAGTTAATGATTCCCGGGATATCCAACGTCGGGGCAACAGGACCCAAGTTGACGACGTAATCCTTGAAGGGCCCGGTGGTCACACAGCCACCTCCAGAGCCGGGAGGAATGCAATTCAGATCCGTAGGCAGGGCTTCAGTGCAGCCGTGTGCCTCGTAGGCACCATTGCCAGACATGCTGTAGTCGCTGCCGTCGAACAGGGGGGAATTGAGGGGGTCAAAGGCGTACTTTCCCCAGTTCCAGTACGGCTGGTACCCTGTATAGCCGCACTCATTTCGTAGTGCCTGCTCGAAGTTCCAGGTGAAGGTACGGTGCCATGCCAGGAAGTTTGCGGTTCCGTGGATGGAAAGTGTTTGGTTGATATGGACTGCAACAAAGTCGTCGTACCGGGATCTTGCGCCGGCTGCGAAATTGGGGTCCTGAGTCGGCTTCGACATGAGGCACAACTCGGCCTCAATGTAAGCAAGCCTCTCGTCCTTCGAGAGCGTAGACCATTCTCTCCGCACAGCTGCATTGAGCAGATTGCAGCTTCCGCTCGACGGGTTCGTCAGCTCATAGATTGCCAGATTGACAAGGCCTTTGGCGGCTAGAATATCCGTTTTAAGGGTCGAGGCCGGTATGTAGATCGAAGCAGCAGATACGGCGGCATCGCGCTCCGAGAAGGTGTTTTCGACAGGCGCCGGTGCCGCACGTGTAGCGCCAACGGCTAACAAGGCCGGAAGAAGAAAGTGAAGATGCATGGTGAAAAGGTCTCGGGGATTAACGGAGAATATCAAAATTTGTTCAAATAAAGTCAAGGGAGTGGACGGTCGATACCTGAAGTCAGGAATCGAACCAAGTGGTACGCTGGTCGCGGAGGCAGAATTCCCTGGAGAAGAGAAAAACCTGGATCCTGGCACCTCCGCTCAGTTTATAAACAGTCCCCTTTGGGCCCCTAAAACTGCCACGAGGTTGTTAGCTGGCCACGCGAGATGTCAGATAGGGGAAACGAATGGGGGTCGTTGTAGGTCTGCATTCAATTGTCTATCTGAGGCCGCGCGTAAAAACATCTCGGGTATTTAAGAACTATCGAATGTTCGTCAGTAGGCGGAGCGAAAGTCTAGCGAAAGGCTCTCGGGTTTCCAGTTAGATAAACGACCGAATCAGTGTATGAAAGGCACAAGGGAGGAAAAGGTCTGGGCCTCAGGACCCAAGTGGATAGGTTGTGTGAGTGGTGTGTGAGAACGGAACCCTGTAACTTGATGGAGCTTTGCGCCGATCATTGTCTTTTATGGACCCAGTGGCCATGAATTGATTTCGGCAATTGTACCACAATGCAATGGAATGCATTGGCGAGAGCCTGGAAGATTGCAGGTGAAAAAGGCTCATGCTGGGGCGGTCACTCGGCACACCGTCCATCCGAAGAGAGGTTCAGAGTTGTTGCAATTTTCAGCGCCCTCAATTGACAGCGAAGAAGTTTGGATGTTCAGCTAGAAGTCCAGAGGAGAGCAGATTACTCGGTACACAGACCTAAGAGGCTGTTTCTGGAGTGAAATGGTAGATCCGCAATGCTTTAAAGGCCGCAGGAAGAGGGGATATGGGTTGGAGGGCAGAATGGCCAGGCTGGTCAGTGGGAGCGTGACAAGTGGAGCGGCGCTAAAGAGACCTCCTGGGGTAAAATGGCAGGGACTATATCATAAGAGGAATAGCTCACATTGGCGTAAAAGGCTAATTCCGACCCCTGCCCAAGTGCCATTCCTACGAAATTTTCTCTCCATCCCGATCACCCTGATCCAGGGCCCCTTCACGTTTCTATTGTATGCCGCGAGTCGGGAAGACGTTCGTTTTCAAGCTACTATACCTACACTACATACTTCTAATCCTGACGTGTTGTTCGTCTCCGCCTCCTTTTCGGGTCTGTGAACTAGAAATCCGTACGAAAAGTAAGGCGTGGCCGAACATTGGCCACGAAAGGTATTCTTCGCATTTTCGTGCGCCGACAGGGCCGGTAAATCCCTAGCTCGGTTGCATTTTCTCTCCCCTGGCCTGGGATCTGTTATTGCGCTACAGTGCAACCTTGTGTCTGAGCGTGAGAAGACCTTGAGCCATGATCCATGCACAAACCACCCAGCCACTGATCCTTTGTACCACATGGGCTAAAGAGCCCAGTGTTATTGCACAACGTTAATGCAAAGGGCAACCCCTCGACCAGATGCCTCCGCCCTCCCCGGCGCCACCATTATACCACAGAAGGCAAGAATCCCTGCAGTCACACGGCGATCTTTCCTGGATGAGGCGTCGGTCTGGTTCCACTACGCCAAAGTCACAGATCGACCACAAGTTTTGACGGTAGGAGGAGCTTTCAGGTCCACGATTCATCTTCTGGCCTGAGTACAGGACAAGACGCTAGGGGTATCTGTCCAGCGCGAAGAATGCACCGGTGTCCAATATCCACGTTCTCGGTAAGTAGTTCTACGTTGGTGCTCGACCAAGTCCCAGACAAGGCACAATAACCATACCGTGAGTAACGAAATGCGACGAGACACTAGCCCAAGGGTGACTCTGTAGAATCTTGGAAATGGTATAGCTACAAAGACGCTGAACGCTAAGGCATCAAATGTCGGCCAAAATTGCCCGCCCCCGCCCAAGAGTTCTCCTTGTCTTGAAACCGCAGAAAGGGAAGGAGCTTCAGAGGAGAAGCTCCCGATTTTCATCCAGAGACAAGCGAGCTCATAACGAGGTTGCATTTCCAACTTGAAACTGCAAAGAGCTTTAAACCCATCTCGACCCGGCACCTTGGACTCGTCAATCTCGCATTGTGCAAATGTTACAGCTCAGCTACTACTGCTTTGCCTGGATTGTGATAGTTGACACACTCTCATGAACGCCATGGTCATTTCGGGTCTTTCTCAGCTTTTTGAGCGGCAGGATGCTGCTGCTCCCCCTCAATACAAGGATGAATCCAACGCAGGTGTGCTCCTCGCAATACACGGCACCTTCGGAGGGGTGGCCATCCTCAGCGTTCTCCTTCGACTCTATGTGAGAATATTCATGCTCAAAAGCCTCGGCGTCGACGACTATATTATGGCTGCTGCAGCGGTTAGTGATCCAAAGGGCGTTCCTTTCACACCGGGTGTTTTACCTAACTCTTGCTGTTCTAATAGATTTGTGAGATTGGCGTCATTGTCTGTTTCGTGGGCGAAAGCAATGCTGGAGAATTAGGGAGGCACCCGTCGCTTGTCAGCCTGCCTGATGCAACTCTCTTCTCGCACTGGCGCTTCTTCCATTCCATCATCATCATGGTCGGCATTAGCCTTGTCAAGATCTCCATCGCATTCTTCCTGCGCAGATTCGTACCAAACAAAAACTACCAGCGTTTTCTTCTGGGATGCATTGTCTTTCTCGTTGCCTTTACGATTTCTTGCGCTGGTACTCTCATCTTCAACTGCGGCACGCGCGTCGATGCAAATTGGAACTTTGCTCTACGAGTGAACGGGCAAGCCAAATGTTTCAGCAATAACACCTTTACAAACATTGGTATCTTCAACAGCAGCGTCAACATCGCAACGGACGTTCTTTTTGCACTGCTCCCAATACCAGTGGTGTGGAAACTGCAAGCAAATCTGCGCACGAAGCTGACTTTGTGTTTCGTCCTAAGCTTGGGCCTTTTCGCTTGCGTCTCGAGTATCATCAAAACGGTCAAGCAGGCTCATGCTCTCGCCGACCCTGACTGGACCTTTCACGATTCCTTCTTCATGTGGAACAACATCGAATTCAATATCGGCATCTTAGCTGCTTCTCTACCTTCGCTGCGTCCTCTATTCGCCAAGGTCCTTGGTGGTGTCACCCAAAAATTCACGTCGAGCCAGGGCAAAAATCGGGCAAATTATGGCTACGATGCCGACGGGCTTGCCTACGGCAAAAGCAAAACCGACAAACGTTCTTCCCGCAAGCCCGCCAGCCATTACTACCAGTTCGATTCGCGGCAGTCGACAGAATTGGGAGAATTACACAGAGGCGCGAGCAAAAAGGTGCCGATGGTAACCAGCACGGTAACCGCAGGCGATGACAATAGCGACAAGATCATGTTGGAACAAGATTTTCATGCTGTCAGCACCGACGATCAATGGACGAAGCCAGTCCAAGGGGCGATCACGAAAACCACAACTGTCCAGGTCTCAAGATACTAGCTGGAGGAACGGTCTCACAGCACGAGCCACATCACGCATCCAGCCGAGCGTTGCATGTGTCGGACGAGCTTCAAGAGCTTCGAAACAGGATCATCTATCCAGCGACGGAATTAAACCAGGGGAACGCGAACACGAGTTGAACGGCCACGATTACACCTGGAGGCTCTTCGGAGCAACCGACTCCAGACCACGTCCACAGGACTTGGTGACGAGGGCGGCAGTAGTGCTGCCCCGGCTTGTATATATTGTACGATACCTTTGCATATATACCCTTTCCGTGTCAATATGTACGTATTTTATGATGGTAAAGTTCCTCCACTTCCAAACGCCCGTGCTGCTCTCGATCTCTGCCGTGTACGAGTACCATTGACTGTGGTTTTGCAAGTACGGGTCGCCAACCAACAGAGCAGGTGTTGCAGGAGGCACGGAGTTGGTCATCGCCGATCAAGCTTTGGTGGCTGGTAACAAAGGCCTGTCCATCACGGCCGCTAGGGGTTACTGTCGGTACGAAAATCCCCCATGTTTCAACTGGGGCTTATGGGGGCTTGAAACGGTGTTCGCTACCTTCCTGAGCCTGAGAGAATGGGCAAAGACTAGGGAAATTGAACTCCTTTAGGCATCCTCACCAGGGTCATTCCTGGTTTCCACACGAGCCCAAGATGCAAGCAGCCTGCAGAAGAGCTAAACCGCTCTGTATCAGGCAGACGAAGATCTCTCTCTTTCTCAAGTGCTACCGGCGCTCCAAAGTTCGAATGTATTGAGACAAGCACAATCCAGGTACCGAGGAGGCAGTTCTCCCCGCCGAGTGGTCCCTCTGGCCTTGAGCAACCTCGACGCGAGCAACAGTCTCGAGTGGTTTGATGCCACCCGCTCCTTCGACAGTTGCTTTGGATAGAGAGCGACCGAGCGAAGCTCCTGTCGTACCCAGAGTGTTCCTCCACTCCAGAGACTCGGCGGAGCATAGAGTTCAGTATTCGCCGTTTTACTAAATACGGAGTACATATGTCGAGTGGGCACGAAACGCTGCTGGTCTCTGAACGGCAAATGGTCCCCTCTTATTCATGTATTCCTCTTTGGACATGGTGTCTCTGGTAGGAAGCACCCGGACGCCGCATGCCGGTGCCTGCGGGAAGGATCAAATAACTGCCAGCTTTTGCATACCAAGTACAAGAGTTGCTCCTGTCTTACCCCTCAGAGCCTGATCCCGGTGAAGTGTAAAGCCATGGTGCTGGGGCTAGACGAGCCTTGATCGTTCGAGGGAAAGGGCCGGTACATCGGTAAGTGGATACGTGCCGCATGGCTTGGTGCTACACAAGGACTAGCTGGCCAGTATGTCAATGGAGCGAGTCAATCCGGGTCATCTCGCCAGTTTTTTGACGACAGCAAGGCACTCGGTTTCGGGATTTACCCATTGTCAAGATCATGTCCATCTCATTTTGATGGTCCCTTTGCCGTGAGTTGTCACCTTCTGGCTCGGCCCTTTCGGGCTAGGCGATCATTGAAGATCACTGGGTGCCACTTCCACGAGTGTCCCCATGTGCGTCTACCGAGTCAAGGACACTCTCCCAGCTCAGAGGATGGAGCACATCAGAGGGGGGCTCTCATTTTTCTTCGAGCGCTGCCCACACACATTGCTACGCGACCGAGGCTCAGATGGGCATTCTCGCCAAAATCTCGGCTTTCCGCACCATCCGGACAAGGGTTCGTTTCCACGAGCTCTCCCTCTTCAAGGATCTTCTTCTTGTCCCACGGAGTACTCCGTACCTCGTATAGCTTGGGGCTTCTCGAATGCCAGTGCCAGTGGCCATCGACTTGTTGGAAGCTGCGAACCACTCAGGCCACCATCCACTACTAGAGAACACTGTCCAGGGCATCCACCAATTTACGGGGCCCAAGGTGTTCCTTGACGAGGAGTGCGGAAAGATTCCAAGGGAACCCCAAATCACGGCCAAATCTCGCTTAAGCACAAAGAACGAGTGCGCGAAAAGAGGGTCGTCAGATGGCCATCTCAGGACTGCGAATTGGTCAATTGCGGACCCCTTAGCGACCACATTTCCATTCTCTCGACCCATCCAACTACATAGTATTGAAGTGGAGTCTTCCAGCACGTTTTCGTCTCCTCGCTTCTTCGATCGCGGGCCCAACGTGCAAGAGCCCCAGGATGTCACCGAGGAGCCAGCAAGTTCTCTGCCTCTTGTACTTAGTCGTCAAAAAATTAAGGGGCTCTCCGAGTCGCATGCGGGTATCTGGAGCCCTCAGGACTTGAACATCCACCGCCCTGGGACGCTCTGTTCACACCTGGCCTGGCTGGCCTGATCTGGGAGAAGTTGTTTCCATTGTCACGTCTGACCACATATTCCCCGTAATGCTGTGAAACAACGGTGAAAACTGTGGGAAGTCTCTCTTTGCCTTCCAGTTCAGCACAGCCTACTCGGTACTCGGTCTGGATCTCCCACAAAGGTCCGAGTATCTTACGCCAGGAGGTCGTATACCGTAGGACTGAGACGGGACTCCATGTCGACGACCATCCCACCCCCATCAAAGAAAGATCCAACGACTTCCCCTCGAACAATTCTACGCCTCCGCAAACAGAAAACGATCCTGCTCGTCTCTATCGGCCCATGAGGACCAGACCATTGTCTCCACCTAGTCCAGCGAGACACCGTCCGTCGCTGTTGGCGACTGACTCCAAAAGTGCGCGGCAGAGACTAGATGCCCGAGGCGCCGCGTTCGAGAACGCTCGACGTACTCCGTACTAAGTGTTGTTCTCCGCTGCGTCGATACCGGTGCCGGTGCATTGGCTACATCAGGATGGGACAGAAGACCGAAATCCCCCTCCCCCTGGTACGTCCCAAGTGCCAGCCAGAATGTCGGTGGGAGAGACGACGTGTCCAGAATCCCATACTGGTCCGGAAGGCAATTTGTGGACTATTATCCGGGCTTCCTGGTAGGTATGTAGTATGAGTAGGTGCGAGTATTCTCGTTTACTTTCTTTCCCCCTGCATAAGCGTCCTGTCGCGCGCCCTTCCTTCCACTTGAGGATAGGGTATGGTGCGAACGGAGTGCTGTATGGATTATGCTGTACGAGGTCCAGAGTCCTCGGTCCCGTCGCTGCTGCAATGCGGTCTGGAGACTGGACTACGAGTACTCGGTATGGAGCCTGGATCTGGTGGTGGTGGCGGCTGCTCATTGTGCCTGCAAGCGAGCAGCAGCAGCTATTCTGACTACAGCCTTTTCCGCTCGGTGTACCGAGTCCGGGATCCAGTGATTCTCCTACAGAGACGCAGTCAAGAGAGTCATGGAGTAATACCAAGGCAAGGCAAGGCTAGGCCAGGCCGTCCTCTTTGTTTGTCTCTTGCTCTCCCCTCCTGCTGTCCCAACGTTCCCGGACGCCCCGGGCCAAGGCGTCGCAGCGAGACCACCTGGATTTCGTCGTCGTCGTCGTCGTCGTCGTCGTCCTCACCGCTGCATTTACTTATATGCGCTACGAGCGTCCGAAAAAAGGCGCACGTCTCTTCGCCGTGCGACATCCAAACCCCGTATCCCACGCCTCTATGCACATGAAGACAACAGACGCGTTGCCCAGGCACGTTGAATATAACCCAGCCACAAGAGCTCCAGATAAAAGAGCATGGAATGGTGAACAGCGAAATACACTCAGAACAATCCAGCGTCAAGATATTGCATCAGGGCTCGGGTGAATCTACGGCACTTATATAGAACGCCTCTTATAACAGGCTTGTTCTTTCTTGTGTTGTCTCTTCCGGAATTCCAACGTCGTTGTGGCATCGAGGCACAGGAAGAAACTGCGCAGGAGCTCTGCAACAACGCTCCAGCAGCCACCCTCCTCGAGTACTCGCGAGACACATCACCTTAAGTTCCCGTTGAACAACCAGGCCGGCTCATATCACCACAAAGCCGCCTCCAAGACGTCCTTGCCACTTTGGATATCGCTCTTGCTCAACATCTTGCCGTGCCTCATCAACTCGGCGGACTTGACCATGATAGGGTCCATCATCATGCTTGCCATCGCCACAACCGTGTCGCCTTTGCAATAGAATGCCGCGAATTTGTTGTTCTCGGGCTCTCCTTTCAGCACCAGCTCGTCCCATCCGTTCGGCGTGGCACCGCAGTACCTCAGCTGGCCACCGAGGGCTGACCAGAAGATGGGAATGAAGGGTTTCGGCTTGCTGCCGGGTTGAGCGATCAACTCTCCCACAGCGCGACCCATGTTCTGCGCGACGTTCCAGTGCTCAATGCGCACGGGGGTGCCATTCCCTCCGGGCCCGTGGTAGGGGTAGGTCGCGATGTCGCCAATCGCCCACACGTCTTGCAGTCCCTTGACCGCGAAGTTTTCGTCGACGGCAATACTGCCGTCTTTCTCGAGTTGCACTTTGGGGTTGTTGCGAAGGTATGTTGTCTCCGGGAACACGCCAATTCCCAAGATGACGAGATCGGCTTCGAGTTCGGTGCCATCCTTTAGTTTCACGGCGCCCACCGAGCTTAACCCCACGGTATTGGCGAGCTTCGATGCCGGCAAAGCGGAGTCAACACCGGCGTTCAAGTAGAATTTCGCACCGTTCTTTTCGAGGGTGCGCTGGAATATCTTGCCGACCTCGGTGCCCATTACGCGCTCGAGCGGCGCGGACTCCATACCCACGATGCTTACGGAGTTTTCCTTGGCCAGGGCGTTCGCGACCTCCATACCAATAAAGCTGGAGCCGACAATGACAATCTTCTTGCCCTTGTCGCCCACGGCGGTCACAATATTTTGCACATCGCTGACTTTCCGTAGGAGGAAGATGTTACCCAGTTGATTGTCCTTGAAGCCAGGGAGAGGGAGTTGCCGTGGTGTGCCACCTGTGGCGAGGATGAGTTTCGTGTATGGAAGAGATTTCCCCGTCTTCGTTTGGACAGTTTTGCCATCGAAGTCGACGGAGGTGACGGTATCCGGAAAGAATTCTATCGAGCCTTCCGAGTACCACTCTTCGGGCTGCAGATAGAGCTTCGAGGCGTCGGTGATCAGGGCTTTGGAGAGTTTCGGACGGTCGATCGGGTAGCCTTCATGGGTGATCACTGTGATATGACCTTTGTAGCCGAGTTCGCGTAGTTTGAGGAGGGCGCCGAATGCGCCTGATCCGCTGCACCAGAAGTCAGCAACCTGTCTGTTTTTGGGTGTCGCAGCGGAACATACCCTCCAACGATAACGACCTTCTCTTGAGAAGATGGGGTGGTCTTGATGTTGACGGTTCTCTTTCCGCCTTTGATGTCGGCCGCTTTGCCCTTGACGTATACGCCACCGTCTTTCTCGATGACGTCGAATGCGTTCAACGACAGCGGCGCAGGGGAGTCTTCGACGTCTCCGGTGCGTGCGTTAAAGCAAGCTATCCGTCAGATGAACATGGGTTATCTAACACATGATGTAGCGATATTGCATACCTCCATGCCAGGGACACGTCAGTCTTCCCTCTGGCGTCAAGACACCCAACTTCAACGGCGCTCCATAATGTGTACAGTTGGCATTCACTGCGTGCACCTGCCCGCCAACTTTGCACAGGAGGACTTTTCCACCCTCAATGCCCTCGACCTCCACCTCTTTCTTCTCGAGCTCCTGCAAGTCAAGCTTATCGAGGCCCTTGAGCTTAAATTGCTGCGCCATCCTAAAGGTACTGGCTGAGAAAGCCTTGGACAGCGGTGATGGTCTGGTAGGGAAGAGGAATAGGGCTGGACGCGGAACAGCAGAGGAGAAAGCGCTGGGTAATAAAAGAGGTCGGAACGAAGTAGAACAGACGGCGAAGTAGCGGGCAGTGGATCGGCTAAACATCAACCGCGAGGGATTGGATCGCTGCTAGAGGAAGGAGACCGGCTCGCTGGTGGTCAGAGGTCAACGGTGGCTTCGAAAGGGGGAGTGAAGGAAGACAGAGGCTCATGAGACTCTCCACGTGGATGATGATGCGGCCATGTTTCGAATTGGTGAGCGCAGTGTCTCTCTTGCGTGCCTGCGGGGACATTCCATTGACCGTGACCGGCCATGCTCATTGCGCTATGTAAAGTGCCCAAGTGGCATTGCGTCACCCATCGCACCCCACCACCCGTATATACTTCGTTGACCAATCAGGGTGAGCCGATTGTTAAAGCCCACCACGAAGCAAATATAGAAATCATCAGGAACGAGTCGTCAGATCATTGGCATGGCCACCCCCCACGTCCTTATAGGCAGTCAACTTGCTAGATAGTGCACAGCGGCTCCTAATAAGTCACTCGATGCCGCGCCGGCGTGTGTCCGGAAATCCTCGAGCCAACACTTCCTTCCCGGCTCAGCGATCTTCTCAATGCTCCACTCATCACCGCTGCGTCTTCACCTCCCAGCGACCTGGATCGACTGGTTTCTTGCGCCCGCTCAAATTTCCCGCGTTCTTCTTCTAGCACACTCTGCTCAGCCTCATCATCTAGGAGAGTGCCGTCAATCTGCAAGGACCACTTGTGCCTGTCATGCGCCGGAACTATTTCTGTGTCCGCCACGCGGAATTTCAGCGTCGACTGGATCTTCGTCCCGCTTGCGTCTGTAAAGTGTCCGCCGTCATCGGCCAGTAGGGACTGTGAGGATGGAGCCTCCACCACTGTTGTTGCAGTCTCCTGTGTGCCGTGTTCCTCCCCATCATCCAAGCCGCTCTCATCGCGCAGTCGACCCTTCCTGCCCTTCTTGGTTTTCTGCAGCTGTTCCCTGCTCGGCCCGTTCCATTTCCACTCCGCAGGAATCCGAGCCTTGCCAATGGCCGCCTGGAAGTAGTTGTAGCTCACCAGGCCCACGAAGCCTTCCGAAGTAACATTCGTCCACCCATACAGCTCGTCGCCTCTTTCAGGTCGAAACACGAGAAACGTAGCGGTGAGCCAGACCCAACATACTCCAAACTCGTCAGCTGTGTCTGCAAGCACTTCTGCTTGTGCCTCGATTTCGCCATTTCGGGGAGGTAAGAGGGGAAGATTGATGCCGGAGTTAGGTTGTGCGGACATGACAGGGTCAGAGAATCCCAGAACAATTCCTTGTGCGGGAGGAAAGTATGTCAGAAGTAATGGTGCAAGGTGCACTGCAAGTACCGACGGCTTCGCAGCTTCAAGTGAGATCGCAGGTATCGAGAGGTAGAGTGAGAGGCGAGTTGAGTAGAAGGAGCTAGGATCTTCGGATTCCAGTAGATTGAGTTCTGCTTCTTCTCCGTCCGCGGCTTCTGATCCATCCATGACAACTGCGTCTGTCTCTATATCGGGCTCGTTGTCTTCCTCAGCGGCATCGTCGTCTCCTGGTTCTATGTCCTGCGATACGGGCGCCTCTTCTTCCTCTTCTACCCTGCGTGCAGCGACATCGCCCTCCTCTTTGGACTTCTGTTTCTTTTTCTTTTTCTTCTCCTTCCGCTCCGTAGGGTGCTCCGCTACTGCAGCTGGGGTTTCTGCGCCATCCTCTGTCCGCGGCTTTTTCTTCTTTTTCGTAGTCTCGATGGGCTCGGTTTCGCGTTTTCGCTTCTTAGGTGGGCTCAGTGATTGGGCATCTTTCACCGTTTTCGAGCTTGTGGTGTGTCTGGTCTTTGCCTGGACTGACATAGCTCGCTTTTTCCAGAGTCCAAACTCTTACGCAGATACCCAGCACTGCTGTATTTGCGGTTACGCTGAACAAATTTATTTGCATGGGTCGGAACGCGGACTTTATTTCGCCGACGCCGGTCTTGGCATTCAGCCTTGCCGCCTTTCAGCCTTGCCAATGATTCTTTCCGTCATCATCGGTCAAACCTGAATCTCGTATGGATTAGAGGTGAAGATAAGAGGAAAGGAGTTTATGGAAGGGATCTGGCCGAGATTCTATTACCATTTCCACCAAGCAAACATCGCTGATAGATTTTGTCTTGCCTAGAATGATATGAGTATCGAATACCCACCCTACTCAAAGACCACCCAACCAACCGATATACAAACTCGCCGTCATATATAAGTACCAAGTATTCGTCGTCTCGGTAGGCCAAGAAAGTCGTTTTCTCCAATCCTTCCACCAATATAACGACCATTGAACATGAAGCTGGCACATTCACCCTGAATCTGAACAACGAAAAGAATAGAGAGCTCATTATGTCCTGCCAGCTATGCGTGCGAACCCTGGCCACACTTCCCTGGGGCGTCCACGAGATAACGTCTCCCACCGAAGACACATGTTGCTACTCATCGTACTTTGGTAGCCCGGAAGTGTCCTCCCGCACCTCCGTTACCAACGTTCTATCGTCCTCTTCTTCATCGTCACTCACTTCAAACTCACTCGGGGGAATCAAGCCACCGCTGTTGGTGGCCAATTCATCCAATAGGACGTTGACATCCATGTCGGCAGCAGTCATTCTCATCTGTTGACCCTCGCCATCGACCGGCCCGCCCACAGCCCTCCTGTGTTCCTCCGGCAGAGGAGTCTTCAGCAACATGATTAACAGGCCCACATCATAGCAGATCTTTAGAAAAGCCGCAATTTCAAATGGGATCCACCACCTCTGCTTACTCCACACGAGTCCCGTCACCACCGGGCCCAAGCTTGCCGCCAGGGTTCTCACAAAGTTTAGCGTTCCCATGACCTGGGTCCTTTCACGTGGTAGAAATGCGGCCGCAACGAACGCCTCGCGAGGAGCCTGATCCATGGAGCCCAGTACCGCGTCAGCGAGAAGGAGGATCAGTAATAGTTGCCAACCCGAGGCCACTAGCCCGAGTGGAACCAGTGCCAAAAACAGAGCGCTGGGCAGGTGCGTGCAGACCATAGCTTTGACGAGTCCCAGCCGTCGAGCTACAGCGGCGCTGAACAAATTCGAGAGGCTTGCTGCTAGCCAAACAACGCTTAAAGCATAGCCAATCCGGTGAGTCAGGAACCATCGGCTGCGCCAGGACATGTACCAGCTCATCACGGTTACCGGAAGCATGCCTGAGGCGAATGCGTTCAGGCCGAACAAGAAACAAAGGCGTAAAAGGATGGGCAGAGAGGAGCGGGAGACCTTCCAGGGCGAACTGAGTGAGGTGCGGAGGCGGCGAGAGAAGGAGTCGGGCCGAGCAGGTTGAGTTGTACGGGCCGTAGTTCTCACGTTTGCGTGCTTTGGCATCGATGATCGACGAGGCAAGCCGTCCAGGAGAGGCCTTGTCTGCTCCGATGAGGGACTTCCCCCTTCATCTATCGCATTTGTTGTGGTGGTTGGAGCCCAAGAATATTGCCCAGCGGCGCTGGCTTCACAATTCTTGCTTAGAAGGAACGTGATGGAGAACTTGACCAGACCGAGAAGTGCATAGAGGCCAAAAATAGGAGGGTACGTCTCTTTCCAGTCACGCTCCATGTATGTCCGTTGAGCATAGGTTAGCCACCCGGTGACGAATAGGCCACATGCCATTGCAAGGGTGGACGACACGGCGAACCAGGCGTAGATGTCTGTACGAGCCTCGATAGGGGAAAGTTGAGCAAGGATTGCTTCCTATGGGAGTCAAAGAGGTTAGTAAAGTGAATGAAGGTCTCTGTGCGTGTCGGGGTGTGAAATCAAATCAGGAGACTGTATCTCATACATACTTCAACGGCACGAAACGGTCCCACTTCATGTGCTCCCGGCGAAATCACACCCACAATGGCAGCGAACAGAAGCATATAATAATTCTTGCTCAGGGCAAACACCGTGCCGGCAAAGCTCATTAGCAAAGATCCTATTAGCAACACACGTCTTCTGCCAATCTTGTCAGCCACAATTGTCAGCCCGTAACTGATCGCGGCATCTCCCAGCAACGTCAGAGTCATAAATGTGCCTGTCTTCTTCCAATCAACTCCCGCTTGAGTGTACAAGAAGATTGCCAAAACGAGGGCAGCGCCACCATAGGCAAACATGCGGAGAAACCGAGTTAGCAGGATTAGGTATATGTCAGTGTTGCCGTAGGTGCAGATGGATTGTAGGCCCGTCTCGCGGTAGAGCCACTGAAAGAATGCGGACATTGTGGTAGGCATATCTGAAGATAGGCGATAACTACGATAACAGGATCCAAGTTATCGCAAAGCAGCAGCGGTATAAGAGCTTTCGCGGCGTACCTCCAGAGTCGCAGCTCTTTGGCCGCAACAACGAAGAAAGCTGCGGAAGGGAAAGAAAGTGATGACACAGAGACGGGAGGAGGGACGATGCGACAAGGTTGTCAATTTCGCGGTGCTGGGCGCCGCAGCCAGACCTGCAGCACCCGGTGCAGCATAGGTTGCGAAGGATTAATAAATCGACGCTGCAAGCAACGATCAGTTACTCAGATGGGCAGTCCACTCCATGCCGGTAGCTGTTCTCCGCAGCGGGATGGATCGTGGGCGATTGGGGGAGGGATTGGAGTGTGGGATGCACTGCAAGTGCAGCAAGCTGCCGTTGTTGAAGATTCCAGCATTCTGGTTTGCTGTGCTAATGCCCTTTTCGCAAATGCCATGCAGGCTGATCGTCATTGATACGACAAAGGGTGCCCTATGAGTGGTGGAGAGCTGTCTTGAGCTTCGAGCTTGTTGGAAGTATCTGCCGCTTGGAGAGCTCACCAATGGCCTCAGTTTCTTCGATTGCCGACCCTTGCTTGGAAGGATAGAGAATTCCACTTGTACTCGACCTTCATTCCGTGGGATTTCTGACGGTGCAAGGCTGCTGCTCCTGGTCAAGGAGTTGCACAGTGTGGTAGACAGAAGAAAAGTCTGTGCAGCGAAGGCGCAGCAAAGGCCAGCAATGCCAAGCCTCACGTGACACTGAGTCAATTTTGAGGTGCGCGCCTCCGTCTGCCTCCCTCCCTCCTGCACTGACTGACAGCAACCTCGAAAGCTGATTTAAAGCGCTTATATTACTTGCCTCTGCTTGAGATACCGCTCCATCTGCAATCGCACCCTAAGTCACATGCATCTGCCGCCCGATCCTCAGTGAAAATAAACACATGGTGGTCCCAGCAAGCGTTCCGCCTCGCTGGATTGAGTTCGTAACATATCACTGCTCACCAAATGAAATCCCACGCTTCTTTTTGCTATGCTGCACTGCAAACAGGGAGGACTGATCCAAACACCGCCATGAAGAGATCTCAGAATAGATCTTTGCAGCCGGAATGTGCTTTCGACTTGTTTAGAATCGAAGATCAGCGTCCGAGCCGAGGACTATTTCTTTCGTTGAATGATAGCAATTGCTTATACTTCACAGAGACCTGGGAGTATACAACTGGAACGTCTGCTTCCAAATCGGCCCACGGACAGAAGTCTGGAGAGTTGGGAAGCGCTCCTGTCAAAATTCCATGTTGCGGATTCCTTGATGGGGATGAAAATGAGATGCGATGAACTGATAAAGGTGTTGCATGGACGAGGAATCAGCCTTTCAAACCAGCCTTTCAAACCAAGAAAAAGTGCGCGCTCTCCCTGCGATTCGGGAGAGATTTCTTGCCAGGCGTCAGAAGCTCGATTGCCCCGGGTCTTATTTGACCCAATTCATCACTGAACGTCAAACTTCGTCACAGATCAGCTCTGCTCGCGCGCGGAATGAGGTGAAATTGCCTTCGGCTCGCTCTAGCCTCTGCTCAAGCGGCTCGTCATGTGATATGTTCTGCTCCTCGAACGCTACGCCCAGTTGTCTTCCCTCACTTACAAGCTATTGCTCGGTCAAGGGCAACTTGATGATCCGAGGAGTTGAAGGCCTTAGGCTGCAATGCCGGTGCCTCGGTTTGTATCGGTAAGTTTTTGAGCCACTGCGACAAAGTCAAGCATTGAGAGACTCCGTCACGGAATCTTGACATCAAGTAAACGTGGTTAAGTTGATCCATTATTGTCATAGCTATCACTTTTTTGTGCGCAGAGTCAGATGGCTGATTCAAATTCCTGCAAGCTTGAATGCCTGGGCCTTTCTCTAACTTCGCGGTTGACCAAGGTAATCGAACATTCAGGGGAAGGGAGCCGTTCGACAGTTGGTTGCATTCCTTTTGAAAACCAGGTAAAACACCTAACAAAGTCTTGCACAAGTACTAGCCCAGTCTGCATTGTGCCCGCGGAAATGATTCGTCTGGTCAGCAAGGAACCAGCGATCAAGTTGGCAACAACCCTTCTTCCAACCAAGTGAATACGTTCTCCGGAATGCGAAACCTTCCCGCCTGACGGACAGAAACTCGTCCGATGAGCCTGGTATCCCATCGACCCATAGTGCACCACTTCATCCTAAACCCTCTATCCAAAAGAAGCATTTGCGAGAAGTGGCGATGTTTGTTGAAGGAATCAGAAGGAATTCGGCTTGCCGAGCCACATCTTCATGAGCACGGCCCCCTCAAGTCACCGGCCTCACATACGTATCTTCAGATGGTCTCCTCTTTACTCACAGTCTGGAATTAAAGAAATTCTCGAGAAATTACCTCGACTCCTAGGTGCTGCCAGCGCACAAAGCATGCAGGATTGTTGACTTGGCCATCTTTCCCTTCGGCTACTTCACTGAGGAGTAGCTGAAGGAGTCAAGGGGCTGAGAGTCAGTGAGCAAATCCCCCGCACGAGACTATTCTATGGATGTTTAGCTTTGATGCAGACCGGTGGTCAGTCAACCTCTTCTAAAGCCAAGTGCGAACATCGCCATTTAGCACAATACCTATTGTCGGTTAGCGGACATCGAATGTGCAGGGGCATATTCCCAGCCTGGCGGTCCTGTGTATAGCGCGCACATCATCCGGAGCTCTCAATCATTCGTGTCAACCTGGTTGACTCGTCCTCCACCACCAATGCACACCGGAAAGGTGGACTTCCGACTATAGTATCTGGGTTAGTACAGAACATACACTCCACAATGATGCAACCACGTGCGGGCCGGTCCAAGTGGCTTCGTCAATCTGCTCCAGACGGGGAAGGCCGCTTACCCCTGTTTCTCAAGCCACACGACATTACATATATCCGAACACACTTCAGCACCACCGCAGAGGTGACTTTGTGCGGCCCTTCCTATACATTTTTTCCTTCGCTCGAGAAATTGCTAATTTCCCGTTGTGCTTCTATGAAACAAAGGTTAGTATGCAGGGTGTTCCTGAATCATCCATTCGATATCACAAAGGTAGGTGGGAAGCGGTCCGACATGGTTGTCATATTGAGCAGACGGAGTCAGAAGCACGGACGATTGTCAAGAACTTCTCCAGGTTCGCGGGCAGTGGAAAAGTACAAAGAGTGACAATTCCTCCGCCTGGAGAAGAGTTCCCCAGATCGTCAAACTCAGGATCGCGGTCGTCTCCCAGGTATTGTTTTGCTCAATAGATCTCCCACCTCAAGTCAACCGCAAAATGAAGAGCCTCCAAACCCCCGCCCTTCTCTCAGCCTTGTTGGCCCTGGCGCCTGGCGCCTTGTCTCAGTGCTTTCCCGACACGGTAACCTATTCCTCGACCCAAGCCCTCACGAGCACGGTCCAGTTCACATCTTGCGACGGAGCGGCAGACAGTCCCCGGGTTTTCCCCATCGATCTGACCTCGTACGATTGGTGGTATTTCGACACTGTGTCCAATGATGGAACACAGGCTCTCACGATCGTGTTCTACGCGGCTTCATTCCTCGGATTTCCCAACACGCCGGCCCTCGAAGACATACTGAACGTCGGCATTACGGCAACCTTTCCAAATGGTACACAAGTGAGCGCTTCAGCTCTGGCAACTTCTGTGACTGTCAATACGATCGGGGATGGAGCTTCGGGCAACTGGACCGACAGTGGATGCAGCTTTACAGGCACGCCTGATTTAAGCCAGTACGCAATTACAATCGAGAACTCGACAATAGGCGTATCTGGCACAGTCGATTTCATCTCTGTAAGTTCCTTTTTCAAACCTTCTCTTTAGAATGCGGAATCACTGATCAATACCAAAAAGCGCGGTCCTGGACACTACCCATGCAGCCCTCTCGTTGGTGGTGCTGACGAGCAGATCATGCCTCACGTTGGCTGGGTCAACGTCCTCCCCGCTGCGGATGCTACCGTCCATATGAATTTTGGAGGATCGCCCATGGTCTTCAACGGTAACGGCTATCACGATAAGGTAAGTGGCTTACCATTGTTTCACTCATCAGCCCTTCTTCCTCGTGGCATATCTCGATATATTAATTCTCGGCCTAGAACTGGGGTGATATCCCTTTCATTAGTGCCGTCAGCAGCTGGTATTGGGGCCACGGCACCTTCGGAGAATACAATATGGTCTGGTACGACGCTCTCGACATCACAGGCAGCGAAACCGTCAGTGGGTACGTCTTGAAAAACGGCCAGGTCGTCGGCTCAACCTGCGCGCTGGGTACGGCTGGCCTCCAGGTGCGACCGGTAGGGACCCCGTACCCGCCAACGATCCTCACCTCAGACCCGAACCAGTTCACCATCGTCATGAAACTCAACGACGGTGAGACCCTCAATGCCACTGTGACCGGCTACAACAAACAAGTCGACACTTCCAACTACTCGCGCTGGTTCGGTGAGATTTCGGCAAGCATCGACGGGGTCCCATTGCCTTCTGGTGGTTCGGCCTTGTGGGAGCAGTTCAAATTCGCTGTCTAATTGCCTTGCACCCCACGGGAGGTGGGCTTTCTTTGGGAGACGCAGGGCGAGGCCAGAGGACCGAGTCTGCTTTTGGAGGCTTGGGGAGACCCCTTCTGCTTGTTGTATATTCTTACCCCGTTCTCTGTTTTCGAGGTTGTCTTTGTTCTCCTATGTTTTTTCCTTTTGACCCTTCTTTGATCACCTTATTCTTGTTATCCTGTATTTAGTGAGACTTTCACCGAAAACGTCATCATTGTTTAATTTACATAGTACATATGAGATGACCAAGTGCACACAACGATACAGTCCTGGATTTCCATTCTGTCATGTCGTAACGCACCGAGGACTTGGCTCTAGAGCTGAAACCAATATCCTATACCTATATTGCCACGTGGGAGACGGAAAACACAGGAGGCCGTGGGCCTCGTGTCTGAACGACGACACTGTCGAGCCTCTTCGCCAGACACATACGACTAACTGGCAAGGTGACTGACAAAGTGACAGTTCAACACACACTCTACCGCTATGGCGACGCTGTCTCTATCCAAGTACTCCCCATAAACTACTTACAGCCCCGCGGCTGCTGCCAAACCATATGGCCCGAGAGGGAACAGCGACACTCGAAAAAAATATACTCTACATCTCGCGAAAACAAGGGGGTGGAAAGTTGCAATTGAGGAGCAGAACTCCGCGGTGCATTCATTGTTGCAGATCTAGAGAGGAGGCCACATAGTTCATCCGTTTCGCCGTCTCTGACTTTGTAGTCTAGCAGTAGGCCTGCACTATACAACAACCTTGTACATGAACATCGACCGGATCATTCGGGTTCATTATCGTCAGGTGCGATCAAGACGCCATCCGCCACCGTCCTAAGCAATTGGCGCTTTATCTTTTTTCTCAAGCAGATTTCAATTCTGACCCTTTGCCTCAAGACACTGTTTCAATTAAAAGCTGTCAAAGACAAAGAGTTGTACAAGTGTATACTCGACGACGAGCGGTGTTTGCGGTCCCTGTTTTCCCTGTGTGGGCGTCTTTGGCTTGTCCCGGATCTTCCCTGCCCGTGTCGTTTCCCTCTCCGTCTTTGTAAAGTCTCCAGTTGCTTCTCGACAAGCAACCCAGAATCTTAGTTGCCGACCTTTGCGGCGATCCGGTTGGTCATGTACTTTTGCATGTTGTTGACGAAGCAGCAGGCGACGATGGAGCAGATGCCAAACACCAGGCTGATGTACCAGACGTACTTGAGGGCGTAGGCGTAGGCCCAGCGGCTGCCGATGGTGGCGGCCTCGACGATGGCGGCGTTGACGCCGGGCACCTCGGTGATGTTTTGCGGCGCGGTGAGGAACAGCGCGGTGAAGGGCTCGGCCTCGGACACGGGCAGCCCGGCCTTGACGGCGTACTCGGCCACGTACTTGGGGAGCGCCGGCGTCAGCTTCTCGATGAAGACGTTGTAATAGATCGCGTAGCCGATCGAGCCGCCCGTGGCTCGGATGCACAGGATCAGCGCCACGCAGGTGGCGATGGTCGAGTCTGGAGCGACCGTGATGGCGATCGTGGACGCCGGCGAGGTGACCATCCCGACGCCCAGGGCGGCCATGGAGCCGATTCCGATCACGGCGGCGGTCTTTTCTGGGTTGATCGATGCAAGGGCGCCCGAGAACGCAGCTACAGAGAGCGGAAAGGGGTGTGGTTAGTTATGGATGCCATTGAGAGGGTTCGGTTGTGTGAATATTGGTGAGGGACTGAGGGATGGAACGAGAAAGGAAAGGACTGGCCGGTAATGTAGACTTACTCATTATGAGACACCCAACGAGCATCAATTCTCGCCCATGGCCCCTCAGGTATGACAACAATGCGTTGGTCGCGACGGAGCCTCCGATCAAGAGAAGTGCAGGTGGAATGTCCTTCACGCCAATTTGGATCGGGTCAGGGACGAAAACCGTCGTGAACTCCAAGGGGAAGAAGTTGAGCAAGGCAGAGAAGTTCATTCCTGATTCCCCAAACAAAAGAATCAGTATCAGTTGCTTTGATGGAGAAGGAAGAAAACTCATAGGATCTGATTTCTCTCTTTTCTTGTGAAAGGACGACTAACTTACCTGACACAAATGACACGACGAAGCAACTGGCCACGATATTCTGACCCTGGAACAGTTCCTTGGGGATCATGGGATATCTGGCGAACTTCCATTCCCAGATGAAGAAAGCAACGATCAAGGAGAAGCCAATGAATAGATTGGCCAGCACGTAGGCGCTTGTCCATGGATGGGAGGAGCCGCCTGCTTGTAAGGCAATGAGGCTAAAGGCAAGAGGTCAGCACCAGTCATTGATTGCGATATATATCATTGGGGATGAGAAACGGGGAGACATACAATAGAACCAGACCGATGATGGATAGCAAGCCTCCGATATAGTCGATCCTCTTAAGGACAGCGCTTCGAGACACGCCTCGTGCTCGAGTCTGTGACTTGGGAAAGTAGCTGACCGCGATGCCGGTGAACCAAACGGCATTCCAGATACTGATATGAAGGTCAGTTAACTGCTGGATAGTACGCGGGGCTGCTGAAAGGGTCTGAAGTACGTACACACAGAGCCACATGCCCCATCTCCAGGTTGAGTGTTTCGCCAGGAGTTGAGCATAAAGTAGATAAGGTGCGAAGGGCAGGATAGACGCAGTCACGATTGCAAGGTAGATACCTCGCTTCTTGATGGGGACCAGCTCGGCAGTTCTGGAGATAACAAGTCAGCACGAGAACACATGTGCCATTGGATCCAGTCAAAACAACATACCCAGCCACGGCAGTCAACTCGCCAATTGATGCACCGGCTCCAGCAAAGCACATAGCCACCACCCCAGCTCGGAATGTCTGGGCCGTCGCCATGACGATGCAACCGATGAGGAGAATCAAGCCTCCCGTGAGGGTCACATAACGTCTACCCAGCAAGTCTTGCAGATAGCCGCAAAAGGGCGTCACAGCACCAAGAGCAAGGGAATAGGCCACAGGTAGCCACGCGGACGCCTTGGTCCCCCCAAGGTCGGCAGAGATATAGGTCAAAGTGCCACCCAGGAAGTAGAGAGGGATCTGGGAGCCTAGATCGATCAAACAGAGGGACTTAGTATAGGACCAAAGACAGTTTCGTGAGATGGAGACTTGACATACCGACGTACAAGCCCGAAAGACAGACGGTGGCCGCGATCTGGATCCAAGTCCAATTCACTTTGCCATCCGAATCGTCGCCCTTGACGGCATCTCGATTCGTCACGTCCACATCCACACTCTGGCTCTTTTCAAGGGAATCGGCGTCCTCGACCTGCAGACTCCCGACATGCCCGACGTGCTTCTCCTCGTCGACGGCGAGACGTTCGAGATGGACCGTATCCGAGGCGGGAGGTGACTCGTTGACGAGAGATCCTGGCTTGGAATCCATCTCTGGGACAAGATCTTATGCTGGCAGTTCTTTTGAGGTTCTCAAAGCTACCTGTTCCGTCAAAGCAAGCAGAAGGTCGCGAAAGGAAGGAACTGAGAGAGATTGAAACCCCTTTCAAATCTCTTTTTTATGGACGTTGGGACAAGAGAAGGGCGATATGGGGGAAAAGCGGGATTTAACCAATTCGAAGAAAGGATTGTATCAAGGCCTGGGGGAATTATCTGGGGTTTAGCTCAAAGGGACGGACAAGCATGGGAAAAAAACTCAAAAGCCCTGGGGTGTATGTCGACCTAGACAACCCAGATACCCGCCCCTGGGCCGCGTGCCGGTCTGACTCGCCTCAGGCGACTCTCCGGGGCGAGTCACAGAGACGAGTCAATAGCTTTGTTATTAGCTGGAGATCTTTTTGGTGGTGGACTGGGGGCAAAACGAAATGGACAGCGGAAAGGGGATTCTGCGAGAGGCTGGATGTACGGACCCACTGTTTAATGTGGGGGGAACCTCGTGAATACATATCTCCCGCAATATACCCCGCGTTATCCCGCCTGAACAGATATTGTGCGAGTATACCCCGGATTGGCTGACTGTCAGTTATGCACGCCTATCGCTTCGCCAGGGTCAAAACGATTTGAATAAACGCCGAGAAAGTAAAATAGGAGTCATCTTGGCACGCCGTCTAGAGACCTGGGCCCAGATCCGCGAATCCCAAGGCCTAACAGATGAGCTTGTATTTTTAAGTCTCGCCTCGAAAAGTCTCGGTACACCAAAAAAGGTTTGTCGCCACCTCGTCGGGCGACTGGACTAGATTCTCGCCGTGGCAGGGGTCCTCCCCAGCAGCCATCCCATTCCGTCTAGCTGATCCTGCCAAAACTGGCTACTGGCTTTCAAAGAGGGGAAGAAAGCCCAATGTGCATGTGGCAGACCCGGGTAGACCACCAGCTTGGTCTTGATGCCATGCTCCTCTCGCAATATCCTTTCGTAGATCAGCGAGTCGTCACGTAGAGTGTCTGCGCCATTCACTTGCAAAAAGACCGGTGGCAGACCTGCGTGACCGTTGGGGTGGATCAGAGGACCGTTATAGATGCCGTCGTCAAGATCGGGCTTGTACGCGGCCGTGAAGAGATCGATCACGGCTTGTCCATTGATCGGGTCCGCCTTGTTCTGCTCGTAGCTGTACGCCCACCTCTTGTACTTCTCCGGCATCCGCGAAGGAGGGACCAAGCCGGCAACGCACAGGTAGTGCCCTGTCAGAGGCGGCGTGAGCCCTTCATCGCGCGCCAGGTGCGTCACGACGCAGGCGAGGTTCCCGCCAGCTGATGAGCCTCCAACGACGAAACCCTTGGTAGGATCGGCGCCCCATGAGGAGGCGCTCTCCGCGGCCCATTTGAGAGCGTCCCACGCGTCCTTGGGGCCTTGGGGGAAAGGGAATTCGGGAGCAAGCCGGTATGCCGCCGACACGCACACAGCATTGAATGCTTCAACGAAATCTCGACACGCCTTTTCCTCGGACTCGGGAATACCCAAGCAGAAGCCACCGCCGTGAAACATCACAATCAATGGGCTCCCCTCGTCTGAAGGAGACGTAGGTTGGTAGAGTCGGGCGCGTAATTCAGTGCCATCCGTGGTTTTGTAGGTGATATCGCTTTGCTTGACGGAAGGAGGTGGCGGACCAAGCGCGCCAATAGCTTGCAGGGTACGGTTTTTAACGTCTTCTCTCAGGGCTTGCATCGTGGTAAATGTCATTGGAGGAGGAGGATTGGCTTCGAGCAGCTGGTTCCATTTCCCAATCAGCAAGGAGTCCGCGATACCAGGGGCAAGCAAGAAGTGAGTCTGGACAACGGACAGTTTTCAGTTCAGGGTCCATGGCCCCAAGGGCCAGAATCTCCTCCTTGGTTTCATAAGGCATTGCGGCTGTGGTGCGGCGACAGCGAGGTCAGATCGAAAATAATGTTGGAAAATGATATCTGCGACGGTATCTGAGACTCTGGCGCATCGTATGCTTTTCTCACATCCGCAAGCCTCTGGGAACGGTACAAGTCCGCCATTAAACCAGCATGTGGTATTCACTTCGGCGCCTGACAGGGTGAGTGTTGCCCAAAATTCATGATTGTGCCTTTGGCTGCAGAGCACTCGGAGAGAATGTTAGCGGCACCAGCGGTACCGGCTAGGACTCCGGCCCAAGGTCAAGCTTCTCGAGTGTACAGAGATGTGCACTCGGAGTGAGACTGGAGCGTACGCGGTACAAATACCAAGTACCTTCTTAGAGTTCGCACGAGCTCCAGATTGCCCAGTGGAGGAGCCAATCATATATGCTGTAAGTGGACCCACCAGGTGGAGCCCGCGTGGGGTTTGAACGACTCCGACTCTCTGACATGGTCTTTGCCCGACGCCAAACAGGCTTGACGTCGACTGCTTGACTCACACCTCAGCAGTCTGGATCTCGCAGTAGCCTGGTCGACGGTCCTCCAACATGTACCGATGGTGCCGAGTGATTTGTATTGACAAGAAATGACCCTCGGCTTCGGTACTGCCAAGCCCTGGCGTGTCAATGAGACTCTGTCCGCGGGATGATGGCCGACTATGTATACAAGGAGGCTGAGGCTTCACGACCAAGAAGTCTTCGCCAAAAGGTTATCTTCAGATACCTCCTCAAAAGACAATACTACAGTTGCGGTTGATCAGATATCTCTTTTTGGAAGGTCTCTAGAATAACCTCCCTTACAACCATGGGAGTCCAGGTAGACGCCGTGGACTTCCTGTCCGTCCGACTCCCCAAGCTGGCCCTGCATGACTTCCCCTACGCATGGGCAATAGCTATCGGCCTTCTCGGATATCTCGCGCTTGTTCGAGCGTTGCGCTTCCGGGCCCTACGCAAGCTGGAACGCGAATATGCCCCCCTCCTCAAAGACCCTTATGCGATGGACTACAAGCAAGCACACAAGATCATGCACCTGTCCATGCTCTACGACTGCCCCTTCATCTTTGCATTCAGCGGACAATTTTCTCTCCTCAAGACATTCGCCATCGCCTCAGGTACCGAACTGCTCGCCAAGACACGTCAGCTTAGCAGCTGCCCGAATGTCGGTCGCCGGATCAACGACACCGCCCTCATCACGACCGAGTTTGTCGTTGGCTCCATGGACAGTGAGCGCGGATCGCGAGCACTGGCAAAGATGAACTGGATGCACCGGCAGTACGGAGATAAGATCACTCAGCCAGAGATGCTCCACACCTTGGGAGTCAACATCTTGGAGGCCATCCGATGGGTCAACACCTACGAATGGCGTGAGCTGACGTACTTGGAACAAGTGGCCATGTTCGTCTACTGGAGGGAAGTCGGCAACCGCATGGGAATCAAGGACATCCCACCGACCATCGAAAAGTTGGCCGAATGGAGCGACGAGTACGAGAAGACGGCCATGGTCTATTCCGACAGCAACCGAAAATGCGCCGACGTCGCCGTCGACTTTTTCCTCAAACATGTCTCTCCCGGCATGCGCGGCTTCTTCCGCAAGGTCATGATGGCTTTGCTCGAAGAGAGGACGAGGCTCGCGTTGGGATATCCGGCAGCCTCACGCACCATGGAAGTCCTGGTCTATCGCTTCTTCCGGCTCCGCGCCTTTGTGGTCCGCAATTTCTTCCTTCCCCGTGCGCGACCTCTTGATCCTCTGGCCAAAGCGGACAAGGAATCGGGACGCCTTCACCCAGCAAAACAGCAGAGCCTTGAGCCTTGGTACGTCAAGGATACTGCCTGGAACAAATTCTTGGGACTGTTGTCCGGCGGCTCTCAATATGTTCCTGGTCCGAAGTTCAAGAGCGAAGGTTACCTGCCTGAGGAGCTCGGGCCGGCTAAGTTCGAGAAGATCTCGCGAGATGCGGTTTTGAAAGAGGCAGAAGCCTTGAGATCCTACGCAGCCGAGGGAGGTGCCGCAATCATTGGTTGCCCGTTCAAATTTAATTAAAACGGCAAAGGAAGTGATGTAACCTGGAAGCTGCCGGCAGCGGCTCCCTGCTCAGCGAGCAGGGAAATATTGTCAGGTCAGCCAGGTAGCGTCACCAGAATACTGAAGACTGAGGTGAAGCCTCAGAACGCAGGCCTGCAGTCCATTGGAGAGCCAGGGGAAGAAACTGACAGAGGTCTCACCCAGCTTTCTCTCGCCCAGGGGGTTTGCCTGGAGGACTGAGAAGAGGAAAGACCGCAGGGTTGGGGTGGTGGTTGGTTGAGAATTGCTTGACAGATTATGCGCTGGATGCTAGGGGATGCAATGTGACATAGACGTAAGTTAAAGAGAACTAGAGCCCGATAAGACCAGGCCAATGGCCACTGATAAACGATATTCTGCCACAATTAGGGCTTTGTGAATTTCATAATAATGGGTATCATGTATTACGTTTCTCGTCTCGGACATCCGGAACCTCTCAAGACACTTGTGACATCCTTCCCCACATGGCATGAGGAAAATCTATATTCACCGAGCACTTGTCGTTCTGCGAGGACTCTTGACTGTCTCCAGACCTAGGCAAAGGCTTTCGCTGCACAGCCTGTTGTGACACCGGCGGCTGTTGACTCAGAGTGTAGATAGAAGTTTGAGGGAATCCAGGGATATCCCCACGTAGCTCTGGTAGGGCAATAAAATAGTCATTGTGCATCGTCCAGCAGGAGAGATCCTCTGTGCGTCCGATAAACTGTTCCGAAAACGCGTATCGCCCTGTTTCCGGGTCCCGATAGTAGATGTCCTCGGGCTCGAACGGCCACAGGAAGCGGAAATTGGTGCGGAACAGCTCAGTATATCGATCTGCGTTGGCGGCGAACTTTTGCTGTGAGAAAATTAATCTTTCGCGCAATCCAGGCCTGTTGAACATGTCAGATGCGGAGATTCATTGACGCCCACCAGGCGAGCGCCGAGCTGATGTGTCTATACGGGGAGGGATAAGTCCTTACCATACAAGATAATCAATCATCGGGTGGTGTTTGATATGCTCTTGACACGGCCTACATTATAGCTCTGATTAGCGACCGCATGGTGATTGTGGAAGCGTATAGGCCGTGACGAACCGTTTGAGCATAAATGGGGGCAGCTCTGGGCGCCGTTCTGCTGTTGTCATATACTGCCATGAGTCAGTGTCAGCGAACCCAGGATGGAGGGAAGCGTAGGTGTTTTATGTTGCGAGTACGTACGTGGCACATCAACCTCATGATCCGCAAGACAGCCAGTCTTTCAGCAATGCCACATCCGATAAACAGGTTTTGATCAATCTCTCGAAGAACCTTCCACCCCGGATCTAGCGGCCGCCGGGTCTCGACTGCATCCCAGCCCCGTAATACGGCTGAGATTGGAATGTCTCCATCGAGTGCGTCTTCGGGAGACTCGAGTGGAAACACGACGGGCGTAGTTAGCAGGTTTACCGTGGATACCCAGTCCCGGCCTCCGCTATCTGGGTGGTGGGTTCGTAAAGGCAAAGATTCCGATAACGGTGCAAACGCCCAGGAACCAGGAGCCGCTTGGGCCATGGACAATGCCTCTCTGGTACAGAGGAGTTCTGACGCATCGAAGGTCTGTTGAGCGCCCGGCTCTCGGACGGTAAAGTCCAGGAGATCATGGTGAATGAACTCTCCCAGGTTTGCGTCATCTTCTGTGAACATGGAAGGGAAACCGGCGCCATGTGGATGGACGTCAGCGACGGATGCAATTGTCGCCTCTGATTCACCCATGCTTTTGACAGGATCTGTATCGAAATCCAACTTGGCCGTTTGGGAAGGCTGGATTTTTCGCAGTTTTGGCGGATCAGGCTTCATGTCCTTCACGTCTGCTTGATCGGTCATCGGGTCGGGCGAAGACGAGGTGCCCATGTATCGGCTGTCGCCCCCACTCACACCCAGGGCCGTCTGGGCGATTTTGCAGATGGTTGTGAGTGCCTTTTTGATCTCGACATTCTCTGCACCCTGTTGTTTCAGCAGCTCGACCGGGTCGGAGCCCGCCGAAGCATCCAAAGACTTAACCAAGGCCTCCAGATGGGCGATATAGTTCTTCTGCTTCAAGCGGGAGGCCTTTTGCGACTCTCTATCCGCCTTTCTTTTCCTTGCCAGTCGTGCTGGCGACATCCTACTGGCCCTGGAGGCGCCGGTGTTTGGTTGGGCAGGAGGAGACATGTCGCCTCCTTGTGACTCCATGCTGACGGATGTGGCGTACGACAGTCGTTGTTTAGGACAAGATCAAGAACCACGACGAGCAGGAAGACGAGAGGGAATAGAGAAGGAACTGGTGGGAAAAGAAGTCCAAGGACTCAGGGCGAGAAAGGAAGTTTTGAGGATTTCCTGGGATCTTGCCCCGAGCTTGGCAAGCGGGGAGAACTCGTTCGTGGGGGATACGGGGAGGGCACCTGGAGGGTGAGCTGTTTAAGCACCCATTGATAGGCAACCTTTGGGTGGCCGCCGGGGCCCATGGGAGACATTGGGCGGGCGTGACCCTCGGAGCCCCCCAGAATTTCAGAGATGCGTCGGGACTAAGAATGTCCGGGGGGAATTGACGAGACTGACCAACCCAACCCAGTAACTGGGTCTGCCAGGGAGGGCCACTGGGGGCCAAGAGGACCCCATAGGCAGTGGCGCTAGTTAAGACCTGGCCCCGATCGAGTTAACCAGGCACATCTAGTAGGGGTCACCCGGCCTGGAGAGGCTGCCTGTACTCCGTGCCGAGCACTTTGTCGCCTACGAGTCAGATTCTGCTGTCTCATTGCTTTCCTTGCTCCTTGAAAGGATCGCCACCACACACCAAACACCAAACTCCTGCGAGGGCAGCCAACCTTCCTGAGGATTGATCGTCTTTCTTTGACCTTCTCTATCACATGCCCAACACCTATTCGTGCGGGCTTCTCATGGTTCAAATGCCTATCAGGACGAGCTCGCACCCGATTGATGGTCACTTCTCACGCCCTCTCCGCGGCAAGACAAGCAGGCAAAAGTAACCCTACAGGGTCCGCTACTCGTGTCCAGACCTACCTAAGCAGCTACTTACAAGTACTTGTAGGTAGCTAAGTGGTAGTATCAGGTACTTGTTCCGTCTCTCGTCCCCTTTGGATCAGCCGCTCGCCGCTTTGCTCACCCTCGGCTCATCTGTGATACTCAGCCGAAGACTCAGCTAAAGCTCAGCTTGAAGCGGCCTTCGCTCACCCTCTAGGATCATCCCGTGAATGGCCATGAAGTTTTTGGTTCGCGAGTGATCTAGGTAGTATCACGTGAAAAACCTACTGTTCCTCGTCCCCTTCTGACATAGCGAATTCTGCAGTTCTAATCCCTATATCATCGACGGCCGGAAAAAGTCATCGGGCTCCTCAGTTGGCGTCAGAAAGGCCCGAAACTAGATAAAACGCATTTCGATTCATACATGGTCCAAAGGATCTTACTTCATCGTCATTCCTGACGCTCGCTCGCACCGGAACGAGAACAGGCTGATAATATTGCTCGTGCAGCAGCTCTACAAGCCGAGACTCAGTTTTAGCGGCGGTTCCGGGTCGCGATTGCAGATAAATAAATTCCTTGAGTTGCAGCTTGGCCCACAACCTCCACAGACGTATAAAAGCAAACGCCCTGGATAGAGTCCAATGAACTGCCATCACGTCTTAGTGTTCCCTATCTTTCGTTTCTTGCTTGGGGTGTTGTCGTGCTCGGTGGCCATGGGACCTCGATCTTGATTCCGTGAGCTCGTTGAGCGCTGCGAGTAGAAGCTGGTTGTTTGCAAAGCTTCCACGTCTTGGCTCAACGAGGTGCTTTCTGGGTCTTCTTGATACTCCCTCCTAGTCGTACTGAACGTGAAAGTGTCTCGCATAGACATGGTGTCTTTGGACGTCGGATCATGTCGTGGGCTGCTTCCACCCGCTGGTGTCGGCAGCCGGCTAGTCACTCTGCTACCGGGTTTTCCGGACTGGCCGTAGCGGTAATCGTTGAAAAAGCTTTCCCATGGTATCTGGCCCCTTTTCTCGTAGGCTTCGCTCGCCTTTACCCTCACGCTTTCTGCAGCTGTCTTGAGAAGAGGCAGCAACTGTTTTTGTCCATATCCCACCATGATCTTTTCAAATGCCTCCACAACCTTCAAGCGATCGAAGCCGTCGCCCATAAAGCTTTGATAAATCTGATGTCGGAACTGAAGAGGATACCTTGGATCAATCCGTGCTTTCGACACTTTAGTGTTCACGGGCAGCTCGCATGCCCAGTGGGCGCGTATTATGACGCCTTTTTCGGAGGCAGTAGCGGAAAAGACTCGCACGCGCAAAAAGAACTCTGCAGTTTGCCCTGCTTCTCTGAAAAATTCATAAATGTTATGGAGTGCCTGGCTGGCATCGTTGAGAGCCTGGTTGAGAGCCGTTTCGTCGTCCGGCCAAAGCCTGGATCTTTTAGCCTCAACGAAGAAGAACCCAAAGGCCCGGGATGCCTCATTATTGAGGTCTCTTATGCCCTCATAGCAAATGAGTTCTTGCGTGGTCGGAAGGAGGGTGGTCCAAAAGTCTGGGTCCAGAATCTCGGTCCTACGAAACGAGACACAAAGGTCTGGCCTCGGCATTTTGGCAAAAGGGTTTCCCTCATTTTGTCTGTAGTACTTTCGTGTGGGCATCGGAGGGCAAGTCCACGAGGCTTCGACACTGAACATCAAAGGGGACGCTGTTGCTATTTTGTTACCAGCAAAGATAAGCCGATGTCGGTTGATCATTGCCATCATGACTGTCCGCTGAAATATTGCTTCCTGCTGATTTTTGCAAAAGCCAAGGTCTGCCAACCAGAGCTTATCCAAGAAATCAGTAATTGGATCTTCTTCCGAGTCTAACGTGGGCTGATATGACTGTAGATGTGCCCATTCGGGATCGTCCCATTTCGTCTCATTGGAGAGAACGTTGCGGTCTACTCCCAAGGTTTTCCTGAAATCTAGACTGTCAGATCTGATGCCTGCCATTTTTGTTGCTGCTTCTTTGCCGAGGACTACTTGGATAGCTGCTAGTGCGTCGTCACTCAGCTCAGTTGTGTACCCGTTGCGCTGCAAGAAAACTGTCTCGGCATCTGGTGGATCTCTGAGCCAAGTGGTGGTTTCAGACTCGGTGGAACTCCGGAGGCTGAGAGTCTCTTCAGTTTGAAGATCGGCTGAAAGCAAGTCGAAACCCAATTGATCTTGTTGTCCTGCAGAAGCTGATTCTATAGGAGAGTTCCGTTGGTCGATAGAAGGTACCACGTTCGTAGTTTGGTATGCTTGTTGTTCCGCGACAAGTGATTCTGCTGGACTGGGAGATTCAGCAACGAGCGATGATTTCGCTGGACGTCGTTTGCGTTTCCATGTAACCGTGTCTATATCGTCTCTTTTTTCCAAAAGCGGCAAAGTTTGAGATCTTCGGGTATGTCTCTGGGTTCTCTGAACCTCTGGTCCTTGAACCTCAGGCTTCTGGATATTCTGAATCGTCAGCCGCAGAGGTCAGACAGCGCGACGATGGCATGTGAATTTCGCAGAAGCTATGAGGGCTGCTAGATCTTGGAGATCTCAGACCTACGTCGGGTTTTCTCTGTTTCCTGGCAGGTTTCTGAGGCTGCCGGACGGCCGCAGGCACGTTTTCTGAAGCCTGTGGCGCAGTTTCAGACTGGCTTGCAAGCTTCTTTGCTCTGCGGGAAGTAGATCGAGCCTTTGAAGATCGTTTAGGAGGCATGGAGAATATTTTCAGGTGTAGGGAAGTCCATCCTCATTGTTGTCCATGTTCACTGTTGCGATAAATGGTAAATCACCAATCGTGGGACCAAGGAGAGGAGATTTTGTAGAGCTGCTGTTAAGCGGGGTAGTAAGACAAAGCCATCTCAAGCGACAGCAATGCAGGGGCGACGAGGAATGCAGACCGACTAAAGACTTCAGTAAGATTGGTCCATCTAAATCGGTTCGTGCAGGGGGCATTCCCATCGCTCACCACCCGACTGGCATGGCGTCCAAAATACGAGCACTGAGAAGGCAGATGGCCGAAGCATTGGCCGAGCGAGTTGCGAGACTGCATAAGTGGCATGGATGGGAGCTATCGGGCGCATAATGAAGGAGCGTCGAGTTGCACGGAGTATCAAGTAGCATGAATCTTCAAGCATGAAGGCGTTCCAAAGCTACGAAAGACAGGAACAATAGGTGACCACGTGCCAGTCCCGGGCGGCTCGCGATCCCCGCGAAGCCCGACCGGGCTGCCGACGCTTCCGTGGACGGCGCCATTCTCGCTTTGATAGGTCTTCAAAGTCTTTCTGTACTTCGAGCTTCTGTGATCTGATCAGGTACTCCGTGGTCCGTACATATCCTCCGTATCGCACAGCACCGTTCCAAAGCCCGAGTGGCGCTTGGCCCTTCTACAGCTGCAGACGCAGGGACAGCGTGGGCGAGGTCCAGCGTCCCGAACCCAATCTCCTCGCTCAAGCCTCCACCACAACTTCTCGCGCTGATCAATCGTTCACGGTTCAACCTGCCAAAGAAAGGGGTGATTGTTGTGCTGGAAAAGTGGCCCCTGACAAGGTACCGCACTGGTTGCTACTTACCTGGTGACAAGGCAGCCATGAAGAATAATTCTCTCGCGATGCACTTAATGGGCGCTTCGCTCTATTGATCACAAACTGTCCGGGGCGCACTCTGAACTATCGTTCTAGTTAGTCCTTTGGAAAAAGAGATATGGAATTACACTAAGGACATACGCGCATCCCTTGCTCCAATCCCCCCCTGTTACGCTACAGCCTTATCAATAGCACTACTTTCTGTCCCTCACGACACCGAGGGATAGAGCGTTGTCTGTAGATAATTGTAAAAAGGCGATAATAACAAAATTATTATATGTTCTGCTTTACCGAATACTTCTTACTGGCCTCAATTCAATTGAAAGCATTGAAATAACTTTCTGAGAGAGATCGAGATCGACGGTAATCTTGACTGCTTGATATAGTAATTCTAAAGGAGAACGAGGGCTAACTCCAAGATTAGGCGGCGCAGATTTATTGGGCGCCATTACGAGGAAGTAATATTAGACTACACACCGCTCGCAATTTGATGTAAGACTGCAAGCTTTTTTTACGCCCAGACTGCTAATTGCTCAATTCAAGTCTTTGCTTTGCGGCGCACGAATCACCCTACCGCACTGCCGGGCTCATGGTCGCAAGAAAAATTTGGGCAGGAGGGTGCGAGCAGGGAATCTGGCAGGTTTCCCAACGCCCATCTGAAACAGATGCCTAAGTAAGGGGAAGGTTGAGCCGATTGCTTGGGGGCTTGATTAGGCGCTACGTGGCTACGTAGGGGAATGCTCAGGGAGCGCTCAGTGACGCCCAGGTAATGGCTCAGTTGAAAGCCCAGGTCAAGGCGGCCTTCGCTCACCCTCTAGGACGAAGTCGCACATGGCTATTATTAGGTTTTTCGTTCTCGAGTAATCCAGGTAGTCACTAGCGACTAAGTGGATTGCGAGCGCACCTCGGCCGCCCCCGTATCGCGCAATAATGAGCACGCCCACATGCCCCCCGAAAGCAGCCTGGAGGTACCAAAGGAGACAGACTGATGCCGAAGCTCCCTTTTATGCGTCCCAATGCGTCCTGCACAAGCTCATGCGCAAAGGATGCGTAGAAACGTGCAAGAATGCATAACCATACCCCCCCCCCCCCCCCCAAACAAACGTCACGACGAGGCTCTCTCGAGCATCTTCCATTCGATGAATCATTGGCGCTCATCCTTTGGCGAATTCTACCGAAACTTTCCCCAGATCTCTTCCTAGATACGTCATGACTTTTTGGTCGGTCTCCTGGGTACTAGGGACACGGTACGAGATGCCAGAATGCAAGACGCCAACTTCCCAGAAGGCCACTGCTCCTCTCGCTCAAGGAAGAGAGGGCGCCCGTTGTTGCCCCTTTGCATTAATCTACGTGGCCACTGTAGGCTCTCTTCTCCTCAGCCGTTGATCAGGAGGCTTGCTAGGGCTTAAATAACTTCTTCGACTTCAGGGGGAAATGGCTCGCAGGGAGAAGCAGGCCGAGGCAGAGGCTGAACAGGGGAACAAGGCTGCACGTGAAGAACCAGAGCCGTATCCTGGTGCCGACCGCGCACCTCAAGAACAGAACGACGCAGTGCCAGAGACAGAGCCGGAGGACCCAGCGGCAGGCTCTGCGCATGCCGGTCAGAAGCGTAAAGATGCTCCCACGACGTCTTCCAAATCCGAACCGGACACCAAGGCACCACGACGGGGCTCCCGCACTTCACCTCGCAACGCAGATCATCCTGCCTCGCCCCAACAACTTCTCAATTTCCTGCTCTCTCCCTCAGCGTTGCCCTACTGCTTCCCCGCGGACGAACTCGAAAACGCCCAGAAGCCCAAGGAGTCCAAGTCCTATTCCCTAACTTCTCCGTCCAGCTTCACGCCCTTTGAGCACTTGCTCTGCGCACACATGCTCTCCAAGCCGCTCTCGCACACTTTGGGCATGCGGAGCATTCGCACCCTGCTCAACGAACCTTTCAGCCTGAACACGCCCGAGGCGATCATCTCCGCGGGGGAGAAGGGGGTGTGGGAGGCCCTCGAGGCAGCGCGCACGCAACATCGCCAGAAGACGGCTTCGTACCTCTTCCGCACCGCGGAACTGTATCGTGAATCCGAGACCATGTTCAAGTTGGCCGAGAAGGCCAACGAGGGCGGGTCCCACGGTGTCATCGAACATATCAAGTCGTCCGTCCCCGGCTTGGCGGTGACGGGCGGAGAAATCTTCTGTCGAAGAATTCAATGCGTGGACGGCTGGCGCGACGCGTTGTGGCCATTTGCGGACTCAAAGGCCATGGATGCGATGAGAACGATCGGAGTTTCCGTGGACGATGCAGAGCAATTGCGGACCGTGCTCGGGCACGAGACGGATTGGGATAAGGTCGGGGACATGGGGTTGCAGGAAAGGAATTCGAACAAGGCACAGCTCGTCCAGGAGCCCGGGGAAGCACAGGTCCAACTAGCGTTTGTGGTGGCCTTGGAGAGAGCGCTGGGCTGCGTGCTCGAGGGGAAAGTCGCGGAACTGCAAGAAGCGGCTGCTGCGGCGTAAAGCTGGCAATGGATAGGACAGGGGTCAGGACGTTGCTCATGCTATACAAGCCAGCAACTGTGATGTCGTGGGCAGTCACCTATCAATGCAAAGCCGAGATGAGGACAAGGGAATTCGGGCAGGAGAATTTTGCTATACAACGACCTCTCTGGTGTTGTGACCCGCAACAGGTTCAGCAAGGTCTTGATGGCAACAACCTTCAAACAACACGAGCAGGGCCACGACGTTGGACTTTGCTCAGATCGTCGATTGCTCGGGGCTGCAAAGATCTGCCTCTTCTCTAGGTACAGATTGCATAAGGGTGGTTTGTATATCCCTTGTCCCGGGCCCGTGGGACTCGCTGTTCCATTGTGATGCTGTCGAAACTATTCCGGTGTCCCCCAAGCCGCCAGCGCCCCCCGCCATGAGATGAGCGTTCCCTCCCAACAAAATCCCATCAAAGGACGAATCATAGAGTATGGCAACATCCTGCTCAGCCCTCCCCAGCCGCCAACGAGATTATCCGGTAAAGCCGCACAACCAGATGAGCCTCCCATCGGAAGGTACGGCGAAAGGATGTCGCCTTGATAATCATCAACGGTCAAGACGAGAACGTTGCTTGGAGATTGACGAAAGCCGCGGGCCCGCCATCTTCGCTGAGAACATCGAGCAAAGCTTCCGTCTGCTTCCACGCCGTCTCCAAGGCAGCCGAAGGGGAACGCCCAAGTGACACTGCTAGGTGTCAGTGAGTGTGCCAAAGTTTTGGGAGAGCACGAACCTAGAATGGCAGAGTTCAGCTCCTCTGCGACTGTAACTCTGCCGGCAGGATCCAAAAGGTGTCCATTGACGCTGCCCCTAGGGTCATCGTATGCCACCAGGCTGAAGATATCCCGCAATGCCTTTGCATATTCCTCATCCACGTCTCGGAATTCTCTATGCAGTTCTTGGCCGTACAACATCGCCTCATTGAGGAGCTGATCGTGTTGCAAGGCGCTGTCATTAGCCCGCGACTTCCCTATGCCATTAGCACGGCTGCTGCCATTCGGCTGCTCGTCAAGTTCCATGTCTTGGGCAAAATCGTCATCTACCCCAGAAACGTTTTCCGGTCGGTTACTAGCCTTCCGCTCATGCCCCGGCGCGTGTTTTGGTGTATCGAGTTCGGTCGACTTGTCAATGAGTTCGATCCATTTCCGGCATTTCAGTCGGAAAAGAATGTCGGGGTTTTCTGTTAGAACGGTAGGGAAATGTGTTTCAGTGATGTCAAAGGCTTGGTCGATATCTCCAGAGAGAATTGCACGACGTATCCCTATATTGGTCAGCCTCAAGGTCTGTGAAAAAATCAAACCATACTCACGTTGTCGGTGGACTGCGTCAGTGTCGTCCCGTTCGCGGGGTGTCGACGTATTTGAAGGAAGCGCATTGTTCAACGATTGCTTCTCTGTTCTCATTTCCTCTGCGAATGCCTTTGCTGTTTCAACGTAGCCGTCGTGAGCTAAGAAGTGCGCCACCAACTCCTGAATGAGGGTGCTCTCGTCCCGTTGCGGTCGTAACGATGTGACTTTGGCTTTCGCAATCTCTCTTGACACAATCGCCTTCTCGGTGAGCATCTTATCATCGATGTCAAAGACAAAAGGTTCCTGACCGAAATTGCCTGCCAATAGCGCGCCGGAGTGCTTTTTCATACCGATCGTGGGGTACAGTTTTACGTCCTTTTTCAGCTCCCGGAAACATACACCAAGGTCCTGTCCGTTCTTGGTGAAGAAGGCCTGACCGGTGTTGAAGTTGACTCCACACCCAATGATATCGCCTGTGCCAAAGGTTGGGCCGTAGCCACGACCTGAATGCTCCCCGAAAAACATCTTTCCGTCATCCCCATGATATCCCCATGATTGTGTCTCCCAGCCCGGTAACCGCTCAAGTGACGCTTCACTTGTGGAAAACCCAACGGCTATAGCTGTGTCCTTGCTCTTCTGTTTGATGTACACTTCAAAATAGTATATCCCACACGCAACCGGCATTGCATGATCCGTTCTCACAGATGCTGCTTCGATCTCGGCCTTGCTTGCGGTGCCACTGTATTTCAGGTCGTGGCCATCAATGATATCTAGCCCGGGGTATTTGTCCTGCTCGCTCCACCTCGAAGGCAACGGAGGTAATACGTCCTCCTCTTTAGGAGGATTGCTTTCGATTATATCGTAGGTCATGCCACGATGCGATGGCGCTAATCTTGTATTTCCAACACCTGTGGGGAACGAGTTGTGCGCGGAAGACCCTCCTGATGGTTGCTCCCGCTCTTTCTTCACCTTGGCCTTGTGCGCGGCTTCCAACTTTGCCATGTATCGAGAATGTCTCAGATAGGAGGGGATGAAGAAAGGATTGGGGGACATCGTGTTCGTTCCAAGATCTGATGTGTTGGCAAACTTTCGTGAATATGAAGGTAGAGGCGTTGGTTTCCGCCAGGAGTTGACTCCGAGACTGTCCTGGTCTTGCTCCGAATATCGTCTTTGATATTGTGGCTCCGGCTGATACTGAGGAGGGTACGAGCTGCTGGGGGTCGAGGACACGAGATGGGAGAACGCACCCGATCGAGTAGGGTGGTGAAGAGCCTGAGCAGTTGCGCCTGAGGCCACAGAAGCATATGACAAACGTCGAGGCACACTACCGCCAAATTGACTCGATCGGTTGTTACTGCCCGACCCAGTGCCGTCAGTCATCGTGGTTCAGAGCGAAGGACGTAATAGACGGGGATGGCAGATCGCCTCGCCTCCTTCGTAGAGACCGAGAGGAGGGAATCGGTGAAGGGGTCACGCGGTAAGTGGTGCGGTCGGTGGGTTTGCTGGCGGTCGTTTGGCCTGGAAGTCAGACGTGGGAGAGTGCGCAGAAAGAATCGGCTCAAGGCATGCTCGTCTACTTCGTTCACGGACAGAACAATGGCGATTTCAAGGACTGGATCAACTGGTGTCCTGTAAGAAGGGGTGAAAGAGCATTGCGAATGTCGTTATCGCACTGATACGGGTTCCGGGGAGGTCATTGATGCAATAACAGGTCCTATGGGGCGGCTGTTGGGTGGCAAGTGGTTTTTACTAGTTAAGCAGTTGCGGGGGCCGCCTCGACCGGAAGAGCACCAGACCAAGCATACGACAGCATCGGTATGCCTGACGCCATAGCATTATTCTACAGAGGGCCGTTGGCGACATTTAGGACATGATCAATGTATTGTTCTTCATTCTCGTCTATTCATACAGCTCACAGGAAGAGAAACGCCCGAATGGATCAACCTGAAACCTTTTTCATTTCTTTGTGACATACCACCAGAACCGTTGCTAAGAATCGATCCTCTGTTTGTTGTAGTACAAGTCCCCTGCCATTCACAATACTCCGTTTTGCAGGCAGATGACAAGCACCGAAATAGAACCATGATCCGAAAACGCCATGCTGTATGCTGAACCACATTGTAACCGGTGCCATCTCGAGCTCTACCGGCTCTAGCACTATGGCAGTGAAGGGATCCAAAATGCTCCCTACCTTTTTTTTTTGGAATGCGAACAGATGTATCGCACTTCGCCGACAACTTTTGCAGCGTCAGAAGTCTCCAGGCGGCAAGACCAGGATTCTGACAATGAACGGTCGTGTATGATTCGAAATATCAGCCTTGAGCAGCAATAGCTGCCGATGGAGGTGGCATCGGCGCGGGAGAACTGGCGGCGGGTGTCGACATGAGCATGGGATCTGCTTGGTCGCCAGCATTGCTATCCATGGCGACATCACTTTCGTTGGGTTTCATGTCGCTGGAACTTTGTTGTGAGACTTGGTTATTATCGCTAGACTCTTCGCCATTGAGAGCTTGGGGTCTCTCCTGGCCTCGCCATGAAGCAAGTTCCCAAACCACTCCGGTGAAACTCTTGAGAGTGAACGGTTTTTTGCTCCATTTACGACAGGGCTTGCCAGAGCGATCGAGGGCACGAAGGCCAGCGTTGATGGCACCTTGGTTCGCCTTTGGGCCCAGCTTGTGCCCAGCACCGATGCCAACCGGGGTCGAGCTTTTTACGCCGCCATGATCGATGGTGCCATCTTCCCTACGGATGCAGAGTCAGTAATGTGTGCAAGAAGACGCCAATGGACGGTGACGCCACAGAGGTCGAGTGTACTTACAGTCTGGGTTTCTTTTTGGGGCCAGGCTTGCCTCGTGGCCTTGGTAGTCCGTTCACTTCGGACATTTGTCCTAGATTTCTCTTGGTGCCTGCCAGAGAGCCTCCTTTGCGCTTCTTCGAGCCATCGCCGTTGGAGGTATCGCCTGCATCGGCAGGTGTGGGAGCCGGGGTTGAGGCGGCCTCGGATGCATTGTCATTTACTTCAGGGACTTTCAGAGTAGAAGTTTCCTCGACTGCAGCAGGTGGGGATGACGCTGCTGAGGCTGTAGACTGCTCTTCTGATTTGGTTGGAGGCTCCTCAAAACGACGTAGGAGTTTTGGAGACAGCTTAAGTGTGACCATCTTGACTTGCTTTTTGTTCTTGTCTGTTTTAGCCGAGGCCGAGGGTGACCGACCTGTTGTACTTGAGGAGGACATGGCCGTGAAGGGTTATTATTGAGAGTGGTGAGGTAGAAATGGCAAGGAGGTTTTCGGTGGGAGGCAAGATTGTTGGTGTGTGTGCAGTCAGCGGTTCAGCTTTGGTTGAGGCTGGCGCTGGCGGCAGTCGGCAGGTGGCTGAGATTATTTCCCTGTGCGTTGAAGCTGAGGTGCGAGGGTATTATTATTGTGGTCACTTTAGTAGTGTGGTGTCGGTAAGGGTGGAATAGGCTGGTGACGAGTGGTCATGGTGGGTGGGTGCAAGTCGATGGGTAGAAAGGGTGATGATGAGTAGGAGAAAAAGTGAAGATGAGGTGGGCATGGGAGTTGAAGGGGATGAGACAAAGACGGTGCTGGAGCTGGACCTGGCGTGTGATTTTGTGTGTAAGTGGCCGGATCATTCTGGATGGCATGGCTTGGGATTTTTGCGTGGTTCTGGGTATGGGTTTGGGTTTGGGTTGGCTCAGATCAGATCTGGGGAGCGCAGGAGAGAAGTGAGAGGGCTGAAGGGTTTGAGAGGCGCGTGTGACGGCAGAACGGGAGGCGGCGAGCAGGAGAGGCCACAGGGCGGTTTGCTGCTCACGGCGCGCGAAGACGCTCTCAGAAGAGAGAAGGATGAAGCGACCAGGGTTTCTCGGTTTGGTGTTGCGAGAACCCGCATTGGGCGAAATCAGGGGCGGTCATTTGAAGTCTGGGCGCCTGCACAAGGGCTGGAGGGCTGAGAGCCAGAGCGAACGCGGCCGTCAGACAGAACCGTGATTGTCGGACCGTGCAGCGCCCCGCCTGGCCGCCAGCATTTTTAGTCAGGAGCAAACCGCCCAGCTGCGCTAACCGCAGACGGAAACGCGGCTTCTGTCACTTGCGCGGTCTATCCACTCCCTGCGAGCTGCGGCCCTTTAGCTTTCGCCTCCCTCTCGTGATGCTTTCTCCTTCGCCAGTCACTCTCGGGCTCACCTTGGTCCATCGCCCGTAAGAAGCAATCCACTGAAAATCTTGGTCGCCGTATCTACAGAGGCTGGCCACCATCGACACTCCTGGAATCGACTAATGTTGCCCGCATCATCGCCGAGCAGTTGCCTGTTGGGTCATCAAACTGCCACTCCTTCTCTACCCGTCTCCGCGTCTTCCGTCCACAGAAAATCGTCGTGCTTTGGGCAACGGTGACGGCAATCCAAGAATAATAATGGCAAGGGATGTTTGATAGGCACTCCACCTGGGAAACGAAATGCATCCGGCGAAGAGAAGAAAGTTGCAGCAACCTGGCGGGTTCCTAAACAAACCTTTTCGCTCACCGCTTCGCTCTACTAATCCTCAGGCTCAGCCATCTGCTGAACAAGCTCATAGTCAAGTTCCGGCTGCAGGGCTTCCATCCAACGCGCAACTTTCATCACCAGAGATAAGACCAGGCATTCGATCATCTCCTCGAAGTACTTCCAATCCACGATTATCTTCCCGACTGGCACCCCCCGACTCCGCATTGAGAGACCTTCAGAGGCAGCACACTGCATTGTCCATCCGGCTCACTCAACTGCGCCGGTCTCTCCAAACGGCAGAGGAAGCTCTTCAGATCGAGGGATCAAAGCAAAATGCTGAACTGCAGCCTCTGATCTCCCGATGGCGGACCATTGCCCAAGATACTGCAGAAGAGCTCTTCGCGGATGCCAAAGAGAGGATTGACCAGATGGGAGGAGTTGCCCAGTGGCGACGAAAGCTCGAGGAGGACGCACGGCTGTGGACCATCAATGAAGATAGGGAGGCTTTCGCAGGCAAATATGCAGGTGATGTCAAAGATGATCGCGGTCAAGGAGATGGAGAGGAACCGGATCCGGCAGAACTTGTGGATTGTGAGAGCGACGCCGAGTCCAAAGAGATCGTAAGTCAAAGGTCGGTCACCTCCTCTTTGTTGTGCGCACTAATTTTGCATTTTATTGCAGTGCTTCACCATGGAGATGATGCTCAACCAAATGAACATTGATTTACAATCCATCGGCTTTGATAAGCACCAGGAATGCTGGGTATGACTGATGCTTCTGCAAGGGATCACGTCGTCATTAAATGCAAGTCTCATGTGAGAAACGCAGCAAGGCCCAGAGCAAAGATGAGCTGAAGGAAGAGGCATTCGTCCAGTATTCCTGTCCTCATACGGCAACTTCGTCTTGCCTAATCGAGAAACGATCCAATGAGAACCACCAAGAAGGCTGACAAAGCACATCCGCGTGGCATTGGCTTGCCTTGGCCCTGGAGGCAGAATCTCAAAAAACCCGCACATACCCTGGAGACCAGCAGTTATATGGTCCTGTGCTTTTGTCCTCGCCCCGCCTTATTCACAAGATCGTTGAGATGAGGTTTGATAGGCATTTTCCGTGCTGAGAAATGCCAGAGCGGAGCCATGGAAAGGAAGAGCAAAATGGCAATACATGCCCAGGTGATTGAAGCAAACCAGCAGTATAAGTAGGTATCACAAATTCAAGTCGAACCCAATCTATTTCAATATCTTTCCTCCACGCCTTTCCACTATATCTTATAGCTATCGTTTGCCTGAAAGTTAGAGGTTTCGAGGTCACTCTGAAATCCCAGTTCCATCTGTCGTCAGTATGTCCACCAGCACAACGCTGTTAACCGGCGGATCAGGGTTCGTGGGGGCTACAGTCCTCGATGAGCTGCTCGCCCAGAATCACAACGTTGTTATTGCCGTTCGCTCCCCGTCTTCCGCCGAATCGCTGCTCGCCAACAACCCGTCGTGGCCCGTGTCCAAGATCAAAATCCACCCAGTCCCCGACTTCACCGTCCCCGGCGCTTTCGACTCTGTCTTCCAGGCACACCCAGACATCGAGTACATTGTTCACGTGGCGGCGCCCATGGTCGATATCCCCGACAGCACGAGCTTTGAGGAGTCCTTTGAGAAGCCCAATGTGCTGGGAAATCTGGGTTTGCTCCAGAGCGCCAAGGCGTACGGGAAGAATGTGAGAGCCGTGAGTGTTACGGGGAGTCTGAACGCGATCACACTCGGCAACCAGGAGGACATCAAGAGCCGAGTTTTCGGCAGCGGGGAGTGGTTGCCCTTGGGAAGGGAGGATGCGGTGCAGGCGGAGAGTAATTATGTGAGTCTTCTCTCAGTTTTCTTTCCATCATCCACCCAGGGAAGTGGTTCTGTCAAAGTAGACGAGGAATTTTGGAGTTCTGGAGTCCTTCCGGTTTCCAGAGCACTCGCTAACACCACCGCTTTGTTTGTTCCCAGATCTCGTACTGCGTTGGCAAAAAGCTCGCCGAGCAAGCCATTTGGAAGTTCGTGGAAGAAGAAAAGCCTTCCTTCACCGTGACCAACTTCATGCCGCCCTTGATCTTTGGTCCCATGTTGCAGAAAGTGGGTGGGGTAGAGAAGATCAATTTCAGCAACGGCCTGATTTATGGTATCATGAACAGCAGGAAGGGCGAGGGTGGGAAGGTGCCAGCGACGGCGTTTCCAGGATGCGTGAGTCCACTTCTCTTTTCCAAGAATGCCCGTGAATCGCCTTTTTGGTTGCCGCAAAGCTGAACTAGGCTTGGGTATAGATTGATGTCCGCGACCTCGCGAAAGTTCAAATCGCTGCACTCAGGAATCCCAGGGCAGCAAATAAGCGGTTTGTCGTCGGGCATCCCATGATCTTCAATCAGATTGCCGATGCGTTGCGGAAGGAGTCTGCGTTGAATATCTCGGATCGTATTGGCGAGGATAATGACGAGGCTTCCACTCTGACACTTCCGAGGCTCGATACGAAGGACGTAGATGAAGTGTTCCAGTACGAGTGGACACCCTTAGAAGTGACTGTGAGGGACACTGCAGCTGCTTTGCTCAAAATTGAGACACCTGGGGCTTGAGTGGCATGAGGCATCTTTGCGGAGACAGCGGACGTCGGGGTTGTTCTCTCTGGACCAGTATCATCTTGGTAGTGGAAGAATCTCGCAACATATGACGCTTGTCATGGACCATCAGATAGACAATGTTTACCTCATGATCGGTGGACGACTTTCTTTGTTCCACACAACCCGGCTTTTGACCCATTCGACAGCCTCTTTTACTCCTGTCCCCTTCAGCGCGCTTACTGGTAGGACACGACTGTCACGAACCATTCCCCCTTTCTCACCTTCGAAAACTTTCTTCACGAAGCCTTCCTTGATCCTGACAACCTCGAGGCAATCTTCCCTGTCCTGTTTATTGGCCAAAATCAAGATCGGAATCCCAGCAGTGTCGTCATTCTCGAGTACGCTTTCTAGAACGGCTCGACATTCGTCCAGTCGACCCTGAGGCAATCCAGACGAGAAAAACCCTGGCGTCATGGGCGTCATTGGAGTCCATGGAGTCTGTGGCTCGTCTTCGTCACCACCCTTTCCAATATAGCTCTTCTTACGCCCGTGCCACCCGGGGGTTTGTGGTGCCCCGTCGATCTCTCCATTCCCTATGTCCGTGCTGTCCACCACAAACACCACGGCATGCGCGCTCTTATAGTAGCTCATCCATAGCTTTCTTAGACTCATTTGTCCACCCACATCCCAGATCTTCAAGTACATCTCGGGCAGGTCGATAGTTGCAACATTTTGGCCGACGGTGGGCACAGTATTGCCTGCGGTGTCCGAAGCAGGAGCATCGCCTGTCTGGCCAGCGACGGGGTCTGCGGTGGTGTTATAAAGCGCTTTTATCTGTGACAAAAGGGTGGTTTTGCCGGCATTGTCGAGGCCTAGGAGGATGATGGAGTACTCTGATCACGGCCGGGTCAGATCAGCCTCGTTGACAAGATGCAGGGTACGGTCTGGCGGAGCTTACCTGGCTTGCTGGTTGCATAGAGGTACAGGGAGCGGACGAGGTGATACATGTTGCGCGAAACACGAAAGGGAAGGATATGGTCTATTGAGAGCGTAATCGAAGAACAAGAGAATAGAATCTATGGCCCACTGGCAATTCTGCCACGTGTATCATTGTTGCAATATTTTCTCGTGCTCTCCGAGCAGCACCTTCTCCGGGACGACGACAAGGAAGCCCAAAGGTCCTTCAACAGAGGGAGTTATTGACAGTGGGAGAGCGAGCCGGTATTTCACCTTCTTGGACTTCTGTGATATTGTATCAAGCTGGATGACCACTGACTGCGGAGGCACATCGCAGGGACGACGCCGAGATATTCTTCCGTCTGACAAGATGCACTCATTGTAATTTGTGCTGTTCCGTAAAGTCAGACAAATGATTTTCGGGATTGGGGGACTTTGACGAGACCATCATCCTCCCGTCGATCCAATCAACACACCTTTCTCGCTCTTTTGGACACTCCCGTGGGAGCATTCACGGGATTCCCGCATCTCGCACTTGGTGATCCCGTCCATTGGCCGACATGGCCTTCCCCAGCGGTAGTCGCTGCCTTTTATCCCTGCGCGATTGGCCGTCGACACAGCCTGCATGCACACCATTGGGGTTGGTGGCGCAGTCAGTATGCACAGCGGTGTGTTGTGTAGCCATGGGCCCGGCCAGGGAATGAGGCTGCACAATTGAGACGAGCGCTCATCCGAATATCATTAAAGGCCAGCCTGATTGCGAGCTTCCCATCGACCTCTTCTTGATGGCACATTTGGCCATTCTCTAGCAACAGGTCACTCCATCGGCAGGCGACATTGGGCATCTTTTGAGGACCATGGACAGTTGCAAATCTTCAGAACCTGACTTGGTTGATATGCCAGCCCCTGACTTTGTTGACGAGGTCTTCCATGTGGTTACTGGAGGACTTCGAGATGCAGCGACATCTTCGACACGAGTGAGCTTTACCCCCTTCATACCGGTACATTTTGAGGTACCTGGTACTATTCCTTCGGGCGATTCTGGATATTACAGCTGTAAGGACTACCTTGAACCATCACATCTCCTCCTCGACGATGCAAAGACACCCTTAGACGAGATTCAAGAGACAGTCCATTCAGGCGGCGAAGGTCTCAAGGCGCCTCCATCTTCTCGGCGTCCTCGAAGGATATCCACCGCTTGCGATGCCTGCAAGCGGAGGAGAACCAAGGTATAAATATCTCTAGTGCATTTTGGAGTGTTCACCGGAGGTGTCTCTGACCGAGACCAGTGCAGCGAGGGTAACCCTTGCGAGGCGTGTGCGACGAGAAAAAGTCTGTGCGTTTACGGTGCAACTTCTGGCCAGCGACGGAAAATTTCGAGCCATCGAACTCCATGGCAGTCAGTTTTCCCTCAGCTTAACGAGCCCAATGACCCGAGAATCCAACGCAATTATGTATGTCCTGTCCAGAGCTGTCAACGCACATTCAGTCTCGAGACCGATTATGACAACCATATCAAGTCAAAACACGCCAACTATACATTCCATGTCGATAAAGAGCAACTGCTTCCACAACTCATCGGTTCCGAACCTCTCAGTCTCGAGCCTCTCAGTCTTGAGTCTCTTAATCCCGAGCCCAGTCAGGAGCCACCGGCCCATAGTAATTTGGGCAAAGGAAGATCTAGGGCTGAAGAGCACTTCCCAAAGGCACCGTGAGTAAAGCTTACTGTGAGTGTTTCGATTAGGAATCAGCTAACAAGGTCTATGGTGAAAGTGTTGACGAGTGGCTTGAAAAGGTCCAGAGCAATGATGAAGATGCAGCCTTCTTGTGTCAAGGACATTGGGCAACGGCCGATTCACAACAGTCTATCGTTCGCATCCCAACCCCGCAGCCCTTGTCCCTCCATCTGTCGTATTCGAACTCATCGAATTCGCCTTGGTTTGAATCGGATGGAGAAGCATCTTTTGTGGCCGGCGACAATTCTCTTGTTTTGGCGACATCCATTGATTCGCCGAGCTCAGCAATGTCCCTAGCTGTACTTGCTATTGTCCTCGTTACATTGTACCTTGGGCAGGCAGATACGCCGAGAGATGGCGTTGAGAATTCCTCGCAGACAAGCTCCACCCCAAGCACGTCTAGCCAAGCAAATGGGACCGCACCTTCCACCTCGCTCACAACGCCTCTGTCAACTCAGAACTCTCAGCGCAAGAGACTGCCCCCGGATGACGAAGGGGAAGGATCGAGGCGCAGCAAAATCCCAAGGACATCCGAGGCATCGCCGAATTGCACAGTCTCGAAACTCCTGGCCTGCCCATACTCAAAATTCGATCCTTCTCGGTATTCTGAGCGCAATGGGCTCGAACAGAACTATCGAGGATGTTCAAGTTGTTTTCTGAGAGACATTGCTCGTCTGAAGCAGCATTTGTATCGCGTACATCGCCGGCCCGAACATCACTGTCCGACCTGCTTCTCATCCTTTGACTCAAAAGGCGTCTTGGATGCCCACATTGTGGAGAGGTCCTGTCAACCACAGGTCTCTCCCTTCGAAGAGAAGATGACTCAAGATCAACTTACGGCAATTAAAAGGCGTGAAATGGGTCGGAATCGCTCCGATGCATGGTTTGACATCTACAAGATCCTGTTCCCGAACTCCGCATTGCCCTTGGATCCGTACGCTGACAGCACGCATGCGGATACAGTGCAAGACTTTATTGCCTTTTTTGAGCGTGAAGGGCGAGAAGTACTAGCATCAGAGATCAACCAAAGGATGTTCGGTGCCGTGGCGTGGTGGCCACGGCAACAGGAGTTCGTTGAGGAGGTTCTCGCGGAGTCGATCAATGTGCTGCTTCAGCGCCTTCATTCGCGCTTCAGACAACCCTCGTCAACCGATTCTTCATACCCGTTCACTTCAAACACTGATATCAACCCCAACAACCCCTTTGCTTGTTAAGCCTAACTCCCGACCTTCACTATATTGCGCCATCCCATTCAGCTGGGTTGCTTAGTGACCCCAATCAGGCAAGGACGATGTCCATTTTCATCTCCCTTAAGACATCCTGCCACTGTATATCAGAGTCCGCCTTACCCCCGTCACGCACCAAGTCCCGTCTCCGCCACAGTTCGCTTGCGATGTCCTTCGAGATCTCCAGGTTCATGAACCCATGCCTCCTCTTCAGCCTGTACCAGTTGAGCATCCTCTCCTGCATCTCCTCAGTTAGGCATTCACATGCCACAATGAACGGCGGCCACACTAATGTACAACCTATACTGTCGCCTCCCAGACTTTCGATATCTTCAAGGTGTGTGACGGCTTTCGAGACCATATTCTGGACGCAGGTGGTTCGGGGGGAGAAGCCCCGAACGGTGCGGAGGAAATAGATCAGTGAGGCATAGTAGAAGACGTAGGCGTGGTGCAGGGTTAGGGATTGAGCCATGGGTGGCAAGCCCGACAGGTCGAGGTTCGATGGAGTTTGGGCGTAGAGTTGGGTTTCTAGATCATCCAGCATTTCGGCAGTCGGCGGGTCGGAAGCTGTGGTAGAGATACGCTTGATCAGGCTGTTCATCACGACGATATGTTTGAGGATCGGACGGGTAAGGCCAAAAAATCGATCGAGCACGTAGTTTCTCTCGTCGCCCAAGAAATTGTCAGATTCGACGTCGATGGTCGAGGGGAGGTGGATATTGCACAGCGCCGCAATAGCGAGATAACTTTGGTAGACCATCGAGGAGGATTTGTCGCGCTCCCACTCGCTCTCTTCTATGGTGGACAGCCACGAGGCCCCGCCCTGCAGGTGGGTGCGCCATTCGCTGGCACGCCCGGTGATCATGTCCATCGCCGAGAACATGGTGATGGTGGCGAGGATGGAGCCCCGCTGGAGGTGGACTTGACCGAGGTCGTGGTCCGTGTCCTTGAGATTCACCAGGCTGTGGCGTAGGTGCATGATGGCCAGGTTATAGTGCTTCATCGCCAGCGTGAGGTTCTTGCTGTCTCCATTGAGGAGTTGCCCGCGACTGAACGCCGAGGTGGCGCACAGCGCGTGGAAAAGCGCAATCTGCCCGTTGGACTGGTTTGATGGCGACGCGAGGCCCGCCAGGGCCATGGGCGTGAAGACGCTGCGGAACGGGTTGTCCGGCCGGTCCACGGGGACGAGGTGCCAGCACACAAAGTTTGTCCAGTGGTGAATGAGGTCTCGCTGCTCAGCGGGCCGCGGTAGAAGGTCGAGGTGGCGGATTGTCAGCGGCAGAGCAGGACTCGAGGGCCACTGTGTGGGCGTGTCCGGGGCGTACGACGGAGTTCGGGGATAGACTGTGGAAGGAGAGATGACCGTTTCCAGCATCAGATCGTCTGCGTTGTCATTTAGATCCTCTTGCGTCCTATCTGTTGGCGACGACGCCGAATCTCTTCTTTCGCGGTTTGGAAGTGCCAGTGGTTGAGATGGTTCGACGAGTCCCGTCCCGGGCCTTTGCACCGGAAAGACTGAGAATGGTCCGGACGACAAACATGCTGCTCCTCCTGGCGAAAGACTTTCTATTTCCTCCAATGCCCCGTGGACGTCGACCCTCATGAAATTCGACCCGTCATCATAAACGGTGGGTGCGCCGATGACCCGCCGGATGTTCTGCTCGCGTTCTTGACTGTCCGGGTCGACCCAAACGAGCTTTATGCCGTACCCCTGACATTGGAACCCGCCTTTGATGCATCGCGCACAATAGGGCCTCTTCTCGTCGCACTTCACATGTCTATCGCGACAGGTCCAGCAGCCGGAGAATGTCTTGGTGTGCTTGACGGCTTCGCGAGCCTTGGTTGCTTTGCGCGCTGAGTGAGCTGGTTTCATCCGAGATGGTACATGCCGTGGCCTCGGCGCATGGCAACCAGAGACCCAGGAGTGTGAGGGCGGAGTTACATCGAAAGCCTTGTTCCAAGCATCCGCGTTGTCTTCGAAGCCTGCTGTGAGTGGTTCCCAGCAAAGTGATAACGATGCAAGCACATGCTGGCTGGAGAGGGGAAAATCCTGATTCTCCGCTCGCCCCGCCCCAAGTCTGCTCCACGGACTGTGATTGGACAGGGCGTGCTCGCGGAACTACTCTACGGTGACGACGTCAATCCCGGGCGTCCCTCGCGTGCAGTGGTGCCTCTGTGCCTCTGGTGCCTTCTTGGCTGCTCAGCCTCGCAAGGCGTTTCGCATCTCCGCTCCTCACGCAACACAACATGGTCATATCACATCTTACCACCCCCCGTGCAACTTCTGGCTCCTCCATTGATCCCTCGACGCCCTGATGCCTGATCTACGCTGGATCGATGTCGGTCCGTATTCAGTTTGATCAGCCCGTACAGAGGTGCTACACGAATCTCGATTTCGTCTCGGGCAACGTTATCCTCATCCTCCCCAACGATGCCACCATCTCTGCAGTCACGGTCAAGCTCGAGGGCGAGAGTCGGACTCGGCTTGCCGTGCCCAAGTTTCCAAACAATGAACGGTCGGATAAGAAGAGGTCGGAGCTAGAATTGCACAAGGTTGGTGAGAAGGATCGCTCCCGTCCACCGCAACTTCTGCTCACACATCAGGCTCCAGCTTTTGTATAAAGTCATCACCGTCTTCCCAACACCCGAGCTTCAAGAAAGAAGCAGCGGCGCCGCCTACACTCTCCTAGCTGGCCAATACCTCTACCCGTTCAAGTTCAAGGTCAGACACCTCTTAAGAAACCGTCCCGTGGGTCGGAATCGGCGACCACCGCTAACCGCCATGGACAGTTCCCATTCAACAATGACTGCCAAAGGAATCCGAGTGCCCTGAAAGATATCAAACTCGGCCATGTGAATGTTCAATTCGCACCCGACACCACGAGACATGTGAAGAAGACACTGCCACCCTCACTGAGTGGCTTTCCCGGCGAGGCGGAAATCAAATACTATGTGAAGGCGACAATCGTCCGCCCCAAGTTCTTCCAAGAGAATATCAGAGCGGTATGCTTCTCTCCGCGTTACTTGGGAGATGTAACGGCTAATCTGTGACAAAGATCGCCGATATCAACTTTCTGCCCATCGAGCCTCCTCGGCCTCCCAATCGTCATGAGGAGACGTTTGCGAGAAGAAAGAGACAGTTCCAGAGATACCCGGCCGAGTCGCAGAAAAAGATGGCTGGCCTTTTCGGTAGAAAATCTTCGACTCCGACATCCGCGGAGGAAGAACCTCCCGCTTTTCAGGTCGATGCCCGCCTGCCAAGTCCCGCCATTATCACCTGCAACGAACCTCTGCCGCTACGAATACTGGTTGAGAAGCTCAATGACAGCTCCGCCACTGCCTACCTCAAGATGCTGCAAATTGAACTCACAGGGTACACCCAAGTCAGAGCTCTTGATCTAGAAAGAACTGAAACCACAAAGTGGCCATTGATGTCGCAGGCGAACATGAACATGCCACTCGGCAATCCCAGCGATAAAGGTCGTAAGGAATGGAAACTTCCTTCTCGACTGTGGGAGGATTTTCCGCTCCCCAATACCGTCTGCCCTTCATTCGATACCTGCAACATCTCTCGGCGATATGAACTAGAGGTCACGGTCGGTTTGGCTCATGCTATGGCAAGCGGCCTACGACCGGAGCTTATGGTCCTTCCTTTGCGTCTACCTGTCTTGGTGTACTCCGGCATTGCTCCTCCTCCGAAGCTGCTGCAGGCTATGGCCAATAACCCTCGTCCTCAACCTGCTCCTCTACACTTGGCCCCACCAAGACCTTCCGAGATAAACGGAATGTCTTCGCAGCCGACCACCCCATTAGAGACGCCAACAACTCCTTTGTCTGAGATCAACTCGTATCCGGCCCCGGTGGGCTCTTACAATCCGCATGAGCAATCGGATATCCCTGACGACGCCCCACCCAGCTATGAGGACGCTATGGCTGAGGATATTGCACCTGTCGATGGTCCTCGGCGGGAATACCACGTGCCATCTGAGCCCGTAGCTCAGCGGCCGGCCTTCAACCCCGATGCGAAAGGTAGCGGACTCGGCCGACGAGTCAGCGAGCGATTATTTTCCGGCGGGGAACCAATCAGTCCTACTAGGACAACTTCGATGGGAAACGCGATGCCAGACTTTACCATAACTGAGGACGAAGATGCCGGGTCTCCGAGCTCACCGTCAGGCGGAAGCTCAAGCCGAATGTCTAGCTGGAAGCGGAGTTTCAGTGGACGGAAGGAATAAAAAGCATTCTTCTGGACATTTCTACGGTAGTAACGTCGGTACGCCATTATGAAGAGCGTGGAGTTGGACATAAGCAACACCCGATGAACAATCAGGAATTGATATTCTTATACATAATACATGCGTTCTCTGTGACATTGCAGCCCCGTGTCCGCTTCTGGAACCACTGTACGAGTTAATGGACTTTGTGGCGAGCGAGTCTAGTACTCAGCACTCAGCACTGGTTGCATGTGGTAGTATTTGAAGGCCATGTGCTGCGTGCAGTAGGCAGATGGGTAGGTGTTGAGGAGATGTGTCTGTGGTGACGAGTGGTGGTGTGGAAGATGCCATGACGTCAGCCTGCAACGTCCGTTTCAGGCTGCGTCTTGTGCCTCACGCGCTGCTTCACTCTCTTCACCAAGACCCAAGACATCTTCCAACCTCACGAGTCACGATCTCGCCTTGCTAGTTACTACCTTCTGCTCACGAGGACATACACTTCAGATGTGTGGTATTCATTAAGATTCTACTGTTACCCCGGAGGGAGGTCCTCGAACAGCCACCATGGATGCCTTCAAGGACAAGGTAAGTGGTACCAGTCAACGCCAAAGTAAATGCACTTGATTGAGAATGTCCTTAAAGACGAATTCTCTGGCTCGGGCCCTTGTTCGGTCTTGGGGAAAGCTACCTACATTATTTGTTGCTCCCTGAAGCGCTCATGGCTCTACAAAACCCACACATCTAACACACTCTCAAGGCACCAGGTTCTGGCGGTCATCGCAGCCAACATTCTTCCTCATTTGCTGCCATAGGCGCTGCACTTATCCCCACGGCCATAACTGCTGCTATTTTCTTATTGACATTTGCGGCTCTGCGCTCGAGGTATCGAAACATCTACGCACCAAGGACGTATTTCCGGACCATTAACCACAAGTGAGTCCTTCCAAATAGTCGAGTGGTCGGCACTGACAAGCTCCAGGGATCGCACTCCTTCATCGAGTCACACATCCGTCTCCTGGTGGCATGACTTCCGCGCTCTCGATGACAAGTTTGTTTTGCGCCATTCGTCATTGGAGGCGTATCTCTTCCTACGGTATCTCCGACTGACTGTCCTCATCTGCGTGGTCGGCTGCTTCCTGACCTGGCCAATTCTCTTTGCGGTCAATGCGACGGGGGGAGGTGGTGCCACCCAGTTGGACAGAATCTCGTTTAGCAATGTGGCAGACGGGAAACGGCTCTATGCGCATGCCGCTGTGGCCTGGGTCTTCTTTGGTAAGGCAACTTTGCTCCGCTCGTCGGACTACTCCTAATACTTGACCTCAGGATTCATATTACTTCTTGTCACCCGAGAAAGGCTCTTTGTCATAGGCCTTCGTCAAGCTTATCAGACAATTCCGGTAAATGCTAGCCGGCTGTCTTCTCGAGTGGTATTGTATTTAAGCGTACCTCCTGAGGGTCTTCAAGAGGAAAATCTTCGTCGATACTTTGGTGAGGACGCTGTGAGATCGTGGGTGGTCTCAAACATGAGCAACTTGGAAAAGTTGGTTCAGAAGAGGGACAAAAAGATCGATGACTTGGAAGGGTTGGAACTGCAACTTTTGAAGAATGCCAATCGCAGCAAAGACGATGCACCAGATGATAACGATGCAGGCTCGAACCAGCAACCAAAGCCGGTGAATGGGGCCCATCGACCGAAGCACAAGTCAAAATATCTAGTTGGCGAAGAGATTGACAGCATCTGCCGTCTGAGAGAGGACATCTCAACTGTCATTTCTGACGTGGACCAAGTTCGAGAGGCCGACTCCAGCACCCCTGGTAGAAGAACGGGAGCAATATTCGTCGAGTTCAAGGATCAGGTTAGTGCACATCAAGCGTTCCAGCAAGTGCGACATCCATCACCTCTTACATTACAGCCAAAGTATATCGGCATCCAGCCGAAAGAGGTCATCTGGCAAAATCTCAATCTCGATCCGTCACTCCGAATCACATACTCTTATATTGCTATAGCCCTTGCTGTTGCAACAATCATCTTCTGGTCCATACCAGTCGGGATTATTGGCACAATCTCTAACATCAATTACCTGACGGACAAATTTCACTTTCTGCGATTCATCAACAATCTCCCGGATCCTATCCTCGGACTGCTCACAGGGCTGGTGCCACCTCTACTGCTCAGCTCCGTGGTTTCCTACGTACCGTACCTCTTCCAATGGGTAGCAACGTTGTCTGGCCAACCAACAAGCAAATCAGCAGTCGAGTGGGCTCAAATGTGGTACTTTGTATTCCAAGTGGTTCAAGTCTTTCTCATCACGACGTTTTCGTCGGGGGCTGCCGCCCTGGCTACCAAGGTTGCAAACCAGCCAACAACCGTTCCAACTCTGCTTGCGAAGAACCTGCCGAAAGCATCGAACTTCTATTTGACCTACTTCATCATCCAAGGGCTCGGTACTGCGTCGAAGAACATTTTGAACTATAGCGATCTCTTCTCCTTCTTGTTCTTTTACTACGTCATGAACAAGACCCCGAGACAGAAATTCAACACTTATGCGCAGATGAAGGGAATCAGCTGGTTCAACGTCTACCCGAAATTCACGAACTTGGCTGTCATTGCCGTGGCCTATTCGTGCATTGCACCACTCGTTTTGGGGTTCGCAGCGATTGGCTTGTTCCTGTTCTATTTGAGCTACCGCTACAATCTCCTTTACGTGATTCAAGTCAAGACAGAGACACGAGGAGAGAGCTACACAAGGAGCCTACAGCACCTGATGACGGGTGTCTATCTGGCAGAATTATGCTTGATTGGTCTGTTTGGAATCAAGAAAGCGGCTGGTCCGTCCACTCTTATAACGGTGTTGCTGGTCGTCACCGCTCTCTACCACATGACCGTCAACCAATACCTTTCGCCTCTGGAAAAGTACATGCCGGTTGACGTGTTGTCGAACGAGGACGAGGAGAGGCCTCTCCTAAGAGACAACGAAGCGGGCACGGGGTCGCACACTGATCAACCCGATCGATCACTGGTCCACAGGCTTGGTTCGGGAAAAGTTCCTGCGGTTTTGCTGGATCCACTGGCCAACCTGCTCGAGCCTCGGATTTTCGCTTCACAGGAAGCTCTTCGACCATGGCTTCAGGACCCCGAGGGTGAATCAGAAGAACGAAATTCCTATACCGACGAGCAACTCAAAAATGCATATCTTCTGCCGGCGATGACCTCGAAACCCCCAAAAGTTTGGCTCCCAAAAGATAGGAAGGGGCTGTCAAAACACGAGGTAGATGAGAACGAGAAGGCAGGGTTGCCTAGCACAGACGAAGGCGCTGAACTTGGCCCATCGAATGAGATCCTATGGAACCACGATGATTTTACGACAGTGCCTATTTTCAAGCAAGCCACTCGATATTGAATCTGATACTTGGGATGCGGTCAAGAGAATGGTCGAGACCTCCAGACCCATCACTCTGTCCACACGAAGATGCACGCCGACCCGTACAGAAGGACACGTTGTATGACATGATTTGGACCTGCATTTGTCTGCTCGGGAATCAGGGACCTTTGGCCTTCCCAGTGGCTGCCTGAAACGCCGCCAGGGCAGGTTCCAATGACGGGACCACAAAGACCCGGACCAGAGATTGCGATGGCGTATTGTCATTATCACCGCCAAATCATTCCAGGCGCAACCAATAGCCTCGAGCTAGATTTGTACCTCGTAGGTGCACGTTTACCGGAAGATGTGAGTCCGTCGAAATGGGAAAGGCTCGCATTCCCGGCTTGTGGTCTTTGGGGAAGTTGTTTGGTCATTCAGCAATGCCATGCCGCTAGTCACTTTCCCTGCGCAAACTGACCATCTCGTGTTTCTCGGAGACTCCAGCTGGGCTCAGCCCCTCCAACCTTCTGCAACCGACCCTGAACGCTTACCGCAACCATCATGAACGCCAAATTTGCTGAAAGACTCTGCAATCTTGATTCGCCCATGGGCGCTCGCTGTAACGCCATCGCGTCGAATATCTCCTTTTCAGTGACTCCCCGCTGCCCGATTCCATGCCAGATGGCTGGGTACAGCAAACCCAGCCCAGGGCTGGCTGGGGCGTGGTTGACGCTACGCTGGTTCGACAGGGCTTGAATCACTCGGTCGCAATCTTGCCCTTCATCGAGTCCCCGAGACGGTTGCTCTTTCTGTCATGGTTGCTGTCACGGTGAGATGGCTTCCTGCGACAGGCTGTTCGGGTTGGATGTTTTTCCAGTTCCGACTCAGCCCTAGCACCTGCGGCGCTCACAGCCACCTGTTGCTTCGTATAGCTCACCGAGTGTCACAGACACTATGACATCGCTTGGTCAGTGTGGTGGGCGATTATTGGAAAGCATTGATGCGCGCAAGACGGTGAGGCCGGCAAAGCCAGGGGGACGGCTTACTGTGTATATCAGACGTGGTACCAGGGCTTCAAGATATAAGTATCCCCCCTTCGTCCTGTCTTTGAGGATGTGATTCTAGACATCAAGCAACGAATACAGGAAACAGAGACCAATACTCAATTGCAAACTCACATAAATCGAAGTGCTCATTGAACCCCACCCCTCCTTTCTCGTCGCAACAAACACATCCCAAGGCCACCATACCAATTACAACATGTCGACATCCAAGCGTCCATCCATCTTCTCCCGCCTGTCCTCGAGCAGCGCCTCGATCAGCTCCTCGTCCTCGTCGACACGGACGTCCACCCCCAAGGGCTGCCGCGACACCGTCTACGCCCGCTACGCCAAGGACGGCAAGGGCTACGACTTCAACCAGACCTACCCGTACTGTACGAGCGTGTCCAGCGCCTCGTCGACGCGCTCGACGTCCGAGTCCGACTTCCCCGTCGGGTGCCGCGACTTCAAACTCCGCTACGCTAAGGACGGCAAGGGTCACGACTTTGCCGCCACCTACGCCTACTCGCCGTCGACGGACTCCTCCACCACCACCCTGGTCGCCGCTCCCGATGCCGTCCCCGCAGGGTGCAGGGACTACAATAACAAGAACATGAGGTATGCGTGGCACCAGGGCCGACAAGGTTCTTGAGCCGGGATGCGCGGGAAGGGAAAACCAACAATCACTGATTCGTCGTGGTGTTATGATTTTTAAGAGTCGGTACGGCGGGGAGGGAGACGAGGGAGATGCTTGGGCCCTTTTTCTTATCTTTTCTCTTTTCTATTCTTTTGTTACATTTCCCCCCCAATTTTGTTTGAAACTTGTGTGACAATATCCGAGCTTCTCTACTACGGGAAGCCGAAGGAAGTTTGCAGCACCTCTCTGCGTCGCGGAGGTCTGGGATCGATTCTTGTTGCAGCTATAGTGTTCTTCTTTCTTTCTTACCACGTCGGGCAATGGGGTATATCCACTTTCGGGCGTTTCTGGGACCAAAAGGCGGTGCCCCGGGAATACCAGCTGCTACTATTACTTGCTTACTCATTTCTTTGCTTGCTTGTTGTTGGCTTGCTTGCTTATTTGTTTACTCACTCATTTAATTACGAGTACTCACTCACTCACTTACTTACTTACCAACTGTACCACAATACATTTCGCCCTGGAAATTAGTTCTTCTGTCCCCTTCCCTGTCCCTATCCCATCCTATCCCGTCCTGCTCTAACTTGCCTTTTTGAGGGTTTCTCACCTGTCCCGTCGTCAACGAATGGGGCTTACTCAGCGAGTCAGCCTTGGCTCGCATTCTTACTACCCAAGTACAGTCCTTTTGCGATGTGCTCATGAATCAACGTAGTTGGTACTTAATCGGCATACTTACTCTGGCTTGTTTAGGCCCATTGTTCCGGTGGAACCACGGTGGTGGTGGTGGTGGTGGTGGCGGGGGAGGTACAGAGTTGATGAACCCAGTTGGATTATAGCGCATGATCACTCCCAGATGGACGGCGTGTGTCATCCGTTTGTAATACTAGATAATCTACAATTTTTGTGGCGAAGGGGTTCATGATTCAGTCAGTCACAAAGACAAATGGAACTGGAACTGGAAACGAGAAATTGACTTGTTGATTTCGGGAGAATCTAAACATCGCCCTCATTGGTGTCTATCTAAGTCTAGGTGCTTGCCCAGAAAAAGAGGAACGATCTCTCGATCAGTTCAGTGTATGGATCCTCGGTCGTCATTTTATCAGTCATTGTTCATGCTTCATTGCTCATTGTCATCGTTGCGATCATCGCCCGGGGGGTTGTGTCGAATGGTAAAGCAGATCACACCAGTCCGTCTAGCCCTCCATTCCGTCCAGTGATCACAGTTCTTCTCCTCGACCCTTGTATCTCCCCCCGTCTTCACCCTCGGTTTGTCGCGACCGGCATAAAACATAATGGTAGAAAAAGCAAGTCGGGCCTGAAGAGCAAAAGGTGCAAGATCCGGGGACTCAAGTTAATTCATCTCGACCCAAGGTAACAATCCCCCTCATGCGCCACATGGAACAAATCCTGGCCCGACCCGAGCTGACATGACCTGGTCCACGCGCAAAAGTCCGGTTGGGAGAGAATGGAGAAAGAGAAGATCGCTTGGGCTCAACACAACACCTCTTTGTGTCTGTGCATATCCATCCGTCCATCCATCCCGTCGTGAGAAAGATAATGGCAAAGGCTTAATGCGCCGCAGTGATTCTGATGTGTAGAGATTCAGTGAGTAGGAATAGTAGGCCGGTCAGCTGGTCAATCGATTATTCCTATAGTCGTGTAGAGCCTGGTTCGAGTCCAAGAAGCGCAAGCGCCGCGGTGCCGAGCAGATTTTCCTCATGTCGCCTTGCCGTTTAGGAGTGGTTCACGTTCTAGATCCCTGGCCTCCTCAGCTTTCGCCTTGGACTTGTTTGACGATTCTTCCTTCTTCGAACTCGAGTTCTTGCTGAGCCATTCCTGCACGACCCCCTTGTAGTCCTTAGCCATGTAGGGGCTGAACAGTTCCGCGAAGAAATTCCCTTTCCGCCAGTACTTTAGCTTGAGGTCCTGCAGGAGTAGGTCCATGTACGGCACTTGGTCGAAGACCAGGTCAGGGAAGAATCGGCCGTGGCCGTATGGGGCGCGGTGTTTCGCGTACTGTGCCATCAGCGCCGCCTCGCCGAATACCGTGGACGAGTCGATTTCGAGTTTGTGGTTGAGATACGCGTACGCCCAGAGACATTGCAGCTCGCATCGCGGTGTGTTGGCCAGGTTCGAGAACATGCTGATGAATACGAGCGAGTTGTCGCCGTCTCGAGTCGGGCCAGGCGGTGCGATGGCGCGGTAGAGTCGGAACGGCGTGTAGTTGGCCTCCCGATCCATGCCTGGGTTGAATGGTTGGATCACGGTCGAGGTGGGTGATTTGAACGGCCCGGCAACTAGACGGGGGAATTTGGACGCGATGGCCAGGTCGGCCTTGTCACTCAGGTCCTGCCAGAAGCTATACTGCGCTGGGGTGTAACTGGTCGACGGGATACCAAGGTCGGCATGCATGGTGTCTGGGATGAATTTGAGGGTGGACTTTGCAGAGAAGCCAGTCGCGGTGACCAGAGCGTCGGCTTTGACATAGAAGCCACTAGCAAAGTTGATGGCGCCTTTGGAGAGGCGGAGTACATCTTCGCGGTGGACACGCACCTGGCCGGTCTTGAGCATCTCGTAGATGTCCTTCTCGTAGCTGTAGATTCCAGATGCGGTGCCGTACCAAAAGGGGCTAATTATGAGATGTCAGATGAGCTGCGGATTCCCGGAAGAAACAAGTGACACGTACCTCTGCTCCGGCTCCAAGACCTTGGTTCTCTCATCCTTCAGCATGCCGCAGTCGTCCAGAGTCGCCTTGTGAAGATTGGTCCAGAAGCCTTGGGAGATGATCTTGCCGAGCTTCGTGAAGTGCAGGAAGTTTCTGATCCAGCTGAACCCGTCATTCCACAGGCACGGGCTGAAGAAGGAGACGAATCTCCTTGCTGGGAGCTTTTCTCGTACTGCTTGGAGTGGTCCCATGGTATGGGCTGGGAAGATCCATTCGGGGCCTTTGCCTGATTTTCTGATGATCCATTCCACTTTCTTACCCGCTTTGCCAGCGAGATGGACGGCATCATAGGCAGACTTTCCTCCACCAAGCACCGCTATGGTTTCGACCTTGGAATCGTCGGTGAGAGCGCTGCCTTGCATTCCCAGTTCCGCCGAGTGCATGATTGGACCTCCAAAATCTTCGGAGCCACTCAATGCTGGTCTGTGTGGCACATTGGTGACACCTGTCGCGATGATTAACTTGTGTGCCTGCAGATCGACCCCTGACCCAAGTTTGACATTCCAGCCTTGGATGCCTTTGAGCTTCCAGACCTCGGTGACGGTTGAGTCGAAATCGATCAATCGCAAGAGATCAAAGTGTTCGGCATATGCCTTGATATACTCATGCATCGCTTCGCCGGAGACATGCTGGCCCTCAGGCACGCCAAAGCCATCATGCATGGGGAAGTCCGAGAAGTCGATGCCGCCGCGGATATTGTTCGTCTTCAGGCCAGGATAGAGGTTCTCTTTGGACCACACACCACCGACGGTTTTGTTCTGGCAGAGAGCAAATCAGCATGTGATGAGGCCAGTTGTCCGGCTCCCGCGATGACCTACAGAGTCCAGAATCTTCACCCGAGCCTCAGCATCGCATTCGCGTATCGTCTTTGCGGCGCACAGCCCCGAGGGGCCTGAAGTACCGTTAGCGATCGGCAATGCATGATTGGAGGGGGGGAAGTTCGACTTGCCGGCTCCAACAATGAGATAGTCGTGCATGGCATCTATTGACATGTCTGGTTCCAGCGTCCAAGTCTCGCGTCGCTCGGTGTGGTGCAGGCCTCAGCCGAGTGAGCGAAGGCGAAGTCACGAACAGAGGGTGTGAGAGCCATCTTTCTGGAAGGAGGGGCGCTTCAAGTCGAACTCGGGGCTTTAAAGTGAATGGATGGTGACACTCTTCGCACCGATCTGCTTCCCAATCAGCTCGGAGCATCAGAAATCGACTTATCACTTCACTTTGGCCATGACGCCTGAGAGAGTCCACCGAGAGCCCAGACGCGCTTGGGATTGCCCTGAGTCAGCCCCAGATCCGTAAGCTGATGGTGGTGGTGATGGTGATGGTGGTAAGTTCCAGCCCAACTGCGCTCGTTCCACGTGCAGCTGCGCCCTGGGTGTTGGTGGTGTGGGCATTCCTCTCGCCTATCCGCCCATCTGGTTGGGCCGCAACAAGGGAGGGAAGCTTTGTCGGTTGCCGACTTTTGGGATTCGGGCTTCGCGAGTAGAGTTCTTATCGCCTGTGATCTGGGCTCGATCGCAAGTGGTTGAGCAGTGGCCCAGTAAGCACTGCGCCGGTGGGGGATTTTCCTACGGCCTCTTCCGTCGTCTCAAGGCGCAGGCAACCTCCAACGCCTCCGCTGCACTTTTGCAACGGCCACCAAGAATGAATCTTACGACGACCACTCACCGCCTGGCCCCTTGCATGTGCAGTTGTCAGAGGTCGGCTTACTTGAGAAGCCAAAGATCCGGGCGCAAAAATACCAATGAGGTGGAAATGCCTGGGGATCTAATCAACCCAGCCGACGACACTTGTCGACCATGTGGACTGCATAAGGGAGGCCTCTCGGCAAAGGATGAATGATTGCATCAACAACTGTTTCCAGAAACGGAACAATTGCAGACAGGCTCTTTTGACAGCCGACTCTTCCTGACACAAGGCTTGTGGTAGGTTCCTCACTGCCATTGGTGTACGGCTGGACGAGTCTCAACGGCAGTTCGAGGTATACACAATAGGACGAGAGGGCTGGGACCCAATATAGACAAAGTTCACATGCTTTGATGGTGGCAGAAAGTGCCGATTTCACCGCTTCACGTTGACCTTGCACTTGTTGTTCCCACCAAAACCAATATCTACTGCGCGGGTACAAGAACATCAGGTACGCGCATCCCAGGTAGCTCGTGAGCCACTTGAACCCTGCCTGTGCTTTCGAGGCGCTTGACAGTCTGAACGCTTCGTCCAGCGGTTCACGTTCAACCGATGGCAACCGCAGCCTCAGTCGCAACTTTCTCGTTGCCAAAAATGACCTCTTCATGCCTGACTTCAGCGTGATCCTTTTCGCTGGCACTGCTTCCATCCTCCTTCGCAGCCATCGCCACAGCGGCGACTGATCCCACACACTTGTACTTTCGAAATTGGCGAGCTGGAAGGCGTGCCTCGAACTGCACAACGGCAAAGAGTCAGCAATGTGTGTCGTTTTGGGGAAGAGCCTTGAATCCTTTGTTCGAACTCACCATTTCATCAATTTCCTCAAAAGTCCTGTTCTTTACCTCCGGCAGGTAAAACCACGTCCACAGCGCGCCGAGCAAGCAAGACGGTGTCCAGATGTATCCATACTTTGGACCCCAGTTCAGAGAATCGGGGTTGATGAAATATGGAGCGGTGAAAGTGGCGAGCCAGGCCCCCAAAAAGCCAATCGACGCCGCCAGACCAAATGTGTAGCTTCGGAGGCGCTGCGACGGGAACTCGCCACCGCAGAGCCATGCGTAGGTTGCAACCATGCCATTGTAGCCGACAATATAGACAACCGAGACGCCGACAATAACCTACACAGATTCCGTTAGCAGAGTGATTCAAGATAGATCATCAGAGTTGCCCAAGAAAACTCACTCGTCCGGTTGAAGTGCTTGGGCCTTGTTTGTCATATACAACGGCGACGATGAGTTGCGTGATACCACAAAGGATCATGCCGATAGTCAGGAAGACTCGCCTCCGACCCCATTTGGTAATGACGGCGCTGTTGATCAAGATGGCGGCCACGCCAACGGCAACAAGAATGCACGAGTTTTCGAATGCCGAACCGACATGAGCCATTTCGAAGAAATACGTGCCGTATGCTGGAGTTTCTTAGTTAGCACGGTATGTTACCGAGAAGAGTCACACAGAAGAACATACAGATCATGTACATGGCACCGGATGCCGCCTGGAGGGAAACAGCCCCAATGGACAGAAGAGTGCGTCTTCGATCAACAGGGTTGCGAAACATGTCCAGAATGTCAGCGCTCTTGGCCAAGGCTCGCTCGGCGGCGATGGCATCTTGGATCTCCTTGATCTCGTCTTCGACCGTCTCGGGATAAGGTCGGAGCCAGTAGAGGGCCTTGCGAGCTTTCTCGGCCTGGTCCTGGAGAAGGAACCACCGAGGGCTTTCGGGGATAAAGAGCATCCCCAGAGACAAAAATCCAGGTACAATGTAGATGATGCCAAGGGGAACAATGTATTGCTGCTTGCCTCCAAGCTTGACGGTGAAGTTGTCGATAATGGTTCCAACCAAAGTGCCAATCGACGTCCAGGACTGGAAAAGGCCAATGACAAGACCTCGATATTTCGCAGGAGCACATTCTTGGAGATACAGCTGCGAGAATGTCATGAGCATGCCGTTTGCAATGCCAATCAAGAAACGAGCGAAATACAGAGCCCCAATGCTGGTGGTGGTCATCATTATAACATTTGCCACCACACAAAGCAGAGCCGCGATCCAGATGGACATCTTTCGGCCGATGTACCTTGCAAGGGGACCGGCAAAGGAGGAGCTGATGAAAGCACCAAGAATCATGAGAGATGAGATCAGCTGCTGGCGTGTATGGGAGATGTTGTATCCGATAGGCGAGGTTGGGTCCTTTTCCCCAAAGACCTACTCATCGTTAGAGCTGCCATCCGTGGTCACACATCATCCTGGACAAGCATACATCCAAAAAGCCAGGCATAGCCTGGAGACCACCGATGATACCAAAATCAACTCCATATTGAAATGGGCACATGCTAATCAAGGTGCATGCGGTGATGCATTTCCAATGGGCCCTCAGGGTATCAGGCCTCGAGGTCGCCATTGTGGTGGTGAGTTTGCGGTTGTCAACTGAGACTCCAGGGCAAAGATCAGGTGAGGTTGAATGGGATATCAAACTCCTCCAGGGAGTCAGTTGATATATCTGAGGAACCCATCAAAGGGCCAACACCTTTTTAAGGCAGTTGGGAATGAAAGGTCCAAGCACCTTTGACGATTCTGGGATAGGCTCACCGTTGTCGACGAGGAGGAGACAGAGCCCCACGCAGAGGCGAATGATATTCAAATGCTAGATTGTGATAGGTAGGATGGCTGTCCAGTTTGCCATTTCCTGGGCGTCATGGGGGATGGTCTGGGGAAAATGCTGGAGCAAACTAAACCAAAAGCCGGCAATGACCCACTGACCAACAGAACATGTGCGGGCAACACTGCCTAGATGGACCCTCGCTCCGGGGGCCATCCAGGTCGGTGAGAGCTCCAAGAGCCCAGCCTCGCCCAGTAAATAGATGGCTGGTTGTTTGACCCCAGTGCCAATCCATTGCCTCATCACAGGCACAGACACTTTTGTAATCACCACAATTCTCGTGTCAAAAGAGAGCTGTCGGAATGAGTGTCGGTCATAATCCCCGTCCGTCGTCCGGCTCGTGTCCTATGTAGCGTATGGAGTGAATTCGATCCCTTGGAATAGAGAGGCTCGCGGATGATAGTGGCCAACTTGGTTCGAGTAGATCTCTCATGGTAATTAGCAGGCATAGAATCGTGGGCTAGCATCCAAGGCGCCAGGGTCCGGAAGTGCGGCCAGGAACGCACTTTCGAAGCCCTCCCCTGGGAAGATGCAGTCTGCGGCGGAGTCCCTGTGCTTTGCAAAGACTCAGGAATCTTGAGGATCTCCACGTTTCCAACTCTGATCTTCACAGATCTGTGGACTCTTTTGTGTGCTTGTCGGCAGTGATCGAGTTCTCCGTAGTAAGGAGAGTGCTCCAGCCGGTTGGGGATCCGGCCATTTGTTTGAAGCCGACGTGCGGAGATTCGTGCTTTAGTGGATGAAGCTCCGTCGTCCCTAACCGAATCATATCTAGACGTTGTGTCTCCCGGACAAACAAGTCACCTGGATGGTGGAGGCCGCCATCCTGTTCGCTTGGACTGGGCATTTGCGCAATTCATTTGCCGAAAACGGCAACCCTAGAAACCCGGCTTTTCCACGCTCTAGGCTTCGTTAAAGGCTCGAACACCAGCGCAAGACAAGAAAGAACCCCACAGGAGCGAAGACCCCAGCCCCAGTCGTCGGTATTCCGGTTTGATCATCAGAAAAAAGTGCTTAACAGCTAAATACCCGCATTCGCTCTGGAAATCGTAGTAGTTGTGGCGAGCGTAGTCCGGGGTAAGAGGCTAACCATCGCGGCTTGATGTTGAAATCTCAACTACCCCAGTTACCGTATGGGTGATGCTTGTAGGAGCCGGCTAGATATCGGATGTCCGTTTATCCTTTCTGGGAATCTTGGTACTAGAGTGGGCGACACCCTAGTAATGGCAGACTCTTGCGGCGGTTGTGGACATAATCATAATGCCAATGGGTTCAACCTGGACTTCTACAATGATGCGGACCAGGGAATGCTTGATCATGCCAGGTACATGGCATTGTGGTAAAAGAGTGCCGTTGCTGCAGCATCCACACACACTTCCCACACTCCTGTGCAATACCTGATGCTTGTGGACGGCGCGTGTCTAGACGACAGCTTGGTCTTGGAGCTGTGGGACTTTACTGATGACCCTTCTGTGTCCTTCCGGCTCCTTGTGTAAGTCCGTTGTGTAAAGCCCAACAGATGCGGCAAAGTCGATCTGGACTGGTTGCTAGTTACCATTTACGGGCAGCCCTGGGAATCTCCCTTGATCTCGAATGTGGCCAATCTGTGGGACAGTTCGAGCACTATCCGTACTGAGGCCACGCGTGCGACTTGGGCAGTCTGGCCTGATGTTGGACTGGACAGCAACGACTTCGGTCGCCCCGAGTCCACTTCTCAATCCCTGAAAGACATGAACGGACAACAACTGTGCTCGGATCGTGTGAGGTTTGCACCCTCTGCCAGAGAATCTAGACTCGCCAGCGACGCAAAGCCATGGCTCCTGACTGATCGACAAGCTGAGTCTGCCTTAGAAGCTACATGGGCGAATCTTTCGGGCAGATTTTGTCGGCAACGCCCCACAAGGTGGTTGATTTCTTAGTTGCTCTTCTCCTCTTCTACATTCGAGACCATCGAGACACGTTGAGTGATTATTTCGGTTCAAAGTCTCGATTCCTGCCTTATTGTCGCCACGTGAACACCTCCACATATGCCGATAGCAGTTTGGCTGGGGGCCGTCTCTGTCAATCAGTGCTAACACGACAAGTAATTGCAATGTTGGGGAGTGCCAGGTACCAAGATACAATTGCCGGTACACACGAAAACCAATAATAGCAGGTGCAAGACACAATGGACCCAAGATCAGCGCGTCTTCCGCTTGGCAACTTTTCTTGCATGTAAGTAAGCCAAGGTTTGGAATTTCTCCTTTGGGTGGGCGTGGTTCGCTATCACTTGCTCATCCGATTCTGTTGCGTATTGTTGTTCTGAAACTATACCTGCTCGATGGCTCCGCCGTTTCAAAAGCCCTTAGTCAAGCTCAACACCTTGAACTGGCTGTGTTGAGCTTGTCTCGGTTGCATTGGCAGAGACCGACCAGCATCGGTCTTTTGCAAATATATGTCGGGATCGAAAAGTGTGGTTCGGATGACTGCAGCTTTACAGGGTTCTGGGTTCAGTTCGGAGGGCGGTTCCTTTTCTCCGTCGATACCATGATGCCATGGACTGTAGGATGCCACCTGCAGCATTCCAACTTTGACAAACGTATAGATGTATGACTGTGAGCCCACCGGAAGTTGTGTCACAGTCGAGCGTGTGAGACCATCGGCCCTGCTGCTTCGACCAATGTTTCCTCCAAAGACGTATGCTCAGCCTAGCAAATCATCCTGCGCAGATCGCTTCCACTGTATTCATTGGCATGTCGGAGTGAGGTTTTGAGGACCAAGCCCGGATGCCAACGAGGCTTTCTAGCAAAATACTGCGAACAGCCACAAAAAGTCCACAAAGCCAAGAGGTTTAGAGTCTCAGGGGGTATATTTGTAGCAGCTTGGGGTCAATGATGCCGACGTTCCTTTGATACAGGTAGGGGCGCGGCGTACAGCAAGTCCGGGCGGAGTGAGTAGAGTCGTGGTGGGCGGTGTTCCTGATGATGGAATCAATGGCAGTGAGGAGATTGCGGCCTCCACGCTCGTGGCGGCCTGAAGATAAACTCGTGCCAAGGAAGCCGACCTTGCCAGATGAAGACTAGCCCGATTCTAGTTACATAAGTGCTGACTGATCTGCCAGGCTCAGATCCCATCTCCATCGGCAGCGTCCATCATTCTTCGCCCCTTCTGCATTGCTCGGAGAGAGGATTTACAGGTCAGCAACTGGCTCCTACCTGCATACAGAGTACAGTTGTGATTGACACTGCTTGGCTGGCTGGCTGGCTGCAAGCATAGCCATTGATGGCCTCATTGCTGCAGTACATTTGTCATTCCTGTGCCTCCTGAAACCCCAAGTTCGACATCTGTCGGCGAGTCGGCTTCACTTTGGATGGGACAACCTGATGATATCTTGCTTCAAGGAGGCTGAGCGTGCCGGTAATCTGCGGTCTGTGTCCGCAACGATAGCACTGCCCATTGCACAAGTGGTCTCTCCATATGGGGAGGCGCAAGAGGTCCGCTACCTGTCAATCAATTCAATCCGATGGATATGAGCGTGGCTTTAGCAAAGGCTGATGTGGAACTCTCCACCTGAAACTTGATGGACCACCGAAGCTCCAAGATGCTGCTGCAAGCCAAGGAATGCTTTGGCATCATGCCGCCAACAAAAGTCCGCACTGCTCTTGGTGTTTCGGAACTTCATTCGCATTTCCGCCAACAGGTATAAGTTCGAGCTCCTACTTTCTTTGAAGAGTTTATTTTCGTCTATCGCTCAGAGAGAAGCCCCTAGGAACTCAGTGTCACTTGCTCACGATACGGATTCGATTTTATTACATCATTGACCACCTCAACCATAGCAGATAATCATGCCTCTCACGGAGAATCAGACGTCACTCTACATGCAGACAACAGAGTATATGGGAGTCCAGACGGAGGAGTCGTCTGATCAGACTTCAATGGACCAGATGGGGCTGATGGAGGAGGCGATGGGAGGAATCAGCAACCCCATGCCGGCCTCCGATCCTGACAACCCCCAGAACTGGCCTCTGCACCGGAAAGTCTACGTCACTTCCGTCTCATTCTCATTTGCTTTTGCAGTGTATACCTTTCCCTTTCCTATCATTGTCCACTGGCTGACGTTTGGATAGCGCATTTGGGCTCACTTCGTACACCATTGGGATTAGCGATGTGGTCGCAGAGTTTAACATCTCAATGACCCTCGCCATCGCTCCATTCTCACTTTATCTTGTCGGCATTGCTTTTGCCCCGGTACATACTCCTCATGTCACGGAAAGATTTGGCCGTGCACCAGTCTACTTCGTCAGCCTCCCAATTTGCGCCTTGTTTCTCCTCGGGACCAGTCGAGCTCAGAGCATTGGTGCGCTAGCGATCCTGCGATTCTTCGCCGGTCTTGGAGGAGGCCCGTGTCTCGTGCTCATCGAGGGTACATTCGCAGATGTTTGGCCTGCGAAGACCACTGTGACGTACTACTCGGGCTTGACTCTAGCCTCATATCTCGGGGCTGCGTTCGGTATTGAGGTCTTCGCTCCGCCTTTCGTGGTCAGAAGCTGATGGCTTGCACAGGTCCCATCATCCTCGGGAACATCGTCCCAAGCACGTCCTGGCGGTGGACAGCCTACGTTTCCCTAATGGTTTGCCTCGCGGCATATCTGCTCGGCATCGGGGCGCCTGAGACATATGCTCGAGAAATCATCCGCACGCGAGCCAGACGCGCAGGCAGACCTCATAACCTTCCTCCAGCTGAATCAGGGACCACCCTCCGTCGCATGGCGAAGCTGACCATCGTCGACCCTCTCGTCATGGCATTCACCGAACCCATAGTCATCATGACTACGCTATACGTGTCCTTCGTCTTCGGGACGACTTTTCAATGGTTCGTTGCCGTCCCCGCAGCCCTGAATTTGACGTACGGATTCGGCATCCGCGCCTCAGGGCTAGCGTTCATTTCCGCGGTGGTCGGTGCCTTGCTTGCCGCCGGCACGGCGACATTGATCGAGCAGTTCCTGATCCTCTGGAAGCTGCGGCAGTGCAAGGACGAGGAGATGGTGCAGATGGAGATCGAGTACCGACTTGTCCCCGCCCTTGTTGGTGGAGTTTTGATGACTGGAGCGTTCTTCTGGGTTGGATATACTGCTGTTCCCACGATCAGCTACCCTTTTCCCATCATCGGCACGGGCGTCTTCGTCTGGGGCAGCATGATGATCCTGGTACGGATTCGCGTTCCCCGTTATACCCAAAACACCCCCCCCCCCCCTTCCCTTATCCCTCAACTCGAAAAGTCATATTTGCTAACCACACATCGACTTTCTACAGATATCCTACATCTCGTACCTCTTCGACGCGTACCCACCCGCCGGGACACTCTCCGCCCTCACCATCGCCGCAAGCGCTCGTATCCTTGTCGCGGCCGCGATCCCGCTCGCCATCATCCCCATGATCACAGCTCTGGGCGGCGACTGGGCCTACGGCACTTTCGGCGTCATTTCCGCCGCGCTGTACCCTATCAGCTTCGTCGTCTTCAAGTTCGGTGCGGGCCTGCGCATGAGGAGCAAGTACAGTGCGCAGAATATCGCGATGGTCACGCTGCGCACGCATCAACGGGTCAAGTCCATGCCTATACCTGCGACGGCGTGATTCCGTTGTGAATGGGAGCACGAATATGTCTGTGTTCCTTTACAAGACCCGGGCTATTTACTTGCCCTCTCTCGAGTTGCGAATGCAGAGTCGAGGCGAATGGTCGCAGGTTACAGTGTGCGGAGATTTGAAACAGAACAATAGAATATATCCTGGTTCTATGTTCAAAAAGCAATTCCTATGTATTTTCCCTTCTGGTTTCTGTTCCTATATAGATGACAGGATCTAGCCACAACCCATTAAACTGATCCTGAATCTTCCCTATTACGGCCATCACGGCCTTCCTGACTATTTTTTCTCCTCCTTGCTCTCATGTTTCCTAGATCTTCGAAGAGCCGTTTCGACATTTCTCCCACGCGGCCACGCCCCACCACCCCAAACATGCCACCAAAACCCTGACATCCGCACGCACAAACCACCAGATTCGACCATATATCAATCAGAACCAGAAAGACAGAGCGCACGCCACGGTCATGTAGACACTGAGGAACGTGTATTGCGCCTCGAAGAACCACGCGACCCACGAAGTCTGGGTCTTCTTCGCCTCTTCCTTGGGGTAAGCGACTCCGGTCATGGGATCCCTGTCCAACAGCTCCTCTCTGTCTGGGACGGACGGTGGGAAGATGGCGTAGTTGATCGGTGTCCAGCACGCCAGGCCACAGGTCAGCCAGATGATCGGAGGCCAGCCCGCATGTGTCAGCACGTCGATCAGAAGCTCCTTTGTGGTCGTGTTCTCCGGGTTGGTGATGTTCGAGTGAAGACTGACGCCAACTGCTGCGAGGATGAACATGATGTAGGTGACGTGAAGGTAGCATTGACAATCCCAGACAGTGACTTTGAGACGACGCCACAGCGGAGCTCGGAGTCGAGGGTCCCGCTCGTTGAGTTGGTCCTTCTGGGATCCGGAGGATGTAAACACTGCGACCTTTCCTCCCAGCCATTTGGGAAGAACAAAGGTACGAATGACCGAGATGGCATGGACTAGAGAATGTCGTCAGTGAAGCCAAACATGTCGCGATGTTTGAGGATACTCACAGGGTGACATCCACAACAGAGCCCTTGTATCCCTCATACCGGTACGATAGCCGGAAGGCAAGAATGAGACCATCTCATTCACACGGTTCAAGAGCATGCTGAGAAATGCTGAGCGGATGAGCCATCGCAGCTGCTCCGTGTCTGCGTAGGGGACAAGCTTGCCACCGGAAACAAGCACGACAGGTGCGGTGAACATCGACGCCACCAGAAACACTGTGAATAGCGAAGAGATCGTGTAAACAAAGCCACAAAGCCGCTGTGGGAGCGTCATGTACTTCACCAGTGGACCACATATGCTAAATCTCAGTTTCAGGGCGGTCTGGACGGTGCCGATGGTCTGTAGCGGTTTAGAATATGACAACAGGACAAGGAATACATAACTTACCCATCTTGTACGTTGCTTCAAGTGGCTCACCAGAGAATCTGGAACTGTTCCAAATTGCAATGGCTCGTGAACGAAGGCAGTGTTCCAGCCAGACCCGAGAAGCATACTTGAACAGCAGACATCTTCAGCAAGAGAACCTGTGGGGAAGCCTCCGATCGACGCAAGGGCTGAGCGTCTCAGCACGTAGCCGGAACCAGTGCACCAGGCCACACCAAGGGAGTCCTTGATCGGTTCCGCAATATGCACAAACGTGTCCAAACTCTGGCAGAGAGGGTCATCCCTAGGCACGTTGTAGAATAACTAAGCAATCGTCAGTAAGCCCCAGCAACTGTACAATCCGGTGGAGGAGCACGTACCTGTGGCGGGCAGGCCATCGAGCATTTTGGATCCTGAAGCATGTGAGGCAAGAGCGCCCGTAGCCAGTCTCGCATGGGAATCATGTCAGCATCAAGAGCCGCAAGAAAATTGGCCGCACCTCCTGGTAGTTTCTTGGTCTCTTCAAGAGCATCGTTCAGGTTGCCGGCCTTGAAGTGGTGTGGGACGCCAGGGTATTTTGGTCTTGAGCGATAATAGAGGTTCGAAAACTGGGTCAAGGCGAGTTTCTCAACCGAATTCCGCAACGACTCGGACTTCCCATCATCACAGACGATAACGCGAAACCGTTCGAGAGGGTAGTCGATATTGCAGGCTGCCTTGGCAGTGTCGAGGATCAGGTCATCTTCTTCACGACAGCAAGTGATAACCACATCGACCGAAGGGACGTTGTCTCCGACCAAGCGAAGTTTTGGTCTCTTTCTCAGTCCAATAATATGCCAGCCCCAGAGACTCTGTAACAACATCGGAAGTGAAACAAAGAGCTCGACGACGATGAAAGCCCATGCCATCCAGAATACCTCGTGCGCAGCGTTCTCCGCATCTACGGTGAATTTGACGCGGAGAACGAAATACAACCAGTTGGCGCCAACCGTAATGACGACCAAGACTGGGCACAGTCTGTAAAGAATTCGTTTAAGGGTCGAAAGCCGTTCGATGTCGTCATGCGTTGCAAGTCTCTGAATCAAGTAGTCATCCTCCTTCTCACTCATCCCTGGGCGGACAGTAGAATCGTCTGAAAATGCTTCGGAAGTTCGCGCAGGCTCGGGCACAGAAATTTCTGGGAGCGCGGGTGCTTCGCAAGAATATCGACGAGCATCGAACTGCCCTGGTGCAGAGTAACCGGCCGAAGACACGCCTCGGATTTCATTGATTGCAAGTCCCAAGGGGTTGCCTTGAGTTATCGTGAGGGGATCAACCTTATGCGCAACATCTGCTATGGCAATAGAAGCTCGTCTCGTGATCTGGGACATCCGCCTGCGCATCTCGTTCCCATGCGACGATGTACAGCCTGTAGCGTGGCTGTGTGTGCTCGATGCGTTGGAAGGATGTCGCTTGAAGGGAAGAGTCCATTTCAGGTGTTCCGAAGTGTTTGAATTCTGCTCAGGTCAAAACAGCATCTTCAGAAGGACAACTATAGCTGCATACCTCAGCGTGCTCGCGAGTTGCGCCATCATGTGGCCTATCTGAAAGCCCACCAGCATCTGGCATTGCCCTGTCGGCTGCTTCCGAGGAAGCCAGGGTTGAAGAACGACGAGGCTGAATAGAAGACGCCGTTGACGAACTCCTCGAAGGACGTGAATCCATGACGGCTACGTGCCTATGGGATGCTCGAGGTCTGAGGACAAAGGTGCGGGAGCCCTAAGGCAGATCCTCAATATATGCAGTTTGGGTATGTGGCAGCGGAGTCCAAATTTGACTTTACTTGCGTATGGAAAGTCCTGCATCTGGTGGTTTCAGCAAGTGCGTATTGCTAAGTTTTGCACGTCTCAGGTCCTCCCTTAGCATCGTCCATCACTACTTCAATGGCATGTCGTTCGCCAGCATGTCATTCGTCAGTTTTCCAGAATAGACGACGAGATCCATGGGTTGGAAACGGGACCGACAAGGCTGGACGGCTTGGATCGGGCTAGTAGGATTCCAAGCCGGCTTATTGTCTGGGTCCTTCGCTCAGGAGATTTTCCATTATTCAGAGTGGATTTGGCGACCATCTCGCCGTACAGGGAAGAGCGGTCATAGACAAGACACGCGGCGCCTCTTCTTCCCATCGACTAGTAGAGCTTGGACTGCTGGATCCGCGACTGTGAGCCATGGCGAGCTGACTCTAGTGAGCGGATAGGTAGGTCCTCATACGACCTTGACAGGCCAAGTGGAACTCTGAAGTTGATTGACACGGGGGTTCGTAGAGTACCAAGTTGAGGAGGGCCTGCACCTGCCTCGTTGGATAGTGGCCAGTGAGCGCCCAGCTTTCGCTTGTTCCAGATGATATGTCAGTTGTGGCACTTGCTATCTTCCCCAGGGGATGACCGAACTGAACGTTGAGCCAAAGCTTGATGCCAAGCCTTATGCCAAGACGCGGTGCCCCAAAAATAGCTCCATTTAAAGGGGAGCAGAGCCTTACGCACACGTGACGTTGTATTTCTGGGCCATGACAGCCTCAGCGAGCCAGAGTCTGCACAAGGAACAGAGCAAGTCTATCGCCTCTGAAAATACGGGTCAGGACCTGCTGAAATTGTCATTGGTATGGTCGTCAAAGCTACAAGTCTGTATTGATCTGTAGGCAAAAAGGGGTTTCGGAGGACATGCCAAGAGGCGACCCCGGGCAAATGCCGACCAAGACGATGCTCCAAGCCAACTCCTCCTTTTCTACCCCTACTGGTGCTGTCAACAGCTTGAAACCTTCGTTGCAAGATACACCAGACTATGCCTCTACCAAAACACCGTCAACCTGCTTCTCATCCGGTCCTAACAATCCCAAAGCCTCTCGTCTCGTGGGTGCACTGGGGTCAAAGAAGGGTTTCTCCGCCAGAGAAGTTACGCGTGTGCCATGTCGAGGGTAATTGCCAGCATAGTCCCAAGAGGCGTTGTGGATCTGAGAAGAATCACAAAGTTAGCCACCGAGAGCAAGTTGGCTATCGTCGATGATGAAACAATCTTACCGTGATTCTGTTGTCCCAGAGAGCTGTTGCAGTGGAGGAGAGCTTCAGTCAGCATGACGACCCACGTTATGATATCGATCTCTTGGTTGGAGACCTACCACTTGTACCAGGAGTCCACTTGAATCGCACCTGGATATCAATGTTCTTCTCATACACATCATACAGATACCCCAAAATGAGGTCACTCTCCGCCTTATCGAGCCCGACAATTCGATCAGTCATTGCTCTGTTGACCCAAAGGGCCTTCCAGCCGGTCGCTGGATGAACGCGGACTAATGGGTGGGTTCGTTCGATGTACTTGGGCCCAGCGGCCGGGTTCTCCCGGTCCAGATATGGATGCGCAGACCGATACACAGCGTACTTGCCATCGATCAATTTTCGGAAGTCTGGCGAGAGTTTCTCATACGCGGCGTAGCCGCTGGCCCAGAGGGTATCGCCTCCGACAGGTGGCACAGTGTCATTATGGAGATGAGTGATACCCGCGGGCTGTCGTTCATGGACCAGATCGGTATGCCATCGTGAAGCACCTCCGGGCCTGCGGAAGCTCGCCGGATGCTCCTGGGCTTGCAGAGCTGGCCAGATCACCGTGACACCAGGCACGCCAGGGACTTGAGGGACTTGAGGCTGTGTGTTGGAGAAATTCGAACTTAGCACAGGGAACCACTTTCAACTATGTCAAGAAGGGTCTGATTTACATGGATCTCAACCTCGCCATAGTATTCTCCAAGCGACTTCTGCTGCTGAGGCGAGATGTCTTGATCTCGGAGGAAAACGACGCTGCGCTCGGCAATCAACAATGCCAACTCATCCTTTTGCTGGTCGGTGAGGTCTTTGAGCTGAAGCCCCTCTATCTCGGTACCAATATAAGTGGTCAGGTCGGTGACCTTGGTCGCGGCGGAAAGCAGGGCGCTCTTCGACTTGTCGGCTCGAGAACCTGCGTCGACGTGCCTGCGCTCCTTGTTTCGAATGTTGTACACGTCTTGGAGGTACAACGGCCGATTCGGGCGGTACGGGTATCCCTCCGAGAGATCGATGCCGGCCTTCACGAGTCTTTTGTACGCCGACTCTGGCAGACCCAACGTGTCCTTTTTCGGGACGACAAAGTCCGTGATGCTGGGATCGATGGGAGCGGGCGCCATATTGATCGATAGCTCTCTACTGCCACAGGAGCAAAGAGTACGTTGAAAGGGACAATGGCAACTCTAGGTCTACGATCAATTAACTCATCTCTTTTTCAATCAGCTCTGCAACGCACCAGAGAGTCTCGAAGATTACTCCACAAGTCGACTTTGCTTACGGAGCCAGACTCGGCTTCGGTACCTTCCTCAGCGACTATGAGGATGGCGATATTGCAATCCTCTATTGCGTGCAGCTGCCGGCTATTGAACGTTCTTTCGGGTTGGGAAGTGAGCATCAACTAGTTGCATAAAATCCATGAATGCGGCCTGCCGACTGCAAGCGCCTTGCAGGAGCAGCAGCACCGAGGCACGCACTTCTGTTGATATACGCACATCAACCCCGCTTTGCAAGGCCTCTTATCGATCCAATCATTATGCGCACAATGTATGAAGTCTCAGCTGATCTCCCCAAAAGGACAAGGGAGAGGCAGCATCATATGGACGGCCCTCGATCACGTGATGGAATGGCGTGCTTTAACACCCTTATTTGCTGCTCATCCGTCGACAGAGACCCTTGCATTGCGATGCGGGCGACGTGGTATCATCTGAAGGCGTTATGCATACTTCCCAAAAGATCATGTCGTCGCATTGGATAGTCAGGCAGATCCCCCTGCGGTACTGGCGCAAGTCACTGATCGTTGGCTCGACGCCTTGCGCACATCGCACCCAAGCACATGCGCTCGCGAGGGTCCAGAGCAGCGGCAGTGAGGAGCACGCAATATTCGATTGAAAGGTGCGATTATCTAGAAGAAAACAGGTAAGCGGATGGGCCTGATGGCCTTCCGCCGAAGCTCCCAAACAAGGAGAAGTCCAGAACTTAAAGGACGCCTCACAGACCACCCTCGCACGGGCGGCGGGAACAGCCTTGGTGCCCAGAGGAGACCAAGATGGCGTACTATGAGCAGAGCAAAGAGATCACTGTCAAGGGTGTGGAAGCCGGCCTCTCCACGACGCCTGTGGTCGAAGAGACACTGAGCTCAGACGGTGATATCTCAGATGCGATCCAGGCGAAGCCGAAGCGGAAATGGAGGTCCTATGTCTGGGACACTCTGGACAAGTCGCCTGAAGAACGACGGTTCCTGTTCAAGCTCGACGCTGCGGTGCTCACCTTTGCCACCCTGGGATACTTCATCAAGTATCTCGATCAAATCAACATTAACAACGCATTTGTGTCTGGCATGAAGGAGGACCTTGGCTTGTATAAGAACCAGTTGAACTATATGCAAACATGCTGGACAGTGGGATATGTTATTGGCGAAGTGCCCTGTGAGAGCGACACTCCCTTTCTTAAACAGACAGCTTTCATGAGCGAGACTGACAGCTTGTTTCAGCGAACATGATCCTCACCCGCGTCCGGCCGCGAATCTGGATCCCATTGATGGAAGTTGTGTGGGCAGTTTTGACCTTCTGCCTCGCCAAATGCAACTCGGCGAGCTCGATCTACGCTCTCCGGTTCCTCATCGGCCTTGCAGAAGCCACATTCTATCCAGGCATGCAATACGTGATCGGGTCGTGGTATCGGAGAGACGAGCTGGCGAAGCGGTCTTGTATCTTCCACACCTCATCCGCCATTGGAAGCATGTTTTCCGGATACCTCATGGCCGCTGTCTATCACCTCGGGGGCAAAGGAGGGTTGAAGGGCTGGCAGTGGTTGTTCGTGGTCGATGGAATAATCTCGCTCCCAATCGCCCTTTCCGGGTTCTTTCTCCTTCCTGACGTTCCAGAGATCACCACAGCGTGGTATTTCACCCCGGCGGAGCGCGAGTATGCGCGGAAGCGGATGCAGTTGGAGGGCCGTGCTCAACGGGCCCCGTACACCAAGGCTAAATTCAAGAAGATCTTCACGTCCTGGAAGATATATATGCTGGCAACCTTGTACATGACCTTCAACAATGCCGGAGCAGGAGTCAGTCAGCCTACCTTCGCGCAGTATCTCAAGGACTCGACGCACCCCAAGTACACCATCTCCCAGATCAACACGTATCCAACCACCACATATGCCGTGCAGGTCGTCAGTACGCTCATCTATGCTTGGACATCAGACAGTGTCTTCCGTGGCGCCCGATGGCCACCGATCGTCTTCGGTGGCTTGGTTTCTATAGTATGCTACTCGAGCCTGGCAGTGTGGGATATCCCAGTCGGTTGGCACTGGGCTTCTTACATCCTTGCAGGGTGTGGCGGTGGTCTCAGTGGACTGTGCATGGCGTGGGCGCACGAGATTTGCACGGACGACAACGAAGAAAGGGCAATTGTGGTGGGCACCATGAACGAGTTGGCATATGTGTTTCAAGCATGGCTGCCGCTGGTAGTATGGCAGCAAGTTGATGCCCCGAGGTATCACAGAGGATTCGTCACGTCAGCATGTCTGAGCGCTGGAATGATTGTGTCCGCATTGGTTATCAGGGTGTTGTGGAAGTGGGAGCTGGCGAGAAAGAGGAAACTCGGCCCAGTCGTGTGAGGAAGTCGTACAATCTAAGGCCCAAGATTGGGTGTCTAGAAGCTAGAAGTCTCAAGAGGAAGCTCGTGGACAGGCGTGCAGGGAAACAGTAGCCAGCCATGGATAGCAGGCGGAACCAGGGGTGAGCTCCCGGCACCAATGAAGCTCACAGGAACCGATTGAGTAGCCGACAGCGTCGACGTGATTGTGTGCATTTGTCATCTCACGCTCAAGCTTATCGGGCATAAGGCATCATAAAACGAGCTGGTCGATGAAGGTATAGTTTGCGCAAATCACGACATGTCCGAGCCAGTATGGCGTGCTTAGAAGAGGTTATTTGTTGATATGCACCCTCTCACGCGAAGAGCTCATATCAGACCACCCCTGATTGGTACTTCCAAGACCCATAGACAACAGCTGCGGTCCTTTTGATTCTTAAAAGATAGACAGACCGAGATGCGAGGATTCGTCTCCAATGAAATATTGATATTGAAGGATTTGCAGTTGAATCGTTTCGCAGACTATGACACAAAATAAGACGAAAAGGGTCGCCGTAATAGGTGCCGGCATCAGCGGAGTCTGTTCTGCTGCTCACCTATTGAGAAATGGCCTCGAAGTAGTTGTATTCGAGAGGTCAGGAATCGCCGGCGGGGTATGGCACTTTGACGAGCGCTCAGCCGCAGACCCTTCGTATCCGAATGAGCTTCCATCAAGAGGCGACTATGAGACAAGGCCGGAGCTTGCATTCAGCACTCCTCCACCAGAGGACGTGGACAACGACCAGCAGGAGATTGCTCATGCACCACCTGGCCCTTGTTATGCTGGACTGAAGAACAACGTCTCAACGAGGGAGATGAGGACGAGTCTGCTTCCATGGCCCGAGGGAACAGAGGATTTCGTCAACCAAAAAGTGTTGGAGGAATACATCCAGAACATTGCAAGCGAGCATGGTGTCTCCGCCATCACACAATACCACACTCGCGTCGAGGATGTACGAAAACATCCTGGTGAATGGGTCGTGCGGACAACAACGCTGCAGAAAGGGCCGTCGTCCGGAGCGCGGTTCGTGGAGCGGCGCTGGACATTCGATGCCGTGGTTGTGGCATCAGGACATTACAACATGCCGCGAATACCTGACTTTCCAGGTCTTCGGGCGTGGAAGCATGGGTGGCCGCATCGAGTCTGGCACTCTAAAAGATATCGCGACCCCCGAGGATTTCAAGACCAGAATATCCTTCTCATCGGTGCTGGGGTATCGTCGAACGACATTGCCAAAGAATCGGCAGGTTACGCCAATCACATTTACCAGAGTTCTCGGGGCGGAGCGTTTGACCTTCCTGCCAGCTTCTTACCACAAGGTGCCACGAGGATAGGGGCCATCAAGTCCTTCCAACTGAATGAGGACCACGATGTCAGTATTGCAGATTCAGGACCGATTCCCGGGAGGGTGGTCCTCGAAAGTGGCGATGTGTTGACCGATATACATTCGGTCATCCTTTGCACAGGGTACATAACCTCATACCCATTCCTATCCCATCTGCACCGGGACGAGATTCGGGCGAATGAAGCAGATAGCTCCATGCTCGTCACGGCGGAGGGAGATATGGTGCACAACCTGCACAAGGACATGTTCTACATCGAGGATCCCTCGCTTGTGTTTGTCGGAGCTCCATACCATATTGCCACATTCTCGCTTTTCGAATTCCAAGCCCAGGCCGTCGCGAGGGTATTGAGTGGCAAAGCCGAGTTGCCATCCAAGCAACAGATGCGGGACGAGTACAAGGAGCGCGTACGAACCAGGGGCTTAGGGAGAGACTTTCACAGTCTGAAGGCCCTCGGGGCCGAGGAAGCATATGTGGAGGATCTTGTGCAGTGGATGAATGAGGATGCTGCTCGGCTGGGCATCGACGACAAAATGCAGGGTCACACACCTGAATGGCACCAAGCAAAACTTGGCCGAGAAGCAAGAATGAAATTGCTGATGACAGCGAAGGAACAGGAGAAGCGGGAGAAGCAAGAAAGGATTGGAGTTGAAAAGCTGCCCATAGCAATTTGAGTTGGGAGCGAGCGAGCAAGATGAAATGGGCTTTATGCTCCGCTGTATCTAGTTCACTCTGTGGACCCTGTGTTCCGCCGGATCAAGTTCTGCGCCGAAATTTCCAAGCTGCGATAATTGCGTACGGGGTTATTTGTTCATAGACCAATTCAACCACTGCTCGAATCTAACATCGGCTGCCCGCGGCGAACGCACCTATTACTTCTTCTTGCCTCTTCACCTGTGAGAGTAGATTGCGTCGAAAGTCGAACGGTCACAGACAAGCCTACCCTCGACCCGTCTCCTTCTGAACAAAAAAATGCCTCCCAAGCGCATCACAGTCCAGCCGGCCCGTCGGTCTCAGCCCAAGGGCTGGTTTGGCCAGATGTATCATACATTGACCTCTGAGGAGAATGCCAGCGTTGCCATAAGCGTGGTTATGTTCGGAGTAAGTTGTCTCGATACACGTTTGGATTCACGTGCTCTCGTGCTTGGGTTGGACTAAACCAGACCACAACCCCCCGGAAGAAAGAGGCTCTATCAGCTATGCTTTACGTGGCCACTTGCATATGACGGCGGACCAAATACCCCGGTATCGCGGCTTGATGAGTCGCGCGGGTATATGGAAGTCTGAGCAAGCCAGATGCGACAGGGAACTGGCAGGCCTTCGTGCAGCGCATGAAGCTCCATTCCTGATAGTCCGATTCTTGGATTAAAATCATCTTCTCTAACAACGTCGACTAACCTTTTTTTTTTCTTCTAACAGGCTGCCGTTGCGTTCTTCAACTCGGAGTGGAGCGAGATGCTCCTCCCGGGATTCTAAGCGACCGCTCTCCTGCGTGCTCAACAAACACCTCGCTACTCCGATGCAAATCGCCAACCGCGAATGGCACCGTTCGCCATTCCGTGCGGGCCCGGCCGTTGACGATATCGAATGTATAATAGAGAATGATGTACAAAACCCAGGGAGCTTAGGAAAGAGCGGCGCGCGGTGGGATCTGTGATGAGACGGCTTGATGCGGGTGGTGGACAGGACAGGACAGGACAGGAGAGGGACGCTTCCGCCGGGCCTCGACAACCTGAACCCTGCGCAGTCGCGCAGAGATCATGCAGGTAGCATCGCTGCAATCCCTCCAATTCGCGAAATTCACCATACTCCATGTCAATCGTAATCTGCTCAAAAAAGACTGGGAGCTAGGGCCCCGTGGCGCTGACTTGGGGACAATCCGAACTACGCCTCGTGGAAAGAGACAAAGGCCATACAAGACAGACGGGCGAAGAGTGTTTATGGATGGGCCTTTTTGACATACAGTACTACCCACCACCCATCGATCGAGAAGCCCCGATCTGATACAATGTAGAACTCCAGTACCCCAAGCATCCGAATCTTGAGTTCACGATCGCCTGGTCCTTAATCTCTAATTTGGTCTCACCCTTTCTGCCATGTTATACTGTTCGTAGTAGAAGAGTGTCCTTCCTCCCTCCCTCCCTCTTCCTTTCCAGCTTTCTCTCCTCGTCAGCCGGAACCCGTAGACGCGTCAGTCGCCCTCCTGAAATCATGGACAAATGGTTCTTAAACCAAGTTCGCAAAAATACAAGAGTAAGTTGTCTCGATACCTAGTATCTTTACAAGCATACAGTATAGTATCAATACTTCATATATACCATCTCGGGGAAGGAAGGATGCTCCCCCAGAGACGCCCAGGTCTCCTCTCGTATGTATGTATGTGTGTATGTATGTATGTATGTACCTATTGACAGGTGCGCAAAATATGCCGTCGAAACAACACCCTCGCTCACACCGAGACACACATCCACGCAGAGCAGGACTTGCTCACAGGTCAGTGCAACTCTATCTCCGCCCGTCAGATCGAGTCGCGTGCTGGGATCATCAACTGGCCCGAACGGTAATAAACAACAAAGCATTCACCCCCTTCTCCCCAGTCATCTCTGGAAATAGTTTGTGCATAAACCAGATATTTCTTCTTCTTTTTGGGGGAACTCAAGGACGCCTATACGCCAGGACATACTTTGTCAACATCGTAGTAAATTCGACAATTTGCCTCTCCAACTGGTTCTGGCCTGGTAGCTTTTCGTGTTGCACTAGGGTCAAATATCAATATATCGAGCTCGAGGAAAGATTCCTTGGCCACATATGCTCAGACATTCGAGGCCCTGACGGGGACAAATCCCATTTCACACTATTACTCTCACTTTTTTCTCACGTCCCGTAGCCATTCCCGTTCGCCACGGCACTGGGCATGAGCGACTCCGTTGCGCCCTCCGCCTCATCCTCGAGGAAGTCTCTCTTCATCGTCCTCGCTCTGATCGCGGTGAAAGTGACTAGCGCAGTGCCCACGATGACTGCGATGCTCATGAGGATCACATTCACCGGGATAGGGTTGTTGTTGAACACCATGTGTGTGACTGCATCCAAAGGACTCTGCAAGAAGTTGAAAAGCCCCGCAAGGCAAATGATGAGCCCGTAGACCTTGCCGAAAGTCTGAAAGCCGAATACTTTGGCGGCATAGTCCGAGACGGTGGTATAATAGAAGGGTCGGTATACCACAAAGAGGCAAACGTTGCCGATAGCGGCCCACATGTATGGGAGACAGCCTAATATGCCAATGATGGTAGCTACGACGACAAGAAATCCTAGGGCGAAGGGCGTAGATGTGTTATCCAATAATATGCCAATGAAAGGGATACTCAACACGCCTCCCAGGGGAAGTGCCACGTCGAAAAAGTCGTTGACCATTTTCGCTCTCTCCGGGGAGCCTAGCAGGTACCGTTCTTGGGGGCGGATCGTGGCCACGAAGTAATTGATCCGGGTCATCTGCACGACGGTGAAAAGCGTGATGAGCCAGAACCAGGGTGATTTGATCTGCTGGAGGGCGGAGTAGCCATGCATGGCTCCCCACACACCGGACTTTGCATTCTTGTGCTCTTCTCGCTTCTGGCGTTTTGTGTTGGTCGACTTGTCCAATAGCAGCGATATCTCCTGGATGGTGCTCTCCCGTCGCTCTTGGATAGTACGGCGTTCTTCTTCGGACGCTTCGGGCGGTGTGGGAGCGTTAACCTCTTCTTCGGCGTCCTTGACCACTTCACTTACAGTTTTGTAAGATTCTTTGGGCATGATGAAGACCTGGACGATGAAAATGAAGATGGGGACGACAAGGTAGAGGAGGAAGAGGCGGTGTGTGTTCAGTTTGCCTCCGGTAGCTTCGTAGATGAGACGGAAAATGAGGAAGAGAGCTGATGACGAGTCGAACGCACCCGTCAGGAGCGCAAGTATGAGACCTGAGTTCTGGGGGAAAGTGTTGGAGAGTTGAAAGGAGGAGATGAAGACGAAAGGACCGCCAAGAGCGAGGAAGAAGTAGCCCGGTGTAAAGAGGTCGCCATCGACTTCTGATGCGAAGGAAAACAGCAGTGCTCCGGTCGTGAGAAAGATGCTGCCTATGAGGCCACAGGCTTTGGGACCGTACTTGTCAAGGATGGTGCCGATGGGCAGGGCTGCGACATTGGTCGAGACAGCTGCCACGGTGAACATCAAGTTCAACCGGATCTCTTGTTTGTAACATGGCGAAACGTGTTGGTCCACCTCTTCTGGGGTACACAGGTCTTTGAAGACGCCCTCATCGATCAAGACAGGTTTGATGGCTGCGTAGCCAAAGACTATTCCGGCGGCGAAGAGACAATATATTATGGCAACAACAACCTGAACTGTGGCATCACGGACCTGTCAGCGGGAATCTCGTGTTTCTTTGACGTGGGCTTCGTCAACATACGTATGCGCTTTTGTTTGGAGACTTCTTCAAACTGCAGAGCGATCGAGACCACACTGGGTTTCCGGTCTTTGGGCGGCATCCATTCACTGACAGGGTTGAAACTCATTCTTCGGTGCGAAGAGACGTTGGAGCCTCTCCGCTCACGTTCGAAGCCATCGACGGAGGCTACTCGTGTGAGCGACATGGCGAGGTGCTTGGCCGGAGCCGAGTCGAGTGAATTGTGGCCGGCTTGGGAGTGGGGATGGGGGAATGTCGTGCAGCAAAATGCGGAGGTGCCAGTAGTGGTGACGGAGAGGTGCAGTGGAGGACGAGATCCGATGACGAGGTGACGTGAGGAGGAAGTCTCACGACAGTCAAGATGCGATCAGGGCTCGACGAGGGTATACAAAGAAATATAAGTGGTATGGGAAACAGATGGAAGAGAAGCTCGGTAGCCCATTGACACTCCCAGAGCTATTTGCTGCTGTGATAAGATAGAAAATTGTGCGCTCTTCAAGCCACCCATCAAGGGCCACCCCAGCCAGCTTGCAGCTTCCCAGACGGTGCTGATAACGATAAGGAGGAAATTTTTACAGTGATGGATTGCCATCTGGTGGGGCCTAGTTGAGCCTTGGTGGGCTGGAGGCGTCCAAGCTCCAAGCATCGACTGGGAGCCAGTTGGCGGGCAGCTCGTCAATTGGCCAGCAGGCGAGAGCCATCAATTGGCGGCTTTTGGTGCCCGTGGCTGGAGGTTAGTGAGCCTGGAGGACGCCGATCAATCTCTTGCGTCTGCCCAGGCTGGTGGCAGCCTCCGACTGCCTGCCTGCGACTCGCTCACTCGCATACGGCTTGTCTCGCTCTCAGTACGTACACCGGCAAAAGGCGATGGGATCACAGCACACAAAGGGTCAAGTCACTGTCCAGTCTACGGAAACACCTGCCCGCTCGAGACACTGGACGACTGGGATCTCGGTAGACAAAGGCACGCCAAGCCTGCCCATCGCTTCCACTTTCCCAACTCCGAGCATCTCTCTGCTCGACACCAAATAACACGGGCTTTGCTGCTGAAACACCAATCGAAGCACCTGTGCACTGCCTCGTTCGATCAGACGCGTTTTGCACAAATCGCAGTGCTGAGACTGACTGGCCATGAGGTTGGCGGCAAAGCTGCTGGTGGGAGGAGAATAGCCGCCGACGGGCGGGTGGCAAGATGGCCAGAAATAGCTCTTGGCGCCCTGGCCGAAACAGCCTCGCTAGCCTCGTCTCTGTCCAGAGCAGACGACCACCATCCGTTATAGGCTCCATTCACTTGGTTTGAGACTGGCCAGAGACATTGACTGGCTTCATGTCCTCAGAGAGCATCATGTCTCCAACGCGTCGATATCTGTCGATACCGCTCTGCCACGGCAAGCTGGGCAACACAGTCTCAAATACTTAAGCCATGGTCGCCCTCCAGCTCCCAGGTCCAATTCTTCATTCTCTGAACCAGCTGCAACACACTTCCTCTGAACCAAAGCATCTGTTTCCATTCAAGAAGCATTCATTAGATTTTCCTTCCGACCTTCAACGTCCAATCCTCTCCTTATTGTTAGCTTGTAAACCCATTGGCTCGACGCCATCCACCACATTCCCTGGCTGCAACGTTTCGCAGCGACATTTCCTTCCTTGAACCATATTCCAACTTTCCTTTCGTCATATCTCAACATGGGTCCTGATCACGGCGTCCTTGGTGCGACTTTCAAAGCCACCCGGGCTCTTCAGGTGGCGTCCATGATCGCCGTCATTGGAATTACGGCCAATTTCATTTCTGAGATGGTCAATGCTGGTGCCACACCACCATCTGTCCTCGTCGCCATTCTGAGCATCGTATGTGCCATGTCCATGCACAGCCAACAAAATGGTGCTAATCATGCGTTCCAGGTCTGCATAGCCGTACTGTATTGCGCCATCACTGTCATTCTTTACTTCGACAACATCCTTCCTTTCCTGATCAGCACTGGCATCGACTCTCTTTTCCTGATTGCGCTGATTGTCGTTTCGGTTGTCGTCGGCAAGCCACTCTCATATCTGAACTGTGTGATTCTGGACGAAATCTCCAACGCCACCTCGAGCGCATACGACTTTACTTCGGCACTTGGCAACAGTCTCAACAAGGGTGGGAAAGTCAACTATTCCCAGTGGATTGGTACTTCCAAGGCCACGTGCTTGGAAATGAAGTCCATTTGGGGCTTGAGCATTGCACTGTGGTGAGTTTCGATCAAAGATTTCCCAAGCTGGCTCCGACTCTGACCTTTTCGATCTAGTATTCTGTTCACTTTCTCGGCGGTGAGCACCATCTGTCTTTGGAAGAGAACAAAGAACTCTACCGCCGACAAGAGCGAGGCTTGAGGCCAAGGCAGTTAGTTTCGGCATCTCTTTTTGGGAAATCGTACCGCTTGCTGGGAGGGGAGTTGAGGTGCAGGACATTTCTCCTAGGAAAAGAAGAACGCCCCGCAGGTGATTTGGCTGGCTCTCTGTGGGAGCTTTACCCAGGTTGTCTCGGGACTATATTTAGTCTGAGCCTACGCCGGCTCGGGGTTTGCACAAAAAGAGCTCATAAAATTCGGATCAGAAACTCTGGGTTTTCGTCGTACAAGGATGACTCGTCCCGCTGAGCGGATAGATGATAACTGACATCTCAGTGCTGGTGGATACTTGTGATTTCCAGAGAACTAATATGTGTCAGATAGTGATAGGCCACAGACCCAGAAGCTAGTGCTAAGGTTTCAATGTTTGCAGAGTGCTAAAGGATCAGCGTGACGGTGTGTAGGTGGGCGATGCATGGGCGATGCATCTGGAGCAGGCTAAGCAACGGGACAGCTAGAGAGCAAGGGGGCACAAACAGGAGACTGGGACAGTCGCAATTGAAATTCTGGGTGGCGCTTTGTAGCGGTGACTAGAAGGGATGCAATAGAGTCCGGAGATGAGGGTCGTTTTGGGAGCTACGCATGTTCCCCTTCACTTGCTGGATCACGGCCATGTCCAAGCGACGTGCGTCGCCAGGTGTAGCTCGCATTGTAAGACTGAGCGACCTCGTTAGCTGGAAATTGACTAGGTGATCCTTCATTTCGGATTGATCTGCCGATGGAAGATTCCAAACCCGGCTCTTCTGCACGCCGTCTGTTTCTGAAAGAGGGCTGTGATGCATGTAAGGATGCGTTGTCCTTTGTTGCAGACTCGGCTGCTGGAGGGCGAGGATCCGAGACCTGGGTCGCTTGATGAGGTTCAAAAGAGGCCGTGGAGGCCGCGCAGGACATCGTACGGCAGAACTCCGAGTCGAAACGTGTCACTTGAACGATCTGCATCATGTTGATTGACTTTTTTTTTTCTACCACTTTCACTTGACTCTCACTTGACACTTAACTTTGTATGCAGAGGATCGCGCAGGGTTGCAGGGGTCTGGGAGGGGTGAGAAGGGAGGCGGTCTCTTGTCGAACCGAAAACCGGGCCATCGATTCTGAAGGAGAGGCAGTGATTTGATCTTCAAGCATGGAGGTGCATAGCAGGATGGAGTACAGGCTAAGGATGAATGAATGGCGACGGCGGCAGCAGTAGAAGCAGGGACGCGTGAGAAGCGAAGTGAGAAGACAGTTGTGTCGGGTGGCCGGGTTCCATGGGCCGTCCGTCATCCCGTTAGACTGCGACCAGACTGCTGGGTCGGTTTGTGGCTTTTCCAAAGCGAATCAAACGGCCACGACATTTCTCGGTAGGGGGCAGAGTGGTACAGAAGGGCGCCGGGTGCTGATGTTGGAGGTGCGTGTGCAACATGACTCTCGGTAGCGAGTTAGGTCGACATCATCATGTGCATATCTCGGTCAGTAGGTAACAAGCCAAATGCAAACGCACCAAGAGAGCCAAAGCATGGTTACTGCCCGCTTACTCTGTGCAGTATGCACAGTCAATCAATGGAGGCAGCTAGGGATCAACCCGCAGCTACACAGGGGGGGTTCGAGGAGAAAACAGTTCACGGGTAACACCCAACAACTCGGGCCTAGTTAGTTCCCGGGGTTGGCCGAGAAGGGCTGCTTGCAGCTAGTTCACCCTTGTGCCACCTAACGAGATGCTGGATCCAAGCTGCTGGGAACCCAGTCACACAGCCTGTCAAGCCCCGTTAGTGCCAGCCCATGGAAACATTTTCTAACCAACCAGCCCACCAGGCGCAGGCGTGGTGGCCGGTGGCAGGTGGCAGGTGCCCGTACCGAACTCGTTGAAGAATTCCAAGCTGCACCAGCAGAACCACCCACCCTCCTGCAGCTGCCCAGCGACTTCAACCCAGCACCGGCAATGCGGCTCGTGGCTGCGATTCGATGGGTGACGTGGTGCAGCAATTGCCCGATCCGAGTCGATGGGTTTCCCGTTCTCTTCCCTTTTGCTGCTTTCCACACGACAATACGGCTGCCCATGATGGTGTATCCATTCATTCAATTAGCCCCCCCTCTCTCTCCTCTCTCACTTCCTCGTCCTGATCTACTTGTCCTGGTGATTCTGTTGACCCGCATCAGACTATCCATCCACCTCTCCGCTTAACTGCACTATCTGACTCTTCTCGGGATGGAATCATCCATTCAGCTGCGGGACCGTTGCCCACCCTCGCACATCCCTCCCCCAATTCTTGGGTCAACAGTACCGCCCGGCTGGTTCCTCTTCTCTGTACTCCGTACTCGGTACGCCCACAACGAACTCGCGCGCACAACCCAGGGCGCTGTTGACTCTCGTCCAGTCTCCACCTCGACCGGTCGTCATTGAGATTTTATTCTCGGTTCCCGGTTCCCCATTTCCGGTAACAGCCAAGTGGACGGTTGGAAATTTAAACAGATCCATTCACCCTCACCCTCTCCATCTCGTATGATAACTCAACCGCTAAGCCCTCGACTTACTCGAAAGTTATGACCCTAATCCATGCGTCAATGTCTTCTGCCTCACTTGGTGATCCATTTCGTCCCCACCCCGTGCAACCGAAATGTCTGCCTCTGGGATTACTTTTACGACACGTCTGTTGGGCTAACCTTGTAGTGGCTTTCGATCTGTCGAGCCCAATATGCCCAACTATCTCTGATGCCCCCCTCCCAGAATTTGCTCGGACCTCCCATCTCTTCCAGTCCGAGGCAAGCAAATTTAAGCACATCTCTTCCGCACTCCTTTTGGGTGAATTCTGCCTTTGGTGAGGCTGACGATTGACTTTCGATACGGCCGAATTCCAGAAGACCATGCATTAAGCGCGACGTGGAGGGCTGAACAAACAATGGAGGACCTCAACCTGTCAAGCAGCAGCATCCCTGTTGATGAGGATTATGGTGTCTTCGAATACCTGGAAGACGAAGAGGCCAGTTCCGCCTACTCGGTCGCCTCGTCAGTCTACAATTTCCGAGTCGAAAATGGTCGTCGGTATCACGACTACAAAGACGGACATCCCTTCCCTTACGACGAAGTCTCGGAGGAAAATGAGCAGGTCTTGCATGCGATGATTCTGGTCCTCTTCGACAACAAATACTTCGTGTCTCCCATCGACGAATCTGCCTTACACTGTATCGTCGACGTGGGTACTGGAAAGGGCCTCTGGGCTGAAGGGGTTGCTGAAAGGTATCCGGAGGCCCAGGTTGTGGGCATCGACACGGTTCAGCACGAACGCTCACTCCAACCCAACTGTTCCTTCATTCTTCAGGACGCCACCGATGAGTGGGTCCTGGATGACCCTTCGATGAAGTTCGATCTGGTCCATATCAGAAATTTGTTTGTTGGGGTAAGAGATTGGGATGCGTTATACGCTCAGTGTTTTGAGTGAGTCTACTCCTCTCACAGATCCAGCAGAGCGCCTTTTTTGGGCGTCATTCCCTCGTTGCACCTCTTCTGACTGGGACTAGGAAAATGAACTCTGGTGGATGGATCGAACAACTTGAAATAGAGATCGACGCGCAGGTCGACGACGAATCTGCGCTCCCGGACAGTCAGATCATGAAGCTATGCAAGTTTGTTGACGACATGACGGCTGCCACTGGAAGAGATTTCCGTGCTTCCTCCAAGATGAAGACGGCGATTGAGGAAGCTGGTTTTGTCGACGTCCAGGAGCAAAAGGTCAAGCTTCCCTTGGGCCCTTGGGCTTCTGATCCGAAATTCAAAGATATCGGGAGGTTCTTCGAACGATTCTATAAAACGGGCCTCCAGGGCTGGCTCCTCCAAATTTGCATCCGATTCTTTGGGGTGAGGACCACAGACCGCTCCTCTGATGCATAAATCCAACGACTGACACAACTGGTGTAGTGGACACTGAAACAGGTAAACGACGCATGCGTTCAAGCATTCCAAGAGATCAACTCCCGCCAGCAACACATGTATTTCACACTGTAAGTCCTTGTTTTCCAAGCGCCTCGATAGATATGGCTTCCTGCTTACAACTTCTTTCAGAGTTATTGTTATCGGCCGAAAGCCTTGAAGCATCGCCTCTTTTGTCCTTCCTCATTTTGACACCCTCAAAAGGTCAGACCACCTTCCTGTATCTCGAACCACAGCCCATCCGACCATCGTGGTGGAACCGGCCTCCCGGTCGATCCTGGGGCAAGAGCATGGAGCACGAGATCAAGAAGACTACTTATGTCACGCAAAACATCAGACCCCATCGCCTCTGTCCAGGATGTAAAGAGGCGGATATACTTGTCGAGAGAAAATTCCGTGGCACTACTCAAAACCCTCTCTTTCTTTCCGAACACAAGTCCTCCTCTTGCGTCGTGGCGTCCCTGGTAATGGACATAGGAAGGAAACGATTACGGGTCACGAGTCACGACTTTTACGACATAACAAAGGTAGACGTTTGGGTGTATCATGCAAAAGATTTTGTTCGGGTTTCTTGGTTGAACATTCTCGCATATCGCTCCGGCCCTGATGCGTTTTACTATTCATGACATGACAGCAAAGAACCTAAATATCACAATATACGCCTGGACTTTGGACAAAATAATGAGGTATAAAGCATGTACCAATGTCTGCCCGAGTATGAAACATCTTTTTCCCCATTTCGTTTCAACATATCTCGACTATTGAAGCCGGGCATGTTCTGTAACTCCGAGGCATCGTTGTACCATGCAAATCGAAATTCAGAGCAGGGATCTCGAGTATGCATACAGTCCTCACGCATCGAAAACCAGATTTGTCGACTAGGCTTTCCACATATGTACCGGCTCTGTGGATGCATTCTACGATAGCTTGCTTGCGGTCGACGCTACTGGATGGCGCATCTTGCAGCCGCTCTGAAGGTGCGCGAACTCAGGATCGGTCCCCGTTTCAGTGTGAGGAACATTGACCCAATCTCTGTCAGAGACACTTGCTTGACGGCTTTATAAAGACTACCCTTTTTCCAGATAAGGACTGAGGTCGTCTGATCGGGGCCCGGCGGCTGAACCCCGAGGACGGCTGCCGTTACAGGGCCCATCATTCCCCAGAGTCCATGCCCCAGGCGTCTGGCCACGATCGCTCCTGGCATCTGGCTTGGGGTTAGCACATAGTCAGCCGCTGGGGTCCTAAAGGCCACTCAGATGGTGGCTCAACCATATGGTTCGTCGAGGAACGGACAGTAAAAGTCATCAACAACCACAGGGATCCCCAGCACGCAGGACAACGTCCATTCAGCCAGGCCATCCATCCATGATGGCTTACAGTAAGCGCATACACAGGGTATGTGAACACTTGAATGGCGGTGGGATAAAGGACGTTTAACATCACCGAGACATTGGCCGGCTTGGAGAAAGTCAACTTGCAACTGTTCGACCCAGAGTACAATCAATATGGCCAGCACCGAGACGGAACATGGTGATGGCTACGTCTTCTCTCGAAACTTTCTGGCTTCAGCGCGGTATGTCGAGAGTGCACAGTCACCCGGAGACAACATTCTCTAATAAGCATGCAGACTCACGGCGCAGCACTTCCTCTTTGTTCTCAAGAACGGGTTCTTGCTGCACCCAGCAATTGAACAGAGGCTTTCGCAAGTGGCCACGCCCGAAATTGTGGACGTGGCAACGGGCAACGGGTACGTGGATTGTCATTAATGGGCGGGGACCCAAGGCTCGCGAACATGGTCGTTGATGGGGGACATAAAAAAACAGGATCGTGGCACTCACTCTGGCCCACAACCACCCCAACAGCAAGGTCGTTGCCCTCGACATATCGGCCGAGCAATACCCTCACGCGTGGGCCCGCCCAGCCAACATTGAGTTCGGCTCGTGGAATATCTTCGACCCCGTTCCCGAACAGTTCTGGGGGAGGTTCGATGTCGTCCACATCCGAGCGATTGCCTCGGCGATGTACGGTCGAGACAAGGGCGAGATCCTCGAAAAGCTGATCAAAATGCTGAGTGAGCTGCCATCCTCGTTGACACCTCCTCTCCCAGCCCAGCGTGTGTGCAGTGTCGACGACCAGACTGACAATGATTGGCCGTCGCTGTCCAGAGCCCGGAGGATACCTTCAATGGCACGAGTGCTGCTCGAACCTGATCGGGGTCTTGGATGAGCATTCCTCCCTGGTCCACGCGCCAGAATTGACCGACTATCTCGAAGTGATCGACAAGTACACCGGCGGAGTCAGCTCGGCGCGGCAGTTCGACGACCTCGCACAGGTGTTTGCGGATAAAGGCCTGGTCGAGGTGGAGAAGACGGTCTCCAAGGTCGTCCCTCATCTGCTCAAGCACGAGACGGACCTGGTCCTGATGACGACGCGGGAAGTCATGGCGGCTCTGCGAGGGCGCAAGGACCCTCCGCCAGAGATGCTGCGGGAGCTGGACGAGGCCCAGGCGAAGATGTCGGCGGATGTAGCCTGCGGGAAGTGCTTGGTTTATCTGATGGCAGTCTTCGTGGGTCGGAAACCGGACGAGCACTGAGCTCTGCTGGAGGATCTGCCAGTGGCGAAGAACTATTTCTGAGGTAAAGCTCAGTAGTTGAGACCGATGCTGAATACGTCGATGGCGAGACTGTCGTCGAAAACGTTGCTTGACCTTCATAGTCAAGGGTTGTGGACTGGATGTAGCAGCTTCTGGAAGCATAGGGCAACGACTAGCACACCAGCTCAGAGGCGGCTTGCATTGTTGATTCGTCCTCCCTTGACCCAGATCTCCCATGGCCGCCTGTGAATGGCCAACGACTCCTCCCAGAATCGGGCAAGTCAATAATAACTCTTCCTCACAAAGAAATACTAATCAGGGAGCCAAAGCAGGTCTTTGCGATATGTATAAAACCACGGAGGATTTTCTCCCTGGACCTCAGCGGCCCGAACTTCGTCGCCGCATCCACATGAGAATATCTGCTGTTTCAAAGTCTCTCCACACAATGACAATTCCTCTCATCCCACGAAGCCCGAAAGATCGGTTGCACAAGGCCGGATGATGGGCTAGCCCAGGGGCTCGGGGAGTCCGTGGAAGCCGAACGCCCCGGGCGAAGGGGCATCGAAATTTGAGATGGTTGCGCACCGGGTTCAATGGGACAATCTGGAGGGCAGACGCCGCAGAAGTAGCAGAAGAACAGAGACCGTGGGAATCTGATCACCACTCACCGAGAGAAAGACATCTGCGCCCTCGGGAATAAGAAGATGCGAGATCCAACATCAAGAGCAGCCACTGGAGATGGGCCATAAGCGCCTAGTGAGCCTTTTCTCACCCATTCCGCCATTCCAAATCATTCCCGTCCTTCGCAGTCCCGAAGTTCCTGCGGCGCGCATCCTAGGAACCACTAGACGCCCTTCTTCTACAGGGCGGCAGAAGCCCTAGACCGATCCTGGCAAACAGAATCTGTCACGAATGACGTCCACCGACAGCTGAGCTGGCCTCTGTCCCCCACCCTCACTCCCAAAGAAACCCAGCCTGGCCCATAGCAACAGCTGCTGCTTTCTTCGCCCGGAGAAGCTTAATCACATCGGCGCCCCTGGAAGGAGAAGTGGTATCCGAGGAGGGGCACAATCCAACAAGGAGTCTACAGCATATGCATGGTAAGCAAGCTGCGCGGAAACAATGGGAACAGCTCGCAATGGCCGTGAGAACGGGCTGGCTTAGTTGCCCATGTTGACGATCTACTCAAGCTGCAATGGGAAGTTGAAGTTTGCTGCAACGAGCTTCCAACTCTTCGCTTCGGTCTCTCTTGTCCATTGATGCTTGACGGGATCTGCTTGGTTCGACCTACAACAAAAATGTCCCAAGCCACGCCCAGCCCGACCGCGTCTCCGTCGTGCGAAGACCACAAACACAGGTCATCCCTGCCCAGGGAGCGCGGGGGGGAAGATGATCAACATCCCAGCTACTACTCGTATGCAGGTGGTATCTGTCACCGTCTCCCGGGCCCCTCCCTTTCTGACGTGGACGGCTATGACGAAACGGCAGCGCTCAGGGGGGGGACCAAAGGGGAAGGATCAATAGGCGGGTCAAGCATGATAGCCAAATGCAGCAGCGTGGCGGGCCCTCTTCCAATGGCGACCGAATGCTGCGCTCGCCTGGAGCATTCCAAATACCTATTCCAAAAGCACACCCTATCTTGACCTCATCCCTGGGCTTGGAAGCTGTCAGAGTGTATCATATATAAGGGTTCCCTCGACATCCAAAATCGCAACTCCTCCATCATCCCACAAAGCAACCAGCACCTCGTCTCTTCAAGCTTTTACTCAACAGTTCAACGTTTTCAAACCCCCCCAAACCCCCTCATTCACCAACACCACCACCACCACCACCATGCCTGAATACAAGGGAGTCTGCCACTGCGGTGCCACCGAGTGGACCGTCGAAATCCCCGAGGAGAAGCACATTCTCTGCCACTGCGGCGCCTGCAAGCTGATGGGCGGCGGCGAGTTCACCTTGAACCAAATCATTCCCAAGTCCAACTTCCACCTGACCAAGGGGGATCTGAAGGTGTATTCCTACAAGGGCGATTCGGGTACGTCTTTTCCCTGCGTGGATCGGTTCCAGAGTCTATGGCTCGCGTTTTGGAGGAAGTAGTGGGAAGCAGAATAAGGAAGTACTCAACCCTTTCAGGACTGGTGCTAACCGATGCTTGTGCGTACAAATAGGCAACTCGGTTGATTGCTACATGTGCCCCAACTGCGCGTGCTCGCCCTACCACCACCAGCATGTCATGGGTAAGTCCATACATACATTCACCACCACCATCTGCCTTGTCCTGCCCTGTCCTGCCTGGATTCAGATCAGATGCGACCCTACATGGGGTCGCGGATCTGCCTCCTCCTCCTCCCCGATTCAAGCCATATTCGATAGCTCTCTCATGCTTTTTTTTTCTTCTGTTCTGCTAACCACGCACGAAAACAACAGGCGAGGAGACCATCGTCATCCGAACGGGCCTGTTGAAGGGGTCCGAGAAATGGGGCAAGCCCGCCGCCGAGATCTACGACAAGGATCGGGCCTCGTGGCTTCCTCAGACCGGAGATGCCAGCTTCCCAACTGTGCCTCCTTCGTAGGGACAACAAAAGACAGAGGCCGTTACGTTTTGGCATCTTGCGGTCGTCTTGTTCTCCTCCAGCCACGCTCCACATCCACAGCCCAGACGAAGAGCGGGGGTATGTTATTGAAAGCGGTAATGCCAAGTTGCGCCGGGAGGAAATGGAATGTGTTATACGCCCACAGCACGATCCGGAGTCGTTCGGTAGGAGATGGAGGAAGTTAGGAAAGGGAGCCTCATGCCGTTTTTATATTATATACCAAATATGAAGCATGAAGCATGAAGCACGAAATATATTCCGATGCCGTTCCTTTGTATCTCTCTCTCATCCCTCATTGATTGCCTCAGCCTTGCCGGAAGTGCACCCGCCAGTACAACAGCGCAAGAGGCAGATCTATTCTTAGCCATGGAGCTATCCATTGGTACGGCATCATGGAAGAGGGCGCACAGTAAAGTATGGTGGGGCACAGACCCAGGGCGCATTCATATACCTCCTAATTTCTCTCTCTGGTCGGTCGATCGTTGTGCATCACAAGCTCATGACCCAGGATCGCAGTGTGTAAGAGGCATTTATCACGCACGTTCCGTGTCCACCGCGCTGGCTCCGTCCTTTTTGACATGTTGCATTCATGCTTGGTTCACGTGTACAATAAATAGTCTCGCGGGTATATGTTTTGTAGATGTCCGGGGGCCACCACCAGCCAGAGGATTGAATTGTCCGGTGTCTCGGAGCGCTGGCCGTTAAAATATCCCTGAGAGCCATGCCCCTGTGTACACCTTATGCCTTATGTGTCCATCTTCCGCCGCTCTACTCTCCTCCTACACGACCTACCGCCTGCCGCCTGCCACCTGCCACCTGCTCAGCCCTGCTTCGCCTCTCTTTAGCTCGAAGCATTTGTATTTCTTTCTGCATCTCGTGGCTCTCTCGCTTCCTCCTCCAACACCGCCCGCCTCTCCCGAGCACGGGGTTTTCCTGGTCACCCTCTTTGCCCCCGGCCTCCAACCTACAGGATATGTCGTGGGCAGGCAGACAGGGTAGAGGTAGAGTCCACTCAATCGACATCCGGGACGGGCAGGCCCTGCACGATCTTGACCCTGCGGCCCAGCTTCTCGAGCGCGCGCCGCGAGTTTTCGGCCCGCAGGTCCGCGCTCTCCTGGTCCGTGACCAGCACGAAGTCGTACGTCAGGAGCGCGGTGCCCTCCTTGACGCCGTACTTCCGGGCCACGTCGGCGGAGCACTTGCCGAGCTCGACGACGAGGGAGTTTTTCACGCCAAAGACCGCGTCCGAGGTCTCGTAAGGGTCGTTTTTCAGGTACAAGGCCCTATATACACACACACACACATACAGTCAGATGGAAAGTTGATCAACTGTGGATGGAGGGGCAAGGTTGGGGTTTTTGGGCCGCCTGCACTCACGTTATCAGATGGTCAAACCCCTCCTTCTCGAACATGAAATGCATATGCGCCGGCCTCATGGGGTGCCGCCCCAGCTTCATCAACAGCTGGCCCACAGGCCCGTCGTGCGGGATCGGGTACGGCACCGGCACGATCGCGTTGAACCAGAATATGCCCTGGGCGTCACTCGTCATGATGCAGCGGCCGTCGGGGCCGTCGCGGTCGGGGTGCTGGACGTCGTACTTGCCCGACGAGTCCGTCTCCCAGATGTCGATCTTGACCCCCTCGATCGGGTTGCCCGACACGTCCTTGACGGTGCACAGCACGAGCAGCGGCTCGCCGTTGGCGTCGTGCGACATGGCGCTGCCGTGCTCCATGGTCTCGGCCTCGTGGGTGTGGAAGGGTCCCAGGACGGTGCCGTCTGTCGACCCTTTCGGTTTGGGGTGGTCGATGCTGTCGACGAGGAGGGAGAGGCCCAGGATGTCGGAGAGGAGGATGAATTCCTAAAACCCCCCACCACAGGGGGGGGGGGGGAGGCATCAGCGAAACTGGATCCCAGGTTTGCCTTCTCACAAGTTTGGGGCCTGTCGAAAACTTACCTGCCTCACGTCGGTACAGATATGGCCCGTCTTCGTGAGGAACTGGATCCCCGCCATCCACTCCTGCGTGCTCAACCTCGTCTCCCGCGCAAAGTCATGTAAGTGCACCACCAGCCGTTCGAGGATGTACTTGAACCGCGGGTCCGGATTGGCCGAGTTGATCAGGTTGACATTCTCCGTGATGTTGTCGATGGTCAGGTCCATCAACGGCGGGATCTTGACTTTGGAGGGGTCCATTGTCGCCGTCGCCGGTGCTCGTCGTAGTCGTCGGGATTGGCGATGTCCGGGGGAGGAAGAGGGATCGTACCGGGAGGGGGGCGGTTGCGTGTGAGTCGTGGATGGGCTCTCGAGCAAAGAAAACTTCAGGCCAAAGGAGATGGCGAACGGTAACCAAAAACAAAAGATTGGGAAAAGAAGACAACGAGCGCAGTGGACGCCAGGCAAGTGATATAATAATCTTTGCTCTTTTCTCCCATGTTTCCACCCCCGGTATCGTGGGGTAATTGCTGGATGGGGGGAGTATCCGAAGGGCTAGTTCCAGCTCGAGACTCAGGAACCACGACGAAAACTAAGCAATGACGGGCCACCGAAAGGAACCTCACCTGTGTAAGAAAGTCATATTGCTTATGCGGTAATTGGTCAGGGAGCAGTGCGTGCGGGAGAGGAAGGGCGAGAAAGATGATGGTGGTGGAGCAGCTGTCGGATACACCATGGAATACTGCATCGGCAATGGGCCAATTCCAACTCCCCACCCTCGAGGGGCAGGTGATTTTTTGTACAGGATGAAGCTTGGACGGCACTTCTCTGGCCCGTGTCGCCGTCGGTTTGCCAAAGGCTGACAAAATGCCCTCGTACATCGCCCGTCAATGCCATCGTACAGGTTCCCCAGCTGTGGAATCTATTCCGTCACATCACGTCCTCCAGAAACACCACAGAAGTCCGTCAAGAAGCTCTATTGAGATAATACAACCAACGCTCGATGCTGAATGGAACTGTTCAATCTGCCCCATGATGCCTGGTATGTTCCTGACAGACTGACGCCATGTCCGTCGAACCCAGAATACTGCCAGTTTGCTCCAACGTTCTTTTCCACAAGCACCATTTTCCTTGAAACCCAAAACGCCGTTCATGATGCTCCAAACTCTTGGAGCCCTTGATCCTTGCTTTTCCGCCGAGGTGCAGGGCCCAGTTCTAGCGATGACCACTTTGAGACGCGCTTCGGTAGACTCGTGCAGCAAGCGCCTGTAATCGATCGCCCTCGTCGTCCTCATCATGGTCGTCCGCGCGGTCCATCTCCCTGGGCGAGAACGCTGGTGGGTAAGAACTTGGCCCACTGGGCGATCGTTCGTCTGCAGCATCCTGCAACTGCTGCACCAACGGCGGTGGCCGGACGTCAAATCGTCCTGTCGAAGCGCTCGATGGCACCGCCTCCGGCTTTGCAGTGGACTCGGCCTGCGTCTCCCGTAACCCACCGTCCTTTACACCGAAGGGCTTTTCACCTGCCAGGTCTAGAGAGGCTTGAGCAATGCTCGCAGACCTCTGCATTTCATCTGCCTGACGAATGGCCTCAATTGTGGACTCCGCCGAAAGAGGCGGTGCACTGTCCCTGCTTAAATCGCCCCCTGCCGTTTCCCTGTCGGGAGAGGTGGACTCGGGTGCCGACAGCTGCAATTCTTCCGCCTTGACCTCCTTCCACGAACATTTGGCATGTTTCTTGGTACAGCCCATGCACGCGGTGAGGTTCTTCAGACAGTCCATGTGCAGTCTTCGGCATCGATCGCACGGAGGAATTACCCGGTCGCCTTTCCACATGTTGTCCATTCGTCGCACCATCTCCGCCTTGAAAGGCCCGCCATCATCTCTATCCAGTGTGACTGGCTTCATATGAGGCATCAAAGAGGCCGGGGTATTCGGGATAGCCACTGTCGACACGCCTCCAGCGGCCAGTTCGATCGAACGGGAACGCGGTTTCTCTGCGGATGACGCTTGCATCGCCTGCGTTCGAGTAGTACCAGCTCCCAGAGAAGAACGCCGAACAGTATCTTCCGTCAAACCGGCTTCTCGCTCGCTTGGTGTCAAGAAGTTCTTCATCATTTCGGCTCGCTGGGATGGAGATGCATCTTTGATCGACTTGCCATTGATGATGGTGACATTTCCCGCGCTTGACGAGCCATAAGTCTCGTCGGCACTGCTCCGCAGAACGTCGTTGGTGGAAGATGGACGCCGCAGATCTAACTCCCCCGGCGCAGATTGTCTCAAATTGACCGCGGTGAATCCGACCGGAGGCGACTGAGAGACCTCGATACTCCTGATTGGGCGGGCGCTGCCAACCCCGTTCGTGTCCACGGGCGAAATGGGCGGAGCTTCGTTTCTTGTCGCATGTCGTTTTGCCTCAGCCTCTTGCTCACGCCGGCTCAATATTGCTGTACGCCGACCTTTCATCTTGTGAATCAGTTGTCGCGCTCGGCCAGACACTGGTTAGAGTTAGCTTCAATCGATCTGGACTATCGTGCCTTGGGCGACGTACCTTGATCTGCCAGCTGGATGACCTGGCCGAGATTGCGGTCCAAGAGATCCATGACGCCCAGTTCCTTCTCTTCGTCTTCGAGGATGGGCTGCGGTGGGATAAGTTTCTGTGGCATACCGCTAGCGATGAGGACGAAGTCCTCCTCCGAGATTTCGACCCGACACTGCTTCGTGTAGAACTGGCAGACCCGCACTCCATTGCGAGTTCTTTCCAGGTTGAATTGCTTGGGGTTGTTCTGGGCAAACTCGACCACGTCCAACCAGGTAACATGGGCATCTTTTGCATGAGATTTGAGAATCTTGGGCGGCCCGTCAAACATTTTCTCGAACCGCTTCACGAGGATGGGGCCGACAGGACAAGCTCCCAGGTTACCAGCCATGCTCTCATGGCGTTGTATAACCCCATCGTATTCCCCCAGCAGGCGAGCTATTTCGGGAAGTTTGTCATTGACCGTGACGAGGGGGATCGTGTCCTTGTGCTGGCGGACAAGGTAGTTGATCTGCAAGTGGTTCGTAGCAGTCCGGGGGACCTTTGCTGCCGGGAGGGGATGGGGCTCAGTCGGGGAGCGAGGTCTCTTCAGAGACGAAGATTGCTCGGAAGTCATAGTGGCGGGCGATTGACGCTCCATTGCTCTGGCATAGAGGGTGGAGGGCGCCCGAGTCGCTTCAGGTGCGCTCGGGCTGCGAGGGCTTAGCTAAGTAGCTCTCGGAAGTGTAGTCGAGAAGGGCGCGGCGGAGATCCGTGGAGGGGTTGCGGGATCAGCCTCGAATAGTTGGCCCAAGGTGGGCAAAGCTATTCTTGAAGCTGCAGCGCCGTGAGCGGAGGAGAGACCCAAGTCGTGGTCAACGACGGTAGTGGGAAGAGCGCGGGAGAGGAGAGAGCGCAGGTGGGAGGGAAAAAGGGTGGAAGAAGTGAAGGAGGGAAAGCTGCGGCACGTGGTCTGGGTCTGGCCTGGGGGTCCGTAAGGTGAAGTGGGATCCCCAGGATTCGTTCGGGCGGAGCTGGCACAGGATACGACCGACGGGGCGAGATAACTGACAACGAAGGAAAGCAAATTGCTGAGACCGAACAGAGGAAGGGGAAAAAAAGAGGTTGTGTGTGAGCGAGGGAAGGAGATGGAGAGGAGAGGAATAGGACCTATCCAAGGTGGAAACGGCGAAGAGGGCGGCCGAGGGCGGCGAAGGAGCGGGTTCGTTGGTAGGGGAGGTACGGAGCACGGGTGCGGCGACCAACCAGTTGCCAACAGGCCCTTCCGGCTCATCAGCCGCCAATAACTGCCTAGGCAATGAATCGACGGGCGCTCGCGGGGCTTATCACTTCCCCTCTTCAAGCGGCACGAGGGCTGGGAGCTTGGGGGGGCTAGGCACCTGGGGAGGAGAATCTTCAGGGAGAGAGTTCTGCCAGCAGCCACCGGGACAAGGACGCGCAATACCGGCACTGGAACTCGAGCCAGAACGCCGTAGGGTGCACAAATGGGGGCAACCAGCAGCATTTGGGTTTCTTTTTGCACTGCCTTGACCTTTCCTGGAAGGGAGGAAGAAAGGGGAGGAGGGGGCAGGGTGATGTTGGGGGGTATGAGGTGCTCACCAGCTTCTACCAGCTACAGGTAATAGCTAGGAGGCAGCACTCTAGTGGTTGCGCGGGGTTCAAGCACCAAATAGCATCCATACCCAAAGGCTCGATGGGCGGGAAGGACCTTGGGTGGTGTCGGGTGAGCACCCACTGAGCACGGAGCAGGGAGCAGAGAACCAGCGGCAGCCCGCCTTCTGACTGGAGGGGGACACTGCAACCTCAACTTCCACTGCACCCTTCACCCTTCACCCCTCAAAGGAGCCATTCTGTTCATTTCCCTTGTCCTGTCTTCTGCTCTCTGTTTCTCTCCCACTCTTGAAAATCACCACCTCCTCCCTTGCATCCCGCACCACTATTGGCGGCTTGTGACGAATGGAGGGGTGCACTGCGAGAAGTGGTGCAGGGTAAGGTGGAGGCCAGATCCGTGCGAGCCCAAGGGCGGCGCTCCGCCCAATAACCATTCCGCATCCTCTCCCAGTCCCAGAGGCTTCGGCGGAACTCGTAGCGCACCATTCACATCTCGCCCTCTTGGTCCTTGACCTGCCCCGACATGCCCCCCCGTCTCTTTTGGCCCTTGCTGACCGTGGCTTGCAAGCTCCCACACATCACTCCACCATCCTCCAAGGCCGACCTTCGGCTTTGCGACATTCCAAATCACCGACTGTTCCTTTCACACAACCCAGCTTGGCCTGCTCATTTCTGACTGGTTCCAAACCAAATAAAATTCCCATTCCCACCACCGACGGACTATTTGCGCACTAGACTCGTTACGGTTTGGGAGTTCTTCCGCCCTTACTTCGAAAAGCCATCTCTTGCGGAAGACACACATTTCCCTGTCCTACCAATAAGACGTCGTTCACCCTCAGAAGAAAATGTCCGAGCGAGGTCATTTTCGTGGAGGTGGCCGAGGGGGCGGCGGAAGAGGAGGAAGGGGCGGAGGAGGCGGTCGAGGTGGTGGTGCAGGCGCCTCTTCGCAACAGTCCAACCAACCGCACGAAAAGCCCAAGAAGGAGAACATCCTAGACTTGGCCAAATACGTCGAGAAGCAAATCAATGTGAAATTCAATGGTGGAAGAGAAAGTACGTCATCTGTGAGCCCCGAGATCTTTGGCGGGAGCAAAAAGAAACAAGCAAAGAATTTTTCCTGCTACTGATTCAACTGACCATTGTTCCAGTTGTCGGCACGCTCAAAGGCTACGATCAATTAATGAATCTGGTGTTAGATGACGTCAAAGAGACCATGAGAGGTGAGTCCGCTCTCCCAATCTGCTCATACAACGATGGCGAAGGCATTCAGATGGCGCTGACGACGATTCCAGATGACGAGGGGAACGAGACAACTCGACCGCTGGGGCTCGTCGTCGCCCGCGGCACATTGCTCGTCCTGATATCCCCGCTTGACGGGAGTGAGGAGATTGAGAATCCTTTTCAACAACCCCCAGAAGAGTGATATTGGAAGAGCACCAAAATCAGATTTCTGCAACCACGAACTCGAACTCCAGAGAACCGCACATTATCCTGCTCTATTTTTCTCACCAGAGATTTGGCGCCCAGCCCGAGGTCTCCAGGCCATCGGTTGCCTGTGCTCAACAAGCAAACGTGACGCGCGAAACGTTTCCGACACCAGATTCGAATGTGTTGTTTGCGCTCAAAGACCGTGAAACGTGGGGACGCTGGGGGCATTCCCCGACCGAGGTCATGACTGGATTTGGTCGAAAGCAGTGGGAGCTATTCATCGAGCTCAACAGCAGAGTGACAAATGGAGATTTATGATTTTTTTGTGTGTTGTATGTCTCACTGCTACCTTCCTAATCTTTGGCCTTTCTCTCCCAAGATCACAATCGTCTTCTCCCATATCAAAGTTCCATCACTTCTGCAATGAGTGTCGGTCCTCTTGCTCTTTCCTTGTAACAGATCCCCTTTCTTTTCACCTTGGAAGATGCGCAGTTGTCCAAGCGAAGGGTTTTATCACCCGTCGCATTCCAGCTTTCGTTTATTATTTTCTTCAACGGGTTAGATACCATCAATCCGTCTTTTGAGCTCGTTTCGTCCCTTCACCTACCTCAAAGGTCCTCCCCTCTTTCCCACCAATTCCTGAAATGCACTCTCCATGCCCTTTTTCAGCTCGCGATAGCTCACCACAAACACGCTCTGTTCGTCCCTGCTGACCAGCATGACCTTCTCCTCCGTACCCGCGTCTAATTTGTTGAGACACGTCAAGATGTGGCCCAGATCCACGACGGGCCGATTCTGCGCATCAATCTGGTGAAAGACGTAATCACGGAACAACTTGAGGAAATAGCGTTCCCCGTTCTCGCTCCATGATTGGTCATGATTATACTCAGGTCGTTCAGTGATGAAGTTGATTTTGGCCATGAGGCGTACCAAGCGCGCATTCTCAACCTCGCGAGACAGTTCAGAATACAGAGCATCATCTGTGTGAAGGGCGGCATTAAAAGCGGTGATCATTTGATTGGAGATGAGAGTGACGAATCCGTCAATGGTTTTCTCCGAGTTTTGCATTGCAGAATATAACCACACCAAGGCGTTTTGGAGATCGGGCTTGAAATAGCGTTTGAATGTGTCCATACTGCGGGCGAAGTTTTGACCCGCATCGAATGATCCCGAGCCAACAGCAAGGATGACAAGGGCGAAATTAACTAGGTCTTGTCGTTGGACCTGGGCGAGAGGGGTGTGAGTATTGGCGTCATACTGCACTACATCCAGGATGCCACAACCGTTCAGGCGAATGCGGTTCTTTCCTGTGACGAGGATTTTGCTTGGGTCGAGGACCCGAGCTGCTAGACCGGAGTTGTGGATGGTTTTCAGGGCAGAAGCTATTTGCACCACATAACTCCATAGAGCAGGCTCACTGACTTGGTCTTTGTTAGAGGAGCGAGCCGGCCGGGGGTTAAATGAATGTCCAAGGTGATGATGTTCCAAAAGCGTTTTTGAAAGAGGATGATATTCCGTAGCGATGAAGAGGGATGAGTCGCCGAAGCCGCGATTTGTGAAGACGTCGACGATTCGGACAACGTTGGCGCTTATGATATTTTTCCAAGCTTGTCCAGCGCGGATTGCATGCTCGTTTGTTAGTCGGAAGCCTGCACGAGCAAACGTCAGCTCCTGGACGAAGGCGATTTTGAAGAAGTGGTGAAGTTCAAGGTCATACCCTCAATTCTTCGAAGGGCGAAGAAGTGCCCATTGGCGCTTGACTGGGCTTTATATACCCAGGAAGTATAACCTCCGAATATGTTTGAGCTTTTGTGGGTTGTATCGAGAGGGACAAGAGAGTGATAGCTCTCAATATGACTTGGTAGCTGCGAATCTGAAGAGCGAAATCAGCTCAGCACCCTACATCGGAAATCAACAATGCGTACTGGGCAATATTTGAAGAGCTGCTGCGGATTTCTTCTGAATTTCCTCTCGAAGATCGTTGGGGATAAAAAGGTCATGCACTGTGCGTTGGTATGGAGTGAGAGCCGCGTTATAGTGCCCAATAGGCGCATATTGATGGTATTGAACCTGGCAGCGTATTAGCGTCCTCATCGCCGTCTTTATTTGAAACTGCTCACGGGCTGCTGAAAACCCGGCGTATTTTGGTAGAAAGCGGCACCATTAAGACTATGATCGAGATATGGATTTGGAGGATGGCTGGGTTGAAATGTCTCAAAAGAATGAGGGACAGAAATATCGCTTTCGCTTGTCTAAGAATATCTGTAAGCACCGGACGAAAATATTTCTGCTCTGAGAACTCACCAGCGAAGGTTCTTGAGCTCGTCGGGGCACAAACTCTTGCACATCAGGCAGAGCCCAATCTGGAGTTTTGGCATCTTGTCGGAGAGGAGTAGCATTGGACGATCCTGGCATGAGTTGTAAGCCACCGGCGTCGTCTGATTCCGCGGAACTGGACATCTGCTCACTGGAGATGATAGCTTTTGGCATGAACGGGGCAGCACTTGCTGCCTTCGGGGATATGCCAGTCGTTGATTTCTTGACTGGGGTAGCTGCAGCTGCGGCGCCATTGGGAGACAGGAAAGAAGGAGTGAAACTCGGCGAGTCGACGTTGAGTGTCTTCTTCGACTGGCTGCTTCCCCGAGTCTCAGCAAATGGTGCCTAGGGATCAGGACAGGCAAGGCCATTCGGTCGTACCTATCGTTTTGTCCTCCGTCAGAGGCAGACTTCTCTATGGTGTGATTGAAGGCACATCCTAGAGCAGCGGGTTAGCTGTATGTGCCTCGCCCGTCTGTCGAGAATACCTTTGTCTTCATAGCGACATTTCCCGTATATCGTGACGTTCCGACATAGAGTATCCTTCGCATTTTCTGTCCAGGTATCGATCAGCACTCCACATCTTGCCCTCAACAAGCCTCAAAATGACATCCGACATACCCCGGCCTTTGAGTCTAGGAGACAAAGCTGCCTGCTTTGTATCTTCTGCATTGTTCTTGATCACTGCGGCCATAATCGTTTACTGACTGCGGCTGAGCATGCTGCTCCATCAGTTAGGGGTTTGTCTTCGGATTTCGCTCAGGATCGAGGCATTTCGTGAGTTCGCGAGTATTGAGCTTGAAGAAGGGACACGATTTCGACTCGGGTCGTTTGGCAGGCTAGATGTCCGGGGCTGTTCCTCTGATTGTTGGGGCGCGAGCGAGGGGAATGTACATGACGACAGGGATATCCAAAATCAAGACAAAGTAGACAACCGAAGATAATGGCGCAGCCGCCAGCCAGGAAATGAAGTGAAACGGGAAAAGGGTGACCAAAGGATGTTTGAGCGCAGCCGCGCTCTGTCCGGAATGCGGTTTATTGGGTCTGGTCTCGCAGAGAGTAAGTGATACGAGGGTGGTAGATGGAGGGACGTGGTCGGCGGGATCGTCGAGTCAACACAGGGTCCAACCAGCGGATTACATACATCCGCCTTTCCACTCCGCGGTTCGCACGCACTGCTCCTTATACCGCACAAGTCTACCATCACCGCACAAATCCCCATCCCTTGGCCGCTACAATCTAGCCTCTCCTACCCACTACCTATATACAACTGGTGTGGTTTGACCGCAGCAGTGACCCCACGGCTTGCCCTAGGCAGAGGATCCATAGGTGAAGCTAAGGCTTGAAGAGAAGGGAAGAAGCATACTCGACATGTCTGGTCGATCGAAGCCATAACCCCGCGACTATATCCCTGCCTCTTGATCTCGATTCAAAACATGTCGACCCCCGACATCTCACAACTGACCGCGGCTCAACAAGAAGCTCTACAAACCTACACCTCCGTCACCGATCAAGACCCCATTGCCGCAATCCCGCTCCTACAGCGATGCGAATGGAACGTTCAGATCGCTGTGGCCCGCTTCTTTGACGGAGAACCCGCAAGCGATCCTCTCACCGAAGCACAGTCACAACTGCCCACTGCCTCCGCTCGTCAAACCACAAACTTGCAGTATGAGTCTCTTCTGGCCGCAACTCAGTCGTCTCCCAGGACAACCCGGGTGAGTCCCGAGGATGTAGTCACACGAGTTGACACGAGTGGGACAGTCAATGAACCAGTCTACCGTCCTTCGACATTGTTCTCCATAATATTCACTCCGGTGAACATCCTGTACCGAGTATTCACAACCGTGTTGTCACCATTTGGGTTCCTTGTTCCCACATTTCTCTCGCGCCTCTTTCATCGCCTACTCTACCAGTCTCAGGCGCAGTCACGCACTCAGAGGCGAGCTCTACCGCCAGCCGAGAATGCAAGGAGATTTATACGAGAATTCAGTGAAGAGTATGGGACCGAGGGTCACGATGGAGAATCATCTGCACCTCTCTTGCCTTTTACGGAGTCCGGGTTCAACTTGACCCTCGACACCGCCAAAAAGGACCTCAAATTCATGCTTGTGGTCCTACTCTCCCCTAGTCACGACGACAATAATACCTGGATCCGAGAGACCTTACTCTCCCCGCAATTCAAATCATTCCTCGACTCGCATCGTTCTGACCTGATACTTTGGGGCGGTGATGTGCGAGATTCAGAAGCCTACCAGGTGTCTGCCAGTCTACAGTGTACCAAATTCCCCTTTGCGGCACTGATATGTCAGGGCTCGGAACCAGGATCGGGATCCCCATCTGGGGCAATGACAGTTGTCATGCGCGCCGTAGGACCTACGTCGGCACCGGAATTGGTTGCAAAGATAGCCTCGGCGATGACCGCGCATCAGACGCAGCTTACTGCGGCGAGGGCCCAGCAGGCAGAACGCCAGGCTACCCAGAATCTACGAATGGAGCAAGATTCGGCTTACGAGAGGTCGTTGGCGCAGGATCGCGAGAGGGCACGCCGCAGACGGGAGGAGGAGGAAGCGGCAAGAAAAGCAGAAATGGAGGCTCAAGAACAGGCAAGATTGGCGGAGAAGAGGAAGAGGGATTTGGAGCAGTGGAAAAGATGGCGTGCTCAGTCGCTTCCGGGAGAACCGGACACGGAGCTCAAGGACGCCATTCGAGTGAGCGTTCGCTTGCCATCTGGGGAACGAGTAATTCGAAGATTTCGAGCGGACGCCGACATGGAAGAGCTGTATGCCTTTGTGGAATGCTACGAGATGGTCAAATCCCGAGATTCAGAGAAGCAAGGCGAGGAAGATGAGGACGATTATGATGTGGAGGAGCCAGAGGGGTATGAGCATGAATACAAGTTCCGACTTGTCTCGCCTATGCCCAGAACAGTGTTTGATTTGGAAAAGGGAGGTTCGATAGGCACAAGGGTCGGCAAAGGCGCGAACCTGATTGTGGAACCTATTGAGGAGGACGAGGAAGATGAAAATGAGGACGAAGATTGAGGCATTATGGGTGCTGTGTTTGCACCATTGAAATAGACTTGGCTGGCCCTAGAAGGTTTGGTGGACAAGCGGACGCCCACTGCAGCCTTTATAGAAGCGCCAGATCTTCGAGTATGTAGCATTTGGTGAGTATTAGCAGGAGGCGGCCAGGATTTTATTTTCTCTGATAATAAGCGAGGCCTTTGTCCATTCTGGTGATGGGATTGAAAGTCCTGATCGGAAAGATTCTTTACTCTCTTGCAAGTTTGTTATGTTCAACGAGTCACTGGAGCTTGGAAACACAAGCATGGGTCGTAAGAAGCATGCAGTCCCAGATCTTCTACTTACTTCGCCAAACCACCACAGGGCCACCCATGTCAAAGACATGGTGGTGACCATCGACTCTTCCCGGAAAGGGCACAACAGACGTCGTGGTGGTTCTCTCACTGCTGCTGTCTTCATGCAGCGCCTCCTAGGATCACGCCGCCCAAGTCAGGCACATCCCAAAATGCCACGGGCGTGTGAAGTTGGCAGACATGCCAGTCCCCTCTGCGCCTCTCACAAGGGGTCGCACAGCATTTGCCCGTTCTAGACCTTCCTGGTTTTTTTTCCCTTTCCTATATCTATCTCGAAAACAGCAACCTCGCGACAGCCGCCACGGCCAGCACAACCAGGGCCACATCGCCTTTGTACTGTTTCCCCGCCTGAATCTGCATCGCCAGCCCAGCAGTGAAGAACAACAGGCTGATCGACGCGGCGAGGAGCCTCAGGGCCCGCGCCCCGAACAGGAGCGTCAGCCCGATGAGGGTGTCGATGACGGGCGTGACCGTCGCGGCCGTCGAGCCGTCGTCCGGCAAGTGGTATTCCTGAAACGCGTACCATATCGGCGTGTACGTGCCGTGGGTGAAGCGGGAAAAGGCGCCGAGGAGGACGACGGACGCGAGCATGTAGACCGGGACGGTCCTGAGGGCTGCAGACATGATCAGCGTGGGTTTGACTGCCTCTGCTGTTGCTGAAGGAGATGGGACGCGAGCAACTAGTAGTTGTTGGTGAGGTTCAGAGTCTCAAGGTCTAGGACGGGACTGGGACTGCGGTCATCAAATTGCGCATCTGTGCGCCCAGTGCTCTGCAGTAGCGGATTGTCCGGTGGTACGGAGTACGCAGTTCAGGAATCGACCGACATCTTTTTGTCCGTGGTCTGCAACCTCTCAACTCAGTGCCCTTTTCCAACAACTTTTCTCAATCGAGGCCGAGACAGTGGTTAAAGGGGATTGTAGATCACATCGGATTCAGTGTCCGTGATTGCAGGGGTCGAAGACCATGTGCTATGTGCCACATTGCTGATCTTTGATCGCACCATAATCTATGTTTCTGGAGGGACGTAGGTCGATTCCTGAATATTTCCCATGCAGCCTCACCCCACCACCAATTCAAACCTTGGATCTGGGGACGAAGGTTCAAGCTACGGGCCCCCTGGCTGAGGATGTCTAACAAGCGATACTATCATGAAGAGGGCGCCATTTATACCAAGTTGCAAACCTCAGGACGGAGCACCAGTGCTGCCATTCCTCGTCCCCAGAGATGTATACATCATCCTAGAACCTGCGGTGAACGCCAGATCCACGAACATTGTACCTCTGACACACAGATGTTACGAGGACTCTTTTCCCTTCCCTGTAAAAGTCGCCGGGACTTCTTCTTAAGACTGACTGATAGTTGGCTGCAAGACGTCGGAGCCGCATACCAGTCCAGGATGCTTCTGCCAGAGAGTGCTCCCCTGGAACGGCCCGTGAGTATCTTTGCTGATCGTCAGGGTGCTGGTGCAGGGTCAAGCATGACAAAGTAGCATGGAAAAAACCGTCGGTATCGACGCATGGTCTCGGAAGACCTCTATCCGTATTGTAGGACTTTGGCGTTCGAGAACAGGATCAGTCTGATTTTCCTCATGTCAGCACAAGTGCAGACCTGGAGCGGGCGAACCGGGACTTTCGCAAAAGATATTGTCGAGGGCGAAAATCGGTAAGAAGCCGTGGCAGATGTCCGTGGGAGCGGCCACGCATTCTTGAAGAAAGTTGGATAGCCTTGAGAAAGGGCTTGACGAGACCTGTCAGCGTCCGGTGAATCGTAGGCCCCCTGCTCAAGCGCAGATGCTATAGGATTATGGCATTCCCCGAGATGAGAACCCACCGATATGACAGCCGCTCTGGTGCGGATTTCTTCTAGCCTCAACCCTTAACACCTTGATTGTACTTCAGGGAGGGCAGTCATGAAGTTTGATCTTTTGACAGCTGGAGCACGCACTGGAGAAATGCAGCGTAGATCAAAGACAGCGTATCAACATCGGATGAAAAGATAGCGGCATTGTTGGCGAGTGATCGGAGATGATTCGACGATCCCCAGTTTTCTGCCTGTGCCGACTACATAGGTACCTAGGCATTCCGTTCATCGTGGATACTATTGCGTGCGGTGAACCCCACCACGGCTCAATAGGAGAACTGTTTCATGCGTTCCTTCGCGGGACAATGAGGCCGTCTGGATGATTGTTCCTCGATTGCTCCTACTCCAAAGCTACCCCAAGCCAAAACAACTTCGCTGCGGACAGGGAATCCCACCTTTGTCAAACCCCATGGTGAGCATTGAAACTCCTCGCATCGAATGAAATGCTCTCATGTGTGTGAGGGGTCGATTGCCCCTTTCTCGTGAAGTCCGGGGAATTAGCCAAAACCTCGCGACGCCACAGCGTGGTCCAGCAAGGATAAATCCGCTCTAGCGAAGCTTGAGAGGTCTCAAATTTGGCGGGTCAACTTGACTAAAGGACATGGACGAGGAGGGGCATTGTAGAAGGTTGAGAGACACCGAGGGAGACCTGAAGATGGTCATTAACCGAAACAAGAAGGAACCATGTCCGATAGCTGGCAAAGGGAAGCTGATGCCCAGCTTCATCGTCAGGGGTTTTGTTGAACGGTAGGAGTGGCGGACCCCCCCCCCCCCCTCGGATATGCATACTGCACGTAAGGTTAGCGAAGAGGCAAGTGTTGAAGGCGCCTTTGAACATGGAGTTCCCGTGGCTTGAACATCTTTCACATGCGAACTTGTCATTGGGGTTGGGAGATTGACGAGTGACCACTCGGGTCACCATGCTCTGGTGAATCAGCATTTACCTCGCAGGGTGCGTGACCGTTGTTTCGTCTTTTCCTATCCTCTCAAATCGTTCAGTTCTGTGTCGCCAGCAGAATGTCACCGCTCAACGAGCAGGCGGATCAGGTTTCCTGAACTCACACCTGATAGCCATGGCAGCGTCACTGATACGGACATATCGATCGATAGCAGGAGATCGGCAATGAGGAATCCCACCATGTCGCCAGCGTCGCCAGCGTGGAAATTGGAATGAAGCCACCGAGCGGAGGAAAGAAAAAGTTGGGGAGAATTTAGCGATGGCTATCAGGGCACGACAGGGCGGGTGGGAAGAGAAGGTTGCAGTTTTAGCCAGGGCAGCAGGGGGGGCGACCCAGTGTACCAATGCACCAACGCACCGCTAAGTCGTAGGTGAAGTTCTTGTTCCTGAACGCCTAGCAACGAGTAGTAGGCAGGAGCCCAGGTGTCGGGGCTAGTGAGGGTACCTGAGGGTTCCTGGGTGCCTGAGTGCCTGAGTGCCTGGCGATGATGACGCCCTGGCCCTACGAGTACAGCTCATCCACAGAGACCCGTCTAGGGTCCATGGTACTTATGAACTGTGGTACCGACGCTATCTGATTCCTCCGTGCCCCATTATCTCGCATCCGGGCTCGCGTGCCAATGATTATCATTTTCCCGCCCTTCTGGCACACCACGAATCATTCACAAGTCCCTAACTCCTCGTAGGCTCCCCTCAGCCCAGAGGCTTTGCGCCAACAAAAAAAATATCCTGTCGGCCCAGGAAGCCCGCTTCTGCCTCGTATTATAGCGAACAATGGCGACAAGCGAACCTCCACCATCATATTGTCCAATGCCATGTCTCTACCCATGTGTCAATTCACCACTTCTGTCATCTGGAAGCCGGCCTCTGGGTTCCTCTCCAAGCCCAGTCCCTGTCAGAATTTCTATCCACAATCCACCCATCCCACTTCAGGTTCAATTCCATTTTTTGCTTAACCTTGCCTGCTTTCGTTCGACTTCCCGCCTGCGTCTCTGCCTGCCCAATCATGACCACGACCGCGCAGGCCTTACAGATGACTCCAAGTGTCTCAAGGGGATAGAAGTCGTCAGTCGGAAAAGACCTCCTTCCAGCCTGCAACCCCGATTGAATGCATCGTCAACCCTTCCCTGACCACATTATTGTGCGGGCATTCCTCACTGACGGACGGACCACCTCTCTCCAAAATTCTTGTAGCCCTCCCACCCAACTTTATCTTGCAAGGCATATACGGCGCAGGAGACCAACTTAAAATTGATTTCGGTTATAGGCTCTCTGAGAAATCCGAGAGTGAGGAGGACGATTGTTCTGAACGCAGGTGACACTGCCTTTGCTGCAGCCATCCCTATTGAGGAGGATGATCTCAGTGGATCTTTAGTCAATCAAGTAAGGAAGGGGTTGGAAAGAAGATTGCTGTTCTGTCCATCGTTCGGATCAAGCTAACCGTTGATTTAGATATCATCTTGCCAGTTCGCAGACTTCCATGATCGGCGGAGCGTATCCGGGTCCCACACCGAAGTCGAATATCCCGAGCCTGTCGTCGCAGGAGTTTCTTCTGAGGTTGGACAAGAGGAGGGCTATCACTCACAAGATACGGGCAAAAGCGATCGGTCTGCACGTCGTGATAGGGTACCATAAGCCTTGAGGCTGAGACCAGTGCCCCCCAGGAAGCACCACGATCCGGCTCATCATATCGAAGCATCGTGACCGCACCTACATAGCTGAAGCCTTACAGAGACTTTGAGTTCGAAAGGGGTGCTCACTTTCGGTTGCAGAGTACATCCAGGTGCGGTGATATATACGCTAAAAGCCTGGTGCCCTTCACTATGTCTTCAAATCAGAGGCCCTCGATGGGACCCCCAGAAACACCGAGCAGATATATGCAGCAACAGTCTCCGGGCCTTTTTCCAACATTGCAGCTCTCTCCAGACATGTATGCTCACCAGTTCTCCGCAGGGCCGGTGACGGCCCCCATATACACGAGTCAAAGGCTCTTTTGGGATCCCTCTCATGTGGACTTCAATGATCCCTCTCTATCCCAACAATATCAAGGTGCATTTCACTACAGTCCAGTGGCACTAAGCAGCTCGTTTGCCTCTTCGTCCACAGTGGTACCCAGCTTTGTTGCACAAGATGCGCTATTGGAAGAGCAGCCTTACGACTTGCCCAGCCTGCCCCGTTCCGCCAGCTACTCCAATGTCGACAGCTCTGCCTTTCCTGCCCCATTCACGACCTCCCCCCGGATGTTTCAACCACAGATGGAGAACCCGAGCATGTTTCTTAGCTCACCAGCACGACGATTTGGCAGCGTGGACCAATTTTCGAGTCGCTTCTCTCAGATCGCTGTTCCCGAACGACCGGCTTATGCGCATCAGATCGAGGAATCCAGGCGAGAGGAGGAAATGAAGCGCACACGGCGAACGGAGATGAAGAAACCATCCATCACTCGATCGGTAATGGAAGCTTTAAAACGACCTATCACCCCCAAGAAGGATAGTAGACCGGGTCTCAAGCGGAGCTTGACACACACTGGAGTGCGGAATGATCGCAGCCTGAAACTCCAGACCCAGGGCAACCGTGAAGGACGCAACTCTCCCATACTATTTGAACAGAATCGACACCGATCAGGGCGCTCATCTCCCCTGAAGCCTAACGCGGACCCCATCTCGCGAGCTCTCACCAGCAGCCGCAATGCCAAGCGAGCATCTTTGTCGCTTGCAATTGACGAAAATGGCGTGGCCAAGACAGTCATGACTCAAGATGCTGGGGACATGGACCTTGATGAACCGTCGGACAGCGGGGCTGAGTCCTTTGATGAGGGAGATTTTGACATCCTCCACAGCCAGAGCAACTCCTTTGCTCTCGCGGGCCATCGGGATCAAGCTCAATCGGATGGGCTCTATGGTCATTCAAAGACCAGTTCTCGTTCCACCATGGCCTCGGTCAATTCTGCAAGACAGTCATCTTATCAAAGCTCTGCCTCTAGTGCATCGAATACCAGAGGAAATGATGCACATCATGGTCGGAGGCAGCGGCCCATTCTTGGCTCTACGATTGAAGACGACACGCTAATGGAGGAAGAGACCAGTGGTGATGCCCAACATGCATTGCGAGCCATAATCCAAGATCGGTCTCGGTCCACATCGGCCCAAGGGGACAACAACAATCCAATGCAATTACATTCCTCTCCTCCCTTACAGCAAACCCAATATGCTTTGTACAACGTCTCGCCAACAACAATCACGGATCCAGATTTAGCCACGCCGAGCACTGACAGGGAAAGTCTCGCAAGCAACGTGAGCATGCGTTGCTTCTGCAAATCTTCGATGCTTGACGGATCGGTGCCCATGATTCAGTGGTAAGTCATGCAATCCTCCAATGGTGTAAATGGATGATAGGTCACTCCATTTACTTTGCTGCACTCACTGACATGGCCTGCTGCAGCGATTCGTGCTCGAAGTGGCTACACACCACCTGTGTGGGCATCGACCATCGGAGGAGGCCCGAGCCATATATCTGTGGTTTCTGCACACAGACCCCAGTGCGCCCGGGCCATAACTTGCTGCGACCGTCTGCTCTCCCATCGAATGCAAGCCCGCTGGCACACAAGGCCAAGCGGCATCGGTGATGTTTATACTGATGAATATTTACCATTCACATTCGAAATCTTGGGCTATAATATCGTCTTTGACTTGGCCCTTGTTGTTGCACGTTCCTGAGCGACACCTTCACATTGGATGTTTCTTTATATTGAAGAAGTCTATATATAGCGTCCTGAAGCAAGGAGCGGGACTTCTCAACCCATATACCCCTGGCCATGTCTGACTTTGTGCTCTTTTGTCTGCACATATGAAACAAAATCACCTGAAATATCAATTTTAATAGGAACAGAATTACGAATCGGATGCCGGGAAGGGGGGTTTCTGGTTGAGGTTGACCAAAAATCTCCTGGCTTGTTTTGCAAAGCGACTACGGCAATGGTTGAAAGAATGTCGGAGTTCGGGTGACACGACGAGTTCGTCGCGACGGCCATGTCTCAGATACCACACGGCATGGTGCTTGATGAAAAAGGGATTGTTACTACCTAGGTACACTCTGCTATAATAAGAGCGTAGCCATTGTTCCCAAGGTCTGCCTTATGGACATCGGCCACGTTATTCATTCCCTTCTTTCACGATCACGATGTGGACAAGCGCCGTTGCAGTGTTTCTTCTCGCATCGGCTTCATCAGCCGCTTTCCTTGACCTGCTTGGTCGAGCGAACAAACTCTGTCCAACAGTCGTTGATACCAATACCACGACGTCGACCTTAAGTGTTATCGTTCCGCCCATCACAGTCACGGTTACTCCAAGCCTTCCTCAAGCCACGCCGTCCACTGTACTAGGATGCCTAAGTGATGCCCAAGCGACAAACATAGTCAGTGCGTGGAAGACTATCCTTAGCTCACCGGATCGAGCGAGCGCGAGTGCCACAGCTCAGGCGTTGATTGCGGATGAGTACCTGGAAACAAGTGACTCGATCAATTCTCTAGCTGGAAATTCGGTACGTCTCACCACCAAAGCTTTTCTTTCCATCCTCTTTTTCAAGCACTCATCAAGCCCTGATCAATCGGTAACTTGGAAGCAGTTGGGAAACGCCACCTTCTCTGGCAAGGACAGCTTCATCGCCGCCGTGCTAAACAACCCACCCATTCCGCTCTTGACCACCTTGGACGTCTTCCACGATTGCAGTCGGATTGCGTTCTACTGGGCTGCCAGTGGAGTAGGCTCGGGGGCCGAGGACGTGAGAGGGGTCGACCTGCTGTACGTTACTGAGGACAAGGAGCAGATCATCATGGCCATGGTCGAGTTTAACAGCCTTGCGTGGGCCAAGGATGTGGGATGGCAGATTGTGAGGGCGAACGGAACAAAGTATTGAAGAGCGAGGCGACTCAGTTGATTGAGTTGGCGTACGACCCGAGAGTTGGGGCGATGTTCCGAGGGTGTAGCACAAGTTCACAATATCCGTCCTCGTCATGGCACTGTTTGCTCTTTATTTAGCCCAAAACCAACGTGGTATATTATTACATGGGAGGTGACCGAAGATCCCCGTTTGGAAAAAAAAAAAGAAGAGGAACCACAATGCAAGGGCCTAGACCCTTGACTCGTATGGGAGGTAGGATGCACATTGCTGAGTGGCGAGTTGGTCACGGTGCCTTCAATCACTGGGCCGACCAAGGGGCTCTTGGGCCTGTGGGTTAAGAAGTTCCAAGGCCTCAGGCAACAAGGAATTCAACTCCATTCCTGCGCATGTGAAGAGGAAAAGAGGGGCGCAGGCAACATTCCTGGCCGACAACACGCCACGCTAGCCAATGCGCCAAACAAACTGCGTCCTCTCCCTTTGTTCACCACCGAGCCGTCCAGTCTCCATGTTGTGCCTATACTCCGTACTGCTTTTCCTTCTGTTCTCACTCCACCATCACGACGACGACCACCGCCCAACGTCTGCCCACCCCCACGAGATCAGGACAAAGACAAGCTCCATCGTCTGACCCCTCCCCCGGTCATTGCAAGGACCTCTCTCTGTCGCCCTCGAGTCTCCACACGGCAAGACGGGATTGTTAAAAGTGGCACCTGGCTCGCCTCATCACCGCAGTGTCGGCGTGGATTGGTCCTCATACAGACCAAGAAAGACCCAGAGTCATCCGCCTCACCAGGCGGATCCACTGCTGCCCTCGATGCAGCTGACCGCATCGGACACTAGTCTCCCACATGCCAGTCCCTTAAGCACCACCATCTCCGTCTCGCAACCTCATCCTTTATCTCCTGCTTGTTTTCACCCTTCGGTCCCAATCCACTTGTCGAGCCTCGACTGAATCTCCAACACACAGGCCAACATGGCCACTGCTACCGTCACCGACTTCATCACAAAGACGGTCAATGCCACGGCAGCGACAAGCACCTCCAGCTCTCGAGCAACTCCCCAAGGCGGTGTCTTTGAAGGCCTCAATCCCACCCATTATGACCCCAAGAATCCCATTACCCTCTTCATCATCCAGGCCGCTATAGTTATTATCCTCACACGTATCATCCATGTGCCGCTGGCCTATCTCCGTCAGCCCAGAGTGATCGCCGAGGTCATCACTGGCATCATACTGGGCCCGTCCGTGATGGGGAGGATTCCCGGATTCACAAATGCCATATTTCCCACCAGTTCCATGCCAGCCTTTACACTGGCCGCCAACCTCGGTTTGGTCCTGTTCTTGTTTCTCGTTGGATTGGAAGTCGACTTGCGCTTTCTCGCCAGCAACTGGCGCATCGCTCTCAGCGTGGGTGCTCTTGGAATGGCTATCCCTTTCGGCCTTGGTTGTGGTATTGCATGGGGCCTCTATCGCGATTTCCGGAATGATTCTGGTCTGGCTCCCATTAGCTTTGGTGTGTACATGCTGTTCATTGGCGTGGCCATGGCAATCACCGTATGTTTCCCTTCCTCTCGTGGTACTAGATCATCACTCAGCAAACCTAGGCATTTCCCGTCCTTTGCCGTATTTTGACTACTCTGAAATTACTCAGCACTCCGGTTGGGGTTATCGTGCTCTCAGCCGGGGTCGGTAATGATGTCGTCGGCTGGATATTACTTGCCCTCTGTGTTGCCCTCGTCAACTCTGGCGCCGGCCTCACCGCTTTATGGATCCTCCTCGTCGCCATTGGTTACGCATTGTTCTTGGTCTTTGCTGTCCGACCGGTCGTCATGTGGTTCCTTCGAAGGACGGGGAGCCTCGCAAACGGCCCGACGCAAACGGTGGTCGCATTAACAATCCTCCTCGTCCTGGCCTCTGCATTCTTCACCGGGATCATTGGAATTCATCCCATTTTCGGCGCCTTCATGATAGGGCTAATGTTGCCTCATGAAGGAGGCTTTGCTATCAAACTTACAGAAAAGATTGAAGATCTCGTCGGCGTTCTCTTTCTACCCCTTTATTTTGCCCTGTCAGGTTTGGGCACCAATCTTGGGCTTCTCAACAACGGCCTGACATGGGGCTATGTGGTCGGGGTTTGTGCAGTCGCCTTCGTTGGCAAGATTGCCGGCGGAACGCTGGCGGCCCGCTTGAATGGCCTAGTCTGGCGAGAATCATTCACAATTGGCGTTCTGATGTCGTGCAAGGGCTTGGTCGAGCTGATTGTCCTCAATATCGGGCTACAGGCCAAAATCCTCAGCACCCGAACCTTCACAATCTTCGTCGTCATGGCCCTCATCACCACGTTCGCGACGACACCATTGACTGTGTGGCTCTATCCGGCTTGGTATCAGCGGAAATTGGAGCTTTGGAAGCAGGGCAAGATCGATTGGGACGGTAACCAGCTTCACCCCGACACTGACGATACGGACTCTACGAGTGAGGCAGACATTCTTCGCAAAACAAACGTTGCGAAGAAGGTGCTGGTCTATCTTCGCCTTGACGGGCTTCCCGGCCTGTTCACCATGGTCTCCCTACTTGCGCACAAACCCGAGGAGGAACCTGTCGAGCCGCAGGAGCAGACCAAAAACAGCGAGCCGTTGATGTTGAATGCGCAAGCCCTCAGCTCAGTAGTCCGGCTCCGCCGCCCTCTTCAAGTGCATGGTCTTCGTCTTATGGAGCTCACGGAACGTGAGTCGAGCGTCATGCGTGTCTCGGAGATTGAGGAATTTGCTGGGCGGGACCCGGTCATCAAGGCGTTTGGTACCTTTGGGCAATCGTGCGACATGGCAGTGGGAGGACAAATTGCTGTGGTGCCCGATCACAGCTTCTCGGGTACGTTGTTGTCCCGCGCAAGGGATCTCAAGAGCGACCTCGTGTTGGTCCCTTGGTCCGAGACTGGGACTTTGTCCGAGTATCCTAGCTTGTTCGATGCAAAGCCAGGTGATCCGCTAGCGAACAAGCAATTTGCGACCCTTGCGCAAGAGATCTTTGAGAAAGGGAGGGTGACCAGCCACATTGGGGTTGTTCTTGACAAGACAGTCCTCTGTACGCCATCTGGTGCATCGAAGATTGACTCTCCGGTGCTCGACCGACCGACACGACAACTAAACAGGACAACTACCGGAGTCAGTATCGTGGATCAAATGAACTCGACGGTCCACTTCAAGCTGGCCGATAGTGGACGATCCCGGCTCTTCGCCCTCTACCAAGGCAATAGCGAAGATGATCTCTTTGCAGTGCGCCTCGGTCTACAGCTAGCCAAGAATAAGAAGGTTGATCTGAAGATTCTGAACGCAAGAATTAGCCACGAGTTTGATGATGCCAATCACCAGCCCGAAGACACCGACCATGATAACAAGATGTCCGTCCTATCGAAGGTGCATACACTCCGGACACCAACCGACTTTGAGTTTGATGCCCTCCGATCCAGCATTGCGGATTGTGGCTTCGACGGCAGAGTGACAGTGGTGGACGTGCAGTTGTCGGGTCTGGACGCAATCGTGACAGCGATTTCCGAGCCCAGCTCTGCGGAGACGCTTGTTATCATCGGTCGAGGCACCTCCCATAGCCAGACGGCCAACACCGTTTCAGGAGAGTCATCAATGTCTAGTTCGATGGTTATATCTGGGGGTGCCGGACAGAGTTCCGCACGCGAGGACAATCTCGCCTTGGGCCCACTGGCCACACAACTCGTCAATGTCGTCCGGGAGAGACAATTGCAGACTGGATTGCTCGTCGTCCAGGCCCGGAAAGAGAATGCGTCCGAAAGTCCGGATGCATTTGGAGGATTCGGAGCACCGCCAAATCCAACGGACACGAGAGGTCTAAAAGGATTAGCGTTGGCCAAGAAGATGAGCGCCCTGAGTGATGACGACTAGGCGCTTTGGTTCTCTTGTCCTCTTCTGCCACTGCTGGTCACTGCAGTTCTCTCTACTTTTCCGGGCATTTGCTGAGGGTTTACAGCACAGTTTGGGTATATACCCAGGGACATAAATATAGCCAGCTAATTCATGTCGCCAGTTAGTCATCAGTCAGTCAGCCAGCCAGCCATGTGGATCAACGACAAGCGGGATTACATTTACAGAGCATTTACGACTTGAATCTGAGTGCATATTGGGTCAAAGGGAAGCCATATATATTCGGAAGAGAAAGTGATTGAACCAAGATGCATGAATGAATGAAAACAAGGGAGTGAAAAAGCACCCGTCTGATATATCCCAGTTGTATATGTCATCCGTCTAGCGGTAGATCTACCAACCTCGACGAGAGACGACTTTCACGCATATCTACTTGTTATGTCTTAGCTCGATTTCCGCTGATGTAGAGTTGATCTGAGCTGATCTGACATGATCTGGTATGAGTGACTCCCTATCTACCTACTTATCTACCCAGGTACCTACCAACTACCGAGGTAATTCCCCAGTAGATTGTCCAAGCTGGCTGATTGACAGCGGTGCATAGTTGACCCCCGGGAAGTTGCTGCTCGCTGCTGTAGACACGGAGAGACACAGAGAAGGTACATACGTAGAGAGAACCAATACCGCTGATGCCCTTTGTGGATTTCTCGTTTTCCTTGCTTGTTGGAGTCGTCAGGGCCAAGGGTTGTGAAATGGGATGGATTAGATGGAAAATCGCGCCTGCGAAAGAACAAGAAATCTCTCTCTCGTAACGGTCATGAGGCATGATGCTGATTTCCGACGACATACTCACACACACATTACCACGCACACATGCACACGCACAAAGCAACAGTCCCTCTTTGTTCGTCGACTTTCTCCAGGTCTTGCTTCACTTAGTGGTCGCGGTATCTCCCCCTTTGCATTGAATGCCGTGTGCTAAATTACACCAGACTGCATCGCGCGCTTTTCTCGCTTCACCCTCCATCCATGACTCTTGCCACTCTCCTATCGTCCCACGCGGATGACACCTGCAGCAATCAACTTCTGGACCTTCGACCGGATGCCAGGGTTCTTCATGTGTTCGTTGAGTGCCGCCGGGTCGGACTTGGCTTGTTGCAAGATGGATTGCATGACTGGGTCGGAAAGGATTTGCACTGTGCAAGCAAAACAGGTTAGTCGGAAATTCCTAAAATGCAGAAGGCGGCAATGAATGCAGTGAAGGGGGTGGACTCGGTTGAAACAGAACTGGCGACGCAGCCGGTGGGAATCGGGGCTCACTCACTTATTTCGGGATCTTTCTGAATCCTTGCACTCGTCTCCTCCTCGGTCTCTCCCTGGCGAGCAGCATACATTGCTTCCAGGGCCTTGGACTGCTGCTGCTCAATTTCTCGGGCGTTCTTACCACCTTCATCACGTTCCATGGCCTCCGTACACACATCCAAGCACTTGTTGTATTCCTTCATGCCGAACAATGCTTGAGCCTTACGGAGATATGCTTTTATAAATTTAGGGTCGCGCTTAATGGCCTCGTCGCAGTCTTGGATCGCAGTCGGGAAGGCCAGGAGTTTGATAAGTGCAGCCGCCCGGTTGGAGTAGCCTCGTGGGTCGTCTGGCGCTCGCTTGGTGAGTTCGGTGTAGGCCTCGACGGCGCCTGGCCAGTCCGCGTTTTTGAACTTCTCGGCTCCCAACAAGCGGGCTTCTTCTGCCTTTTCTGGGTCGATATATGCATCCTTTTCAGCTTTGATCTGAGCCTTCTCGGCAGCCTTGAACTTCGCCAGGATCTCGGGCGTGCGGTGTTCGGTGAGGGATTTCTGATAGTTGACGAGGGCTTTCGGTAAATCACCCATTTTCTCATAAGCAGATCCGATACGACCGAACGCTTTGGCAATGATCTTGAAGTCGGCGAGGATGACGCGGCCTTCCTCGATGGCCTTCTCACATGCCTCAATGCACCCTTGGTAGTCGCCCTTCTCGAATTTGGCGGCGCCGAGGTTGGTCAGGTAAGTGATATCCTTGTGCAGGTCCCAGGCTTTCGAGTAGTGTTCAATAGCTTCGTCGAACTTGCGCTTCTTGTAACTTTCTGTCCCGAGTTTCTTTTCGTTCTCGGCTTCTTCCTTCGCCTTCTTCGCGGCGATGGCCTCCTCGTCTTCTGGTTCGGGCTCGGGTTCAGGTTCGGGTGCCTTTTTCTCAGCTTGCGGTGGGGGATTGGACTGGGGCCGAACATCCGGCATGGGGACGTCTTCTTCTGCTTCCGTGGCCCTCTCTGCACCTGAAGGCCCTCCTTCCGGCGGCATACCCATCTGCATATCGACACCCAGCAGCACACCCATGACCTCGAGGAATCTGGGATCGGCGAGTTCCTGGCCCATCTCTTGGGGATTCTTGGCTAGTCGCTGCAACTTAGCCATGAATTGAGGGTCTGCAAGGTATTTCGACGTCTTTGGGTTGGTTGCGAGCTTTTGGATGAGCTGGGGATCATTGAACATGTTTCCCATCCCACCCAAATCAGCACCGTCTGCACGTGCTTCTGCCTCAATGGCTCTGTTCACAGCATCGAGGCCTTGTCGAGCCTGGGCGTTTGAAGGTTCGAGCTTCAAGGCCTCTTCAAAAGCATCCTTTGCACCGACAAGATCTCCAAGACCGTGTTGAGCAGCTCCTTTCCGACCCCAGCCTTTTGCCCAGTCAGACTTGAGTTCGGTGGTCTTGTTCGCATCGTCAAGGGCTTTCTGGTAATCTTTGAGGGAAGCATATGCGCCGGAGCGGTTAGAGTAGAGGACATGATTCGTAGGATCTAGTTCAATAGCTTGGGAAAATTTGTCACTGGCAGTAGGGGTCAGCCGAGCGAGCAGAGAGCATGTCGCGGACTAGGCACTCACATGGCAGTCTTGAAGTCTTTGGCTGCAAAGGCCTTGTTGCCCTCGGCCTTCAGAGCATCGGCCATGGTTAGGACGGAGTTGAGGGTCAGATTAGAGCAAGACGAGAGGAGATCGCGTGGAGTAGAGGAGGAAGATAGGATACAGCTGTTGCAGAGAATAGAGCTTTCCGTTGTACACAAGATCGACTGAGCCTGAAAATGATTTGGAGAAATCGACAGCCTGATGTACTCTTTAGTTCGTCAAATGCGGGCAGCGAACAGAATTGCTAGAAAATTCGGTGCACGGGCCACCCACCCAGAAGCATCACAGGCTCTGCAGGGACCTCAGGTGAGGATCAGAGAAGGCTAGAAGCCTAAAACGCCATCAGCTGCACCGCCCGCACTGGCACCAGCGGCAGCCTCGTGCCCATCCGCAGCCTGATTGAAACCTCGACTACGACCCCCACTATTTCGCAGCGTCTGCGCCAAAATTTCCAGAATCCATTATTCACACAACTCCATACTCTGTTCCACCTTCACACACTCGCATTCACGCAGCTATAAAATTTCTCCTAGTATGTCGCGGTGACATCCAATTTGTTCTCGTCCTTCCTCTCGCTCAGTCCTTTTGCTCACTTGGTCAGCAGCCGCTCTGCTTGACCCATCATGTACACAGATCTCTACCCCCATCGGTAGCACATATCCTCCCCAGCCATTGCTTCACAATGGCGCCCCCGAAGAATACCACCGCCCCGGATTCCGGCCCTTCGACGGCCGCTCCCGTTCGAGATCGCACTGCTGAGGCTCTTCATGCTTGGTGCTGTCAAAATTACACATTCGGCCATGTCTTTTCCCAAGCCGAATTGTTGGACGCCGGTATCGTCCCAAACCAAGATCTCCAGATCCTTCTCTCCTCCGTCGAATATCTTACCAAAAATTCGCTCTTCAGAGTCCACGATAGAGCGGGCGGTGGCATAGGCTGGGAGTTGGTAGACCCAGAGGTAGCAAAAGAGTAATACCATACCACACCGAACTTGCAGTGTCTGCTTAATTCCTGACTGTCCTATTCTACAGCTATGCCAACCTCAGTCGCAATGAGAAAATCGTCTTGCAGGTCATCGACGGCGCAAAGTCCTCCGGCATGTGGACAAAGCAGATCCAGTCCAAGACCGCCCTCCACGGGAACATCCTGGAAAAGGTCTACAGGGTCTTGGAGGGAAGAGGATTGGTCAAGCAGATGAAGAGCGTCAGCCATCCATCTCGGAAGATGTACATTCTCGCTGGCTTGACACCCTCCGAGGATGCAACGGGCGGCTCTTGGTTCTCCGAAGGACGACTTGATATCGGACTAATTGATACCATCTCCACTGTCATTGAGCATTATGTTTCTACTCAAAGCTGGCAAGAAATCAAGCCTGATGATACGGAAGAAAGCCTAGGTCAAAAACGCAAGCGACCTAGCGGTGGCTTCGAAGAGCATGGGGATGACAGGAGCAAATTAACCAAGACTAGTGAGGGACAAAACAATAAAGTCAGGTCCTCTAAACACCAGGCTTCCGCACAGAGATCTTACCGACCCTTTGCTCCGGGCTACAAGTCCTATCCAACTCTTCAAGACATAACCAGACATATCCTCGACATCAAAGTGACGGGCTCTGTGCTGCCTCAAAACGCCATCGCACAACTCCTCCAGGTAATGGTTTACGATGATCGCCTCTTCAAACTCCACCGTCCTCCTCATGGTAATGAGCTTCCCGACGACCATATCAACAACACCGTTACCATGTACCGCTGCTTTAAAACCCCGCAGGACATCACCGAACAACATCAACTTGTTAAGCGCAAGGTGAGCCACCACGACGATGTCAGAAAAGCCGCGTATCGGCAGGAGGAGTTGGAGAGGTTGGGAGAGGGAGGCTCCAGTGAAGTACCTTGTCTGAGGTGTCCTTCGTTTGACATTTGTGGTGATGGGGGCCCCGTGAATGTGGTCACTTGCAAATATTTTGACGAGTGGTATGAGAGGCTTGAAGAGGCGGACGAGTGGACGGCGGAGAAAGAAAAGGGGAAAGAGAAGACCAAGGAGCGAGACAAGGACAAGGGCAAAGACAAGGAGCATGTCACGGTCAACGGCGACCGAGGGCCTCGTGTCGACATCGAGCTGGAGCTGGAGCCTTCATAGGACAAAGCTCCATTCTGGCGTCTAGGCCCTGAATTCCGCCCTCTGCTCCTACGCGAGCAACAAAGAGGAGCCGGGAGTGTTGCGATGGCCGCTGAATCCTTGCTGCTCCCACAGAGTCACACACGATTCTAATCTGTCTGCAGCCCATCGAGGCGGCCATCGGATGGGGCAACAGAAAAGGAATAGCAGCGTATCAATCTTCTTCCAAGAGAGCGTTTCCTAATAATAAACTGAATACGAAGCTATCTCATGACTGCAGGGCTCCGTGCCGATAGGTTGAAAATACTGCAGACGCAGCACTCAGTCTTGTTATGCTACCCCAGCTACCCGCAGACTAAAAGTATCCCGTTTACACTCTGACAGCAGTACCGACCCGGTACTTGCAGCCCTCCACAGACCCCGAAAAGTTCCAGAAACCCCAGTGGCAATGACGCATGGATATGATGGGAATATTGGGGAGGTAGATAGCGGGTTCTCTTTTGGTACAGTAGACGGAACAAGGTATTGGAGAGGGTATGCGAAAAGGCTCCCCGCTGGATGAGTCCGGCTCGGCGTCTTTGTCGACATACGGACAATCAGGGGCGACTGTGATGATCCTGTCAAACTCATCGTGTCCATCGCCTTTGATGGTATATCTCTTTCTCCTCAGCTGGGGCCTTCACCGAGTCTCACGCTTGCGGCACCGCTGGCCAGGGCCGAGCTGCCACCGGCTCTCTCCAGCTCCCTCCTCCGGCTTGCCTTGGCCAACAGACCTCCCGCTCCGTCCCTCTCTTCCGCCTTCTCCTCCCTCTCTAATCGTTTTGCCTTCAAGTCCTCCTCGACTTCGTCCCTCCAACCCTGGATATCCTCGGGAATATGTTTCATCTGTACGCTCGGGGCACCGCGGATTTGTACCAGCTGTTCCCTCACGTGTCGTATGATCTTTTCGATATCCTGCTTTGAGTTGAGGTTTGCGTTTCTCCAGCCGCCGAGATTGGGGAACAAAGTGAAGCCTTCTTTCCGAAACGCTTCACGGTGCGGCATGAATTCCGGCAATTGCGGGTTGAGCATGCTGTCTGCGCCGATGCAGATTGATGTCTCATTCGTCCACGCCCGCGCGACATTACGTGGTGTATAGCCACCACCGCCCACGACGAGCAAAGGGATCTGAAAAGATTTGACGAACGAAACGCAGTTGCCGTGGCCGCGAATTCCCAGGTTGAAACACCCCAGACGATCATGACCGAGAGAATCCGCGCCACACTGCAGCACAATCGCCGAGGGGCGGTAAGTCTTGATGGTGGGTTCCACGACGCTGCGGAAGAGGTAGTCGTATGTTTCGTCGTCAATGCCGTCGTTGAGGGGGACGTTGATGGTGTAATTCTTCCCTGGATTATCGGGGTGGATGGGTCCGGTAGACTCCAGTGGACCGGTCCCGGGGAAAAAGACTTCCTTGTCGTATTTGTGGAAGGAGACACACATAACACGGTCAGTTGACCAGAATGCTTGCTCTACACCATCCCCATGGTGTACGTCAATGTCGATGTACAGGACGCGCGGATGGTATCGGAGCAGTTGAAGAACGGCGAGGACGATGTCATTGACATAGCAGAACCCGCTGGCTTCTGCCTTTTTAGCGTGATGCAGGCCACCAGACCAGTTGATGGCGATATCGGATTGTTTATTGCAAAGTTTGCGGGCTGCGTCGATGGACGCTCCAGCGTAAGTCGAGCAGAATGCGTAGAGACCATCGAAAATCGGACAATCATCTCCAACGCCGAAAATGGCGGAAGAGTAGCCCGAACCCTTTTCGAGTTCAGGGTACATTTGATAGATATTCTGAGGAGTGGCCTCCATGAGAAAGTCGACGTACGCATCTTTATGGAATGCGGCGATTTCTTCGCGGGTGGCTGGACGAGATGTATAACAGTCCATCGCCGTGTGCATGCCGTAAGACAGGACGAGGGACTTTGTCAAGGTCAGGCGCCAGGGCTTCATGGGATGGGTTTGACCAAAGTGATGGTTCTCCACGGCTGGATTGTAGTGCCATGAGACATCGTAACCTTTTGGGCGGGTGATGCCGTTGGCTTCTATCTCGCGTTGAATTTTGGCGGAGAGTGTGAGGGTGGGGGTTGGGTATGAGGACGACGGGTCCTGGTATTCCTGCACGACGGTCATGATGCGCGTATTGTCATAGAAATCGTGATGCAGAGCTTGTGTCAAAGGGAAGATGGAGACTCGAATCTGCCCAGTTTCATGACGCGAGCGGCCAAATTGTGCGATGTCCCTGCCGATAGAATACTGTCTTGAACTCTGCGCTGACTTCGTCCTAGCAGAATGACCAGCGCATTGTCTTCGAGAATGTGATGCGATCGCTTCCCTATCGGGAACAGGTTGGATTCCGGGTGCACAAGATCTGGAGGCGTTTGGGAGACGATAAAAGTTGTCGAAAGAATCATCAAAAGGTTCAAGGCAAGGCAAGGCTGTCGTGAAAATCGAGAACCGCGTGGAAGTCCAGAATCTCGGACTTGATGTGGCGTCAAACTTGCGCCACTGCTCACTAATACTAAAATGGTTTAGCTTGTCCTGCCCTTTGTCATGAATGCCAAACTTCTCCGCCTCGCTGTCCTTCTGCCTTTGACGCACCGTCAGTTCTCCTTTCATCACGCATGTCACAACCAGGTCGGATTTCATCAAACCAAGTTTCGCATGGACAGTACCAAAAGCAATTAATCAGTGAGATTCGATCAAGCAGAGGTTTCGCGGTTGTTGTGGCTTCCTCACGCCCTGTTTTCCTCCGAGAAAACCACGAAAACAACACGCGCACGGGAGAACCGGAGATCCCTAACCTTCTGCCCGTCCACTCCTTGCCAACCCAGTCATAGTTGTCGGAGATGGCATCGAATGAAGACTGTGCGTCGGTGCTGGAGCAATTCATTCACGATGCGGCCAATCTACCGGCCGAGATCACCCATATGATGGAAGAAATCCAAGCCAAGGACAAAGACTTGCAGAAACACTTGTCCGTCATTAACCAGAAGGACACCAACATACAAAAGCATCTCAGAATCAACGGAGTTCTCGCCCCACATCCAAAGGAGAACGAGTACGTCGATCTAGTCAAGAAGAACTACGAGCTATGCCATGGACTCCAGGACCAGAAAGTCGCACTGAGCGAAAAGGCCTGCAGTCTCTTGGAGCGGCAGGTCAGGAAGCTAGATATGAAGATTAGGGAACTGCAGAACGACGGGCAACTCCTCGACGGCCCGCCCTTGCCGAGTGTTTTCAACCGCAAGGCTGAGACACAAAAGCCCTTCATTGACTTACCCACCAATCTCCCTCTACAAAACGCGTCAATCAGCGCTCTCAACGCCAACGCACACAGGATCAACGCACACATCTCTGCGACTATGCAGCAAGCCCAAACCAGGCAGCTGCCACAGATTACAACTGGAAGCACACCTGTTCAGCGAAGCTCTGCACCAGCAACACCTGCGTCTGCCGTTCAGCAACAGCGTCAACGAGAGCGGGAACATTCTCTGGGTGCTGAGAACAAGCGGCGGAAACTGGGAGGTCCACTTCCGGGCACCACCCTACCGGCCCAGCCGTCAAGTCTCCGGCAATCCTCACTTGGCCCAGGCACTCCAAAGGCAGGTACCCCTACAGGGACAGGTACAAGCCGTGCTGGCAGCATGCCTCGATCCACAGGAGCACAGCAATCAGCTGTGCCTCCTAAGAAGTCAGGCCTCTCCAAGAAAGTCATCTCACATCAGCAAGTCAATAAGCTCAAGCAAAAGAGCGCGACCAAGGGAAGATTATCTGCTGGGCGCAAAAAGGGTCAGTCGCCCTCAGTACGAGGAGGCCGTGGCGGCACGGCAGCCTCGGAAGATGCAGATTCTGTGTTGTCATCCGCAGATGCCTCCGAAACCGACGCCTCGCAATCGAGGGGACGGCGAGGCAACAAGAAGCAGCAACAAGCTGCATCAGAGGAGCCTGACGCTGATATGGGCGAGGAAGAAGAAATGGAAGATGAAGAAGGAGAAGACGACAAGCGCTACTGTTTCTGCAACCAGCGCAGTTACGGGGAAATGGTGGCTTGTGAAAATGATGACTGCCCCTATCAATGGTTCCACACGGGGTGCTTGAACATGAAGAAAGTTCCAGATGAGGATGAAGACTGGTACTGTCCGACCTGTAGGGAGAAGCCAGAGATAATTGAAAAGGTCAAGATGAAGAAGAAAACTGGCAGGAAATAGGTGAAACCTCGCTATCTTGGAAAGATACCCTTCCGGGAAGCAGGCACCACAACTGTGGGCCGGTGTCATGCGCAATACTGTGATGTTTTCCCTGTGTTCTACACCCTTTCGCTGTGCTCCGTATGGCCTGCCATTAGATGCAAGACGATCAGATCTAATGCCTACCTCCAATCCGGCATCCTTCAACTGCAGCACAGTATGCGATTGGTTGTACAGAGAGCAGTGCTTATGGCCGTGCAACCAAAAGATCGCGAGACCATATTGCGCAATTAGTGGCCTTGGGGAACCCACGGATGGCACCTTGTAGTACGGGTCAACAACCATTTGGCTCTGAGTAAGGAGAAGGAGGGTAACTCTCCGTATGGACACAGAAGAAGATCTCCCGATGCCGTCAACCGGCCATAATCCTGGTCCTGCTGAAGAACAGGCTAGCTCTGATGCCGTGAACCGGCGCCCAACTTCCTTTTTCTTCATCTTCCCACACGTGGGACTGACAAGGCCCGAAGAAATGGACTCGGATGGCTGGGGCAGTCAGAGGCGGACTAACGTGAGCGACGACGAGGAGGTGCATTATCTCTTGCAGGGGAAAGCCGGAAAGGGGGGTACGATCGTGGAGGTCGGCAAATGAAAGGCAGGGAGTGGCAGGACCATCTGTGGCGATGGCTGCGATGGCCGCGATTCCAGCTTGCTTGATGCCCGTCAAAACTCGGCTGGGTAGGCGAAACAGGGCAGCGAGGGCACGTTGATGAACGGTGGGTGGGCCGGCGGTGAAGCTAGTGGGCGTCACCGGGGGCTAAACGAAGCAAAGCAGCCCAGAGTTGCGCTCCCTGCGCTCCCTGGGCGCCCTGCGCACGGCTGCGCAGGCTGGTGAGGGCCTGCGCTCCCTGCGCTTCCCTGCAAGCTGAATGCCACTTAAAGTTTAAACTGGAGCTCTCCGCATCTCCGTCACTCGTCACCAGCCGACCGCCGCGTCGAGCAAAGCAACAGAGAGAGCATTGGCCGAGCACCTTGCCTCGCAGGCTCACCACATCCATTCCCATTTATTTCCCTTCTCTACTTTTTCTGTGGCAGAGCCCCAGTTGCACAGGTGACTTGACATCTGTCCTGCCTACTTATTCTCCGTCTTCGATCCCCTTCCTCCTTCTCTCCACATGCCCTCCGAAATCTAGAGCAGCTCGGACCAGGGTCGGTTGATCGTCCTCGCCCAATCACCATGAGCTCCGAGAGAGAAAAGAACGAGCTCAAGTCCCAGGGCGCTGTCGAGGCTGCTCGCGACCCAAACAGCTCTGTCACCGGCGATGATGCTGCACGGGTCATCTTAGACGAGAGCAAGAAAGCTGGTTCCGCCGCCCTGCATTTCGATCCCAACGCCTCCCCAGAAGAAAAGGCCGCGCAAGCCAGATCGGTGAGATTCTATTTCCCCAACTCGCGGCAAAACCATATCACTGACCTGCATCAAAGCGGCAGAACGATACTCGTCGCCCACCCAAGGGAATCGGAGTGGTGACGGATCTGGTGAGTAATATTATTCTCAACTCTCTCAATCTCTCCACCTCTAGTTGACAATTGTGACAGGACGACGGAAAGCCTGCTCAGTACGATCTACCTCCGCCCGAGCCCATTTCCGTTGCCGCGAAGGCAGAGCCACCTACGGCCCAGGCTGGCGCGGCAGATGGAGTCGCCCCAGAAGAAGAACAAGAATGGTCCAAGGTCGGATGGGCTCCCCGCTTCGGATCTGGTGAGACGGATGAGGAGAAAGAAGAAGGCAACCTATTAGACCATCAAACGGCCCTCGAGGGGAGGCTGGACGAGAAGTTCTTTGGTGGTTCGTATACCTTTGCTTCCAAGATATATGGCCGCGTCTCTAAGAATTCCAGATTGGTATCACAACACGGCTGTCATCATCTTTGCCTGTATAGCATCATGGCTCGTTGCTACCCTCGGCGGCGGTCTAGCATGGGTCATGATCATCATGGCCACTTGCGGCACATACTACAGGACCTCCATCAGACGAGTGAGACGAAACTTCAGAGACGATATTACACGAGAATTGGCCAAAGCACGTCTGGAGACCGACACCGAAAGCCTTGAATGGCTGAACAGCTTCCTCGTCAAATTCTGGCCCATCTATGCCCCCCAGCTTGCCAAAGCCATCATCATGTCCGTGGACCAAGTTCTGAGTACCTCGACGCCAGCGTTCCTTGATAGCATGAGGCTTGAGACTTTTATCCTAGGCACCAAACCACCACGCATTGAGCACGTCAAGACCTACCCAAGAGCCGAGGACGACATTGTCCTGATGGATTGGAAGTTCAGCTTTACCCCAACTGACACTATGGACATGACGGCGCGCCAGCTCAAGACAAAAATCAACCCAAAAGTCGTCCTGGAAATTCGGATCGGCAAAGGTGTGGTCAGCAAGTCAATGAAGGTCATCGTCGAAGACTTCGAGTTCTCGGGTTTGATGCGGGTCAAAATGAAGCTGCAAATTCCCTACCCGCATATTGAGCGTGTAGACATTTGTTTCCTCGGTCGACCTACAATTGACTATGTCTGCAAGCCTCTAGGTGGAGAAACGTTCGGCTTCGACATCAATTTCATCCCTGGACTGGAGAACTTTATTAAAGAGCAGATCCACGGCAATCTTGCTCCGATCATGTACGAACCGAATGTCTTTCCCATCGAGGTGGCCAAACTGCTGTCGGGCAACCCCATCGATCTGGCCATCGGCGTTGTTGCCGTTACGATCCACAACGCCAACGGATTGAAGAACCCTGACAAATTCTCCGGTACACCAGATCCCTATGTCATTGTCTCATTGAACGGCGCCAAAGAGCTGGCACGCACCAAAACAATTCACGAAGACCACAACCCTCGCTGGAACGAGACCTTGTACATCATCATTACGAATTTAACGGATTCCCTTACGCTCCAGGTCTACGATTACAACGATGTGCGCAAGGACAAGCACCTTGGCACCGCCACATTCGCACTGGACAGGCTGGAGGGCGCCACCGAGCATGAAAATTTGGGACTGGATGTACTTGCCAACGGGAAGCACCGTGGGGTGGTCAATTGCGACGTTCGTTTCTTTCCTGTCTTGGAACCGGAGAAACTCCAGACTGGCGAGATTCTACCACCGCCGGAGTCGAACACGGGCATCGCAAGAATCACCATCGAACAGGCCAAGGATCTGGACGGAAGCAAGAGCCTGGTGGGCTCTTTGGATCCTTATGCCGTGCTTCTTCTGAATGGCAAGGAGATTCACGTTACCAACAAGCTCAAGCACACCAACAACCCTGTATTCTCAGACAATACCAAATCGGTCCTCATCACGGATCGTAAGAGAGCGAGGATCGGATTGGTGATCAAAGACAATCGCGACCTTGCCACCGACCCGATCTTGGGCACCTTTCAAATCAAGCTGGACGATATGCTCAAGCTTGTGGACAAAGGTCAGGAGTGGTTCAACTTGCACGGGACGACGACTGGGAAGGCTAAGTTGATGCTGGACTGGAAACCGGTGGCATTGAAGGGTGCCACTGGATCTGGCGGCTACATCACCCCCGTTGGTGTGATGCGCATTCACGTCCAAAGTGCGAAGAACCTGCGAAATTACGAGACAATGGGCAAATCCGACCCTTATGCCAGAGTTTTATTGTCAAGCATCCCCAAGGGCCGCACAGTAACGTTCCAGAATGAACTCAATCCTACTTGGGATGAGGTCATATATGTGCCGGTGCATACACCTTCTGAACGACTAATACTTGAGGTGATGGACGAAGAAAAGCTCGGAAAAGATCGGTCTCTGGGCCTGGTCCAAATTGCGGCTTCAGACTACATGAGAGAGGCCGAAGAAGGTGGGTACGAGGTTCATGACACCAAGACCGTGCTTTCTGAAGGACTGCGAATGGGAGGTGCCGGCGAAGCAAAGGGCACTGTCAACTATACCGTTTCATTTTTCCCAACTCTGAACGTGATGGACCCAGAAGAGGAAGAGGAAGAACGAAAAGCCCAGGCGGCACTTGAAGCGCCCGGAACTCCAACTGGAACGCCATCGCACAGCAAGAAATCATCGGTTGATGTCAAAGCTTCAACCGAGATAGCGAGGCCAAGTGTGGAAGGCCGGAAGAGTTTGGAAACGGCTGGCCGCCTTGGTGCTTTGACAAATGGAGCTGCGTCTATCAGCGGCTCTGTTGCTTCCGCCAAAAAACAGTCACCCAAAATCAAGATCACCCCAGAGGATCTCCACAAATATGGTATGTCCCTTTATACTGAGACGTGATCGCCGCTAATTGCAACTAGAATCTGGTCTAATTGTCTTCAACATCATCGAAGGCCACTTTGCACAAACTGACACAAAGCTTGAGGTGGTGATGGATGATCATGCTTTCCCATCTTACACGTCCTCAAAGATTCGAGATAGGGACCACCACTTCGGCGAGACTGGCGATGCCATGGTCCGTGAAATCGAAATGTCTCGGATCACACTCCGCTTGACCGAAAAGGTTGACCGCACCGGCAAGGGCGACGACAATGACATCGTTGCTAAGCTGACGGGCCCTACGCTTCCTACACTACAACAGTGCTTGTACAAGCCCACAGAACTCACAATGAGGAGCAATAATGGAGCGGTCAGCAAAGTGGTAGTCAGTCTCAAATACCTACCTGTGAAGATGCAGCTTGACCCCAGTGAGAGCATCAACAACATGGGCACTCTCCGCGTCGACGTGATGGATGCTGCCGATCTTCCGTCTGCCGATCGCAATGGCTACAGTGATCCATACTGCAAGTTCAGACTGAATGGCAAAGAAGTGTACAAAACCAAGATCCAGAAGAAGACACTTCATCCCGCCTGGAACGAGTTTTTTGAGGTACAGATTCCGTCCCGCACGGCAGCTGACTTCAAGGTCGACGTTATGGATTGGGATTTTGGCGACAAGGCCGACCATCTCGGTTCTGCGACGCTGAACTTGCAAGTTCTAGAGCCTTTCCAACCACAAGAGCTCCAGTATGCGCTCGACGGAAAGTCGGGGATCCTCCGACTTCGAATGCTATTCAAACCCGACTACATCACCCGAGCCCGGCAAGGGACATCAACCTTTTCAGGCACCTTCGCGCCGGCCGGAAAGGTCATTGGTGCGCCCGTGAAAGGTGTCGGAAAGGTGGGCGGCGGGGTGGTGAAGGGAGCCTCATTCATCAAACACGGCTTGACTAGGGGGCGAAGCAGCAAGGAAGAGGCACCAGCGAGTACCAACGGAACGCTGGAGACTGCAGATGCCGCCATGACTCCGATGGCAACTCCGGCCAAAGCCCCTCCGCTTGTCGATGGAAGCGCGACTCCTGTCACCCCAGCCACGCCCTCCCCAATGATGCACTCCCGCACCAAGAGCAACCACTCAACCATAACGGCTCACAAGGGTGGTGAGACAGGAACAGCGAGTTTCATTGTCGTCTCCGCCACCGGATATCCTCCCAAAGCTGATGTTCAGGTTCTCATTAAGATGGTCGGTTCCCGAGGCGCTAAAGAAGTACACAAGACCAAGGCAATCAAGTCAGCATCGGGAACAGTGGAGTTCGATGCAAACCACGAAAACTTCAAGGTGCCCTGCTCGGCGGACACGCAGTTCCAGCTGCAAGTCAGAGATCACGACATGCTCCGATCCAAAGACCTCGGGGAGGGCATGTTTTTTGTATCTGACCAGGGTGGGGGTTCCGATCAAGTTATCAAGGCTGGGTCGGGATCGGTCACCATCCGCAGCAGCTTCGCAGCCAGTAACGGAATTGCCTCGGATAGCCTCAGGCCGGTCACCAGCGGACGGGACAGCCCGGACTCGAAGCGAGAGGGACGACGAAGTTTCTTTGGGAGGAGGGATGTTAGCGGCAAACACGAAGGATCCTGAATGGATCAGGGAGATAGTTGGCGAGGCTGTCGAACTGTCATGGTTTCGGCGAGGTGGCGTTTTAGGAGGAATGATGCAGCAGGACGGTCGAGCAAAGAAGGTTCTTGAGGACTGCCTACCCGGGGAGCCCTCGAGCGCCTTGTTCTCTCGCTAGACTTTTATTGCTTGTCCTTGATTCAGAGATACCAGATATTGTTTCTAATTGCGCGGCTTATGGCCTGCGAGGACCCGGGGGGGCCACCGATCAAAAAGGCCCGAGGAAAACGGTGCACAAAAGGGAGGTATTTCGCAGAATACTATTCGTGTTCAGGGTGATCGATATGATTGCTTTCCTTCTACGTTTATCTCTGGGCTAGGTGCTTTGTATGTGCAGACAGTCTTGGCTGATACCCATTTCCAGTGCCTACGCGTCCCCAGAGGATGTACGTGTCAGGATACGAGTACTCGTCGAGCTGATATCAAAAGTAGGTGGCACAGTCTGACGAGAAGTATACAGAGAAGTGGTTCACTATTGACTAAAAGGTACCCATCATTGACAAGGGCATTTATTCTGTTATTCTGTCCTTGGGAATAGCGGTATCCTTATCCTTATTAATGATATTACCTATATTTGATCTGACGGCCACCTCGTCGCTATTGAGGGACTGGTTAGATTCCGAGATGGCGTCTGGTCTCTGTCAGACTGTGCCATTTTTTTCTTCTAGAGCCCAGTCGTGTATACAGAGGACGACATCACTTACTGAAAACTCTGCGGAGAGAGGGAATTTGGGGTCGCATTTCTAGGTAGCAGGGATGGGCACGACTGGTGGATGATCTGTTTGTTTGAGGCAAATTTACCGGTGAAGGCCCTAATTGCAGCGGAAACTGAATCCCCTGTGTCGGTCGGTGAGACTAGCCTTGATATCCAAGCCTGAGACCGTGTGGGAAAGGATCAAGCCAAATTAATCACGCATGTAGGCCTCTGTGTGAGAAAGGGAGATGCCAGCCTGGTCTTGATTGAGATATAAATTTTTCCTCCTCTGACTCCGATGTTCTCTGCTCGATCTGAATGTTGGGGGGGCGACACCGCTCTGAAGGATGGAGGCGCAGCCAGGCAAATGATACATGGCCGGCGAAACACGCAATTTTGGCGGTCCCTCTAGACCGAAATGGAAAAAGATATGGGAGCTGTGGCGTCGGACGGGGGAGGTCTTTAGCTGCGTGGCGGACTCGGGAAGCAGAGAGGGGCAGATGTGGGCGTGGGCGGTCAGAGTGGTGGGATGGCCGAGAGGAGGGGGATTTTCGTAGTCCAGATCAGCACCGAAAACATGGAGCAGAAAAATAACGCTTCTCGATCGATCGATGCTACCTTGGTGGAAGGTCGGTTGCCCAACAAAATGAGGGTTGTTGGAGGGTAGCCCGCGAGTAGATAGCAAGAGCATATATTTGGGCGAGAGGGAGGAAGAGAGGGAGATACAAGGTAGAGAGAGACGGTGCAGAGACGTCCACGTTGTCGACCATATCGCCCACATCCCCCCAATCAAGCAATTAATCCATCACGAGAGGTGAGTTCAAGTCCTGACCGCCAGATGAAGCTGGCTCGCTGGCTCTTCCCAAGTGCTACACCCGCGCAGTCCTCTGGATGGAGCCCAATGGTCCCAGGGTTCCCACTTTCTGGAGCTCCTCAACCCGCTGGTTATCATTTGCTGGCGGCGGCTGCTCAGGGACCAGACCAGGGCCATCAGAGCTGCACAACTACATCACCCCTTGTCATGGTTCTTGTCTGCCATGCTCGCCCATCCACACCAGGTCCTCGCCCACAGCACATGCAGGTGATGAAATCTTTGGGTCGCCTTGACGTGCCCTGAGACCGTCTCGTGCGGTGCCAGAAGCTCTCGCTAAAGCTTGCTGTTTTGATTTTTCTTCCGTCCTCTCATCCCACCTTCTCGGAAGTTTTGCATCACCGCTCTACTTTTCTTTACCCGCTCAACTCTCACTTTGCCTTCACTTCACCCTCCCATTCCACCTCAAAACCACTCTCTACAAGACCAAGAGGTCGTATCTCGAGACGCAGCTGGTTGCTAATTCGTCTCCAGACGTCAACACCTAGGCTTTCGAGCGTGATCTGAGACTGTCTCCAGATCCAATCTCCACCCTCCACTTCCGTTTCACCCCCTCTTGCACAGCGCAGCAGAGCCCATACCTACAGCCACAGCCATGGCCTCGAAAGCAATCCCATCTCATCTCCGTCCTCACGGTGCAGCCAACGGCTCCAACGGCCCAGCTCCAGCTGAGAAGAGACATCACGGCAAGACACAGTCTCATGTGGTAAGCAAAAAAAACATTCCTTGATTCCTACAGCTCGTCGTATCATATCACTTCCACCCACTGTCCAACATGCAAAATAGCATGGCACAAGGGGCAATCCCTCCTCCTTCCAATGACGCACGGGCCCGTTTCCCGCATACCCCGGAGTCCGTTTGGGACACCCGCCGCCTTGTCTGGAAATAAATCCTGCGAGATCACGGTTATGGCGATCTGGTCCATCTTGAAATGAGGCGTCAAACGCTGTTTTGTACTCGTCATCTCATACTCTGCGCACCCTCCCGCGAATTTGCTGCTTTTTTAAAGTCGCCCTGACACGTTCTTTGCTCTTGCTCCTTTTCCTCTTTTTGGACTTCTAAGCCTTCCCTTGTTCAAAATGCCGCTACTGGAACCTCCTCCGCCAATTGAGTTGCACACTTCTTCTCTTTCTCCCAACCGCATCCACTCTCCCTCTGAGCCCCTGCTAATCAAATCTCCCGCGATGCAGGCCTTTGAGAACACCTCTACCAATGTCGCTGCTAGCCAAATGCGCAATGCCCTCAACAGCCTCGCAGACACGGTCAAAGACCCGGCGGAAAAGAAGAGATTCGAGGCGGAAATGGACAACTTTTTCTCCCTGTTCAGAAGATACCTCAATGACAGAGCCAAGGGCAACACCATTGACTGGGCCAAGATAAACCCTCCAAATCCCGACCAGGTCGTCGCCTACGATGACTTGCCCAACAGCGACGCAGTTGAGTTCTTGAACAAGCTCGCAGTTGTCAAGCTCAATGGTGGTCTGGGTACCTCGATGGGTTGCGTTGGTCCCAAATCTGTCATCGAGGTCAGAGATGGAATGTCCTTCCTTGATCTTTCCGTCCGCCAGATCGAGTACCTCAACCGCACCTACGACGTCAATGTTCCGTTTGTTTTGATGAACAGCTTCAACACCGACGAAGATACCGCGTCCATCATCAAAAAATACGAAGGCCACAACATTGACATCTTGACATTCAACCAATCTCGGTATCCTCGCGTCCTTAAGGACTCACTGCTTCCGGCGCCAAAGTCGTACGACTCCCAACTTTCCGACTGGTATCCTCCCGGACACGGTGACGTGTTTGAGTCTCTCTACAACAGTGGCATCCTTGACCAGCTCTTGGACCGTGGCATTGAGATCATTTTCTTGTCCAACGCCGACAACCTTGGTGCCGTGGTGGATCTACGCATCTTGCAGCACATGGTGGAGACCAAAGCCGAGTACATCATGGAGTTGACGGACAAGACCAAGGCCGACGTCAAGGGTGGTACCATCATCGACTACGAAGGGCGCGCACGACTTCTGGAAATTGCCCAGGTTCCGAAGCAATACGTGAACGAATTCAAGTCGATCAAAAAGTTCAAGTACTTCAATACCAACAACATCTGGATGAATCTGCGAGCTATCAAGCGGGTCGTCGAGAACAACGAGTTGGAGATGGAGATCATTCCCAACGAGAAGTCGATCCCGGCGGATAAGAAAGGCGAGGCAGATATCTCCATTATCCAGCTCGAGACTGCCGTCGGTGCGGCCATCAAACACTTCAAGAACTCGCACGGTGTCAACGTACCCCGTCGACGATTTTTGCCCGTCAAGACTTGCTCGGATCTCATGTTGGTCAAATCGAACTTGTACACCTTGTCACATGGTCAACTGATCATGGACCCCAACCGATTCGGGCCTGCGCCACTAATCAAATTGGGCAGCGACTTCAAGAAGGTCGCGCAGTTCCAAAAGAGAATCAGCAGCATTCCCAACATTGTGGAGTTGGATCATCTGACTGTTACTGGCGATGTGAACTTTGGCCGTGGAATCGTTCTGAAGGGTGAGTTTCGCTACACTACGCATATTGTTCTTTGAGGGCTTGCATACTGACTACGTTGACTACAGGTACCGTCATTATTGTGGCTACTGAGAACAGCACCATCGACATCCCCCCTGGATCGATCCTGGAGAACGTGGTGGTTCAGGGATCCCTGAGACTGCTTGAGCATTAGATTGAGTCTGTGTTGGCGTGCGTTATCTACTGTGCAGATGTGTCAATGGCTTCCTACTGTGCTTCGACGTCATGTACAGTGACCTACCGATTGTGGGGTTGGATGGTGGGGGCCGATGCTTAGACGAGAGATGATATCATCCTCCTACTTCCCAAGATGGCAAGACAGAAAATTTGTGGACAGCAGAAACAGCCATGAATTGGCAGGTGGCTTGTGCGAGGTCTTGTACCGATGGAAGGATGGAGCATGGCATCGACCCATGACGGGAGACTGTTCTTTGTGTAACACGGGTTCTAATAAGACAAAGTCGGCAAACCATTACAAAGGCCCAGGTGCTTTTTGAGAGTACGAGTAAACAGTGTGACATCATGGGGCTCTGGCGAGTCTGGGGGTTAACCTTCCTTTTCCGAGCGTACCCCCGTGCCAATGATTAAGCCCCCGGATAAACTATGCCCGTGCCTTTATTCCGCGCTGTGGTTTTTTCCGGGACGAGGCGGCACTTATTCCTCAGGCTGAACACTCGAGATACTTACGCAGAGGCGAAGTGAAGTCTCTACACTTCTTTCCCAGTCCATTTACGCAGCTGTCCCCCTTTCCCCCTGGCCGTGCACAATAATATTATTGAACCGCATTATCTTTTCGAGGCCAAGGGGCCGTCATTGATACGTGATTCAGGAAGGGGCGGGGAACGAGGGAGAATAGAAAAGGCTACTACTCATTAGGGCGATCTCGCGTGGATGAACTGGGGGGGAGAATAAGAAGTGGTACGACCGGGACTGAGTGAGCGAGCGAGTGGTCCGGGAAGAGGATAGGAGGCCGCAGAAAGAGCTGTCAGGAAAGAATACGACGAGGATCGGTAAGAGGTGTGGCAGAAAAGGAAGGGAAAGGGGGAAAACTCTAGCAGAGGATAGGAGAGGACAGGGGGAGAAGAGAATAGAAGGGTCTCGAGGCAGGAAAGGAGCGCAGACGAACAGAGACGACGAGGGACGAGAGACGAGAGACGAGAAAGAGGGAATCGAAAGAGCGCGGTGGGGAGAACCGTTTCGTCGACTTTACCTCGTACACACGGTATTACACCACATCCGATCCTCTATATCAGAGTAAACAACACACACACACACACACACACACACACACACACACACACACACACACACACACACACACACACACACACACACACACACACAGAGGCAAGCCATGTCGTCAACTACTACCGGCACCACTACCAGCGCCGCTCCAAACCCCTCGTCCCTCTCTCCCGCCGAAGCGAAAGGCACCGGGACTGGCACGGGGACATTCACGCTCCTCCTCTTCGCCTCGGCGAGCACCTTCGCGGGCGGCCTCGAGACGCTGCGGTTCCCGGCCCCGACGACGCTGCGCGGGGTGTTCGAGGCGCTCGAGGCGCGCTTCCCGGGCATGCGGGCCAAGGTGCTCCGCAGCGCCGCCGTGACGGTGAACCTCGAGTACGTTGACTTCGACCTCGACGCCGACGCCGACGCCGACGCGGGGGACGAGGGAGCACGGGGGGTCGGCGATGCGCCAGACGATAGGCGCGAAGAAGCTCGTGGGTCAGGCTTGGATCTGGTGATTCGCGACGGGGATGAGGTGGGCATCATACCGCCCGTGAGCAGCGGGTAGGTAGGCTAGCGACCTGGGAGGGTACACGAGAGGAGGGGGTGTGCAGGGTGAGGAACAACGGGATGTGAAATAAGAAGAGCAGTTGTTGCTTTCTGTGTGTTCGTCCTCGTTTGCCGCCTGGCATCTCCATGGAACAGGGTATCTAATGCACCAGTTGGGGATCAACAAGACCTTCTCATCCCAGAAGGTCTTGAGGTACAAATCCTCCGTCTCAACTCATCTTGAGACCTCCAGTTCTTCCTCGTTCCTCTCACTTAGTCGATTATGATGTCGACGCCGACGTCACCATCGTCCTCTTCGGCGTCCCACTCTCCTTCCTCAGACTCGCTGTCTCCTCCTCGCACACCTTCTCTCAGATTGCGAGACCGTTCAAAATCTGACTCAAGGCAGTTCCAGCATATTTCGTCATTTCCTGCTATCCATACTCTCTCGGCGCCTAGCATCTGTTTCGCTATGCAGACTCCAGCCAACCTCGCAGACCAATTCTCGTGTGCTCGGAATATTCCCACACCATCTGGAGGATCCAGGAGCTCGTCGAAGTTGTCGATGCTGATGATTTCCAGCTGTGATCGCGCCTGTTTTCTCCTGCACTCGCAGTGGGCGCTAATGGGACAAATCTTAAGTCTTTTAAGACCTCCGAGGATATCGATGTCTCCATACCAACGACCTCTGTCGTATACCGACACCACTGCTTCGACCAGGAAGATATCCTGGTCGATATTACCGATCCCGTCGCTGGGGAAAGCAAGGGGGACTTTCCATTCCGTCAGCGAAAGATGCAACGAAGTGGCGCCGAAGTTGTCTTCCCGTCTGTAATTGTACGGAGCATGTTCGATTGCTCGAAAGTCTCTGGTCTTCTCCTTCACACGCGCACTTTCTGGGCTGACCAGAATAGAGACTCCAGGGAGGCCAAGGTTGCCGACAATCCTCCGAATTGCATAGCCCGGTAGGTGTCGCGACGGCTCCGAAAGCAGCGATTCTGCGACGAATATAGAGTTACCAGCAGCTATTGCAAAGGCGCGATTCAAACGAAAGTGACTATGTGCAACGCCTCCAGCCTCCATCACGCAAATGGCTTGTAAAGCCTCTTGCATTGAGAGATCCTCCAAATGCACACACCCGCAGGACGCGCTCTCTTCCCAGACTTGGGCGAGATTGAATTGCTTTTCCACGATTTTGATGGGAAACGTTGCCGAGGGGAACTGTGCGTAGAGTTGTGACATCAACCCCAAATAATGGAGAGATTCAAAGGCGCTAGATGAAAAATAGCTTCGCGAGAGAAATTCGACGTCACCTCTTGAGTCTTCGAAATTGTGGTCGTCTTCGAAATTAGTGCTAGAACTCCCCGAGGTAATAGGAGTTGCACTCACTGTGACCTCTCCGAACAGTCACATCCTTAAAATAACGGGCAACTTTCTCCTCGCAAAAGTTCTCCAGTCGAACGTGTTGCAGCGTCTCTTCCACGTTCCGCGCCTCCAAGTTCGAAATTTGTAGGGAGGATAGGCTTTCCAACTGATTCTCATAAACCGAAGCACTCTCATAAACAGCAAAGAGGCTGATGCCCGGTTTAGAGGTAAGAGCCCATACTGGACAAAACAGGGAGCTTCCCGGTAGATTTATCTCAGGATTATTCTTGTAACTTGAAATCCAGGGATCCAGGTTCAGGCATTGCTCTGAATGATTATCACCTGCGGTGGTCGCATGACGCTTTTGTATGCCATCGAGCTCATGCCCGAAAGAACCTCTATCAATCCAGAAGGACTGTTCTTTGAATAAGGCATGTAATGGGGCAGGGGTAGGGCCCAACAAATAGAATGAAGATGGCGGAACGTGCAATTGAAGGGCCAACTCTCCACTGATACTGTGGCGCCTATTTCGGGAAATTGATCCAATAATCTCCGAGGACGATGCTCGGTAAAGGTTCAGTCTTTGTTTGAATGCTGCCAGGTGGTCTGAAGAGTCTGTGACAACCCACCTCGCATGGAGCTTCTGCTGTTGCTGTCCTTCAGCTGCAGAATACCAATGCGGCAGCCAGGTGTAGGGAGTGGCGGTAGCTAAAACAAGCACTTCCGTGCCTGCAATCGTCTCCCAGTACTGAAAGACGGCGAACGTTGCAATTTTGGAGCCTTCTACCAATGATCGGGACTGATGGAGATATTCTTCAGTGGCAACAGGCGTTGCCAGACCTTTTGCAACGTATGGATTGCATATCCCGAAGAATGGGCTGTTGCCCGGGACCCGAGAATGGCCAAGGATATCTCTTCCCCGTCTGCGACCGTACCCAACGAGTTTCTCAAAGTTCGCAGAATCATCCTCAGACCTGTTTACCAGGAGTTTTGAGGCGTTAATAAGGGGCTGTAACCAGAGAAAGCCCGGGTGACCGCTCCAGTCGCCGCCAGGAGATAGATCATCGCCATAATATCTCTGTAGTATACCGTAGAGGGAACAGAACCAAGAGGCAACATCGATCATGATTCTGTTGGGTAGACGCCAGTGCGCAAGTAAAGACCCAAACGCGATGAGGCAAAGCTCGTCCATCGTGATTCGGTAGTTGTCATGATCCGTCTGAACGCTGACTGGTTCACCGTAATACCTGAGATGAGAAAGAGCCAATGACCACTTGAACCCTGGAGATACCTGGTCGTTGTCTCTGAGCGATAATCCCACGGTGATCGCAACAGAATGTGAGAATAACGAGTCCCGGAAGACCACCTTTTTTGTCTCTGAGGCGAGGACGATTAGATCAGGATACAGGTGCCAAGCTGATAAAGCCAGCAAGACGGAGCTGTCGGTAGCATTCTGCGGTTTCCCTTCCAGTAGAGCTTCAAAGCCTTCGATTGCTCCCTTCCATGCATTGATGATTTTCGCGTACGTGTCTTTGCCAACGCTAACTGGTAGAGTGGTAAGGTTGTCCAAGATCAGCCTAAGCTGCTTGATTTTTTTGGCCATTACTTGGTCAGCCGTGATCAGCCAAGCACGGACGCTTGCATCAAAAGTAGCCAAGTCTTCGCGCAGGATCCTTTGCTGAGCTGCAATAACTGCCTCGTTCATGGCGAAACCGGTCGATTGGGCGGTTTCGAGCACTTCCTTTTGGCGGATTGCCACCATTTCTACCCAAATGGCAACGCTCAGTTTCGGGTCGTCAAACTTTCTGGCCAACAAGCAGGCTAACAGCAATACTGCCAGGGACGCCGAGCCAGAAGTCGCGGCTGCCCAGATAGAGGTCGCATCCGCACCGACAGAGTCTTTGAACGGGCCATCTTCGAACGTACCCGTGGGATTAGCACCTGGGGACTTGATGATTTCCGAAACTCTTTGACCAAAAGCTCGAAGCAGCTTGGGAGCATTGGGTGCGACCTGGGAGAACAGTGCTCCGAGCATACGAGCGGTCTGATGATGCGATCCCGTTTCGGCCGTTTCCCTGCGCTGAATCGACAGGGCGGATCCGAGGGGATGAAACTCGGCGGGTGCCTCAAGCTTGACGAGGGAAAATCCCAGGTTCAGATTAGCCAGGGAAAAGGAGTTTTCGTTTGTGCCAGATAACACAGCGTTCGTCACTTTTCCGAATATTTGAGACATCTCGACTGGCTATGCAGAAGCATTCCTCGTCAGCGTATGCTTCGAGGGTTGAAAAGGGGTTGTTGATCTTGATGGTAGACCAAATGGTGCGCCTTGAGGCTGGAATGAAGTTGATCAGGCAGCAAGCCGAGAGGCTAAGGACGGGGCATTGCACGAACCCATCACCAGGAAATTTGGCCTGTCAAATGGTGCATCCAAAGAGCTAAGCGGCTATTGGGCTCTGTCGGACCTGGGGCGTGGGCGCTGCAAGAGGCGAGGCCATTCATTGCGCCTCATTGTACATGAAGACGAATCAGAGGTGCAGCGCCGTTCGCCATATCTCTGAGGCCCGAGCAAAGGACAGATGCCCGCAGCCTGACTGCTCGATAGTAGCCCATGGTAGAGTGTGCTATGGCCAACTAGGACAGAGAGGAGCAGGTGCGAGATAAAATGCAAGGGCAGGTTGTGATGAGGGAGAAAAGTGAGAGCAGCTTCAGTCGACGGGAGAAGTAAGACGCTGCCCTGTACCGCCACACGTGACTGCGTTCCTGGTTTCCACCCCGCCAAAGCGACAGAAGAGTCAAGATGAAAGAAACCAGATGAGTGCTCTCTCATACATGGGGCTCAAGGAGCAAGATGCACAGGCCATACACATGTCACAAAGTGATGATACGCTCGCCGGATGATGGAATCTGCAGAAGGCCCAGGACGCTGCCCTGCTGTCGGTCCGATTAGCTCATCGTCAACTGCGCCTCGTTGCGTACGGATGATGGACACGACGCAGGTACGCGACAAGAACTTAGAGACCCAACAGTCTGATCCGGATCATCCTCCCTACCTGTATTATGGCATCAAAGTCGAACCGAAACCCTCCACAACGGGCCCTTGTTAGTGGGATGGAGCCGATTCGCAATCCTGCCGGTAAGTCTGTGAAGCTGATGCTGATGACCACCACATTCAATGCACACCCGAATCTCAGTCACGTATATAGTCCTCCATGGCCTCATTCAGCGGTATCAGCTCATTCAAGTAGGCCCTCCCCTCTCTTCAAACCGCTGGCTGCGACCGTCTGTGGGTTTCCACCGAAATAGAGTGAAGTGCTTGGAGTAATTGACATCCCCAGCTATGGCACACACGATTTCCAGAGAAGTCAAGTCGCTGTTCAAGTCCTTCCGCTCTCCTATTCTCGAGGAGCTCCATCGTTCTGATACCGTCTTGAAACATACCGACATCACGGGCAACATCTCAGGGACCTTCTCTGCTGCCCAATCACCAACTCCATCGCCAACCCCGTTCGAGCAACCCATCCTCATCGAACTCTTCCAGTCCCAAGGCTGCAACGCCTGTCCTCCCACCAACGACAATCTCATCTCCTTCGTCCAGTCCCATCAGTCTTCACATCAACATACGTCGCCTCCACGCTTTTACGCCAGCCGATCTCCATCATCTTCCCCAACCGCCCTCCCAAATTCGGCGGCCGAGCCAGAGTACCTGCTGCTAACGTACCAAGTGACATATTGGAACTATCTGGGCTGGGAAGACACTTTTAGCTTACCCATCAACGACATCCGCCAGCGAGAATATGTAAGGAGGATGGGTTTGCGTGGAGCGTACACGCCGATGGTGGTGGTGAACGGGCGAGGCGTCGGCGTAGGTAACACCAGGGAGGATCTGGAGCGGATTGTAGTAGCTGGACGCAAGCCCACGAGCGAGACAGAAAAGGTGGGTATCAAGAGATTGTCAAAAGGGGAAGAAGACGGAGAGTTGGGAGTCGAAATTGACGCGACCGACCTGCCCCCGTCATACTCGCAATCTCCAGCCCAACAACTCGAGGTGTGGGAAATAACATATACACCCAGCTCACAAGATGTGCATATTCCACGCGGTGAGAATGCTGGACGTACGCTCCCACATCTCAACGTGGTCAAGGACGTTCGGAGGATCGGATCTCTTGAGCGTGGGGCAAAGGAGTGCTTCCAAATCCACTGGCAGAGTGATAGGCGCGTGAGCCTCGGGCAGGGAAAGGTGGTGATCGTGCAGGATGGCAAGGGCGGTGGCATCAGCGGTATTTTGAAGCTGTAAATTAGTCCAAAGTTTGGCAGCGGCTTTGGGTTCTGTAGCGGACTCTGTATCGGGTATATGCTGGGCCTTCCAGACTATGATGCTAGATTAAATCTGTACTGATTTCGACTGCAACGCCCTATCGCTGCGGTTTCCTTACCTTGCCTGCGAGGCAGCAAGCTTGCGGACTGAGAAATGAGCCACCAGGGTCAGTCAAGCGCCAGCTCGATGTTCAGCGCTGCCTCGCGACTCATTTCCAACAGATGACTTCTCCCTGGAGCGCGACGTACCACGCCTCGGGGCTGTCTCCCCAGGTCTTCAAGCCGGCGATCATGGCATCGATCTCATCCTGGCTGACGAGCTGGAGCTCTCCCACCCACTTCCGCCCGATCTCACCTTGGAGCCGCTCGACCTGGATGTTGGCCCACCACTTCGACTCGTCGGGCGCCGGGTGGCAGGTCGCGCCGGCGCGGACCTGCATCTTGGGCCTCTCGAACCCGGCCTCCTGGGCCCAGAGGTGAATCCGCCGGCCGGACCCGATGCCCTGCGCGCCCGGGGATGACACTGCTTTGGCCATGGTGGCCGTGAACGCTTCTGTGCCGGCGTTGGCCGGGTGGTAGATCAGCGTGTCGGTCTCGCGCATGGCCAGCATGCCGCCGGGCTTCAGGACGCGGAGGGCTTCCTTGATGACGCGGACGGGCGCGGGGATGTGGAACAGCACCTGGCTGGTGTAGACGACGTCGACCGAGTTGTCGTCGCAAGGGAGGCGGGAGGTGATGTCGCCGACACGGAAGCTGAGATTGGGGTATTCGCTCTCCGGGGCGCCCGAGCGGGCCATTTCAATGACCGACCCTGCGGCGTCAATCCCAATCACCGACCCGTTGGGCACATGTGGGCAGAACCCCCTGGTGATGGTCCCCGGGCCGCAGCCCAGGTCCACAATCGTGAAATGCGGCTGCAGATGCGGGAGCAGGAAGGCCGCAGAGTTTTCCACCGTGCGCGACGCGTGTGATGCCACAACGGCCGCGCTGTGGCCTTGGGTGTAGGTCGACGGTGAGGATAGGGGCTTTGGGTTCATGGTCGGGAATTTGGCCCTCGTGTTCTGCTCAAGAGGAGGCCGTGGCGTCACGAGGGCGTTTGTCCACGTTACGAGGTAATCTTGCAAGGGCAAATCTCAGCGGTAAAGCTTGTTTGATTGCAGAGCACTCGAGTATGACACGGAGAGAGAGTTCGGGTACGGAAGAGTCTGTGGGATTTATACAGTCTTGCTTGCATGTACACTTCGGAAACCCGAGCACTGCCCGTTGTCGTAGACTTTCTCAGCCGGAGTTCCGTCAGCTCATGATTGGTAATTGTGAAGCAGGTTTGTTAGCATCCACGCTTCGACTATGAAGATGCTTCTTCAACAAAGAATCACTTGGCATTGGTCAAGTGCTCAGAATATACAGTCATGCACCATCGTCCTATATCTTCAGATGCGCATTTGACGGAGAGCAGCATGTACAGTTGGAGTGGGAACTTTTGGCAACAGAATCCGCAATTGTACAGTCCGCGACATGCTGTAGCCAGGTCATGCCATGCAATTCATTAGTCCGTCAAGCAGTATGCAAAAAGCGATGCTTTCATCGATCATTTCAAAATCGCCCTGAAGATGTGGGAACCATGGGGACAAGGGAAACGAACACCATCCTAGCTTGTGCAATACCCTCCTTTGCCTGAAATCCTAGATGTGCATACGATTGACTGTGTCTTCTATGTCCATTGGAAATCAAAACGCTTGCATCTGCATCCTCTCTGCACATTACCACCGCCTTCTCGACGCACCTTGCGCCTTTTACATGCCTAGACCGAGAGCACGGGCCCGGAGGGCGACAGAGGAGGCCACGCTGGGTGGGTTGGTGGCGCACGACAGGCCGAAAGACTGGAGCCAAGCACCGTTGTCGAACTCAGCGTAGTTCTTCTGGATCTTGCCGTCGCTGTCAATGATCATGTGGTTGATACCGTTGACAGGGAAGCGAGTCGACGTGATTCTCCATCTCCAGGTGATGGAGTTGCAGTCGTGCCAGATGTTAAGAGCAGTGACGGCAACCTCGGGCTGGAGAACACCCTGGCCGTAATCGAAAGCTTGCTTGGTGGGGAAAGTGACAGAGCCAAGCTAGATGAACCATTAGTGAAAGAAAAGAATCACGACAGATATTGAACTTACAGGGAAACCGGCCATGAAGTTGATCGAATCCGAGATATCGCTGAAGTCGGATGCCAAAGTGGCGTCGGAGACGTTTTGCTGGTAGCCACGGCCAGGGGCTCCTTGGGTGCCGTTGTACGAGGTGAACTCGAGCAAGATCATGAAGTTGTTGACCAGGGTGGTGGCCAAAGCATCGTCCACAATGCAAGACGAAGGAGTCTCTCCAGAGGTGCCGCTGCCCAGCGTCGTGGTGGCAGTTTCAGTGACAGTGACAGTGGTAGCCGTCGCAGCGACATCCTTAGTAATGGTGATAGTTGTGGCAGTGGCAACTCCCTCGGTGGTAACGGTAGTGGTCGTTGCTGCGGGGCACGAGCTATAGGTCGGGATAATCTTGGTGGAGGTTTCAGTGACGGTGGTCGAAGTAGCCACCGGGCAAGTGCTGCCGCTCACGACGGTGGTTGTGCCAGTGACAGTGCTGGTCAGGGTCGAGGTAGCAACCGTGCAGCTGGAGCCGGAGCCACCGGTGGGCTTGACCCAGATGGTCTTGGTGGTCGTGGTCGGTGCAACCGTGGTTGTCTTCACCTGGGTGAAGCCAAAGCATGAGCATGCGCTGGTATAGGCCGCCTCGTTGCAAGCACTGGCGTAGTTGGGGACCTCGTTGGGGCAAAGCGCAACGGTGGCGCGCTTCCAGTTGTCGCTGCCGTGGCCAGTAACGGTCTCGGTGACGGTGACAATCGGGGTCACGGTTGTTGCCAGGAAGCTGGAGCAGTGAGAAGCTCTGAGCGCACCATCTCCCAACGCAGCCTTGCCGGTCACAGCAGCCAAGCAAGCGTTGTTCACGCAAGCACCACCGTGCACAGGATTAGCGAGGACGCCGCTGGCCAAAGCAGCCAGCGGCAAGGCGACGGACAAATATTGCATACTAGAGTAAGTGGACGGGGGGTGAATGTTAAAAAACGAGTGTAACAGGTCAAAGACCTAAGCAAAACAATAGCGAGCTCAAAAAAGAGTGGATGATTGAAAAGTCAATCAAGATCGTGAGGTGTGGTAACGAGCTGGGAAAGAGAAGCAAGATGGTGTGAGAAAGGGGGATCATCAGAAGTACTTATGCGAGCCCTGCCGGCTCGACTCTGGCCATGGTGGAGCGGTGCACTATGACACTTCGGAGCTCAATGACCCCAGCCAGCCACGAGGGCGGCCTGAGACTTGGGCTGTAGCGTGCAATCCGTAAGCTAATTTCACAAGCGAGGCTTTAAACCGGTGAGATGTTCTGAAAAAGGAGGTACCTCCCAGGAAACGCTAGTCCCGGGCAAAGAAGCCGACAGATCCAGAATCCCATGGGTAGCGCTGGGCTTTAGAACTTTGTGGAGGTGACAGACCGAGATCCAATGGCAGCTGGTGATGGGCAAATTGCTGTAGCGGTTGACCAATTTGAAAGGACAAAACTTAGTCAACTTCGATACACATTGTCAGCCACGAGAACGTGGGAACTTTGACTTTTCGTAGCCATCCTGCAGGAAGTAGGATGACAATATCCAATTTGATCCGAATTCGCTCTCGTCGGGCCTTGATTGCGACGGTACGTCAGAGTTCCATTTGCTGGGATCTCTGCGCGCTGCAATTCCCCCCTTCCAGGCCAGGGGAACCGCCAACAATGGTGGGGATATTTCAGGGGAGATAGAATCGAGGCTTACCTGGCGGGTGGACCATCGGCTCGGGTGGCTCAAACAATAGAAGCGCCAGGCCCAAAGAGGAAATATATAGACCAATCACTGGTTGATCTTGGCGGTTTTGCGGCTGAGAGCCATCGACGCCTTTGGCCTGTTCTGGCCCCATAGCTTCACCGCGCCGCACCCACCATGCAGGCCGTCCCGGGGCTTTTGTTTTCAGCGCAGGCGCGTCCGCTGTTACACCTATTGTGGCACAACGGGCACGTTCACACAACGTGTACTCCGTAGATTTTTCTGGATTTCAGCCCGCCAACAGTCTGGATCGACAACATCAGCACCTCCACGTTCTCTTGTGTGACTCGACACAGCCTTGCAGCATACACGGTATCTTTTCTCACCAGGCCAGTTGGCATGCCGAGCGCTGACCTTGTCGAGGATCCTTCAGTTTGATAACCGTGTTTCTGGCAGGATTGTCTTTGTCATGTTTTTCCATTTTCAACCCGCATACGAGGCCTGCGCATAGCTGGGGAAACAACAGGCAAATCGAGTAGGGCAGCTTCCATCACGGTCAGGGGTGGGGGAAATTGGTTGCTGGCTGCATGAGGGGTTCCAAACAGGGGTTGCGGCGTGTTTGGTGTGGCACCCTGAAAAAGGGCTTGGAGTGAGGAATTTGTCCACCCAGAACTCGTTTGTTTCAAGGCAGCCTCTTCTGCAGCAAATTTGCCATGCAGAATCTGGAATCCTGAAATAGCCATGGCAGAGTTTGCGGTCACGTTGCTCAGGGAGGATCTGATAGGTGAATCCGCAGTCGGCGTTGAGCGTCAAGGTTTGAATTTTCTGTTTGATGGAGGAGAAAGGAGATGTTGGGTTTTAGGTTTAGCGTTGAGCACCAAGCAGCGGCTAAAGCGCCAAGGCGATATGCCAAGACGTCGGACTGACCAGTCATACTACCCTATTCCGCCTTTCTCAGATCCATCAGGAACATTTTTGTCCCGTCGCAATTTCCACCAGAATCCAACTTCTCACCATCTCTTGGAATTCCACCATCTTGCGAGCGAGGAGAGCAGTCACACTTCCTTTTTCCAGCACCGCGTCGTTGCGCCCTTATCAGGAACGGAGCAGCCACACCCAGAAAAGTGATCAGCTCTCCAATCACGTCATTTTCATCCTTTTGTTTCCGTGATGAGCGTTAGCCACCCTACATCACCGGAGACTTCTACCTTTAACGGCAAGCATGTGCAGGCCAACGATGAGCTGGCCGCTCAGTCCCAGGTACCGGTGATGCTCCATGGTAGGTCAAATATTGATGTCCCGTCACAATCCTTCTATGTCTTCCATGTTTCGTTTCCAACCTCAATTGATCCAGTGCATGATTTGCCCCAGCTCTATCAAAAACCGTCAGCATCCGCGCTCCTTCGTGTTTTGGATCTTCTCGTGTCAGAACCGCCGAGCTTTTCATCTTCGGGGAACGCCACCCGTCCCAAAGTGAGCGAACAGGGAGTTCCGAGATATCTCACCTCAATTGTCTCGTCCGGTCTGAATTGGATTGAGGATGAGGACCAAAGGGATGCGATATGGAGCGCTGCAAGTGCCCGGCTAAGTGAGCGTTCGGGGAGAAATGCAATGCCTGCAATGACACGGTCGTTCGAGATTAGTGATGACCTTACTATCAACTTGCATGAGCCTACCTTGACGGAAGATAATCTAGGGCTCAAGACCTGGACCTCGTCGGTCTTGCTGTCACGTCGGCTTCAAGATTGTCGTCAATACATTCCAATTGAAGTCACTCGAGTGTTGGAGCTAGGTGCTGGCACAGGTTTGGTGGGAATTTCAGCTGCTTGCATATGGAAAACACATGTGCTTCTAACTGACCTTCCGGAGATACTCCCAAATCTTCGGCGGAATCTTGAGCAGAATGGAGATTTGATCACAATGAGCGGCGGAAGTACCGAGTCCCGGGCACTTGACTGGGCTGATGAGATGGATACGCCGCGACGCGACGAGGACAAATTCATGGTCATTGTTGCGGCCGATTCTATCTATTCAGCTGAACACCCGAAGCTGCTTGTGAATGCTGTAAGCCGCTGGATTTGTGGCTCACCAGAGGCCAGACTCATCGTGGAACTACCGTTACGTGATCGTTATGACGAGGAGAGACAAAGTCTGCGCAATACATTGCAACAGCAGATGTTCGAGTTGATTGTCGAGGGAACAGAGGTCGGGTTTGACGATTGGTACCAGCGAGATGGTAGCCCATCGGAAGTCATATGTTGGTGGAGTATATGGAGACCCATTCTTCAAGTCTGACCGGAGCTGTTCAAAGGCACCATGTATCTTGTATCTCAAGCATATTTTGCTTCTTTTCCACTAACGTGCATTGACGCATCCCGGCACCGCTCTGCGGTTGGTTGCTCTCTGCACCATAATCCCACAGACTTCGTAGTGACCCCATCCCCAACTGAACGTATGATAAATCATGGTAGGAGGCTTCGATCAATTGATTCAAAGTTGGACAATGCATGGCCTTCACTTCTGTCGTCTCCTCGAAGCACCAAGACCAAGGTCACAGTTGCCATTCCTGACGCTTGCGCATGTAGAATTCTAGTCCCCCCAAGGAACGCCGATTTTTACACCGTTTCATATGATTTTGTCTCGTTATCTCATGATTGGGTCTTGATTCTTCGTTCGGATGGGTCATATCTGTTCGCCACTTTTGTCAGTCCAGCCTCACTAGTCTACTCGTGGTCCCCATCGCCGTGATGTACCAAGAAAAAGGTTTCAACGTACTGTAGCAACTTCTCAATCAGATCGACGTGTGTCATCAACATGCGCCGGCAGCAGTATCGCTTTGCGCCGACTTGGTCCATCGCTTCGCTATACCCGAAGAATGAACAGTTAGAATTCGTTCGCGGGGAAGAAGTCACAGTACGGAGATACTAACCCGTCGGGAATGCCTCCCTCGAGCAACTTCATGTATCGTTCCCAAATGTCAGCGATGACCTGAAAACAGCGCAAGGAGTCAGTTGCGTTCCTCAACATCTAAACTGTAGTGGACATGTGCCATACCTTCCCGCAGGAGAAACAACGTATGGGGATAATCATTTTGACCTCACACGGCACAGCAAGGACAGAACAGGGTAGAAGATTCAGTGTCGACGGTCTCGATATGTTCGTTGTGGTGAAGCATGGCACAAGGTTGGTCTTCAAAAAGTCGCAGAAATTCTTCTCCGCAATTTATCGGCACGTGACCCCGACGGCAAACCTTCCACTGAGTTGGTGCGGAGAAAAAAGTTTCTGATTTCGCTACACATCCTGCAAGGCAATTGGGAGCGTGCAACTCTTTGTTCGTCTGCCGGAGTCTGTCTCAGGATGTCGCAGCCTACAAAGCGAGATGCAGACACTGCCTTTGAAGGCAACCATAACGGCAGCTCGCACGAGCAAAAGCGCCAGAGACGAAGAAGAAGAAGCGGAAAAGTCGATGTCGAGAATACCCCGTCTTTGTCGAAAACGACGGCGTCGCCTGCTGCGTTGAAAGCGAAAACCTCTAATAAACCTGTAAACTCCACTCTGAAGGCCAAGGACATAACCACGCCAAATACACCGACTTCTAATGATGGCAAGCCGAAGAAGCAGAACTCTGCGAAGACTCCGACGAAGGCATTAACTCCCAATCAAAAGCCATCAGACTCGTCGAAGAAGCTGAAGGAAGCCGGTGCTGCGTTGGACAAGGGAATCACTGCGGAGCCGCAGAATCTGGCCGGAACAAAGAACCAAAGGAAGAAGAGTACATCGTTGGAATCAAAATCCAGCCACATACAGTCACAACTTACAGGCACCAATGGTGGGAATGCTGAAGGATCTGACTTGAGATCGAAAGCGTTGGCCAATGAATTGATTTCAGAGGGACCAGCATTGAAGTCATCCAAGAGGCCGAGGAAACGCAATACCAACCCGCTGAAAAAAAGGATGACAAGCACCGAGAATCAAAAACTGGATCACTTGGCCAGAACAACCCAGCAAGACCAATTCGTCAAGCGAGAACAGAAAAACCAGTTGGTAAAAAAAGATAAGCACAAGCCGAAAGCCCTCAAGAATCCGAAGACGGAAAAGTCGATTCTAATCGGCGGTGGATTCAGATTATCTTCCGGCAACGGTGGCATGTTCATCGATCAAGATCCAATTTTGACCGCTGATGGCCAGTATCTGATCCTGCCGACACACTCTGAAATCCAAGTCTACTCGACCAAGACATCCCTTCTGGTCAGAAGCTTTCGTGTCGACCCGCGATCCGATATCACCTGCTGCTCTTTGTCGAAGGCTGACCCCAAGAAGTTGTACGTCTCTAGTTCGAGAGGATTGGTGTCTTTATGGGATTGGACAGCAGCTGCTGTGATAGGTAAATGCAACGCGGGGAATGCTTCGCTGCAAGTCCTTCCTTTGTGTCAACAAGAAGATAAGGAGACAATTCTGGTTCTACAAATCGATGCGCAAGGCTCTAGGCGTCTCGCTGCTTACTCCGTCAACACAATCCTGGGCAACTTCACAGAGTCCGACACGGTGTTGCAGAGGATTAACCTATCACCTTGCTTCAAATCTTACGCACAAGGAACCGTGCTGTTGGCATGCGTCGAAAACCAACTGTTAATTGGCCAGTGTCAAGGCACAGCTGAAGGCCAGTTGGATTTTACCTACATATGGAGGGAAATCACAGTGCCAGGTTTCATAACAAGCTTTGACGCCCAAGTCAACTCAGGCAAATCCAAAACCTCACGAAAAGTCCCTTTCCTCGATGTTGTGATCGGTCTCAACGATGGGGCCATTGTGCACTATGAGGACATACTCTTCAAACTCATTGGAAAAGAGAAAAAGAACAAGGCTTCGACGGAGGACATTGTTGGCCGCAAGCTCCATTGGCACCGGACCGCTGTCAATACCGTAAAATGGTCTCGGGATCGGAACTATATCATATCTGGCGGTAACGAGACGGTGCTCGTCATCTGGCAGTTGGACTCGAACCAGAGGCAATATTTGCCTCATCTCTCAACTCCAATCCTGAACCTCAGCGTCTCAGCTTCTGGATCTTCCTATGCTTTACGCTTGGGTGACAACTCTGTTATGATTTTGTCGACAGCTGATCTACTTCCCTCAACAAACGTCTGCGGCTTGGCTCTGGGGATGTCTCAGAAGAACTCGAGCCCGCTCCTTGCTCACCCAAGTGTTCCAAACCGACTATTGGCCGCTGTGCCTTCCGATGCCGGCGCGACAGGCCCGTTTCACGGCCGATATTCAACTCTCTTACAAGTCTACGATGTCGAATCAAACATTCAAGTTGGTCGTCAAGCTTTAACTCGGAACATGGTCACCGCCTCCAATGTCGCACCCACGGGACAACCGGTCAAGGAACCAACTGTGACGCAGATCGCCGTCAGCCACGACGGCAGGTGGTTAGCAACAGTAGATGAATGGCAACCCAACGAACAAGATCTGGACAGTACGTACATCCGATCCGACTGTACAGATGTTCGCGGTCGATCAACCGAAACAAGTCTGAGGCTGTGGTTGTGGAATGAAGAGAATAACAACTTCGAGCAAGTGACCAGGGTTGACGAACCTCACACAGCAGGCCCAAACTCTGTGCTCGGTGTGTCATTTAACCCCGCGAAACTGGAATTGGCCACGACTGGCAGTGATGCGACTGTTCGCATATGGTCACCAAAAGCGCGTCACCGGAACGGCGTTTCCGTCAGGAACAAGGCTAATGAGCAGCTTTACACCTGGAGTTGTTCAAGGACAATTCAATGTGATCATGACGCTCCTCTCGAACGTGGAGGCATCGATGCAAAAGCAATATCTGCCGCCCTGACCTATGCGGAGGATGGCTCAGTAGTCGCCGCTGCTTGGTTCTGGCCTGGAAACCGGTCCAGATTGTTGGAGGAATCTTCTGCTGCGACTTTCAAAGGGCCTCGAACTCGCTTCGTGCATCTCATCGACCCAGCCACAGGCAAAATTGTTTCTTCCGAACCCTCCCTTCTCCCTAGTACTAGCAGCGCAGCGAAACTCCTCTTCCACTCCCGCTACCTCATATGCCTCTCACAGACTCTCACAATCCTGGATACAATCACGAACCGATTGGTCTCATCGCCAATCCAGCTTGACCAGCAGTACGTCCCACCGAGGAGCTGGAGCCCGTTCTACATTACAAAGAATAAGTTCGATGGAACGATTGCGATATGTCTTTCGCGTTCTGAAAAGCCGAGAGGGAGTAAATTGGTGCTTTTGACTTTATCCAACGACGACTCGCGTGATACTGTTGCAGGCAGTCAAGATAGCCCGGGCGTGCAGGCGAAGGTTGTGTATCAGACTTCGTTCAACGGAACGGTCAAGGGACTACTTGCTCTGACCACCGGGCCGGGGTATTTGATCATCGATGAGAGGAATCAATACCGGTTTCTGAGACCGACGGTGGGGGCATTCACGGGGACAATCGCAGGCACCAGAGAGACAGAGCAAGTCACTCGGAGCCTGGACAGTATTTTCGGTCGCCAAGGGCTCGTGGCACCAGTGACTGCCGCCGCGCGTGAAGAGGTGCCTAACACAGCCGTCAATACTGTGGACGCGCATGTTGGCGGCGGCGGAGGGCTTAACTCGGTGCTGAGGTTTTCTTCGTCGGCACAAGCGCCCACGCCGACAGAGTTGTTTCAGAGAGTTGTGGGTGTGTTGGCCCAAGGAGGTGAGATTGAGTTAGAATAGACTGAGCGTGCGAGTCGCATACAGCAAGATGAACAGGTGTAAGAATGGTTTTCACCTCGCGTACGACGTACCTAGTCTGCTCAGATGAAGGACGATTCCATGCGGCAGGAGATGGAGAGAAATAGATCCGGTTTGCAAAGAATGCGTAGCAGATGCTTTGAATTGCGGAGAGAGGTCTCTGTGTGGCCCAAGTGGTGAATCCAACCTATCTGTCTGCGTGTCTGTTACGAACCTCAGTTTTCTGATCTTTCCCGCGTCTGCTTCTGCTGTATTTCCTGTTTGTGATCTTTCCGAGTCCGTATCTCCCCGTCTTTGCGTCACCTCGGGCTGTATCAGCGCTAAGGTCATTTTACACTTCAGATTCACATCTAAGCCTAAGACGTGGACGGGAAAGAAAGAGTTCCTGTTGCAAAAAGCCACTTTCAACACGGTGGACGTGAGATCTTGGCCAGACGAGCAGTCGGCCCAGTCAGAAACCACTCACAACCAGCCGCCCCAAGGTGCCAAAGACGGGACTGAGCACTGCAATCCGTCGCTACCTGAGATTCTCCGGCCGCTTGCGAACGGCGGCATCTTCATGGCCATCCTCATTGACGGCTTCCACACCACGTCCTCTGGCAGAAGACGACCGTGCCCCGGAGTTTGGACCTAGTGCTACTCGGGTTGTTACCCTTGCAGCCCAACGCCTAGATAGCAGACGGGAGCTTCGTGCACACCGGCCACGACATGATCATACCATGCTGCGGTTGCATTCGTCGTGGTACAGCTTCAGTCAAGTTGCTAATCAAGTTGGGCTCCTCGTACTCGCAGTCGACGTTGACGTAGATCGTGATGGTCAGCCACGCGAGGTAGTTGATCTTTATGCCGGAGCGGCGTAGGAGGCTGTCCATGGTACCTTATTTACACGCCGGTGACCCTATAGACGCTCCCATATACGCAGCAGACTAGCGCGGTGAGGCTGATAGCTATTTGATGTTCCTTTAGCCCGGCTGTTCATCTTGATGTACAAGTATATCATGGCGTGCATGTGCTTGTACGTGTTTTGGAAACGGGTACCCGACCCTTTTGACAGATTCGAATGTGTGTGTGAAGCGTGCGATCAAATCATCGCCCAACCCCTCCAGTATCCCAACAATCGGGCTTCCCTCGTACCATTCAAAAGGCAAGTCGGAACCGGCCACTCGGTGTTTTTTCTCCCTCTCGACTCGGGAAAAGCCCGGACGAAAGGCCGACTTGCAGCGTGCTCGCGCCATTTGTGCCTAGAGGATCGACAGCGGCACGTAGCGGGGAGGGTGTTCATGTCTGTGCATGCTGTACGTGCATACCAGGCAAGCCGCGCGGACCAGCAGGGAGGGATGAGCAGGAAGAGAGAGGAAACTACCGCCGCGCTCGGTATCGATTAGCCCACGCGGCTAGTGCGGGGAAAAGGGACGAAAGAAAGTTGAAGGATTTCGTGTCGAGAGAGCATGGGCGAGCAGATGGTAAAGAAGTTGGAAGTTGAGCCCACAGTAAGCCCCTCATCAATGAGCACCACCACCACCCACCCCCCCCCCCCCCCCCCCCCCCCCCCCCGCGATGAGAACATTCGCGTCCGTGAGACCGAAATCTTCGAGAGGGGCAGGAGCAGCCACGGATGGGGGTTTTGGATGGTTGTGTGGTGGTAATAAATCATCAATAAATATCACCTCTCCTCCTCTGAAGAGCAGCGATAAGAGCCTACCTTGGCGCGCAGTCACTTTCACCTACTCAAACCTCATTTCACCAGCCTAGCGTCACTATCGTCTTCTGTTCTTGATCCTTGTTCTGTTCCTCAAAAGCCTCCCCCAGCGCTGTCTCTGTACACAGGTCAAGACAGCCTCTCACCGTACACTCAACTTTGCCCTACACCAGCAACAAAACAATGGCCGTCAACGCTACAGTCCTCTACCCCGCCGAGGAGGGCGCCACCTTCGACTTGAACTACTACCTGAAAACCCACATGCCGCTGGTCAGCGAGAAATGGGGCCAGTACGGCCTGAAGGGGTGGAAGGTGGTCGAATTCCAGGCGGCCCCGGACGGCTCCAAGCCCTACAGCATCGCGGCGTTGTTGACCTGGGAGACGGCCGACGGGCTCAAGCAGGCTCTCAGCAGCCAGGAGGCGCAGACGGTGTTTGGCGACGTGCCCAACTTCAGCAACAAGTCCCCGCTCTTCATCGCGGGTGATATTGTTGGTTCTTCGTGAGTGAGTGCCTTGCTGCTCTGTGACGCATGGAGGAACGCTCCCCAAGAGGTACATACGCGATATGAAAGATCCCCCGTATGCTGCTTGTCCGCGTGCTAACAAGTTGATCTAGGGCAGGAAAGAGTCGATTGTGAAGAACGTCGAGTCAGGGGTGCTTGAGAGAAGGAGCAGAGCCAGTCGCAGGAGGATACGGATTCCTTTCGCCTCATCAATGGGGATTTGAAACTCAATATCTCGACATGTTGAATTGAAGGCCGTGATTCTCCCCGTGCGCAGCTGGGAATGCCTTCTACCTTCCACCGTGAGCCTTTTCCGATATCGTTGCAAAATCGAAAAAATGCATATGAGTCTTCCCAGAAAGGAGTGGAACTTGCCTTCCAGTACCACAAGAGCCGTCATCTCATCACAGCCGCCTCCAACTCCTGGGAGGATCACGACAGACTCCCCCAGGCCTTTACATTGCGCATCGTTCAAAACAGAACCTTGAGCGGTCTCAAATAGCCCTTCATGAACTCAACACATGGCCCTGCATTGACCGCCGCGTGTAGTCCCGCCTCGTCGTAGTCACTGTATGTTCCATGGCGCCCGCTCTCGCGCATTTTCCTGCAACCGGCACTGCTTCTGGCTTCCCAAATCTCCCCTCCAAAGTGATGTTTCGCCACGTCCACGCACACATTCACCTTCTTCCTAGCTCCGTCGCACCCTTCCCGTGCGTTCGTCTTGTCCGGATTTGTCTTTCGAGGGCCGGCTCACTGTCAAAGAGCCTCCTCGTGCTCTTGTCGACTCGACGGCCCCCGTCTCAGGACATGCTGGAGTAGCAATCCAATGCCAACCGTGACGGCCTTGCATAGACTCGTAGTTCACACCGCGAGAGCCAGCTCAGGCGAAAAGAGGGGGGGGAGATCATCAAACAAGGCTCCCAGTCTCGAGCAAGACCGGTGACAGAAAAGGGTTTTAACCACAACGAGCCAGCCTGGAAGAGATGAGATGCTATTGATATCAATATCCTCGATCGGTATGTATTGGGGCTCCAGACCAAGAGCTCCCGCCACTTTGGGAAGAAAAACGACGGTCGACGCGAGCAGCCATTGCTGGATCGAGGTTGATGTCTCTGCAACATGTCCATGAGTAATCAGTCATCCTACGTCAACGAGGCTGTCCGCGAGAGTTTACATGCTCGGGCTGACCTATCCGCTATCTCGATAAGTCCCTGGGTTCGGCGAATCTGCGCTTCCGGAGCTGATTAAGCGTCGCAATTCGCCCCGGGCCAGCACGGGCTGAAAACCATTGGGGGTTGGGATGGAGTGGTATACGCGCATTAGGGGTGATGGGTGACGGGAAATGCTACATATCAATCAACGACCAGACGATGCAGTGGTCCGTCAATTTCCTCTTGTTTGGCGCAGAAAGGAGTGAAACAGGGCAACAAGACTTCATTTGATAGCACCTTTTGACTGACCAGGCTGGGCCCCTGCCAGACCGCTATCCAACACCGTCACATCATGATCCCTCCTCTTCTCACCCTCCCGTACGAGCTCCGTCTGCAGATATGGAATCTTGTTCTTGGTCCAACTGAAATCGAACCTTGCAGATGCCCCTCAAAACCCGGCTCATGCACCTACAATCACCCTGGCGGATGTTGTGAAGGCTTCGACGTTTACAAACGTTTCGATAACCGCCTCTTGAGGGTATGCCGCCAGATCCACAACGAGGTTCAGCCGCTGCTCAGTTCGCCGAAGCACTTCATTGTATGCAACGGACTCTGCCTGGAGAGTTTGTTCTTGGGTATCCAGCCTCGACATCGCAGATGGATCAAGCACGTGAGAGTGGGCTTGTACATTGGCGATTCAGCGCCAGATGCTCTGAAAGCCTAGCATGGTCAAGAACTGTTGTAGAGAGCAGAGGCGTCATGCGGACCTTTCGTCCAAAGTGCATTGAAGTGTCAGGGAGTAGGACGTGTATTAGATGTGGTGTCAGTGAGAGAGATCGAAGTTGACGACATGGGAAAACGGAAGCTAAGCGTGGATCTGATCCTGGGTTGATCCTATGTTCGTTCTGCCAGTGCACAAAACCTGCCTCGAACCGAAAACTCTCATGCACTCAGCATACCTGCTCCTCAGCTGGCTTTGAAGCAATGCTAGGGCGAGTGGAGAGGCGGAGGCGTGCACAGAACTTTCCGCCAGGAACCAAAGTTGTGTTGAGAAGACAGGAGGGAGCTTGTCAGGATAGTCATCCATCTTCGATCTCCAGAGCGAGAACAAAGAGCTTGATAACTCCGAGTAGGGATTTGGCCTCGCGCAAGAGATTCTGAACGGGTGAGGGAAGGAACGACAGCTAGAACCACAGCAGGAGGCGACGAAGCACTTGCTTGTGGAGTACATACATTGTACATGTCGAGCTAGGCCGCTCAGTTAAAGATATCGGTGGCGCATGTTGCAGGTCCTTCGCCATGGCTGTGATAACAAATCCCGGAAAATTAACACATCCTCGCATCGCTAGTCTGCAGGGTGGCTGAGCAGGTATTCTATTGCGCCGTTCACATTGCCCCCCGTTCTTCGCAGTGCCTGAACATTCCGGTCGAAATCATAGAACCCCATCTCATTCAATTGCTGTAGTTGCTGCGCATATCGCTCCTCCGGCGGTCGGTTGTCTGCCGGTGTCGGTCGGCCACCGTCACCGAGGAGATTGAACAGGCCACCATAATCCATACCCTCGCCACCTTGGCCGGCGTTCATTTCTTGTAGGAATTGCTGCATTGCCTCGGGGTTCTGGAGGAATGGATTGTGCTGAGGGTTAAACGGGTTGAGAGGGGGAGGTGAAGTGGTGTTCGGACTTCCACCTTGCTGCGGAAACAGTGCCATGAAAGGGTTGATACGCTGCGGCGTCGGGTTTGCCGTATTCTGGGGGGTCTGGGGCTGTTGACCACCGGCTTCTTGGTTGTTGGATCCAGCCTCTCCACTTCGGGCTCCTGTCGCATTGGTGTTGGGGGTGCCGTAGGCGTCTGAGAGGGCTTGGGTTGTTTGTCTCAATGATTGTAACATGGCGAGCAGCTGTTCGGCTTGCCCAGCCTGGCCAGGCTGACCTTGCGGTGGAAGTCCTAGAGGGTTGTTGGGTGTATTTTGAGGAGTGCCGCCTGTGGTGCCCCGTTCGGTGGTGTTGGTGACACCGGGTGCTGGAAAAGCCTCTTCTCTGCCTGCACCTCCGAAAGGACTCAGACCCATCTCTTGCTGCATCTGCATCATGTTCCTAAGCATTTGAGGGTTCGTCATCATGGATCTGAAGTAGTCAGAATTGAGCATTTGCCTCGCTTGGGGCCCCATCGCTCTAAGATGTGGGTTCTGATTGATGATCATGTCTTGGACTTGAGGGTTGCCCATGGCCTCGCGCATCATCTGCTGGAAGTGGGGGTTATCCAACTGGCGCAGGAAGTCGTCTGGTGTGAGGTTTTCTTGGAACATGCTGGCGTTGGGCAACTGGGCAAAGCCGGCATACCGTGCACCGGTCAAACCAGCCAGAGGATCATTCCCAGTGCCCGATGCCAGGTTTTGTGGTACTCCCGTTGCGGCTTGCGGTGCAGTTCCCGGGGCAGGGGTCGAGGTTGAAGAGGATTGTGTCGCCGGGTTCTGTCTTTGATTGCTAGCGGCGCTCTTAACTAGATGCATCGTGTTGCCTTCTTTCACATTATGAGAGGCGAGGGTTTCATGGTCTTTCAGCACCTTTCCGCTGTAAATCAGCCGCTGAGCCGATGCCGGAACATTGGCGAACTCTTCAGAGGCGAGTTTGTTCTTCAGGTCGATTGTCGTCGTCGACAGAGGCAAGGTCAGCGTCCATTTCTGGCTACCCGAGGATTTGACGTGGAAGGTGACGGTGGCATCTTCAGCACCAGCAGCGTCGGCCATTGTTGAGAAGCCGCGCAGGCAAGGCCTTTTCTGCTCGATGGATTTGTAATTCTGATGGGTGAGGGAGGCGATGCTCAGACCGGACAACGGAGCCCAAATCGGGGCAGCTCGTTTGATAATGGATCTGCCAGAGATACGCAGAAGAGATGAAGGTAAAGCGAAAATGGCCTCTCAAGACAGTTGGGAGACTTGAGGAGTAAGACTAACAAGTGCGTACGCAGAGTGGCATGTCAAAGATTTCTGATCAAGAGCAAGAAGAACAAGACGACTGACCACCTGGCCGATGGATCGATGGCAAGAGTGACGAAGTCGATCGAGTTCCCGGAGCCAGTTGCAGCTGCGCTGAGTTCCTGGCTGCGCAGCTGCGGTACCAGCGGTGTTGGCCGCATGACCGGGTGCCCTCTATTGTGCCATTAAGGGGAGGGGCTGCCCGCGCCACTAGGCTACACCATGCCGAGGGGAGGAGGCCATAGCTGCCTGTGGCCCCAGAGGACAGCTCTCGGCGCAGTTACCCCATCAAGTCCCCAGCCAGAACTCGCTCTTGGCGAGCGTGAACTTTTTTGCGCCGCTCAACTTGCTGGCTTGTGAAATGCGACACAGCGAGAGGTCGATTTTTGACGACTCAGGTCCACGATCAAAGACAAAAAGAGCACTCCATGAGGATACCATAGGCTTGACATTCTGCGCCAATGCAAGCCGCCATGTCACTGGATATTTCCTAGAGTTGCAACGCATACAAAAAAGCACTCCCAAGTCTTCTTAGGCTCGCGCCCACCATGGCGACGACGAGCTCTATGTTTATGTATAGCTTGACTATACAACCTCCTTCAGCCATCACTCAAGCAGTCTTGGGTCAGTTTGCCGGTACAAAAGAGCAACAGATCATCACAGCATCGGGCTCCAAGCTCACCATCCACAGACCCGATCCTACCCAGGGAAAAATCTCCCCTCTCTTTACCCAGGATTGCTTTGGCATCATTCGGTCCCTTGCCGCTTTCCGACTGGCGGGGAGCAGTAAAGGTCAGTTGTATCTTCGTCGACTGAGGCACACACACTAATACGTCTGCTAGATTATCTGATTGTCGGCTCGGACTCCGGGCGCATCACTATCCTCGAATATCTCCGCGACCAGAATCGTTTCAATCGAGTACATCTCGAGACCTACGGGAAATCAGGCATTCGAAGAGTTATACCCGGTCAATATCTCGCTGTCGATCCGAAAGGACGAGCGTGTCTGATTGCCTCCATCGAGAAGAACAAGCTCGTCTACGTTTTGAATCGAAATGCTCAAGCCGAGCTTACCATTTCTTCTCCGCTCGAAGCCCACAAACCCCAAACGCTTGTCTTCGAATGCATCGCCCTTGATGTCGGTTATGAGAATCCCATATTTGCAGCGCTCGAAGTCGACTACAGTGAGGTGGACCAGGACCCTAGTGGGCAAGCTCTGGAGGAGGTGGAAAAGCTCCTGGTCTACTATGAGCTTGACCTCGGCCTCAATCATGTTGTCCGCAAATGGACCGAGCCTGTAGCAAGGAGCGCCACCAAACTATTTCAGGTCCCTGGTGGATCTGACGGGCCCAGCGGCGTTCTTGTCTGCGGAGAAGACAATATCACGTACAGACACTCAAATCAGGAAGCTTTTCGTGTACCAATCCCAAGGAGAAGAGGTGTGCTTGAGAATCCTGAACGCAAACGCCACATCGTGGCGGGTGTTATGCACAAAATGAAAGGCCAGTTCTTCTTGCTTCTGCAAACCGAGGACGGCGACCTCTTCAAAGTCACCATAGACATGGTGGAGGATGACAGTGGTCAGCCAACGGGTGAGGTGAAGGCACTGAAACTGAAATACTTCGACACAGTCCCTGTGGCGAACAGCCTGCTTATTTTAAAGAGTGGATTCTTGTTTGTGAGCAGCGAGAGCGGCAACCACCATTTCTACCAATTCGAAAAACTTGGAGACGACGATCAGGAGACAGAATTCACGAGTGATGATTTTCCTTCAGACCCAACAGAACCCTACTCACCAGCGTACTTCCACGTACGACCCCTATCAAATCTCAACCTTGTACAAAGCATAGATGCTGCAAACCCCTTACTGGACTGCAAGGTCGCGAACCTCCTCGACGAAGACGCTCCACAGATTTACTCGATATGCGGGTCAGGCGCTCGAAGCAGTTTCAAAACCCTGAAGCACGGTCTGTCCGTTTCAGAGATTGTGGAGTCGGAGCTTCCTGACAAGCCCGAGGCTGTGTGGACTACGAAGTTGACAAGGGAAGATGAATACGACGCTTATATCATACTCTCTTTCCGCACTGGAACCCTGGTGCTTAGCATCGGAGAAACGGTGGAGGAAGTCACAGACACGGGCTTTCTGTCAACGGCTCCGACCCTTGCTGTCCAACAGCTGGGCGAAGATGCTTTGATTCAAGTACATCCCAAGGGTATTCGACACATTCGAGTAGACAAGCGGGTGAATGAATGGCCGGCACCTCAGCATCGATCCATTGTCGCTGCTACCACAAACGAGCGACAAGTCGCCGTGGCCCTGAGTTCGGGTGAGATTGTCTATTTCGAGATGGACACTGATGGATCCTTGGCAGAATACGATGAGCGGAGAGAAATGACTGGGACCGTGACCTGTCTGTCACTTGGAGAAGTGCCTGAAGGTCGGGTTCGAAGCTCATTCCTCGCCGTTGGGTGCGACGATTCGACTGTCAGGATATTAAGTCTGGATCCCGATTCGACGCTCGAAAACAAATCAGTGCAAGCATTGACCTCGGCGCCTTCGGCGCTATCCATAATGGCCATGGCAGACTCCACGTCTGGCGGGAGTACACTGTATCTCCATATTGGGCTCTACTCCGGCGTTTACTTACGAACGGTCCTCGATGAGATCACGGGCGAGCTCTCGGACACGAGGACGCGCTTCTTGGGTCTGAAGCCGGCAAAGCTTTTCCGCGTCTCGGTGAAAGGGCAGAATGCTGTAATGGCACTAAGTTCCCGGTCATGGCTTGGATATACTGACAGGCAGACGAACGGTTTCATGCTGACGCCACTTGACTACGTCGGTCTGCAGTACGTCTGGAATTTCACCAGTGAACAATGCCCCGAAGGAATGGTGGGCATTCAAGGACAGAATCTAAGGTGAGTTCTGTTTCCCTAAGCCGAAGTCTTTCAAGTGATGAAATCATAACTATGCTCTTTCCGAGAGTCAATGACTCGTGCGGACTCCAAAACTCAACCAATTGTTCCTTCTGATGTTTTTGAAACTGCAATCTGTTTTAATTGCCTCTCTCCGGCTTTGTCTAATTGTCTGCCCTAGGATATTCACGATCGAGGATCTTTCTCGAAATCTACTCCAAGAGAACATTCCCCTACCATATACGCCCAGGAAGTTCGTCAAGCATCCGGAACAACCTTTATTCTATGTCATTGAGGCAGACAGCAATGTTCTTGCGCCTGCGACAAGGACAAAACTGCTCACAGAGTCTACGGCAGTTAATGGGGACGCCGTCCAGCTCCCTCCCGAAGAGTTTGGATATCCTCGTGGGACTGGTCACTGGGCGTCATGTATCCAAATTGTTGACCCGGTCACGAGTAAATCCGTCGTCTTTACACTTGAGCTGGAGGATAATGAGTGTGCCACCAGCATTACAGCAGCCCCCTTCGCAGGACAAGATGATGAGACCTTCCTGATCGTTGGGACAGCAAAGGATTTGGTGGTCAGTCCTCGTTCGTTCTCGGCGGGCTTCTTACACGTTTACCGCTTCCACGAAGACGGTAGAGAACTCGAATTCATCCACAAAACGAAAGTGGAGCAACCTCCGACCGCCCTGCTTGCTTTTCAAGGTCGGCTTTTAGCGGGCATTGGAGCAGAGTTGCGAATCTATGACCTCGGAATGAAACAAATGTTGCGCAAATGCCAAGCGCAAGCAACAACGAATATCATCGTCGGCTTACAGACCCAGGGAAGCAGAATTATCGTCAGCGACATCCAAGATAGTGTGTCATTTTGTGTTTACAAATACCAAGAAAACAAGCTCATCCCCTTTGCCGACGATGTCATTGCTCGCTGGACGACTTGTTGCACAATGGTCGACTACGAAACTGTGGCAGGCGGGGACAAGTTCGGCAATCTCTGGTTATTGCGTTGCCCAACCAAGGCTTCTGAAGAGGCCGATGAGGACGGCTCGGGTGCGCATCTGATCCATGAACGAGCGTACCTCAACGGCGCGCCCAATCGATTGAGTCTTATGGTCCACTACTTCCCGGGCGACATCCCGACCAGCATTCAGAAGACGAGTCTCGTGGCCGGCGGTCGAGATGTTGTGTTCTGGACAGGATTTCAAGGCACAATCGGCATGCTCGTGCCATTCGTGAGTCGGGAAGACGTTGACTTCTTCCAGTCTCTGGAGATGCAACTTGCGTCGAACAATGGCAACCCTCCGATTTTGGGCAGAGATCATCTCATCTATCGGTCGTACTATGCGCCCTCGAAAGGCATCATTGACGGCGATCTGTGCGAAACCTTTTTCTTGCTCTCGAACGACAAGAAGCAAGTGATTGCGGGAGAGTTGGATCGAAGTGTTAGGGAGATTGAGAGGAAGATTTCGGATATGAGGACACGAGTGGCTTACTGATCCTGCCAGGCGATGCTAGTGGCGTCCCAGAGACGAACGGCGCCGGGGAGTGCTATTGCCGTTTGCGAGGGTTTGAATCTGGGTGGCCCCCGGCTTGGATTGACGATACCCTTACCAGTTGCACAGGTGACAAACGAATCAATGTGAGTCGAAATATACTTGCTCGACCGGATACTGTTCTGCACAGGCAGTTCTTTACGTTCTGGCTGTGCCAATCCACTGGCTCGCTCCTTCGCCAGGTTCTCTGTCCTTGTCCGCTCATCCGTGACAAAACGAACAACCTTTCTCTCCTTTCTGTTTTTTCTGTTTCGAATCACTCCTTTCCCCGAGGGAGGGAGTGTTCCGTACGTCTCTTACCTCGCTCGATCTGCATCTCTTGCCAATTGCTTGATCTTGAGCTGGTTGCTGCCGTTGCTGCGGCGGTCCTTCACCGGATCGTGTTACGCATGCGCACACGCACGCACGAGACAAGAACGAAAAGCTACTTTTCTTTGCCGATCTTTGAGTACGATTCCATCTTCCCCTCTTGGTGCGTGGTGGGCATTGTAATTTATACGGCAGGACATGACGTGACGACACATGGTAGGAGGACGGCAGGATAGGGTAGGGTATCGTGCCCTTGACGCAGGTATTTCATCTTGAAAGGTAAAGGCGGTTAGTGCTTGCGCTCCCCGTGTTTTGATGCCCGATCTGATTGTATAGGGTGACGCTCATTTTTGTTTCATGTTTCTTTGCTATCTGGATTACATGTCTGGTTCAAGGGGGCGGGATCAATTCCAGCCCCTCAACAGTCAACTTGAACGCGTCCGGGCGTGCATAATGGCCCGTGGCGTCAAAATCCAGATGGCCCCTCTCGCAATCGTCGAAGTCGACTTCTGCCCACAAGAGTTCGTTGTCTTTCTCCCAAATCGGCCCTGCGATGGTTCGACCGAGCGGGTTCACGATGCAGGCGCCACCTCGGGAGACGAAATCTTCGCCATCATTGTGCAAGGAGGAAGCGTTAGCATTCAGCTCCAGTTTGGAAGACTCGAGAGGCTTGCTTTCGTCGATCGGGGCGTCTTTGCAGCGCCATGCTATCTCGTGGTTTTCTTCCGTGCGGGTCATGGAGAGCCTCCGGCCACCAGTCGCGATGTGGTGGTTTGGAGAAATAATGCCATTCATAAACGTCTCCGACTCGGGCTTCGGCCGTCTCGACAACCACTCGCTTGGATTGCCTGTGATCCAAGTAGGCAGGTCCTTCTTCTTCATACATTGGTTGGTTGAGAGAACAAAACATCGGCCTTCTCCAGCAACAGTCCTCATCAGCGGTTCCCACGTATCCCTCGCGTCCGCCGTAGGTGCTAACCATAAATTCACACCTTGGCTGTAGAGACTGTACCGTAACAGGGGCATGAAATTCTCCCAGCATATAGCACATCCCATGACCACTCTAACACCTTTGATGGTGGTAGCTACCGCTTTCAATGTAGAAGGCTGACCTTGTGCCCATACCAGCCGCTCCGAACCTGTGGGCATAATTTTCCTTCTCTTGCCTATGATCCCTCTCTTCGGGTCGACATATACTGCCGCACAATAGAGGCTTCCTCCTGCCTTTTCGATGAGCCCAGTGACGACAAACACACCTGTTTCTCGTGCAACTTCTTCGAGAAACTCTCTTGTGCCATCCCCTCTTCGGCCCGTCTCTTTGCTCACTGGTAGCTTCCGTTCGATCCAGTCATCTCCAGCTCCTTGCGGTGTATCCCCTAGATCCACCGCAGACTTAGTGTAGGCGAGAAACTGGTCACGCCCGGTATCTGTGCGTGCTCCGACAGCTGCGCCGAAGGAACATGTTCTCGGATACCCACCTAGGTAGGCTTCGGGGAACAGAAGGATGGACAAATCTTTCTGCGCAGCCAACAGGGTGGTTTCACGAAGGGCGGACAGGGTCTCTGGCAGGGACGAAAGTGTGTGCGATTGGGATACCCCAATTTTCAGTAGCTGAGGCATTGCGTCGAGAGGGAGAGCTGGACGCAGTATCGGGTAAGGAGCGAGCTGAGATCGAGAATCACACGGACGTCGCTGTCAGCTCATAGTAGCACAGAAGACTACAAGAATTCAATCAAGCACTGAATACCTAGGTATACACAGAAGACAGCAGGGACGGAGTAGTGCGACCAGCAAAGACACTGGAGGAGCAATTGCGGGGGAGATGCTGTTTTGCGGAACTAACACTTGCCTTCAGGGGCTAGTTTGCCGAGAGGCTCAGTGGAAAGTCAGCCGACCATGAGGCTCCCCCCTAAATCTCAGCCTCGAAGCCTTGTTTCTTCTCACGCGTTAGGCTGAGCAGCCAGGCGATGAGTAGCGAACAGAGCTGTTTGTCGTCCGCAAAGCAGAGTATGCTTGGTGCGGCTTGGGTGATCTGCCCTCACCTAAACACACCTATACAACAAAGCAATGGGGTAGCTGTTCTGACAGGTGAATGGCTATGATTTGACAAATCTTCAAACCTTTCAGCTCATTACCGATTACCTTGAAGTCGAGTGAGACAGCTAGATCAGCGAGTCTGCTGTCTCCGGATCTTGCCACTGTGGAATCACAGGGAGCTAACGGCCTGCGTCTGGCATACTAGGCTCCTAACTGCGGCCTCTTTCTCGTCGCAGAGAATTTTGGTCCAGCTTCATTTTTCACCCAATCATTCTCATCGCATCTCTCACGCTACGAAGAAGGTAGAGGGATTTACCGTACACCTGGTAAGGGTTTTCCCATACATCTAGCTCTAGCCACCGAGCTCGCCAACTTTCAATGCCCTTCGAAGCATGTCTGGGCTGTCAGAGCCCACCCCGAATGGTGAGGAGGCTCACTCTGCGACAGAACGCCACTGCCAGGGTGAAGATACATCTCTTTCATCCGGAGTGTATGAGCACAGTGTTACAGGGCACAGCTGCGACTTGTCAGTCAAAAGTTGTGGCACTCTCGATTACTTCTAGGGAGTGGCATTTACTGGGACAGATCGGGGTTTTGGAAGGCAATCTTCAATCGTGCATAATTTGGCTGTCCCGTCTCATCATCTTGACGGCTGAATTCGCCCAAAAAAACATCACCCGTCAATGCGGGAGAGAACACGCTCCCAGGCACGACCTCAAGCATCCCGTGTCTTTACGCTACAACGACCCGAGACTGCGGTCAATGTACAACGACTCTGTTTCGGATGTTCCGTGCTTCGAGAATGATTCGAGGAAATCAAGCCACAGCCTCACGGAACTGATGCTGCTCCAGCATAAGTGACACGTCTTCTCGTAAGATGTGGGCTATACCTGTTGCTGAAAAAAGGGAGGCAAAAGGCCAACAGGTATATGGCGAGACGAAGGTATAAGTTCATGACCATATCCTTCCAGTCGATTGCTTCAAGACTTCCAAACGCACTTCAACCATCGACTCTCGTTTTGTCATATCCGTGATTTGACCAACTAGCCATATCTGGAACTTTGCCGATCACAAAATGAAGGCTCAACTCCTCCTTGCATTGCTTCCCTTCGTTGCTAACCTGGCAAATGCTGGTCCTATTGCAGATCCTTCACCATTGGAACCTGAAGGTCTGTCTCCCGCATGCTGCAAAATCCACGATGGTCTGAACTACGAGAAGCGTGTCTGACCCTTGTGACTAGTGCTCAACAACCTCGCTGAAAGGCAAGGTGGCCTCATCGGTGGTGTCATTGACGGTCTCCTCGGTTCACTGGGGGCTACCACTGGACTCCTCCTCACTGGCGTGGGCGCTTACGAAGTTGTCGTCGAAGGGTTCGTCGCCAACATTACTCGGACTTTGGGGGTTTTCGTCTAAGAGCACTGTGGTCTTGCACAAGGAGGAGGGGGTCTGCGGGGGTTTTCACGGTTCCGTGAACTAGAGAGCGTTTGTGGTCCTTCGGAGAAAGGGTTGAGCGAATCTCGTCGTCAGTCAGCTACATTGCATGGAAGTTTGGACTCGAACCAGGCAGACAATCTGGGGGGGGGAGGTGGGAGAGGCCCGAGCTGGTGTGGAGGTTGGCATTGGTCATTCTCTCGCGGAGCACCAGCTCTTGTTCGGAAATCCATTGACACACACATTCTCGCTGTCCTCCAAATTCCCTTTTCCGGGGCAATCGACCACCGTGGTGTTCCCGTCCGTTCGAAAAACCCAACCGTCTTCGATGGCCACCCCTCCTCTCCATCCCCGATCCCACCGTCGCCGACCGCGCTTGGTGACCCGAAATCGGGATGCTCAACCCCGCATTTCCAATCCCCGGCATCCCAGTGGACGAAGAGGCCCTATCCCGTTCGGAAAACGATATCCCAGTGGGGCAGATGCTTCCGGCTCTTTTTCATGCTCTGCGAGTCGTTGGTGTAATAGGTGTAGGGTGTAAGGTGCAAGGTGCTCCCATCATCGTTCGTGGGCCCCGATGTGGAGACAATATCTAGGTTGCACAATGGAGAGCTGGTTAGCACCGAGGTTATGTTTGTTCCCTGGTTAGAATCGATCTGCTCTATCGAATGGCAATCAGGGGCGGCCCTCTCTGGTCTCTGCCGTGCCAAAGAATTGTCCCGCACTGAAAGTTCCCTCCATGGCCCATGGGCCCCCTCGGGCACTCGTCGTGGGGAGGTGAATTGCTGAGGCTGGCGGCCGGGCTCGTGTCTTTCTCAAGAGGGAGGCCTGATATGGGGCGATCGGGCGGATTCATGGCTCGCGTTTTGAGGTTCTCTACCAACAACTGACGTCGGACCTGTAATCAATCATTGGCTTACTCGGGAAAGGCAACAAAAATCGGGGTAAGTGGGTCGTCGGAACAAGCTGTGTACGAGTAGGGCCGCAGCAAGGACATAGGATCGGAGATAATGATGCATGGGTGGATGGAGAGCATGCGACGATGGACAACAGAGAGGGCAAGCAAGTCTTGGAAGCATCAGGTTCCATTGTCAGTGTATAATTGAATAATCCGGAAATATATGAAAAATTGGCATTCTTGCGACAATGAATCCCTTTTTTTTTTCCCTCTCATGGTTCCGTCTCCCTCAAGGCTGTCCTTCGTGTGCCAGGCTGTAGGCAAGGAAACCCTTTCTCACTGTGCTCTTTCCCAGATTCTCTTCCATTGAGAACTTCATGTAATTCGTACAGTAAAACCAAATCCTTCCCGAACTGTGCTTCCCAATGACAAAATGAAAACATCGCATCAACGCCCCAAGTGTGATTGGCAGGATATCATGGTGTTAAAACATCGTCGCACATAAATCGTGGTCGAAAGTCATCATGAATAGAAGATCGTCCCAGGTCCAGTAGATCAACGGCGCAAAAATAACTGGTGAAAACGATAGACGCAAAGTTCGGCGTAAGGACCTAGTTACCCAATTTCAAAAACTTGTGGATGGTGACTGGCTCGGTCTGTGGGCTCTTGACCGCCTCGACAGGAGACTCAACAATGTCAGATGGTAGAGCAGGTTCTTCGGCGGTAGAGTTGGATTCCGCCGAGACGCTGGAGCTGGATCGTCGAGTCTTCTGGAGTGCAGGAACTAGAGATTCGTCGCTGGTGGCGGGAGAAGTGAAGGGAGAAGTGACATGGACGCGGTGAGCGGCGGGGATGAGGGTGAGGAAGTTGTTGGTTGGGCTGGACATTTTGATGTGTAAGCGACTGGTTTGTAGTGTTCCGGTGGAGTGGAATGTGCAGGGCCGAAGAGCTGGTGATTGAAAGGTTCAAGGAAGGAAACTGAGGTCGGATGTCGCAAATAAAGAGTGTTGTGATGTTCTTTATGTGAGTTCTTTGTTTCCAATGACGCAACGACGATTTTGGTGGTTAAGGTTGCCTCGGGAATGCGGAAGTCACACGTGCAGACTTATGCTTAGAATATGTCGGCTGAGGCTGAGTGATGTCCTTGTGGCGTCAACAGATTGGAAATCAAGTTGTGCCCGTGATTCCAAGGTTTTGCGGGATGGCAAGAAGTGGGTTTGACAGATGGGGACTTCCTGATCGAAGGAAAAAGAGGATTGTGGGAGCTCCTTGGGCGTGGGTGCCGTTCTTATAGACTGCCCCTCTCCCACAATTCCTCATACGATCCCGAGATTAGGTCAGAAAGATACGAGTCAACATGGTATTGTCAAGGGGGAGCCCAAACCATTCGTGCCGTGGACGATGTCCAGGGCGAATTGAATGCCTGTAGATCGCGGATAAAACCGGTAGCATGGTAGTGAGTTCTTGAACGTGTTTCGATGGGCATGATGGTCAAGGCTTCGAACTTGGACATGGACATCGTCAGTGGTGGATCCCATCCCAAGCTAATGTAAGCCCGGGAATGACCGTGGTTAACCTCGGTTAGTGTGGCATGATAATCAGGGCCCCGAACGATGCCTGTGGTGGCCTGTGTAACGCACGCTGATGACGGAGAATTGTGAGATGCAAGTTGCCCGTGTTTGGTGGCATGGAAGCTGCCTTCAGAGGGCTGGCTTCGACTTGAAAGGTCCCTACCTGCAGGGAAAATGTGGCCTTGTCGGTGTAACCTTTGCTGGTGTCAAAGCCATTGGTAATGGCGCTGTTGCCGGACCGTAGGCGGCATGAGCTCACTCGAGCTGTGGCGGCACGTGGTGGGTGGCGACCTGAAGGCTGGAATGTGCTCCCACACTACCTGATTGTGATACGAGACACGGCGTGCCAATAACTTGGGGAGAGGCGGGCATCGCAAGTCCCACGGAAAGCAACGGAAAGCCGACTAGGCCTCTCAGAGGCTTGACTGCAGGGGCTGATGATTGCCTCAGGACATTCTTGTTGGCACCATCCAGAGCCAGAATGGGGAATTGTGACATTCTGCTTCCTTCAGTCCGAAGGCAATATCCGGAATCCGGAGATATGGTTCCGGCGACGATGTGGGCTCACCTTGGCATGTGCGGCGGCATTTCAGATCGTCATCTAGAGCATACAAGGACATTATTTTCCTGATACAACGACGAGATGATGGGATGATTGATGAAAGAGGATGAAGATGAAGAATGGCGGTGAAGTGGTGCAGGAAAAGTCCGCAGGCTGTGGGGCTTGGCATGGGCTTCCTGCGCCTCTTGGCGTTTCCGGGCTTCGATACAAGCACTGCAGGTGGTGATCCTCGACCACTAAATACACCTCCTCATTCAGCCCATCCCTTCTCCTATGTGTATACGGCACGAGTACGGTCATATGTCCTGCGCCATGCTAACTTTGCAAACACCTCCTGCAAGCCCGATCGATGCAATGTCTTCACGCCACCGCATGCTCTATGTATATCCGAGGAAGAGCGGTCAGGACAGGAGAGTTGATTGTCGGACTCGGTATGCATAAGATGGCTGGGAGGCGAAAGAGACGGACACCCTGCACACGTTCCTACAAGAGAACTCTCTAGAGGCACATCCCCTCGCTCTTTGAAAGGTCTCATGCACGCGTCTAGGATACCGTTTTGGGAAAGCTACCCTGCTCGCAAATCTGGCCACATGCTCTCGACGAATGGCGACAAAAGCAATTTCCAGAGACGGATCTCTCTAGCACGGTGAGAACCTTCCCACGCTAGTCGGTTGCCATCTTGCAAGGGACATTATGCCGGTCTGGGACCCTCGCTGTCGCTTCATGGGCTAGAATGGGCGAGTGGGGAGTCTGCACAGGCCAAGCAGATCAGCAGAGAACCGAAATCTTATCCACGACTGCTTGAACGGAGAACTTACATTTCTACTGTTCTGGTCGCCGTGGGAAATGATCATGCCTTATGGAGTGGGGGTTTCCATCACTCATCAGCTTGACCAATGCTGCGGGATTTCCCCTCGAACTTTCGGGGGCGGTGAATCAATGCTTGGAAAATGTATAACATATTTGGAGCGCGGCACCACCATCTTGGAATCCACTTGATCCGTGAAGAGGTACATCCTCTGGCCCTTATGCGACCCAAAACGACGCCGTGAGAATGTTCGAGGTCGTCAGGGGGTGTGATGTTGATCCCATCTTGGCTGCAGCTTACTTACCCTCTGGCTTACCACTTCTAAATTTGAGAGCTTTTACTCTCCTCTGGCTTGCGGAATGGGATAGAATACTTGGCATTTCTTCCAGGACAGATGTTTGATCGGCCGTTGGCTGATACTGATCTACTCTGCACATATTTGTCTGCAGCATAGTGTCTGAAGCAGTAATCTTCCATGAGTCAAGGATAGAGCTTTTGGAAGCCGTGAGCGGTAGTTAGCAGTGATAAAAAAAAACACCAGTTGACTATTGAACTGCTACATCTCTCGCTCAGTCTGTAGTCGGTCCTGCCAGGGGCAAGGCTGTGAGGCGGCTTTTCCAGACCGGCAGAAGCGTCAACAACGCCAAGCCTCGCCACGCTGGAGAGCCTCGTAATTGTCATTACACCTTCACTCCCTTTCTTTTCGTCGAACCCTCGAAGATGCTCCAAGATGTCGGTGGATATCGGATGGGAGAAGATCACTTCGGGCCCTGATGGCGCTGCCCTCGCCGAGAAGATTCGGGCTTTCGTCCATGACAAGTTCCAGCAGATCCCCCTTCCCCGCTTCATCAATGCCGTCCATGTCCATTCATTCGAGCTTGGGTCAGTCTGTCCGGAAATCGAAATCAAGGATATCTGCGACCCGCTTCCTGACTTCTATGAGGACGAAGAAGAGGACGAGGTAGGCGCCGATCAAGAGGTGGATGAATCTGCCATCGGGTCTGCGCAGAACGACGGGGTGGAAACCGGAAGCCACTATGAGGCTCGAGAGTCTGCCTCGTCTTCTCAGCAACCGCGTTCGGTGCCGCAACTGTCCAACATAATCACAGGCTCAGGCCTTGCTCATTTGAATGCCTCGACGTCTGCCAAAGAAGGTCTCAGCGCAGGCGATGAGGCTTTTGCGGGGCCTTTCCCACGAAGCACGACCCCTGGCATCCCAGGCGGCACGTCCAATCTCAGCTACTTCCATTTCCCTGGAGGCGGTCTTTCTGGGACCCAGACTCCGTTAGCAGCAGTTGCAAGCGGAACACCGTTCAGTCCTCGACCTTGGTCGTACGACCCTTCTCATAATTTTGCCATGATGCATCAAACGCCTATTCATGGAGCAACGCACGTGAAGCCAATGGCTCAAGACGTCACAGGTCATGACGATCCATCCACCAGACCTTCCACCGCAAATAGCATCTCGTCTCCACGTGGCTCAGAGTCCGGGCCTTCCTCACCTCAGCTGCCTCACAGAGCACAGCCTGCCGGTGAGAACGGCCAGGGCGATACTACGCTCGATGCATTGACGCCTTTGTCAGCATCTAGGCTTCAGAGCAGGCAGGCGTCAGATCTGCAAGTGGTGGCAAGAGTCAAGTATTCCGGGGACGTGCGCATGACTCTAACGGCCGAGATTCTACTTGACTATCCAATGCCGAGCTTCGTTGGGATCCCTCTCAAATTAGCGATCACCGGTTTGACGTTCGACGGTGTTGCTATCGTGGCTTGGGTCAAGAAGAAGATGCACTTTTGCTTTCTCGATTCCGAGGACGCCGCTACGCTCGTCGGAGAAAGCGTGACAAACAACCACCGTAAAAAGGCAGGTGGCACGACAGGTTCAGGGACCGGTGTGCCTGGGCCACTGCAGGAAATCCACGTGGAAAGCGAGATTGGACGACAGGAGGACGGCAAACAAGTCCTCAAGAACGTCGGCAAGGTGGAAAAGTTCGTTCTTGAGCAAGTCAGGAAGATCTTTGAGGAAGAATTCGTCTTTCCCAGTTATTGGACCTTTCTGGTATGATGTTACGGCAAGCTTGTCGACGGCCTATCGCCAGCAACATCGTCTCTTTGACATAATCCATCGGCGATCTATGACTGCTGGACCGCACCTGAAACGCACTCCTCAATGTTTCGGGAGTCCGTCATCAAAACCGGGAATCACAGCCTTGACCAACACGAAAAGGTCTGCCCCCCAGACCGGTCGCACTCAAGGGGAATTAACCTCATGATGGCCACGTCACGGGTCGCATCATCCAGCTTTGTGTGGCTGCAAAGGATGGCCGCCGAGGGTGCAACCAGGAATCAGGCGATCAAAACCTTGGTCATCCGTGCTTTGGGCCGGTCAGGTACGCAGCCAATAGCAAAGCGGCGGACCCTTGTTGAGATCTGATCCAGCTGCCTCGGTTCGTGCCACGTTCCTCGACAGGGCTGGTATCGGATGTCTAGGGGTCCCTGAAGCGAGAAGTCAAGTTCGAACTTTTTGTTTCCAATGAGCAAATGGGCATCAGAGGAAAATGGGGCATGATGGCTGCCTTCTGTGTCGGCTGGTCGAGATGAGACCGTGCTGAAAGCCATATCGAACATTTGGCTGGTGAATGACGTCGCCATCTCTCCGGGGAAAAGCCATAAATACTCGAGCATCTCTCAACGTCGATCAATCCTCAATCTTCATCTCAATTCAAACTCCTCATACTTAAACATCTCTAAAAATGCAACGCATTCGACAGTTTCTCCGACGCGCCAGCTCTGGAGGGCCTTCAGCCGCCCCTCAAGCGCAGGTTGCGATTGCGGCAGCACCTCAAGCTCAAGCAGCAAGCGGCCCAAGTCTGCAAATTGCGCTGCAAAACCAGACAACGTCCAACACCGTCTATGCCTATATCACAGGCCAAGCGATCGACCGCGGCAACGCGTTGTTTCTCCTGTCCGCGGATGGGAAAACTCCATTCTATCCCACCTCTCCAGGTGCGGTCGGCTCGCCCATCCCACAAAATTGTGCGATTCCTCTCGGAGCCCCGGGAAACACCGTGACGGTGACAATCCCCCATGTGGCTGGAGGTCGCATTTGGTTCTCGATCGATGCACCGTTGAAGTTCCTGCTCAACCCGGGGCCGGCGCTGGTTGAACCGTCTGTCACCAATTCCTCCGACCCCAACATCAACACCAATTGGGGCTTTGCCGAGTTCACGTTCAACAGCGACCAACTGTATGCCAATATCAGCTATGTTGATTTCGTCGGCCCCCCCATCGCATTGACTCTCACGACCCAGAGTGGCGCAACCCAGCATGTCTCCGGGATGCCTGCCAATGGACTGGACCAAGTCTGCAGCGGTCTGCGTGCTCAGCATGCCGCCGACGGCAAGGGCTGGGACCAATTGATTGTCACCCACAACGGGCGGAACCTTCGTGCCCTCTCGCCGAATCAGGGGATGGTGACCAACCCTTCGTTGTTTGCCAACTACTTTGATGCCTACGTGAACAAAGTGTGGCAGAAGTTCGGTTCTCAATCCATGTCCATCGACACCCAAGCGTCCTTTGGCAAAGTGTCCGCCAAGGTCAACAACAACGGCACGCTGAACTTCGGCGGTTCGAGCTTCACGAAGCCGTCGACGCGCGACGTCTTCACCTGCTCGACCGGGCCCTTCGCGACGGGCGCGAATGCCGAGACCAACGCCATCATCCCCCGACTGGCCGCGGCGTTCAATCGCTCGACCTTGCTCGTTTCGAACTCGTTCCCGGCTCCTCAAAGCATGTATTACAAGGACCCCACCACCAACCACTACTCCCGGATCGTGCACTCGGCCAACCTGGACGGGAAAGGCTACGCGTTCCCCTATGACGACGTGCAGCCCAGCGGCGGTGCCGACCAGAGTGGCGAGGTGCATGCCGGCGACCCAAAGCTGTTCACCGTCACCGTGGGAGGTACGCACGCGGCCGTGAAGCCGCCGCCCAAGAAGGAGCTGTGAGGCAGCGGAATGTGCTCGGAAAGATGGCGATGACGAATTTGTACCAATGTCGGTCTCTGATTTCGCTTGCTGTTGAGTTTTGTGAGATTTGTTGTGCCATCTTCTTTTGTAGTCGGAATGTTATGTGAGGATCCTGGCTTGGGCTAATGGAGGAACAATCGCTCGTTTTTTGCTTGGGTAGAATGGATAGAATGGGTCAGGTTCATGTTCTGGTTGCGCACTGGTTTCAGCTATAGACTTTGTTACGATTGCTCTTCATTCGCTCAGGTATGACAGAATTATTATTATGATGATGACGATTGGCTTTCCCCTTCCCCTTCGCCTTGCCCTTGCTCCTTGTCTTCCCCTTGCCCTTGCTCTTTCTCTCACAGACAACGCTGCAACTCCTCCAAAAGTCTCAGTGATCTCCTGTACGACACGCCATCAATCAATTCGGGATTTGCTCCCTGTGAGAGTGAGATCTATTTCCCCCAATCCGAGCTTCGTCTCCTTCTCCGTCCGAGCCTGGCAAGCAGATACACACTCGTGTTTCAGGTTTGATGCGTCGACGTGACATGCATGGGTGATGATCGATGAGGAATGATCCAACTCCAACTCCAACCCCATCCCAGACCCTACCATCCGACATACTCCCGGCCGCCCACAATGTCTGCGCAGTTTTCACGCCAGGGACATTTTCGGCCTTAATGAAAGGGCGTTCCGATCCCTTTGCAGTTGTCCTCGCGCAGCGTGCGGCAGAGTCATCAAACGCGGCTGTGGGAGGTAAGGTTGTGTGTTGCTTGACCGAGCAGCGGAGTGTGTGTGTGTGTGTGTGTGTGTACACAGTGTGTGTGTGAGGGCCCATGGGTCGCCGTCGACGACAGACCGCCATCTGCCATCTGAGGTAAACCGACAGCGAGGGTTGGACGGCGGTCTCCCAGACACGGGTCTCGGCGCACATTGTCCGGGAGGGCGGCTGGGCTGTTCGGCCACTCGGGTTCCCTCTCCTCCCTGCTGTCGGCTACGGTGAGGACGGTCAGGTTCATCTCTCGCTCGAGGGAGCTCGACGTTCGGGTCAATGGGGTCAGAAAAGCGCCTTTCTGGGCTCGGGCCAGGGTTTTGAGGTCTTGGTCGGCATCAATTTCGTCAGCAGCCCTGTTCTTCGGGGGTCAAGGCTTCGAGACCTTGCCAGTGTCCCGGAGAATGAAGGCATGGTCCTGATTTGTTCGAGTTCTGCTGCTTCGCTATGTAGGGCGTAGGGAGTGTCATCACCCTTCGACCATAATGCCCAATATGAATCGGCTTGGTCGTCCAAAGGTTGATGATGGTCTGAGAGCTGTTCCGCGTAGAAACTGTTGGTGTTGTCCAAGCCTTCGACGGCGATGTTGGAGTATGCTTCGGAGACAACTTCGTCGCGGTGTTCTGCTCTGCCTCCTTTGTCCCACTCGGTCGGTGCACCCCGGTCTCCTCATATAGCATCTTGTCTATTTCCCGGCCCATGGCCGCCTGTATATAGTTCCAGGGCCGGGCAATGCTCCGGGTGTTCCTCACGTCTGGAGGCACGAGGGGGGCCAGATGCGGTCAGCGCCCCAGCCTTCAGACAAGAACACCCGGAGCATTGTGCCCCAGGCATGTCTTGGGGTGAAGTCGGACCACTTGAGATAGAGTGATCCCTGCGTTCGGGGGCTGGATCGGTCGCTTGGCCGAACGGTGCATGTGTATATATATATATATATAATAGTGGATGAAGTGGGAAGAGCAGGGTTGAATTGGGGGCGCCCCCTGTCGACAAACTCCTTCATTGGGTAGAGGTCAACTCCTGACTCTCTGAGGCATTGTGAGACGACATGATCTGCGACGATGGTTGGCAGCAACCCCACAAGTGGTGCGGCGTTCCGGACGGCTCTGCCCTCAATATACATATTCATCGTTTTGTTGATCGACTCATCGCCTCCGCCATTACTCGCGTCCTGGCGGCCCCTGGAGTGGAGTAGAGCGTCGGCGAAGGAGTTCAATCTTTCCATCGGCAGCGACATGCCTGCTGGGAGAGAAGGCTGGGTAAGTTTGGCAAGGTAACGACCCCGTCTTCCCCCCCCCCCCCCCATTTGATAGGGATCGGTCGAAGAGATGCTGCCAAAGGCATATAGGTGTAGTCTGAAGACGGGGAAGTAGAGTCAGCAAGAGAGACAGAAAGCCATGAGGGCTAAGTAGTTTGTGCGTACCGTGGCATGGACTCTCGCGCCGTCACGCCGTCCGTCGCGGAGGTACCAAGCGCGATAAAGGGACTCAGTAAGGCGCGGACGGACCTCTTCGGTATTGTCTCATTGGTGAGCTCTTTGCTTCCATTCTGGCGTCATAGGCATTGAAGAAATCCCCTTCGAGACGTTGCGGAGGTCCGTTGATAGGAACCCTTGTACATGTCGGGTTGAAGGGTCGGATTGTGGTCCCCATTCTCTTTGCCGGCCCCCGAGCAAGTACAGCTGCTTGAAGAGATCAGAGACTCATATATATATATATATATATTGTGTCGCACTCACTCCCTCCCCGAAGGGAGTGATCAAAAGTGAAAGAGAGAGGTGAAGGAATCACAGATGGAACGAGAGAGAAGATAAAGAGAACCTGGTGCCAAGTTTGTGTTACACGGCCGCTGAAGCAAACAAAGCCGCAGCATAGCGACGTCACCCGCTTGTCATGTCTCTGAGCGAGCTTCACAGTGTAGAACTCATTTCCTGTCTGTTCAAGCACTCAATTATTCGCATAGCTCTTTTGTTTCCAATCATCCTCTGTGCACAAGGAATGTTCGTCTCAAAGCATCTCCAACACATGCCATCCAATACCTGTTTTGCCCTGAACCAACAGTGTCTTTGTGTAAGCCAACTCGATCCGCCCGTCAATCGCGTCCTCTATCTGTCACTTCTACCTTCACAGCAACCAGCTTCTTGTAAATAGTGGCAAAGACGCGCGGTGCAATCCCTGCCCGCTGTCAATGAATACCCAACTCCCTGCCTAGATCAGAACACCAACATGTTTCATCTGGCGTCGTGTTCCGATTCAAGTCCATCTCACCATCATCAGTTTCCTCCTTGGTCTTCTTCGTCTTCCTCTACTCTTGCTCTCTTACTTCTTCTGGAGTGTCCCTCCGCAGCCCTCACAACGACGACCCGAGAATTTTCAATTGCCTCACGTATTGTATGCGCGATCATTTTGGTGATAATGGGAGGGATGGCCTTGCAAACAGTGTCGTACTGCTCTTCCCTCGACCCGAAGAAGCGCAATTCATCTGGGATACCTTGCATCCGGGCTAGTTCGCGGACGGTGACTCTGTCTTTTCGAACTGTTGTGCCTGGTCAGCCGGCACTGAAAACAAAGAGCAGAGAATAAGTAAACATACCTGGATGAATCCACTCTTTCTGACCATTGAAGAAGGTGAAAGGGGTGTTCCCATCCATCGAGACAGATTGGGCGTCGGATGCAACAGGAATTCCCGTGTAGTGATTGTAAACATGACCAAGTGTGGACATTTCCGCTTCGGGCCCGTGAAGAGTGGGAGGCAAGCACACAAACCCAGTGTTCGATTGAGTCCCCATGCGAGGATTCTCAAAAGCCAAGTCTCCAATCAAGCTACCAATTGTAGTGGGAACCTGAGCTCCAGTGACATAGTGTTCGAACTTCCAGGGCAAAGGCACGCCAAAAGGCGATGCAATGATTGCCAGAATACTCCGTTCTTGCGGGAGTCCGTAATCCCTCAGTGATATCAGCGTTGAATGAACCGAAAACCCCGCTTCTAGAAGTTTGAGAAGCGTTTTGGAGAATCTTGAGCTTGCTTGTGGATGACGAACGGCTGGAGGTAGTAGCATGACGACGAAATCAGGGTTCAACGCCTCAACGGCCTTGTCGACGGCGTCGAGCGGTTTCAGAAACTCGTGCAACGTCGGCATCTGACGGTTCTGCGTGCTCAATCGGAAACATGCATGTTCGCCCGCGAAAAGGTGTATTTTGGGGGTTGCTGGGTCTGGGAGCTGGATCGGCAGGAGCTTTCCTGAGGCGAAGTCCTCGAAAACTTCAGGAATCGCACCGTCAAAGTATTGAGCAGCGAGGTGACGATTCTAGAGTCGTCAGCATCTTGCCCGTGTGTTTCTGTGGCTTCAGAGATTCGTACCATCCACGTATGATGCTTCGATTCGTCCAGCCCAAACGCAGCCTGAATCATGAAACCCCTCCCTGCAAATCCCTCCGCAACGCCCAACACAGAAGGGGTCAGATCATACGCTACAGCCGCCGCCTGACTGCGAAAGCCGCGTCGCTCCCAATGATCGGCATGATGCAGTAAGAGATGAGACGCCAAAGGCGTTATTTCAGTAACACCTCCCTTTCCACCTGCATTGGAGATGCCGAAACGGCAGAAGAGCTTCTCAGAGTCAACGTCTACGTTGATGTCAGCATCATTCGAGAATCTGGTATCGAAACAAACCTGGACAAGGCTGGACAACATGGCTGATACTGTTTCTACCGGTCCCGACCCGGCGTGCGGACAGGATATTGTCAAGAAGTATTGTCTCTGCATCTTGTGGCGTTCGCATCTTGTCAAAATCGTAGAAGTGCAAGATCACTTCTTGGTCGTTGAACGCTCGGTCTCCAGTAGTGCGTGGCTTCTCAGTTGGGAAGACGGAGCTCAGAGCAGAGTACCTGGTGACGAACAAGGAATAGCCATCTCCTGGTTGGATGCTGTTTTGGACGATCTTGTGAACAAAGATGACCTGTTCGGTTTCTTCTCCCTCCAACAGGACTCGATAATAGTAGTCTCTTTCCAAAGTAAGGTCCAGGTCTTCAGCGTAAAGTGCAGGAATAGCGAACGCGTGCACCTGAAGACATCAGCCCATATTCCCGACATAGAGCAGTCATGATATGATAGGCGAGAACATACCCAGAAAGTCCGGTAAAGTGGGGGAGAGTCTCGAGAGTGTGTGCTTTGACGATATTGCTGATGCCACTCCAACCAATCTTGCTCGTCTTTCTGCAATCTCGTTCGCTTCAATGCAAAAACGTTCGAGCGAGCACGAGCTTTGGGACTACGTACTTGGACTTGTGAATCCTCACTGGAGTCACTGTCCAATGCAACAACTTTCGAGCGAGCACCAACTTTTGAACCACGTACTTGGACTTGTGAATCCTCACTCCAGTCACTCTCCTCTTCCAGCGGGTCGGGACTGAAGCTGGACTCTTGGTCCGATTCTGAAAGGTAATCTGATGGAGACGGTGGCAGTCCATAAAATGCCGGGGTTTCGGCTCTTGACACCATTGGAAAGTATTGCTCACTGGGATCTAGTCCATCAAAGACGACCTCTGAGTGAGCTTGAGAGACTGTTTGAGTGGGGCAATTGCAGAGGTCCTCTGCTTGGTCTGGGTGCGTGTCTGGTAAGTTAAGTGTCTGAAGATGTCGCAAGGCTGCCAATACAGACAAAGGATGGTACCTACCGGCTGCATTCAAGATCTGTGTCTTTCTTCGCCCGCATAATCTCTCTTCATGGAGGGTGACCCAGTAGTGGATATTTGCCCCATATCTTACCGTGAAGGCACCACTTTCATTACCTGCCCATTTCACCTTTAACTTCTTGCCGGCATCCAGGACTCTCATCTCGATAGCCCGTGGCATCTTTCGGAGATATTCGACTGCGTTTCTTCGAAGACAAGCTGCGGTTGCCGGCGCCAGATCGAGCGGTCCGCGGACTTCATCGAAAGCAACCTCAAGCAGGTCGTGTATGACGTGATCGCACAAGAAGGCATTTTCGTTGGTCATCTGTTCTCCAGCGACTTTGAAGAATTCGCAGCTGGAAACTTGGTGTACCTGTGCAACATCGAGCCACTTTGCGTGTACCTGGAGCAGATCTCGGTCTCTCTTGTAGAGGACATCAATTGCCGTGTCAGCTCCGTCCACGAACTCGATTCTCACCTTGCTCAGCCTTGGGTCCAGCGCGAACGAGCCCGTCAAACCTCGAATAATACTAAGGCTAAATACATCGTTGCCTGGTTGCACCGGTTGAGAGGTCTGGAACAAGTGATTTCTTTCTTCAATGGGCGAGCGCATTAAGGGTGGTTCTTGTCTGATGATCCACCATAGGTTCTTCTCGAGCTTCCTGGGCCGTTTCTTGAGTTCTTTCAAGATGATTTCCTCCTTGGAAAAGATGTCAGACATTGGGGTTGACAGATTAAGGTATATTACTTACATCCGTGGTGGTGCTCTGTTCCGATGCATCTCTGTGCGAGTAGAAGAAAGCTTCTGGGTGGGAGTCCTTGAGCCGCCTGCAGACATGCTGAGCTGTCAACCGAGATGCATGTTTGTAGGCTTGCGCAATATCGGCTGCTTCTTCGTCTTCGGTTAACAGTTTGATATAAGCATCGATGACAGAATCTCCCTTCAGTAGAATAGCTTGGTTCCAGATGCTGGCCAAGGTCCTAGCCTCTTCACGTGTGTCTGCCATTCGCTGTCTATCGCGATTTATTTGGCCGTGATAGAAGTTGTAGCCGAACCGGTAGCCTTTCCCACCTTGCGAATACCCTGCTGACTCAGGGATGAGGAGGCCATGGAGATAAATTCGACCTCGATACCGAGGATCGAATATGAGATCTCCCGTGTTTGTATGGACAATTTCAGTTGATTGAGGGGGATCCAGGTCGAGGGAGACCCTTATCCACGCCCGGAAGTCTTGCCCCGAGACCTTCTGGGCTCCTTGCCTGTCTCTGGATTTCCCGATTTTGACTGTCATGTCTTCCCAGATGTAAGGAGTGGGTCGTCGTTGAAAATCACGTGAGGACCACTGTCTCGAGAATTCAGCCTCCTGTTCCCGCATCAATTTGGGTGGAGGATTGTCCAAAAGACAAACAAGCCGCGGGCGAGTCCCTCGAAAGCTGAAGCTCCAGCAGAAGGAGTTCGTCTCAAATTTGACAGAGTGTCCATTTCGTCGCATCGCAAGTGCGGCCAGCTTGAAACCTTCACCGTGGCCTCCAGCGAGTGCATTGTTATTTCGCTTACTCGTCTCCCCGAGGTCGAGATGTTTTCGCTCCAGCTTGGCATTGAAATTGGTCAACTCCAAAGTGCCCTGTTTGCTCTGGAAGCGGATATAACCAAGCAAGCGACTTTTGCCTGAGGCTTCGCTGGACGTCTCGCCGGCAGTGTCGTCGGCAGAGACGGTGATGTGGATCTCCTTGTCATCATCTCTCACAAAAACTGGTCTGATAGAACGAGGGTCAATTTTGAATGACTCCACCAAGCCATCCTTCCTATACCCGTGTCAGCTACCCAGGATGCGGAAGCAACCAACATGGTGTAATCCGTCCTACCAGTTTTGATAAAATTCCCTGAAGGCATCCCTCGGCTGCCATTGCGGAGCGTAATCCTTGGCCAGGCCTAGGTGATGCGTTGACTTCTTCAGGACTTCGCGGCCGTCGTCGTCGTCTCCGAAATCGGAATCTGACTCGTAGCTATCATATTCATCGTCCTCTGCTTTGATTGTGCGCTCCCTCGGAGAACTGTGCCGGGGGAAGCCGCGGTAAGCCTTCATGGTAGAGATAGAGGGGTTATAGGCAAGTCAAGGCGGAACTTGAACAGATTGTAGAAGCGAGATAAGAAATGCCACAGTTTCCCTGATATGGATCTGAAGCAGCCTCAAGAGAGAAGCACCAAACACGAGGCCGGTCTGGAGTCGAAAAAGTTGAGTGAGTGAGTGTTCACCAGGTAAACAATCTAGGCGAAGAAAGTTGGTAGATACTGCAGCCGAAGGAATCTGAGGTGAGGATGAAAACAGGTGACAGCCTCACCCATGTGGCAGTTCACTTCACTGCCTAGAGGGAGAGTCGAAGTAAGGCATGTGTGAGGAAGGGTTGAAATTCTGCTGCTTGCCGAATTCACCTAGTGGTTTTAGATTTACCTGATATGGTTAACTCACAGATGTCTCTGCAATATGTTGATGAAGCAGCAGGATCGAGAACATCAAACCCAGCGATTTCACGAGGTGCAGAGGGAGGGGCACAGGAGCCTTGGCTACGCGACCCCACGGGGGGCTACGAGGGTCTTTTGACTACAAAATGCCTATTTATAGCTGAGAGAGAGAGAGAGAGACTCAATGAGATTCCTCAGGCCCGTGCGAACAGCGAAGAAAGGAGAATCCCTCATCTTATGGACCGGACCCAGACATGTTGAAGAGTCTATGGGTGAAAATCAGATGTGATATGGGCAAGTATCTAGTTCTCTTTCTGGCAGTCATTTGTTGGGAGTCCAACATGCATCACTGCCGCCGCCGCCGTTGTTCGTCAGGACACTGCTACAGCCTCCTCCTTCCCCTTGTGAGCGCATGTTCTGCTGCCCCATACTGACGTGGATCTCGCAGGTTCAGAGGCGGCTTGTCGAAACACGCACGGCTTAGGTTCATTGGACGGTGCCTGATCCAGGCTCGCGGGCGGCAGAGGGGAGCATTGGGCTTCGTTCGACACCGATCTGGCAGGAGAGAGGCAGGGCAGGAAGAGAGCAAGTTAGGACGAGGGACACCTCTCCTGCGAGCAAGATGCATCATCTCTCTCTCATCAAGACCTGCTGGGGGTTTTGCGGGGGTAATAAGCAAAGGTTGACAAATGGCGCAGCGAAAAAAGCGGAATCTGGGGATTGGGGGGGGAGCACATTCAAGAGTCTGGAAGCTTTTCGTCCGGCCCGGGCCTTGGACTCCGCAGGCACCAGGCAAACCCAAAGCTCCCCCGGAACAAATCTTCCGACTCGGAGCATCTGTTGAACAGTCAGCAATGCTGCTGACTTAGCATCCACCTCTATGCAGCCTCGCCCCCGGCTTGGGTGCCCAATACGGACTAGAACTTCTCCCTTGGGTACTCTCTCCCTCCGCTTGATATCACAGCCTCGTGGATGCGATGATGGGTAGGTAGGGGTACGAAGGCAGTCCTGGCTCGGGGGTATATGAACCTTGACATTGCCCCAAGTCCCTGAGTATATACGATCCCGAACCCGACATCGAGACACCAGATATTTTGTCTGGCTAGCCAAACACCCCAACCAATGTCATCCGAAGCACAGCCTCCGTATCCCATCCCGCGAAGGGCTCATCAAAAGTCAAGGACCGGTTGTAAGAACTGCAAGCAGAGGAAGGTGAAAGTAAGCAGCGAAGAGCATTTGTCGCATTTTTTCCTCCGAAAAGCTGAGTGTAACATATTTGACAGTGCGATGAAAAACGCCCTGTCTGCGACAAGTGCGCCATTCACTATGCCAACATTCAGAAGTGTGACTATGGAGATCACAGTCCTACAGCAGACGAACCGGCGCCGACAAGGCCCGCCGCTGAGAAATTGAGGAGGACATCGAGGACGGTCCCCATCCTGCCCAAATCTCGCCAACAGCACAGAAGTGCCGATGCTTTGGTCCTGGCCAGGGCTGGATCATCGACTTTTGACCCCTTCACACAGCATCCACCGTCACTCGAACCCGACATAAACCTCCTGATGGGGACTTGTGAGTCAGAAAACCCCCAGCAGCACAAAACAGCAGCTAACTCCGCCGGGAAAGATTTCTCCTCCCACATCTTCAACGTCTTCCCATACTACCCTACTCCGACTCTGAACCCTGTGCTGGAGTTTTTTTGCTCCCCTGGTAACAAAGGACGTGGCCTTGTTCCATGTCACCCTACTTGTCAGCGCCTTTCGGTTGGAACAACACTTATCGCCGAGAGAACGAGTGAGGTGCATACGGCTCTCGAAGATCTGCATGGACCTGATACAGAACAGGATAAACGAGCCCTTTCCGGACTGCGTCTCTGATGAGACATTGGCGGCTGTCGCAGGAGTTGCGGTCGTTGAAGTAGGTCCAGTTTTCCGCAAGAGACTGCATGCCAAAAAGGGAAGCTGACAGAGCTGGCAGCATGAAAAGGGCAGTCTGCGTCTATCTCGTATTCATGTGACAGGCCTGAAACAGATGCTGGAAGTCCGAGGCGGTCTAGCAGCAATTCGCATCTCGAACCCAACGGTTGCGAACATGCTGTTCTGGTAGGTAGACCCACGACCCGACCACGTACCATCGTGGAAACTGATGATTCATATCCAGCATGTTCGTCGCCACAGCTGACGTCGAATTCCCATCCTGCGACGCACAAACAGTCATCCAGCGCCCTCCATGGTTCTACCAGAGTCTCCGACTCCACCGGTCCCTCCTCGGCACTGGAGTTGAGCTCCCGAACCCGATGCCAATCGATTTCCAGGCCCACGGCGTCTTGACGGAGTATTCTGAGCTCATGCTGAACATCCGCATGCTCGCGATGACTTACCAAACAGCCCAGGACTGCAGCTCGGCCAGAGAATACCAGGAAGTCTTGACCTTTTTGTGCGCCACCTTGCAGCGACTGCTTACCTTACCGGTCCCAGACCTGCTGTTGGGCAGCTATGAGAGTACCATTACAGCGGCTTGTCGTCACGCTCTGATAATCCACGTATTTGCCCAGTGGTGCGGTCACCAGCCCGACCCGTCTCTCGTGGTGAGTACTGCTCAGCACAACCTGCTAGCCACGCTCCGCCCCTTAACTGAACAAAGTGGAGCGAGCACAAAACTACTCCTGTGGCTCCTTTCCGTTGGGGGCACCTGTCCATTTGGACCAGCACAACACAAGTGGTTTATCAGCCAGCTTGCAGACACAGCCGCAGACCTGGAGATCCATTCCTGGGAAGGCATGAAGGCTAGCCTCAAACAGGTTATATGGCACGAGTACCAGGATGACAAAAAACACAGAGAGCTGTGGGATGAGGTGGTCGAACTTAGAGAGGGCGGAACGCTTCACGTTTCCGAGATGGTCTATCCAGTACCTTCTGGCCGGTGAAAGAACTAGGAAAGTTGAACTGGCCACTGTTGATGGTCAGTCAGGTCCCCGCTTCCTTGCAGGCAAATGGGATGCTTCCTGACTTCGTGTATGCGTAGGTGTAGGAAGAGCCACATCAGTTGAGTCAGCGTCAAAGCATGATTGAAGTGGACAGCATCAGTCTTTGAGGAAAGGCTAGTTGAGTAGATCCTCAATTTATCGACTGTTCCAGATGGGGTGATCCTGCAAGGACGTTCTCAGGCAACTCGGCACCAATATCATGAACAAGAACAAATCGAGGAATTTGTCAGTGACCGCACGTGGCGACAAGCTGCACTGGAATCCGTGTGGCCGGCTATAAGAGACCCTGTCGATGTCCCAGGGGTCTAGCCTTTTCAGGTATATGCTTTCAGCAAGATAAGTTCCCAGACGGTGCAACCAATCAATATATCAGCCCCGCGAATTGGCCAAACTGCTGCCGTTGGCAATTCGCCACAGGAGTCCGTGCCCTTGTATCATTTCCAACTCTCTCTTCAAGCCACTTCGGGTTCGGGTTCCAGAGCCAATGGCCGATCAGGGAAGTCGGATTCCGCGTTCCAGAGCTTTGAAGACCTCTCTGCACTCGGCATATCCTGCGGAGTTGGGAATGGTTGAACGGGCGGCGCAAGCCACATGTTGAAAGCCATAGATAAAGGAACATGGGCTGCAGAATGTCCAATGTCTGGCAACCACTGAGCCATCAGAGTCGTGATACAGGCGTTGTGCCCTGCATGAAGCACGGGAACGAATGGGGGCCAAATCTTGAACGGCACGAACTGAACCCGTTGTGGGTACTCAATGGCCCCTTCTGATTCCTCTTAGCATTCGAATGCCGCAGTCTGAACAAGGAGCTTGTCGTTGGGGTTATTTGAACCTCCTCTAGGGGTGTTGTCCAGATCTAGAGCTTTTGGCCTGGATATCTGGGAGTCTCAGCAGCATAAGAACATCGACAATGTGAGTACCACATCTTCGCTTTCTCAGTACGAAGTTGACCTCTAATTCAATCCGCATCGAATAGTTCACAGGCCTCCCACCACTCGCCCCACAGAACGGATGCCGATGCTGGTATAGCATGAACGCAACTTCGCAAGAATCGCTGCAAGCGATCAAAGGAGCCATGAATAGTATGAAGACCGTGACTTCTGAGTTTTCGTCAGAGGTTGGCTGGGAAAGTGCTCCTCCAGACATGGACTTGGATCTTTACTCGCAGATCACATTTTGGAGTGAAGAGAGTCTGCCGAACTGCGTCTGCGGCGAAGCTCCCAGCTCATATTGCGGTTGTCCCCGTAGTTCTTTGGTGTTTCGTCACGACCACAACTACCTGAAACAATCGCACGCACAGCAAATCGACGGAAAATCCACCGATCTTGAACCGCAATTCAACCGACTCGAGCCACAGGACCAGGAAGAGTCGAAGCCAATGGCTCCGACTAGGAAAGAGGTATTTCTCCCCAGAGAATATGGAAGTCGCATTCTGTCTGATCAAGTGATCCGTTAGCGTCGAAGGCAGCAGAACCGTGCAGCTCAAGTTCGACATCGAAACAAGCGCAATCGATTTCTGCATGACACACTTCGGAGTATTGATTCTTTGAACGAGGAGTTGAGACAGACAAGGGCGCAGCGAGACTATTTCAGACTCATGTATGAAAATCTCGAGACACAGTTGATGGAGATAAGAAAGCAAGCCGGCTCGAAACTCCAAAGTAACCCTCCTATGTAGAGAGGAGCTTTGGATTGTGATTCCATATGGACCAGATTATCGTGGATTCGAAGGCTCGTTGAAAGTCTTCTCTGGGTGCGCAGGACAGAGGAACAAGGGTCAGTGGCAGAGATCGACCCGGGATACATCGACCCCAATTCTCCCGCTTGGTTTCTTGCTTAGGGTCCTGGAACCGTACCGTTCGTGCTCGAGATCTGCACCTGTGGGAGGGTGCCGGCGGGAAAGAGAATTGGTTGTCCGGCAGAGATTGTTTCCATCAGGCGCCCAAAGGTAATCTCATGGGAGCGATGAGACCATTCTGGGCAGCAGATCTCGTTTCAACAGTAATGTGTCGATCTCAAAGTAGGCCAGTGGGGGCGGTGCCGGCACAAAAGACTGCTGATCAAATCGCCTTGTGCGATGTCACCGTCGCTGGTGTAAGGAAAAAAGCCTTCTGTCGCTAGTCGAACGCCGACTTGGCCCCCTAGCAGTACAATAAATTTGGCTTGTCTGGTGTGTCAAGAACCTCCAATCCTTGCCTCAACTTCTTATGCGAACACCACCCGGTCGGACAAAGAGGAAAGAGCATCGAACAACCATCCTATAACAACCATGTCGGATCTGGCTCAGGAATTCGGTATCCCAGCAGTGAAGCTATCGGGACCCCACACACTATCCTATATTCCATGGCAGAGAAACCTCATGTTGACGAAGGAAACTGCATTGTCCGCGCGCTTGACGAGGATGAGTCTTGGAGATTATGCAATGGCGACAAGCATGGTGGATCGCGTAGATTACCATCTATTAAGTCTCCCGTACCTGAAGAATCTTTCTCGGGAGCAAAATGTCGTCTAACTGGTGCTATTGATCGCAGACATGTCAACCTTCTCAGGGACCTTTCCGGGGACAATTGCGACATCACTGGCGCTGCAACTGAGACAGGAACTGGAAGCAATGAATTCGTCACATATGGAGTAGTTCGAACATGGAATTGTTCGCTTGGCCCTCTGGGTGTGCATTTATGGGGTCGATTTGTCGGTGCCCGCGGGAGATCGAATGTGGTTCGTGTCACATTTGAAGCAGAGTCTTAATGTTCTTAGGCTTGGTGGACACGGCGATGTCTTGAAACTTCTAACAAGCCTCATGTACACGGAGAGACACCTCTCTGAGGTCCCCTCCATCGTTTAGAAGGACCTAGGCGTACTGGACGAACACGAGATTGGCCACTGCTTAGGAACTGATAAGGAGGCAGAGGAAGATAGAAGGTGGTAAGCGTAAGGTTGGTTGCAAGACTTTATTAGGACAACGTTGAAGTCTCCGAGATGATAGAAGTAGGTGGAAGGTATTGTCAGTGCAGTCTCGGTTGATTACACCGGCTTCTTCAATTGTGCGAGCCAAAATCCTTGATGTTCTGAAACATAGGCGGAACGATTGCGTGGAGGTTGTCACTGGCATATCGCACATCATCCAGCATGGCTGATTCAACAATCTCTCAGAGGTCGTCGAGCATTCACAGTGTCAACGGAAATATTATTGTTGCCAATACCGGGCCGTGAGTTGACTGTCGTAGTCGTACGCTGCGGGATCATCAAAGGCCAAGTCCTGTTCAAACCACTGCAAAACATCAATACCACTCATGAAGGCGTCGTCCGTATCATTCTCCAGCCACTGTGCACTTTTTGCTTGAGTTTGTGCATCCAAGGGAATCTGGTCGTGGGGCAGCTGGGGTGGAGGTGCACTATTCAGGTCACCAGAATCGTATGTAAGAGATTCCGTTCGTTGTGACTGTTGGCTCTCGTCGCTATGTAGGCAGGGAAGGTCGAAGCGCTCATTTGACGGCATGGAGGAGGCAGATGTCGGACTGACTCTTGATCTCGTTGTCGCAGCCTCATCCGCTCGCTTCATCGCAGAAAGCAATTTGGATGAATTGAGTCCCTGTGTCTTGATCTGTGAAAGAACCAAGCAGAACGCTCTCGCCACAACAGAGTTATTTTGAGCATGGACTCTCCTGAGTACATCGATGATTGCAGTCAAATACTCTTCGAATTTCAGGTCTCGAACGTCGACGTGGGATCTCCCTTCAAACTCTGCCTGGCTATCGCATATATTGAGTAATTTGCGAAGTGCTCGAGCTGCATAACCCGTGCGTACAAAGAAAATGTTTGGCAAGCTGCACATGGAAGCGAAGCCTATGGAGAGAAATGCGTCAAAGCATTCGTGAATTGCAGCGAGGCAAGCAAACAATGCCTCTACTCTTGCAGGAATGAAATGTAAGTCTTTGAACTTTGATGTCATACTCTCAACGGCTGCAGCAGGCGGCGCAAGAGCAGTACGGAGTGGTGAACGGAGGTCGTCGATGTCATGTTCCGGATGCAGGGCTATTTCATGGATGAAGAGATCGGTGCATGCGGCAACATGGCGAACGTAGGCTACGAAACGCCGGAGTCAGCTTCTGCGACATACCCATCTTCCTGGTAACTTACGCAAAGTCAAGTCCGTTTTGGCATGACGACGCCAATAGTCCAATTGCTGACGAAAGCCTCGGATCTGATACTGAATCTTGACGTCGCGGAGTGTGACAATAGCACCAGGGTCATCCATTGAGAATGTGACTGAGGCATCTTCTGCAATATGTTGGATACGTATCAAGTCACATAGCCACATATCGCTTGGTAAGACAGACGCCTCATCGGAGAGGACGTCCAAGCATTCCTCGGTGTACACAGACCAGCGAACGAAGGCGGGGTGGCGAAGTGACATTGAAACACTGAGTAGATCTGTCAGCTACCGCTCAAAAGGATTGGTAGCGGTCTCACCTCGTCCCCATATAGTAGCACCCCAGCCATGCCCGTCGCCCTGCGAGTGATTCCAGTTGATGGGGATCAGTTCTTTGCGTCAAGGTTGATTTATGAGGTCGTCTGCCCAAGCCGATATCAAGCGCCATTGTGCTGGCAATATGCACCATCTGGTTGAAATTGAGATCTCGCATGTTTTTGGCCCTGCCGTAGAACAAGATGTGGACAATTAAAGTCTGCACAAGTTCGAGAGACCGTTCACCAGTGTATACGACTCGTAAGGCTAAATCTTTGATGAGCATGTCGCATAGTTCGGCATCGACGGTTGTTTGCATTGAAGCCAGGCTAACAGTAATGACGGCGAAGAACAAGAGCGGCTGTTGTTGTTTGACGGCGGCGGCGTCAGAGCCAGAAGCAAAGACCACGAACGGGAAGTAGCGGCACATTTCATTCTTGTATCGTTCAAAAGCCTTACAGGCAGTTTCCCAGGTGAACAAGCCGCGAGACAACGCTTCCGCGATGAGGGTATTGTCGGGTTTGGCTAATGTCTGCACCTTGGACGCCGAAGTCCCAGTCGAGTCGCCATGGGCACTGGCCAGTTTCTTGTGATCTACAGGGCTGTTCGACTCGTTGGCGCTCAAAAGTGCCGTGAGCGCATTGATTTTCTGCTCGAGATCTGCAACTCGTTCGGTAGTCTTTCTTTTCCTTCGTCGGGGTAGATCCTGCATAATGCATTGTCGACGGGCCCGAATGCACAATTTACACGCGTTCCCTAGTGCTTCGTCGATTTCGCATCTTGTTTTCATCCGCCTGCAAGTTATACACGCTCGGCTAGACCTGACGGTTCTGGCTTTGGGGGCAGCGGCATCGTCGCTCTCTTCGCTCCCATCACTGTGGATTTCAGGGTCTTCAGAGGGATTCATCGCTCAATGTGGCCAAAACTTCTAGATGTCATGAACTATGGCCGATTTCGTCAAAGATAAAATCAGGATCGGCGAGTGATAAGAAGAGAACGGCTTTGAGACTGATGCTGTTTCAAATTGTCAGCGATCGCGTAGGTTGGTGCCTTCGGAATAATACTGTTCCGAACACTATACGCAGCCTTGCGATGTCTTAAGCTCGGCAATGATTGGTCAGCCTCGGCGGACCAACTTTGTATTATTGATCTTCCAGTGAGTAACCTCGTTGCGCAGTCTAAGCCATTCGATGGTATCCAGATCTATAGAATAATCCCTTCGTAAGATTAACCGACACAATATAACGAACACGGCCTCATCGCTTTCAGGCTTTGACCTCTGGCTGCGTGTCGGCTTCTTGGCCTGTAGGCACACCATCCTGATCTTCTTGGTCATTGACAACAGCTGACTTGAGACTCTCCTCTGGTGATGCGTCATGGACCTTGACTTTTGGCTCAGGTGTCTGACTCTCCACGGGACCGTTTTTTGTCTGTAAGCCGTTCTTCTTTACCAGGCCAAGCTTCTCCAAGCGTAGTTCCATGGCTCGTCGATGGGCATCAAGGCCTTCACATCTTGCAAGCTCCATGACTGCGTACCCTACTTCGCCAACACCCTGCTCCGTAACTTCGCTGCTAGTGATATTCTTCATGAAACTGCCGAGGTTGACCCCGCTGTATTGCTTCGCATAGCCGTAGGTCGGCAAGCTGTGGTTCACGCCTGCGGAGTAATCACCCACAGACTCGGGCGTCCACCCTCCGATGAACACGGAACCTGCATTCTGAACATCGGGTAACGCGGCGCGAGGGTTAGCAATTTGCAGAATTAGATGTTCAGGTGCATAGTAATTCGACCACTTCAATGCTTCTTTGAGGGTGCCCACTGAGATAGTCACACTGTGTTCGATTGCCCCCCGAACAATATCCACCCTCGGAAGTTCGTGCGCCTGCTTGTGCACTTCATCTTCAATTGCTTGGAGCTGATCTTCGCTTAGATCAATGGCGATCAGGACCACTTGGCTGTCTGTGCCATGCTCGGCTTGGCTGAGTAAGTCACTGGCAACAAAAGCGGGATCGGCAGTTTTGTCCGCAATAACCAGCACTTCAGACGGACCAGCTGGCATATCAATTGAGACCGCGGCGGATGTATCGTTGCTGACGATCATCTTCGCGGCCGTGACAAACTGATTGCCAGGCCCAAGGATTTTATCGACCTTGGTGACAGATTCTGTGCCATAGGCCATGGCGGCGACAGCCTGAGCACCGCCCGCTAGAACGATGGCTTCAGCCCCGACTTTGTGCGCAATGTACACGATTTCCGGAGTGACGGTGCCGTCAGATCTCGGTGGTGATGCGAGGACGATGTTCTTACATCCTGCGGCCATGGCCGGGACACCGAGCATAAGAGCCGTTGAGGGCAATACCGCCGTGCCGCCAGGAATATATAAACCAACTTTCTCAATTGGTCTCGAAAACCGGGAGCAGGTCACGCCGGGCATTGTCTCCACGACCAGTGGTGCTGACGGTTTCTGGGCAGCATGGAATTTGAGGATATTGTCGTATGAAGTGTTGATCGCTTTGATGGTGTCTTCGGGAAGTTGCATAAGCGACTTAGGGAAGGGTGCTTTTAGTACAGGGGATTTCAGTCCAGTAGCTTTCTCAAATTTATGGGTATATTTTAGAACAGCAGAGTCGCCGTTGGCACGAACATCAGCAATAATAGGATGGACCAGAGACATGATTTTCTCGTTGGACTTTTGCGAAGGTCGTTGTAGAGCGGCTTTCAAGATGTCGTCCGAGAAAGTTTGCGACGTAGAAAATCGTTTCAGTTGTATCCGACCAGATTCTGTCTTACCAGCAGGATCTGAGGGGTCTTTTGGAACAGATGCGGCCTCCTTGACTTCTTCATCTTTGTGGCCATGGACGCCGTTGGTCTCGGGTGGTGACTTTTCAGCGACAGGCGTCTCCTCGACGTACTGGGGTTTGGCATCGCCCTTTCGTCTCTTCACTTTCAGACTCTTCAGGTCGAGGTTCTTCTCGATGTCTTCCAGAGTGACGTCCGCGGCAATGCATCGGGCGAGAGCGAAGAAGAGTAGATCAGCGGCCTCTGACGCAATCTCTTCCTTTGAAGTAGCTGCGCAAAGCTCATCTGCCTCTTCTTTGATTTTTGCATTGACAAGCTTGGGGTCGTTGAACAGTCGAGCAGTGTAGGAACCTTCAGGTGCTTCAACCTTGCGTTGTTGCAATGTACGCTGTAGCCTGGAGAGTCCAGAAACCTTGCCCCAGCATGACATTGTTCTCAGATGGCAGAATCCCTGGCCCTTCTGGTGAACCCTGAAAATCAGGCAGTCCTTGTCACAATCGAAGCCGATACTGATGAGTTCCTGAATGTCTCCGCTCGAGGCACCCTTGTGCCAAAGGCCTCTTTTTCGACTTTGGTAAACTCCTGTTCCGGTCTTGAGTGCTTCGGCAATGCTTTCTTTGCTGCTCCAAACCAAGCCCAGCGCAACGCCGCGCTCATCAACTACCGTAGTCGCGTAGAGGCCAGTTTTTCGATCCGCGGTGGCCCCAGCGACGATCAATTCCACGGCAGAGATCAAACCCTTGTTTTTCTCCTTCGAGGGGTCGAAGGTCAATTTTTTAGAGGAGACAATCAGAGCATTTCCAGGGTATTCGTGCAACAGATTCCTTCCATCAGTCTCGCTCGCGACTGAGACGAATATTGTCTGATCATGACTCGGAGGATAATTATCCAGCTCTTTCAGCACGGTATCGACATACTCGTTTCCTTTATCACCATCGAATGCCCATTCCGCCGTCTTCCACTGCGGGTTGTCATCGAGAAAGGCCTTGAGTTTCGTAATATCCGTTTTCGGATTGACAAGGGAGATAGTCAACACCAAGCGATCCGCGGAAATGGTAGGCTCTTGCGACAGAGCTTTCAGCTGCTCAAAAGTGACGAATATTTTGGATGCCCCATTGTTCAGGACGTCAATGACATTGTCCCAACTCTTCAACTTCCGAACATCGAGGTATATGTCGAGTTGGGGGAAATTCCGCCGCAGAAACGCAAGATCGGATTCGAATGTCTCTGGAGTGACTTCGACCAGACAGTGCCCAAGGTAGGCTACCTGATCAAGAGTAAGGCCGTTGGAATCCTCCTTGAGAATGTCCTCTGGATCGACGGAAACCAAGAGGCCTGTACCCATCTCTTGGAACAAGTTGCAGGGTCTAATTGTCGCAGATACAAAATGTGAACCGTGGAGTGAGGGGAGAAAAATCGCAGGGAATAAAAAGTGACTGCGGTGTCGGAAGCTCAACAATTCAATTTGCAGTGGCTGCAGTGGCTGCGCAGGTGGAGACGGCGGCCCCTCGACCCGTATCGATAGCGCCGATAACGATAAGCCTGGAAGGGAAGGTCATCCGAGAAATCCGGAACCCGGAACATTTACTCCAATCCGCAGGCAGCTCGTGCAGGTTCTCTACTACCACCATCCATTGACGTTCCTCACTGTCGACCGCGTGGCTCGCTTTTGGACGCAGATGTTTATCGAGATTCACATGTCAGCGGACGTAATATCGACGCTACTGGCCATTCCTCACATCAGGCCACTTTACTAGAGGGGAGAAAAGGGAAAGAAATCGGACGACATGTGAAAGTCATCATCAAATGGCTGCAACCACCAACTCTCTGACCTATAATCCCGTGTCAGGACAAAGCGCTCCTCAGCATATCCTTTTCCACAATCTCCTGCTTCCTCGCAACCAGCTCATCCAAGTCCCAGTTGGCCCAAGCCAGTCGATTCGCCAGAAAGGATGCTTCCTCGCTTGCAGCCCAGACGACAAACTCGGCCGCAAGCTGGGGGTTCGTTGGTGTGAAGAAGCTATCTAGCCCAGATTTGTCTGCCATTGCAGTCTTGACAAACCCGGGATGCACGGAAATGATCCTAGCCCCGCCGGGTAGTACTGTCGTCGCTTGAATGTCCACGGTTATCAACTCCATCATTCTCCACATTGCAGCCTTGCTGGCGCCGTATGCTGAGAGGAACGGTACAAGGAAGCTGTAAGCGCCGAGGGTGTTGATATTCACCACAACGGCCTGACTCGTTGCGCTTTGCTTCGCTCGTGCTTGTAAGAACTGCTGCAGGACGAATGCAGTGCCGAGGACGTTGACTTCAAACGATCGCCACCACTCCTTCAGATCTGCACTGACAAAATTCTCAGGATTGGCCAGGTATCCGGCATTGTTGATCAGCACATCGACTGGCCTGTCCAGTGAAGAAAACATGGCCTTGACTGAGTCCTCCGATGTGATATCGACAGTGCGGTACTCAACCATGGTTCCGGGATACACAGTCTTGATCTCCTCGGCTGTGGCCCTCAATTTCGACTCCGTACGGCCTGCAAGGACGATACTGGCCGCGTGTGCTTCTGCGAAGGCGCGTGCGATGGAGGCCCCTATGCCATACCCGCCGCCACTTATTAAGACATTCGTCGACGCAAACTCCGAAGCCAACTTGGCGGGCGACAGCCTGCCATATGGTTCGAAGTGCTCGACTTTGGTGCTAAACGTCATGGTGTTCTCGTCAAAAGATATTATTTCTTCGGTGGAAATGAATGCACGAATTATGATCTCTCCAGGCGCTGTGCCTCTTTAGCTAAAGTTGTACTCCTTTCTATCCCTTCCTTCGAGACGCTTCTGCAATTGATGTATGTAGATAGACCTTTCCTCCAGAGGTCAGATTGGGACTTAACTCCACTCACAACGCCGCCATAATAATCAACCCGGCTCTCCTCAGCGACTAGCTGAAACGACAAAACAAATATATGCCTGGAGAGGTTCCGTATGACTGCCTGTATTCGGCACGACAGAAAGACAGGTGAGAATGGCGGCCCTTGCTCATACTTACTAGGTACTACCTCTCCACACCGATAGTACCTAGGTACGAATAACAAATCCTGGACAAGCAGCCACCTTCCAAAGCCCAACTCTCCACCTGCAAGGGGCAGGGCATGTTGTCCGAGCCAAACGCAAGAGCCGCGACAACGTCAGCTTCAGCGCTGCCGTTGTGCGACAAAGTCTAGAACGACTGATCAGGAAGCTCGCCTTAGCCCTCGCCCCTCATGAGTAGCCTACGCAGACGGAGGGTGGAGGGTGGTGAAGCTCCGGCGTTCCGCGGTAGAGTCCTAAACAACCACCACCCCCTTTTCTCATGTGGAATATCTATCTTGGTGAGAATGGTCTGGGGTTATTAGCCCACGTAGATGGGCGCCGGGAGACGGCCGAACGGTGCCTATCAGTAATTTGCCCCGTGCGTACGCGTCAATGGGGACAATCAGATTTCGGCTGGCGCAGTCTAATCCAACGACGGAAGGTAAGTCCAAGGGGTGTCCAAAGAGCTTTGCCTCAAAAGGAGGAGGACGGGAAATGTGTTTGGGCTCGTCCCATTCGAGTCAATGTACTGAACCCCTCGAGGCTTGCTTTCTTCGCTCAGGCAATCTTATTTAGCATTGTGAGAACGCGGCAACAGCCATTGGAAGAACCGATTCTATATCCAGAGGTTGAAATGCATCCCTGACCGTCCACCATATCCACATAAACTGATCTAAGAGATAGCCTTGTCGTCTACGCCTGTGTCAGCGCTGGGGCTGTCGTCTCATCCTATCCCTCTCTTTGATATTTGGGAATCTTCACAAACAGCAACGCTAGAACCACGGCCGCCCCTGCACTTCCAACCCCCAAATACAGCGCGTGGCGGTATCCCTGTACAACCTTCGTTCCATGGTCGTCCGTATATGCCTCCACAGTCGCAGCGAAGCCAAGCCCCGTGCTCAAGTCCTAGGATGACAGGGCCCCAACCAAAGAGCCAGCTATGCCTTGGTGCTTCCTCTTGACAGCGTTGGAAGCGACGATTTGAGCGGCTGTCAAGATGACATCTGGCTCAAAGGAGACAACTACCAGGGACGGGAATGTCTGCGCCCAGGAGGTTTGTCGCGAAGATTGCGTGGCGATAAGGATTAAGCCGGTACCTGTATCCAGGGATCCAAGGGCCATGATATATCCGTCCAGGAACGCAAACACCGGTAGAACAAGTCTGAGCATGCTCGAAGCTCAAGAACACTCTGGCAGGAGGACTCACTCTGCTGGAACATGTCGAACGATCCTACCACTCACAAACGCAGCGAGTGTTCCACACACGGCGAGTGGCTAGTATGGGCGCCGTTCAGCAACAGGGAATATTCACGGACACCGACATTCCACACATGACGAGGTGAGTACCAGATGTGAATCCCCACGGCTGCGACTGTAAAGAATGTCACAGTTATCATCGGTAAGACAGAAGGAGCTTTCCAAATATTGAGAGGCAAGTCTGGCTGGCTTGCATAGCCCTACACAATCTGTTAGGTATGACACTTTTGGCTGTATTTACACTTGCTGACATGAAGAAAAACAGCTACTTACATGGGAGTGGCAGGACAAAGGGTCCGGGGAAATGCTTAACCCGGCGGCATCTAGAGGCGCCATGGCACCGAAGATACTGACTTGACTCCGTAAGTTGAACAGTGCATCAGAAGGAGGGTAAAGACTCCCAACCTGAAACTGGAACGTGTCATGCAGTCAGCAATGCTTCAAATGTAAGTAGACCCGGTACGCCGACCCGGGGCAAAAGAGCCATAAGTCCACCTCAGCACCAGCTCGATGAACAGGGAGTACTCACATTTCCCATGCCTCCCCCTCCCGGCGGGAGGGAAGTGATAGTCAGCAACGCGAGGGCGCTGAGAACCATCAGTGCTCCTCCAATACCCGTCAAAGGTCGCATCGTGCAAAGAGCGATCAGGTTTCTCGTAAATCCCGAGACTAACGAGAACACACTAACCACGATGCTCCGGCGAGTAAGACAGTATTTTTGTGGCCAGTTATCATACCCAAACGACCGCCCACGAGCACGAATGCGCCCTGAGTCAAGTTGGCATGGAACGCATCAGGGGAGATTCTAGAAGAATTTGCTGTCGACTAACGGATACCTGACAACATTCCATGCCGACTGATGTTTGGTTGCACCATGGTCTCTTCCGATTGTGAGTGCGCTGTTGGCTCCCATAGGGCATCATCTACAGAGGGTCAGGCGACATCTTTCAAAACGAGTTCTGACATGTAAATACCTGCACGAACTGTGTGAGGACAATAAAAACGGCAAGGACCAAAAACCACGTCCCCTGCTGAGCCGTGGCCCCTCCACTTTCGCATTAATAGAATCTACCATTGTCGAAACATGTTCGGCGAGATTGAAAGCGCCAAATCCTTCCTTCTTGAGGCTCTCAGGCCGGCCCGAGTTATATAATTTGACAATTTGGGTTCTTGCTGGCTGCTGTTTTGTTAGTAATATCTTTTTCTCGGATGCTCAGTGCCGTGGGCGGGTTTTTTTTGTGGATTTAGTCCTAGTCGCAGTCAAACCTTTCACTGGGCTTCACCCATATGCACTGCGGAATAGACTATAACGTCGTTGACGATGTGTTTCGAGAAGCCCATACCATTTCCTAAGCATATTGCCTGATCACACAGCTTTTGCATGAATCTCTCGGTGTCAATAATGACGGTCTGGATATCTTCGTGAGGCGAAGAAGCTTGGGAACCATGAGTCCTGCAACCCTTCGCCTTCCCGGAGAACAGTCGCAGTTCAAGCCTGTTTCCCTCAAGTCTCGTCGTCCCTTTCTGAGCCAGATAGTCTTCGATCTCTTCAGCGCGCACGATGTCGGACAGGATACCTTCGAGTTCAAGGTCATGTTGGATGGCAGTGGCAAGACTCCGATGCTTTTCGCTGCCAAAGAATTCGTTGTCAGGAAGCTCTCTGGACGGAGGAGCAGGCCCATGTATTCTCTCGCAGCTTTCCTCGGACATCTTTTCGAGCGCAAGCCTAGTAAGAAATAGAAGGTTCCACTTGGTTGAGTGACGAAGGCTGAAGCGGTGGACTCGGTGAGACCAGGGGTTTCGTTTGTCCTGCGGGTCATCGCAACGCAAAGCCTGATAATTCCTTAACATCCCATAATGGAGAAGTCTCTTGTACAGCGAACCTTCAGAAAAGGAGAGCTCTTCGATGTTCAAATAGTCTGCAGAAAGCACAGGGTTCAGAACAGGCATTGATATTATTGCTGGAGATAAGAATTTTTGCATGTTGTGCGAGAGTGCCGGCTGCGATATGGCAAGTGTCTGGGAACTAGCCTTAGAGCAAGGCGGACGGCGTAAACGTACAACTTCATACGTTGCACCAGCAGTCGAAGGCAGCTTCGATGGCCCTCGGCTGGCCAACTGGAGATCAGTGTCGTTAGCGGCTTGTCGAGTATCGTCTGAAGTTGAGCTTAGAGCCTGATCTTGAGGCCAGGAGATGTCTTCGTCGACTTCGGCCGCCAGATTCCGGAACTTCTTCACGGCTTCGTGATAAGCTGTTCCTAAATCTCCAGAATCATTATGAGTAGGAACAGCCATTGACCGTGTGACTTGGTCCCCAAAATCCAGAAAGGTATTGATCATTCCTTGGACAACGGATTCCAGCTTTTCAATTCTAGCCTCGTTGTCAGCCAACGTTTGCTCTTGTCTGTGCCGGTAGCGGCGCTGTGCGGCTCTTCCTCGAGCTCTTCGTAGCTGTATTCGAGACGATGTTAGCGTCTATAAGTTGACACATGGCAGAGTACATACAGTTTCCTCTAAGTTGGCATTCTGGTCAACTTTTAGTGGCCTCCCACGCATGTTGGGAAGATCTGTCACTCAATCGAACAGCAAAGATCTGGCAGAAATGTGGTGTGACTGTCACCAAAATTTGCTGATTCCAAGAAAAGTGTCGGGGCAGGCATGGATATATTGACAACAGGTTCTTATGTGGGTCGATAAACTGGACTCAATGATCGACTTGAACAAGCCTCGCATAGCTGATGTTTCAATATTCCAGGTACATGCCTAGTTAAAGACACCGGGCGTTTTCCTTTGGTGCAAGTGCTGATGGCCCAGGCGTGTTAGGTATTAGTAATCGGAGCACTACCGCGGCCAGACGACGCCCACAATCGACCGGGGGGCTCCAACACAGAGAAGCGAAACATCAGTGTTCTCAGGATATGGGAAAGCGACATTCAAACTTCACCGTAGGTATGAGTCGTTACGGCGTATAACATCATACCAAATTCGTCTACGGACGACAGCCAATTATCGATCTTTTTCTGTCGCATCGGCGCTGGAATAGGGTCATGCTGTGGCCAGAGATCATTGATGAGTAGCTCCCCGTCGCTCCAGAGGCCTAGCTGTTGATTATACGCCGTACTCCAAGATTGACGATCCCGTGCATTCCATAGAGTCTTGCTCGCGGGAGCTGGGAGCCCAGTTAGCTCTACGGCAACAAAGGATGGCGAGCCCACGCTGAAGTTGACCAGGTTGTCAAATAGATAGGTAGCGAAGAGTGTTCTTCGTTTTGCGGAAGCGACAATCCATGATTCCCAGTCGGGCCGGCTGCTGGTTGTCTCGGCAGGACAGAGTGTTCCTCTGCTTGCGAGATCGCCTGCTAAATCTTGGAGTTTGATCATGATATCTTGTTCAACCAGGCTGGCAGCATTCGCTGAGGAGAAGAGCATTATGGCGTAGAGAAGGTAGCCCTGTAGTATAGCCAAGAGTTCCAGGTGGCCGGAAAATGCACGCTGCTTGCCTCGTTTCAGCCTCGGATCTCCACTTGAGAGTGATGGTACCTGCCTTTTGAAATATTCTCGACATTTCCTGCCCGATGACCTCTCGAACCATCGCTGCGCTCTCAGGAGTCTGTGCCACCCACATGCGTGCGATGTTCATGCAATTTGCCAGTGGCTCAGCAATCCGAAATGCATTTTGAGTCCAGTGAATGAAAGGGGGGAGATTCTCAGTCAGGAACATTCTAGGATAAGATTTGAACACACGCGTGACGAACGCCATCGTTGATGCATGAAACGGCTTCGGCCTCTGGTCCATGGAAGGCAGTAGGCTCTCCAGCCAGCGGCCGCGGATTCTGTGCTCGTCCACGGTGCATACTAAATGGATGTTGTCGAAATCTAGCACCTCGGTAGGGATACTTTCTGTAGCAAGCGACGTCGAGAGCCAGGAGCCGCTGATAGCATCTGGAGAAAGCTGACCCGGAGTGACTTCGTCGACGACTTTTGCGTCGGCGTAGGTGCAATCAAGACTTCGATTGCTGCACCTGGTGCAAGAGGGTCTTCTGAGGTCGCACCGTACTTTTGATTTGTAGCAATGATTGCAGGACTTCTTCCTGGGTATGGGTTCCTTCGGACTCATGACGGAATACTCAGGGGCCAACGAGCGCGACTGGTTTCTCGACCGACCTGGAACAGCGACGCAGGGAGGCGAAGACACTTCGGAAATCCGAGGATGGAGTCACGGGTCGAGCTTTGCCTGTTTGGGAATCGTCCCACTTCTCGGCTGAGTTGCCTCGGGAATGTTCATATCTCGCTGCTTTGACTCTCGCCACCTGCCCTTCGTCTCCTGCTGCGCAATTGGAATATCGGTCTTGTTCTTGACACCACCATCTCGGTACCTAGGTAGGTATGACTCCCTCGACCTATATTCAATAAACTGCTAGCTATTTCGAGCCTGTCCGCCAGTCGCTCTACATTCCACAATCCAAGTGCCTGGAACAGAGGCTAAGAAAGATGCGGTTCTCATTGACCTACTTTCGAGTCGCGTCTCATCAACTTCGCCAAGGATATATCGAACCCTCGGCAGGGATAGAGGGTATTCTGGCCCTTGAAGGCGACGGAGATCTCTGTGGTGAGTCTTGTATAGCATGCGTCAGGTAGGTACTGCTTCGGCATTCCCCGGACTCAGCCACAAATGGCTTCTCCAGTTTCCCCTTGTCTCAGGCTTCGGGATTCCGATCATCCCTGTCCACGCCGAAAATAGTGTTCGATCGAGCCTTTCGCGGGCATATATGGTCGGCCAACACCTGAGCAATATCCTGTCTTTCTCAACATCAAAACAAAATGTCTCAGACCGAACCTATAACACAGATTAGCTCCTCGGAGCCTTACACAATCTTTACAATCCCACAAAAAGCTCTCATTGTCGCCATCGTTTCATTCGCAGCTACGCTTTCCGGCTTTGCATCGAATATCTACTTCCCCGCTCTCCCTCAAGTCGCCAAGGACCTATCAGTCACTACCACCCTCGTCAACCTCACTGTGACATGCTATTTGATATTTCAAGGCCTGTCACCTACTCTATGGGGCTCATTATCCGACACCAAAGGCCGCCGCATTACCTACATGTGCACACTCGTCATATTTCTTGGCGCATGTATAGGACTGGCAGAGACACGAAGCTACGCACAACTGTTGGTACTTCGCTGTGTCCAAAGCACCGGGAGTGCCAGCACCATTGCATTAGGTGCCGGAGTCATCGGGGACATCACCAAAAGGGAAGAGAGAGGTGGATACATGGGTATCTTCCAAGGAGGGCTTTTGATGCCCGTTGCCATCGGTCCGGTAATCGGCGGTGTCTTAGCCGACAGGTTGGGCTGGAGATCAGTATTTTGGTTTCTGACGATCTATGGCGGAGTCTGTGTCCTCGTCATTGCCCTGATCCTGCCTGAGACGCTAAGGTCGATGGTGGGAAACGGATCGGAAGAACCAAAGGGCTATGCGATGTCGCTTCTGGCACTGTACCAGAGAAAGAAGCATTTCGAGCAAAACATTGTCCCCTCCGCAGAGGACGAAAAGCCAGCGCCGAAACGCATCGACTTCTTGGGTCCGGTAAAGATTCTATTCCAGTGGAATACCTTTTGCGCGATATTCTGCGTCGCAGTCCACTACACAGTATGGCAAATGGTTCTCACCGCCGTTTCCACACTCGTCCAGCAGAAATACCACACATCAGAAATCCAAGTCGGTCTAATCTTCCTCTCCAATGGAGCAGGATCCATTATCGGAACCGTTCTGGTTGGCAGATTCTTGGACCGTGACTACCGGCGGATTTTACGCAAGTATGGTGGCGACGAACAGCGAGTGCCCATTGAGAAAGCTCGGCTCAGGACCGTGTGGATTTGGAGCGCCCTTGAATGTGTCTCCGTGCTGGTTTTTGGGTGGACCGTCGACCAAGGTGTGCATATTTCTGTGCCCATTATCTGCTTTTTTGTCCTGGGGTGGGCGGCCATTTCACTGCAAAGCGTGATCTCGACCTACCTGGTTGACATCCATCATACCCAGAGCGCTTCTGCGACGGCTGCCCTAAACCTCGTCCGTTGTTTGCTCGGCGCAGGTGGGACTGCCGTGGTTGGACCTCTGATCAACAGTATTCATGTTGGCTGGACCTTTACTTTGTTGACGGGTGTCATGCTCGTACTGGGAGGTCTTATTCTGGTTCAAATCATGTTCGGGAAGGCCTGGAAGCAGAAAATCGAGCAGAACTCGGCGCCTGCATTGGAAGAACAGAGGAATGTCTAGAGAACGCTGGCCCCTGAATATGTCGGGTACATGATCCGAGCCGGAGGGAGTAGACCGGGTAATAGTGACTTTCAGTGATGGACAAGGGGTCACATGCATACCGACTCACACTGGGTGGGAGTATAGGTCGGAAGCTGTGCCACGCTACATCTGCCACTTAGAGGAATAGCTTTCTGTATACAATAGAAAGAATAGATTAATTTGTCTTCTCTGCCGCCGAACCGCCTATTCTGAGACACAAGACTGGGTACGACTGTGAGGTTGGACTGCTAAAGCGGCAAGGATGCTGCCCCAATCAAGACCAGACCCGCTGGCCGCATTTTGGAGTCATTTCTCTCGAGCCTTGGAGTCAGAACCACAGTGAGCACAACCACATTTCTTCTTGTGACTGCCCTCTCCTCTTGCCCTTGCTGTCCTTTCCCCAGGTCCCTCCGGCGGACGCAACCATGGCAGAGGATTTGACCGCGAAAGTGCTTAACGTCCTGAACTCTACAGACGGTCCCGTCGTCACATCGGAAGCCTTCCCCAATGCCACCTTCGTCAGTGTCAAATCCGCTGTCGACAAATTACGATCGAGAGATTTCATTGAAGCAGAGCAGATTGATCGGTTAGAACTTGTTCTTACAAAAGAAGGTCATGATATCGCAGAAAATGGAAGCAATGGCGCCAGGGTTTTCGAGGCTGTCCGGGCGGCCGTGGAAGGACTGAAGATCAAAGATTTACCCGCTGCTGTGGGCGACGCAAATGTGGCCAAGTTCGGTTCGGGAGATGCTTTCAAACTCAAGTGGATCAAGAAAGATGGGGACACTCTCAAAGCAGTTGCGGATAAGATCCAGGACGAGGTACAAGAACAATTACTGGAGATCCAGTCCAGGAAAGCCCTAAGCAACCCCAAGGTTGTGGCAGACTTCAAGAAGAGGAAGTATGTGGCAGAGCAGAAAACAGTCACCTTCAAGATCTCCAAGGGCCCTAAATTCTCGACAGAGTTTGTCAAGGAAGAGGCGGATCTGACAGCAGAAATGTTGGCCTCCGGGGCATGGAAGACCGTGCAATTGAAACCATATAACTTCAAAGCAAAAGGTGCACCCACGCCATCCGGAGCTCTTCATCCTCTCAACAAAGTGCGGCAAGAGTTCCGAGAGATTTTCTTTGAGATGGGGTTCGAGGAGATGCCGACAAATCGCTATGTGGAGACCGGTTTCTGGAATTTTGACTCTCTTTTTGTTCCTCAACAACATCCCGCCCGCGATCTTCAAGACACTTTTTACATCTCGGATCCTGCCAGAGCTGATCCCCCTCGAGCAGATCCCGAGCCTCCAGCTCCTGGGGAGAAACCTACACCTTCGCCCTCCCATAAGAGAACGAAGTCGAAGGAAAAAGGCTTGGACTTCAAAAAGTACTGGGACGATGTCCGTGCCGTGCATGAGAACGGGAAATTTGGTTCAATAGGCTACAGATACCCGTGGTCTGAAGACGAGTCTTTGCGTCTGGTTATGCGAACTCACACGACGGCAATTTCTGCATACATGCTTCACAAACTCGCCCTGAACCCTCGGCCGGCGCGGTACTTCTCCATCGACAGGGTCTTCCGAAATGAGACGGTCGATCAAACACATCTGGCAGAATTCCACCAGGTGGAAGGCGTGATTGCTGACTGGGGTCTGACACTGGGTGGACTGATCGGTTTCATGGAAGTCTTCTTCGGCAAGATGGGTATCAAAAACCTGAGGTTCAAGCCCGCATACAACCCCTACACAGAGCCGAGTATGGAAATCTTCAGCTACCACGAGGGATTGAAGAAATGGGTGGAAATCGGAAACAGTGGCATGTTCAGGCCAGAAATGTTGGAACCGATGGGCTTGCCAAAGGATATGCAGATATATGGTTGGGGTTTGAGTTTGGAGCGACCTACCATGATCAAGTAAGGTTCTGATCCTCCGGGTTGCGAATGTGCTAATGATTGTGAACAGATATGGCGTCAACAACATTCGAGAACTTCTGGGGCATAAAGTCGACCTCAACTTCATTGAACAGAATCCTGCTGTCCGCTTACACAAAGATTAGAACATCCCTCACAAGCGACAAATCAGCATGTACGAAGATCGACGAATCCTACGCGCTCAAGATGTGTTGCAAGTGAAAGAGAGCATTACCAGAACAGGTTCTAGATTCCAAGAAGAGAAGGCTAGAAATGATACCCAATTACTTCTTCTCCCTCTGCCCCTTATGTTTGCCTCGTTCCCCTTCACTTCTATTTCTGTTACAAGCGGTCAATTTTCTACCGGCACATCAAGGCTTCCTCAGACTCAATCTACCATGACTGTGGAAGTAGAGATATAATCGTACATACAACAGCCGAATATTGAGCCCTAAACGCCGCCTTCTGAAGAGCTGTGATTTATTTCCGAGGTTGAGAGTCAGAGCACAGATACGGGCGGCACATTCGTCTTTTTGTTGGCGAAACATATAGATCCCCCACCGTTGTGACAGAGATGAAGAGCCACATGTGTGTGTGGAGTGTCCTTGAATTGGGTTTTCATTTCTGGGCCGTCCCAGTCTGCAGTTCTATCATGCTGGTCACGCAGATTTACCGTGTCCGTGCCCTGCGACCAAGCAAGCAAATTCTCTTCTTCGCCATGCGGAATGCCATGCATCCATCACCGTCCCACAATAAACATAATGTGTCTTTGGAATGTGCTGTGCATTGCGCTGCTCGCCCAAGAGCCCTCGATGGGCAGGTCGGGACCTCAATTGAGCCTCCTTCCGTACTTTTCCCTTGCCCCCCGAATAACACTCTCTGTGCGCTCTTCACAAGCTCATGTTCCGCCTTCGCCACGCCTCATCCTCATCCAGTGACATGCACATTGTTTGTTTATCTCGTGGCCTGCGCGCTCCAGACACTCTTCAAGAACCCGTCCTTCTGCGCCAGCCGGTTGAGGCTGTCGTCGCTCTCGGCGCGGGACCGCACGAACCCGCACAGCGCGTACACCTGGTTCTCGCCCGTGTATCGGCCGTTCTCGTCGACCTTGCCCACGGAGATCTGCACGCTGGCGTGGTCCTTGGCCTTGATGATGCGGTTCGTCGCGCTGCACTTGCGGGGCACGTAGCTATACAGAAAGGAAGAACCTGTGGTCAGCCGCCAAATTTGGAAAGCTCGAAATGGAACGGAACAATGAAATGCGGAGGGGAAGAGATGGGTCGCAGGATCTGGCTGTCTCTTCGCCCAAAGACCCTTTTTCTGTGGAGGGTCGGTTTTGGGGCCGTGAAGAGAGAGACACAGACAGATCTGAGAGGGAAGTGAAAGAACTTGGAACTGATGAATTGGGGACCTTACAGATCGACGATTTCGCCCTTCTCGTTCTCCATGGTTGCTTGGTTGGTGCTGGGACCCGAGTGTCTTCTTTCTGTTACAAGGAGGGGAGGTGTTGGTGTGTCGAGGTAGACGATGAGGGTGGGAGAGTCTCGTTGGTTGTGTGGGCTTTTTCTTCAATCTCGTCGACAAAGGCGCCGCGGGGAAAATAATCGAGAAATGTGCGCTTGGGGCGGATCGGAGTCGCTGGCTCCGCTCTGCCAAGATATTTGCACTTACTACGTCGAGAGACGCGCCGTAAAAGTACTGCGGAGTAAATTATCCAAAGCGGATTTCTGAGCACTTCTTAACAGAGCCTCGTGAAGCACTACACCACGGCAGTCAAGGAACGTTCCGTATCTCTTGTGACTCTGGTGACACAGTGAGATAATCCGATGGGATGTCAGCCAGCGCTGAGAGGTATTATGTCATATTCGTCCAAGTACATTTCTATCTTCGCCTTACTCGCAGCCGTCTCTCGCTTCTGGTGGAGATGCCATCCAGGAACCCTCTATCGTGCACAGCCTCGTGAAGAACATTGTATTCATTTGCGTCACTGGCCATCATGTTGGCAACAGCCGCAGCTCGATCGTGATCAGGCGGTTATAGTCAATGTGTGCATGACGTTAGAGGTACTCACTCCTTGATCTTGCAGAGTGAAACCAACAGGCCAGGTTGATTTGCATTTGTACTCACGTCGGTGTCGGAATGTACTCATTCACGCGTTATCATTTTTTGGTCTTCCTCGTCTTGAGGGCTTCGACAGGTGACTCAAAAACGCCATCAATCACCCCGATCACCTGATGAGGTATCGCTTGGAGTCAAATGTGCTGTCTCGCCGAGCTGGTCCTTTGAAGCCTTCACCATGGTTGTTGATTCTCGAATGGCAAGATGACTGTGTTGAACAAGTCTTCAAAGCTGAACTGCCCGGCGCCCACTGACAAATGAGAGACGGGACCGCCGAGTGCTGCAGCCGGCACAGAACCTTCAACTGCGGTTCGTTCTCCCGCAACGTGAACCTGCAAACCTTGTGGTGAATGAATTTCAGCTCTGTCAGGGCCCGGCAGCAGACTACCATTCGTGTTCGAGTCCATGAGACTTGGCCTGTTGGTGCTTGGTTCGCCGAGCAATAAAGACACCGTTTGCTGTCCTGGAAATGCGGATGAACCACTGCGGTCTGTTTGGAGCCTGAGTATTTCGTTCCGATGATACTCCCTTGCAATGTACGTAAATTCGGAAAGGCGAGAAGTTTGCATCGCGGCCTCGGTCACATGCTCGAGGCGGCTAAAGTATCCAGATGCCATGTCTAGAAAAAGCAGGTTGGTTTTGGCATCTGGACCGGTAGGGTCTTGAATGACCAGGTCAAACAGAATCAACATGGCGGCGAGAGGCATAGTAGCCAACGCCCTGTCTCAATTAGCGTTTGCTCGGACACAAATAGTTCAGTGCTCACCAGAGCGACGTATACGCTTTGAGATCAATCAGACTCGTGAGTTCCAAGATCGCTCTTGCAGCGTTCCGAAGCATGACCTCGCCGGTGCCAAAGTCTGACAGATCCCCTTCGATCCCACAGTGGATCGCCAGCCTCGCAAGTGCGATGACGACGCTGTGGTAAGAAAAGTTGAGATGTATCAACACTGCGCGGGACTGTGGACCTTGTCCGTCTGGGATGCCAACAATATTGTCCGGCCTGTATTGGGCAGGAATGCTCTCCTTCCAGGCGTGAAGTGCTTTATAAACACTCTGGATCTTGGTCTGCTTCTGGTCCACGGTATACATTGTCGCCTTCACGGAGAAAAGTTCCTCGTAGCAGACCGACAACAACCTTGCCAGTCGCGTGCTACTCAAGAACCAGTCATGGCTACTCCGTATAGGGTCTGTCGTCGTTGGCGGCAGACAATCGATATCAAAATCGGCGATGAGCTGGCTAAACAGTGAGCTCTAGTCCCCACGCAGAGGGCGCTTATAACATACAGAAGTCCTCGAGTTCTGGAAACACCAAGATTTCTCGAGCTGGTATATCACCCAAAAAATTCTGGATTCATCGACCCGATCCGACTTGTGCAGTTGGAGACATCTCGCCAGCCTAGCAGCTTCTGAAAGAAGGTCCTCTTTGAACTGGAACGAACTCATGTTCTGGGAGAAGATGGCCTGGGGTTTGGTCAGCTTTCCCTCGACAGTGATGAAGCCACCGAGCCATTCGTACCATTGCGGTCACAGTCTTCCCTCTGTCAGCAGCCACCTTATCTCTGGCAGGACCTCACGCACCTGTACATGTAGAAGCGTTGGCATTGGACCCAAGGTTTTCGGGAAACACTCCCGCGCCTTCATGAAGAAGTGCCATGCCAGACCTTTCCCTGGGAAGAATGCCCCCCTGCCATGGTACTGGCAGCCGAGAGCCAGTACAGTGTTGTACAGTGCGGACCATTCCGGGTGGTTGCGCAAAAGCTGGCCAAATTGAGGTTTGGAGACTTCTTCCAGAAATGACGCCTGATCAAGAAATGGATACACCGGATGCACGTAACGAAAATATGCTGAAAGAATGGGTATGTCAGCAAGTCCGTGGTCCAAGAAGAAGGCAGATTTCACCTTGGATGTACTCTTCCCTCAAGTTCTGGGACAGGTCAGCATCTCTGCGCAACACTGCCGAACCTGGACTCCAGAAGATCTTGGTGGCGTTTTCAAGACGCTCTGTCACGACCGAGCGCATTTCGTCGATCATCTGCCCGACCTTGCCATGACCGAGAACTCGTGCCAACGACTGCAACCGAGACTCGGTAAAGACACAATAGCTCGAACATGTCACTTCAGCACTTGTCAGATAATCAAGCCTTACGATCGGGTTGGGGCCGTTGAGTACCATGGTGTTCATCGGCCTAAGATACTCGTTCAGCATGGGGCCGTATTGTAAAGAGCCGGGTGTGGTCGAGCTCACTTCAAACAGCCTCTTCTGGTATGTCCTTTTGCCCACAACGCGTCGGTCATACTGGAGCAATTGATCAACAAAGAGGTTGCTGTCACTCGGCGCCGGGGGCGTGTGTTGTATGGCCTCAACATTGGGATCTGCGTTTACAGACACAGGATCCGTGGTGTTGTGTTCTGTTTCGGGTTGGATATGCCAGACATGGACTTCTTGAAACTGGGATCGACTCGGCCGTCCATCTTCACCTGCAATCACAGCCTCTCCTCAGTATCTTCTCCCGGTTGTCACATCTTTTCCATTCGTACCATTTCGCCGATGTCGATGTCGCCTTTTGTCGCGGGAAAAGTGACAGTTTTCCCGCCTGTTCTGTAAGCACGCAGCTAAAAGTCAGAAATGGAAGCAGCGCTATTTGAAGGGGAGAGGAGTTATTACCTGGCAGTTCAAGCAGGCTGCATTTCCTGGCGCCCGTCCTTTCAAGAGTCAACTAAGAGCCCCGGCACAGACATACAGTGTAGCTTCGTCAAGCACTGGTAGGGGCTTACTGCAGCGAACTTTCCTGGTGTGGCAATTCTCACATGTTCGCAGGAAATCGTCGGTCGACATGGGAAGACATGTGTGTTGATGGAGTGGAGAGTTATGCTTGATCAATCAGAAAATAAGAGAGCGCAGGCCAGTCTCCCCGCGTTCCCAAGCCTAGGTATGTGATCCTGTACCTGCGGGACTCGAAATCAGGGGCTCGCGGGGCTTACGGGGGCCCTCATCAGGCTAGCGAGGCCCAGAGTCAAGATCTACAAACGCGGGAGGCCCAAGTTGCCGGGGGTCTTTGCCCTCCTTTCCCGCTCTTCGGACAGAAGCGGCCTAACAGCGAAAACGAGCCGGGATCTGCTCAAGTTGACTCTTAATCATGAAGCCATAAAGCTGCGAATGGTTTCGCACGACAAACTACCCACAGAAGGACGCCAACCAATACAGACACTGAACAAAATACCCTCTACCACGCCTTTACTCTCTTCAGCGCCACTTTGAGGCCGTCCCTCGGTTTCGATGTGATGACCCCAGCAGGGACAACCTCCTCATCTGGGTTGAGCAGGGCCCATTCAAAGGCCCCAGCAAAAGCAGCCACCAGGGCTCTCAGCTCTGCTCGTGCGAAATTCTGGCCGATGCAACTTCTTTGGCCGTGAAGGAACGTCAGAGTGGCATAGTTGGTCGACGCGCCTCCGGTCTGGTTTGGCTTTCCCGACTCGGGGTCGATCCATCTCTCTGGCTTGAACTCGTGCGCGTCCGGGCCCCATAACTCGGGATCATTGTTCACGGCCCAGGGCGACATGATGAACTTGGTGCCTGCGGCAACTGGGTGGCCTATCAAGGTAGTGTTTCGCTTGGTTGTCCTCATCGTGACCGGCACGGCGGGCAGGACGCGGAGGCTCTCACTGCAGACACCGTTGAGGAGAGGCAGCGACTCCAGCACCGAAGCTATATTCGTGTCCTGAGAATCGGTGGGCGAGAATCCATTTGGAATTGCTGCGTGGATTTCAGCGCGGAGACGGGACTGAATGTCGGGGTGAAGCGCAAGAAGGTATGTTACCCATGTGAAGCTCGAGGAGGTCGTCTCATGGCTAATTGGTAATGTTAGTGATCAGTTATCGTCGACGGACTTGTCGGGGACAGACACTCACCCAGCTGCTATGATTGTCAAAAGTTGGTCTACCAGCTCATCATCCGAGAATATGTTTGACTTGATCAACGAGGCCAGGGTGTCGATTGCTTGGTCTTGCGAACCCTTCATTCTTTCCCGCTTTTCTCGCACAAATTGCCTGCATATGTGTCTCAATTGGCCATTGAGCGTATCATAGCGTTGGGCGACAGGGCGGCAGAGCAAGGACGCAAGCTCGTTGCTCCCAAGCAACGACACCGCTGCATGGATTTGTCGGCCCACGGAAGGGTGCACCAACTCGTCATATATCTTGACCATCTCGTCGTCCGAGTTGCCCAGCGTGTTGAAATCTCGGCCCAGGCCCGCCACACCGATAATGTCCAACGTCGTCTTCGGGGCGTAATACTCAATGTCCACGGCTCCAGACGGCAGGTTCTCGGCGCCTCCGTGGCCCCGGGCTGGCCCGAAGGCTTCGGCGTCGATCACCCGGGTCATCTTGACGGACTTCTCCCAGAACAGGTTGTACAGGAGCTTGATCTGGCGGAACGCGAAGCTGGGCATGCTGTGCTTGCGCTGGTGTTTGTGCTGCTCGCCTTCGGCCGCGACCAGGCCGTCGCCGATCAGGCGGCGGAGAAAGACCCGGTCCTTGTCTGGCTTGGGGAATTCGTACGATCGGGTGACCAGGATCTCGGCCAGGGCCTTGGGGCTCGTCACCAGCACCTGGTCGGCATTGAGGAAGCCTTTCAGGCGGATGAGCCCGTCGTTGGGGACTTCACGGGTAAATCTCTGGTAGTCCCCGCCTCGTGGGGCCTTGAACTGGGACAAGGCGTGGCCGATGATGGGATAAGCGCCCTGGAACGCAGACATCAATCTCTCCGCCCTTAGATTTTGCTCTATGGCTGAGACATACCTCTGCAACCGGGAGATCTCGGAGCGGGCTGACGAAGTTTGGATAGATCAATATCAGATAGAAGAGCCACAATGCAAAGTTGAGTAGCGTGAAGCACAGAAAGGCCGGGTTGAAGCCGTCGACGGGGGAGTACTGCGGAGCCACCGCAAGCAACACCACCGCCTGCACCGCCGCAGAAAATACCAGCAGCAACGGCGTAGGAATGCTGAAAGCCATTGTACAGGACGAGACAGCAAAGGGAAGAGAACAATCGATACAACAAAGATGGAATTCCTATATGTTGTTGGGCTGTACAGAGTCCTCTTAAAACCTTCACGTGGGTAGATATTCACAACGACGAATACGATATACGACATTCACTCCGTACGGGTACGGTGGATGAAATGGTTTAAGCGGAATCGTCGACTACGTGGTCCCGTCAGCCCAGGTCGCAACCTTGCAATCCAGAGAGGTCAAAATAGAGCCGCGGCATCAAGTGCCCCAGACGGGCTGACGGTGCAAATTTACACCGGCTCCCCGCATTCTTGGACCGCAGAGGGATCTCTGTAGATCTTGTGTCTAGGGCATGGGCACATAGGCTTTTGTCATCCCTTTTGGGTATGAATGAGACGTATCGGACGGATTTTCTACCCACTGTATGGGCAGGCTTCGGCCACCATCCCACAAGGCCAGGTTGCCCAGACGAGCAGGGCTTGCGAAGTCCGGGACCGACGAATAAGGTCAGATTCACCGCCGACCTCCCTCGGGCTGTGTTGGACAGAGGAAGCTCTGATGGCATTTTTCTAGGGTTTGTCGGTGATACAGCGCCCAAAGGAGCGAGTGAAGGCATGGAAATTACCCAATTTGGGCGTCGTGGAGACGAGCGGCTGTGTGTACTACCGAACCACTTTACCTTAAATCTTCTTACCCCAAGGCTGTTGATTCGAGCGAAGTTGGTACGTTTTATGAGCGAGAATCCTTGCGGTTTCTATTTTATACAGCCGTGTTCCCAAGGGCTAGACCTGCATTTCTCTTCAACTTGATAAAGAAAAAAAAAGGACGAAACCCCCTCGGCGCCTTAAGCTCCATTACGTTTGAGCATTTTCGTCACGCTGCCTCGAACCGGCACTTGGATCCAAAAGGGCAGGGCTCGGATGAGTGCCGCGTTGGACAAGGAAGCCGGGAGGATGACCTGTCCACTGCTGCCAGACATGATTTGCTTGACGATGGCATCCGCGACCGTTTCGACGCGAAGAGCCGACCGTCGAAAGCCCTCGTCGGCATCTTGGAGCGGCTGCGTCATTGGCGTAGCAACCCAGCTCGGGTGGATGATGCTGTTGCGGTGCAGATTAGCCGATACAGTCCTCCAGATGGGGATCATGCCTTGCCAATCTCGAGGGCATTGGTTCAGATCTCAAGATTGACGTACCTAGTGCGGACTTTGGGAGCGTTGTACAAGTATTTCAGCTCCTGACCCAGCCCCTCATGAAAAGCGAGGGCGCTCGCTTTGGAGCACGCGTAGTCGACCATGGCCCCGGCCGCCACGAAGCTGGCCATGCTCGCGACCGTGACAACGTGACCGTGGTTCTTGCGAACCATGTCCGGAAGGAATTCCTTCACGAGAACGAAGTGGCAGATGGTGTTGACGTCGAACGTGCGCCGGACGCTGGCCTCCGACCCATTCAGGATCGGGCCTCCTTCGCCCACGCCTGCATTGTTGACGAGCACCGTCGGGTGTCCGTACGTCTCGCGGATTTGGTCGGCGACTTCTCTCACTGCCTCCGAGGATGTGATGTTGACGCGGAAGAAGGCGACGTTGGGCGCTGCACCGGTCCCCGTTAGTCATGTCAACTCGTAAAAGGCTTCGGTATACACACGCAGTGGCGTCTTTGGGGCATTGACGTCGAGAATGATCACCTTGACACCTCTCGCCGCCAGGCCTGCAGTCACTTTCTCGCCGATTCCGCTCGCGCCCCCCGTGACCACGACGAGTTCTTTGCTTCCATCCCAGCGGTCGCTCCGCGTCCAGTTGTTGATCGCCAGCCGTGATAGGAAATTATTCGCCTTCCTCAGGATTCCGAGGATGAGAAGACAAGCAAGCGCTTTGGCTGTTCGCGGCGATTGAATCGCACTTATGATGCTGGGAGGGAGCCGCTCGAGAAGTGATGGAGGAAGCCTGGGCAGAGAATACAACAATGTCCCGGTAAACAGTGGCTCGAAGGCCGCTGCTCTGAAAATCGATACCATCGCGGTGAGGTCAGGCAAGCTTTTTGTGTACGCAGCGTATGCTTCCCTGGAGGAGCCTTTGGGGCTCGTGGACGTCGTTACTCCAGAATTTAAACGGTCCGCTGTCGCGACGAGGCTGTCGCATTGCACACAATAGCGCTCTTTAATGACGTCTGTTCGAGGCAACACAGACAATCATTCACAAGGACGAACCGAGGCCGGAGTCAGGGGTATGGGCAGAGGGGTTTATCTAGTAAGCTTCGGACATCGACCCAGAGAGGTTAGACCGGACCGGCTCCACATTGAACCGGTTGAGATCAGGCCCTCATTGGTGGCCTTGTTCGAGCAGTTAAACGAAGAACGCATTTGTGCTCGTATGCACTCCGTACCCTGACCGCGGGGGTGAGAACATTTGCGAACAGTTCTTGACCCTGCAAATGACCGTCAGCCCAGTCTTCAAGGTGGAAGAGATGGCCCACGCGATAATGAAGTGACCTCTAGCGTTGAAGCAAGGCTGCTGCACCTCGACAATCAACGCACGAAGGCACGTTAGGGTTGGGGGTATCCACGAATTAGAGCAGGTCTCTGCATAGCTGGGAGTGAAGCAGTAGAGACACCCATCACAAATACGGCATCCATGGCTGGCTTGATGTGTTCCGGTGGAGTTTCTGACGAGAGCACAGGTGCACACGGATAGAAAGGACCTAGAGAAGGTACCCGATTTTGACATATTCCTCCCGAAGACAGATACAGGGGTTGTTTCCAGATGCCGCCCTTTTTCCACTCAGTGCTCTCCATTAATTCTAGATACCGATTACAGCGTCATGTTGCCCTTCAGAAGGCTTTGGCAGTAGCGAGCTCTTATTACGTGACCGTGGTTACTTAGCGAACTATTCGGCGTGCGGAACGAGAAATACTGAAGAGACAATATCGATCGAATCCCCGGCTAGGTTCCGCGATGGGTCTAACATCCACAATTTCACTGAACACAGCAACCTTGTTGTATCATTGCAGAGCTTCGCAAGGCCGACAAGCTTGCTAAGGCAAGGCATTGGGAGGAGAGTGCCAAGGACGGCGATACCTCGGTTGGCATTTGCAGGGCATAATTTCCAACGCAAAGATCGTAAATGAACCACCAAGAGCGACTGCAATAATCAAGAGAAGATGCGGAGACGGGCCCCTAAGGCTCCAGCGTCCAGACAGGCATTGCATTACATTTTGAGATACTAGAAGATGGGACGTTACTGGACATTGGCACCCCAGGGGCCTAGATTTGACGCGTCCTTGTGATGAAGACGAGCAGATACGAGATGGTCAGTGGTATGGAGCACAATCCATCCGGTCGTGCACATCTACAGATCCTGTGTGAAAAAGCCCAGTCTCGGTGGTTCTGAAGGATCATGGGAATCTGCCTAGGCTTCATCATGAAGGGAACGTCTCGGTCAAAGGTCTGATTGGGATTAGGCTCGGTCATTGCCACTCGGGAGTGTGTGCATTCGGCTAAGAGGATGGTAATTCAGAAACACTTCCATTCCGGCTTGTCTGCTAACCGCGGTGTCGACCCTCGTGAACTTGTCTTGTAACCGCGTTGTCCACCTCTTACTTTGCTCGGACGAACCCAGCGCGCCGGCTCAGAGCCATCCTTGTCCTGGTAGATAGGTGAAGTCAAAACGATCCATGTCGACCACGAAAGAGCGGAATTGCTCGTCGTTCTCTGGCGCAACTCTTCGCGCTTGCACAAACATATAAGCGCCCACAGAGTTGTGTGACAGCGACACAGGTCTTCAGGGCAAAAGCAAGGAAGATCCAAGTGCGGAATCTCCAGCTTCCGGAAATCCCTTGCCTCGTGCCTCTGGAGGTGGGTCGGCGCCTCGTATTCTCCAGTTCTCGCAGAATCTAGTGGCTAATGACCGGCAATCCTGAAAAATACTAGTCTCCGGTCAGAAGCAAGACCTGTGCAGAGGGCCGCATATACCAGGCACTACTGGTATCTAAATGATGGGTTTTCTGATACCGGCCTGTTCCGACCCAATTTATACTGGAGCCCCCCAGTTCGCCATCGATCACTGCCGTCCGTGTCGTCTCATTGGGTCCATGTTGCCTGTTATGCCTCGGCCCAGACACGGCCAGGCTCTGGGGCTCCAGATTCAGGAAGACAAAGAAAAAGACAGATAGATATCAACATGGCGTGCCGCAAAAGGTGAGCAACTGACCTTGGTGTTCTACCTCGATTGATCTCGTCGCATCCTGGACTTCCCCACGAAATTCCTCCACAATGCACGTTCCCACCCCCGGAAGAGAGAACTTTGTCGATGTCCTCATCATCGGCGCCGGCATATCTGGGATCAACGCCGCGTACCGGATCCAGTCCCAGCTCCCAGATCACAAGTATGTCATCCTCGAGGGTCGAGGCGAAATGGGAGGCACATGGGACCTGTTTCGCTACCCCGGCATCCGCTCCGACTCGGACCTGTTCACCTTTGGGTTCGCCTGGCACCCGTGGAACCAGAACAACCCCATCGCCGAGGCGTCTGCGATCAAGGCGTACATGAACGACTCGGCGCGCCTGTTCGGCATCGACCGACACATCCTGTTCCATCACAAAGTCCTCTCCGCCTCGTATTCGTCCTCTGACAAGCTGTGGACCTTGTCGGTGGAGTACAAGGGAGCCGTCACGACCTTCGTGACGAGGTTCCTGGTCTTCGGCACGGGCTACTACGACTATGAACAGCCCCTCAAGACGGAAATCCCTGGGATCGACCAGTTCCAGGGACCCGTCGTGCACCCGCAATTCTGGCCCGAAGACCTCGACTATTCCAACAAGAAGGTCGTGATCATCGGAAGTGGCGCGACGGCAATCACGCTGGTGCCTTCGATGGCCAAAACCGCGGCCAAGGTCACCATGCTACAACGCAGTCCGTCCTACATTGTGTCGATGCCCAACCGATCCAAGTCGATCTTCCACTCGATCCTGCCGGGGCGGATGGTGTCGCTCCTCACCCGCTTCCAGCTGATCGTCAAGACGCGGCTCTTCTACCTGTTCTGCCGGAACTTCCCCAACATGACGAAGCGGATGCTGCTGCGCGGCGTGCACCGACAGATCCCCGAGACCGTAGCGGTCGACCCGCACTTCTCGCCGCGCTACAACCCGTGGGACCAGCGCCTGTGCCTGTGCCCGGACGGCGACTTCTTCAAGAGCCTGAGCAGCGGCAAGGCGGAGGTGAAGACGGACCTGATCGACGCGGTGCAGGGCGACGGCATCCGCCTCAAGTCGGGCGAGACGCTGCCCGCGGACATCGTCGTGACGGCCACGGGCCTCAAGCTGCGGCTGGGCGGGGGCATCCGGGTCGCCGTCGACGGCGCCCCGTTCGACCTGGCCGGCAAGCTCATGTGGCACATGGTCCTGATGCAGGACCTGCCGAACGCCGCGTTCCTGCTGGGCTACACCAACGCCTCGTGGACGCTGGGCGCCGACGCCTCGTCCCTGTTCCTCACGCGCCTCTTGCGCATGATGGACCGCAAGGCCGTCGCCGCCGTCATCCCGCGCAAGGACGCCGGCGCCACGATCCAGCCCCGGAAGTTCCTCGACCTGAACTCCACGTACCTCAACGCGGCGGAGAAGGACCTCCCCAAGACTGGCGACCGCGGCCCGTGGAAGGCCCGCACCTACTATCTCGCCGACCTCATCTTCTCCAAGTACGGCCGGATAGGGGAGTCTTTGGAGATGGTGAAGGCTAGTTCCGTATGATACTCTTTTTTTTTGTGGCTGGGGAAGAAATGACTCGGTTCGGGCGCCTAGATGGTTCTGCTTATGTTAAGCTCTTGAAGGGTATTCTCTGTATAAGAAAAGCATGCGTTGTATCTCTCGATGTTGTGGTAGATTTGATATTTGTCAATCATCTGTCCCTTAGAGAATCATCCCAGTGTTGCGAGTCATGCAGGTCGAACAAAGTAATACTCTAAGCAGCAACATCCAGTCCAATTGACAATTGTGTATGGATTTGCGCCCCAGCCCCAACCAATCATTCCGAACAAGGCTGCCTCGCCCCCAAACAACCTCGTCAAGCCAACGCAGAAAATGGACAAAGGCGCTGCTCAGTATTATAAAAGGCAGTTTAAACATGCCAGAACCCAGAAGTCTTGAGAAAACCAGATACCTTGAACATGTTCTGTAGGGCCGATGCCCACTTGACTTACGATCTGTAACCTGGGTATTAACTTGACTTCATGCATTCCATCTCGCCGTCAGCATTACCAGATTCCGTCATGAACTCCCCCATGCCCCCTTGGCCCTCTCCCAATGCGCCTGTACACCAGTCACTGACCCAGAAGTAATGCGACTGCGCCGACCGAGACCCAAATCGACAAACATATCCTTTGTGACCCAGCCACATGCCTTTCATGACACAAAACAATCTCAAGTCAGCCTCATTACTCATTCTTCGTCCATTCCCTTACCGTCCCCTGCACAAAGGAAATGAGCCCTCCTCTCTGCTGGCTACCTTCGTATTACTGAAGGTCCTGTCATCCTTCCACCTCCACTCAGGAGACTCTGTCTCACAATCATCTCGGCCGCGGCCGCTGCCGCAAGCCTCTCTTTCTGCCTGCTCCGATCCCTCAAGTACCCACTTGCCTCAGGTCTCATTCTCAAAATCCTCAGTATCATGTCATCATTCGGTTCCGCTTGAGCAGCTTTCCATTTTTCTTCTTTAGCCTTGCGTTTTGTGCCGAGATTGCGGGAGAGCAAAATGCTCTTAGCTCGGCGCGCTCCCGCAAGATTGCCGGGGTCGAGGAGACCGCCCGCACCCAGGTGATTGCTCAGATTGGCCGGGGCAGAAAATCTTGAGCGATGCATTTGTTGACTTGCAGCCGTCGCGCTGGCCATCCTTTCGGACTCGCGAATGAGAGATTCCGTCGGCTCAAAATAGAAGAAATTGAGCATTTGTAGTTCGTGATACTTCGGACTCTTCAGTACATTGAGAGGCACGCCGTTTGCTTCCCCAGTTTCTTCGTCGACGGCATTAAAGAATTCAAGGAGAGATTGTAGCCACTTGAAGACTATGTCGAGTTCTTGTTGCGTGAGGGCTTTTTGTTGGGAAGGTTTGTCTGACAGAGGCGGGACAAGGAGAGCTTCCACGGTGACGAGGACTTCTTTCCAAATGCGTGTCATAACTGCAATCATTGCTTCCGACGTCAAGGTTTGTTGCATGATAGCAAAGTTGTCGTCGAAGTAGTCAAAGAGCGGTTTCAAAGCGTTGACAATCTCAGGATCCGTGGGCATGGTAGTGGTTGGAGCCAACGATGCTCGGTTTCGCGCAAAGAATGACGACACATTGGCAGACACATTGGCCATAGAGATGCCCCGATTGAGTAAAGACCTGAGTGCACGTCGCGAGAGACAATGGTTGATATACGCCGAAAGTTTGTCAGTGATCTTTCGGGTCATGTCCCGCTGCGCCCGTTGAAGACTTCTGAAAGCCTTGCCGAAGTAGAACTGAATGTCGTCTCGCTCTCCTTCCATGCTGACGCGGACCATGACTCGTCCTTGAGTATCAAGGTCCAGCCAGTATTCTCGAGGCAAGAAGTCGCTAAAGTGTGAAGGATCTAATTTGAGCGAAGTCCTTCCCACGTAGTCGTGATCGCCCATGGCATCCCAATCCCAGATGGTGGCAATGAGATTGAGAGGTCCTTGTGTAGTGATGTCGACCGATTCGTCCCATCGTGGATTCAGATTGCGGTAGACTATCCTGCTCTTGAACAATCTCTTCTGGTATTCGTCCGTCAAAACAACGTAAGGGTCGCTGAATCCACTAACATCACAAGCTTTGAGATCTTCGGCCTCCACAATCTTAATGGTGAAAACATAATTCGATGTCTTTTTGGGCCGTTGCGCTAGTGGCGGAGCATACTTTTTGATGACTTCGGCACATGCATCCACATTGACCTCCGTCTCCAGCTTGTCCCACTGTTGAATGGCGAACAAGATGTCGTTGAGTTTGACGAACGACTCCGGGTAGAAGTTAAAAGGCTCAACCCTTTCTTTCTGGTTCCAGGTGTCTTTGGCCAGTTGGACCCATTTCTCCTGTCTCGTCATATTTGCAGCAGCTTCTTGCTCAGGAGTCAATCTGTCCATCTCTTTACTGAACATCTGATCGAGCAATTCACAATACCTCGAAACACCCTGGCCGATGGCCTTCGAAAGCGCCGTCATAAACTTTGCGTAACTGAAATCGTCGTCCCAATTGAGTTCGCTGACTTGGTTGACGACTTGGTTGAACGAGCTGAAAATATCGAGAACGGAAGTCGAGTGGCGTTCGTCCTCAGTGGGAGTCTGGTTCGGCACTTGCGTCCTGACCTTGAACTGATCCTGTTTGACTGCATTCTCGACCCATCCAATGACTTGGGTCTCAGTGGTCTTGATCCATCGCCAGACGAAATCAGCCAGTAAATCTTCGATTTTGTAGGGAAAGGGGAGATGCGGTAAGGCGTCAGCGTGAACACGACGGAACTCGCTCAACTCCTTGTACAAATCAAACCCATCCTGGATTGTGACCTCAAATCCGTCTCTTTGAGCAACATTGAGGATTTGCTCTACCATTGCCTTTGAGTCCTCCGCAAACGCTGGAAGAGTACAGTTGATCAAGATCATCAGTGGATTGATACCGAGGATTTCTGGATTCTTTCTGAATCTCTTCTGCACCTTTTCTGCCAGCTTCAACACAGCCTTTGCCAATTGTTGGATGTGATAAAATTCCCACTTTTCATTTTCTTGAGGAAGCTCGCGATCCAAAAGAGAGTCGTATATCTTCCGCGCCTCGGTTGCTAACCCGTCAATGGCAGCATTCTTGAAGTTTTCAAAATCCTCAGGGTTCTGATTGAAGTTCGGGTCGCTTCGGATATGCTCATCTATGACTGCCATGATGACCCCCAACCTCGGTAATTGCGCCTTGTCGGCATAGGATGTCATGATCACTTCGTACAGATCTCGAAGTAACGTCTCATAGATGGTGTTGAGTAACCTGCCCATCAAGGCAAAATCGGCAACGGTCCAATTGTTTCGATCATACAAGGTTGAACTCATGATCAAAGAACTCCTCTTGTTCTTATGGTCATCCTGAAGTGGCTCCTTGACGTAGTTGAAGGCAGCATCGAGCATTTCCAGACTGAGCTGGTTCTCAATAAATTTCTCGCGGACGACATCCAGAAAGAGGACAATGCGAGTGAATTTGGGTATCCGCCATCTCAAAGCAATTTCATTCAATAGCTCTGTAGTCTCTTTGGAGAACAGGCGGCCACCTTCTGGACCGCTGGCACTGCCATTCATCTTATCGTTAAGGTCATGATTAAGGGCTTGAAGCATAACAAATCGAAACATGGCTCTGGTATCGGGAGGTATAAAGGTATAGACTTGCGCGGCATTGTCGTCATAGTGGGAGGAATCCCCCGAATCCAGTTGAAGCGAGCTTAGATCCGCCGGCAGATCTAAGACGTAGGAAGAAGAGTCTCCAGATTGCGAGATGGCTCGGGAGAGTTCGGCATAATGAGAATCTGAGGGACTGGAAGGCTCATTCTGGGGATTGAACTGAGGCAAAGCGCCGCCCGGAGTGCTTTTAGCCAACTCGGGATTTGCCTGGATGATGGCTAGCATCAGCTGGGAAAGGTCAGGGCCTTCGCTTCTCTTCCAGCTCTCGTATGCTTCTTGGGTATCGAAGTCGTTGGAATTCAAGGTCAACTTCGTCCCCAGGGTGAGGTGTTGCTGGTACGTCTTCAGATCTTGAAGGGCTGCCTTTTCTGTCCAGACCGGCTTGTTCTTCGTGATGTCTGACTGCATCATGGTATTGGTCAGGCCAAAGATGCGCCCCACGACCTGAACCAGAGGCATGTCCTTGACCTCATAGGTGAGAGGTACCACCTCCTCGATGGTCGTCCATTCTCCATTTGCTTGCGATGTGGCTAGATTGTCATCACCCTTCAGCAACTTGGACTCGAGAGTCTGCAACCGAGCGGCCAAGTCGGGTTTGTCCTTGGCCCAGTCACGATCCCTGAGAATCAAAGAAAGAAGGCGAACGAAAAGGGCGACGTGGCGATCAACCATGCGCTTGATAGCATCGTCGCCCGCAGGATGACCCTTCTGTAATTCCTTGGTGGCTGTGGAGAAGAAGATGAGCACCAGATCTTCAGCCCTTCGATCCGCCTCCATGCGCTTCTTGAAAGCCGGATCGGACAGAGTATTGAGGAATATAGCAAAGACCCTTTTGACCACAGGGTCATGGTATTCCTGCCGCTTCTCTCTCCCCACAAGAATGCCTTGCAGCCTCTTTTCCAGCTCTTTAATGAAGTCATGGGGAAACCTTGCGCTCTTTGCATCTCGGACCATGGTAAAATCTTTCATAAGGTCATTGAAGGAATGGGAAGTGCTCGTGCGGTTGACCGCAGGCCTGGTCTCGACATGTTTCTTCCTGGTTTTACGGGGCTGCAGCAAGTACGACAGGTAGGCCACTCGTAGAGCGTAAAGGTAGGCATCGTTCGTAGTGATAGATTTCCGACGGACCCTGGAGGAGTCTCTGGAGGCTCTTCCTCCATTTCTGAGACTGTTGACGCTCCGGTTGGGCAGCGGTTTCGAGCGGCTGGAAGAAAGGGACATATGGCGAAATGGTCATGAACTTGATGGCTTCTGTAGGATCGCAAGTTAAGAAGCAGACGAATGTGAAGCGATGTCCTCAGTATCCTGCTCAAAGCTGTATTTGAGGGGTTTGCGGATAGGTGTACGTGGTCCGAGCAGATCAGCCTGGTTCACTTTGGAGATGGATTGTGCCTGAGGCTTGGGGGCGGGGGAAATTTGGCGTGTGAACTTGTGTGCAGTGACGAGACAACGGTGACGTGACGATCGGATCAGGATCGATCATGCGTTCAAGCTGCTCAGATGGTGGATGTCAACGTTCTACACCTTTGCTCCCAGAGTTGCAGGGTGTCCCATTGACATGTCATCCCAACTCAAGAAACGAGGATTTATTGATGGCGTCCTTAGACAATCAGGCCTGTTTCAGGGTCGGCCTCCGCGCCCACAAGTCGCAGATCCAAGACTGCGGGCGGCGGGCAGTTGCTCGCACGCTCATACGGGCCGACATTGACTAGTGGTACGGGTAAAGCTTAAGGGGCTCACCAGGCGCAGTGGCGGCGCCATGACGACTGTAATCACCCCAAACTGTCCCATCACGTGCTGGAGGCTTTATTTAGATCCAACATTGGTTGCACCACCAGTGTTCAATGCCATCTGCTCGACCCAAGGGGGCACAACAACTGAAGCTCCAGCCTTCCCCAACCAAGAATCTCGGTGTTTCTTTTGATGGGAACGAGCAGAAGAACCTCTTACACAAAGTCAATAGGGGTTTCAGCATTGTTTCTCCAGTAAGGTTATCGGTGCAATGAGCACATGAATCTCTCTACCCGAACCGAGGTAGGTGTTTCGGCGTCTTATATACCTCTCTATTCTGTCCTTCATCTCTCCTTTGGGCTTCACATCTCGTACAAGTCTATCCCTTATACGGAGTAGAACAGCCATGCAAATCAAGGACCGCACCTTCATCGTCAGCGGAGGCTCTTCTGGCCTGGGTCTCGCAACCACCGTCATCTTCCTCCAACACGGCGCGAACGTCTCCATCCTCGACCTTAACCCTCCGCCATCAGATGCCTCCCTCGACCCTTCCCGAATCCTCTTCACAAAGACAAACGTCGCGTCTACCGAGTCACTACAAGAAGCCTTGCAAAATACACTGAAATGGATTCAAGAGACCACTAAACCGCTGTCCGGTGTCATCTGTTCCGCAGGGATCGGCACGGCAGCACTCGCACTTCCCAGGCAGGATCCTTCGGCGACCCATGAAAGCGTCAAATACATGGACATGACTGGCTTTGATCGCACCTTGGCTATCAACCTCCGGGGCACGGTTGATCTGATCCGCCTCACTGTTCCGCACATGGCTCTGAACAAACCATGGGGCCCCGACGGCGAGCGAGGGATCGTGGTTGTTGTCTCGTCTGTGGCGGCATATGAAGGCCAAGTCGGTCAACTGGCCTACAGCGCAAGTAAGGGTGCTGTCCGCAGCATCGTCCTCCCGCTGGCCCGTGAGCTGGGCCAGAAGGCTGGGATTCGAGTACTAGGGATTGCGCCTGGTGTGTTCCAGACCGGCATGACCACGAAGCCAAAACCCCCTCAGCCGGGATCAGGACAACAGTCGGGGGCTGGAAAACCAAAAGGGAGCACGGGATCGCGAGCAGGGATGAATACCGAGATGATCCAATATCCAATGCGCATGGGGCAGGGTCATGAATTCGCGCGGCTGATCAAAGAGATTGTGGAGAATCCCATGCTGAATGGGTTTGTCATTCGACTCGACGGCGCCGTGAGGATGCCTAGCCGGCTGTAGACATCTGTATACTCCTTGCACCCCACCACGCAGAAAGCACTTTCGCAGAAGTATTAGAAAGACCATTTGAAAACCACATTATTCACCGCATCATTCAGGGCCGAAACACAGCATCCCCAGCACTCTCCGCCTACCCACTCCGCCCTCCCTTTCCCGCTCCTTGGCCGCCTCGGATTTCCGCCTCTCCTTCTCCTTCCTCTTCTGCTCCTTCTTCTCCTCCCGCGTCATCTCGGGCGGTAACCCCAGACTGACCCGCCTCTCGCGTTCCTCCTGCCTCTTGCGCTCCTGCTCCTCGAGCACCCGGCGCTTGAGGGCTTGGTACTGCGCGGCCTCGCCCTCGGCCACGCCGTCTTTGGCAACGACGCCGTTGCCGACGGAGAGGAAGGTCGCCATGAAGACCCGGGGGACGGATAGATGAGTAGATTGGGTTCCAGGATGGGATTCAGAGGGGTATATAGATCGGTGGGTCGATAGTTCTCTTCTCTTCGCTTTTCCTTTCTAGTGCAGGTTTGCGATTACCTCGGTAGATAGGTGGGTGGGAATGAATGGACGAGAGACTGATGCGGAAGGTAGAGTCTCAATAGCTCCTGTACTTTGCGAAATCGTGGAAAATCGTGGAGGATGTGTTCCAAAGAGTCAAGTCGGGTGAAAAGAGTAGAGGTCTATGGCGGTAATAAATCCAATGTTCTGTGGTAAGTAGACCTGCCCTTCTTTAAGGGAGTGTAAAGAGTCTGAGTATGTATGTGTCTATGTTCCCGGTCCACGATGTATGCAAATTGTTCGCGTATCTCGGCGGGTAACCAGTCGCTGGGGACAGTACGAGGTAAAGAGTGCCAAGGTATCTCGATGCCGGCTATAAATCGTGTGAGTACGAGTATGAGAGGTGTAGGATGGAGACGTTCTAATGCAAAATGGCGATCTGAGACTTTGGCTGTATCTTTGTTCCGTATAACTTTTCTCCCTCAACTTGTTGTCGTGCCGTGCTGCCGATGCTGCTCAACTCTCATTGGGCGTTTGCAGAGCAACAGGGCGGTGCAAACGGCAGAGCCTGATAGTAACCTGACCATCGAGTTCCTAGTTGTGAGGCGGAGTTCGATATGTGGGGGCAAGGGCCGAAGCATGTCACAAAGGATGGTTGGACAAACAAATCGAACAAGCCATTGGCAGTCTTGTGCAATCCAGGCAAATATTCTGTTGCTATCATAAACATATCCAATACATTTTTATTGACAAGAACTGCGCTGTTGAGATGTTGAAATTCCTCTCTTCTCTCTTTCACTTGTCCTGGACGAGCTACTGCAACTCAGGAAATGGTCGGCGGTAGTGCGCAGGGCAATGATACAAGCCCGACGTATCCTTGCCAGGCTCCGGAATCAAATATTTCTGGTGGTAATCTTCTGCATCATACCACTGTGTCGCTCGTCTGATCTCCGTGGTGATGGTTTTCCCCTTATACCATTGTTCGCCAACTTTCTTCTTGATCTCCTCGGCAATCTTGAGCTGCTCGTCGTTCTCGGCGAAAATCGCAGAGCGGTACTGCGTGCCGGTGTCTGCACCCTGTCGATTGAGAGTAGTCGGATCATGCATCCTGAAGAAGAACTCGCAGAGTTGTTTGTACGAGAGGCGTTCCGGGTCGAAAACGATCAGCAGCGACTCAGCATGGCCAGTTCGTCCAGAGCAGACGTCGGCGTATGATGGAGCCTTGGTCTGGCCACCGATGTATCCAACTCTGCAGTCCAAAAGACCCTTGCCGTCGCCGAAGGTCTTGCGATATAACTCCTCCAGACCCCAAAAACACCCGCCGGCGAAGATGGCTCTTTGTGAGTTGGGAGGGAATTGCATGGCCGCTAGGGCGTCTGGCTGGAGGGACATTGAGGCCGCAGAGCTCAAGGGGCGAAGAAAGCGTGAGAGGAACGACGGCATTTGGAAAGCCATGGTCAGCAAGAGGACGAGTGCGAGGATGGTGAGGGGAGAGACGTCGGTGATGTTGAGCTGCAGTTTGGCGACTACTTTGGAGCACAAATCTGAAGAGGGACTTGAGTGAAGAGCGAGATGACGATATATATATGAGTTCTCAATGAAAGAGTGCCAGATGTCAAAGGCGCAAAAAGCCTCTTCGCGTGGTTGTGGAAGTTTCATGGGGAGAAGCAGCGGCGACGATTCGATATCAATCACGTCATTGGAGGGGGACCCCCGAGGCATCGGAAGAGGGAAGCCCGTGGTTGCTGACAGTTTCTTGGTGGCAGTGCTGGGTAGCTACGAGTACTGGGCCTCATCGGTGGGCTTAAGAGTTAGCGGCCTAGGCGGACTCCCGCTCCGTTACTAGGTGCTCTCCCGCCTATTCAGGCCTATCAATGCCGCAACCCCTTCCCCGGACAACTCCTCTCATGCATGATTCCGTTATCAAGCTTCGCCTACGGTGACAAATTCAGGGAGACTTGTCTGAGAATATCATAGCCGCCGCCCTACTCAAGGATGACGAGCGTATTCTCCGCCACGAATACGCCCATTTTCTGCGCAGCGTTCGCGTAAAACTCCTCCCTCCCCTCTTGCTATCCAGTGGAACAGCAGCACGGAGTATACATACCAAGAAAGAGTCGCTACTCCGGAGGGCTTCATGCAGTAAACGGCGCTCCCAGAAAGTACTGATTCCCCTTACAGGTCAAACGAAGAGCTTGTGAGGATATTTGGTATGGCTGAGATTCTGAAGCACAACCTTTTGAAACCTCCGGAAAGCCGGTAGCAACTTGAGAATATCAGTGGATTGCGATGCACTATCTTCGGCACACGGACGCTTTACGATGGCTTCAAAGAGTTCTACCAACAGTCCCGATCTATTGTTTGAGTCCAGGCACGAATCTTCCCTTCGGTTCCTGCTTAGTGACCCAGGTGGCCACCAGCCTCATTGTCTTGATACCCAAGGTGTACGGAGTACCTGGTAATACTATAGCTTTGACGGTTCAAAGAGCTCACCTTCCTTGATCAGGTTCTGGTACTTTGGCGGTCAATAGACCAGACACAGTCTAACCCAATGTAGCCATGTTCAGACGAAAGTTGTAGGCTGCCGATTGATTCGCGATGGATCCGGTAATCCGAGTGCAACTAGCCCAATCAGGCTACTTCCTTCCTTCACGATGCGCGTCTGCTAGTACTCCTATGATCATTCTTTGATATTTGGGTGCGAAAGGGAGATCTTCTGGGCACTGCAAAGCGCAGCCCGCACCGGTCGAGGGTTCATCTATCTTTGCCATCTAAGGCCTCACTGGTGTGTAGAAGCCAAAGAGTGGGGTAATCCATCCACATCGAGCTAAAAGAGGCACCGTCCGCCAGGGCCTTGCATCTACATCAAATCCGAGGCATATCTGGAACGCTCAGGGACAGCCCTCATCACTGATATACGACAGTCCTTCCAGACAAGTACCTCCTCTCTGCGTTGGCAGGACCGAGACACTTTGCCCCTGCGAGATTTGGTAAGAAGATGGGTTCGACAACGACGAAAGGCAAGCTGTTGGACGCCAACGAGAATCAGGGAAATCTGTTCCTCGCTGGCGCTGTCCTTGGCCGCCTCGGGGCGTTTCTGTCTGAGAGCGGCTCAACGAGGTTCGACCTACCCGTAGGTAATGGCTCCAAGACCCATCAGAATCCATTTTGACCCTCTGGGGCCCATCAGTCCCCTGGTGGCGCCACAGATCAAAGTCCAACAACAACTTCCACTCTTGCGTGCCTAGATAAAGAAGAGCCCGGTTTCAACCAGTCAAATAGCACGATCTAAATGTGAGTATAGTATTACTCACGACCATAGTCCCGAATTGAGAGGGAGAAAGATATGGGGAAGGACCAGTCTTTGTAATGAACAGTCTCGTTTCTTCACACCATTATACAGCTGGACCAGCTGTCGAGCGTCAATCCGCGGAACGGAAACGTCTAACTGATTTACAAACAAGAGAACAGAAGCCCGAAAGCGCCCGTGGAGCTTGCCTTCTTGTCGGAAAGCCGACTGTCCCAGGATCACGGCTCCACAGGCTTTCTCCAACAGCGACTTCAAGCCGATCACATCCTAGAACCCAAAGCCCTTGTTCATAATAATCCTCATCTTGGAGTCGTCCCAGCCATACCGTCCGTTTCCGTCCAGTCCGTGTCCAAGACCTGTACTCCGATGACCTGTGCTTAGCCTTTGCTTCCGGTCGCAGACCCAACCACAAGTCTGTCTGTGACACCCAAATATGAACGATCAGTCAAAAGACTTGCGAACCCTCAAGAAATGACTTTTCTTCCCCTAACTGTAATCGACAGATCGCCTTTGGATTAGCGCCACACTGCCTTCCCAGTAGGCATTAAACTCCCCCTGCTGGCAGAATGCCCGTGCCCACTTGTCCCAGCCGTGATAGAAGAGAGCCTCACTCCTCCCGCCCGCTCAGGGCCACCGCTGCCGCTGTTGGGTGCGCCATTTCCTCGCACATCCATCCCACTCATTGTCGTCCGCCGCATTGGATTTGACTGCGCCCCCAAAGAGCTCTTCCCATGACTAACAATCCCTTGAACGCGGGGGCTAAGCACGCCAACCTTCCAAGACCCTGCGTCGTTCTCCTTTAAAAGCTCGTTCTTTGCGCCATGGACCATTCTCCTAACATGGCCGGCCGCAAACATCGACTCGTTGGATGGAGAACCAGCGACTCCCGCCGTTGCTGCTGTCGGCGATCGGCGACGTTGAGTCCGAGACCCATGAATGCCTGAGCGACGGAGGGATGAGGAGCGTTTTACTGCTTCTCGAATCTTAAGTACATCTTCTTTGTCAGACGCGGTGCTGTTGTGGTTTTCGGTGTCGGAGTTCGTCGCCGAGGAGTTATGGCCGGGGTCACCGTATGTATCTACTGCTTCTTTGCTTTGTTGCGTGGGGATGAAAGAGCGGCGGTTCGACGCCTTGCTTGCGTCTATTTCTCTCAGCGGTGAGGCTTCGCTGTCTGAGGATGACAGCGGTGTCATCTTCGGGGGCATCATCATGCTTGAGGAGAGGGGCGAGCCGTCATATTTCTTGGAAAGAAAACCGGCTTGGAAGCGACTGCTCTTCGGTTGGACGTTTAGAGTAGCTTCCGGCGGAGGAGGAATGGGCGAAGAATTGGGAGATTGCGTTTGTAGTTTCGAGAAGGACGAAGTCAGGTCTGACATCTGGGGGATGCTGATTTCAGTGGTCGATTCGTCCGACGATGGAAACTTCTGGGGCGTCTTCTCAAACTCCGCAAGTGCGCCATCCTCAATGTCGTCTTTCCATCTTACTGCTCGTTTAATGCCCTTCAGAGGAGCCTTTCTCTTCTTCGGGGTAAAGGATATCTGGACACCCTTCTTTGCACTTCCCAGCAGACCACGACGTCTAGGCGAGGGTTTGGCTGGAGATACCGTGAGATGAGGAGCCGCCACGGTTGCGGGCTTCGCTCTCACGGGGCTTCCTTCGAGGATAGAACTGTTGACACTCTGCTTGCGCCGCTTGGGAGTTCCTGCTTTAGTCGGCGCAAACGCCTCGACTGGTGCAAGACTTCCATCCGGTTTGACGACGTACGATGCTGCGCCAGAGGCGGAATTGATCATCTTTCCCAAAATTTGAGTGGCTGCCTCAACTGCCTCGTCCACGCTCATGCGGTTCAAGCTTTCAATGGCAGCGATAGTGTCAAAGTGAGCACGTAGGAGAACTTGAATCGTGGGTGCGTCTCCGTTCTTGTCTTGCTCGGCCAAAGCTGCAAAAGATTCCCGCTCAGCATTCAGCTTGAGCATTTCCACTTCGCGTCGAAGCATCTCAGAGTCAATCATGTCGCCTGTATCCACTTCCTTCAGCTGTTTCAAGCTATGCTCCAGTGCCGTGTTCATGGGACGATCCCAGGTGCTCTTGAGAACCTTCTGTTGGCAGTGATGCCGGCCACTCTCCAACTCCATCATGATGCCTTGAGCTGTCTTTTTCACAGCATGCATATTCTTCATGAGGTCTTCTTCATCCAGGCCGTCACAGACGGCATCGAAGGCAGAGATCCATGAAGACAGCATGGCAATCCTTCGGCCTATTTGCTTCAGCTTGATCATGTTGTTGGTTCGTTCTTGCCTCTCTGCTCCGGAATTTTCGTATGCCGCTTTGATTCGTTGGACTCCTTCTCGGGCAATGTTTTCCTTCTTCTCATTCTGCTTTTTGAACTTGGCGAAAGCAAAGGCCTCGGCATCTTTCAGCTGAGCTTTTAGTTCGTTGATCTGCGCCATCTGTTCGTCGATCTTGACCAGATAATCCTTAACATGACGGTTGACATTGTACACATTTCTGGTGACCTTTGTTTGAATATTCTTCGCTCGATTGGCGTATCGGAGAGTGTTTTGCGTTTCGTCAAAATGCGCACTTGAGGGACTAACGCAAACGATCATTACCGTCTTGCAGTTCCCACCCAGAGAAAATTTGAGCAGGCGGGTGAGTTTCGAGTTTCTGTAAGGAACGTGATTGCGTTTGCGGGGGTCACAGAGAGCATTAATACAACTGCCCAGCGCCAGGAGGGACTTGTTGATGTTGGCACCTTCAAGTAGTCGTTCGCCTCGATTCTTAGTGGCACTTGCACGCTCGCTCCCAGCAAGATCGATTATGCTCAAAGTGGCCATTGTGTGAGGCTCCTCGACACCGGCGTTTCTGTCTTTCTGGGCAACGTTGATCTGCAACACAGCGTGTGAACGAGAAGAAGTTGCGTTGGCTTCTGTGGGTGACATTGTCCGCATCTCATTCCCTCTCACTATCATCTCCATGACCTCTTCGACACTTTGTGGATGGTGACTGGAAAGCCCTGCAACCGAGACCGCTTGATTCGAATCCTCTCTCAACATTAACCCGCCTTTGACGCTGCTTGGGACGAGCAGATCGCGGATGGTTTCGTTATAGATCTCGAGATAGGACAACGATATCTCGGTGATCTTTTCGCCGGACTGCTCTTGGACCCTCTCGAAAAGCTCCTTCATAGCCGAGAAGATGATGCCCGGTTCTTGAGTGGTGCCAGTGATGGTATGAGTTTTTCCACAACCCGTGGCGCCATAAGCGAACACCGTTGCATTATATCCGTCCAAGACGCTGTCCAGCAGTGGCCTTGTAGTGGCCTCATAAACTTCGCCCTGAGATGCATTTTCGTCAAAGATTCGATCGAATCCAAACGTCTGATCTTTGACCCTTTTACCGGAGGGAACGACTGAGCGTGAGAATTTCTGAACAGGATTGTCTTCGGGAGGATCAAATACTCTGCCACAAGTCAGTCAGTGTATGGGAAGGTTCCACGGAGTGACGGTTGGCATGCACGTACAAACACTTCTCATCGACGACTTTGATGACGGACCGGATGCCCTTCTGAAAGAGCTTGGGGGTTGGTGCAGCCGCCAGCGACCCATCACCCAGAAAGATTGTTGTGTCGTCGCATTTTGTTAGTTGAGCGGCCTCCCGGATTGTGAATGGTCTGACTCGAACAGTGACTGAAATTGATGAAGCGCCATCGGAGGCCATGGTAGGAGGAGCTGCTCGAGATACACGACTACGGGCACCCGGTGCTCATCAGGACACGCTTAGGAATGCCTGAGAGGCGAAGGAAGATACCAGAGAGAGTACAAATGATGAGTCTTGTAACGATCAGATCAGAACGCAGGTCAGATGCAGCGGTCGAGGCCGTGGCTTGTTGAAGGTGTGTGTGTGGAGAGCGTTGACTTCAACTGCACGTATTGAGAGTCAATGTTGCGAGTTTGACCCAATTCGAATTAGTCTTCTTGGCGGTATCGGTTGTCCAAGCAACCACGTGATCACGTGCACCCCCGCACAGCTCGTCTTGATCGTCAATTCCTCTGCGTTTTTGTTCCATCGTTGTTCCCTCTTCTCTCTACCTGGAAGATGACAATTGTCACATAAGGGCGACAGTCTACTAGGTATAGGCTGTCATGATGCGTCTCCTTTTGACATTGGCGCTGCCCGACTTGGTGAGATTGGGCTCTCAGCTGCCTATTGTTCGGCAAAGGTGTTCCGTTTTTGCTCAACAATCTGAAAACTACATGTCGGCGATGAATGATCACAAGGTCTGTGGTACCTGTATCCTGATCACAAGGTGCCGGCAGTACCGAGAGCCGACTTCGGCGCTCAATTCTGTTCCTGCATGATCGAGAGGTTGCTGTTATACAAACAAAAGGCTTCCGTCGCTTCAGCTGCGCCCTGTCGGCTATTCACGGCTTAAGATCAGGCGATAAGACCCACTGGTTCCTCTTTATCTCAGAGGGTGGAGATGGGCGCTGACGTATCGACAATGTACGGTACTATTCAGCATCCCCTCTATCTTGTCAATTAGCCCACCCTTCCTGCGATCTATATCTATTGCGAAAGGTTTGTGCATCTGTCCCTAACTTCCTTATCCTTGTCCGTTATTCATGCCATACACCCTCCCTTACTGCCTCTTGATCTCGAGAATGGACCTCTACTTGTATGGCAGATTGGCGTCACGAATTCCGTCGAGGCGAACCCTCCATGCGCAGTCCTTCCCTACTCTTTCCGTGTGTTCACAGAACGAGAGGCACCGCCGAAGTCGAGAAAGTTGTTTCGAGAACAACTTCCTCCGACAAAAACATCAGCATCGCAAAGCGCATACACGGCGCAACATTACATCCACAGCTTACGACACCGCAGAGTCCGCTTCGCAGCCCTCAGACATGCGCCCACCCAGGCCATTGGCATGCATCCCCTTAGATTCTCTGGTGCGCTCATACATCATCACCTCGATATCATCCGTCCCGTTTCTGCTTCGCCCTTCGTTAGCTGCCATGACCTTCCTCGCTCACACAAAGTCCCGTCTGTTCAACCCTGACCGCAATCCGATCCTCCACTCACTCCTCAAACACACCTTTTACGCGCAATTCTGTGCTGGCGAGACTCCATCAGAGGTCCAAAGGACAATTACAAACTTGAAGAACACTGGTTTCAAAGGAGTCATATTGGGCCACGCGAAAGAGGTGGTCCTCAGTAAAGAAGAGGCCGATGGCCTGAATGAGCCCAAGAATGCGGCAGTACAAGCCCAGGTTGACGCCGAGGAAATTGCCACATGGAGACAGAACACCATTGATACGGTGGATCTTGCACAGCAGGGCGATTTCGTCGCGCTGAAATTCACGGGAGCTGGACGTCAGGCGCTCCGACATCTCAAGGCGACAATTGCGTGTTCGCCAGAGTTCGAGGAGGCTGTACACGATATCTGCAAGCGAGCTCAGCAGAAAGGGGTCAAGCTTTTGTTTGATGCCGAGCAGGCATCGTTGCAACAAGGCATTGACAACTGGACAATGTACTTCGCAAAGAGGTATAACCGTGAACACGCTTTGGTATACGGCACCTACCAGGCCTATGCTAAGAGGACTCCACAAAATCTGGCAAGTCATCTTGAGCTGGCTCGAAGAGAAGGCTTCGTGCTCGGCGTGAAACTGGTGCGAGGGGCCTATATGGGCAGCGATCCGCGGGAGCTGTTCTGGGCCACCATCGACGAGACCCACAAATGCTACAACGGCATCGCGAGGAGCATCCTGCAACAACGATACCAGGGCATCCTGCAGCCCGTGGAGGGGGGCTCCACGGAATTCCCTCGGGTTGCTCTCGTGCTCGCCACCCACAATGCTGAATCGGTAAGACTAGCCAGCGAACTTCGAGATGAGCAAGCGCGCACTGGTGCACCCCGGATCGAACTGGCATACGGCCAATTGATGGGGATGGCGGACAACGTCAGCTACGAGGTGGTACAGCGGGCAAGGACCCGTCTAGCGTCGCACGACAGCAACGGCAGCGTGGAGGTCCCAAGGGCATATAAATATTTGGTTTGGGGCAAGATGGGGGAATGCATGAAATATCTTCTTCGCCGTGCCCATGAAAATCGAGACGCCATGACCAGGACAGTCGAAGCAAGGCGGGCATTGGGTCGGGAGTTGGGCATCAGAATGGCGTTCTGGCGCTGAGCGCGACAAGACGCCACGATTGGAAGGCGAAAGGAAAATATGGATCGGTCTTGATTGGCACATGTGATGACTTTTGTAGGTTCCCCTCGGCTTTACGAGCAGCTGCTCTGATATGTTTTTCGCGGTGGCTCTTATCAAAGCGCTGAGATCCAGATGTCCACGGACCACAGACCATTGACCATAGGGCCTGGTGTCTCGCGGGGTGGAGTAACGAACAGTTGGTGACGGGACATACAAATGAGAAGAGATTCCCACCGGGACTGGGAGGAGCAAACAAATTCCCACTCCCTCTGTCTAAGAAATCTAAAGGAAGCCAGTCCATCGAAAATCTTGACCTTGACGTCTTGAGAGACAAACAAACCAGCTCTTTTATCTTGGTTCGGGTAGCTGCTGCTTGATGCCACACCTGCACTGCTGTCGCTGATCTGTAGCGGGAGCCTTCCTTGACTTCTTTGTTTCCCCAGGCATCCAGACCGCAGAGTGAAGTGGCGACAGGACCAAACCAATTTGTTTACTGCCTTGGACTTCAGGAGAAGAAGCTCTGTTGACCCTTTACACGCACCCTGCCCTTTGTGCCGGACCCCTTCAGAGTTGTTGAGCCACATCTCCTGCTCTCGCCCTCCCCTTCCTCCAACATGATGCTCTCCAGATATTCCTCCTCCTCGACCACCTCCAGCCCAACCTGGCGCAGCCTCGGCCACCCCTCCAACCACCTCCTCTACTCTCCTTCTCTCATCTACAGTGACGCCAGTAGCGAAGACTCTGAAGTTCGTTGACCACCCCCCCTCCCTCCTACCCTTGAACACATCCCTCGACTTCGCCCATCCCCGTTCCCTCCAAGTCCCGCGCGAGGCGAAGGCGAAACCGTACTAATCAGGCATCAACACAGGACATGATGGCAATCGGAAACGACCCTCTTCATGTCAGCGATGTTATGGCGGATGCCCTGAGCCACTTGAACAGGGTGGTGGAGCATGTAAGGAACGGCTGTTCCCATGTTGCAGCGCGCTGGACTAATCATGGAACAGCTGCGAGGCGAAGGTGAAAATGAAGCAGCGAATGGCATCGCACGAGACGTCCACTCCATGCTTGACACGTTCAATCATACCACGGCTCCTTGGTCCATTGAGAAATTCCACATGAACTCTCTCCCTGTCACCAAAACTCAACTTCTCCCCCAAAATGGCAGTGCAGGCCGTCCTGCTGCAAGATCCAATACTTCCTCCACTTGGGCAGCGGTTGCTGCGACCGACATCCCAAGCAACAATCGTTTGGTCAAGTTTGGACCATCGGACGGATTAAAGCGACACATCACCGAGCAAGCCTCGAACAAGGGTCAGCCGCGGGAGGAGGACTTCCGTTGCCTCTGGATCTATGGCTGGTCCAAAGATAAGCCCTTGAGCATGGTGACGGAACGAATCAGCACCGGGGCCATTTTTTCCATGGCATACGTGGAGCAATATGAGGCCGTCTGTGTCATCTTCCAGTACGCCGGCGCAGCCATGATCTTCATGAACGAAGAAGCCGAAGCAGTCCATGACTATGGCTGTGGCTTGTTCGGAAAAGGCCATGAGGTCAAGTATGGCGAGCCATACCCGGAGAACGAGGACCTTGTTCGAATGCAACCCCCGACCAACGAGCGCCGTCGCTTGACCTTTGCTCGTCAACAATTATTCACCAATGGCCTGACTGAGGAGAGATTCAAGAGGGACCTGACCGAGCTTGTCGGTCGACATAATGTCGAGTTGGTATGGCTGTTTAATACCGGGAATGGTAAGTCGGCGCCAACCTTCCACCTTCTTGCTGGTCTGACCTCTACTCCTCAGCTACTGCGGTTTTTTCATCTACTGTCATTGCCCGAATTGTCAGAGACGAGTTTCTTCGTCGATCGAGGAGGCCAGGACCCTACCAGGAGGTCCAGGTTGGGTTTTCTCACGACCCCTGCGAACGTCCCATGAACTTGATTACCCAAATTCCTTATCCCGGATCAGGTCCCCGAGATCGCAGCAACAGTGGAAAGTCTGGATCAAGTTGTCGTTCCTACAACCCGAATGCTGCAAAATTTGTGCCAGGAGTTGGTATCCGTGCCAGGAAGGGGACCGACTCTGATGGTTGGCAGACTGTCCAACGCAGACGCTAGACAACAAGATGGCTTTCCCTTTGTCTACACGGATACTCGCTCCTTTTTGAACCTTTTTTACACAGATTGTCGTGAGAGTGGGATATCGCAGGCATATGGATAGTCCAATGCATTGCTCTCAAGGGTATACTGCAGATCATTTCCGCGGCGAAGCATAGCAAAGCGATGGCGACATGGGGCACAGACGGGGCATTTGCTCAACGGGACATCTGAGCATGGGGATATCATCGCATTGATACATACAGGACAGCTGGCTCGAGTGCTGGAATGGACGACAGAACGTTCGAAGGAATGGTGTATGTTTGCTTTCCCTCTCTCCTACTTGTATGCGTCCAGATTTGGCAGGGTCATCAACCCAGAAGCAGCCAGAACGTTGTTACTTTTCCTTCTTTCTGTCCCTCGTACTCTTCCTCTCCTCCCCTACGCATTCATATCCTGTCAACCGCTTTGCCCTAATGCTGGACCACCCTTGGAAGCTCGACGCCGGCGTTTTCGTAGCTGATCCCGTCGGTCTTGCAATGCAAACACTGGTTGTCTCGGCCAGCTTCCGCCCCACACGTGTGTATTTCCATCTCTCCCTATTCGCATTATGCTTTTTGCCATCCCTGACCCAGTCCTGTAGTGTGTCATGTTTGATAGATGGTGGAGGAACTTGCCACGACACAACAGACTTGCCAGCCCAGCGCACTTGGATTCAAGCGGGTTATGGAGCAGCCAAAGGAAAATAGTCTTGGTCGTGGTCGTGGAAGTTGTGGGGGTTCTTTCACGCAGATGTCTCGTGTCGAGGGAAGGGCGTTGATTAGTGTTTGATGCTGTGTTGTTTGCTTGGATTTTTTGGTCCAGTCTCGAGAAGGAAGGGGAAGTATGCCTCTAACTAACTACCTAGGTACCTGATCCGTCCCTCTCGTGGGAGAGGTCCTTTCTTTCACCCTTTTTTTTTCTCTCTCTTTTCCTTTTTCCCTTTCCCTGCGAGGCAAAGAAATGGTACAGGTCGAAAACGAGTCATCGGACTCGAACACTAGCTCTACGTGCCCCTTTCCCTCCTCTCTGCATGTACGGTGTCCATGGCCTTCCACATGTCTATCTATCCATCCATCTCGGCCGTGATCTTGGAGCTGACAACCGGCCAGAGTCAACCCTCCCCTCCTTCTTCGTCAACGAGCTCCGTCCGACCCCGCGGTTCCAGCCCAGGTCGTCATGCATTCTAGGTGATTTGGTCAAAGAAGGATCTTTTCATATATCCCTGCACGATACGTCCTGCGCGGTGGCATCCTTTGCCTACGAGCCATATCCTACTGGCTCTGGCACGAGGTTGTCTGGCAGTAAGTGGAAAGCATCTATATTGACGAGACGTACGAAAGCTGAAGCAAGGGGCGAAAAGAAGAAATCGAGGACAAGAAAGAGAAGCCATTAAATTGATATCGATATGATTTCGAGCTCCTCGGAAACCTAAATAGTCTTCTCCCTTTTTCTTTTGGCTACAGCGTCTTTCACAGGGACTAGATCCTCCTCTCATGTTCTCATGCTCGTCGTTCTATTCACTCTCTATTCTGGTCAAGGCGTGCAATACCGTTTAGTCCAGCTACACTATCCCAAGAGCCTGAGAGTCCCTCGCAATCTATCATCATCACTATCCCCGATATCTCCTCGAATGCTCCCAATATCCCTCCCAATTTGCTCGTTGCTCGACGGCTTACGCAGGGTTAGCTGCTGCTTGACCTCCCTGGAAGACCTCCGGCGGTTCGACCGGGTCCTGGATACGCCTTTGTTGTCGTCGACGACATTGATGCCAATGTTGCGAGTTCCTATTCTTTGTTTTGCTTGGGAATCGAGATACCCTGGGTATAATCTCGCGTCGAGCTGATCGCTGCCTTGGAAGAACCGGCCCATCATGCCATATTTAGGGCGCCGCCATGAAGCTCTTAGGCGCCAGTGAGAATCAGTCGAAAAATGAGGCTCGCCTAGTCCAATCAGGGGCTTGAAGGTTCCATGGATGGTGATGTTGAGCATGTCTCTGCGACGTGGACGTGGACGTGGACGGTGGCATACAGTTGCTCTGGCTCGGACCAAGAGGTGTGAACAATTGGTTGCATATCCACCTGCGAAGAAGCCCTGGAGGCAAGTCTCGTAATATCAAGCATTAAAAGGCGTCAGGATAGCGAATCGACCGGTTTCAAATACCCGACGGGACAGCGTCGGGAGGCCAAATGATAAGTTACGTAGAGACGGTAATTATTCTCTGCACAAAAGCACTGCAAAGTAGATAACGGAGACTACAGCAGTCGTTTATCTTCGACTGCTTCGATGGCCGGAGGTGGTCGCCAACCGGAAACTTTCCAGAAAAGACAAGATACCAACTGCAACGTACAAAACAGGTCTCCCCCTTCCTGAAGTCGACTTGGAGACCTTCCAACCCCCGGAGCCTTGTTCCTCGTCAGCCCGAGTCGAGCAATGCCCATATCGTTGGAGTTCTGGATTCTGCGCAAATGCCAAAGGAGTGGGCGTGGCAGCAGCAGTAAGACGCTCTCCACAGTAAATGAAAAGTCGGCTCTAAGTCACCGACGGCATCAGTGCAGATATTCTCGGAACCAAGACACAGCGGCATTCTTGGCTCTTTCCAGGCCCTTTTTCTGGGTCGGGTTGCTGGTATCGCCGCGTGTCGCAAAGCCATGAACTAATCCGGCAAAATATTGGTAGTCGTAGTCGATGTTCAACGTGGGCAGCACCTTGAGAGAATACTCTTTGAGTTCGGGAGTAAAGGTGGGATCTTCCTCTGGTGCCAGCAGCTGAACCGGGACACCGACGGCGTCGATCTCTGCTTTCTCGAGCAAGGACGGGTGGGCTGTTGAGATGCAGTCGACGAGGTCGTTACCTGTTTAGTCCATACCATGTTTGTCAGTCTCGGATCAAGACAGTCCAGCAGTTCAGTCGGCGTCACCACGTAGCAGGTAATAAAAGCTTCTCAGAAGGAAAATATCCTAAACTGACCTTTGGCACCCAGTCGAAAGACGGCCCAACCGCCATAGCAGAAGCCAATTGTGCCGACCTTCTTAAACCCCAGGTCCTTTTTCAGGGCGGTGGCACAGGCAAAGATTTCCGGCTGCCGGATGTCCTTGCTGTGGCGGCCCAGGAATTCCATAATATTAAACGGTTCACTCTTTGCATGCTCGCCGGTCCCAAAGAGGCGATCAGGAGTGACGACCTCGCCGGCGAAGCTGGAGCGGAGGATCAAGAAGAGGCAGTCCGTCAGCAAACTCTCTCGAACGAAGCTAGCAGCTCTCGACCATGCGCCAGAGGAAAGCGCTGGATGTAGGGGCAACATGTGCTCATGCAACGGCTTGGTTCCGGCCATTCAGGTACATACAAATCAGGTAAATAGACAGTCACGTCTGCTTCCTCGGCATAGTGATCAGCCAGCAGTCGAGCATTGGTCAAAGACCAGCCGAAAATGTCGTGGACCATAAGAACTGCGGCATCCTTGTTGGAGCCGGTTACATAGGCCTTGTTGTTGGCGAGGGTGGCTTCCTGGCCTTTGGGAGTGCCATCCCATCGAAAGCCAGTCACGCAGCAGGTGGACAGGGACATTGTGGAGGTATGTATCTGGAGGAATATTAATCGAGGAGCGGACACGCACAATGGGAACCTTATCTGGATTGTAGCGCAATGAGACGACGGACAGGAAGCAACGAACAGATCCACACGAAATATGTAGTCGGTACTGGAGGAGGGGCTCGGAGGGGACGAGTCGGAGTACCGAGTACGAGATACGTTGATGGTTTCATTATTAATGCTGATGGACCGGAGCACGCAATGGGCAGTTGAGGCCCGCAAGGCCACCAATGAGAGGCCTCCATAGCCGGCCTTGTATCTTCCTCCCAAAGCAGTAAGCTAGCCGAGCATGGCCTTGGTAGATTCAACTCGCTACCCAAAAAGATACAATGTGCAAAACAAACATAAACATGATGGCCATTTCTGGAAGGTAAAGTCTTTGTCTGTGGCGTAGAGGATGGAGATATACTAGGATTGCCCCCGCGTTTTTGAGAACGAAGCTGAACCACAGGAGAAAACAGGTCAAGGTACGCTCCTCAGAAGGTGCAGCAGGGCTGGGAATGTATCCTTGCGACAATCACAAGGGTCGACAGAGCTCTGGGTCAATGCAGCCCGCGGCCCCTGAAGTTGAGGCAGCTGGGCCATCGGAGGCATTTTCCACGTCACAAACAATTCCTGGACTAGCCTAGAGCGCCACCACTTTGTCGTCCTCTTCCAAAGCCGTCACATCGGTCCGGGTCGCGGGTAGGACGAGTATAGGACGAATAGTGAGCTGAAGTGGCTGTTTGTCGTCAGATCCCTCAATCACAGGAATGGCATTCGCTTGCTCGCTCCCCACCCATCAGACCTCGCGGGCTGACGGGACGAGGAGGTTACGGGTCACTCTAGGGCAATCAAGCACTTCGGATGGTGCTCGTGGGGTTCAGCAGAGCAAGGATTTCAGCCTCCAATGCACTTCCGGATTGTCAACCATCTCCATGTCGTGATCCCCGAACAGAGACGTCGTCGTCACAGCCAAACTACTACTAGTCACAGCGGGCTCAACCCTTGCTGGAAACAGGCATCCCCATCTCCCCGAAAGCCAATGAGACCAAGATGCTGGTTTTCTAGCCTCCAAAGTAGCCCGGGAATCGAGGCCCATCGCTTGATGCTGAATGGCTGCTTGGCGGCAGAAGGAACACCTGAATCTCGTATCCTCTCTCTGGGGCATGAGATGAGGCCCGTCTGGGGGAAATCTGGGCTGCGAGGTCACAGGCTCCGAAATTTCACCTTTTGCCTGGGGGGAGAGAGGGGAGGGGGGGTGAATGTGGCAATTGCCTAGGCATGACGGAATGACACCTAGTGAGTGCCCTGTTTTAAGGGAGAGTTTAACTAAATCCAAAGGGGGCTCTGCCACTCGCCGGGCACCTGGTGGCACCTGTTCCAAGGCACCGGGGGTGCCCATTCTTCCCAGTCTTACTGGTACCCCGCAACCCCGAACCCGGCGCCCTTGGCCAGTGACAAGACACGGTCACCTTGGGGGTGCGGTTCCGCGTGAGATGCTCATGTTTGGAACAGCGTTAGTAAGAAATTAACTTCACAGAAAGGAAGCCTCATCCTTGGTCTGGCTCTGGCTCGCTGGGTCATCGCCGCCGACGTCCCTCCCCATCCTCGTCCTTTTCACCTCAACATCCCTCCTTCAAGTCGCCATGCGCCAGTCTTCCTAACAACAACCCACCAGCCCTCGCCATGGCTACGCATACTCCCACCCTCACCCAGGGAGGCGGTGCTGCTGCTCAACCTCCCGACACCCACGACACCCAAGGCGTCTCGTCCCGCCGCTTGAAGAAGCGGGAAATCGACCGACGATGCCAGCGTCAAGCTCGAGAACGGACAAAGTCCCGCATCGCCTACCTCGAAGGGCTCGTGGAGGATTTCCGACGCCAGGACTCCAGCGGTCAGGTCGCCACCCTGTTGAAGCAATTGAAAGAGGTGGAATTGGAGAGAGATCTGATGGCCAAGACCTTGAAGGACATCCAAAAGGCCATGGACACGCACAAGCCACCCAAACCGATGGACGAAGAGGTGGATGACAAGAGTACAGTGTTTATGGCCAAGATGGCGTTTGAAGAGGCAAGTGTCGAGCGGAGTTCTAGCACTCCTAGCCGAGACGACGCCCCTCTCCCCTTCCCACCCGAACCTGTCGATATACAATCAGGAACCAGTCCAGCGAGGAACTTCGACCTCGCCACTTTCTCGCCAACACCAAGCCTGCCGTTGCAGTCTCAAGATCTTCTCTTTGCTCCCGAAGTGGTGCCCTTGCAGTCCGACGGAACCCATTCTCCCACCCAAGTCATGGTGCAGGCCAAGGGCGTGACCGAGCCGAACCCGATGCCGTGCAACTGGAACGACAACTGGGCCGTCCCGCGACGGTCCTGCTCCTGCAACAGCTGCCACGATCGTGGCCACGGCCGTCGTTCCGTCTGGCGGGGAAACTACTGGCGCTACGCAAACGAAGTGCTGAGCGAGCGTTTCGATTGGAATGAAGAAGTGGCCCCGGAATCCGACGATCTGTGCGACGACGTCCCAATCCGTGCATTGATCGAGGGCTGGGATGCCGTTGCAAAGCGAGCCCCCTTGCACCCGTCATGGAAAATCCTGCGCCGGATCGACGAGACCCTGTTCGCCATGTGCCCCAACACCGAACGGCTCGCCATCATGCGAGCAATGCACACTCTGTTACAATTCCACACGGCCTCAACCTTTGATCGCTATGCACGGCTCCCGCCGTGGTACATGCGTCGCCCGTCCCAGAAGATCGCCCATTCCTACGCAATCGACTACTTCGCGTGGCCCGGCGTGCGGGAACGTTTCATCTTCAACGAACACGACTATTGCGGCAACGATTTTTGGCATTTATTCTGCAAGTCCTTTCGGATTCTATGGCCCTATGAATTCCGAGACTGCTATACCCGAGAAATCGAGACGGGGCTGTACAAGTTCTCCCCGGTGTTTGATCAGCGACTGACCGACATCAAGTGTTGGACAATGGGCCCAGATATCTTTCAGAGGTTCCCCGAGCTGTATAGCGACATGCCATCGTTCAACCATATCCCTCAGTCCCCATGTTCGCCAGCAGGCGGCATGATGCCTGCTCCGGTGCAGAACCACGCACAGAAGGCGAAGTTACTTCCACCGACCCCGTCGCCGAATACAACCCAAGCCCAGACGGGCTACGTCATCGAGGAGGAAGAGGAAGAAGTCAAGCCACCTCCAGCAGGCAGCCAATTTATCCCCGTTGAGAACCTGCATGCGCATGTTGTTCAGACACCTCAGCAACAGCACCACCATCTCCACCACCACCAGGAACAGCACCGGCAGCAGTCTCACCATCATGGGCCGTCTTTAAATCCCCATGCATACAACCCAGCAGACTTCAACCCGATCATGGCGCTCGATGCTTTCGCGTATGGTGCGATTAGTGAGGCGGACTTTGCATCTGCATATCATGCTGAATCGATGGAGGGCTACCCGAACCTGATTTTCTGAGAGCGGTTGATGAATGCTCAGCGCCGCTGCGAGGGGGTTGGTCAGGAGTGGAGATCGTTTGAATATCCTTCACCATGTACTTGATGCCTGACAACATCGAGGATGGCCACTAAGGGCTGAGACTAACGACGAACAGACGCACATGTTGGAATCTCCGATAAGTGAGTAGTCGGCATCGATGTATGTACTCTGAGCCAGACACGGCATAAAATGCTCAAGGTCTTTGAACTTCGCGAGATGCGGGCCCGCATAAAAGGTCCAGTGATTTCAGACATATCCGTCAAGCGACAGATGCGAGGATCATCCATTCTCCTTTCGCTCGCTGACGATCCAGAATGCGCGACACCGCCGTATGAACGCGTCGTTCCAAAAGAAGCCCGTCAAGACGCCCTCGCATTCTTCCCACGTCGCAGTCCTTTCGGGGAACCTGAGTCTCAACGCGTGCATGATCTGCCGCCCCTGAGGGAGTAAGGTATCGTTTGCGGCGCGCCACGAATCGACGAGATTGAACCACACCCAGAGGAGGACGTCTTCTTCCCTCTCCATCTTGTCGCGCTCCGTCTCCATCCTCGTGTGCCGAGCACCGCTCTCCCGCGCCACATCCCCGTCGCGATCGAGTGGGGAGGGAAACCCTGGATTGCGAACGGACGCCATTGTCAGCGGACTTCGTCTGGTTCGTCTCGGCGCGTCCGTCGTCAATTTCATTCGGCTCCCGTTATACACGGCCGTCACGGCCCTCATGGGCGAGAACGTGTGCAGACAATACAGCAGCAGGGCCAACACGATCATCTTCTCCAGATTCGGCATCGTCACCACCGCCGCCTCTCCTGCTGCGTCGTCCGCCCTGCCGCCGTCCTCGCCGGCCAATCCAGGGTGTACGGCTTCGTCCGGCGCGCCCAAGCACGTGCACGCCTCCCAGAAATCCCGGAACTTGCGCGGCTTCGTCCGGAACACGTCACTGGGCGTGACGATCGTGCCGTGCCGCATCTGCTCGAGGTGCGCCTCCGCCGTGCGGGAGAGGACTTGTAGGACGTCGAGCGCGAGCCGTCGGTGGTGCGCCAGGGCCTGAAACCCGCGCGGCAGCAGGGCGAGTTCCCGTCCCAGCGGCGAGGAGGCGGGGATCGGAGGGCTCGGGGGATACACGGGCTGGTACGTGGGGCGGGATTCCGGGAAGATGCTGGACCCGGTGTTCAGGGCCCAGAAGGACTCCCACTGCATCAGCGTGCAGCGCGCGAGGCCGTCGTGGCCGGTCAGGTTCTGGAGGCCCCCCCGCGCGGCGACCAGGGAGGCGAGCGTCCTCTTGTGGATTTCGTGCGAGGGCAGGTCGTTGATGGCGCGGGTGACCACGGCAAGGAACAGGACCGTCATGATGGTCATGTCGTCGACGGCGAGGGTTTCGTTGTTGTTGCCTTTGGGTTTCGCCGCAGGTTTGCTAGCGGGGTCATGGACCTCATCATCATCATCATCATGACTACGCCGAATCTCGGGCACAAAGTCAATACCGGGGCTGATGTCCTTCTTCCTCCTCTTGGCTCTCTCTTCCTCTCTCATCTCCTTCTGCACCCGTCCCAACCTCCGCCTCAGCCTCACCATCGCCGTGCCAATGTGTCTGAGCACATTCTCGCTCGGCCCCGAGGTGGTGGTGGTGGTGGTGGTGGTGGTGGAGACCGCGCCCGGCGCACGCCTCAGGTGGTCAATCACGGCCTGCACGCTCGCGACGCCCGTGTACAGGAAGTCCGGGTGGGCGAGCAGCTCGAAGTAGTAGCCCGTGTAGACGTTGGTGACGTCGAAGATCTTGTAGATGGGCGCGTGGTTGGGCGCCATGATCTGCGCGTGGTAGTCGACCACGGCGGCCACCGAGGGCGCGTCCGCGTGCCGCCGCGGGATGCAGTCGAAGGGGTCGGCGCGCGTGCCCAGCAGGTCGTGCGGGATGGAGGTGGAGGTGGAGGTGGAGAGGGAGGTGAAGATGGAAATGGGCGGCGGGCGGACGGGCGTGGTCCAGGGGATATTATGTGGTGCTGTCGTCTGAGCGTGGGCGTGGGGATTGATTTGGTAGATGCTATGTCGTGTTGCCGTTGTCTGTGGCAGGATGAGAGCGGACGACGACGATGATGATGAGGACAAGGACGAGGACGAATATGAATATGGAGATGAGGATGGCGCTCCTGTAATTTCAAGCGATGCGTAGTCGAGACCCGGATCAATGTCGCCCATGTCCTCGCCGCTGCTGGGATTTCCCTCGCCGTCGCCATCGCCGTCGCCATCGCCAACCCCAGCACCACTCTCGGCCCAACTCACGTCGGGCGGCGTCAGCGCTTGGCGAGACATCGAGTCTGCGACCGTGTCTGCAGCCCACGGTGCCCACGGTCGGAGCAGACTAGCTATCCCACCGCTCGAGTCTCGTTCCGGGCCGCCTTCTTGCGGCGGCGACTGGGGCGGCGTCTGCAGTCCGTGTTGCGAGGCACATGAGGCACTGCCACCATCGCCACCACCACCACCGCCATCACCGCCGCCGCCGCTGTCGTCCCAAGGCGGGCTCGGGCCAATGTCATTGTTCGACCCGATGACAAACTGGTGCTGTCGTCGGCCACCAGCGCCAACACCGGTAGTGTCGGTCCTGTCATCGCTGTCCAGCGCGACAGGTTTCTCGGTCGGTAGTTGAGGTTGGAATTGAGTGTGAGATTGCGACTGCGATTGCGATTGAGATCGAGATCCCAGATCGCGGGATCGGTGCTGATGGTGGTGGTGACTCTGGTAAGACACGGACGCGGCGTGGGCGCGGGCCTTTGCGCGCTCCAGTTCCCTGTCCCGCCTCGACGAGCCCACGGGCAATTCCTGCACGAAATGGAGTTTGGGCATTTCTCTCCCTCCCTCCCCTTTTGCCTGGTGATCCGTCGATTAGCATGGGGGATCAATTCGAAGATGGGGGGGTTGGGGACGAAAAAACAAGTATGTACTTTTGAAGGGGTGGTGACAATAGAGGGGAAGAGACAGAGAAAAGAGACGCTGGTGGGGAGGAGGATGTGGACTGCCTGACTCGACCGACCACTCACTGCTAGCTGCTACTACTATCGCTACTCCTCCTACCGCTGCTTCTTGTTGTATAGCGACTGAACCGGCGTCCGGCGCCCTCCTGAGCCGCGGATCTTCTCTTCCGACATTGTCTATACAGCGATATTGCGCGCCACGCTGTCTCTGGTTGGTGGATGGGTGAGAATACGCACCACCACCCTCAGAGAGTCTTCTTCGCGTGTCGGTCTCGCCAAATCCTGTGCAAAGACATTTAGCAATTCTGTCCTGCGCTCGACATGGAGACCCTCGTTTACCTCGTTCGCGGGATCAGACAACAAGAAGAACAAATGGACAACAGGGGAACTTGTGGGAGGCAAATCTGCTGATCGGGCGCACGCCATGGACCCCGGCATGGTTGTTTATTTGTTGGGGTCCTGGATCGGAAACAGAGACCAGGTCCGCCGGGGGATGCATGCATGTCGATGCAGAGTCGGCATTTGGCCGCTGTGAGAGATGGAGACGGAGGGAGCTGCGCAGGGATGTGATATCTATGTATTTCGTACACCCGTCGATGCTTCAAGTCGGACACGCCGGGGATGGAGGGAGGAGAGATGGAAGGGAATGGACGGGTAGATGGAAGACGCGGGCATCACAATCATTCAATATCAATTCCATTCCATTCCAGCCATCAAGACATCCAATCCGAGGCTGGCTGATGACCTCCTAGACAAGTAACTCTGCACACCATTGGGGCAAGCCTCGGGTATCCTCTTTGCTCGCGTTGCGTAGACAACACTTCCCGTGCCAGTCAGGAGACACTCATTGCCATCTCCATGCCTTTTTGCGGCGTGCGTGCACCTCCATATCTTACAAGAATGCCACTATCAAGGAACCACCTTCCTGTTTGGCCCTTTTTACCTTGTTGTTTAAATTTCACCCGCCCATGCATACCTCCTGAAAAGCACATGGACATCCACGACCACGCCCAGCGCTCAAGCAAACGCATCCTCCCGATCAGCCCATATGTCTTCCAACTCGTTAAAACTACTGAAATGCACGGGCCGGTGCAAATCGTCGTAGAACCGTCGCGGCGTATCAATCTTGACGTACACGGGCCTCTTCTCCACCGTCGAAAACTGCGCCCCCATGAAACTGTAATTCCACACATCAGTCTCGGGCACCAGGAAATAGCCCCGGATCTTGTCAGACAGGAGTAGTTGGGTTTTGACTCCAAACGAGGTCGAAAAGCCCGCGGGATTGTCCGACTGCGTGTCCTTGTTCGAGGCGCCCCATGTGTATCCCTGTGGAGTAAGTGTCCAGGAGCTGAGGGACACCGACCCTGGGGTGAACGACACGGTCAATGTAATGGTCTTCTTGTCCCAACTGGGATGTTGGGCCATCAGGCGTGAGTGCATCGTCACGTCCGCTGCGGTCATGTACGGTGTCTCGTTGCCACTCACGGTGTGGATGATCCCAAGCGGCTCCATGGACTTGAGATACTCGTGTTGCGGAAGCTGGTGCGGCAATTGCACCTCCCGCGTGGACCCAACCTGCGGAACCATCACAATGGTGCGGATTTCCTTGACTTGATCATTGTCTGGTGGCGACGAGCCGTACAGATATCCGGCCACCTGGACCCGCAAATCCGCAATCGCGATGAATTTCTTGAGTATGTTCTTGGGGAGCACATACGTGTACGACTCGTCCGATTCGTGAATGTCGTCGCTCGAGATGTAGATGTTGTTCGCGCGCGTCCTCAGGTTCGAAGTCGCAATCGCTCGTGTCCGCCATTCAGTCTTGGATGCGAACGACTGTTGCTCGTATTGCGATGTCGTCGTCACAATGATCTCCTCGCCCCGGACATTTTGGGTCTTGGTAGTCACCGCAGTCAATTGTTGCTGCTCTTGTTGCTGCTTCTCAATCTCCGCCGCCTGCTGGCGTTGCATTGAGGGCGCCGATATTTCCATCCCCAGAATAATGTCTCGTACTTCACTGCTGGTGAGCGACTGGACGTTGACATTGTTCTTCTTGCCGTAATCGTTCAGGATAAGATCTCTTAGCTGCACTTCGACCTTGATCCAGTCTTCATCCGAAAGAGTGGGCCAGATGTGATGTGCCTGAGTAATGACGGTTTTGTCAGGGCGGAGAAGCAGCTTCGTCTTGTCCGTGTTCACATGCAAAGCACGGAGAATGAGTATCAGTCTTGAGAACGCCGTGTACGACGATATCGACTTCAACCAGTCGTCATACAGATTGAACAGAACCATCTGTGGCTCCTTAGCTTGCAGGATCATGTCGGCCAGCTTTTCCACCTTCATTGCAGCCTGGAACGGCAGCTGCAGCTCCGACGCTCGAATCGAGACATTCGGGAAGTCTAGAAGGTGGACTTCGAGCGGATCAAGGAGGCCCTTCCGGGTAACAATGAGCTGTTTGGGCTGTTCTTCGACAGGCAGAGATCGGATCAACGCGGCCACTTCTTCGGCTGTCTTCCATTTGGCCAACTGTCCAAGACGCTTTTGGCCAGCCCACACACTGGTGTGGATGATCTTCAAGAATAACTGGCCGGTCTTCGGGTTGAACACAAAAACGGCGCCGTTAATGGGCTTGGTCGTCAGATTGCCCTCAAATGTCTTGTGGATCGTTACCCGGTAAACATTCGTGTCATCAATGAACAGTTGGGTCTGGTTGCTGAATAGTTCCGAATAGTTCTGAGAATTCAAGAACTCTTGAGTGCTTTCGGACGCGTACAGTTGGAGGCCTTTCCGGATACGTTCGCGGAGCACGTAGAGCGCCGGATTCGCCTTCATTATCTTGGCCATCGCCTGTTGGACCAATGCCTTCAGGCCAGGGAAGTATTGTCCGTACGCAGAATAGAGATTGTACGCGAGGTCAATACCAACCATCAGACCAGTCGCCGAAGGGTAGATGCTCATGCTGTCAGTCGTGTAGTCGAGGTATTTGGCCCGGACGTAGCGTTCAATGTCATGAGAATCGTAATCACCGTACCGTAATTGGACATCGACCCAAAATTTGTTGGTTGTAGTGGCTTCGATCTGATCTTTCGTGTCGAAGAGGAGCGAAGGTCGAGTCACGTTCCACTTGTGACTCGCCAACAGGAGGATATCGGCGCAAGAGCTGTTCATTTTGTACGATTTTCGAGGGTGAATCGTCTCTTTCTGCACAGTCTCAATGCCCAATTGTTCCAGCTCCTGATCGAAAACTTGACACAAATCCATGACAACAGATTCGTGGATTTTCTGCCACAAATGGGCTCGGAAGATTTGGCTAAGCATATCTATTAGCATGTGCTGAGAGCGAGGGTGGGAAATAGACATACATCAAACTAATCTTCAGGGTAGGGATTTTGCCATGAAGGAAAATGCCGGTCAAATCGAGCTGCACCTGGAAACCAACGTAGACATTTGCTCTGTTTATCTTTGGAACAGTTAGCTTGTGGTCAAGGATAAAAGGCATCCCCGAGCAGGAGCGGCCTTTCAGGAGTAGGGAAACTTACAGTGGGCGACCACCACAGGGTGAAGCGACGGTTGGGGATTTGGTTCAAACCCGAACGCTGGGCGTTCGTGAGTTTCTTGAATTTCATGGACTCCTCAAAGCCGCTGTTGTGAAGCACGAGGTAATCGTGGCGAAGATAAAGTTGGTCTTTGTCAACTCGGAACCCAGCCCATTTTGTGGGCTCTGACCCAAGGGAAATATCCTCAACGATAAAGCTGTGGGCTTCTGGGTCGACCGCCACGGTGTGCTTCGGCAGCGCAAATCCAGGTGACCGGAAAAGTCTATATTGAGCCCTCTGTGTCGGCTTCAAAGCCGCAAATTCGGCAGCCGTAACTTCGACAGTTTCATAGCGTGGAGCGATCTTGACGAGACTCTCAGGCCGATCTGCATCTGCGAGCTCAGAGCTGGACTGGCGCAAGCCCTCAAAGTCACCCTCAACCCGTTGGTGATGAAGAGGCAGGTGGGAGTCGCTGTGTTGGCTTCCTCTGTTCTTCTCATGGTATAGGACCAAGATATGGTTCGGTGTCACGACGAGATCCTCTACATCAGATCCGATCTTGATCCGGTACAGACGATCTGTTCCTTTGACAATGTTAAATGCGCGACGAGGGCCACCGTCAGGCCCAAGAAGGAGATCTCCTTCCACGACGTCTTCCACAGCAACCTGAGAGCCATCGTAGCGCAGCAGCATAGTACCATTAGCGAGACATGCTCTCTCCCAGAAGAGGCCCTCCCAGGACGGGAAAGCTGTTGCTTTGAACAAGGTATGCTCCAAAATTGTCTCGACACCGCCCAAGGCTTGGATGACGTCGGTTCGGTAGGCGTTCAGATTCCAGAGTTTGCCATCGTGTCTCTGACTCGTCCACCAGAAAGGGTTGCTTTTCATCAATTGATATTGCTTGAATTCCGTGCGAGCTCTGAAGCCTTTGTCGAAGCTCAGAGTGCTCCGGTCTTTCTGGAACAGTGTATTGATACGCGGCAGACCTCTATCCCAGCTGTCCTCCAAATCTTCGAGAGTCAGTCTCCGATTCTGCTGATTGGCTTCCATTCTCTTCTGGGAATATTCGGTCCAGACTCGCTGGGAATCGATGAATTCAGCTTCCCAAGGGATGATGTATCGGAAAATATTGGGGATCAGCGTTTCCTCATCGTGAGACATGCCTGCTCGATAGTGCGTGACACCGGTATCGGTTTGCTTCGACCAGCGCTTGTCACTAGTCGGGATCAGAATGTGAGACCCTGAAATCATGCCTAGGCCACCCAACTCCTTGGGCGTGTAGAAAACAGCTGGAGGAAAACGGGAAGGCATCTTGGAGTTCAAACCAATCTTTACACGGGTTTGAATCTTGGTCTCGCACTTGACAATGGTGTCCAGCAAGTTGACTGTAGACACGGCCGCTTCCCGGTAGTAAGTGAACAGCGCAATCAAGGTCGTGTTCCACTTGTTTGCGATCTTAGTAAACGTCGTAGAGCCTGAGGACATCAAGATTTGCCTTATACGGTTGTTGAACTTCTGAATGTCTTCTTCAGTGACCTGCAGGAATGCATAGGCGGTCCTCTCCTTGGTCTCATTGTTGGCCAGGGCCCAAACGCTGTCTTTGATCGGGAATTCGTCGTTCTGGTTTCGGATCTTTGGTAAGATCCTGACTTCGAAGCCGCACATTGAGAATAACAAATTGGGATTGTCACGCGAATAAACACTCGCGAAGGTGTCGTCCCACTCGATCGTGGTAATTGAACGAGGTAATCTGTTCTTCAAATCCCAGAATACGGCCCGGCCAAGATTGACGTCGTGTCTCATCAGCCTCATTCGAGAATCTCGAGGCCAGCACTTCTTGTTCCTATACCCAATCACGTTTTCAAAGTTCGGATCTGGCTGTTCAGTCAAGAAGCGCTGGATCAAATCCTTCGACTCCTCTGCGGTGAACCTAAAGAAAACCCAGATTTTGTCGATATATCGTGTGTACAATCGAATAGGATGTCTGGTCTCTGTCTCTCTGTCTCGGAATTGCAAGAAGTCGTTAGGGCTCTGAGGCGGCCCGGCGAGCTCGCTCGCTCGTTGAAGGCCGAGGAGAAGGAGGTCGATGACCAGGCCGTAGTACTGGAAGACGAATCCAGAGAACTGGAGCCCTCTAATCATGCCGTAGCTATTCGTGTGGTTCATATCTTTGTAATTTAGCTGGACATTGTTTTTCGAGGTGATGTAGTCAGCCAGGTTGTGATCCATGATGAGTCGAAGCAGCCGGTTGAGCAAAGTCAAATCAATCTTCTCGTAGACTTTGGAAAGCTGCGTCTCGATCATGACGTTACATTCTCCATCTGCAGTCTCCCAAACATTTGTCAGGTTGTTAATACCCTGGGCCCACTTGTAGACCAAAAGCGGTGGGACCTCTGAGTCTGAAGGCTTGACCCACGATGGGAAGAGATGTCGAGTGTCAGCCTGGTACCAGAGATATTGGTCAAGATATGCGTCTGTGATCTTCTCGATTGGCTCAACATCATACACGGGGTTGATTGAGCTGTAATTGTCGTTCATGTCGATTCCGACTTCCTTGAATGCTCGCTGAGTCAACAGGAAACGTTTGATTCTGGCGAGGGTGGTCCCCGGCGAATCGTATGCCTGTTCGATCAGGGCAAGCTCTTCTCTCTGACTCTGATTCAACCTGCCCTTTACAGAATAGGCCTCCCTCAGTCTTTCCAGGGCCAGAATGAGAATCTTCGTGTCATGCTTGTAAGACACAGAGGGAAAGGGAATAGGTGAGAACTTCCGCGATTCAAGCCAATGGACGGTCGTCGTATAGATAGCGACAGCTTCCTCCGAGGAAACATATGGGCCGTCTTTCATGTAATTATGCTGTCTCTCCTGTTCGGCTTTTAGCCACAATCGCGTCAATCGACCCAGGTTCTTCTTAGCCACGGTCTTGTCGACGGTTGCGCCTCTCCTGATACGTTCTCGATTGTAGTGAGCCACAGAAATCCACCAGTCAGCCTTGCTTTTGACATATCGCAAGATGATGTTCTCGATGGGTGCTGGTAGGCCTGGGACTTTCCAAGGAATGTTGCTTTTCCAGCATCGCCACGCTTCGGAAAGATGCTGAAGTACGGTGTTGACTTTGTTCTGCCTAATACCTTCGGGCATCATATCCATCAAGTCTGCCATGACCGACGCACGAAGTTCAAGGTCAAAATGAGATTCCACGCGTTGCTTTGTGACTGTCTTTGCAACGCCTTTGCTGTGGCGGCCTTCAAATTGTCGGGACAGTAAATTCCCGAGCCATCTCTCAAGGAGAGGAATAATGCCTCTCATAAAGAAGAGCCACACTCTCCACGCGGGGGCCCAGAAACCGCAGCCGGGACCTTTTCCGACTGGACCAGAGTTGAAGCGATAATAGATCAAGTGCTTCAGGTCTTTACAAGATCTGATCTGATGCATGAGCTTGTACTTGTATCGGTACATTCCCGTCAACTGCCCGACGTGGTTGAAAGCATAGAGAATGCCATCAGCCAATTGGAATGCATCGATATTGCCAAGTCTGTATTGTACCTGAGCGTCGACAATGAGTTTGGTGAGTCTCAGAATCTCTCGCATCAGGTGGAAAGCATTGCCGAATCTCGATTTCTTGCGTTCTTTCGTCGTCAGGGTCTTGACAGGTTTAAGGTTGAAGTTGTAGTCCAGATGCAGATATGTCAAGTTCTTCCGATGGATGAGAAGGTTGAGCATATTGAATCCCTGTCGGCAAACTTGTAAACCCGCCTCTACCCAGTCAATGGTCGTTTGCTGGAAGAACTTGGTGGATTTTAGCGTCTTGAGAAGATCTTGTTTGTTTTGTGCCTTAGGCTTCTTCCTATGCAGCTCGTTCAGCACATATGTCTTCAATAGTTTCTGGTAAGAAACCCGGACTTTAACTGGCTGGCCGGGCGGGCAGTGTTCCAGATACCACTGCTTGACCAGAGGGACATCCTGGGCGCGAACCATTTTTCCGGATCTCCGATCAAACGGGAAGGGCGCCCACCACAATGCGATGGCAGAAGCAGTCTCGCTGGTGTAAAGTTCCTCGTCCGCGAGAAACGGTTCAACATTGCCTGGAAGCTCGAATTCGTCATCTTCGTTATTGCCTTCGCCGAAGATTTCATCCTCATGGCTTATAGTGATATTCTTTGGGGCCACCGACCTCGAAGAGATGGGGTTGATGACAGGATCAAAATAGAAGGCCGGTAAGTTGGGGTCCTCCGATCTTACGTAGACAACCTGAGGGTGAGAATACCACGAGAGTTTGACGCTTCTTGGCAACGAGTTGTACAAATAAGGAAAGGCGACTCTGTATTCCGTCCGGATCGGCGCTCGGAAGATAATTCGATCGATCGCATTGAACTCGCCGAAGTCTTCGTCATTGGGGTCGATATCTTTGTATAGAGGCTCGAATCTGGGTCCGCCTGGGATGGCAACGTTGAGAGCTTTGGCGGTGAAGAAACTCTCACGATCGAACATGTGGAAGTAGTTCTTATCCACCACGTCACTCAACAGCTGGTGGGAAAGTCGGTACAGGGTAGCCATTTGCGGCAGCGTCAAGTTCCACGTTTTGTAACTTGGACCATTGACGTGTGGCGTGTCGAGAAGAGGCCGGTGATCATAGAACCATTCGTACACGGGGCCGTCCTCATTCTCATCCAGTTCCATCTGAATAGGTTCCAGAGGCTCGACGTCTTCGATATTCTCCGACCAAGACAGCGGTGGTTCTTCGTCGTCGAAAGGAGGGAAGCGCATCCGCTTGAAATGTCTTCTGTCGCTCTTCTCTCGTCTCATTGAAACCCACATGGTTGCCCACTGCGCGTGAAAGACTGGTTCAATGACTCGCGGGGTTTCATTTACGAGTGTCAGGCACCCGTTGACGTGGTACAACACCTTGACTTCCCGTGCACTCTCCCAGGGCATGGGCATGTTTTCCAACAGCTTGAACACGGCGTGTGGCATGTACTTCAACGCGCCCAGATAACTCCGTTTGTCGCTGCTGAACTTCTTTTGGCTGACGTCTCCAATGTCCTTGACAATCTTCCTCAGATGCTCCGGGGGCATATCGGCCTTTTGGGTTTCCACAAATCCGCCCTTCCTCTTTTCGCCATACCGATTGCGCTGCGTGCGGAGCCACTCCTTCTTTTTCTGTGCAAACTTTGCGACTCGCGGGTCGACGGGAGGACGATAACCTGGAGGCGGAGGAGCCATGCCAGGCGGCGGAGGCGGCGCTCCAGCACCCCATCCTGGCGGAGGCGGGGGCGGTATCGAAGCCATCCTATCGCTCGGTGGTTGAAGGTGACTGTTTGAATAGAGAAGATGAACTCGTCGTTCAATCTCGGAAATGTCTCTGAAAGTCGCTTACCATTTACGACACGTGATCTGACGTCTGCTTCGGCCTCGAGGGCAATCCTGCTCACTCGTGAAGTCTCAAACCTACCATCCGCCAGCCGGAGGTCTTGCCGGATGGACTGAGTGAAAGATTTGTTGACCTGAAAGCGGGTGGGCGCCTTCACAACCGCAGGAAAACTTGAAGTTATCGAGGTCGATTTTGCCCGCACACGTGACTTGGGACTTGGGGAGTTATGCTCTAGTTGGAACCTTGGCGCCAAGCCGGAAGATCATCGGCAGAGAAACTTCGCACACGGATTTTCGCTGAAGGGGGATCTTGTAAGTCGACCGCAGTTTCAAAGACACGCAACGAATTCCTCGTCTTCAACCCGTTCCATTGCCCATTCAATACCGTCGCAATGGCAGGCGTCAGACTCCAGTACCGTCGCCGAAATCCGTATGTATCCCCATCAACCTTTCCACGGTTCAAGACCATCGCGAAGTCGTGTGGGAAAGGGACAATAGTCAATGGCTGACAGCAACAACCCGCAAAATCTACAGATACAACACCTCCTCCAACAACGTCCGAGTCATCAAGACCCCCGGCGGAAAACTTCGTCTTCTCCACATCAAGAAGCGCGGCACAGCCCCCAAATGCGGTGACTGCGGCATCAAACTACCAGGCGTAAGTGACAACGGCTAGGGGGAGAGAGAAACAACATCTGCACAAAATTTTCATGTCAACACACTCAATTCGAGATTGCTTTCTGACAAGCTATGTTGGTTCTACAGGTCCCCGCCCTACGACCCAGAGAGTATGCCACCACCAGCAGACCAAAGAAGACCGTACAACGTGCCTATGGCGGCTCAAGATGCGCCAACTGCGTACGGGACCGCATCGTCCGCGCTTTCTTGATCGAGGAGCAGAAGATCGTGAAGAAGGTGCTGAAGGAGACGCAGGAGAAGAAGACGGGGAAGAAATAGAATGGTGCTAAGGGGAGCGAGAGGAAGACGGCCACCACTTCATTTTCACGAGACATGGGGTCATGCTTGTGACTGAAGCTTGCATGAGTTTGCGGTGATGGTGGGAGAGCATATGGCAAAGGCAGGATTTCGACGTGTGCATGATAACAGCGGTCCTCTAGTATCACCAAGGTGGTTGGGGCCGGGCCAGGGAGCATCTGAAAAAGAAGACAACAATATCTACGTGTTGGCGGCCAAAGTCACTGCGAAGTGCCCTGTGCACTGGGGAATGTCACTGTCGAAGTCCCACTACAAATGGTCGCGTTAGCTGTTCACCTGGGGAACCCAGACAGTCTACATATCATTGCAAAGGACTATGGCTTGTGTGCACCGTTTCTGGCCTACGTAATTCTTCTTGTTCCATGCGCCCGACTTGTTCTCAGTGTCACTGTACGACCCTCGTGCTCGAGCCGCCGAAGTTTAGTCTGAGTGGTTGCTCATGCTCGCGAGACGGGAAATAGTGCTGGGGGTTCCCACGGGGGCTATCTCGAAAGCCAGCGGCGTACAAAGCAGGAATAACTCCGGCAACAAGACCATATCACATGGTCTGCAGGCGTTTGACAACTTCATCTTCCAGTAAAGTGTTAGTATAGTAGCGTTCTATCTTTCGACCCATACTCACCTCAGACGACCGCACCCGTGCGTGCAGGCTCGTCCAACGCCCATAGGTCCGGAGCAGTGATACCGGCCACAACTTTCTTCTCGAGCGGTGCGATGAGTGAAAGACCAATTACCAAATGCCCATCACGCTTCGCTTGCGAGGATGTTTCTGTTGGTGGAAGTTCGCAGTTGCACCGCGCAACGGCTTACAGCGCTTCACCAAGACAGAATCGAGGCAAAACTTCCTTGGTCGACTTCGCTCGCGTTTCCGCAGCTTCAGCTCGTTGCAGAGTAGTTGTCAAACTGGTAGTCAAGGACTAGAACGGTCAATTATGCGTTAATTCGAGCGTACTCTTCGTGAGAGTTGCTCGCTTGGTGAGACTCGAAGAATCCCTCAGGAAATCAATGAGGGGTCGGGATCAGATCGCGCTCTTGAGTGGGAAGGTGATACAAAGCCGCTGTCAAATCTGTCATATCTGCCGGTTGCCAGGCTGGCAAGCCATTCAAGGACCCACCAAGAATTTTGGACTGGCAATGAGACCGCATTTGTACAACCTCCTTCTTAGGTAGCTGCCGGGCACAGCGGGAACATCACTTGCGGATTGGCAGGAGGCATGAAAATGTTGAAAAAGAGCGCATGACGGCTCGGAGAGCAGCATCCGAGGCCAGGCACGGCGTGTTCGGGTAGGTGACGACCATCCCCAGAGGATTGCGGTTCCAACATCCATATAGTATGAGAGGAAAGTGTCAAGAAAAGAGGCTTGGGGTTGGTGGGGGCGAGGGACATGGTGATACAGGCGCATCTGTACAACAGAAGACTTACCAGTCACAATCTCCGGTGCTGCAACAGGCACAGGAGCGTCAGAAACTTCCCCGAGGTTTACGAATTCAGCAGAGACGATGATGATATCGAGACTCGATCACTTGCGGGTAGCGTTCATCTCGCATTGTGATCGATCTCGCAGTCGTCAGGTCTATGAAACGTGGAAGCTCCATGTGAAACGGCTCGAGCGGCATCTTCGCAACGCAAGGGTTGCGTAGATGATGGTGAGGACGCCCGTACCTAGAACCGTTGTTCTGATATGCTCCAACCAGCTGCAATGCGCAATGGTAACCTGTGAAACGAGTTGCTGCGAAGTCCAGGGCGCACTAGTGACAGCGAGGAAACAACCATCATCTTTGACAACTTGACAGATGGACTTGCCAAATTAAGTGCGATCAAAATGTTGTAGGCCCAGTGGCTAGACCGTGGAAAATCCTGAAGACAATGCGTCAAATGCCAGGCTGGGGATCCTGGTGCACACTGACAGTGCGAGGTTGTCGTTTGATGTTGTGGCACAGTGCAAGGAGAAGCCTCGCAGACTCGCTCTGGACACAGCTGGCCTCAGTCTTGATCTGGTCAATCCCAGGTTGTATTGTCACACGTTGCCCGGCATATGTCAAGCACGTTCTGAACAATTGACTCGGGCAGGGATAGGTCGGAACCATGCATGACGGGTTGACGGGAAAACGGCCTGTTCCCCATCGCTGAATCTATCAGATTCAATTGCTATTTCGCGAGTATTCCATGGTCCGGTCATAGGTATGGTGTCCAAGGGCGTGCAAAAATTCAAGAATCGACCAGGGGACGGTGTCTGCGCCATGGGACTTACCGATCTAAGATTGTCGCCAACTCGGGTTGGAAATGGCGTGGTCTGCTCTGCATGGCTTCGTCGCCAGAGAAATTCAAAGACTCAACATCCCGGAGATTTCAGCCGTAGAAAATGTCGGAGGGTGACTGAGAAATTTAGCGAGCATCTGAATCCAGATCAAATCCCTGCCAGGGGTCGTCTCTGCTTCTGTCTGTCCAGAGTTCTCCTTTGGGAATGCAAAGGTTGGTTCCAGGGATTGGCCTTGTTCGCCTCGCAGAAGTAGTGCGTCGACAGGGACTCTTACCCGAGCCATAGACGGGGCTGCCCCCCCTAATAGCTCGTAGACATGTCTTTCAGCCCCCGGGTTGGCACAGGAAATAAGCGTTGAAACTCTTGCGTCCATGTGCACCTCCCAGACCTCCCGGTCTGGTGTCAACGAGTTTTGTCCACACAGAGAAATCTGTTACGTCGTGTTATCATTCTGGCCTAGGCGGGATGGCAAATGAATTTGTGGCTAGATCGATCACAGAGCACGGCACACCATCGCAGATGCGCCAGCTCGATCACACATCCGGCAATCTATCCTGGCCAAGTGGATTGGATAGTCCGCCTCCACAAACTCAAAACCGAGGATTTGAGGCACGTTCTGCGGCATGTAGACTTGTCTCACTAGATAGTGAGGCAAGCCGATTCCAAGGAGGGGGCCATCAATATTCCATTTTGTGGAGTTTGGATCGGGGGTTAATCGTCTCAAGACGATTGGGACATCGGATCGAAACGAGAAAAGGTGGCAACAAGTGCAATCTTCACAGCACGATCTCTGGGCGACTCGATCAGATCCGTGCTCCAGACGGTGAGCTTCAAGATTATGCTCAGGTAGTGCCGGGATAGCCTGTAGAATGGGCCAGTGTAAGAAGGGAGGAAAGGTTCTTCGCAGGCGTGGCAGATTCGCACGCGAGGTGACAAAACGAGGAGGTGGCTTTGGCGCTTTGGCCTGTCCTTTGTTCTCAGCAGGGACGCACTAAACTTCTGTTGTTCTAGGTCAGTCTGTATCGTGACGCCACCGGAGGATGGACTGCCAGGAGGAGAGAGATCGATCAAGAGGGGAGCGGGATTTCTGTCCGCTCAAGAAGTCGGCTGCATTAGTGTGAGGAGTCATTGGATCTCGGGCCTTTGGCATCTGTTTGACACGTCGCAGCTGCCATCCCGGGGTTGTCAATGGCGATTTCGACTGACACCCGTCTTCGCGATTGTATTGTCCACCTCACTGAAGCCTGCCTTGTATTGCCGTGCCCTGCTTCCACAGATGACTTGCACTTCTCGATGGGAATAAACTGGCGAGGGCGCTGCAACAGATCAAGATTCGGGAGGGGCCAAAACGAACTTTAGCCAGCCACCAGCCCACGGCGCAGCCCATGCCGGGGAAGGGAGGGAGGGTGTGGGCTCGGGTCGATGGCACTTCCGGGGGAGGGAGAATAGTGGCACCATGTGGTAATAGCAAGGGACAATTACACATGGAGCAGGGCCATTCAGAGGACGACGAAGGTTTGGCTGATGCCGATCCGATGCTCGAACAAGCAAGAGGAAACACTGAAGAATCTGGGAATCTGAGCTGAAAATGCAGCTTGTGAGCGTCTAGACCCGCTGGGGCCGCCCGCTCTGTGCCAAGAAAACCCACCCCAACCCCGGCCCTCTCCTCGCCTCTTGCAGCTCGCTTGTCCATTATCCAATACATTCGTGTCCGCCCTGCTAAAGGGGGCACCAAGGGGGGTATAGTACAGTCGTAAGCTGGTGCGTCAGTCACAGTGGCAACAGGATGCTCCTATGCAAAGTCCCACAAAAGCTCGTGGACGTATGGCCATGTCCAATGACAATTTTGGTCGACCTTCAGGCCTTGACGGAATCGCCGACTTCCTTGACCATAACAAGTGTCCCGGTCTGCTGATCTCTGGACCAGACAGCTGGACACGCTCTGCTGAGATTCCTTCATGCAAGTCATTAATTGGTACCCAATAAGATGAGTACAACCCCGGAGAAAAAGAGGGCCTTCAGCTGCGGGCTCAGTCCACATGCAATCTGACGAGTTCCTCCAACTGCTGATCTCGCATCGACTGCAAGAGAGCATTCTGCAAGTGCACGTTCTCCTCTCCATAGCCCATGTGCTGCGCCCTGAAACCCAGAGTGCTCTGTGGGGACAGACATCGGAGCAAATTCGCTTCTTCGGGTGCCAGATTCGGCTCCACAGGGGTCATTGGCCAACTCCTCACCGTGGGTCGTGGATCGTGAAAGTCAAAGCTTTGGTAGTCGGTGCAATCGGAATACGATGCGGTCGATGGGCTTGGTGTGGCCGTCGAGTCAGTGAAGGCAGCTTGGTCCTGATACTTCCTTTTGGCTGCATGGCGCGCTGCTCGCCCCCCTTTTGCTCCGGCTCTTTGACGTTTAATGGCTGGAAGGCGGCCCCCCACCGGCTTTTTGCCTGCTCCAGTCTTGCGATATCTGGTGGTCGATTGCACACCATTCTTGATCGCCTCGTCGGTGAGGATCCAGACGCTAGTAGCTTTCCTTGAGTTCCCCTTTGCGCTATCCCTGTCATTTTCGAATGCCTGTGTGATAGTGTTAGCTGGTGATGCGCATGGTCGTGAGGATGGAACCTTGCTAACCTTATTCATGGACAGGTTGTGCCGAATGCTATTCTGCCAACCATTTGATCCAGACTCTTGAGGTTTCGTGGTGTTGTGGCGAAACCATTCGTAGATCTCTCGGAGCATCATCCTGTGGCCGGGCGCCTGCATCAGGGCTTCGTAGATGAGTCGGGCGTACGGCTTGTCATCAACCACGTCCTCGTCGTCCTCCGTCGTGGTGAGAGATCTGCACTGGCCGTATTCCGGAGATGACAGCCAGACACCCTGCTCTTCATAGCATGGATACGCTGACTGAGTGACTGCGATTGGATCTGGTGTATATGGTAGCAGCGGAAGCCCATCGAATTCGTTGGACTGTCCGACAGCACTGCTGATGAGTTGCGGATACAGTTGATGAGGTGCCCAGGTTGGTTCAAGTTCGAGATCGGAAAGGTGCAGTTGGGTGCCTGCAGGGAAGATGTCCTCGTGGTGAACACGCAAGTTCTCGTAGGGGATGTCGTCCAGATTTTCCAGCTTGAGCAGTGGGTGGACATCTGCATCTTGCTGACCGTGGTACATTGGCAGGTGGGATGGTGCTGAAGACGATGACTCCAGATTCTGCTCATGGAATGCTCTGGCGATCATGATGTGTGAATGCTCAAATTCTTCGACCTTGCAGTAGACCTCATGACGGTGTGTTGAGATTTCAGCTTCCATTTTCACCACTCTACCCATTGAGCGGTTGGAAGATCTGAATCAAGCAATGGGTCGCGGACACTTTTTCACAGGGACTTCTTGATCGGTGATGATGAACAGATCTGTCGTGGACGCTGTCTAAGCCAAAGGGCAGTGGAGAATAGAACAATAAGATCTTGGATTGTTGACTGCGGATTGCGACAAACAGTTGGGAAGCTCAGTGCTTAAGGCTTAAAAGCCAGAACAAAGAAAGTCCAAGGTGGGAATTCTATTATTCCGAACGAGCAAGTTGATTCAGAGGTGCATATGATGGTACATGCTTGATGCTTGGAGGGGGGGACCATGCAAACAGGCAGGGGTGTGGGAAGGCGTGGAGGGAACGGCGCCGGAACGCAAACAAAAGGGTTCCTAGACTGACCTTCATATCCTTTTTGCTGTGAGAGAAGACGCCTGGATGCACCAGCTGCATGCTAGTACAGTAAAGTACTGTATCACACCTTTCCAGAGGGAATCCGGGATGCTGAAGAGATTCCTATCCAATCAGAGGGGGGATGGCTTGCGGAGCTCTTTGTGCAACTAGTTGTCGCTCAACGGGCTGTCATGTTCGGAAGAATGCATCTAGTTGGGCCTCAAATGCCAACCTGCATTTGATCCACCCTCACATCCTGCGCCTGCAAAATTTGACTTTGTGTATTTTTCCTTTGCTCCTGTGATGATACAGGGGGGCGGAGGATTAGACAAGCCACGCTGTGTGCTCAAGGAGTGCCCCAAGACCTTCAGGTCCGCTGATTGGCCGACGACCAAAAGTAAAAACCATGATCTGTCCTGGGCGAGGCTACCGGACAATAGTACGGTGAGCTCCATGCTCAAGGGAGCGAGAAAGCCGTGCACGCGGAGAACGTTGAGCTGAGACGGCTAGGAATTCATCGACACCCGTCTATCGATCGCTTTCGCATCATTTCGCCGGAAGTCCAGTCATATTGATGGTAAGCCTGTATCGGTCATATTCAGTAGTCAATCCTTAGGAAGTCCGCCTCGTCCAGTCGTGGATGTAATCGTGTTGACCCTTCTAGGGGTTTCGAATAAAACAACGTACGAAAGGCTCCAACCAGAGGGTTTGCCGTCCAGCATACGGGAGGTGCCTAGGGGAAGTTCTCCCTGGTTCGGGGCGGTCCGTCTGTCAAAGTTTTCCCAACTCCTCAGCGTCCGGTATAAGAAAAAGGGGCGCAATGAGACACATCTCTGTGACGCGGCTCTAACGGGCACTAGACCGACTGAGTTCTGAGTTGGCGACAGGAAGGGAGCGTACAAAGTCAAGGTACATGAGGCGTGTGAGTACCGTCAATCCTGTGTCATCTCTCGCCGTGAGGCAGTCGGAAGAGAAAAGTGCAGTTGGGTTCGTCAGACAGAAAATACTTTCAAAAGACGTCACCAAGGGGCGTGGTGTTCAAATGCCCGCCGGGTGCTTGCTGCTGCCACCTCTGTATGTGTGCCAACGCCTACCTAGGTAGTGCAGTACCCGCTATGGAGTCAGACTTTTCCGCAAAGGCGAGAGTGAGGACTATTCTCCGGGCGCCATGGAATCTGTATGAGAATGATGGAGAAGAGATTTGTTTTGCACATATGTGCTACCACATCTTCCGTAGAGAGACAGTACTGCAGAGTACTGAACCCTTAGAGGCATGGTCTTGGCTGAGCATCAGACGCCCCGAGCCTTACCGCCTAAGAGCACATCAACGCCCAGTGCAACTTTTATGTTTGGCCTGGTGGCCCCAACCGTTGCTTAAGGCCGCGACAGCCCGGGAGCCTCACTTCCGGGCCACCCAGCTGATTGCCGTTGCCAACCAATCGACATGGCCACCCGAGAGGGGCCGCCGACGTCAGTCAATGCGAGCTGACTTTGCTTACTGTGCTCTATCATAGCCCCGTGATGCCCCGGAAGGTCCAATTCAGGGAAATGCCAATCAAACAAACTACATTTTCTCAATCACTCGACTGCGCTTCTTGGTCTGAGGACTAATCCATCAGTGGCAGTACCCTTACATATCGTCTCTCCACTCATTTACGCTGAATGACGGAAGCGTGAATCCCTTTCCGCGGCCTTCCTACTTTACTGTTTCTTCTCGCTGGGAAGGGAGGCTCGCGCTCAGACACCATTCATTACCTTCCTTCCCGCAGGCATTACTGGTGAACCACCTTTTCCCCTCTATCCCATCCCGGACCTCTTTATCCAGTCGAAGCATCATTAGCCGCCATGCCGGAGGTCGTTCGAGGCAGTCGTGCCAGTTTTCAGATCGATCGCAGTCGAAATGCGTCGCACGACGGAGCGACGCCCTCGTCTCCCCTGCGAGAAGCACGCGGCGTGCATTTTGGCACGGAAAGCCCTGGACTCGAACGAGAGGAGACCCCGACACAGGGTCTCCGATCCGTCGATACCGGACTCAGTACCATGTCTGCCTCTGAGCGAAGAAAGAGCAGGGAACAAGCCAGAAAAGAGCGGAAGATGGAGCCCGAAAGAGACGCCTACTACGACAGTCGTGCTGCGACCAAGAGAGAATTCCGAAGGCGAGCCAGCACGCTACAAGAATATTATTCTCAACATCCCACGTTGCTGCCACAATTACCTTTTACGTGGAGGCATGGATGGCGGAGATGGAAGTTGTTTCTCACGATATTTACAATCATTGTGGACGCCTGTATCATTCCTATTGTCTTATTTTATACCATGAAATTCGCAGGACATGTTGAGGGTTGGAAAAGTAAGCTTCCAATGTACACAGCACCCTGCAAAGCCCTGGCTAACATCTCCCATCAGTTTTTGCAGTCGTGGCAACTATCTGGGGCGGTCCTACATACGTCGAGTTCGCAGTGAGAAGCTGGCGTCTATTCAAAGCCGAGAACTTCTTCCGGCCTCTCGGCACGTCCAACCGATGGGCCTTCGATATCACCCACTGGATCTCCGTCCTGACCATCACCGCCGTCACCGCGCTGCTCATTGTCGGCAGCGCCCCTCACATTGTGTGGCTGCGGGTTCTTTCCATGCCCGCCCCGGCACTTCTGTATTGCATCGCAGGCAGCGTATTCTTGCTTACCATGTGGAGTCTTGCCGGCAGAAAGGCGCCTTTCCGGATCAGCTCTACTGAGAAGGGCGGCGTGGTCTACCCTGGAGCATACTACCTGATCGAGGATGTCGTCGCCGTTAATGCCAACGCCGGCAGACCTTTCCGTGAAGCCTTGGCCGCGCGGTATAGAGCAAGCCCACGGTTCCGGAGGATGATGATGGTTCAGTCTCTATTCTGGTCCATTCCGGGACTTTTGGTTGCCATTGCCTGCACGGTGATTGTATGCATCCATCCCGTCCCCAAGGATGTGGCTTATGGTATTGGTAAGTTCTGTCCCAAAAATATCCTCAACGAAGGACGCAACTAATGTCCGCTTTTAGGCTGGGGTGTCCCCTTTGTCTGGGTCGCCATCTGGACCGCCATCACTATCCCCTGGGTTCGACGAGATATGCACAAGGAAACCGTGACTTGGGAGGAAGACTGTGGCATCGAGCCTGGCGAAAAACATCACGACGAAACGAAACTAGAGCCAACCGATTCTGACCGCGAGACAGCAAAGGAGCCGGCCCCAGAACCAGAGCCATGAGTTCGCTCATCAGATTCATCTGTACTACTATTTCTATTGACTACATTTAATGGAATGGTGAGCGCACGTGGTTTAATGAGTTTGGCTTGAGGTGATGGGACATGTATTTCAAAAGTCCTTGTGCATGGATGACTTTTTACTCGTTCGAGCGTGCTGCATTGGATATCCCCTATGGCATCTGAGACCTGAAACAGAGAGCGGGAGTTTGAGGCGACGAGTCGACGTTAGAGCGACACTCTGGCAATTCCGCAAAGGTGGTAGACATATTAATGAGATGAAGGCCTTTTCCAACCGTTCTTGAGGAGCTGAACTTTGGTGTCGCGTGCTCTCCGTTCGAGATTCGTGGCCAACAAGTTGCTCCCCCAGCTATCTGGCCAACTCTTTGCACGCCCGCTCCCTTCCTCCATCAGAGCACCAAAGGGAAAGGGAGAAGGGAGAAGGAGTCTGACACACGGCGGCCCTACCACTGCCACTACCACTACAGTTCCGCTCACTCACCGCAGCGTCTCTGCCGAGCGCAAGATCGAGAACATTGTCAACCTATAGCAGGCAAGTGAGCACGCTTTGTCAGCTCGACGTCAAGACAACACAAGACAACACAGCACTGAACCTCCTAGAAACTAGCAATAGGTGCCATGGATGACTACGACCTACATACTTATTACTACGATGCAGACTCAGTCAGTCTGGTCGCCCTATCGTAACGGCCGAGCTTGCGTGGTTTCGAAGAAGCCGCTCCAACCGGTGGTCCGCCCTTTGGTTCTTTCTTTCTGGTCTCCTCATACCGCCCCCAGCAACAAACGGACGGGAGTAGACGCACCCCCGGAAGAAGGGGGAGAGGGGGGGTCGTGATATCTCCATTCTGCAATCTGTGGTCTGCGGTCTGCAGTCTGGCGAGCGGCCTGGCAGCCATCTTTTGCTGAGGTTCTCCGTTCATCTTTTTGGCGCCACTCCCCCCGCCTGGGTTGGGTTATCGCATGGCTAGCTAGCTACCTTGGCCAACCTAGACGCCTACCCAGGTATCTACCCAGCTCGTTCGCTAGGGTACTATTACGTTGTAGAACTTTCAGAGTTCAGTCGACGTCATGGAGCCTTGCAAGGCCAAGCAGATCGACGGATCTACGTCGTGGGAGTGAGGGGAGCGACGAGGGGGGTGGGAGAGGGGAATCAACTATTCATTCCCTCGTATATCACTTGTATACTCCGTACTGGCTGCAGCGACAACAGTCTCTCCGGCCCGTCGCCTTATCAAGAACGTTACTTTTCAAGTCGCTGGGATCGGCCGGCTGATCAGTATCTGCAGACTCACTACACTCGCTGTAGGTACGTAAGCATCGAGAGAGAAAGCTTGTGGCCTCACTTTCGTCCCGCGTGCTATTACGTCCTTCGTTCTGCCCTCTGTGCTCCCAAGAGTTGCATTAAGCCCTTCACCTACCAGGACTGAGGGGTCTAGCTGGGCATCGAGGAGAAGGCAGCATAACCTTTTCAGCGCTGTCAACGCCCCTTGTTTTCCCTTCTTACTTGCTGCAAGTATACCTCTAGGCAGCAAAAGCGAGATTCGGTATCAAGGAAATCAGCGCCGCGTCCGTAGGATGCCGCTTTCTCGCTTCTCTCACCCCCCCCCCTTTTTTTCGCCCCTCCCAGGTCAGGGCTGAAAAGAATAGGAGGGACGAGAAGGGAATCCCGAACGAAAAACCAAGAGGTGGAAAAAAAAAAAAATCTTGCACGCCTACGGCAGATCTTGGATCGTGGGCTGCGTTGGTTAAAGGTCAGGTACTCTTTGATTGATTGATTAATTAATCAGATCACAACACGCTTTTCTGTGTTCGTCGGTCGGGCGCCGAATATATGGGAGCAGTACTCTGTACACAACGTCCTTCTTCGCGTGCGAAAAGGAGGATGGTATCAGCATTGCGTTTGAGGCCCTCACATAAGGCACTCGGCCAGTCCTCAGCCTCATCAGCCTCAGTCAGCCCTGTCCTGAGCCAGGTGTCTGTCCGTGCATATCTCTGCTGACGCAAGATCATGTTTCCTTACTTCCGGTACACCACCCGCTTAAAGGTGAAATGCAGCGTCAATACCCCCTTTTCGAATGTGCTCTTGAACCCCCGGTCATGCTTCGCGCTGTAATCCCAATCTCGGTCCACAATCCTAAACGCAATATCCTCGTATGGCGGCCCGCTCATAAACCTGATGATGCAAGTGTCTTCTTCGCCCGCTGGAGCCATCGTTTGGCCCTTCTTTCTTCCTCCTTCACGGATGATCTTATACGTGGGTGCTTTCGTTGGGTCGATGAGATCGGGATAGAAGATGTGAAATTTGTAACCCTGGACCACCTTCGGCGGAGGGTTGTCGTGGTCGTAGTGGGTTTGGTTGTACTTGTTCCATTCGTAGCCCATCTGGACGCGGTTGAAGTATTTCGGTTTCCGCGGACGGTATTTGCCGCCATATTGCTGCATCCAGAGCGGCTGGGATTCGGACGAGGTCTCCTCTTCACCAGCAAAGATCTCTTCGTTCTCACTGACGCCTTTGGCGACTTCGCGGTCGAAAAGGGCCTTTGTTGTGGAGGACAGGTCGTCTGTCGAGTGGTCGAATCGGCTGGTGGGATCGACGGGTTTCGATTGTTGCGCGGCTGGACGAGGCTGTATTGAGGCCGAGCTTGCGGAGGCCGCAGCGGCACCTGTTTTCGGCGCTGGGACATAGCCCATGTGTACGACTTTCCTTCTGCTTGCTGCCACATTCTGTAGGAATGTACTCTCATCCTGGACTTCCAGGGTTTTGTCTTTGGTCGGAATCTCCAGCAACGGATCTGGATCCAGTTCTTTCGAATACTGGACGGGAGCTGCGGGCTCGATTCCAGCATTCCGAAGTTGTTGTTGTGCTGAGGCTGCTTTCTGCTCATTCTCTTGTCTCAGGTTCTTCAGCCGCGACTCGAGAACATCCTGGCAGACCTTCTTGAGTTTCGCTTTTGCCTTCCAAACAAGCAAGCTGTCCAGCAACTGTTGCCAGTAATCCGTGTCTATAGGCTCGTCAGAATCCAGCTTGGTTCTGATCTGTCCTTCCAATGCCTCCAGCTGCTCGTACGACTTAGGACTCAATAGCTTGTCAATGTCCGACGCCACAGAGCTCATTGCCCTTCCTTCTGGACCTGACGCACGTAGCTTCTTCTGCCTGTCCTTGCAAATGATCTGCATGGTCTGCCAATAGTCCCTGTTTTTCCTGTTTGTCTCCAGATTCATGTAGGTCTCAATATCCTTGCGCAGGTCAGAAAGCTGGCTTTCAGAGAGCCCGTCAAACACGGAGTCCGGGTCTACAAAATCCAGATCTTTCTCGTCGACCTCATCATCCAATGGGTTTCGGGTAGGGTCGACCACACGGAGGGTTACTGCCAACCAGTCGATGGGTTTCGCTCGCCCTTCCTTGACGCGGATGTCTGCCTTCTTCTTAGCCTGCTTGAGAACGAAGTCATCCTCTTGCGCAACCCACTCTCTCATGCGCTCATCTTCCTGCATCTGGTTGATTCTCATTTGGTCCTTGTGAGACCATCGCTGAGGCTGGCCATGGTCTCGCCTCCCTGGACCATCCCGGTCTCGATATTGTCTGTTGTCGTCACGCCGTCGCCATGGTGGAGGAGATTGGGATCGTTTTCTTTTGTGGGCTTGCGGAAGGTCGGTCATGTTTACGTGTTGAGACTCGATAGCGAGTCAACAACTGCCTGGAAATTAATCGTCACTGCAAGATGTGCTCTTCTTCAGGTCAAGATTCCTGCCTGTTGAACAAAAAAGGCGGGCAAAGGCGCAGGATGGCTAAACCTCGGCAGAGTTGAACTCGACGAGTTTGACAGCCGTTGCTACGCCTGCCGACCTGAAGCTCATGCCATGATCTCTCCACAGGTGAACATCTGCCGTTTTGAGATGTGCCTGTTGGTTCGTCTGCATCTAGGTCACCGAAATGCCTTCGCCGCTCCCCTGTCACATGGTTGATGTTTCATCATGCAGACTATGGACAAAATCCAGAAATCTCGAAATAAGGGCCCGGCTTGCACACAATGCCGCCAGCTGAAGGTAGGCCGAGCACAAAACGCGTTGGTGTCCAGTGCGGCTTCTTCTCGATATGCAAGATGAATCAAAATCATTGACCTCTCGTGCAGCTGAAATGTGACTCCAGTCAAACATTCCCTGCTCCCTGCAGTAGATGCAGCAGAACCGGAGCACGATGTCTGATCGATTCTTCTTTTCGGCGGGAGAAGCGCCAGGAGTAAGTCAGTCGCGTTCCCTGGATGGCATTGTCTGACTTGACCCCAGACGCATTGAGAGGCTGGAAGAGGAGCTGCTCCATGCGAAACAGAAGCTGGAACATGCGCCGTCTGCTTCTGACAGAGCATCGACAGAACCGCAAGCACGCCAGCCTGGAGGCGAAGAGGACTTCACTACTTTCCCTTTCGCAAGCTTTGCCGGAGAACTCGAACCAGCGACTCTGGAAAACATCACAATTCAGCCCGACTCCATCGTTGAACTGTTTGAGCGGTGCGTTTCATCGTGAAGTTGTTCAGCATCGCATTCTAACCTGACCATAAGCTACTACATCCATCACCATCCACGATTTCCCATCTTGTCCGCACCCTCGATCACGTTGAGGTCGTCTAAGAAATGGCCTCCTCTATTCTGGAGCATTATCCTGGTGTCTGCAAAAAGCCGTCAGCACGCCAGCTTGTATTCCAAACTTAGCCAGCCGCTCAAGAGGCTTGTCCTAAGTCCCGAATACCTTGCAAATCGATCCGTTGAAATGATCCAGGCTCTGTTGCTCCTCGGTACCTGGGCAGGAGGGGATGACAGAAGTTGGACCGACCTGTCTTGGACCTACAGCGGGATTGCCACTCACGCAGCCCTCCAAATAGGCTTGCATCGACCGGAATACAGCAACGATTTTATTTACGGCTCCAAATTCGATGAAGATGCCATTGTGCCTAGAAGGAAGGCATGGATTGCCTGTTTCATCGTGAATGAGATGTATGCCTCCGCGTAATATCTGATTTATCCACTAATGACTGTGTGCAGGGCAAGCCGCAGAATCGGTGTTCCATGCACCACACCAATCGACCATACCATCCTTGAAGCGTTGTCGTCGCCCTCTCCCGCCATCCCGTCTCGACTCAAACAACAGCTCCAGATCGCGTATCTGTCGTACCGAACAAACACTACCCTAGGCAATTCCGATCTTAGTCCGGCGGGCGTCCTCCAAAGCTCGATTTCGGCCATCCACATGTTCGAGAAAGAATTCTCTCTAATGGAATCGACGCATGGCCTTTTATGGTCGCCGCACGAGGAAGTGCTTTTCCTTGGATCCAAGCTGAACCTGTATATTTACGCAATCACCTCCTCAAACACCACGAGTGAAAACGGCCGACACTCTAATGTGGACGAATTCATAGGCCCGGCTCTCGCGACAGGGTTGAAGCTCATCAACATAGCCAATAATGCCGAAGACGAAATCATCTCCTGGAGCGTGCATACGAAGGAATCCCTCATTGCGGCAACGTTCTTCCTCTTGATGCTCAGAGATAGCGAGCACCCACTGGTCGACCTCGCTGCCACTAGGAAAGCGATCGGCCAGGCCTGGAATACGCTTCACGCCTGCACCGTCACGGAGCATGACTACCTCACGAGAACTTGTACCACCATCTCCTACCTCAGCCAACATCCGTTAAAACGAGAGGGAAATGGCTTCGCACTGAGGACGAAGTCCAGGATGGCGTCCAGCATCATGTGGGACACCATAAGGCGGCTGAAAGAGCAATTTGGGCTCGAGAAGCCCGCACAATCTCTCAGTGAACGCCTTGCTGCCGCGAGTGATCGCACGCAGCCTTCCGGCGCATTTGCCACGCAACCGTACCCGGATAACCTGGCTTTCGAGTACTCTGGAGGTGATCTGATTGATTGGGACTCGTTGTTCAACGAATTGGGGGATTTCTATATACCGCCACCAGACATGGCGCTCTAGCAAGGACAACTTTGTGGCATCCAACCAATATAAATCGCATCGCTATTATCGTGCCGTCAGAGCCGTTACGGTGAATGTCCTCAAATCCAGCTGGAAGAGTAACTCGGCGAGACAGACTTCGCGCTCCTGCCCAACCGCACCTCTGCCCTGTGAATATGTTTCGGCACCGGCTCGGCACCCTGAAGATCACCTTCGTCCGCGATCAGTCGCGAAAGAGCCGGATCTCTCGTAACTCTCACGATGGTCGAGAATGAATTCGTGTACGAAGCGCCGTTGTGGAGCAACGCGTGCACACCCAACAGGACACAGATCAGTGCGAAGAAAGCGCTTAGTCCATAAGCCACGAGCAGTGCTCGCGGCTCATAGACAAACTGTGATTCGAACCTTTGTCGCACCGCTGAGGCTGTTGTCTGGTCTTCACCAACGGTCCTGTTTTGCACAAGTCAGCTGACTTGCGTCTCGAAGCGGAGAATAGAAATGTTGATGTGCGAATGTACAAACATACCCAGAGACAACGCCGTACCGCATGCTCAGCGTAATGTTCCGAAACAGCATCTCATTCTGCTTGGCCTGAAGGAGCGTCAAGTCCGTTTGGTTCAGGCCCGGCCGCGCAGGGAACAAGGCCTGATTCATTCCGGGAGCGTAGACGGAGTTGGTCGTCGGGAAAGAGATGTCGTTGGAGTACGTGATGGGCCCACCGATCATCATGACAAAGGATTCCATGACGGCTTGCATGTTCATCTGTTGACGGACCCGAGGATCCTGTAGCGTCCCCTCCATCGAGCTGAGCGCCGGCATCCAATTCTCGAACTTTGGAGAGGCGGTGACGAATTGTGCGCCCGTGCTCTTCACCTCGAAATGAGCGTCGTAGGACGCGTTGTACAATGCACAGGTCATCATCTGCGCCTCTGCTTTGCCGACAAAGTCTGGGATGCGGTTGCCTGACTCGTCGACGCCCGTGGTGTTGAGATAAATAAACACCCGAGCAGCGTCTTTCGAGACAAAATCTAATCGGTTGTTCCCGATCTGCACGTCCGTGGAGGCGAAGAATGAGCCATTCACGTCAGGTCCCCATCCGGGCTGAGGTGCCCAGCCAAAATAGAACACTCTCGTGTCCGTCATATTCTCGTACTCGAGCATGGCCCTTTTGGCCCATGAAAATTCTTCGTCGCTCGACATGTCGCAGCTGACGGCCGGGCCGAAGAATTGAAGGTTGAAGGTTAGGTTTGTGCTGGAGGACTCGAGCGGAAGAACACTGTTGGAGAGGACTGTGGCGAACGTCGGATTCGACAGGCCCGTGGACATGGAGGCGTAGGTTGTTGTGTTGGCGTCAGTTATGACGCCGCAGAAGAGGTTGCTGTCAGTTGTGAAGGACCGCTGAGGGACGACTAGAGCCCCGGTTTCGGAGACCAGGACAGGCTGCACAGAGAGGGTGCCTGGAGTGATGATGGCAGAGATTGGGAGGAGCCTGGATCTGTTAGAATCCCATTTTGTGTTATGATGTGAAGAATCCCACCAAGTCATAGCTGCCAAAAGGGCAAGAATTGGCCTCCGCCACCATATGCGAACAGCCAGAAACTCGAAAGCATTGCCCAATATCGCAAACATCGAGTCCAAAGAGCCGATTTCGTGCGGCTTCGCGTGCAGATTGACCCACATCCACTGATCATACGCGACTCCCGTCCCGACAGCTAGACAGAGCCTGGACAGGAAGGCCAGCGCGGTGCCCGCACGAATAGCCCACAGCTGCAATAGAGCGTTGTCTGCAGGTTGCCCACTGAGGCTCTGGTATAATGCGTGGTGCGACGCCATGAGGGTAATGCCGGCGAGGAAACCAGCGCCCATAACGGTTGGTGCTCGCCAATGAATATGTCGGAACCTCCGGAAGTCTTTGATTTCACTGACAGCAACGTTTCCAAAACGCTTTGCCGACATGGTGAGCGGCGAGCAGTCACTTTGATTCGCTGTGGTCCGGGAAGAGAGAGTCGAGATACCGTCATCAGTCAAGAATAGAGATCTAGAGAGTGAGACCGACAATACAACAAGCCAGGCAGACCGTGAATCCTAGACTGGTAATGGCAAATATGATATGATATAGCCTGGCCTGCAGGAAACGGCCGAAAGTTGCAGCTGGTCTTCATGGGGGCCAGATGTTCTAACATTGCTTTTTTGGCCACATATTGAGAACTTACTTGGAATCTAGTGTAAGACATCGGGATGCTGGCCAGTAATAATCTGTGGCGCATCCTTCTGGACAAGATGCATTGTGCGTGCGGTGGACGCTGTTTGTGGAAGCGACTTAGCCGCCGACCTCAGCAGCCATGAAACAACCCCGATCGACCAGCCAAGGTTGGCGGCAAATGATTTGGCAGTCTGGTATAATGACCAGACAACCATGAGAAAGCGTATCTGCCTTTCGGAATCGTTGTTGACAGGAAATCAGAGTGAGAAAGGGAAGAGACGACGTTGGAAGCCTTGTGACTATCAGGCTGCCAAGCCTTCGCCTCCATTGGCTCATTTCGTCCTCCTCGGGTTTAATATGGCTTCAGCCTTCGACACCTCGTCACACACGGCACTAGATGCGACAAGGCTGCACGGCAGCTGTTGTCCCCAACACATTTCTCAGCAGCAGCATGTGAACAACTCCGCCTTCTCAGAATGCCTGACTCCGCCAGTGAAGGCTGGCAAGAACTCCAGACCACCTCTAGGCGGCAGTGCCCCAAGCTATTCTACTCCGTCTCCACCAAAGAACAGTCGCTTACTCTCCTGCTGACCGACTTGATCTCTATCTGGGAGTGCTCGCTAGATAGATATGACATTCTCGCGGCCGCAGCTCGGCAACAGACGAGCATCGATCCTTCCGTCTCAACGGACCAGTTTGAAGTCTTGCTCTCCAAGATCCGCAAAAGTCTTGGAGAGGGCGAGAACTCCGTCATTCGCGATGGCCGTGGGAACTCGCAGACGCTGCTGCTGCGAACAAGGATAGATCTCCCCCGTCCTCTCCGGCCCCTTGAGTGGGCGTTTACTCTCGATCCCCAAAGAGCTTCGGAGTTGGCGGAACGAATCCTCCGCCCGAGTTTGCACGAAGTCTTCGTCTCCCAGAACAAAATAAACTCTTTGCTTGGAATCATCAAGGACAAAGACCACATCATCTCGCGCCTGCTCGACAGAGTCGGCAACTCGGCCGTTGACTTGAGCTTGGTCTTCCCCGGTATCACGGGCTTTGCTTCACGCAAAGGCGGCCATGTGTCGGCCGCGGATGCCAACAAGCATGTTCCCGGGATGGCGAGTTTTGACGAGAAAGTGTGGACCAGGCAGTTTGCCAATGATGATGGCTACGAGGGAGCAGACCGGACTGGTTTGAGCAACCTCGTTCGGGGCTGTGAGAAATGCTTCGCCCACAGTAAAGCTGAGCATGAAAACTGGGTGAAAGATCTTCCTTCGACGGATAAGTCATCTCAAATCGATACCAGCAACAAGCGAATCGGGTCGCCGTCAACGAAAGTCCCACGGAAGAAGCCAGATTCAGATAGCGAGTCAACAGGCGACGAATTCGAGGTAAGTGTCGCATATCAACATATGTCCAACCTCCATTCCTGACATGTCCACAGCGTCAAGCGACTCCTCCACATCTGAAATCTAAAGATACCCCAAAGGCGACACATGAAACGACAGAGGACGAGGAGACCGAAGACGATGAGCCCGCCCCCAAACGAACCCAACCCTCGACGATCGGCGGTTTGGGTCGACGAAACGCTACGAAAGCCTTTGGAGCCTCGAAGCGCTCCCCAGATCAAGTCGTTGTGTCTAAGACCAAGTCTCCTCCGCGTCGTCGGGCTTCCACGGCGTCGACAGAGACAGAGACAGCTTCAGAGGACGATGACGCCGCTGGTGCTGGGAAAGAACCACGACCGCCCATTGCACCACGGAACAAGAGCAGCCACTCGACGCAGAAATCCAAACTCGGCGCGCTGAAACCAAGAAAAGTTTCCCCATCGTCTTCACCGTCACCACCACCATCGAAATCAAGGCTGTCTACCTCTTCCGCAGGGAGTGCTTCCGACCAAGAGCTCCCTTCCCGCAATTCACGTGTGGCCGCCGCTCGTGCATCAAAGACACCCGAGCAAGAGGAAGAGGAAGACGGAGAGGAGACTGACGATCTAAACGGCAAATCGTCAACACCATCCCCATCTCCGCCTCCGCCTCCGCCTCAAGCGAAGCCTTCGACGCCAGCGCACGAACGACGCCGTCTAGGTCGGCTCGGAGGGAAGAAACAAGCGACACCATCAACAAGCGCCTCGGCTTCACCACCGGAGACGTCCAAGGGCGAGAAGATGATCCCCGAGACACAGAGCCCCGCGAAACGGAGGCTCGGACGCCTCGGCGGTCTGAGGAAACGGGAGCGAGAAACAACCACGTCCCCTCAGGCGCGGGACAAACCACCCGGCCCTGTCAATGAGGACGACTCCCACGCAACGACCACGCCCTCGCCCTCTCCTTCGCCATCTGCCGCATCACCGTCCTCGCGCCAACGCCAGCGCCGATCCCCGCCCCCATCGACCCGCACGAAGCCAGCGGAAGAACCGAAGAAAGAGGAAACGGCCGAAGAGGCCGCGAGCCGGCGCCGGATGGAACTCAAGCGCACGATCGCGGCCCAGGACGGCGGGAAGAAGAAGCGCCGGTTCTGATTCTGGTCCTCGTATACTAATTCACCGGTCCACACGCCCAGGCTAGCGTAACACCTGTTGAAAAGTTGGAATATAGGCCCCCCACCCCCCAACACACACACACACACACATAAACGGCGGTGCTGTAGCATGGTGACGGACAGACGAGCACCAAACGACAAACGACAAGTGCGGCGAGCGCGGAGAAAGCACAGGGAATGGGGGCTCAGAGCAGCATTGTACAATTCAACTCGCAAGGTTCGTCATTAAGCAACTTACTCCATTGTTTTCGTCCTATGGGCACTGTTCCCCCTGCCTGCGACGGTTCTGATGGTGATCATTATGCGAGTATGAGCTGCGCGAGACCAAGAAGATCTAGCCAAAATGAACAAGAACAAGAGGCGTCTGTTATTATGAACTCTTGTCTATTATTGCATTTCAAGTGTCCAATCTGTGTAGTGTACGCTGTTTCGATCGCAGAGATGGAGAGGCGAGCAAGAACGCCCACAAGCACGCGCACGCACACCAAAAAACACGCAATCGCTCTCTCTGTTTCTCTCTCACACACACTCGCACAAGTAGTCCTCATTCTCCATGATGCCACTCAACCCCAAGGCCGCGAGGCTCCAGCTTCTTTTCATGCATGTGTGCTTGCGTGAGCAAGATAAACATCTTGACAAAACCCCAAGAGATCCGAAAGGAGAAGGAAAAGGAGCAAAAGACTTTTGTACCTCATCAGGGCGCATTCTCCAACCCTGAGTCCGTCGTGAAACCCTCGCGTGGCTGGCGTCATGTGCTCGTCCAATCACAATTGTTCAAGACTCTTTGCAGAAACAACCCATAAAGAATAAACAGATAACCCCCCTCGCAAAGACCCGAATAAAATATATGGCCGCATATAATAGCGCAGGTATCGAGCTGACCGGGTACAGCTTGCAGCGGCTCAGTCGTAATTCAAGCAGAAGATCGTTTCATCTCAAGGGTGTCCTGGGGGCTTTCCCGAATGACCGTGCCCGCTATCCCCATGTCCTGTCTGGGAGGTGTCTGACCGATCGTCGCCGTCTCGATCATGCTCGTCCACCGTCCAGTTCGCCCGCAGATGACTGCTTTCACTAAAATTGACCCTCTTATGGCCCTTGGACCACTGGCCCTTGTCTCGCTTCTTCGACTGTTCAACCTCTTCTTCACTGACACTGGCACTGTCGGCCTCAGCCTCTTCCAACGCCTTCTTCGCGCGAGTCCTTAGCTCAGCCGCCTCTGCGGCGGCCTTCTGCGCCCTTGACTGCTTCCGCCACATGCTTGCATATTTGCCACCCAGCGCGATGAGTTCTTCGTGCGTACCGCTTTCGACCACGGTTCCATGGGAGAGCACCAGGATCTGGTTGGCATTCACGATGGTGCTGAGGCGATGGGCAATGATGACCATCGTCCGTCCTTCAGCGAGCGTGTTGAAGGACTCTTGAATTTTCTCCTCAGTTTCGGTATCTAGGGCTGCAGTAGCTTCGTCAAGCATGGTGATGCGAGGGTTTTTGAGGATCGTTCGGGCTATGGCAACTCGCTGACGTTCTCCACCTGAAAGACGCACGCCTCGTTCGCCAACTTTCGTATCGTAGCCGTTGGGAAATTCCATGATCCGGTCATGGATCGAGGCTGCTTTGCAAGCGTCAAATATCTCTTCATCAGTGGCGTCTTGGTTGGCGTATCGAAGGTTGTACATGATCGACTCATTGAACATGTTGCAATCCTGAGGTACCACGCCGATGAATTTTCGCAGGGAGTCGATGGTAATATCTTGGACATCTCTACCGTCAACCTTAATTTGCCCAGAGTCTGGGTTGTAGTAGCGGAAAATCAGCCTCATCACGGTACTTTTACCTCCGCCAGATTCACCAACAAGGGCGGTGGTCGACCCAGGCGGACAGCGGAATGTCAGTCGGTCGAGGGCAGGTCTTCGTTTGTCGTAACTGAAGCTCACATTGTCGAATATAATATCACCAGAACATTCTTCAAGCTTTTCGGCCCCTTCTTGGTCAAGGACATGCGGTTGTTCTTTGAAGAGCTCCAGCATCCTCTCCGCGTTGATCAAATTTGATTGGATCGACCTGTAGAAAGTCCCAAAGAAGTTCAAAGGACCCTGCAACTGAGCCATGTAGGTTATCAGAAGCACAAAGTTACCCACGGTCTGATCACCCTGCGCAACTTCAAAGGCTTCAATAAAACTGGCAATCAACAGGGCAACCATGAAGAGTGCACCCTGCACCGTGTTCATGTAGGCTAGGGTGACATCCACCCAATATTCGAAGTTCTGCATGAGCTTGATCGAGGATCGGTAACGGTTAAACTCGTAATCTTCCGCGTTGAAGTATTTCACCGTGTCCCAAGAGTGTAGAGAATCGTTTTTGACTGCTTCCATCTCTCTTTGAGCATTGACATAGTTTCGGCGCAGAGTGACTCGCCACGACGCAAGACGGATGGTGACGTAGATGTATAGAAATGTCACAATGGCGACAACCAATCCCAGGTACGCGTCAAATTTGATGGTGAGGTACACGACCGCGACCACCAGATCAAACACCATTGGACCGACTTGAAAAGTGACCATTTCGAGGAACGAGTTGATCGAACTTCCCTTGTTCAAAGCCGAAATCAACTCGCCAGTACGTTTTCCCGTGTGAAACTCCGCGCTCAGACCATGCACATGCTCGAAGGCAGCCGTTGAAATCGCGCGGTACGAGTACTGCTCGACGGGAATCCAGAGAATCGACCTGGCTGCACTGAGGATCCCTTGCGAGCCTTGAAGCCATCTGAACAAGATGTACAAAGCGATATCCAACCAAGGGGCCCGGACTCCACGGCCGTCATCACCGGAGAGGGCGTCTGTAATTTTGCCTACCATGACAGGAACAAAGACATTGATAACACGCTGGCTGATCATGATGAGAAAGCATGTACCCGCAAGAAGTTGTAGCTTGAAGGATTTTTTAGGCCAAAGATAAGGTATCAGCAAGAGGAAACCTCTCAGATATGCAAACCAGGTAATGTTTGGAACCTCAGTTGGTTTGGCCCAAGCGTCAACTTGCTCCTTGGGTTCTGATGATGGGGTGTTTCGGGGGTCTCCATGACGAGCATGGCCGTTTGGGCGTCCTCCGGCTTCAGTGTCTGCGCCGAGTAACGGTCTCCTCTCATCGTCGGTGGCTGAAGCCGACTCCTTGGGTCTACCCCAACTGAACTTAAGGGCGACGAAGAGGATTGTCAAGCCGAGGAGAAAAATGAGTCGTCCAAGATTGACAACGACTTCCAGCGTCTCCCATCCTGTAATCTTCTCCCTATACTTGCCTCCTTGCTGGTTGCCCACCCGAGGCTCATAATGGGGCACGGTGTATATTCGCAGACTAGCCGCGACGATGATCACCTCCAAAGGCACCGCGCAGAGCCACGTGACAAAGTGCGCGGAGTTTGGGGAGGGTTTCGTATCCAGGATAGAGATGAAGACAACAAGCCAGAGGAACGTTGAGGCTATAACATAGATCTAACGCCGTGAGTTACAGAACGAGATAATACTGAGTGAACTCAAACATACCACGGCATTCTTCCCGGGCCACCATTCGTCTTTTCGATTGAGCAAAGTCTCGAAAAGTAGGATCGCTGCATTGCCCAGAAAGGTCAAGATGACAATGACCTGACCGACCTTGAAAAGAGCCTTGACTGCAGGTGACAGATCTTTGACCGCCGCAGCTTCCTTGACTTGATTGGCGGACCTCCTTCGGATAGGGAGAGGTCGTCCGCCCGGACCTCGCATGGGGTGAATTTTGACCTTGCCGGCATCATCAGGCGCAGTCTTGATGCCGTGGTAGACAAATGCGACGACAAAGACGACGAGGAGTATGGCAGGGTAAATCGTTTTCGCCACATTCAAGACCCGCAGAGAGGCTTGAATTGCACCCAGATCTGGCTCCGCGGGCATGGTCACCCAATCCCTCACCAGCAACGGAGACGTTCGTGAAACAAAGCAAATCGAGAAAGCCGCCCAGGATTAAGGAATTGCAATATTAGGGTTCGCCCTCTGTCAGGTGAACAAGTACAGGTTTCGGTGGGCTCGTGAGATCCTCGCCGTCGCGTCCACCAAAGAGGGCCGGAGGAGTCCGCTTGTCTCTGTTGCCTCGGTCGAACGAAGAACACTTCTGAGAACCGGTGGGCGGCTTGAGAGACGGCGAATTGCTTTTCAGGAAAAAAAGAAACGGGTGTCAAAAGGTGTGAGCGAAGGACAAAAGGAACAATTACAACAACGAAAGAAAAGGGTGTTGAGGAGGGAGATTGAGCGATTGTCGTCGTTTGGCAAGTGATGCTTGCAGGTGTTAGAGAGAACGTGTGAAAAATGACGACGTAAGTTCGAGAGTTGGCCTGCTGGTGGCGATCGAGCCGGGGGAGCGATCTGGGAGGCGACAAAGCTGGGGCGGGGGGTTTGTGGTCTGGTGGTCTTGACTCTTGTGGTCTGGTGCAATAGCGGCAATAATGGTGTGGTGTGCAGTGCGCAGGTCGATGACTAGCGTGTCGTCCTTATTCCCTTCGGTGGCCGCTTGTAAGGGCCTAGAAGGTTTTCAACCCAGCTCGTGAGAGATCTGGCGCATCAAGGTTCACCTTTTGCTCAGCGAGCTGCGCCTGTCGCGTGACAAAGGGCAGTAGTGATTGGGCCGACGCGGTAGTCCGGTAATGGCCCGTGAGCTGAGTATGAAAGCCTGGAGTCCTTTTTTTTTTCTCCTGCTGAAGATGGGTCGAGACAAACGGCTCAGGTGGACGGGCGTTGGAGTCAATAGTAGCGGTGATGGTGGGGACTTGTCTTGCAGCCAAGGAGGCTCTAGGGACGGCAGTCTGGCGCTGCTGTCGTTGGTGGAGGAGCTCGAGGGGAAGGCGGAAGAGGGAAGTAGTGGGTGGCAGCTAAAATATGTCACTGGACCTGCGCAGGACGTCCCGATGCCTAGCGTCCAGGACGTGGTACGTCTCCCAAGGACACAGAAAGATTGCAAATGTCAGATGTCAGATTTCAAATGTGTGATGTTGAGAAGATGAGGGAAGAAAATAATCGGTCTGGTGAGACGAGAAAGCAAATAGAGGTCAACTTGGCCCAAGTCGACGACAAAGCAGAAGTGAAAAATAAAGAGGTGGATGTGAGAGCAGGCCAATTTGGATTGACGGGAAGACACAGAGTCACAGTTTGTACTGGTTGAATTGACAAATGGTGGTTGTTGTCTGGCAGAAGAGGAGAGAGAAAAGACTGCGGTCCCGAAGGACGATGCTGAGGCAAATATACAAATCCATGGCTAGTGATACAGGGAACTGAGAGCAAAGTGAGGGTGAGGTCCATGTTCTCGCTAGCCACGAGTAGTTCGATCGACTAGATAGCGGATGATGAAAGGGAAAGCTGAATTGGATTTGGGACGAGGTTGATTCAGACATCAATCAGTCTGTTGCTGGACATCCGAAGGGTGGAAATGTGCGTCGCGGGCCAGGAAATGCAAGGAATGGTGGATATGGAGTGGTGGATGGGGATGGAGATGGGCAATGAGGAAGAAATGAGAAGCCAGTGAAGCCAGAGAAGCCAAAATGTCACTCACCGCCAGCCAGGACGTCCAAGAATCTGCATCCGAAGTCGAACATCTAGTAGGTACAGTAGTCGCTGCCAACAGGCACATTAGCAGCCTCCCGCTGTGCGAATGGCGAGAGACCAGCGACGGGATCTTCATGCCCAAGTCCAGGCGACTCGTCCGGATGTCGAGGCCTCTGAAATCCGAACCTGGACAGGTATCAAGGTAGGTTCCATTCTGGCATGCCCCCTGGTCCATGATCATGCTGGATATGCACATGTACGGGTAGCTCTAGCTTTTAGCTTGTATACCAACACAATGGTTATAGGGAAAGGGGAAGCACTTGTCTTAACCGTATTGGAGGGGCGCCGTTCAGCGGCGGCGGGAGGTAGGGCAGCTAATCATTGCACCTATGCGGTGTCCCCATAGAGAATAAAGGGGAAACTCCGCGCCCCAGAAACCCATTTAGCCGGTGGCCTTCTGATCTAGGCAAGCCTGGAGATACCTACCTGGGAGAACTAACCAGCTATTCCCAGGAACCAAAGAATGCCTACGACCTAGGCACTAGGTACCTACCCAGTTGAGTACGAGGTACTTGGGGCGAAAACTTAGGCATCCGCCTACCTAGCAAAGTCGCTGGGCATCATGCAAGCCACGGTAATAGCCTACCTACCTAGGTAGTAACCGGCAGCAACACTGACTGCAGGCGTGCTTCCCCGAACACCCCAAGCGCCGCCGCCTAGCCCAGGCTTGCGCAAAGGGAGCCTTCCCGCTCAGCCAATTGAGGCTCTGCCATGGTCCGCTCCACTTCCAGCCTTGCAACCACTCGCTCCCGCCCCTCATGGCACCAGTTCTTACAATTTCCTCAATGCCTCTTGGTTGCCCTCGCTTTGGTCTTGTTTGCATCTGCATCTCCTCTGCCGTCGCTTTCTCATCCTGCATATCCAGCCTGCAGCTACCTTGCAGGACTACAGCTTTTCGCGCTCGTTATCCGCTCCAATGATGGCTGGACTCGACAGCCAGGAGCCTGGCCCATCCTTTGTCGTCAGCAGCCCCCTCGTCATCGATATTCGGGACATCCACGGATATCGTTGAGTCGACAGAAGAGCATGTCGAATCCTGTTTCCTCCGAGTCGCAAAATCTTCTTCCCCCTCCACCAGCGCCTCCATTACCGCCAGGTCGCCTGGGCCAATTGCAGAGAATCATTGCTCCCTGGGGCAAACATATTGGTTCCAAGTCGCATGGGGGCCCAGCGCAGGGCGACCGTGACGGCGGTCTGCGTCGAATCACTGGCATACACACGTACAGGCATGAGTGGCTGCTCTCTTGATGTTGTTGTCGTTGGCGACGCATTGACTGACTACAATCAGCAGCTCGCATTCCTCCCAGACGGCCACCCATCGAACAGGCATCCCCATTGCCGCCCTCGATATCAACAGACAAAAGACTCATGCTGTCTTGGCCGGGAAAGAGATCCTGAAAACAGTGCGTGTCCACGATGGCAAGGTCACAGAAGACCTGAATATTCGGGCGTCCATCAGCTCGTACGCTTCCGCCCACTCCTCTTCGCAGTTGGATAGCGCCGAGAAGCGGAGGGAATACCTTCCGGCAAGAGACGTCAAATGGTCGATAGGTCACTGGGACCACATTATTGCGACGGCAGCTACGAATGGTCGCATTGCCTTGTACGACTTGAATGCCCCAAGCCCAAAAACCGAGTTGGCATGGCTCCACGAACATACGGGACAGATCAACAAGTTGGACTTTGATCCTCATGCCGGCTATCTGTTGCTATCAGCCAGCCAAGACAAGTCGGTCCGACTATGGGACTTGCGACAACCTCAGCGTGACAGGTCTCGCATCAGGTTCGAGGTGCGTAGTGCAGTCCGAGATGTCCGTTGGTCCCCAGTCGAGCCGTTGGATTTCGCCATCTGCGCGGACGGAGGAGTCGTTCAGAAATGGGATGCTCGCGTGCCGAGTTTGCCCAAGCTGAGTATTAACGCACATGAGAAAGCCTGTTACTCTCTAGACTACCACCCTGACGGGCGTCATGTTATATCAGGTGGGTTCGATAAGTACATTAGAGTTTGGGATTTCCAGAGCGACAGAAAACGCCAGAAGCCCGTCTTTCAGCTCAAAGCGCCTCACGCCATTAGGAACATCAGGTGGAGGCCAGCCTGCAATGCCCCGGAATCCGGAGAGTCAACCTTTTGGCAAAGCACTCAGGTTGCCGTTTCATACTATCACGACGATCCTCGCCTACACATCTGGGACCTCCGGCGGCCGCTCTTGCCGTTTCGAGAGCTTGATAGGTACAGCATGCCTCCTAACGACCTCTTGTGGGCGGATAAGGATCTACTGTGGACGGTGGGTGATGAGGGCATTTTCACTCAGTGGGATATCAAGCATATGGTACCCTTCTATAACCAAATTGCTCCATGTGCCTCGACATTCCTCCCGGATGGGGAATACTACACATTTTCCGAGGAACGAGACGTCCAGCGAGTGTCCTTTCTGGAAAACGCGGCAGTAGGCTTCTTGAATGTGCCACCAGACAAATTAAGCAGCGGTGACGATGGCGCGGCTAGCCGAAGTCTGACAGATGATGAAGGAGGACTCGAATCGACAGTAGGGACAAGTTTTCGCCGACGCGAAGGTGTAAATGTCCCGTCGAGGCCTTCTAAATCTCACACCAACAGTCCATCGTCAACGGAGGATACACCGCCGGTCCTCCCTCTAGATGCGTCCGTCCTTAACCGCCAAGATTTGTTTAATAACAAACAGGTGGGTGCGACTGGTTATATTCCCGGCGTGGCAGCCGAGCCAGACGTGGTCGAATACTTGGCTTCACACTATGCAATTCCTGCGACTGCCGATGACAATAAGTTGTCTCCAGACACAATACTCAATCGTTTGCAAAAAGCCTTCCTCCAGAACGCGGCTGCGTGTGATGCGGTGTCCATGCATCGTATGGCTCAGTCTTGGCGGATTCTAGGAGCAGTGATTGTTCCAGAACTCAAGGATTGGGCGGACGCGAATCGTGCCAGCCGTCGAGCCGACGCTGCGAGGAGACGCGAGACGTTGGAGAGCTTTCGAGCAGGAGGGCACCGCCCTGGTCTTTCTCCGCTGGCTGGACTTCCAAATCGAGGCTTCAATCCGAAGCCAGATAGCAAAGGTCAGAAACTCATGAGCAGCCTGTTCAAAGGTGTCGCTGCAGGAGACCGCCCGCAACAAGTCTCTGAGATGGATAGCACGTCGAACATGACGACGCCGTTAGCCAAACCACTACCGAATTCACCTCCGCCGAGCTTAAAGAGACGACCTCTAGCAACAACCGAAGAAGGGCTGGACAATATTGCACCTCTACCTCCCTCAGTCCTGAGCTCACACTCGACTGCAGCGGCAGCTGCGCGAGCCTTGATCGGTTCTCCTAGCCAAGCCACGAGTTCAGATACTTCTTCTCCTGAGCTGCACAAGCCTGCTGAAGCATCCAAGAATCTGTCAACACAGACTGTCTCGCCAGTCTCACCGGTGAAGTGGCCACGAACCGAGCTCGTATCCGAACAGAAGCAGATGCAGGGCCAAAATCGGAGCCAGGAAGATCGCAGAGCAGCATTGCGCGATTATCGCATCCAAGCTCGACCTATATTCTCCTTGGCTGAGTCGACCAAAAATGTAGCCTCGCAAAGCAGGCACGATTCGGATGAGAGTTTCCCAATGTTTTCGGTGTCGACAGACAGTTCGCATCGGTCCAGGTCAATTGGACAGTCGTTTGACTCGCCTCGTCCAGGCGTTGCGACGTCTGAGACACACACGGTGAAGGAACCCGTTTCTAGCCTGGATGATGACTACGAAACGTCATATTCAGACGATCATGACGGCAGGAGGCTCAGTCCCAGCCGAGGAAGGACCATCATGTCGGACGAGCACGAAATTGATATGTCTGCTATCCAAACACCGCTGGAAATGAGCTTCGGGCTTGATAGGCAAGGACAGCCCTCCGAGTCATCTCCCAAAGACAAAGGCACGTGGCATCCGATTCGGCAACGTGAATCTGTGCCTGCCTCGCACTTGGACACGGCTGCGTCGTCGTCGCCCGATATTTTTCATTTCGAGGAGGGAGCCTCAATGACTAAGCCACGAATACATACGTCGAATCCTATCCGAGCTGAGGGGACGGATCAAGGCATTGGCGACGACAATCAACGCCAAGGAAATGAATTGCTGAACCGCCTCTCTATGGAAGAGTTAGACCATGAGACATACCTCTACCAGGATTTTCGGCCCATCGATTTGTCAAAATATGAGCCAAAACTGCCATTCGCATGGTCATCGCTTCCGCTCATATGCCAATGCATATCCTTTGACCTAGAGAACGGGATCGGCCAGGCGCAATTTGCGGCGCATCTTCTGATGCATGTTCACCCATACTTTTTCCATGCAAGCTTTCGCAGATTGAGGCGAGGAGAAGACGAGATTGCAGACAGCTTCGCTGATCGATTGATGACACCACAGCTTGGACACCGAATCATCGAGGGGATCTTCGAGAACCACCTTTCATTTTTGAGGCAGATGGGTCTGTTTGAATCCGCAGCACTGCTGAGAAAAATGTGTGTCGAATTTGATTACCCTGGAGTCTATCGGTCACCGTCGGACAGCAAGCAGCCTGGTGGTAGTCTTGGCAACGGAGATCTAGTGAGTCTGTCCATGGTTTGCAACAGCTGCCAAGGACCGATGACGGGAGAAAGGGGCACATGTGAACGGTGTCGGCAAGTTCGATCAGTTTGTCCGATTTGTCAATCGCTCAGAGATATGGTGGAGAAGCATGCAGGCCTGGATCTGGGAGCACCTTCGCAGCATTGGGGCTATAATCCCAACATGTGGATGTTCTGCCAGGCATGTGGACATTCAGGACATGTCCACTGTCTAATGGAGTGGTTCAGTCAGCCTTCCAGCGACGGGAGATGTCCGACGTCAGGCTGTGGTTGCGACTGTGGTCCAGGGCTGACACGAGAACAGCGCATGCAGCAGCAAGTCAAACGAGAGGATGAAGCCAAACTGATTCGGGGCCCGAATCCTGGGAATGGCACGGGCGGCTCAACAACCAAGCGAGATCTGTTGAGGGCGACACCTAGTCCTGCGGTCGATAAGGCACGAGTGGCACTCCGCAACAGTCTGGCTGGGGAGCGGGCCACTCAAAGCGGCGACGAACGGACTTTGCCCGGCAGAAGAGGCAGCAGTCGGGGGCGGTCATCAGCATTCAGCAATTCAAAGAAGAGCGTTCGACTAGTTACACCAGGTGAAGAGAGTGGACGATCTCAATCACGCACTCCAAATCGTCAGTGACGTTGGTGATGGTCGCTAGAGCAGGGAGGTTCTCACGAAAAGAGACTTTGAGAGAGGCAAGGCGCGTGATGCGTCGAGCGTCTTTGCCTCTCGCGCCACCAACTTTCTTGCTTGGCTCTGATCTATTCCCAAGCTGTCAGCTCAGCATCAAGCTGAAGCTGGCTGGTTGTTTTTTATTTTCTGTACCTAGAGGCAGCAGCAGCGGACCGCGGCCAACTCCTCCTCGCAGGGCAATGTATGTAAAGTCGGCCTAGAGGCACATGGAACGGCACAGTTCTCGTCAGCGGAGCCGTCACCAGACTGAATTGGGAAGGTATCGGTGGACGGAAGATGCGGAAGGTCTTCAGCTGTAGGTAGAGGAGGAACCACGAGCTGGCCTGCATTAGCTTGAAAAGTGAGCTCCGTATACTTTTGGGGGCAGCCTTTTTTTTTCTCCTCGACTAGGTATTCGGCTTATGCTGTACATACCAGTAAAAGACCCGTAGCCACGATGGGGCAATGAGCGGCGATACAATGACGCAGGAGACAGTTCAGTTGTTGACAGCATCGAACTCCATGATCGACTGACAGAGCCAAGAGAAAGGTGTAAGCGACAGCCGTTCTTGGTTAATTAGTCCAAGAGCTGGATTTGTTGAGACAGCGGAGTTGGACTAGCTACGGAGGTCGAGCCCTGGGTCGGATGTGAGGATGATGTCGGTGGTGTTGCTCAATCGTCGTAGTGGAGGGAGTTCGTGATGGTTAGTGACAAAGGTTGAAGGTGTGACAGCATGCGGGATTGTGTGGAGAGTCGGGCTTTTTTCCTTTTTGTCAAAGTCCGCTGCCTGCGGTGTGAGGCTCGTCCGTGTGACAACTCTGCAGCTTGTCAAACTCGGCAAGTCCTGCTCATCTGCAAAACCCTTACTCGATCTTGTGCTTCCGGCTGTGTAGATCTTTGTCCTACGGGTGCCTGACAATCTTCTGTGTGTGTTTGGAGTACGTGTCCCATTCCCTCCACCTTTCTAGGCGAGATTACAATCGACATCATCTACTCCATACTCCAGGCTTTGCAACGGTAGGGATGGACAAAGATCACTCTGGATGATGTATCAGGGCTCGCCGGTACCTGACCAGAGTGGGCAACGTACCTTGGAGCTCGCAAGACAGCTTTCGACTCCGCTGCGCAGACCCTCCAACGCCAAACAAGCCAGCCATCCTTCAAGTCCGCCAACCACATCGACGCAGAGACTTATCCAACCCCTCCACATCCGCCCACAGCTCTCTATTTCACACGATACACCCAATCACTGTACACGCCTTAGAGGCCTCTGCATTCAGCGGAGCTGCTATCGGGGCTGACGTGCGTCCTGACACGAGGACCGGCCTCCCCATGATTCGCTCAGCTACAGGTACAACCAAGCTTTTTACAGCACATGAAGCCAAGGTGCAAGAGTCGGTCGAAGAGTGGCCCGGTGGGCACCGTGGGCACCGTGGGCACCGTGGGCGTTGTTGCCAGGGTCGAATATGGGTCACGGCGAGCAGAAAAAGAGGCGGGGTTGGCCAATGACACGACCAACACCAAGAACCTTGTATCCGAGGATAGTAACAAGTTGCTGAGCCGCGGGCTGGGCTAGCTGGGCTGGGGCTCGAACAGGCTTAGAGATCTCCTCTGGAAGTCTCTGCGCCTCCGCCATCAGCAGCCCTCTCGCCTAAATCTGCTTGCCCTCATCGGAAAAATCCTTCAGGTGCTTTGGCATCTTCTCCTCATCTGGTATAACGCTCGCTCAAGCTGACAGTTTGCGATACCCAATTGGACGCTCACATCAGACCGATGCCACCGTCTGTTCCTGCATCTGGCCTAAGGCGGTTCCCGAAGGTCGCCGGAGACTCGTTGTTGAAGCCCACCCGGGCGCAGGATGACTGACCAGGATCAAGCCAGGGCAAGGGCCTGGACAAACCTAAACTTGCCCTGGACGAAGCAACCGTTCCAAGCTGCCAACGAGGGACGAAGGAATCCAGCCAGTCAAGTGGGCGGAGCGACAACGCTTAGCGCACCTGCCACTGCTATTCCTATCCCAATGCCAATGCCACATGATGGAAGCCCCAAAAAAATCGAGGGCAGGCAAGGCAGCCAGCCTACTGAACGGAGTGCAGCTTCCCTGCTGCGCTGTTGCATTAAAAGGAACTGGTCTCCCGCTCTGAGAGGTGAAATCTTTCTCCCTCAGATCATCAGTTCAGCTCTCCTCCAGAAGAATCACTCTCATTTTTACCAACCAAACACAGGCCACTCGTTGTCCTAAAAGCTATATAATACTATCACTCAAGTCACACCAACACCCACATTAATCCAACAACAACCTACACCAGTCTTTCTTTTCCCAACACATCAATCCAACCACCATGCGTTTCTCCAGCATCATCGCTCCAGTCAGCTTGGCCGCTGTGGCCTCTGCCGCCCCTGCCCTCAGTGCCCGTGGCGATGGAGGCTCATGCATTCCCTACAACATCGCCATCGACATTGAAACCCAATGGATCTCCACCCTGACCAACTTTGATGTCAACGTGGCAACGAACCTGCTCGCCCCTGAGCTTGTCGACACCTCCGACTCGATCAACTACATCGCCGGCATCCCTCTGGGCGGCCCTACCTTCCCCAGCGCCCAGGCATACATTGCCGGCCAAGGTGCTCAGCCACCCATCGGCTTCACTATCCTTGGCACCGATGTTGTGACTTGCGATGGTTATATTGTTCTCCGATGGGTGGGCGCCGTTGGACAACAGATCTATCCCTCTCAAGGTATCACGATCTTGAAGGCTGTGCAAAAGGGTTCCGATGCTACCGTCGGTCCCACCGGCTGGCAACTCGCCGAGATTCACACCGAGTTCAACTCCGCTGCCTGGGTTGCCGACATTGGCGGCACTTGCCCTCCTCCCTCTGGCACTGCTCGCCTGTTGAGAAACTAAGTGGTTCTTGGTGGAAGGGGGAGAGGTGCCGAGACGGGAGATAGAAGTGAACGACAGGAATGAGGAATGCATCCAATGCCCGAAAAGCATCATGTCGCATTAGCAGCCCTTGGTTATTGTTTGAACTGGAGAAAATAGGTAATGGAAATCAACAGCCCGCTACCCAGGGCCTTTTGTCTTTTATCCGTACATACACTGTTGCCAGCATTTAGCGTGTCGTTTTTTCACAATAGAACATGGGTATGGAGATCCCCACAAGGAATACTAATGAATTGATCACCTATGAACTGATCAGTGTTGCCACAAGCGATTCGTACTCTTGACCGCATGAATCTAATGGGGTGTTCATGGCCATGTATACAGGCATGAGGGTGTGTGTGTCGCTCTAAGTAACCGCTACAAAATGCATCCTTCCAGGACGAGAAAATAAACTTATCTCCCCCATCAGAAGCTGCCCAGATCCCCCGCAATCTCTCTGGCTGCCTGACCTCTATCAGTCTGGAGAACGGAGAATGCATGATGGGAGATTGATGATGATGATATGATATGATTATGATTGATTGATTGATTGATTGATTGAATTGATCGATCGATCAATTGTCGAGCATGCTCAGGTTCAGGCCGTCCATCATCTTTCGCATCGCTTCCGAAGAGGAGAGAAAAACGTCACCCGACCGCGCAATCTACCCTGCTCTTGTCTCCCTGCCTTGTTCTTTTCCTTGCTTTTCTTTCGACCATTGGCCTCCCCAGACAGCTCCCTAGCGACGCTATGGATACCTCCGCGTTCGTCCCGGGGGTGGTGAGGTCCAGGTAACATGTCTGTGGCTTGGGTGGGTGGGTGGGTGGCTGTTCGAGAGCTGGGCTCGGGCAGGGCTGGGCCTGAGAAACGTCCTCCTCCCTTTCCATCTCCGTCTCCACCTCAACCACCACCACTGGTGTCTCCATTTTCCCCTCGACACGCCACGAGCCATGAACCATGGGCCACGAGGCGAGATACAACGTGCGAAAGGGCGGGGAGCAGGGATTAGAAAAAGGCAGGCAGGTAGGCAGGTGGGCAGGAGGTTGGTGAACCGCGGGATAGAGTTCACAGGTACCTCGTACACAAACAGCTACGATGGCCATCCGTGCAAGACGCAGGCACAGAGCCCAACGCAAGACCAAGGAACAAACAACCTCCCTTTTCGCCTGTCGAGAACACGGAATAATGACCTTGACGACTCATCCACGGCAGACTCAAAAGATACAAGCATCAACGCCTGGCTGCGGCATTTCGGTTCATCGATTCTGGTATATCAATCTAGCTCGCACTCTCTCGATTGCATCCAACGCCCGCCGTGACCAGAACAAACTCATCGCTCGTCAGAATCCCTCTTGTCAAACGCCTTCGCATGTGCCTCTGCATGGTAGAATATGCTGGCTTGTCCTTCACAGTGCTTTCCCAGCCAACGCCAGATGCTAGTGAAAATAAAAATTCCTTCTTCCTCTAGGCTCACATCACTAGTGCTTCATACCACACCCGCAATCGGCGATGCCCTCGGCTTCGCGTTTCCTATACTTAAAATCCCCGTGGTATGCATCTAGTGCTACCAAGCTCCCGTCCTGGCTGACCGGCAGACCGGGAGGACCCATCCACTCTCCCCAGTCCTCCTCCACATCTGCACCCAGAGACGAAGTCTTGACCTTCTTGCTCTTCAACTCTGCTGTAATGACTCCAAGATCTAGGTCCAGATACTCGGCGATAAACTCACCCACTTCGATATTCTCATGATTGCCCACCAACCCCGGTGCGTGACTCGGATGTGAGGCGTAGATGTTCACGTCCGCCGCCGAATGGCCATGTGTAGACCATCCAATCTGTGCGCGGCGAGATATTATGTCGGAGAAGTGGTATAAAGGAGGCCAAATCGGGGTGGCGTCAATGATAGCGTCGATCTCTTCCTGACTGAGGTCTGATATGCCCAGGTCAGCGGTGACGAGATCGCGGAGTTTGGACCCTTTGTCCGTGCGTGAAGCATCGGCACTGGAGGAGAGGTACTCGTTCCACTTGCGCGCGAGGTATTCAGTTGAGTGGGTCGCATTGGCAAGAACTTCAGGGAACCACAGGTACGCCGGATACGTGTCGTGTAATTGGCGGGCTGCGGCGAGACCACCAGTCTCATGGTCGGATGTGGATACAAGGATGCCCTCCGTCTCGTCGTCTTCGAGGAAATCTAGTACGGCGCCGAAGGATTCGTCGTGCGCCATAACCTCGCGCACTTGGGCGCCTGGGTCGTTGAAATGTCCCGCATGGTCGATCCTCGAGCCCTCGATCATGAGGAAAAACCCCTTATCAGAGTCCTTTGTCGCTGCCGACAGGGCTTTGAGTGCGACTCTAGCCATCTCGACTTGACTGGGATAGATGTCGGAGACATGCACTCTGTCGATCTCATATGGGACGTCTTGGTCTGCAATCAAGGCAAGCAACGGCAACTGGACATCCCCGGCGCTCAGAGTCTCAAGGTCTTTCTTGTTGTCAACGTAGGTAAAGCCGAATTTGTCCTTGGCCATGGCCACAATGTCCTTGCCATCGGCTCGGCACGAACCCCCAGTTGTGTTGGGCAGGAAGTGACATCTTCCGCCGCCAATCATCAGATCCACAACGCGCCCGAGAGGATAGTGGCCTATCATTTGTTCTGCGATAAGGTCCTCATATTCTCTTCGATTCGCATGGGCGGCAAAGCAGGCTGGAGTGGCATCTGTGATCCTTGTAGTCACGACCAGGCCGGTCATATAACCCGCTCTTTTGGCAGCTTCCAGGACTGTTCCGCATGCAGTGTGATCTGGTAGGACCGCAATGGCGCCATTGTAACTCTTGAGTCCACATGAGAAGGCAGTGGCGCCGGCAGCCGAGTCGGTGACCAGACTGCTGGTGCTCCGAGTCCTCGAGGAGCCAACGTGATGTCTGTCAAGAACCAGGACATCGTCGATAGGCAGCCCGGTTGTATATTGTCTGAAGCTCCGTGTCATTGACAGCGAAGTTGGACCCATGCCGTCCGAGACCATAAAAATCATATTCCTCTTGCCAGATGGTCTTCCATCCGGGCCCCATCCTCCCGTCCTAGGCCGCGCCCGTGCGACTGTGGATTCATGCTGATATACAACACCTAGAATGATAACGGTGACAGTTGCAAGCAGAGCCCAGACGAAGAGACCGATTTCCCTCCATTTTCGATTTCGTTTAGCATGGGACCGATCGGTTGGTTGACCCGTGAGGAGGGCGTCTTCCTCTTCGATACCGTGAGTAGACGAGTTCGGCGAGGCGGGCCGGGCGAGTAGAGGCTCCTCTCGCGTCATGGCGACGGAACGCTGTCGGTCTTATATGCAGATTCAATACTGCGAAGTCAAGACTCAAGCAGCCATGGAATACTTAAATGCGATGAGTTGTCCCTCTGCGCGGATGACAATGACTGCATCGAGTCAAGTGCAAGCATCACAAGGACGATTTTGCAGGCGCGAGGGATGAAACCGATTGCGGCTTAGTGAGATATCACGTGCGCGATAACCCAGGCCATGTGGGCTGCGCTCTTCTTCCCTTTTGCCAAATTCACATTCGAAGTGAGAGTCACAATCATATCTTCGGAACCGATCAAGGACATCGCATTTGGCACATGCTGTACGGCATAGGGCTCTACCAAGAGTATTGCCTCTCAGTGTTTTGGTAGCTACAACTGTCCCGCCAGTCTTATTCCTATGGGGCGATGGGCGAGGATGATGGCCGCCCTCGACAAGCAGGGCGACTCGTCCAACACCATGCAGCTTGTGTTGGCAACATGGCACATTCCAAATGCCATGGAACGCCTCCCACTAGTGGCTCGCTGATTAAGTTCGAGAAGTTACAAGAGACTCACATCTTGAAGCGGGGAAGGATTTTGCGACGAGGCGTGGTCGATGCCTCTGACATGATTTACCCGCACACGCATCCAAATTCCTCATAGGGGTCTAGACCATCTAACCGCCAGACCTCAGCCTGATGGGCAGATAGCATGGCTGAAACGAAGGTGGAGGTGGCCAGCTCGAAATACGAGCGCAATGACGCTCTCGGAGGCCGTTATTCGATCATGGTAAAAGCACACACCCATTCAGAAACAGCCACAATGTGACATGGATGAAGGGGTCAACTATTCTGCGGCTTTCAATGGAAGGATCAATAACAAAGCCGGAGCAAGCATGTTCAAATCGGGACCAAACAAATAAAAGAGCAATCCTATGTCCGCAAGAGGCGTCGGGATTCTTCCTCACTGACAGCCTGATCCTCCCTTGGCGGGTATTGCGCCATAAAAAGGGATGCCCACGTAATTGAGGGATCGCAGCTAAAGCGGGCGAAGGGCTTCCTTTCAATTTATTGCCATCTCACCCATAACTCTTCCGATTCTTTCTTGCGAGGTCCTTTACATTCTCCCAGACTTCGACCTCGAGGATTTTTCGGTGCTGCGTCTCGAAGAACGTTCAGTTGCCGCGTGTGCGGGACGAAAGTTTATCAGCCTTACCGAGGGCGATAAGGCTGCGCACTTCTTGAAGGCTGAACGGCCACCAGCATTCGTCTCACTCACTATTACTCGTCCTGGGACCGTCCTGAAGGAGATGCATCTTTTTCGAATTTGGCATTACAAGAGATAACCGTATCAGCTCCAGACCTGTGCGCAAAGAAAGCATTTCGGTCCCAGCCTTGAACTCCAAGAGTTCTTCTATATGCCACCAATCTGGGAATATTTAATCATCCGCAACGACCAAGAATAGTCGTTGGCAACCGTTGTCAAAGCACGCCAATCATTCCGCCGTTTTGTTCCCTTCCTCATGACGCCCAGTAACCCGAGCCCAAAGCGTCTACCATCTTCAAATGGGCTGAACCATCTGAGCACCCTTTCATTCGACTGCCAGGACATATCTTTGCCCCAACATGGGTGATGGCAACAACATCGTCGCATATGAATACATGAAATCTCCAGCCACAAACATCAACCCTTAGATCATTTGGGCGTATCTCGCAGCTGCGAAGGCGGCAGCACCAGCAGACACGAAGAGACCGGCCCACACCATCATGCCCCGCTGGGCGCTCTTCTTCATGAAGCCCTCCATGGCCTGAGCATCATTCAGCTTGGGGAACGGGACATCCTTGGGCACGGGAACCCCCAGAATGGCGCACAGGGGCTCCCAGCCATCACGGACGTCATAGAAGAACAGCTTCTCCTTGGGGACGACCTTCTTGAGATGTTCGATGTGTCGATCCCACATGGCCCTGGTCGGTCGCTTGGGCTCGCCGGGGCGGAAGTATAGCTCACCGACACGTCCGTCGTCGAGGGCGTCGTGGTATGTTCGGAACCAGCGCAAGGTCGGTAGAGGGGCCAAAATCCAGGACAAGACGGTCAAGTTACCCTTCTCCACGATCGGGGCTAAGCTGTTCCACCATTTGTCGGGATCACGCACGGTGCAGATGACTTTGGCGTCGGGGTAGATCTCCATGAGCTCTTCGACGAAGGCGTTGGAGGGCAGATCGGTACAGGCAACATATCCATCCAGCATCTCCTTGACACCCTCGTTCAAGGCTTTTCGGTCGGCTTCATTCTTCACGGGGGTATGTTTAATGATTTCGATCCAACGCTTGATGTGAGCCTCGGGGGAGTTCAGCATCTGGGTGCCGCCGTGGTAACAGGGGCCATCGAGGAGGTATGAACAGGCTGCTCCGAATGATGTGGTTCCTGTTCTGGAGAGACCGGCGCCGATGACTTTGAGGGACTTGCCGCTCTCGGGTTGCGATGCTGTCTGACCCATTTCGTATGTCGAGAATGTTCAGGTAGGCAAAGTCGATGCTGTGGGAGGAGAAGGCTGACACGGGACTATGCAACAGAGGGCAGGGTCACTGATATGAGTTTGACAGGTTGAGGCAGTCCAAAACACAACCAAGTGGGCAGACAGGCGAGAGAAGGAGAAAGAGAATGGGTTGATGAAGTCGGTCCACGAGGGGCTGGAGCGAAACTTATCTTTCTTTTTTCGACGCGCGAACCCACGGAGCATGGTGGCCCCCCGTCAATGAGCTATCACAGCCATGTTCAAGGAGGACCAGCACGCTGGACCAGGGCCGCGATGGGAGTTGCAACAACCCTAAGGAGAAACTACGAGATTTCCTGTGTCGCGCAGATCCACTTTTGAACGTGCTCGGCCCCAACCAAGGCGACTATACTGTGTTAGACCGGCTTTGGATCGCTTGACCAGGACCAACTCAGAACATGGGTCGCCAACCACCGCCCGAGAGGGTCCTTCAATTTTGAGACGTCGATGCTGACGCCGGACGGCTGATCTGACGACCACCTCAATGAGGAACTTTGAGGATTTGAGGACAGCGCCCGGACACCGCAAAGGGAACCAACACGAGGGACAAAGTTTAATCAATCTCTAGTGCGACGATCAGATTAGAGATTGCCTGCGGAAACGCGCACCGCGATCAGCTCATCAGCTCAGCCTCGGGATCGCGCTCGTCCCCCTCTATACGTCGTGCTCCTTGTGTATTTCTTTACGAGGCCAAACGTCCCATGGCTCTGCACTGGCCAGCTGTCCCAGCCCCATACGGTGTACCAGGACAAACATATTCCCCCTCCTGTCTGACATGCAAAATCCCCCGAGCGATTTCTAGACGCACGGACGGCGCAGTGATGAAACAGGAACGAATGGCGGTGGCGAACAGCTCAAAGGGAGTGGAGGTCCATCGAGGAACAGGTTGGAGAGGCTAGGCGAATACACTGGTTAGGAACAAATGAGAAGCCAATGATCAGACGCGACCAGGGCATACAACCACCGACATCCGAAAGCAACCGCTGTGGAAAAAAAGGGGGCATCAAAGTTGAGCGATGCGATGCTAATCACAATCAGTCTGGCGATAATCTTCCTAGCGAACCCTTTTTGCCTGGGGGAGAAGCAATAAGAGGCTGGTGGAGTTTGGGCGACGGTTGGCTGCTGCTTGGCGTCCTGCCTAACGGCGCTGCGCGAATTCGACCCTGCAACAGACCAAGAAAACCACCCACAAAGACCAAGTACCCCGTGTCATTCAGTCGACCTGGTGAGCTCTCCCTAGGCCCCCCGGATGACCCCTAACGTTCATTGTCAGTATACGCCCAACTAGCCCCATTCTAGAGCAACTCGACGAACAAGAGACGAGGCGCAGGGAGCGGATGTCGGTCGACAAGAATCGTTAATCTCGACGCGCTGCCGACTCGCGGTCCTTGCACACCTGTACGCCTACAAGCCACAAATCCCCAAGTTACATCACGATCGGCATCCTCCATTCCGGAGCTCGGACTGGCTCCTCCCTACTGATGCCTCTAACTTTCGCTCGTCTTGGCCCGCATATTGGCCGAGACCAAAACCCTTCCTCGACATAGGCTCCTTCGTACTGGGCCAAGGCGAAGCACAAGACATACTGTTGGGGGTCACCTGGCCTGCCCGTTGTACCACGCCTTGACTGGCTCTTTTGCCACGTCGAGATGTCAAGATGCTGATTCAGGAGGATCACACGGCAGACTCTTGGGTCGAAAGAAGCAAAACCCCATTCTGAATCCCCTGCAAGTGGCTGATGGCCTATGATGCAGTCCAGACTCAGCGCATAACTGCTCTGGGTAGTGCTTATCCTGGCGAACTCCAGAACCGAATCAGCGGTCACTGATATGTTACCCAATTCGACCCAGAGTGGACAAGGCGCGTCCAATATTCATGTATCCGAACAGCCACATCCGCCCTTTTTGCTGGGTTTCCACGCGAAAAGTGCCCTGCTTTAGCAAGTCGAGATAGGAATCGGCTCCGGGCGCGACAAACTTGTCCCACCCGACAATATCGGCTCTCCTGGATGGATTATACCGCTAGCCACGTCCAGGAAAACAGGATTTCTCCAGGAAATTGTGACACGCTCCAGAAAGTCAAGACATTCAGCGCGGAGTCTTGGCCAATGCTTGGAAACGGCTGAGGGTGCCATGTGGCTTAGGAGACCTTACTACCTAGCCCTCATCATCAGCTGCGGACGACGAGGTTGCAGAGAGGGCTGAATGCAGCATATCTTGCGAGAGCACCAGATATATGCTGACCATCCCTGTTGACACCAGTCTACGGCGATGGATGCTACGGAATTCCTTGCGGCAGTTCACAAGAAAGTCCGTCTTCTCAAAGTATACGGGTTAGAAATCCGTACAGTTTCGAGACATTACAACATGTACTCCGTACCACGTACCCCGTACGAGTGAGAATATGGAGTCTGATAGGGCATTCAGTCTCATCTTTGGACTGCCGACAACCGATCTTTACCCAGCCACCGATTGCCTTAGATACCGATCTACGATTGGAAAGAGACTAACTCCAGCTGGCACCACCACCACTGCTATCAGCCTCCCTGCATGGCACAGACTAGAGTCATGCATGCTAATCGTGGACAGCGAGGCTCCTTAGATGCAGGAAATTGTCACACCAGTCTTTACGCCTTCGAATCCCATTAATCTTATTGCCGCTGAGACACGTACAGAGCACGATGTCCTGTTTCTCTGCGAGGAAGCTCGGGATTTTTGCAGGCGCCAACTGCGAACAACCTTGTTCTCCCCCTGAAACATGGTGTGGACGAGGCTATCAGCTGCCCGCTTCTCTTGGCATTGCGGCCCGGACAGATCATCGCTGGAATAGATAGGAACCAGCTATCAAGATTTCTTGAAGACTCTGGTAAGTCCACGATCCACCTCCGGCGCCCTACGGACAACCTCCTGGCTAGAAGTGTCCGTAGTGCATGTTTTTGAGTCAACTTGTCGCTGCTTTGATTCCTCTATCTTGCAGGCAGAGTGTTACATTACGACCACTCCATAGCCGGATGTCGGAGATTGCGCCCGAGACCGAACACTATGGGGAAGTGGCACTACATACTGCACTTGGCTGCTGCGTTCGAGGTATGTAATAGTTGTCAAAGCACAGCACGCAGAGTGCCCGAGGAATGCTCTCGTATCTCTGAACTCTCCACAGCCACAGTCCACAGCGTGGTGATTGAGAAAAGCGCCAACAAACGAGACCACGAGGTCTAGACCAACGCTGCTACACGGCTCGACGGGTATGCAGGGGTGTCGACTCTATTCCTGGCTCGTAGAGAAGACCAGAGAAGGCGATCTGCGAGAATGCTGAACACTGAGCTAGAGAGGCTAAGACCATTGGCCGCTGCCAGCACCCTGCGCTGGATGCTGAAACGGGCTTGCAGGTGTGAGTCAAGGCTAACACCAATAATACAAAGCGACCTCCTGCATACCAATGCTCCTTTGGACGCTGCCAATCGCCACCGTCATCTCGCACCCAAAGTACTGCAGGCAAAGCAGTCCGGGACATCCTCGTCCAAAATCGGTCCTCACATAGGAGGAGAGAACACCAAATATCGCGAGATTTGAAGTCGCTGAAAAGGGAACGACTCTGCTGTTCGACCCGATGGCTGGATCTTTCCTCGTATTGAGTGGGCTTTAGTCCAGAAGCCCGTCAAGCGAGGTGGTCTCCTATTATTCTTTCTTGCACTTCTGTCAGGGATTTGGACTACGCTCTTCCCTGTCCTGAAGGATTTCAAAGCATTACTAGTCTATTTGCCACGCTTTATGCGAGCACGACTATTCACGCCCCCTTTTCCCAAGGTCAAGAACGGCCAACGATGGCTGGCGGAAATGTTCCCCCGTCGGTTCGGTCGAAGTGTGTGGGATTTTCTCCTTCTGCATCCCCCTTACGTTTGCTTATAGTACTGGGTGAAGTCGTGTTCGATGCTGGAATATTTCTAAGGATTTTAATCAGTCTCCTGTGTTTGAACATGTCGGTAATGACTAAACTTACCAGCAGAAATGCCCTCGTCGCTCCATCGTCACCTTCCAAACCCTTGAGCAGTTGCAAAAACTTGTCGGTTTCCGCAACCGTGTTGGGATCGGAGTGCATGATCCTGTTCAGGTTCTTCATTGATCTTGCGTCCACATATTTCAGGAACTTCTCGCGGCGGATGTCGGCGTACAGGTCAAGGATGCTCTCGTCCGCCTTCCCTTCGTACAGGCCGATCAGGCAGTCGGCTAGGGCACCAACGTCCAGAACTGCGGTCATACAACCATAACCACCGAACGGGTTACACACATGGGCAGCGTCGGCAGCGAGGATGATTCGTCCCACCCTCATCTTCTCGACGCAGCGATTGTGGATCCGAAACTGGTCGGTCTGCGTGATTTTGTATTCGGCAGGGTCGGGGTGGCCTGGCAGCAACTTTTTAAAGGCGGTGTTCCGCCGTTCCAGGTACGCCTCATCGGAAAGACCGACTGCGCTGTCACCGTAGGTGACACGCCAGAGGCCGCCTTTACCTCGTTTTGCGATCAGGCCCCAGAAGTCCGAGTCGACCATATAATTGCCTCCGTCCCAGCCATGTTTCTCGAAGCCGTCGTACCAAACCTGTCGCTCTGGTCAGTCTCTGGCCTATGTATAATGCAAAAGGAGGAGGCCTTGGAAGAACGGACATTTTGAACCATCAAGCGGAAGTCAAACGTCTGGCCAGGCCATTCTCTGCCAAACAGAGATTTCCTCACTGTGCTGGTGGCTCCGTCACACCCAATAACATAATCGGCGGTGAATCTCTTCTTCTCCTTAACCTCTCCCTCTGCTCCAGCTTCGACATCAACCCAGGCACATTTGTCGTCCTGACCTGTTCCAACGACCTTGTGATTAAACTTGACTTCGACCAGCCCATTGGTCTTCTCCATGCAGTGTCGATACATGATCCGAATGATCTGGTTGAGAGGTAGGATTGTCATGCGGTCGGGATGGTCTTTGACTACGGAGAGGTCAATCCCCGTCAGCCTTTGGTGATCGCTAACTCGACGCCAGGAAATGCTGGGAAAGCTGGTAATGCTTTCATCACGAATGTCGTCGAGGATGCCTGCTCGACGGAATATCCTGGTCGCAGGGACTCCATATTGCGTCGCCCGAAGTCGCTCGTCGAGTCGGTCCCATGATTCCAGCACGAGGGAGGGGATGTTATGCTGCGCGAGCATAAGAGCGAGGAGTAGCCCGGCCGGACCGGCTCCCACGATCACAACCTACATGTTCTCTGGTCAGTTTTGTGTATGTTTGAACAAACATCCTGCGCTCAGGTGGGTAATTGCAGTTGAGCAGGACTGCTGCGAAGCGGTCTTACCTTTTCGAACGGTCTCTTTGTTTCAATTGACCCCATTGTAGGTCTTCCGGTTACCAAGCCCTGCGGTTTCGATGCGCCAGAGACTGACATGTTCCAGCGACCTCCCCTTGACTATATATTTATAACAGAGAAGTGTTTGCTTATGCAACAGACAACGGCTGACCAGGCGTCCGAATGTTGGCAGACAGTGACGCGGAACATTCCGGGCTTACTGCTCTTGCAACTTCGGTTGTCTCTACTGTGAAGCCGGTAGATGTCAACACGAGCCTCGTGAAGAAGAGAAAAAGGTTCAAAGAGAGATCTTGGTTTCGGTAGTTGGAAGTCAGCTGGAAGAAGACATCGGCACGCGTGGATGTTCGTGTCTTTCGGGCTGAATTCCGTCATGGACTCAATAAGAGAGCAAGTGTGAGGGTGTCTGTATCTGGCCCTTGTGGTCAGATGGTTATTCTAACGGGCCGACACGCATTCGATCCGATTGCAAAAGACAGTAGAGGTGGTGATGGCCTCGTCCTTCTCTTGTCTCTTTCGTGATGACTTGCATTGAACCCACTACTGCTTAGGGTATGGATGTGGTGTCTATGGCGATACGAGGTTGACACGTGAGCTGCGGGAGCAGGCGAGGAGGCTTCGAGGGTGCGTTCTCCCCCCGCATTGGGTTTGATGGCGTTGGTTCATTTGAGCCCCTTTGTTTGCGGGTGGTGCCGATCAGGCAACTGGTTGAGGTGGTCCTCTGCAATTCCAAGCACATACCACGGACATTGAAAGGGGCAAACTGGGACAAGACGACATCCCTTGATGCTTGATGTTGGCTTTGATCAACGTACATCGACATAATATCTAATGGTCGCTGTGTTGTGCAGACGATCACACATGTGGCGAGTCACAGCCACAACACCCCGCCAATCACCAGGGGCGCAGCCACCATCTCTTAACCGATCTTAAGTTAACGAGTAACTAGTTCCACCCAAGCCCGCCAGAAGGTGCCTGGAGCCCTGGACACGCCCCGGGCACCCACAGTCTCTCCCTGGTCATGTTTCACGCGCCGCGTCACGCAATGGAACCCCTGGTGCGCTCCGGACCACTCAGGGCGTCCATGGGCCTGGATCTCGGGGCCTAGGGAGCCTCTGGTACTCGCCCAGGGCCACTCACAGGCCACTCAACAGGCACTGAGTGGTGAACCACCTGCGTCAATCCAAGCATAGTAACACCAAAAACATTTGCTTGAGGTAAGTCGCTCTATTTTTTTGTGCCTCGCCTGCGCCAATGCCACATCCTGCTCGCCTGCGCTGCTCCGTATCACTCGCCTCCCTCCCCCTTCGACGCTCTGCATCCTGGTCCTTCTCTTCGCACTCCGACATCATCATCATCCGTTGTAATACCTCTCTTCTTTACACTCTTCTTTATCTAGAGCAACCATCACTCTCGCTAACTTCGTTCGTTGCCTTCTGCACCCACGCATCCCAACAGGTCATCTGGTGGTGGTGCTGCTGCTCGTTGTTGGCCCTTCTTTGTTCGATTCCCACCCCCAATTTCCCACCGCGGATTCCATCTCTCTCGCTCAGCGACATCTGACGAATCTTCTCGACCTCGTTCTTTGTACGACCAGAGCACCCCCCGCCTGTTGTGATACTCTATTTGCGAGGGTCGAATCTCTTTGTACTGCACTCGGGGCATTCTTCGTATATCTGTGCATGGTACCGTCGCCCTTTCATTGACGACTGCATACGCATCCGACCGACCTTAAACCGAGAAAAATAAAACAAAACGCAATGGCGGGCCGAGTCTTGCATTCTCTCGTCTTCGTTGCCGCCGCGTTGGCGCCCGCGATCTCTGCCCAGACGACCTGTGGCGGTGGTGTTCTATGTCCTTCAGATACCCCATGCTGTTCACGTATGTTTGTTAACCCGCCGGACGCCCTGTGGCGAAAGAGATGAAGACACTGACAATCCATGGGACAACAGAATATGGTCAATGTGGTGTTGGCGCCTACTGTCTAGGCGGATGTGATCCCGTCAACTCGTTCAGCCTCGATTCCTGCGTTCCCGCGCCTGTTTGTCAATCTCAAACCTATGATTTTAATAACCTCAACCGTGTCATGGCCAACACCAAGTACCTGGGAGATGCTACTCAGGCCGACTGGGTCTCTTCCGGCAGTCCCTTGGAATACAACAACTCGGTGCTCCTGACCATGGCCGAAGGAACAGTGGGGACACTGCTGGCCAGCACGCGCTCTGTGTGGTATGGCAAGGTCAGCGCTAGATTTGCCACGTCTGCCGGTGCTGGTGTCGTCACTGCCTTCATTCTGCTCGGCAATTCCAAGGACGAAATTGATTTCGAGTTCGTGGGCACGCAATTGACAAGTGCTCAAACAAACTTCTACTCTCAGGGTGTACCAGTCTGTAAGTAAAGGTCTCAAGATTCGGGAACAAAGAAATAGAATGCTAATTGGAATTCTAGATACCAACGGCGGCAATACTACCGGCCTTGAGGACGTTCATGCAAATTTCCATGACTACGAAATCGACTGGCAGCCTGATAGCATTACTTGGTCAATTGATGGCAACGCAGTTCGTACACTGAACCGCGAAGACACCTGGAACGAGACCGCAAATCGATACTACTATCCTCAAACCCCGTGCCAAGTGCAGCTGTCATTGTGGCCCGGTGGTCTCCCGTCGAACGGTGAAGGTACCATTGAATGGGCAGGTGGTCTTGTGCAATGGGATTCACCATACATGACCAACGGATACTACTACGCCCAGTTCGACTCGGTTTCGGTGCAGTGCTATGATCCGCCCTCTGGCGCAAACGTCCAAGGCAGCAAGTCTTACATCTTCACTGACCCGGCCATGACCAACAACACCGTCGAAGTTACCAACGACAATACCGTGCTGAAATCATTCCTTGGTACCGGCACCAACATGTCGGCCGGCAGCAACACCGCCAGCTCAAGCGGCTCGTCCAAAACAAGTGAACCAGCCACTGTTCCCGGTCTTTCGGGTGTTGGCACTGGCACCAACGGCGGCCGTGGCGACAACACCACGGACAACAGTGGAAGCGGAAGCAGTGGTGATTCTGGATCAGGAAGTAACAGTGCCAGCGCCACAGGAGCTGCATCGACGGGATTCGTGCAGGGTGATGGCGGTGACTCTTCCAACGGTGCTGGCCAGATTGGCGGCAAGAGCGAAACGGTCCTCAAGGGAAGTCTGTTTGCTGTTGTCGTTGCTGTTGTCGGGTTGTGCATGGTGTAATCTTGCGAATCTTGAGTGAATATTTGATAATTTAAAACGACGAGGCACGTGAAGCAAGGCGGTCGAGCTCGGGCATGTCTGATTTAGTGTTTGTTCTTTCTGTGCATGGATGGTGCATTGCGATTGTCAAAAGGCATGTCGGTGGGTGCATGGGGCATTGAAGCCATCATTCTGAGTGATTTTCGATTCGGTTGGCTTTCCGCGCATCCCAACAAGGAAGTGTACGTTATGATGGACATAATAGAGGGCATAACCATCCTAGGATATGTGAACATCTACAAACAAGCTCGAGAGCAGAGGGATATGGTAATGACGGTGCATTGATTGGCTGTAGCTGGAGTTGCGCAGAGTCGTGAGTTGCTGTTGGCTATGAAGTCATGGTTCGGATCCGATAGAGTGAACTTGGGGTCAATTTACTGTCATGACTTTTTTCCTTCAGACACTTCAATGGCCATTATAAGACGACAGCACCGAGTCTACGTTTCGATGGACCGTTGAGGCCTCACTCCTGAATAGCACTGTCGTCACCTACTCAGCCAGTGCTGGACAACTCGCGTACCATACGCAGAGTTCGCTCTGCGGACGTCGAGTTCATGTCAGCGACCGTCGCGACGGTTTGAAAGAACTCTGGGATCACGAACAGCCTCTTCACCCCATTTCTTGAGCCTCGCCATTCTCCTGCAGGAAAGATAAGCAAAATGCGAGCTCCCTCGACAGACCTCCTCCGTGCGCTGCGTCGCGCGACAGCAGCAGTACCGGGACATCCTCTACACGCGAACCTGTCTCAAGCGCAACGTCCCCTAGCCATCCCCTTCGCACGGCGTCAAACATGCCACGCTCAATCCCCTCCGGCGACGAGACACGTGCGGGCACTCTCTGCGAAGACCACTGCCCAGAATCGACGAATGTCGTCCTCTTCCTCATCCTCCTCCAAACCGGCGACTACCTCTCCAACGTCCACCAGCCGCGCCAGACAGATCAATCCCCGCGCGCCGAAACACCACGACCGTGGACCTGCTTCGAAGGAAGAGACACAGACCGATTTCTCCAAGATGGACATTTTGGCCAGCGCGGGCGTCGAGGAACCCGCCACGTCCATCGACGCCTGCACGAGCGATGGCTTCCATTTGAACAACGGCGTGCACACATCCGGTGGGAGGGGGGTGATGCTGCTCGGCGGCGAAGCGTTCGTGTGGCAGCCGTGGGTGTCTACGGGCTCTACTGCTGTGGCCTCCTCCGGTGGAAATGCGACAAGCAAGACGAGTGCGGGCGGAGGTGGAGGACCCAAGGATTTTACAGCCTTCCTCGACCCACGCGGGCTGTTGAACTTCCCGGCCTCGACCCTCGGCCTTCTCTCTCTCCTCTACCCAAAACCGGACCTCCTCCTCCTCGGCACGGGGCGCAAGTTGTGGATGCTCTCGCGAGAAACGAGAAAGTATCTGTCCGAGGAGCTGGGCATCAAGGTCGACGTCATGGACACGCCCAACGCGGCGGCCGCGTATAACTTGCTAGTGATGGAGCGCGGTGTCGCGGAGGTCGGATCGATTTTGATCCCCGAGGGGTGGGTTGGGCGGTAGAGGACACCGACCCCGAAGATGAACGGGTCAGCAAGCACATGGGAGGGGACGAGTAAGGAACACGGGGGAAGTAAGAATGGGATCTGTGAGAAGCAGTGGCTCATTGTTGAATAGAGGAATCTCAGGGAAGGAAGGATTTGAGCGAGCGAGCAAATGCGTCCAAGGGAGAAGAGTTGAGCTTGAGGCTACCACGAGAGGAGTACCTAAGCTAAGAGCGCAATGCTAATATTCGCCCCAATCTTTAGAAACCCTTGCCGGGATGGATATGATTTAACTGGAATCTCCTGTTCTTTTTCCCTCTCCCTTTCCCATGAACCTGAAGAAGGAGAGGGAGCAAAAAACTTAAGCACGAAGCAGCTCAACTCTGGTTCGTGATAAGCGAAACTCGCCCCCGGGAAGGGGTTGGTTTTTCTCGGCCGGTTTTACTACGAGTAATATATAAGTTGAGTCGTTGTCGTCGAAGGGGGAGGAGGAGGAGGAGGAGGAGGAGGAGGAGGAGGAGGTTCGAGGGTTCGAATCGAGGTCCTGCTGCCTGCTAGCCGGTTATTGCTAGTTTGACCCGACAGGACCGAGACGGGGTGTCATCGGACTCGATTTTCGCCCTGGTCGAGGTAGGGGGTCTTTGTGTGACAGGAATTCGGGAAAGTAACATGATAAGGCTGTAAATTATTTTTGTGTGTGCTGCGCTGTGAAGTTTGGGTGGGAGAGGTTCGTGTTGGTCTGCACCCGGTTGGTGGTGGTGGTGGTGGTGGTGGTGGTGGTGGTGGTGGTGAGCGGCGCAAGGCTGAATAATGTACGGAGTATATCTCGAGACATCACCGCGTTCGAGGTGTCGGTCGGTTCCAAACATGTGAATATATAGAGACTATTCCGTGTAATGCATAGCGCCTCAACAATGGTGAACGTATTCCATGACATCGGCACTCGAACCTGTATCAAGCTGTTATATACTAGAATTGGCTCGTACTGAATCAAGATAGCGCCGGCCAGAGGTATCTAGCCCACTCGTCCACCTGAGGGAAAGACGCTTCGCCCGGGAAATCAGCCAGAAGGTTGTTCAGATCCGTGTCGTCCAGACCCAGATCAAAGCCACCGGCGGCCGGAGCGGAGTCCGGCACGAGGCAGTTCATGACATTGGCAAACTTTTGCGCTTGGCCGTTGCGCGCCGCAACGGTGTTGAGCAACCCCTTGACCGTTTCCACATCCTTGACAAGCGTCGAGTGCCGCTCGTGCAGCGCCTCGAAGCCCCGCGTCATGGCCAGCACCGTGACCAGCCCGGCTTGGATTAAGAAGTAGCTACGAACACAACACCGTCAGCAGAGTCGTCATGGCCCATTTCAGAGCTCGACGGGGAACTTACAGACCGTACCAGTCTCCCATCACACTTGCAGCCTCGTGGTTGAAAAAGTGCTCGAGGGACTCGATGTTCCGATGTGCATGGTCCAAGCATCTCAGAACGCCGAGCCGGTCGTCGTTCGAGGCGCCGTGCCAGTGGCCCTGCCCCTCAGGGCCGACCCAGAGCAGAAAGTTGGGCAGGAAGATGAGCATCCGATGGCCTCGGATGCGCCAGAACAGTCGGTACCGACTCAGTCGCAGCCATTGGAAGGAGTACTGGGGGGTCACCGACTCTTGGAAATAGCAAGGCAGGGAATTCTGCCACTCTGATATCTCGTCGTCATATGCCAGGCTCTCGCTGGGAGTGATCCCGGAGTTACTGATGAGTCGGTTGTAGATCGGATTGAACAACATCTGGAAACCTGTCCCGGCGATCAGCCCTGAATAAATCGTTGGTCCGTCGACAGGCTTGGGGCGTTGTGCCGTGGCCATCGTCAACATCTGGCCTAGTGTCAGACCACGAACACCGACATGCTTCATTCACAACGTCTTCTTACTGTATCGGGCACATTGAGCGGAGGCTTGACGTCCATCGTGGTTTGGTCGGGCAGCAGTACCGGCCTGCCCAATGTGATTGACAGCCCACTGTCGAGGAACCACAAGCACCACCAGACTCTGCGACGGACTTCTTGCTCATGATGGCTGATTTTCCAGTTCGGGAATTCTTTGTGCAGACCCAAACTCATGGCAATCCGGACCGCCGCACCAAGGTGTACCGAGGCGATGTTCGGCCGGTTCAGGCGTTGGAGATGCAAGCTCATTATCGTCAGTGCCTGTATGGTGCAAATGTTACCGCTGCTCAACAGGTTCGAATTTGGTATCACGTCGGCGACGACGAACGGGTCGTGTGTATTTCCCTCCGAAACACGAAAACCCGTGCACCACGCGCCAATGGCCAGTACTGTCTTGAGCAGCAACTGCCACGCTTCGGAGTCTGGACGTGGAATGATTTCGGCGTACTGGGCCCGAAATGTTGCTTCGTGGACGATCGGGTACGCAGTATGAAACTGTTGAAAGTAGGCATCCAGAAATTGATCAGCCAGGAAATCATGGACTGCGAAAGTGGTGTCCAACCCGGACCCCGGGTCACAGCTACCCTGGGCAGCTTTGTCCAACTGATCGTAATCCGCGTCCAGCCTCCAGCCCGACTTGCACAGAGCGCGCAACAAAGCGACACTGGCCAGGCCTCCTGCTTGCAAGTGATCAGTCGAGGATTCGAGTCAAAGGCGGATTCAGGTACCAAGATAGCCAACTCCCTGAGGACTGACGGATAGAACAGCCATTCCATCTGCAGCTTTGGCGTCTGTACAAGTTCCCTCCCTCCAGTCAAATCCGCTCGGTGTCTGTGGCAAGGTTTCTGTGGTTTCAGACCTTGTGAGATCCTGCGATCCATCACGGTCCCGTTTCCATGCCGTGCTCGAACGTCGAGTGCCAGGACTTGTCACGATCACCGGCAAACCAGAGGCAATCGATTCAAGATCCGCATCTGGATCGATCTCGAGCAGTGCTCTCTCAAGACATCTCGCCCGCTGTTCAAGCGAGTCTACGTGACTGTCCGACATTAGCTGCTGTCTGTCTACCACCAATGGGCGGCATACGCTCGAGTCAACGGTTTCCTCGCAGCCTTTGGCTTATACACGCACGTAGTATTATGATTGACGCAGAAAGTACAGCTTGGGCGAGCCTTCGAGCACTTCACAATGCCGTGATCAGTAATGACAGAGATTGAAGTATTCACAGTTCTTACCCGTAGTTTCCTTGACCGACACTCGCTGCACTGGAGAAGAGTGAGCGAACTTATCAGCTTGCTGCATGTCTTTGCTTACCGCTAAGTAATCCATGGCGGCTGGCAAGAAAACATTTCATTGTGTCTGGGGGGTGGAACTCTCCATCAAAGTAGGCACTCGTTTTCTGTGTTCCTCGGCCCTCTAGACACTGACCAGCCCTCCAGGATAGAAGACTTATAACGCGGAACATCCCATTGGTGTCGGCCACCGTCGGAATGTCGCGACAGACCGGCCGTGTCTTCTAGCGAAAAAGTGGGCGCTCTCGGCTAACTTTGTATGTACAAGTACGGAGTATATGTCAGAGGCTCAGGGCGCTCTCACTTTCCTTATAGAACTTAGCGTGACATAATAGTGGGACAAAGCCTTATGGCAAGTTCGAGGTACCATTTCTAAATTCCACGCTGCCGAAGAAGGGAAGACCTATAAACAGATGGGTCACATGGATATGCCAACAAAGGTCACGACAGATAATACCAGCCAAACCCTCGTACCCACCAGATACCTTTGTCCCTAGCGCACCGCCCGCACATTTCCCCCGACATATGGAGCGACATGGGGTACAGGCCCTCTTTCCCCAGACACAAGCAACCTGAACGGGAAAGTGAAAGCGCGCCTTTATTCTGATCAACACCTCCTGCGGCCATCGGAATGGGATACATTAATATGGCTGTACGCCCGCAGTGTCTCGAACAGGTGCATCACACCTCTGTAGTACTACGTCCTGGGTGATCAAATCTCACATTTCATGTACCAACCGTTCCCAGTCGGCCGCAGTCACTCACCATGGGCCTTTTCTTTGGCAACCAGCTTGACGCCGACGGAAATATGAAGTTCCTGGCAACTGGAAGCAAGCTCACGGTATGGATCTCGGTGGCCACGTCAACAGTCCTTGTCTTCTACGGTTACGACCAGGTGAGTTGATATGCAATTACTCCCTGCACGTACTCTGCGCACGCTGCATGCTAATACGGCGAACAGGGCGTGTTCGGCAACGTGATTGTCAGCCAGGACTTCCTTACCACCATGGGGAATCCGTCCGCGTCTCTCCAGGGTACCATGGCATCACTATACACACTTGGGTGCTTCTTCGGTGCTGTCTCCACCATCTGGGTCGGTGATATGTTGGGACGACCAAAAACCGTCCTGGTCGGAAGCGGCACCATCTCCATCGGGGCTGTACTGCAAGCCGCCGCGTATGGCGTCCCGCAGATGATCGTTGGAAGAATCGTTGTCGGTCTTGGTACGGGCATGAACACAGCAACGGCTGGCGTTTGGCAGTCCGAGACCAGTAAGCCCAGCTCTCGTGGCAAACTGGTCATGATTCACATGGTGTGTCCGCCTATCGCGTTGTCGGGAAACTGACCTTATAAGAGATGATTATTGCTGACACGACAATGGCCTGTTAGGCACAATGTATCTCCGGGTTTTCTCTCTCCAACTGGCTCACTCTGGGACTTTCATTCGCGCCGGGGTCAGTGGCCTGGAGGTTTCCGCTTGCATTCCAGATCGTCTTTACAATCGTCCTATGGTGCATCTGTCCCTTTCTGCCAGACTCGCCCAGACTCTTGATCCGAAAGGGTCTCAAAGACGAAGCGCTCCAGGTTCTCGCCGCATTGGAAGGCGAGCGCGCAACAAAGCACAGCAGTTCCGTGCACCTGCAATACGACATTATCAAGGATGTGCTCGATCGGGAACACGTCAATACTTATTCGTGGTGGACCTTGCTCCGCGGACGAGGCCCTGCTGGTGTCCTCCGTCGCATGGCTTTGGGCGCAGGAATGCAGGCGATGAACCAGATTTCGGGTATCAATGCTACTTCTTATGTGAGTTTTAACCTGCACTCCCCCGGAAACAGCAGCGGGCTCACGGTCCTCCAAAGTATACGACCTACATTTTCATCAACGCGCTCGGATTCAGCGAAGTCAAGGCCCGAATCCTGGCCGCCTCGGGCAGTGTGAATTATTTGATCTTTGCCTTACTATCTTACCTCCCCATCGAGCGCTACGGGCGTCGGCGGGTCTTTATGACATCCGCAGCTGTGTGCTCAGCGTGCTTCGTGGGTATCACTGTTGCCCTGTATCTGTCGGACTCCGGGAAAAAGAGCAGCTTTGACATGGGTGTGGTTGCGGTAGCTTTCTTCTTCGTCTTCTGGAGTGCTTTTGGGGCCGGTGCTCTCGGCGTGCCCTGGCTATATGCGTCAGAGATCAACGCCCTCGAGATGCGCACCAAGGGCGCCAGCGTGGCCATGTCGACAAATTGGATCGTGAACTACGCCGTCGTCCAGGTCACAACCGACGGCATCAACAATCTGCACTGGCGGTTCTGGATCATTTGGGCCGTCATCTGTGGGTCCTTTGTCCCGATCACCTACCTTTTCTACCCCGAGACCGCCAACCGGTCCCTCGAAGACATCGATAGATTCTTCGAAAGTCGCCCCGGGCCCATCGTCTGCCGCAACCGGCTCGCCACACAGCTCAAGCGCCCCGTCGAGTTCGAGGAGGCGGACAGGGTTGTTGCGAGCCACATGAACAAAGACGCTTCGGAGCTCATTGAGAGACAGGCGACCAAGTACTCTGAGAATGTCGCCGAAGTTGGTATTGAGAAGGATAGAGTGTGAAGCATCGATCACAAGTAGCACCCTTTCCCTATATTGCTTGGACGGAATGAAGAGGAAAAGGACTACCACCCAAGCGAAGAGGGAATCATTTCCCCCCCAAAACCTTGACAGATCTATTGAGAAGCGATATTCTTCTGAATAAAAACATTCGTAGGGTCACCGTACTTTAGTGCCACGGAATATCATACTTTTCTGGACTTTACGAATATTCCCCATTTCAAAGGTCCACCTCCCACATCCTCAACAGATCCTGTGATCGCCAGCCGCATTTCCACCCCGTTTCTCGTTGGACAGTCGTCAGGAGCTGGAGCACCTTCATCTTCTCTGCAGCAGCCCGCATGTTTCGCCCACAGATCCACAGTGATTGTATCGAGTTGACCAGGCAAGGACTGGAGCGCGTCAGAGGGTATCAGCAACTGTGTTCAAGCCATGAAAGGTTAAGAAGAAAAAATAAGGGTTCCTTACGGATCAAGGTTGGAGGCTATAATGCCACAAGCCATGCGCGCGTTCGAGTAGATGAGGTCGCCGACTGCCTCTCTCGTCAACCCCAGGGAGCAGAATTCTTTCATCTCGAGGAGGAGAACTATTCCGGTGTGATACATTGTCCAGGCTATGACTGGTTCCTCTCAGCACCCAGTCGCTTGCTGCTGGGGACGTGGTCTGACGTCGCAGGAAACCTACCTGAAGTGTGGTTGACATATATCACTGTTGGAAAGGGGCTCGCACCCGTCCTCGTCTCGGCGCCGGCCTCCGCGCCTAGCGACATGACGGGGTTTGTCGAGTTGGAGCCCATGTCTTTCCAGGCCTCGAGTGCGTCCCAGAGTTCGGTCCACTCAGCCCGGGTCTCGTGTACAGGCTGTTTATCAGCATACGAGAGGAAGTTGACGATGCGCGCAAAAACCCAGAGCAGAATGGTTGCGTGTTGTCCGAATTCGACGTCTACGCCGGAAAGAAGGTTCTTGGTGTCATCAAACCAGACCTTCGGTGGCATCAGGGTACACGTGTTGTTGCAGAATGCCGCCCAGATGTCTGATCCGCATCATGTTAGCACACAATCCTAGACCAAAGAGAAACGTGCCGGTCGAAAGTGCAAACACTGACCGACTTTGGCGTACGACCAGAAACAAGAGGACACCAGCCCGCCCGTGGACGCGTTCCACCCCTTTGAAGTCAGTATCGCCGCACAGCCTTCGAGGTGGCGGAGCCAGTCTGAATATTTCGAGGTCATCATTTCATAAACGGCAAGGAGGATACAGCTGACGAGTGTTGCGCAGGTGGCTTGTTCCACTGTGGCAGAATTGATGAGTTTCTGGAGGGCGTTCTGGTAGAGCTGGAGCTCGAGTCGGGATGAACAGCTCGAGTCGGTCGAGTACTTGTAGCGGGCCGATAGCGCCAGAATGCATGCCCTGCAGAGGGAGTTGTCCAGTAGCTCGTGCACATTCCGGACCGTGAAGTGGCGCAGGGGATCGCTATTCTCCATCCACCGACCAACATAGCGCAGATATTCTTGCACAAAGGGCACCTCCTCCTCTCGGGTGAGTATCTCGGTAACACTCGCGTAGATGGCTGGCGAGTGATCGAGTAGAGTTTTGGCAGACACGTTCCCAAACGACCTCGAGGCGTCCTGTTCGGCGGACTCTGGAGAATCATGACGAGTTGAGGTATTGTTTGTATTCATGCCAATCGGAATGTTTGTCACCAATGCGCGGTTATCTGTGCCAGGCGGTTCGTCCAGCACCGGACTACCCGTGGCTGGAGATGGTCTGTCAAGCGACGCTGTAAGGGGAGGGAAGACAGGAGAAGGCGTGCTTAACCTCCGATACCCCGGCCCATAATGGCTTTCAACCTCATCTGTATCATTACCTGGCCTTCGGGTCACGCAAAGAGTTGCGGTTGATGGCAACAGAGTCTGCGGAGTGTCCGTCGACTCGGACTCCGATGGAGTTGCTTGTGGTGCCGAAGACGACGGAAGATGGTGCGACGAGGCGGCATTCGTCTGAAATTGAAATCTATCAGCATCATGAAGGAGGACCTTGGCCCTGAGGGAGGATTTCTGGGGGGGACTCGCCGTGCTTGTGGCAGCCGTTTTGTGTTTGTCGACGCCTCCGGCGACGGGCTTGAAACGAACCCATGCGCCATACTCACATCGTCTGGAGGTGCGATTGCAGTTGACACAAACCGGTACTGATTCGTCACATTTTTTCCTTCGCTTCCGGCAGGTCAAACAGCCAGTGCGTGTCCTTACTACCTTGGGTACGCGGCCACCCTGCATGATTTCAGACTTACGAATATGCCATGGGTAGAAAATATCGAGCGACGATTCAAGCCCGGGGAAATCGATAGAACGCATCATGCCGAAGATCGTAACACCGTCGACCATCGCAGTAACCCCGCGACCACTCCGCAGAGTGGGGGATTTGGATCCGGGGGGAGGGAGGGGGGGGTTTGGGTAACCACTGCCTACATGGGCACGAAATATGCGACAAGAGTACTGAGCATGTCCTCGCCTACTGACCAAGACAAACGAGCCAATGTCATGATTCAGAAGTACATTCAAGGAGATTGATGCGATCTGTGCCATTCGCTGACGAGTCATATTCCATATACTCTAGAAAGTCACACAAGGAGGGGGCTTGTTACATGTGAAGAGTTTTGCACCCGACTGCGGAGATGCTGATTAGAGAGATCCTGGTTGTTCACGACCCAGTGGTGCGTCACCTGAGTTCGCTATCTTTTCCAGAAACAAACTGGATTGATGCTCGAGGCCATCCGGATCTTATGTCGTCGTCGATTGACATTCTTGTTGTGTAATAGACCGGGGAGGCAATGAAGGACGCGCCTAAACATCTCAAAATAGGTTAGATGGTCGAGGTCGCCCCAAGGTCTACAACAGGAAGGCGTAAACGCGCCAGTTGCCGTCGCGAGATCCATCCCTGCCTCACTCTCCCCAAAAGACATTTGCTTCCTGAACAGAAGGACCAAGGCGGTGTGGACTAGCCAGCGTGGGTCCTGCGCCGTAGCTTTGGATACTTAAGACTATGTTCAGTCAACGTTTGTGAACCGACTCAACAGGACCTGGCCCCAAAATTTGCAGTCAACATTTCGCGAGTAATCCATCCTTTGCAGTCACCCCCCCCCCCCCCCCCCAAAAAACAAAAATGTCGGTTACAACAACATTAACACATCTCGTGACATCGAACCCGAGGCTGAACAGCGACAAGCCGCAATCCCAGATTGAAGGAGTCAAAGCAAACACTGAAAGAGAGCTTGAGATCGCGACACAAAAAGGTGCCCCTGATGTCTACATCGACGCGGAGAAGGACACAGACTGGTATCTCTGGCAAGGCAGCATCTACGTTAAGCCGTTGAGATTCGAAAATCGATCAGGAACATATGTCATCATGTTGAAGACTGGACCGGAGGCCCAGCTTGGCAAACACCGGCACCGGGGAGAGGTCAGAGCACTCACTGTCAGTGGCAGCTGGGGTTATCACGAGTGAGTTCGCATCCTGTGAATTTGTTTTTGATTGTCTAGCCTCATGCCGACCGGTCTTTTTTAGATATCCCTGGACTGCGAAACCTGGGGACTATGTCAACGAGAACCCTGGCACTATTCATACTCTGTGGATGGGTGAAGGGGCAGAAGTCATGTTCAACGTTACTGGGTCAATCGAATTTTTCAACGATGATGGAGAGCTACGTGAAGTCATGGACTTGTTCAGTTTCTGGAGGATGTACGTAGACCATTGCCAACAGGAGGGCAAGCATGTAAACGACAAGCTGTGGTTTTAAGTACACATAGCTCGTGCTGGATGCTCAATGTCAGTCTTGTGCGGTTTGATGATATATCATCGAGCATTTGTTCAGATTTCAGATGCCTCTCGCGTCTCTAGATCGAATTTTGAGACTTCAGGGTTTCCCACACCAGTGGCTCCTTCAACGGACTACTGTGAGTACCCTGCGCGGCACATTGCCAATGATGGCCTACGCTTTCCCTGATGTCTTCCAAACCTTACATCAAGACGTGATTGCTACAAGATCACCGGGTAATGAACCAAGAAGAAGTACACATGGCGTGGGCTTTACCGAAATGAGACTCATCAAGAGCAACCTTCCACCAAATTCAGCTGGTATGGACCGCCTGGAATCCCCGAACCAGGTCATATCGCGCGACGGATTGAAGCATCCCCTCGAAAGCGTGCACATTGGTGGATCGATCTCGATCGATGTTTGGTTGTCCTCAAAAGAAGAGCGGATGCAGACCGCCGAGGGCCGCCGCTACGTCTACCTGCGACATTTGGGGCCCGAAAGCCTGGACGGCGGGCTCGCTTTTCTGCCGCCATCTTCCTGGCTGATTGTTACAACGATTGGGGATCCTGTTAGAGTCCGAATATTTGCATGTAGGAGAACATCATCGACCCACGCCTCCAGTGCAGTTTACGACAAAGGGAGCACGATGTTGAGAATTGAGGAGTGGGTCACTTGTTTGGTAACCAAGTCAAGCCGAGACCGGTATAAGGTTGCCGAATTGATGGCGCAGCACTTTGGGATGTTACTCCTCGTGAGTCTGGGCGGTAGATTGAGATCCCTAGTCAAGGAAAGGGAACGGTGGGAGCTGAGGAAAGAGCTCCTCACCCAATGGTAGTACGGGAGATAGTGTGGAATGAATGGAGGGCCGCCCATTGGACCCATTGACCAGCAATAGAAATCCTGCAATCTTAGTGGCCAGGCGGACTGGCGGGCCGCCAGCAACTTGATTTGTGGAGCCAAATATGGGGCATATCGACTTCTTCCGCTTCACGAGCGGGCGAGAATTGAACAAGTTTGATGGCAGCAAACTGGAACCACGGATCACTGTTCGCCGATAGTCGGCTTGACAGGCTGTGGGGGAATCCCCGCGTTGGAAAGCCGGGGTCTGTCATAATGCACTGGGGAGCCTCGCATCTTCGCAGGCTATAAAGCTGTTCATGTTGGCAACCAGCCGGGCCAAAACTCGCTTCAACCATACTCGGGAACGCATGTTCGAACCAGCACATAACCAAAAATTGGCCGTGACACGATGTCTCCAGACTCCAGAAACACAGGGGGTCTCCTCTTCGAATCTCCGGATAAGAGTGCTCGCGCGCTCCTGTTTGAAAACCCTTACATCCTCGGTCTTGCATGCGTGAGTCCTTTGTTCTCTGAGAATGTGGCCAGGAGATCGTATTGTTCGACCTCCTGGGCGGAAAACGGTGGCACGAAAACAACTGACCAAGTCTCATAGTTCGCGTCCTTGGGGGGCTTCCTGTTCGGTTATGACCAGGGCGTGGTTTCTGGTATCCTGACCATGGAGTCTTTTGGGGCCAGGTTTCCGCACGTCTACCTGAGTACCAGCTTCAAAGGCTGGTTCGTGTCCATCCTACTCCTGAGTATGACGGATCTGTGCCCATTCGCGACGGGCATGCGTTATGCTGACTATCGGGTAGCCGCTTGGTTTGGATCCCTTGTGAACGGGCCCCTGGCCGATCGATTTGGGCGGAAATGGACAATTGTGATGGCGGTCGTGGTTTTCATAATCGGCTCCGCCATCCAGGCGGGTGCGTACTCTACTGGGATGCTCTTTGCAGGTGAGTACTCGAGGGGATTTCAACATAGTGGCTACGATTTGTTTATGCTGACTTTTGCCCCCGTTCTGAGGTCGCGCCATTGCCGGCTTCTCTGTAGGAATGCTTACGATGATCGTACCGATGTATCTGGCGGAAGTGTCGGTCCCGGGAATTCGCGGCACACTGGTTGTACTCCAACAATGTAGGCAAAGTGTCCTCGCCCGTTCGATAGTATGGTGACTAACTATCTCACAGTGAGCATTACCATCGGTATCTGTGTAAGCTTTTGGGTGGAATACGGAACACACTACATCGGTGGCGTCCGATGTGCTCCAAACATTTCGTATACCGGTGGAGGTGATTCTGGTCCCAGCTTCGATCCACGGTATGACGTTGGGCCTTCTGGCTGTACCGGTCAGTCCGAAGCTTCGTGGAGGGTGCCTTTTGCCCTCCAGATCTTTCCGGCACTTGTTCTTGGATTCGGAATGCTCGCTTTCCCGGAGTCCCCGCGGTTTTTGATGGCAAAGCATCGCGAAGAATCGGCTCTAGCAGCATTGTCCACACTGCGTCGTCTACCAACCCAGGCGGAGATTCTGACGGTCGAGTTCCTCGCCATCAAAGCCGAAGTTCTTTTTCAAGAGAGCTTTAACGCAGACCGTTATCCTGGAAAGACTGGCCTTCGGCTAGCTCTCGCTCAGTACGGAGCTCTCGTGTCGACAAGGCCTTCATTCCACCGTCTTGCAGTGGGCTGCTGTGTGATGTTCTTTCAACAATTCGTAAGTTTCTTTGTCCACGCTCACTTTTCATCATCTATATGAATATGTTTTTCGATCGCCGCTGGAAACTCCGTTAACGAGATTCGGTGACTAGATGGGGTGTAACGCCATGATTTACTATGCGCCGACCATCTTCAGTCAGCTAGGCTTGTCTGGAAATACAACATCACTCCTGGCCACGGGCGTGTACAGAATTGTCAGCATGCTATCCACACTGCCAGCATTGTTTTTGATCGACAAAATCGGCCGGCGGCCACTGCTCATTTGCGGCGGGGTTGGCACCTTCGTGTCACTCACCGTCGTGGCTGGCGTCATTGGAGGCTACGGCAATAGTTTGGCATCGCAGAAAGCAGCGGCATGGACCGGGATCGCGTTCATCTATTTCTACGCGGTGAACTTCTGCTATTCGTTTGCGCCGATTGGTTGGGTGCTGCCGTCCGAGATCTTCACCTTGGGGAGTCGATCAAAAGCCATGTCGATCACGACCAGCACGACGTGGATGAGCAACTTTGTCATTGGCATCGTGACGCCTGACATGCTGGCCGTCCTGAAGTACGGCACCTATATCTTCTTTGCCGCGTTCTGTCTGCTCGCGGTCGGTTTCGTCTGGTTCTTTGTTCCGGAGACCCGAGGGAAGAGCCTGGAAGACATGGACGTCGTCTTTGGCGATACGGCCGCCCACGAGGAGAAGGAGCGCCTGTTTGCCATTACAGCCAGACTTGAGGGTGGGAGGTTCGCGCAGCACCCACAAGATACCAAGGATATCGAAATTGGCGGCGAGGCGAGGGAGATCGAAGTTGTCACCACCTAACTCGCGCAGAACATGATAAGGTTCAAATAGCTAGCTGTATGTGAGTTTGCCAATGTGAGGGCTACGATCAAAAATCCTCGATTATGTTCCGCGAAACAGGAGAGAATGGAATCTTTTCTTCCGTTGCGGGGATTTGCTTTCCTCTGATAGCATTCGATTACAAGACCGGTCTCTTGTCTACATATTCTGACAGGTCATTTACCCTGCCACACACAAGGAATTGATAAGAGCTGGGTGTTTCAGCTATATGCGCCCTGACTCCAGCCCTCTCCTCAGGCTGGACGAGATACATGGTGCTGCATTCACCAGTCCAGCTGCCGATGATCCCTGTTCCGGACAGGTTCTGTAGCAAACTCAACAGCGTATCACATACAAGCATCCAATCCATCAGTTCCGACTGTGTGGCGGAGGTCCTGATGCAATCATACCTCTGCTGACCAAGTACTCTTGTATTCCGTATGACCTTTCCCCCATAAAAAGTCTCCAGTACTTAAAAATGGTCGTGAAGTATCAATATTTTGATTCGCCTGTAGACCAAAATAGAGGAGAATAACTAAATCTCTCGAACTTTGATTCTCTCATTTTACCTGTCGACTGAAAGCACTGTCATAACCGGTCAAGACAAATCTATATTTCACTTTGTTCTTGGATACGCGGCTCACTGCCTCGCGGAGCCCCTCTTCCGAAATAGGGATCGTCTCAATCATAGGAAACAGCTGCTTTTGTTCGGCCAGCTTCAGCATCGCCAGACATTCGGGTCTGTTGCCAATGTGACTTCCACTGATGGCACAGCCATTGATGATCAACGCCGGGATGCTCAGGGGAGGCAGAGGAGCGTCGGGGACGCCGAGCTGATGGAATGCGCCCCCTATAGAGCAAAGCGATAGGTAATCGGGGACATTGAACTGGTGTGTCATGTCTGCAGTGTTGAGCACGAGGTCAAAGGCGTACCGGTGGGGTTTCGCCCAACCCGGCGTGTCGTTGACGACGAAATCCTTCGCGCCCAGGTTGAATGCATCGTCCCGCTTGTGGGCCGAGTGCGAGATCACCGTGACCTCTGCCCCGAGTGCGTTTGCGAACATGACCGCGAAATGTCCCAGGCCACCGAGACCGACCACGGCCACTTTCTTTCCAGGACCTATCTTGGCCCTTGCTAGCGGTGACCAGACGGTCAAACCCGCGCACATCATAGGCGCCGCACATTCTGGAGGTATGCCGTCCGGAATCGGAAAGACGAAGTACTCGTGAGCCCTGATGTGGGATGCAAAGCCACCTTGGGACATCGTTTTGCGAGGGTCGACCTCTTCAGGATATGGCCCGCCGTACGTCGGGACCATCTTCTCGCAGTAGTTCTCGTTGTCGCTCGTGCACTGCTTGCACTCGAGGCAGGACCAGACTTGGGCACCGACCCCGACTCTGTCGCCAACCTTGACGGTCGTCACGGCAGAGCCTACCTGGATCGCTCGTCCCACGACTTCGTGGCCCACACAAAGCGGCAACGGAGCCTCGCCCCAACCCCCGTTGATTGTATGTACGTCCGATCCGCAGACGCCGCAGCACTCGATCTCGATGTCAACGTCGTTTTGTCCAAATTTCTTGGGCATGAACTGCGGGTCTTTGATGAGCCAGGTCCTAGCGAAGAAACTCTGGGTTTTACCGGTTGCTTCTTGAAGACAGTCCATTCCTTCTGGTCCTCGACCATGAATCCCTCGAATACTTCTGGATAACTCATTCTGTCTTCATGGGATGTCTGATAAATGACAATGTAGTCTCTTACAAAGTTTCACGCAAGCAAGCAAGTTGGAAAATCCATCTAATCAGTCTCAGGTCCTGAGAAATTGTGGCATTATAGGTTTCTGCACGGCGTCGATAGTATCCGCTGCCATTGACTTGTTTGGGTTTTCTGGCTGCATCCCGAGCGATCTTTTCGAGAGCAACCGTCCGGCCAGAAGAATCACGACACATCACTTCGGGAGACCCCAGACCGAAGGTGTGCTGCTCTGAGTGGGGAGATGCTATGCGGTCCAGATCCAAAAGACAATTCGGCCCCGGTGCCCGGAAAACATGGCTTAATGTCAAATCAAGAACCTAGTTGGTACGGTACGAGTTCTCGCCGTTCCATCATGAATCAAGAAGTGACCTATGAGGTGAGGGCATCCACTATCAAGACATCATGTTTGTGAATTCTATTGTGGAATCAGACAAGAGCTCTTCTCTCGGAGTGGGTCAGTCCGAACCATTGACCATGTCAACAACAACCGTTTGCTTTGGACGGAGTTCCCACATCCGAAAATACAAGGTCGAGCCATAGCCATCCTCATGATCAACAACATCGTCTCCGACAATCGCCTTCTCGTTGCCACTTTACTGACGGGACGTTCTCACAGGGTTGGTGATCACCGTCTTTTGGTATGTGCCGTGGCTCACGAGGCATTTCCACAAACCGCGCACCTTCGCCCATTGCCACCAAGCGGGCACAACACCATCGTTACCAGATCCAAGAACCCCATATCCTCTGCCTCTGGCTGCAACTCTCACGCCCACCTTGACCTCTGTTATTACATCCTTGTCGACACCACTCAAGATGTCTGGCATAACCGAACGACCCTTTCTCGCAGGCTTCTCCCACCCTCCATCCCGCTGATCACCTGCGCGCGAATATAGGCTCTCTTTCGATGATGTTGATTCCAGGATAGTACTCTGGCGGTCTGTCGATCCATGGTGGACTCAATCCACGTCGTGGAGTGCGCGGCCCCAGAAATACCGGTCTGGGTCGAGTTGGAAACGAACTGAACGTGGTGATCTCTTCCCAAGGCAATCCTGTCGGCAAGTGGCGCGATGGTACTCTTCCTCTGGGCTGTCGTTCGATATAGTCGTCGCCAGAACAGGGTGGGCAGCAGATGACGAGAAGGAAGAGGAGGATGCAGCCGACAACCGTGATCGGGACCCAGATTTTGGTGCTGTCACTGTCGCCCATCTTGCTGACCGGGTCTTCGTTGGCTATAGACGAGTCTCGTGTGAAAGGTGGCGTAAGATTGTTGGTTTGATGACTCTGCGCAAGGAGGATGATTGAATCTACTTTTCGTCAAAGCACTGGTGTTGAGAATGCTGGCGAACGAAGAGCACCTCGTTACTTACAATCGCCACATCCCACACCCCCCTTTAATATGGTGCAAACGTATCGCACCAAGCCGCCAAACTGTTTGTATTTGTCAAACGGCTGTGGAAGCCACTCGGAACGGAGACACCAATCCAGCTTTGTCTTGGTATGCTTTGAGCCTGGCTATTGAACGGCATCAGCTTTGGACCACGCTTGCCTGCGTTCGTTGCTGCAAGGGGCATTGTCGCTGCGCTTCTCCTTGCTGCTCAGTATCTTCTTGTTTGACATGCCGAAGCCTTTCTCCGTGAATAGAGGCTCCAAGAGGGCGACAAACCGTCCGGAGACAAACAGGAGCCTCCAAAATACTTTCGACGACTTCCGCCCACGAATGCTGATGGAAGGTCTTCTTCCTGTGTGCAATATTTCGCCAGCCGCCTCTTGTGCCAGAAACAAACCAACGCCTTTCCGCTTCTTTGAGGGATCCTAGAGAGTGTTGTGCTATTATCTCGGTATGTCTATTGCTCTCGCCCATCTGGTTGTCGTTGCTCGGCTCTCACTGTTGCCGGACTTGGGATCTGTTGGTAGGGTCAGCAAACAACAAACATTTCACGGCTCTGGTGAAGTCAGAGGAGCCGCATCGTCGCATGTTGGGTCTCTTGCTGATTACAGACGTGCGTGACTGCTGGTCCCATTCCCCCACAGATGGGAACTCCAGGGATTCAGACAAACTGAGGCCTGGTTCATTGCTCCGTTTGGGGTCCGAGACGCCGGTCGAACAGGTTCAGCAGATGGGTGTCTGCAATCAAGCTGCGCCATCATCTAAAGTAGGTGACACAGATCCCCAGTTCGAGGACTCTCGTTTTCTGTGTCGCCATCAAGCCCGTTGTCAGGGATCCTGTAGCTGAGCGATGACTTTTGGCAATATACCTCACAATCCAATCCGAAAAGGGTATGAATGCATCGTGAGCCCATCCCACTGCGACCGCCCGTTTGAGGTTTGTTGTGATAAACCCTCAAGAGGATTCATCACTATGCCTCTGGACAAGGAGGCGATGTCTGAGCAAACCGGCTGTGGACTAACCTAATTCCTCTACGCCCGTATCGCAACCTCGTGTGGGCCCGGACATAAGGCTACGGGCAAAACATTCTGCAACGGACGTGAGGCATCATCGTCAACCTGAATACCGTCGAGGGGACTTGTGTGACAACGCGAATGTCCCAAGGGTACTGAGGCGCCAGAGGTGCTGCATTGTGGTTCTTTACGCCCGTATACCCTCGCCGAGCTCCACTCCCTGGCTCTATCCATACTGCTCGCATAACCATATAACCCATACGACATCCAGATACACCGCGATGGCCAGAGATCATCAAGACCCTGCCTAAGTCATCCTCACAACGATTAACCATACCTCTCCCAAAATGCACGGATCATGCAACTGTGGCGCCGTCACCGTCGAGGCTGAGATAGCGAATGACGGAGCCCCCAGCGGCTTCGTCTGCCACTGCCGGAATTGCAAAAAGTCCAGCGGCGCCGGTATGTTCCTTGGGCACCCCCTCCAGCATCGTTCAACCCAAAAGGGGTTCCAGAAGATACAGTCCGGGAGCTGGGATAGGGACTGACTGATCCTGGTCGTCTCCACAGGAGGGTGTTTCGTCATGTTTGTCCCGCTGCCAAACATCACCTTCGCGGGGCCGATCAAACACTACGCCGACAAGAACACGGCCAGCGGGCGCACCGTGGACCGCCACTTCTGCGAGGTCTGCGGCAGCCCGATCTACGGGCTGGCCCAGGAAGGTCTCCCGGGTCTGGCGCGTGAGTATTACAACACCGTTTTGCTATTTGCCCCCCGCCAAAGTCAACTCCGCCCGAAAGATGGCAGAGATACTTTGGAGAGTTTAGTTTGGTCGACTAACGTATACCTCCTCCCTGGGGCGCGGGTGGGATATAGTGGTGCGGATTACCCTGTTCGACGAGTTCGCGACCTCGCCGCCGAAGCCGGCCGCGGAGCTTTACACCCGGGACCGCTGGGTTTGGGATGGCCCTATCGAAGGCGCCCAACAGGTTGCGGTGGCGATGGAAAGGTCTTGAGGGTCCAAGATTGTCCGGGCACAGAGGCTCGAGAATGGGCTTGGCTGGACCGGGTGTCGGGAAGGGAAAACCGTCACGCGTGGTATGGGCAGAGGTCATGGTCTTCTGAGATATTGGTGCTTGAGCCTTATGTGCCGAGTAGGTTCAAGGACAAGGACTGAGGAATCAAGTGATTAGGTGGATGCTATCCATTCAGCCCCGGGGAATTTCCAAGGCACATCCAGACAACTGCATAAAGTAGGAACCCATCCAAGATATAACCAGGGTATCACAACGTCATCAAACATCGTGCATCATCGCATCATAGCTCCTCGTGGCAGGTTCCGTTTACCCATCTCCAATGGAGCAGATCAAAGCTCATCGTCTTCAGCCTCACTTGCCGTGTCGACATCTACCACCTCCGTATCGGGTTTGTTCTTCGCTGCTGTGGCCATCTTGACCTCCGACAAATTTTCCCTGGTACCGTGTTCGGCTTTGACACCAGCACCTGTCTCTCTCATTCGAAGATCGTCTTTCTTGACCTTGAACTCCTCATGTTCTTCCTTCTTGACGTCTTCCTTCTTCACCCCCACGCCAGAGCTCTCGGACTTTACAAGTCCACGCAGCACATCTCTCCTGTAGCGATAGAAACGATCAAGACACTCTCTTCGTTGCGCCTGGGTCCAGTTTTCCACCACCAACGCAAAAGACACCACATCATCTTCGTAGCCAGCCCACCTAGCCATGCTGCAGAACTGCCGTTTCCGGACGGCTTGAGGCGGCCGGTATTTGTATCGCACATTGCTGCCGTCAGGCGTGAGAGTGCCCTCGTGCTGGTCTTCGTAGTATGGATTGTCGTAGGCAAAGTTGTAAACATTTTCGTCTCCATCACTAGGTTGGGGTTGCGACGACGCGTCGTCCAAGAATACTTTAGCTTGCTGCTCCTGGGTATCCCAATGTATATTGTTGGCTGCGGCTTCTTCGGCGCGTTTCGACAAGAGGGCTTCGACTTTCGAAGATCCAATTACTTCACTGTTCTCATGTGTATACGACACACCGACGGAGGAGAGGATGGCTTGCACCGGATCATGCTTCTTGAGGCCCGGTTTCGTTGGGACAAAGGGCGTTCTTGAGCGGGAGCGAGACGAACGGCTTTCCTCTCCAATGATTTCAGCTGCGAGTTGGGACATTGCTGCGTCTTCCGAATCTGGATCGGTTTTTATTCGAGGTACCACACCATCTTCACCCTTGATTCCGTCTTCTTCAGCTTTGATGCCGTCCGCGTCATGCTCTTCGAGATCCAGATCTGCGACCCGGACATCGGCTTTTGACTCTGCAATATTGGTCTTGTTCACAATGTCGCGCAGAACCTGATTCTCGTTCTGATAGGCGAAAAGATTCTTCAGCCCAAAGATCTCCCCTTTTTGGTCCTTGCTATCCTGGACGCCCTGGAAATAACGCCGCTCGGAAGTGGCGTTGTATCCAATATTTGCTTGTTGCTGCTTGTAGATCTGGCGGGCGTAGACGATCTCTTCCAGAGTTCCTTGACTGATCAGGCGGAAAACTTCCACGTCCCTCGTCTGACCAATTCTGTAAGCTCTATCTTGTGCCTGTAAGTCGTAGCTGGGATTCCAATTTGGGTCCACGATGACGACTTTGTTTGCGGATGTGATGTTCAGGCCAACACCACCTGCTCGAGTGCTGATGAGGAAGACAAATTGTGTCGGATCAGTGTTGAACTCCTTGACAGCTGCGTATCGATCCTCATATTGCATGCTTCCATCAAGATAGCTGACATTGAACTTTGTGCTGATAAACAAGTTCTGCAGCATCCTCAGCAAGCGGACGCTGTGCGAGAAGATCAGTACTTTGTTGCCACCTTGTTCGTGCCAGAAGGTAAGAAGTTTTTTCAGTACTCGCCATTTACCGCAATACTCGGGGTTGCCTGTATGCATGATACTGTCCCGTGTTCGGTAAATCTCCCTCCACTTGTCTGGCATTGCAATCTGGAGCATCTCGAGATCCTTTGCCTGTTTGTCCGCTGGATCCGATCCTTGTGGAATAAGAATAGCTAGGTGATTCGATAGATTTCGAAGGTTTGCGATTGCAGGGAATACCCAACTCTGCCATGTGCTACCGTCGTCGAGCTTCATCCTGCAGCACCACCCCGCCTTCTTCTTCCTTCCACACGTGCACGGGTCACTGCTTGTCTTAATGTATTGAACAATGTCACTGTCGAGAAAGTTTTGATATGCTTTAGCCTGAGTCGCCGTGAGAGGGCAGAATACCACACGATCTGATTTCTTCGGCAGTTGGTCTTTGATAAGGGCTTTTGTCCGTCGAAGGAAGAACTGTGGCAGAAGATTCTGAACGAGCAATTTTGCTGTCTTCCTTGCTCTTGCCAATTGATACTGTGAAGCGTCATGGCTTTGGCCTAACTTGAGCGGTATACAAACAGATGTCTTCCATGTCGATACTGGCCCAAGTTTGCCAGGATTTGTCCAGTTGAGGAGGGTCCACAGTTCTTCGTACTTGTTCTGAATTGCAGTCCCTGTAAGTCCGATACGGCAGAGGGCATTGATTTCAGTCATGGCTTTGGTGGTATCTGATCTTCTTTCTTTGACGATGTGGCATTCATCAGCAACAACGCAATCCCACTGGATCATGTTGATTTCCTCTTTGTTGGCTCGATAAGTGTGGTATGTCGTGATCATGACTTCCAACATACCTGCTTGAGCTTGCAAGAGTACATCATGTCTCTGTGTAGCTCCCCCGTGGTAAAGTTCAACATGCCACCAACCCCAGCGGCGGAACTCGTCTTTCCAGTTCTCCATGAGCGTGCCTGGGCAGATAATGAGAGTTCTCGGGTACCATTGGTTCGCTCTGCGCATCTTTCTCATCCTCTTCTGATCACGTTCGTCCCCAGTCTTGCCGTAAGCCACGGTCAAGAATGCGATCACCTGCACAGTCTTGCCCAAGCCCATATCATCACCAAGGATTCCGCCTTTCTGATACACGAAAAGTTCATGCATGAATGCCACGCCCTTAACCTGGTATTCTCGCAAGAACTGCGCAATCGGGGCTGGGATGAGACCAAGTGAGTAACGCAATTCGATGTCCTTATATTCCCTGGATGCTGTCGATACAGGAAAGTCCGGCCGCTCCCTCAGCTCCCTCAATCTCTCATCATCCGAGAAATCCACATCGTCATATGTGGGTGGTAGGGCCAGACCGCCTTCTCGCAACTCCTTTGCACGCTCATCAAATTTGGCTCTTCGATTTCTCACATAGTCTGGCATGGTCCATTCCATGAGATCCTCGTCCGAGTCTGAATCGCCGTGCTCTCTTACCCTCCGGCGTTTTCTCACAGGCCCTTTTCTTCCGACTCCAGTTGTACCAGTTGCCTTCCTGGGCTTCGAAGGCGGAGCAATTTCATTGTCGATAGCTGCGACAAGCTTAGCAGTCATCCCTCTGCGTTTTGTCGTCCTTGATGTTCTGCTCTTGGCCTTCTCTTCTCTACCTTCCTTCCATTCCTGCTCAATCCGGTCAAGCTCTTCATCTACCGAATCGTAGAGATCTTGCGTGGCTACAACAGGCTCGGAGCGGGATCGCTTGTGTGTTTTTCGATTGTCGTACCCTGTTATGCAATCTGAGATTTCTGCCTCGCTGGCCGTGCTTGGACCGGCATCAGACCCTTCAACTAGACTTTTGTTTACCTTCGCTGCGATGGTCTCGGCGCTACGAGCGCCTTCTCGCTTGATGCGCGGGGCATCCAAATCGTCGTCTTCGCTGTCAGTGAAGACCATTTTGAGAGCGTCTACGGGGTGGGAAGCGCATGAAAGGTCAAGACGCTCAATAATATCCTTGGAGCAGGAGTTTTGGAGCCAGATAGCCTGGAATCACCGAGTCATCGCGGTCAGTGATGAAAAGTGAGACGCAACTGCGGAGGCAACAGCAGAAGCAGTGGACGTGCCATGCGCGACGGATGACGCGGTGTCACATGACAAACCAATCCGTTCCCAGAAAATCCCACATCTGGTGGCTCTCCGTCCTCTCCCCGTCTCCAACTCTCCATGTTGACAGCCCAGCACGGGGATCAAGTGTAAGCCAAGTCGCAATTTGAGCGAGTACTCAGTCACAGACATCTCGGCAGTTGTATTTTGCTGCCAGGCCTCCGTCGGAAAGTCGCCGTCATATCCGAGAATCTTCCAACTCGGTTCCTTTCGACCTCCTGGCTAATTGCTCCCTACCAGCGGTGGCCATCATGTGTCCTATGTTTCTCATCGCTCGCGGAACCTGGCTAGGCAGAGCCCCTGCGAACAGAGCCACGACCGGAATCGCAGCCGAACATTTCTCCTTCGTACCTGAGGTTTTCGGCAGATGAATCACTGTGAACAAGCCCCATGGGGAAGACTCCTACTCCAATCTGACAGCAAATGCCTTCCCCACATCAATGCTGGTGGAAGACTCCGCATACAGTTCATGCCAGAGACATTGCCTGTTTAGCCCCACGATGCTGATCATTGATCGATATTAAGGGCAGTGAGTATATCCTGAGAGCTCATTTCTCATCGTAGACGCAAACAGCCCTCGGTCCAGTACTTCAAGAGCAAGAGAAACAACCTAGGGTACACAAGACATACTCACGCATACAATCAGGAAAAATGGGTTCCATGTCACATATGAAGTTGCGGCGGGCTCCTCTGAAGAATTCTGGGTCTATCGACCACCTCGAATATGTCGACGTGACACCCATCATCGGGCGTGAATACCCCACGGCTAAACTCAAGGACATGCTGAACGCCCCTAATTCCGACGATCAGATTCGAGATCTTGCCATTACTATCTGTGAACGCGGTGTTGTTTTCTTTCGCGCGCCCCAAGACGATTTATCTGTCGAGGAGCAGAAAAAGATTACCTATCTCTTGGGCAAGTTGACAGGCAGACCTGAGGACCATGGCTTGCATGTACATCCTCTTTACAATGATCCCAACAACATTCCCATGGCAGACGGGACAACAGACGAGAACATGTGAGTACCCTCTTGGACGAGGGTAGTGGAGTGCTGACGAAGAGAAGCTATGTTATCAACTCGGAAGCCATGAAGAAACTATATGCGACGATGAAGAATCGACCAAACAGCTCGACCGAGCCAAAAGACTTGAGCCGAGAATGGCACAGTGATTGTTCGTTGTTCACCATGACCGCTCTCGCATACATTGGGCTGACCGTGAATGAACAAAGGTCTCTTCGAGGAATGTCCAGCGGACTTCAGCTTCTTGCGCATGCAAGATACACCACCATCTGGCGGAGATACTCTTTGGGTCTCTGGCTATGAACTGTATGGTCAACCCTCTTACTATCCCTTACAACCCCATTAACATCAGGTTTTCCCAGCTATGACCGCCTCTCCCCACCTTTCGCCGCTTTCCTCGAGACCCTGACCGCCACCTGTGCTCAACCTGTCTTCAAATCTGCATCCGACGCTGGTGGCTACGAGCTCATGTCCCCCCGCGGCTCGCCCTTGAATGTCGGCGATAAATTCGCCCCCGTGCACCCAGTTATTCGCACCCATCCAGTCACAGGGTGGAAATCTCTCTTCGCAGGCGTCGGATTACATGTCACACGCATCAACGATGTCTATAACTATGAGGACCAGATTATCCGCGACTATGTCCTCAGGCTTATCACGCGCAATCACGACAGTGTGGCGAGAATGCATTGGACCAAGCAGGCTTGTGCCATCTGGAGCAACGCATGCACTTTGCATGCCGCAACGGTACGTTGTCATTACTCTTGTTTTCGTGGGACATCTTGGATCTCAACCCGTAGCTCTTGCATGGGCAGGCGCTTGGGCTTGGCTCCCCCCTTTTGATTCTTAGCCTTGCCGGGCAAACAAGCGTTTCACCACAACCCGCAAGCCCTCTTCACCACAAGAATGTCGCTGACAAAACTGCGCCATCTAGCCCGATACTCATTTGGTAGACGGAGTCAGAGTGGGTGTGCGTGCATCGGGTGTAGGCGAGAGGCCGTATCTTGATCCCGCCTCTACGGGAAGAAGAGAAGCGATCGGTTTGCCGAAGAACTAAAGGGACGTGACAGTCCGTCCGCCGACGGACTGGAGACAACCAGAAACCACTCGCGACCAGACAGATACTGGCGCCAAGGAACACCACTCGTCCCAGCAAGAACTCACCGCGTCGCGGCCAGAAACGGAGGGGAGTAGATAAATAAATACCCAAATGGTTTTGTTTGCCGCGTTGCTACATATTTTGTTGGGTAGATGGTCTTGATAAGTTTCCAAAGATTCTCGCAAACAAGCGGTCTGCGCCTTCAAATGGCCTGCCTATCGCAAACAAGCGGTCTGTCTCTCGGATCCCCTTCGTTGAGATGGTGACGGGCTCTCGCAATACGGGTGACAGCAAACTGGTGCGTTCAAAGTACAAGTAGGGCTTCCCACCCGGACCATTCCACGGCATTGCGTGACTTGTTGAGCTATCTGTATTGTAGGCAGATGATCAAGTGCTTGGTTGCTGTCGACCAGTCCGTCGGCCTCGTTGCAACGGCAATACTGCGGTGCCCCCGACCAGCCAGGTGTTCTGTTATCTCTGCATCATCACCTCCCCTTACCCGGATCAGACCCCCATGCCCCAGGGGTGGTTTAGGAGACGGTGTCAAGATTCGGGCGCGTCCTTGATCGTCCCATCACTCCTGATGACGACGTGCTTGTACGCCAGACTGGCCTGCTTGGGGTTCTCTGCCTCGAACAGCTCGTCGAGCTCCTCCAGACTGCGCCCGCGGGTCTCGACGAAGAAGAAGTAGATGATGACGACGCCGAAGGCATCCCATACCACGTACAGGATGTAGAAGCGCCAGCCCGAGTTCGCGATCGCCACGGGCGGCACGTACGTGTTGAGCACGTTGACGCAGTTGACCATGAAGTTCAGGTATGCCATGCCTGATGTTCGCTCGGTTAGCTCTTGTGTAAACTGTGGCGGCATGTGCGTGGGGGAGGGAACACGGGGCGAGGGATACTTGCCTTTGGCTCTCGCGGTGAATGTGAGGACTTCTGCCGGGTAGAGAGATTGCATGGGGGTCTGTACAAAGAGAAAGAAAAAGGAGTCGTTAGCGAGAGGAGCTCCCTTTCACCAGCGGAGGATGGTGCGGTGTGGGCTGCTTACCCATGCAAAGGCAAAGACCACGAGAAAGACGTAGAGAAAGGCGACTCCTGTGGCCCCGACGGCAGGTTTCCCTGCCTGGTTTGCCGTGCAGGCCGTGATGATGGCCACCGAAGCAGACATGCCGGCGCTCGAAACCATCAGGACCTTGCGACGGCCCAGCTTCTCGACGAACCGGAGACCACAGAGCGCGGCCACCATCATGATGGGGGTCTGAAGCGCGTTCAGCAACAGTTGGGTGTGCACGCTGGTGATCCCGGCCGTCTTCGCCATGAGAGGGAAGTAGTAGCTGGTCGGGGGCAGGTCGAGCTGGCCGAACCACGCGATGCATGTGACCAAGAAGGTGCGATATCGCGCGGCCCTGGTGTTGAAGAGCTCGCGGAAATCCCAGAAGCGCTTGTCCGCGCCGTCGATGCGGATGACCTCCATCATCTCCTCGAGCTCGACCCGCACGACCACCGAGTCCGGGTCGCTGTCGCCATGGTATTTGACCAAGACGGCTTTCGCTTCCTCGACCCGGTCGTGGGCTAGGAGCCTGGTGGTCACAATGTCAGCCTCATCTTTCAAGTTGTCTATATCCTGCTATACTTGCCATCGAGGCGTCTCTGGGATGAACCACACACAGCACAGTATGATGATGGACGGGAGGCCCTGCACAGCCAGCGGGAGTCGCCAAATATACGATGACTTGGTGTTGATGTAGTACAGGCCATACTCAAGCCACGTCGAGATGATGGTGCCCAAGAAGAAACAAGCTTGAAAGCCCCCCGTGAGCTGGCCACGGTACTTCGGGTACGCCATCTCCACGACGTAGCTCGGTCCGGCAGTCTGCACGAGGACGGCGCCCATACCCAAGATGAATCTTCCACCCTCGAGGGTGGCGAGGTTCTGGGCAGCGGCCTGGAGAATGACGCCAACAATGCAGACCGTCGACCCAATGGCCATGCCCACCCTCCGGCCGTATTTGTCGGAGCAGGGCCCAGCGAAGAAGGAACCGGCCACGTTGCCGATGACATAGAGTGCCGCAATCAAGCCCTGGTTGTTGGAGTTGATGCCAAAGAAGTTGATGAATGGTGGCATCGCCGACAGACCACCTGGGGTTCAAGTTCAGCACTGGGCCTTTCGCTTTGCAAAGGCCAGGTGTGTGATCTGGTACGTACCAAACGTGTTTGCGTCAAAGCCATTGGTCGCCGAGCATAGATATGCTATGAATATACAGGCATACAGTTTCAAGAAACTCTTGCGCAACGGTCTTGGCTTCTCCTGCAAAAGGGCCTCCTCCATGCGCGAGGCGTGTATGCGCGCCGTGCCCTGAACGTCGCCATATTCGTGCTGCTGCCGTCCGCCGACGACGTCCTCGGAGTGAGTGATGTTGTATGTCTTGGTATCCATATTAGTATGGGTCTCTCTTGAGCAAGAGCCCCTGGGAAGAGAGCAGCGTACACTTGGCGCTCATATATGCTTTATAGTCTCAGCCCTAGCATCACCGCGGTCGTCGCCAGTATCTGTATATAGGCTAAATCAAGGAAGCTCATCAGGCTTATCAAGGCATCGTGGGAGATCAAACAGCACAATCATGGACGGAAGGGATCTGCAGGCAAAGAAAACCCCCGACCTGATCTGCCACTTCGAGTTCACGGATTGTGGTCATTGTCAATGGCGATGTACGGCTCATGCGAATCATGGACCGGCGACTCTCCGATAGGTGGTGCTTCGACGGCAAAACACAGATATAGGCAGAATTTGGACATTTCATGGGCGGTTATGTCGGCATTAACACGGGAGGTCGGTACCGTGTCATAGCCTTCCATACCACAACGGGTCGCAGTGCATAGGAAACTCTCAAAGAGCAAAAGGATGACCTGCTGGAAGTGGACACGGTGGGATCGTTGCTCGCATGGATGGGTCTCATGGGATGATTCCCCACGCGGAGTGTCGGCTAAAGATGGATTTTGCGGGGATTGAATGCAACGACGCTGCTCCTCCTGGCGGCAGCTGCAATGGAGGGTTGATAACGACTTGTAGCAGTGACATAAACTAGAACGAGTAAACCAAGCTGAGGCGTATAAAAGACAAATCCATCCCCGCATCGATATATTCGTGTCGTCGTGCTGCCATCTCCTAAGCCTCCGGCTTGCTTCGAACCACGTTCATGGCTGGGGAATGACGTGCAGGTTGGGTCCATTCACCTATTGATGACCTGATTCTCGGTACTGCTCCTGAGGTTCAAATTCACGTTCTTCCGTGGATGGGTATTATACCACATTGCCTTCTGCATGCGTACCGGATCCAATGGAGAGAGCTGAGGCGACAAAGGAAAGTCCATCGGCGCCTTGGTCCCCGAACGTAGCCTCGCTACCATCCTATTCTTTCTTCCGACTTCTATGCGGAGATCCATTCCCTCGCATGTCGTCATCGTCTAGTGATCGGGATAGAAAGCGTTCTCGTCGTGGTTGAAAATCCCTGTTAGAATGGTGAAATGCCTGGCCTGTATATCTCGCAACGGTGACTGGATTAGGCGACTGACAAAGTTCTTCGTGAGATTCACGGTGTGAGAGCCTAATTTCGAACTTGCCTTCAGATCTCGTTAGCTCTCTGGGCCCAGACCCACGAGTCGAATGGCTCAGTTTCGCAGTCGAACGATGGAGACAGAGAGAAAGACAGTAACACTGACTTGTTACCAGCTTATTTATATTCTCAGTCCTCTGGTTTTTGGCCGTACACAACGTATCTCAAACGTAGAGGTCAGCCGCAGCTTCCCAGGTTAGAATTTCATACTCACATGGGCCAGTACGAGTGAATCCTGGTGTCTCGCAAATCTTTTCGTACCTGCACAAGGAATACTCGGATTTCCTCGGCCGTCATACCGAACGCTGTGGCCCAGAGTCGAACTGTGAAACCATCCAGCCCTTCGAGCATGTTGATCATATTCCAGATGCCTATTTCCTTCAGAGCCTTGTTCTTGGGCCAAGGGTTGACGGGCCACCTGAAAATCTCCTGCCTAACCCCTGCAAATCCAGCCTCAACCATCCAATCCTTGTACTTCGCAGTCCAGGAGGGATCCCTTCTAAGGCCCACACAAGCTTCTATATACCTGTCATTCCACTCCCCGTAGGCTGTCCCTTCCAGTGTGCCATCGTCACATAGCAACGGCATGTAGAGATCCTGCATCTCAAACCACCCACCAGGCTGCAGAGCATTGAAGGCGTGGCGGAACAGCCTTGGAAAATCAGAGCACGAAGTCAGGAGCATTCTGCCATGGATAAGATCAAACTTTCTGTTGAAGGTCCACCGGGTATCAAAATCGTCAACCTCAAATTTGCAATTCGGAGGGACGGTGTGCGGCTGAATTGGACTGAGATCGATGCCCAGGACATTGGATTCGGGATGCTGGTCGGCAAATCCGATTGCCCAAATGCCGGTGCCTGTCCCTAGGTCGAGGACTTCCTGCATCGGCCGTTGAATAGGGGCAAGAAAGAGTTTTCGACCAAACGCACCCAAAAATAGCTCGTGCTGTAGGTCTAGGCGTTCCTGCTCGAGGTCGTCCTCGGGGAGGATGTAGGAGCCATCTTTGTACCTGTGATAGGCCCTGCCATTTTCCTGTACGCCTTGGAATAGGCTTGATCTGAGAGAGCGGGTGTAGACGGACAGGTCATCCCCAAGAGCAGAGTCAACGTCATCGGCCTCAATCACAACGTCTGGCTGACGTGCCTGGGTCTCTGCAGAGCTCATTTCGCAGTTCTGGTCTGTCAGCAAAAGCGAAAACCCAAGAGATAGTGGTTGTACTAGCTAGTGGCGGTTAACGCGGCATAGGAAGAGGGGGCGGGATAGTCGATCTGAGCAGATATAATTACAAGGACTAATCTCCCGGGGATTGTTGATGTGATGGGGAGCGAGGTTCAGTAGATTTATCGGAGCGGTGAGGAGGACTCGCCTCGGGATGCATTGCTGGCTCGCTTAAGCACGTAGAATGACCGCTATACCTGTTTCAAGTACTCACTGAGCCGAGCGATGGTGTGAGCAAGCGATTGGAGTAAACATCTTTCTCTTGACTCGAAACCGGGAATATCTTGTGCCAGTGAGCTGCGACCTTTGAGAGAGATCAAGTCCGAGGTTCATGTCGATAGTTAGTAGCCCGCCAAGGACCTGCGTTTGCTTGGCACTCGGCTGACCTTCTGCTTTTCTGATGCCCCTGCGGTCGCTGCTGGTGCTTCTTCAAACCTCGACCTTCGATATTCAAAGGGAAGGAAAACAAGCCAGAAATGTTCTTTATTCGGACTGACAAAGACTCCATCTTATGTTGGTAGGACAGACGATCCAGTAGGGGATGCCACAAATCGTTGCTCCACCTCCTTTCAACACCACGGTGCCCACGACAGTGGTTCGGTTGTGGCCCATTCTGACCTGGTGTTAGGCGTTCTTATTGACATAAGCCACAGGTCCAACATATACATGCCTTGCACGGATGACATAGTAAGTGAAAGCCAGCAATACGACTCCTCCATATACGGCACAGGCCCAGTTCATTGCCGCTGGCGGTGGATTTGGCACTGGAGGGAAAAATGAGAAGACATAGACCACGGCGCAGAAACAAAGTGCGGCGACATTGATCCCGAGGCCAAATCTGCCGAGAGAAAACTTGGACGGAAGGAGAGGTAGGCCACGAATCCGCCTCCAGGTAATGCTGCCGATCGAGGTCATGTAACTCGTAATCAGCGCAACAGTCCCGATGGACATGATGATATTGAAGGCAATTGAAGAGCCGATGTTGATGCAGTGGAAAACGCACGAGCAGAAGGCCGATACAATGATAGAGTTGACCGGAACGTCGTACCCAGGTGGAACCCGAGACACCCAGCGGTGGAAAGGAACCCCTTTGTCACGAGCAAACGAGAACAGCTGACGAGAAGAGCCGGCCATGGTGGTCAGGTTGGCACACACGTTGAGGATGATGAGGATTGTCGTTAGGCCAACTGCACCACCATTGGATTCAGTTGCCGTGGCGAACACCTGAATGACAGGGTAGCCCGTCAGCGATGCGAGGTCATCATCCAGGTTTCCCAATGTATAGAGGAATGTGCTGGGATTATTAGCAACACAACCTCTCACTTCAAGGCAATCCCACTTACACAAGCATGACGAATCCGAGAAGCCCATTGACAGCTATGGTCCAGATCATGGCTCTTGGAAGGATTTTCGAGGCACTCTTCAGCTCCTCGGCCATATGCGCAGCGGCATCACCTCCAACTAATGCACCGGCGTTGGTGATCATGCCGACGAGACAGGCGACTCCAACTGTGAACTGTCAGCTGAATTCCCTTCAACCAAATCCCTGAACAAAACTCACTGCTCCCCCAGCTATTGGCATCTGTGAAGGACGTCCACACTTCCGAGCTTGGTGTACGTGGAGCCATAACCCAGAGAGGCACCAATATAGCCACGAACCCGGCAATATGGAGCACTAGGATAATTCCCTCGACCAGTGGAAGGTGGTTCGCGAGAAAAATGTTGAATAAGGCCACGCAAATGGTGATTGCCATGGCGATCAAGGTTCCATGCCATCGTTGAGGGCTGTATGTGTCAGGATTGTTCAAGATGATGACGCCTTGGATCATAGTGCCGGCGACAAATGCGCCGATGGTTGTTCCAATCTGATAACCGAGGATACCAAACCAGCCGATGAAATATGACAGCAATTTCTGGACACTTGGAGGAGCAAATTCAGACACCCAGTGATATTGTCCGCCTTATCACACATATGTTAGCGTCAGTTCGCTCCAGGATCGTTCAAAGCAATCATACCGGAGGTAGGGGCCATGGAAGCCATTTCGGCCATTGAAACACTGATGAGGATGAACCCAATATATGCTGCAATGAAGGTCCAGATAAGCCCGCCAGGCCCGCCGTTGCCCAGCCCAAAGGCCAGAGTCGACAATATTGTCTCCCATGTACTCATGATGATGAGGGCAAAGCCGAAGATAGACACGAAGCCAAAGTTACGCTGTTCGTCTGGTCAATAACTCGCGTCCAAGCCCGAGCAGTAAGTAGGGTTAACTGACCTTGAAGAGCTGCTCTTTACCCAAACGCGCCATGGCATTTCTGTCCGCAACCGTTCCCGTCTTCTCATCAAGAACGACGCCATCGTCGTTGATGTCCTCGGTCGGATCGACGCTGTATGTGATGGACTTATCCATGCTGTCAGGCTGGACTATGAAATGGTGGTGAAAAGAGAAACGAAGTTGAGGAGAGGGGAGAAGACCCTGCAGAAAAGGAGTGGAATGGCGCAGGTTACCTCGACGAAGTCTTCTGCAGGGAGACATTTGCTGGCTAAGGAGTCCTCCCATCCCCACATGTTACTCGACACGAGGCTCAATGGTTCAACTATTGGCTGGGGTCGTTAAGCCTCTGCAGGACTTAGAAGGCTTGGGCTGGAAGAAGGACCGATCTTTCAAGCGAATGGTCCTCCTACTGACTATCTCACGGAGCAGCAAGACCTGCGAGGTTGAAGTGCCCGGAAACTGGTCGGTTACTTCTCTAATCGGGGCAAACAACTAGCTGATTGGCCGGGCTCCAGGATATCAGCATCCCAGAAGACTGTGCCAGCGCAGCTGCATGAGCTATTAGGCTGGCCCACCATTGGGATCCCTGTGGTCTTGCCGCAATGTATCCACCATCCACCCCTTTCTGTTGACCGTGGTCAATACCCACCCTGGCATGAACCTGTTTTTTTTGACACTCCTGGCCATATAGTGCAGCATAGACCGGCTTCCTTCCAGGTTGAACAGGAGCCACCTCGAGAGCGTTGGCCGAAGAACTGTCGGTACGGGAAGCGGACAATTTTGGTAGCGATGGCCCTTGCAAATGTGAGACGAGGGAAAATGCGGAGTACGATATGCTTCAGAGCTCGCAGGTACGGAAGCAAAATGCCCCGCAAACCCCCTATCACTGCAACACAAGAAGTTTTTCCTCCGGATAGCGACTGGAAGTCACATTGGCTCAAGGCTCTCTGGGAACGTTTGGTCTATTGAAGGACCACAGGAGCGCTCTAGTTGTCTGGGCCAGATCTACGTCGGCACATCCAGCGGAGTTAATCACGGCAACAATTTCCAGGCAATGTCTGGGAATCCGAGCTGGAGGTGACACGCTTTGTCCTATTGTGTATATCAGGCCCAGGCATGGTGGAAATGCGTTCCTCGTTGTCAACCTCTCTTCACGGGCACAGACAGGATGGCGCAACCTCTCAAAACTTCGCTTGCGGTCCAGCTAGCCCACGGGCGGCGCGGCGGTATCAACGATCCCTTTCGGCTTTAGTGATCTGGGGCGAATAGCGGCCCATCATTGCCTATATAGGTGGGTTACCGGCATGATCACCATGCTCCCGTCACAATCACGGCCCGCAGTGGGTAAAGCAAAGCTATGCCGGGGCATTGGCAAGTGGATTCCTGGCCCAAGGGCGACGCCTGGTCTGTGCGACACACTTACGAGAACGCACTCTGCGATTTCCCATGCTGTTCGACGGCAATTTCATGAGCCGATCAAGTATTTTGTTACATTCGGAAATACACCCTCGTACCGCCAAGACGATTCTATGAGACTTTTGGCGATCTCTCGAAGGAGTGTTCACCACTGGGGGCGTAAGTCGGCTGCTACAGAAACCAAGCCTCGGTGGCCAAACGTTGGCCCCGGAAATCTCTCACACGATCCTCCCATGCGATGGCGTACTCGTACCTCAATGGTGTGGTCTCCTTGGACCTTCAGCTGAGTAGATGCGAAGTGTGTAACGCCTTATGCTGTTGAGGAGAAGCTTCGCAGTTTCGAACCCCCGGCCCAAATATCCGCCTCGACATGGTATCGTATCGTTCATGGCGTTCTCAGAGCCAGCCACCAAGAATTTGGCGTAACGTACCGACATGAGAAAGGAAAAGATCTCCTGCACTAGTGTTGCATCCGACCTGCGGCTTCTCAAATGACAGGGATTTAGAGCCCAGTGCCAAAGACAGTAACTCGGTTGCACGCTCTTGAGAGTCTACGCTCTTCACATATAGTGCTCTGGCAATGCTGGAGAGGTACATTCGATGAACTTGACCCTCAGTTCTCAACCATGAGTGCTTCTTCAGATGAGATACCTGCCTTGGGCCCGCGCCCTTATCACAACACGGCGAATGACCATCGGGGGATCGTTTTGACAATGAGCATCCTATTCATGGTGTACTCCCTGATGGTGCTGGGAATGCGTCTTGTGAGCAAGTATAGGAACATGGGCATCGAAGACTGGCTCTCCGTCTGTGCTACAGTTTGTTTAAAGACCCCATGATCGTACTTTGGGACGAGAAGCTCATGATCAACAGGTTATCGCGGTCCCACAATTCATTTCCATCATGGTAGCAACTGTCGATGGCGGCTTTGGGTCTTCGTATACGCTTTTGTCTCCTAGTGATACGCACACAGTTGCCAAGGTATTTCTAACGAAACGTTGGATACAGATTTAAGCTGATAAGGTCGCTAGTCGCTGCGAGCCGGAGACGTCCTTTTCCTGTTAGCCCTCTTCGGCGGCAAGTGCTCTGCTATCTGGCTCTGTAGGCGTCTGTTTGCTGTCGGACAGCATCAGAAGCACCGATACTGCGAAATAACCATTGCTATCTGTGGGCTATGGTGTGTCGGGTCAATCATTGCAGCCACCGCTGGGTGTACATCTAGCGAAGTCATCCGATCGGGCTCCGAGAAGTGCTCGGGATTGGTGAGTCAAGCCTAGGTGTTGAGGAATGAGAATCACTGACTGGAGATCAGGTCACTCGTTGGATCGTCATTGGCCTGTTCGATGCTCTGCTGGAACTGGTCATCTGGTGTCTTTCCATTGTGGTGATCTTTCCACTGCACATGAGTCTCCAGAGAAAAGTTCAAGCGTCCATGTGCTTTGTTCTCAGATTGCCGTATGTTTCCTTCGCGCATGAGAGTTGCACGTGCTGACCGGCTGCAGAATCATTGTCCTTATCTGCCTACAAATCAAATATGTCTCTGATTTCAGCTCAGCGTCCAATGCAGGTATCGCCCTCACTCGTCCTATTCTCCTTCGTCAGGCCGAGGTCGTCTACTCCCTCCTGTCTGCCGCTATCCCAGCCTTGAACCAGTACCTACGCAAATTCGACACAACACAGGCCACTGTATTTGGATACAATGCCAGCCAATACGGCTCTGGCGGACGCTCCTACCAGATGGACTCCCTGGGTGGCGAGGGGACCAAAAGTAACGACACAAGAAACTACACTCGGATGGAAAATGACAAGGCCGATGAAGCCTCGGGGAAGAGCACAGGGATCAATTTCTGTCCTCCAAATCATACGCGTTATCACGCCAGCGTGGAGGGACCTCACAATGAGGGACTCAACAACGATGGCAGATCGAATGTCTCGCATGAAGAGGGTTCACTCGGGAGACATAACAGTGACGAGTTCATCATTCGCAAAGATGTGGAGTACACAATCCGTCACGAACAACGGTGAGGACTATGTCCCTCACCCAGCTTCGTACAGTCCAGTGTCACTGCAAAAGGGTCGCGGGAGCAGCTGGTACGGAGAAAGTTGACTTCGAAGACGTTAAGGTGTCTCCGGATTTCGAGGGATACTACTCCGGGCTAGCAACAGAGGACGGGAGACGATAGACGATAGACGGGCCGGGAGGGCGGGTTGATCGAGGCTCAGCACTTCTCGGTACCCCACTCTTACTCCTGTGACTCTACATACTGTATGCCCCGTGCTGGCGGAGAGCCGGTTTGGTATCTGTGGGAATTAGTTAGGACAAACGAACCACAGGCCGTAGCACCAAGTGGGGGTGTGTGACCGGGATTGTTTAGCGATCTAAAGTAAATTCCACTACTGAGACTAGAAAATAAACATTTCAGGAGTGTGAGACGACCAAACCCCGACCGCTTTTATGGAAAAGCCATCCATATATTCTCGAAAATAGTAGCAGTCACCCTGGAAGTTGACAATTCATGAACTCATGATACCAGGATCCATTTTGACAACTCCTCCATCTTCTCTCGACCGTATTATCAGAGCTAGCACTATTGAATAGATCGCCAGTCCCAAACAAAGCCTACTACCTTATCTCGAAATAAGGGGCAGCATGCCTGTCCGGCGGGCCGTTGCGGCCGACGTCCCCATCATGGCCACGGTTCTCGCCGCAGCTTTCGGGCCGGATCGTCTCTTCCAAGTCATGTTTCCGTTTCAACAGCAGCACCCAGGAGACTTTGAACGGGCTTTGCGTGAGAGCCTGTGGCTGTCACTGTACGACTACCGGAAGGTGTTGATGGTTTCGTACGAGTCCAAAGCCCGTGGAGAGGTCTGTGTTGAGGCAGCTTCAGCTTCAGACGATGAGCGACAAGCTCTGATACTGCCGTCGTCGTCGACGGCAAAATCTTCTGTCGACGGGAATGAGACGATCACTGGCATGGCTGAATGGGAACGAGCGGGCGAGGGATCGTACCACGTCCACGGACTCTGGGGATGGTGGGATCCACGTGCGTCGCCCAGTCATCCTCTCAAAGGGGGGGTTCCGAGCCATCGCTGTGTGTTTAAAACTGATGTTTCGCCCATTAGGTCGTTTGATGAAGCCTCTCCTGTCCACATTCTATCGCCTCCGGAGGCTGATATTCCGCAACAAAGCCGCCGTCCGTCCCACGGCCGAAAACCCTCGACCGCTCACGTACTGGGCGCTGGGCCCGTCGCTCCTCCCGTTCAGCGCGCAGTTCATGGCCGCGCCGCAGCGGCAGACACACTGGTCGCTCGAGATCTTGGGCGTGCATCCGAACTTCCAAGGGCGCGGCTTCGGGAGGGAGCTCGTGGAGTATGGGATGGAGATGGCGCGGTCTGATCCCCTGGGCGATCTGCCTGTGAGCGTCATGTCCGCGGACGGCAAAGAAGGATTCTATCAAAAGTGCGGCTTCAAGCATCTAGTCGGGTATGTGAGCAAGGCCGAGGACGAACAAGGGAATGAAAATCCGCTGAGGAGGAACGGAGTCGGTGGAGGGGCGGTGTTGTGGACTAGGTGAATCAGATTGGAAGGTCCTATAGGATAAATCATTGCCATAACTACTGTACATAGGACTATGTACATGTTTTATATCCAGTTGCCGGTTCAGCTTGATTGAAAACTCGGACCACCCAGATCACATTAGGGCTAGTGAAACAAACCCAGACTTGAGTGTGCAGAGCGGATCGGAATGAATCACTGATGGTCGAGTTAGCCTGGCCCAGCCCGAACAGCGATTCAAGCACTGGACTCGGTTATGCAGCTATCCCCATTCCAGCGCGATCTCAGTCCGGAAGAGGACCGATTCGAAGTGCTTTAGAATCGATTCGGGGTGGCGCTGCGATGGGCTGGGCTCGGACTTCGCTACTACGAAACAAAATGTCTGAGGTCGATAACACTCGCGGTTCCTGTCTGGTTGTCTGTAAATCTAGTCGGTAGTACTGTCTACCAAGTCCCCTTTGATATAGCTAGCTGCTACCCACTCGGTATAGTAGCATTTGTACGAATTAGTAGTTTTTGCGGGAGATGTTGATTTTGGAAACGCATCACCGAAAATGCCGTAATAGGCTTAGCTGAATTCACATAGTTCCATATATGTAACTTCCGCATATGGAAGCAACCACTCGCAGTCCTGGTACTAACTTCTGATCTCCACTGAACTGATTCCAGGGGAGGCATAGTATTTCATTCGTACCAAGATCGTTCTCGGAGCTAGTATTCCATAGAGTCTTGAGATTCTGGGAACGTTTGGTACAATGCTTTCTGTCACACGAACATGTATAGCATTGCTAACTTCCTTGCTCAACTCTATACATCCCTCTCGTCCACCGCAAGTACTATGTACGGGCCAGGATTCACTGCTGTCTCCTGCGCGTCGATAGGAGGTGACAGGTGGTAAGCAAGTACATAGGACTATCGGGGCTGCTACAAAACTTGAGTGGTGCTGATGGTGGAAGTGCTACTTGTTCCCTACAAAACGGCATCCCATTTTTACCGCTTGGGATTGTGAGAGAATGCAAAGCCCCTTGACGGCTCCCGGCACGGCTTCTTCTGCCGGCCTGGATTAGCAAGTTCAACGAAGGGAATAGTCCCCCTTGCGAAATGTGGTCGAGGAACAACAACAAGAAAGGTTGACAGTGGAAGTTTACCACCGGCAGTTTATCTTGCGGCGTAGGCATCAACAGCTGCCATGTGATCGACGAATTTGCACTTGCCCGATTGTCATAATTGTACACTGGCTGCTAGTAGTAACCCCAATCCATGGACCGTGCTGCTTGGGAGTAGCTGAGCTCATGCTTCGCCATATGTCACTGAAAGCTGCTGAGAACCCTTATCGTGGGATTCAGCAGGCGTGGGTCTCTGACACGCCAGGGGTGCAGAGCAGTGACCTCTGGTGCAGGAGACAGCCAAGCTCTTGCTCCTGGATTGGAGTGTACTAGTGATGTGGTGGTTGGTGTCCGATATGCCCCTCTCTTCCATCTTGAGTCAATCCGGGTATAGAATGCATTCCGGACACGGCTTGGCCATTTCAGGACTTGAAAGTCGGTTGGTAATGTTGTCAAACTAGCTGAAAGAGACATCAAGCGTTGGAATATCGGGATGACTCATTCGTCCACCGCATGAGCAACCACCCTCTGTAAGCAACTCTGCCTCCATTGACGAGCTGAGGCCTCCATTCCCTGCACCAGAAATGCTAGTCGGGTTATTGACACACGGAAGCGAGAGGGACGAGAGAGGCTTGATACAACAACCAGTTATCCCAGGTCTTTCGCTAGGCTGGACCGCAATGACGCGCTAGCAGTCGGCGAACTGATTGATCATCTGCTTCTGTTCCACGAATTGGGCCCCAGAAATCCCTGTCCACGGGCTATGGCTGCCTTTTGCGGACCGACCGCAGGGCTGTGCACGCTGTGCCCACCACAACGGAGATGACAAAGCTGCGGCTCTGAATCTCGGTCGGCATAAAACCACAATGGTCACAAAAGCCCATCGACAAGCAGGACTAACCGTCACAAACTTTGCACAACTTTGCAAGGTTACATAATGCCAACCTGTGCCAACCTCTTGGCATGCTCTGACTAAGCGAGGCTGTACCCGATCTCGTCACTGTTGACCAATTGGAGTTGAGTGGCTCTTGCCTATTTCGACCGCTCCACGGTTTTCAGTTTTGGGTCAACGTCAACGGCCATCTCCTGCACCGCCCGACCTGCTAAACATTACACGATGCGAGGGCCACGCAAGAATCTCGCCATCGGTGAAGGTTTTTGTCGAGGCCTTGACCCTCTCAAGCAGGTAGCGTTACATGCATAATCACAAATACTCTGCGTTTTGGTCTCGAATTCAAGGTGCCTTGTGTCCCGTCCCTGGTGTGTGTCGAAAGTCTCTTCCCGCAACCCCGTCTCCCATGCTGGCTCCGTCACCAAAGTAGTAAACGGTAACGGTACCCTTCTATGGCGCGCCCGAGTGCGTCAAAGAAGACTCTTTCGTGGCGATCTGAGGGGCGGTGGATGGATGGCGGGCGGGCCAGAAGTGCTTGTGTCCAGGAATGTCGGGGGACTGATATCAATCTTCCTTCGTCGACGGCAAAGTGGAGACCCCGTCAAATTCATTAAGAGGGAGGAACAGGCCGATTTTCAAGGGGTGGGAGCAATCTCTCAAGCTGAACGGTCTCCTCAGTCCGTCAGGTAAACTACCATATACCCAAGTGCGACGTCGGGTGCGAGATCATGGCTCCCCATTCCGCTATCCTTCGAAGGAGTCATGGTAAATCCAAGGACGGGTGTAAAACTTGCCTGTCGCGGCGGGTGAGATGCGATCAGGCCAGACCTACATGGTAAGTATAGCGTGCTACTCCAAGGGGCACCACCACTTCCGTCCAGCAACTCCGACACTAACGGGGACACGAGTCAAAACTGTGCTCGAGGTTCGCGAACATGCGTCTACCTAAGCTCGTCAACAGGCGTCGCCTTAGAACATGCGAGGTCTATCGCTTGGATAGAATCGATCGAGATCGCGTGTCAGACCTGGAGAGAAAGCGGAGATACTCCGTTCCCAATGCTGAAAATTCTGTCGTCTCACGATTGGCACGGCCTGGATCCACGAGGTCTCCGATACCTCTACTACATTGCCTCTCTCGGGGATATTCTGGACCAAAACAACGCCCGGAAATTTGCGCTCTGGTACGATACCTACGAAGTGTATGCCCCTACCCCGAAGCCAACTCCCGGGAGCCAAGTTCCGCTGACACTGACGCAGGGGTATCCAAGCGACCGCAAAGTATGACTTTGTCGCGTATGCTCAAATAGTGGCCGCCGCCAACCGCATTGGAAAACTTACCAAGATGGCAAGTGTCATGGAGGACGCAGCGTGGTACCGGTCATTGGCGTTGAAAGGCCTGCAACAAGCCCTTGCATGCTTCTCCCGAGAGAATGCGGATGGTGTTTTGGCGGCGTCCCTCAGCTTCATGTACAACCAATCGACCCCGGCCGATCTGCGGAGAATCATGCAGGGCACAGCAGCGGTCGTCGAGGCCATGCGCCCGTGGGCCGCATATTCCGGAGCTCGGCTGTTATTGGAACACATCTATCCTGATAAAGAAGACTCCCAATACCCCGCCCGGCAGCACGGAGACAATTCCTATCCTCCCGAGCCAACGACCTCTGTCTCTGCTCCTCTGGTCACCGTACAGTCGGCTACAGCTGCGATCGAATTTCTACTGGAGCAGGGACTGACCGCGATGAACCGGCTGGCAACGTGCATCAGGCATAAGAAAGAGCTGTCCACGACGGCGCGGGGCCTGGCAGACATGCTACGGATGGCCCAAGCAGAGCACCACCTGAACGGCCAAAAGTACGATCCGTTCTGGCTCGTCCACCCGTTCTGCGGGATGACCAGCCGGGAATCCATCTCCTTCACCGACATCAGCAGCTCGCAGCCCTTTATCCTGGTCTTCTTGGCCCACCTGTACAGTGCATTGGTCGTGATCGCGATGCTGTACCCGGAACTAGACACGGCGGGCTTCGTCACGATTCGGCTGCACTCCCTGGATGCCTTGACTCGACATTTCGACCCGATCGCCACGATCGCGTGCGAGACCTGCCGGGAGGCCCACAGCTGCCAGGAGCTTCTGGCCTTTCCCTGGAACGTCCTGCAGACATACCGGAAATGGCAAATGGATCGGCGAACTATATTATCACCTGGGACGCGATCCCCCGTGCCCGGGAGGCGAGAAGAGAGCTCGCTTGACATGACCACCGATGCGGGGGAGATTTGCATCAACCAAGATAGCCGAGATGCCTTGACGGCGGCCAAAAGCCTGCAGAGAGCGCATCAAAGTTGTTTACAGGAATACGCAGACTTCGGCAAGCATATGTCCAGACAAGCTTTGAATCACAACCTTGTCTGATGCCCGGCTTCCATAGAATGAGCGCACTGGGTCGCAAAAGGAGAGGATCCACGGTCTCAACGAGTATTAAAGCTACTAAGTCGTCCTTTGTGAGGCAGCTAACTATGTGCATTCATTCACCTTCCTGCATGTCAAGTTCTGCATCTGTCCCAGTATCAATGCCGTACAGCCAGTAAGATACTCCGTAAACCCATTTCGTTACCTGGCCGACATCTGCGACTCTCCACTATTCGACATTGGGCATCCGTGAATACTGACACGAAAGCTTTCTCCGCGGTGATTGTTTCAGGCCTTGAGAGCAACAACCACACTATCACCTTCAACCGCAGTCTCTTCTCCAGATGTCTCAGGCTTGTGCTCGCCCGCTGTTGTCTTCTTATCCGTACTGTCCTTTGATTCGTTCACGCCACTGACTGTGGTGTTCGTGACATTTTCCTTGTTTTCTTGCACTTCGGGGTGAACATTGTCTCTTGGCTTCCGCATGGTGCGTCGATTGTTCCAGTTCCGCCGGTTCTTCTTCTTATGGGGTTTGGATTGAAGCGAATGCCATTTGTGATGCTGATCTCCATTGGCGGGTGCAGTGTTTTCCTGGTTGGGGCCAACATCACCACTGACTTTCGTGTTGTCGGAAGTTGTTTTCGCATTTGACATAGCAGATTTGTTCCCAGCTTCCTTGCCACCCGAAGTAACGGTGTTCAAGGTACTGTTCTTCACGTCATCAAGTGGTTGCTCAGCCTCCTTTTGCGCACGACGGTCCCGTCTAGCTTGGAATATGGCACTCCGTGCAGAAAGTTGACTATCCCCTCTCATGTAGGCAATGGCGCGGACGATAGTGTCAGTGGCCTGGTCAAGTTAGTCAGTGCATGGGAAACGAAATAGATGACCAAGAGCACTCACGATGAAAGAGGCATTCATGAGCTGGACAAGATTCGTGGCAAGCAATGCCATGTCCTTGAAGTCGTCTTCTGCCTTGGTCGAGTTTCCATTTTCGTGGAGCACCCTACGAGCGTTTTTCATCATCTCTCTAACGTGAACCTCTGTGGCAACACTGAACGTCGCAGGGGTGCGAGTTTGCTTCGTGGCATTTCCTGCTCGCTTTATTGAGCCGCCCTCCTCTTCTTTGGGCGCGGCAACCTCATGTTTTGCGGTCTCAGTCTGAGATTTTGCAACTTCTGTGGTGGCCTCGTTCTTGCCGGTGCTACCTGTGGCAGCCTGGGCAGGCTCAGCTTTGCCGCCAGTAGTGTGGTCGGCCATAGTCGGGGGTTCGGTTGAGACGGACAAGCTGTTCGGCAGAGGAATAAGTGAGATGGACGTCACGAGGGAATGTGATACTGACCCTGATTTCTTCATGAAAAGACAACGCCGGGCTAGACGGGCAGAGAATATTGGGAAGAGGAGGGAAGTGATTCCAGTGTGTGTGTGTGTGTGGGTGGGTGGGTGTGAGTGAGTAAGAAGAGGGTGGCGAGGGAGAGGTCGAAAAGTCTCACTGAGGTGGTAAAGGTGAAGGCGCGAGGCAGCTTCACTTTCGATCCACGGTTCAAGGGCGACAGAGACCAAGGAAAGTACCTACCTGTCCAATGGGCAGATCTGGCAAGAGCAGGACGCGAGAGAGAGAGAAAGGCAGAGACAGAGAGACACGGGTCCGGCAGAACTGTAACAGATGAGCACAGAAGTGCGAATGCGCAGCACGGTGTATTTCGGGCCTCATGGAGCTCACTCCAGGAACCACTGACCATCTTCACTTTTCTCTCAAATGTTTCTTACTGTCGTGGATCATGGAGAGTTCAGCTACGTGGTTCAGAACTCAAGGCCGCGCATTTATTGTCCGACCCATTGTTAGCAGAACAACCGACGGTTGCCTCCATTCGCCTCAAACGACCAAGCTCATTGTTTCGTGAAAAACGGCAGTCAGCCAGTCATCGCAAGACACAGACACTGTTGGTCGTTCTGAGTTTCGTGGCCGTGAGGCTGAAAGTTGGGGGGAAGCTCGGTCAACTTTCCTTCTAGCAAAAGCTCCCCGCAACACTCAGTTTCCTCGACGGTGGTGGAGGGTTTCTCTCTGCGTCGCCTAGGTATTGATCGTCTTTCATAACATTGTCCTCCTGGTTGGCGTAAGACAAACAGGTTATTGTTGATGCACCACATCTCCTGTACCGCTCAAACTATAACACGGACCCACTATGGCAAGTCTCCTAAAAAAGCCCTTCAAGCTTGCACTCGTGCAGCTTGCATCAGGTAAGTGGTGAGTACCCTAGTCCGAAAACTAGACGCGAAGAAATCATTCTGATCCACGTACAGGAGGTGATAAAGCCGCAAATCTTGCGCATGCCCGCTCGAAAGTTATCGAGGCCGCAAAGGCTGGCGCCTCCATGATCGTCCTTCCTGAATGTTTCAATTCTCCATATGGCTGTCAATATTTCCCTAAATATGCTGAGATCGTCCTGCCTTCGCCTCCCTCGGAAGAGAAATCACCGTCGTGGCATATGCTCTCCAAAGTTGCAGCAGAAACCAAGACCTATCTGATTGGCGGAAGTATACCAGAATTCGTCCCGGAGACGAAGGAATACTTCAACACCTCCCTTGTCTTCTCGCCCACAGGAAAGCTTCTGGCAACGCATCGAAAGACACACTTGTTTGACATCGATATACCGGGAAAGATCAAGTTCAAGGAGAGTGACGTCCTGTCTCCAGGAAACAAGGTGACTATCGTCGACATACCGGAATATGGTAAGATTGGACTGGCAATATGCTACGACGTTCGCTTCCCCGAACTCGCCATGATAGCTGCAAGGAAGGATGCTTTCATGTTTGTTTATCCTGGGGCCTTCAACACGACGACAGGTCCAATGCATTGGACATTACAGGCCCGTGCGAGGGCAATGGACAACCAAATTTACGTGGCAATGTGCAGTCCCGCGAGGGATATGGAGGCGACTTATCATGCTTATGGGCACTCGATGATAGTGAATCCTAATGCGGAAGTCCTGGTTGAGGCTCAAGAGTACGAGGATATTGTCTATGCTGAAATCGACGGGGCAAAGATCGAAGAGACGAGGAAAGGCATTCCGATCTACACTCAGAGAAGGTTTGATGTCTATCCCGATGTGAGTGCTGGAAAGGTGCGATACGACGAATGAAAGACAGAGGAGTCGTTGCAGGACAAACATGCAGCAAGGAAGACGAGAATAGATACTGCAGTAGAACAGATCTTTCAGCAGACGACCAGAACAGGTTGATATCGAAACAACCGCTCCCATCCAATTCTCCGCATTGCGGCCTGACCTCTACTACTACCCGCTCCGCGGGCTAACTCACGTCGCACACCGTCGCACGTGACTGAAATCTTGGCACTACCTTTCCCCTTTCGGACAAACTGCGCACATCCAAATTTCAATCCAAGGCGTCTTCTTCTCCCAGCCAGCTCAACATCCCGTCAGTGTCTCAAGTCCTTCGCCAATCCAGACAGTATGTATAAAGCAGCCTCAGCTCACTCCTATCATCCCAATCCCCATCATCTGCGGAGTCTCCTCAAGATACCGCAGAAGTCGCCCAAAGCTCAAAATAAATCTTGCCAACTAACCCCAGACTTTCCGATCTTAGAAGACCGTCGCAATGGCCAAAGACAACCCCAAGACCCAGCCGAAGAAGGCGGCGGCGCCCAAGAAGTCCCGATCTGCGATCGGAGACGTTGTCGCGCGCGAGTACACCATCCATCTGCACAAGCGAGTATGTCTACAACCACTTGTCCCGTGAAAACCTCTCGAAGACCCTGCAATGCGCCCACCCCCAGAACCCACGAGAAAGAGCAGAGGACACAAGAGCGAAGAGGAGGGATATCATCACACCACGAGGGAATCAGTTTTATGAAGTCCACCCGAACGGCTTGCACGCCCTGCCTCGCACCTCTCGCCTCATCTCAATCCTTTTTTTCCTCTCATACTACTTTCTCTCGATTTCCACCTTGCAAGCATTATGGACGGAAGACTGATTTATCACTCTACAAATAAAAGGTTCACGGCATCAGCTTCAAGAAGCGAGCGCCCCGCGCCATTAAGGAGATTCGAAGATTCGCTACGCAAGCTATGGTACGTGGCTCCTCCGACGCACACACCAATGTGTTGTCGATCTTCTCCTCTTCCTCCCCTCCTCCTCTTTTTTTTTGGCACCATGGGGTTTTGCTTACTTGTTTGTTTTTCTCCGTTTTCTAGGGAACCAACGACGTGCGACTCGACCCCCAGCTGAACAAAAAGGTGTGGGAATCCGGAATCAAGGGCGTCCCCTTCCGCCTGCGGGTCCGGATTTCGCGGAAGAGAAACGACGAAGAAGGCGCAAAGGAGAAGCTGTACTCTTATGTCCAGGCCGTGAACGTCAAGGAGAGGGAGGCCAAGGGTCTGCAGACCGTGGTCGTCGAGGATTCATAGAACACCCAAACCCTGGCCCAAATACGGGAATGCCCGGTTGTGGGGAGCTGATTGGGGCGGTTGGGCTCTGCGGCCAAGGGAAGCCGGATCCTTGAAAGATGAATCGAATCCAAGGGAGAAGGAAGTGAGCCCAGACGACGGATGAGATACCATGACCACAAAAGGCTCGATGCGTGCGTACTATTTGCTTGTTGCAGCTTCGGCAAGAGGTGTTGAGAGAGCAACACTCTCGAAAGCGAATCAAGATTTCAAGGAAGCGGTTCCCTTTATTTCAAAGTTTCTACGTAGGCCTGCATTCCTTTCCAATGCTTTCCGAGCTCGCCCATATCACTCAACCGCTCCGGCATTGTCAGTTCGACGCTCAGGGAGCTTCAAGTGTCGAAGAGGTAGCTCAACCTGCCCCTGATGGCAACAAGGAGGCCCAATCTCTTTCAAACCGAACTCAACCTTTGCGGACATACACAATATCGTCTCATGCGATGGTGTAGATGTGGTGGCATCATATCACACATATCTTGTTGCTGTACACTGATAAAACAAGGCCCGCAAAACTCCATCGCTGTGCAAATCTCTGCATCTGGTACATGCCTTTCTCGCTCGACCTCCCATCCATCTCAAATTAAGAACACACTCCCAGAATTTTCAGGCACTTTTGTTCTCCTCCAGAATCTTCGCCAACTCAGTCGCCATCTCCGGCGTTCTCAATTTGAACACTAATCGCGTAAGATTCCCTTTGTACATCAGTGCTCCCCTCACCGCGCCACTCTTATTACTCGGGACACTCTCGTAGTTCGTGCTCCCCACAAGATGAGAATTGAAAAGAATATTAGCGCTCGGTTCCACGCGGAACACCACTCGGGTTTTGTTGGTCTCCTTGTTCTTGAGCACTCGGATCTGGCCCACGCCCATCGAATTCCACTCGTTCGGAGCGTATTTGGTGCCCTTCGCGGTTTCATTGTTGACAAACATAAGGGCTTTGGAGCGGCCTTCCCAAAGGCAATTCTCGTTCTCTTCTCCTGCTCGTGAGTCCATCAAAGAAGTTTGTGGATCTTCGGTGCTTTCGTCGGTCTCGTTTGTGGCAACAGATTCGTTATCGGTCAGGCCAGGCGAGGTGGCGCGAGACGAGACAGCAGAACTAGCGACAGAACCACCTCCTAGATGAGAAATGGCACCCAGATAGCCAGGTGCCGGTGACGGGGTAGGGGCTCCGAATTGAAAGCCTAGACTTGGTGTGTCGGAGCCTCTCGAGCCCGGGGCAGTCGTGCCAAAGAGAGTACTAAGCGGCTTGGGGGTAGCTGAGTCCTCCTTCTCGGCTGGGGAGGCCGCCGTGAATTTGAAAATAGGGGCACTTGCATGTTTGTCTCCATTTGCGAAAGAGATCGGCGCACCTTCCTTCCAAGTGTTGTCAGTCCCTGCTGGAGAGGTGAAAACCGCTTTGGCAAGGCTGGCATTCTTGTCTGCATTGCTCGGCGTACTCGGCCGAGAGCCAAATAAACCCTCTCCTGGAACAGGACCATTTTTGGTAGCTCCACCAGAAAAGATTGAAGCACCGAGAGCGGCCGCGGGGGTTGTATTTGCTGGTGTCGGACTGAAGTTGAACCCGCTCGTTGGCTTGAAAGGAGATGCGCCAGTGGAAGAATTGAAGGGCGAAACCGATGGCTGGTCAGGTGTCGATTTGCCAATCTGAGATCCCCAGTTCGATGGAAGAAGAGAGGAGTTCATGGCTGGCTGCACGGCAGGAGGCGATCCCGCTTCAGACTCTTTTTTCTCTCCATTCGTCGGGATTGCTTTCTCTTTGTTCGGGTTTGGCTCAATGCGCTCGAATAAGCTCTTACCAGCGTTCGGATTGCTTTTGGCCCTGTCCATAGCTGCCCGAAGGTCATTATCGTCTTCGTCCTCTTCCTCTCGGTTTTCTTCAGCTACCTCATCTTCAGGAAGGTCATCTTCAGGCTCCGCTCCCTCTTCGCTATCGTTACCGCTTTCATCTTCATCACTGTCTGCGGCTTGATCATGGCTTGATTCGCTGTTGTCATTCTCATCGGCGTCTGCAGCTTCTGATTGTTCTGCGCTAACATCCTTGGACGAGAGCGCAGAAAAAGGATTTGAAGATGCTGAAGAGGTGAACCCTGTAAAGGAAGCTTTGGTAGCGTCCTTCTCCTTGGATGGCTGTGCGGGAGTATTAGAACCGAACGTCGGTTTGAATCCTGCCTTTGCTACAGCGTCAATTTTTGCCTTTTTTGCTCGGTTTTCCTCTTCAATCCGTTTGCGAAACGCGTCCTCGTCATCCTCATCCGAATCAAACTCCTCGGCCTTGCGCTTTTCAATCAGATCTTTCTCAAACTTGTCAGCATTTGCCTGTGCTTTCTGACCAAACGCAGCAAGGAAGTTCGTGTTCCCACCACCAAACTTGGGAACTTCGAAAATCGGTTGCTTTGGTGGTGGTTTTGTTGGTGTTGTCGAGGGCATGGTTAACGGCGTGTTCGTTATTTGATTTGCACGGGAGAAAGGATTAGCGCCTGCAGCGGAGGTCGAGTTAAGCCCAGCAAAAGGAGCTGCAGTCGGCTTAAACCCTGTGGGGGCTGGCGAACTTCCGGATATGTTGTTCAATCCAAATCCAGAGGCCTTGTCCTCGAGTATGCCAGCTGCCGTTGAAGACGCCCGACCACCAAGTGCAGTATTAGTGGCGACAGGCCCTGTTGAGTTAGACAATGCAGGCGTAGGTTGCGAGCCAAACATGCTAGGTTTTTGGGAGCTTGTGTCTCGGGTTCTCTTGTTCTGCTCGGTATCTTCCTCGCGATCATCGATCCGGTCGGCTTTTCGTTTCGTTCCTGCGACATTCCGCACGAACAATCCCAACGATGCACCGATGCTCTCACGCGAAGCTACATAATGCCGGATGATATGTTCGAAATCTTGCGAACGTGGGTCCAAGGTGGCGATCTTCTTCTGGAAACCGTAGTTCAAAGAATGAAGACGGTAGTCCCGGTCAAACTCTTGGAACTGTTCGGGAGTGGTATGGCCAGGAACGCGTGACGGGGCCTTGGTGTATACAGGTCTCTTCACCGGCTCCACATCCGTTACAGATTCCTCTGCATTTTCAGAAGGCTTTCGTACCGGCTGGCTTGCGGTCCCTGCAGAAATGTGTGCATCTGCAGCTGGAAGCTGACCAACTTGCGCAGCGGCGACGGAGAAAGCACCAGTAGTAGGGGAAGATTTTTGAGCGACTTGGGATTGTTGAGGTTCTGGTCGGGACAGACCACTGAACAAGGTGGGAGCCGGAGACGAATGAGGGAAAACTGGCTCTGCAGTAGTTTTACTTCCATCCACGCCAGATTTTGGTGCGCCGGGGAACAGACTGGTAGTCGGTGCTTGCGGCCAGCTGCTCTCTAGTGCGGCCTTGGGTTGTGCGTTGAATAAAGGCTGGGATGGAGATTCAACAGCGCTGCTTAGCTTGCTAAACAGGCTTGCACTTGCGACTTTGCCGTCTTCGGGGCCTTTCACCGTCGAAAATGATCCCCCAACAGAGGCAGGCTTCGACGGGGTTGTAAAGGTGAACAACGGCTTTGGTGCAGCATCCTTCGGCTGCTCAGCATCTCCCTGAGAGATTCCTGCCGGAGGACCAGCTTTAGGAGCCTCTGCTCGAGGAGTTGGCCTACCAGAACTTCCTAGTCCCCCAAAGAGGTCAGGTGTTGTTGATCCCGTGGCTGGAGTCGTGGAGCCGAATTTGAACGTCGCATTTGAGGGTCTCGGTTCGGATTCACCCGTGGCAGGCTTGGGTTGCGTTGTGGCACCAAAGCTGAATGGCGACTTACTTGTGGTCGTTTCTTGCTTTTCGGCGGGAGGCGTGGCTGTCTGACTTGTCGTGCCAAGGTTGAACATGGGTTTTGAGGCGGGGAAGGCTGGGGTTGGAGTATTCACACCGGCAAAGAGACCAGCGAAAGGGTTTGCAGGTTGGGTATCGGATTCTGAAGCAGCTGGCTTCTCTGGTGATGAAGGTTGTTGTTGCGGCTCGGGAGCAGGTTGCGAAGTGTTCCCAGCACCAAACAACGGAGTAGCAGGTTTGGGCTCTTCCGCTTTCGTGGCACCGGGTTTGGCAAAGGGATTGCCTATCGAGGGGGTTCCGGTGGGATTTTGTCCGAAAGAGTATTCGGTAGATGTTGATGGTGGGAATCCAGTATTGGACGTCTGGTTCGTGGTAGAACCAAACATACTGCCGCCAACGCTTTGGGTTGCTGGCGTGTTTGAGCCCAAAAATACGGTGCCTTGATTCTGCGGTGTAGTACTGGTCTGGCCAAAGGTGAATTTTGGGGCCGCGGGTTGCGTATCAGCACCATGTTTAGTGCCGAAAGCGGGAAGCGGACTTTGGGGAACAGATGTGCTTTGGCCGAAGCTGAAGGCCGGCGTCTGAGACTCTGCTGTCGACGACGACTGACCAAACCCGCGAAATAATGGCTGTGATTGGGAAGGCTGAGCAAAAGGGTTCGTTGTAGCAGGGGACTCCGTGGGCTTCGGAGACTGCTCAAAAAAACTCGCGCCATTTGTGCTTGCAGTCTGAGTTCCACCAAAACTGAATGGGGCACCGGACTGTTGTCCAGCAGGCTGGCCAAATGTGAAATTGTTTGATCCAAAAGCACTCCCAAACGCAGGTTTCTTCTGGGGTGATTCCATAGAGACATCTGGCGCGTCCACAGTTCCATTCGCGTTCGCAAAGGGATTAGGTGTGCCGGAAGGCGCACCGAAGGTAAAGGAGCTAGCCTGGGGAGGCTGAAAATTGAAAGAACTGCTTGTGCCAGCAGACGTCTGAGGGAAAGATTGGCTTGCGCCAAAGGCAACACCGCCATTCATAGTGGGAAACGGCTGTTGTTGGGTTGTGCTTTGCGCAAAAGGATTCGAGGTGCTGAATGAGGAAGAGGAATGAGACGAGCGGCTTCCGCCTAGCCGACCTCGCGGCGTGGCTATCCTGAGAGGGAGTCAGTAAATGATGTTTAGAGGCGCTTCGAGTGAATGCGAAGAAGTCAGGGCAAAAATAAGGCAGCGGGTGTAGAGCCTACGGGTGACTGCAGCCAAGCGACTGGAGCAGGGCGCCCGGGGCAGAGGAATGGATGAAATTTGGGGACTGAATTCAGGAGGGCAACAACAACATGAGCGCGACAGGGAGATAGATTCGAAGGTATGCGGCACAGAACAACTCACTTTCGCCGTGCCTGTTGAGCTGCTGTGGACATTTTGGGTTTTTCGTCTGCGGTGGGGTTGTTCGCTGTAGAGCCGTTGTCCTTTGTGATATATTCGTCTGCGACACGTTTCGGCATGTCACTGGTTGGTTGGAGAAGGTCGAGGGGAGGAGGACGAGGGCAAGGGCGAGGGCGAGGGCGAAGACGAGGACGAAGAAATACAGAACGAGAGAAGTTGTACCATCGAGACGGACGCGTTGATGAAGGGCTCTGATGGGATTGTGCTCGGACTGAAAAGGGCTCGATCAATGCCTGCGCCTTCGATGAAGAAATATTGCGCTTCCTGTGTTCAAGATTCTGCTGCCAGATTCCGGGGTCTCGGGTCTTTTGCCCTTTTGGCTGCGAACTACCACTGCCTTGTCCGTCTGTCGAGTCCCAGCTCGGTTCACGTGACTGCATCTTTCGTGGGGGCCGCAACTGTTGAATCCCTTCTCTCTCCTGCGTTCTGAGAACAACATTTGCAAGATCTACCACCATTCTTCTACCTCCCTTGGAGATTCTGCAGGCAGCCAGTTCTTGGTAGGCAGTGTCTATGTCTCTGCTTATGGACAGCCCTATGTGGAAACTGTCTTACCCAAAGTGCGCAGTTCGCCGTCCATCTCACCCAGCTTTGAAATGAGCGTTTCATTTTCAGCGACAGCTCGAGACCAGATCTTACCAGAATCCAGCTCTACCCATCCGCTCGCCGTGATATGCCTATCGTACCCAGAGTCGGGACCTCTTCTCACTTAACCGAATATGATTTCTCCATCCCAAGCGAGACCAAGAAGGAGATCTCAGCGCAATTCCAGGGCCATAATGATTGCGCAGACGACGAGACATCCGTGTGGCTTCATGTACAGCACCTTGAGCTTCTTCCTTTCAATACATTTCAGCATGGACGATCAATTTCTCTAGCTTTTCAGAGAATTTTGCCATGGAGGACACCGTTTAGGACCCTCGGTGGCTGTGCGAACCCCTAACAACGACGAAGTCTCATTTCAGTGTCCACTTGCCCCCTAGTCTCCTGGTGCTTTTGAGGAATTTGAGATAGCGGATGTGGCGCAAGGATTCCATGCCTGCCTGACTGGTGTTCACTGCCTGCCAGACTGGTACATGTCTGTTGGTCTTCACAGCTTCGCGTCCCACCCATATTGATGCATCCCGTCCCGGTTCACGCGAATTTTAGGCAGATTGAAACTATTTAGGCTGGCATAATCTTTGGATGACGCCGAGTGCTCCAAGTTACTGCACACTGACCTGCCTGCTGGCCAGTAAGCTAATAACACGCCAACTGTACGAACAGTATCAGAAGGTCGTGACACAGACAACTGGGTGGCATATTTCTTTGACATGCATCCCTTTGAGAATTCAACAACGAAATGGTTGCGGTTGCGTGGTGAAGGAAGGTGTTGCCCGGCAGAAGATCAAAAACACACCGTGGGGGATGCCTGCGTACATAAGGGACAAATTGATGTCTCGTCCAAACCAATATCACCAGCGCATTCCAGCACCAGCTAACCAACCATGTCACAGAGATCCACATCTACTGGAAAGAAATTTCCCGCGCTTTCGGTGGGCAGTGAATACGGTGGTGTCGGAGCACACCTTTCGAACTCGCATCAACTGTACAACTTAGTGGGCGGGATCTATTCACTGGCGCACATGTGCACATGCGAACCGCTATGGTAACAAGTTCCAGCCACATGGGTCGAACCCGCCTGATCTCTTCTTGCTTGCCGACGACAGACACATCAACCATCAGCAGCAGACACAAGTCAGCACACTACGGAAGGAAGGCCAGGCCAGAAGCAACCATACGTTCGCCAAGTGTCAGTGCCACGGTGCTACTGCAGCAAAGAACGGCCTGCTGTGGGTGTCAGACTCCCAATTGGTGTTGGAAGAAGTCCGTGTCTCCACCGACGATACATGCCAAGCTCAAAGAGTCTGAAGCACAAGTATATTGGAGGGGTGGAAAGACATCTTTTACACAGATCAATGAGGAAGGAGACGATAGTCTTTCGCTTGCGCGCTATCCGGAGTGCTAGAGAGCGGAGTCGAGATGGAGAGGGCGGATTCAATGGAAGGCTGAGCATCCGGACCAGCCAGATATGCAGCTCCGGACGCATCCCCCGCATTGACAACACGACCTTAACCAGCATTGATGACTTTGTCCTGGCCAAGGAACCCCAGTCTTTCTGCGAACTCTGAGAACGCAGATGAAGCCCGGTTAAGCTCACTGCCCTATGCGACTGCCTAACCCACAATGGCTTGGATCTGCCCTCAGCTCTGGTGATCTCAAAGTTTGAGTGGCCGTCAAGGCCTCCAGCCTCCTCAATAAACCCTGTATGTTACGCATCGAGACCCTCAACGATGCAAACCGCACCTCCATCACGGACCCTCCACTTCTTCTCACCCATCAAGAAAAGAGCTTGTCCTATACGCGGACCATTCATGCATCTCGCCTAGCTTTGCTGCTTACGGACGGCTAGATGCTGCAAATTCATCAGCTATGTCGGCGAGGATGCTCAACCCGTGCTGCAGGCTCGCCATGATGACTGGTATTTAGGTCCGAGTGTCCTCCCTCTGGCAAAGGACTTGCTCTTTCCCCTCCCAACAATGAGGACAACCCTATTTCGCTGCTGTATTTACTGACCTTCACTATTCATTCACGGGCACACTGCACTCTCGCTTACATTGCCCATCATGCCGTGCTCACTCTTGTCCTTCTTTACTGTCGCTGCGTTCCTGTTAACTTCGATCGGCTCCGCTGCACCGTCGAGACATGTCGGAAGAGACGACTGGTCTTGTACACCTGAAAACATCAAAACTCGGGTGGACTTTAACAACATGGCTGCCGATGATCGAAAAGCATACACGGACGCCGTCAAGTGTCTAATGGCCCAACCGTCTCAACTCGACCCAGTCCAATATCCCGCAGCCGTCAACAGGTACATGGACTATGCCGTTATTCATGTGAACCGCACACAATATGTCCACCTTGACGCCTTCTTCTTGACCTGGCATCGGTACTTCCTCTGGATCTATGAGACAGACTTGCAACAGACCTGTGGCTATACCGGAGCATTCCCATACTGGAACTTCGCCGCCACAGCTTCCGACCCGCACGCGTTCCCCATCTTCGACGGCTCCGAGTACTCCATGTCTGGCGACGGAATCTACAACGACACAGGTCCCATCATCCTGGGCGCGCAGTTGACCATTCCTCATGGTACAGGTGGTGGGTGCGTCACGACCGGTCCCTTTGCAAACATGATTGCGCCGCTGAAATTCATCGACCCGACGCAACTTACCACCGGCACGCTCCCAGCAGATGCGTTTGCCTACAACGAAATCTGCCTGATGCGCGACCTCAACGCCTACGTCTCTCAGACGTACACCAACACCACTGAACTTGTTGCCGCCGCACACGCGACCAACGCCTCAAACTTTGAGTTCCTCCTCAACGGTGTCATCGGGTCTGCTTCCCTGGGCATCCACTCGGGCGCACACTTCTCCGTCGGAGGTCAGATGGACAGTATCCACGTCTCCGCCCAGGATCCTGTTTGGTATCCCCTGCACACCATGATCGACAAGGTCTACTGGAGTTGGCAGACCAACTACCCCGAGCTGGCGGATCAGTTAGACGGGTCTACGGGGACTGCGCTCAACACGCCGGAGTCGCCAGTGGTAACCCTCGATTCGATCGAACCCGACTGGGGTTACTTCCAATTGGAACCCATTGCGGTGAGGGACCTGATCAGCACCACTGGGGGTCCATTCTGCTATCAATATGACAATGTCATCTCATAATAATGACCTCCAGCTGAGATATCGTTGGCAGCTCAAGGGGGGGATAGGGATTTTGACAATTGTTGAACGAATGATTACTTGTCTACATAACTCAGCTTTACCATCCAGTGGTGAGGGTTGGTGGGCCTACTAATTAAGTCTGTTCCTTTCTTTCCTTGCCTGGTTCTTCTCTGCCTGCGAGGTTCCACTGCTTACCGGCGAGGCACGCAATGCATGCATGCAGGGTTGGAGGGCGGGTGAGCGAGCATTGCTGAGATTGAAGGACCGTTCATGGCTGCACAGCGGAACTGCATCCGACCCGAGCATGACGCGAGCGTGGTCGATTTGGAATCGGTCGCGTGAGGGATCAGGAGTCGAGTTGGGCACCGCGTGGTACAGGCCGGGTAGCTAGCTTCAGCAATGTATAACAAACAATACAACCCAGTCTCCCAGAATTGATCGAGTGCTCCTGCGAGAATGTGTACGTATGCCTTCCAAGCGGCATTGCCAGGGTACAACGGGAACATGCTGGAGTATAGGTAATCAGGCCGGAGTGTTTGCGAAGAGGGCCAATGGCTGGGAGCTCTACACAGTCTATCTAGTCTCTTGCCTTTCAGTTTTGCCCAAGTAATAACCCCGCCGACATTTTGTTGGGGGAGGGATGGCGCGTCCCCAGCCTCGTCTTACAGGGTCTTGTCCCGCCCAGCGCCCGTCCACGCCTTGTGCGCCCAAGGAGAGAGGAGGTCAGAAGTAATCCCTCCTCTTAAGTCTGAACTGGCTCATCCACCGCCTCTCATCGGCCTGCCGCTCGAGGGCCCGCCGCATGGTCTTGGAGTACTCTTCCTCCTGCCTCTCGCGCTCCTCCTTTTCCCTCTTCTCCTCCACGTTGCCCTCGCACTCGCGGACCATTTCCTCGTGGTCCATAAACTGCGGGTCCGACGTGACGATCCCGATCTTCTCCCCGGTCCACACGAGCAGGTCTGCGTCGCCGCGATTGCCGCGCTCCCCCGACGAGGCCGGGGACTCGTCGAGCGGGATGATTTTCCGCGCGACCGAGTCGCCGTGCACGGCGGCCGAGGTCGCGATGGCGCGGTTGTCCATCATCTGGAACCCGTTGATGTTCCACCGGCGCACGAGGCTGTGGCCGTCCCGCTCGACCCATTTCAGGCCGCCTTCGGAGTCGGAGAAGACGATCTTGGTGCCGTGCGACGCCACGGAGAGGAGCTTCGATTTGGCCGCGTCTTGGCGGTTCTTGTAGCTGAAGACGCCGTTTTCCGAGGTCGGGTAGCAGTCCCTGGTGATGCCGAGCTCGTCGTCCTCGGAGGGGCTGGAGCCGGAGGACATGTCCGGGTTGGATTGCCCTTGTCCAGACTTGATGTGCGGAAGGGAGTATAGCTCCAGAGACCCGCGGCCCCGGTATTCGCCGCACGCGACAAGAGTGGCGTCACCCGTTACGTTGGGCGACGCTCTAGCTGGTGGGTATGGGATCGACGTCAGAGATGAGAGGCTGGCACTGGAATGAATGACATATTGAAGCCGCGGGAAATATCGACGGTCGTAGGATAGTATAGTGGAGAATCTACCACAGATGAGAATTTCGTTCTCGGCGTGGTGTAGAATTGAAAGTGGCCCAGGATCGACTCGGGCATAACCCGTCCATTGACGATTCTGCGGGCGATGAGAAGGGCGTGATCCCAGAAACTGTGTCGGGGTGCCCAGCTTGGACGACGGCGGGGGAGGCGTGCCGAAGAAGGCATGAAGTATTGAGAATTCTCCCAACATGTCGGGGAGGATTGCCGTAGAGCTTCCTGGCGTGCACGGCACTTCGTCTATATGCTCATGAGAAGACTGAGAGGCCGGAATGACAGGGATTCGTGGGTCGACGACATGGAGGGTCCACTGAGTGCCGACCGTTAACGGCAGGTCAGGATAGGCTGACTGCGACAGAGCAGTTATCTGATAGGGATATTTTGCGTGCGACACCACAGACAGAGTGTTGAGATCGATCTCGTTCAATACATTGCCGACGGCGATGAAGGCATTTTGCTGTGACGGGAAGGCGCTCACACAATCCACCACTAGGGTCTCACCTGGTTTATGGGCATTGGCAAATAGGATGGATGGTTTGCTCCGTCCCAGCTCTCGAAATTTTCTCCTTCTTGAGGCACCTCGACTGATATCCCAGATGCAGACGCTTCCATCCTCCAGGTAGCCAAGGGCCTGGTCAGTCGCACCGAGAGAGGCAACGCCTCTGATCTCGAGGTGTCTCGTGGGGTCGTTCACGAGCCAGTCGACACTCAGGGGAGCATATCTAGCCTTGTACTCTGAGTACCAATCCACCCGTTCACCTTCGCCTGAGAGATCCCATTGATTGACAGCCCGAGCCCGGGCGCTTTCTCCTAGCCTTTCCCTCACATGGCCGTTCGAACGAGGTTCACGTGATTGACGAGGGCGATCTGATAGAGTCAGACCTTGTACAGCGCTGATGAGGGTTTTCAAGTTACTACTGGTTGCCCTCATGGAAGCACTGGGTGACTTTTCGAAGCATTTGTGCCTCCACAGCCGGTTGGCACGTGCCAACTTGGACAGGGTGGAACATGTGAGTTGGATGGAGATGAGGTCCTCGGGTTCGAGATAGTCGAGTATCTCGATCAGAATCTCTTCTGGTAGTTTGTCCATGGTGCTGCACTTTGGATTTGCGTGGGAACTCCTTCGAGGTTATGCGGCAGTCAAGGCTGACAGGGGAGGGCTGAAGTCGGGTAGACTCGGTTGGAGAGTCGATGGTGATGCGGGACATGGAACGTACTTGTAAGGATGGGGGGAGCTGGCCGCTGGAGATCAACCGTGCCTACCGTAGCTAGGAAAGGGAACGAATGTCGGTCTTAACCGACATATATCTAGCAGATATTCAATCGATGGAGCACAGCCCAAGGCCGCCAGTGATACAAGGGGAAAGGAAGGCTCTGGAAGAACGAGGGCCGAATCCCCACAAGTTGGTATGGAGTAATCTCGAGGTTGATACGGAGTAAGGCCAGCCGCATCGGGGAAACCAAAATCCGCATCCGGTTTGGAATGGAAAGGTAGCCCGGAATATATATACTCCGAGTCAATATAACAACTGCCCACTTGTCGTGTTGTCGCTGCTCCATCGCCAGCTCCAGTTATCTGTGGACGTGTCAAGTACAAGCCTCCACGGGCATGAATCTACATCTTCCAGAGTATCTCTTCCCCGCCCCTTGTCTTCAACGGTGCCGACCCCCTGGCGAGCCCTGTCATACAGGAGCAGCGAAGCTTATCAATGGGGCAAGAGACAACCAATCCAAGCTCCCTCTGGGACGGCAGATGCCCCGTTCCCATTGGAGGTTAGGTATTGATATCAACAGCCACAGAGCCCAGATCGCCTTCAACAGCAAGAGGCACCTTGCCTTTATGACGTCTTCAGGGTTTGCAGTCGAACACTCCTCATTAAATATGTCGCATTGGTTGCGTCAGAATATGCAATGGCAAAGGTAAGGAGGCGACATTGAACGTCCTCATTGCGAAGAGAGACTTCTATTGACTTCAGTGAGCGACATAATCCCTCACAATACACGCACTCCCCCTGTGTCCGTCGCCATGTCTGCCTTTTTTGAGAAGCTGAAGGTGTCTAAAAGCGACGGGATGTCTGGCATGGGGTCAGATCAAGGCGCTCTGCGAGACAAACTTGAAGCGGAAGATCCACAGTATTTCCACCCCGCAAATGGGGAAGGGCAAGGAGCACATGCTGGTGATGAACTCGGTAGTGGTAAGGGCCAAGAGCTGAACCGAGCGCCCAATACCTTTGGAGGGCCATCCTTTGGTCGAACCAGCGCAATCCCAAGGCACAAATCTGAAGCAATGAACAAGGTGGACCCTAGGATTGGATATGATGGAGACGAAGCCCGTCAGGAAGCACTGGAGCGTTATGAGTCAAAATATGGCAAACCCTCTGGTGATATCTCGGATGGACAGATGCGTGGGACAGATATGGCCGGTCTCGTAAGTGGCTCGTTTATTCTCATCGAGTTGTCCCCGTTCTATCACTGTCGAGCCTGACAAAGACTCGCAGGGTCCAGACCAGAGCGCGCTCGGTCAAACACCCGACTTCCGAGAGAGACCGCAAGAGGAGAGAATGGCAGATCATTTTGAAAAGTGATGGCTGCTTCCGGGAGGCAGCATTCTACGAGGCTGTGTGAAGAACTTCTTTGGACTGGGCTCCGACAAGAAGCCGTAGGGAAGGAAAGGGTCTGGGATTCTCAACGTCGATTCGTAAAGCACACATGTACCATGACTATCGGTTCTATGTCATATGAAAAGCTCTTTGTCCATTTATCCCCATGGTTCCCTGTGATGAGGGGCTGTTGTATCGAGTAGGCTGGGCCATTTGCTGGGGGTTAGATGACATCACTCAATCCTCGCTTCACCCACCGAGCCGATTCAAAAATAAGTCGCACGGTCTGACGAGAAATAGTATAGAGAAGTGATTCACTATTGACCTAAAGGTGACCACTAAAGGTGACCACCATTAAAAAGGATATTAATTCCGTCCTCAGGAATAGCGGTATCCTTATCATTATTAATAATATTACCTATATTTGATCTGGCGATCACCTTGTCACTAATATTGAGTGGCTGGCTAGATTCTGAGATGGCATCAATTCTCTGTCAGACTGTGACATTGTTTTCTTCCAGAGGCTTGCTACGTCACCAGCGTACAACTGTTGACGAGCTGCATCGCAACAGCACATCGAGACCTCTCAATGGACTTGGTGATATCTGGTGTTTTCTCGTTGCAAGGTCATCAATTCTCAGAGCTATAGCCTCATCTCGCGACTCACCATTTGTCACACAACGAACCCTACCATGCGATAGTCCGGTTACATCGAGGCCTACAGCCTATTCTCAAGTGCCTCTGCAATCATGATAACACGACTACTCTGGCGCGTTTCCCGGCGCCGCCCGCTTCCTCGATACAGGAACTTCAGCAGAAACGTCTTTACACAAGACCAGATCAAGACGGCCGGACTGCAGAAGACTCCCCATACCCCAAACCAAATAGTGACCGAAGTCCCCCACTCGACCGAGCCTTCAATAATCGACGTCCCCAGCCCGCTCTGGTATCACCGTCTCGGTCCTGTCAAGGATTTTTTCTCCTGGTTTAGTCGGATGCAAAGACGGAGACCCTTGGCAATCGCCCTGACAACGTCTTTGGCAACGTACCTCTGTGGCGACCTGCTCGCGCAAGAGGTTGGGGGAGAACCGTATGATGGTCTGCGGACATTGAGGATGATTACAGTGGGCAGCTTAGCGTCTATACCGGGTTACAAATGGTAGGTCACTGACAAACATTGGAGATCAATCGCAGAGCAGAAATACTAACGCGGTCTTGGTCCCAAGGTTCCTCTTTCTAGGAACCCACTTCAACTATGCCTCAAAATGGACTTCGATCACGGTCAAGGTCGTCATTCAACAATTTTTCTTCGCGCCGATCTTTAACACCTATTTCTTCGGCATGCAAGCCCTCTTGACCGGTGAAGCTCCTTCGGTGATTCTCCACCGTATTGTCTCGGCCGTGCCAGAAAGCGTGGTGAGCTCGGCCAAGTTCTGGCCTGCCGTGACGGCAGTGAATTTCACTCTCGTACCAGCGCATCTTCGCTTTGCCTTCTCTGGCTTCTTCGCCGTGATTTGGCAGACATACCTGTCATTTCTCAATCGACGCGAGGAGAAGACTGGACCTCAGGGCACGCTGGCCGATCAAGCTCGCCAGAAGTTGTATGAAGACGCCCCTTCGGCTTCGGTTGTCGACGTCTTGGATGGCGTCGATTGAGCCAGCCCGCCGTGCTACCTTTATCTTTGGAGCGGTGGACATATTTTCGACGAGCGCGGGAATATGTGACCCGTCTATTCTCTCTTCTAAACCCTACAAATCCCGAACCACCAATAGAACATTCGCGATGCGTCACTCACCCTTTGTCTCTAAAACAGCGTCTTGCACTCTGCGTGTTTGATGGAGAAGCTGAGCAACTGGGTGAGTGATTTCGACTCCCATCTCGTATTTACGGGAAAAGGGATACTCTCAGCATGGTCACTCCAGGAGACAGGCTCCCACAAACGCGGACTCGTCATCCTCGAGAATCGTGAACCATCCTTCATTCTATGGTCCGAACCAACGGCTTCACACTACTTCTAAAGTCTCAGCACGCCTGGCACTGATCTTGTATAGTTTGGAACATTTGGGACCAAGCATCGAAGAGGGATTCATGAACTTGTTTCCCACTCGATCGCGGAACCGAGGACAAGAAGAGAAGACCTCCAGTCTGTTTTTCGCTCACGAAGCGCCTAAGACATAATTGCCAAAAGAAATCCCGATCCGCCGGTCTCGAATGCACACTCGATATCTGATCTTGGATGGCTTATTCCAAAGGTCAACTGACTGGAATTGGCGCCCTTGTTACCTGACCGGGGCGGAATTTGCCAATTCATGGCTTCCAGGGCGGATTCTCCTTCTATACGCTTCAGTTCCCAGGTGTACGTCACTCTAAGCCTATAATAGGTGTCCGCGGTAGGAGGGACAAGGGCAGCAGGCCTCCCTCCCCCCTTCTACGCCAGGACAAAAGGGGAAAACCAATTTGAATTCAAACGAGGGTCGGAATCAGAAGTTCTTCGAAAAGTAATGATAGCGATTGCACAACGTCCTTGCCCCCTTCATTCGCCTTCACGTTTGATTACTCGCTGATGACCACGGTGACGGGTCACGATCCTCGTCGATCTCGTGGGAGGTGGTCTGTGTGGGAAAGGGACGACTGTAGCTCATACCGGCATTCGATAGTATGTTAAGCTTACCCAGGTACCATCCTCGGACAAGGGAGGTCTGCGAAAGCAACGTAGAGGAGTATCATGGGTTTGGAGCAGCATTGGCGTACCGGAAATAGACCTAAAGGGTGGATTGAAAGAACCGTGCTCTGACCCCGAGGTGTCGAGATTTGTATTTTGCTTATTGGAGTGGACTCATTGAGATGGCGAACCAGAAGCCACAGAGTTCTTTCCAGGGAAGGTATCTCTCCTCTTGATTATACCGCTAGTGTTTTGAATACCATGTTCAGGAGCCCTGTTAAGTCCCCTTTTTTTCCTTCCCTTCCGGCTGGGACCCCAACCCTTCTTATTACCCATCTCGATTAGCCCCCCGTTCCATCGTTTTCGTCGCCGATTGTTTGACATCAGCTGATGTTGCTCGAATCCACCGCTCTGACGATCCCATAGCTCGCTCCTGCCGCGGCAGCGCCGATACACAGCGTCTGTGCAGCGCCCCAGATTGACTGTCTCCGATCACACCCGGCGAAGGCGCACTTGAAGTATCCGAAAATGATCAGGATGACGGCGGTGATGCCGATCGATACAAAAAGAGCGGTGGTGGCATGGTGGATGGCGAAATATGGAATCATGGGCAGTAGGCCTCCTTGGTGGTGTGGGATACCCCTGGTCAGCGATAGGGTGAATATAGAAAAAAGGGGTAAATGGACAGTCGAGCTAAGGTACGGGTGAAGGGTAAAATTTACCGATGAAATATGCAACTCCCATGACAGCTGCTGAGATATATGCCGAACGCCGAGCCGGTTCTTCCAGTTTCAACTCGAAATCCATCATGAACTAGTAAACCACGGTAGTGAGCAGAAGACCCAAGCCGAGTCTGCCGCTCCGGTGATATGGTGTGCAGCATACCTGGACCCATTGGTCTGGGTAACATCTCATGGCGTTGACGAAGGGAGCGACATCAGCTCTCTGGGGACCGTAGGCACACAGAATGCGGTATATCTCCTCCATCTCCTCTTCCGGTGACTCCTCCACCTCCTTTTGCTCTCGATGTCTTTCCGTGTCATAGTGTTGCCTGTCGGTGACAGAGGCAAGGTAGGCTCCTAGCCCCATGGAGATCGATCCACTGAAGAGTTCGGCAAGGCCACCCGTTATGACAAGTTTGGAGGATCCAAGACTGTACAGCAATGTCAGTCCAACCGGGGGAAAGGCTCCAGTTTGGCTTCCTCCCCCAACGGCCCAGAGTTCTCTATCCCACGTACGATGATAGTCCTGCGGTGAGAGCAAACGGGACTGTAAGCCCATCTGCGAAGCCAATGATCAGATCTCGCAGCACCGTGCCATTCGAGCGGTGCTTTTCGCTGCCGGTGTGTGATAAAACGGGCGAAGACTCGGACATGTTCGAGCAGGGTAGACCACGAAATCCACACCGTCACTGGTAGCCATTGCTTATATGTTGCTTTTCAGAGGCAGTTCAGCTCCAGATTCCCGTTGTCACTGCTTCGACAGCAGTGGTCGCGTCACGCTCGAACACGTTCCTTCACGGACAAGCAGGGACATGAACCAATCACAGGTCATGTATTTGTCAGACACGCTCGCATTCCTCGTGGTCACATTCGCAGGGGTTCCAAGGAGAAAGGAAGAGTGACATAACTCATGCTCATCAGTTATAATCTTGTCGTTGTGTGCTGTTTCTGCGTTGTGGTCGTGGCGAAACAACATTCATATCCGTCTGCGAAATTGTACCAAGCTGCACTCTTGGTATATTACCATGGCGAGCCCCTAGAATCTCGCCAAGAGCGCAGTCTTTTGTCACAGAATCATTCGATCGAATTTCAACAGGCTCAGCTGACTTGCGGATCAGGAAAGTGAGGCCCAGAGTGTTGACCAGGGACTGGGCGTTGTCGATGCGATGGGCGGCATTTGTCGGCTGGAGATGCATATGGGGACTCGCTTTCTGGGGCTGCTCGCCTACGGCAACTGATCACCCTCTTGCTCCTGATGACAATGGCGTCTACGTCTGACTGACAGACTGGAAAAGAGATGTGATGCGAGACCTGCAAAACGAAACTGTATGAGAACAGGGTTGAGAGTCAGATGCAATTGAAGAGCGCAGGCGTTGTCTGGGGGTGGAAGAGTCCCACTTGACTAGACTTGCTGCGGGACTAAACGAGCATCAAGCTGTCATTCTAGCTCAATGCCTCTTGACGCCACAGGACTTCATTTAGAGATAAATGGCTAGGAATAATGCTGCATCCAGAATGTCCTTCACGGTGCACGCCCGCGTAGAGTACTCCGTACATGGCTGTGAGTAGTAAAGGCGGGCGTTTGGCGGATTCTGAGCAGATCTTGGCATGGTCCGATTGCGTAAGGGCAAGGACGCTCGCTCGGCATGACGAACCACTGACATCTTCCAGAGGTTTGCCTTTGCGGTTCTGTCGTTGCTCTCCACCACTCCTGCAATCCGACTAGGACTACCTCTTCCCCCCGAAACCTCTTGACTGCCTTTTTGTGGTAGCTGCGACCTACAGCGATATGGCTCCCCCCAGCTCAACGGCCAGAAGAGGGCCGAGTGTTTTGGTCCGTCTCCCCCGAAATGATCTCGTCCACAGCGATCCAGTATGCTGGCTGATGCGATAACTAACATCGAACTCGAACAGGTCTCTGATCCTCGCGAAACGAGGCCTTTCCCGCAGACCCGAAGGCAACAACCTGCTCGATTCATCACCGTAGACAGCGTCCTCCAATATGCTTCCGATGTCCCCTCCGCTCACAATAGGCACCCCCAACGGCCTCGAGCCTTTCGAACCAACTCAGGCAGGCCTGTCGATCCAAGACTCACTGGTCGCTATGTCGGTTCGCATATGCCATCTCGATCCACCAAGACGTCCGAAAAGCTAGTTCTGTTGCCCGAGGCCGTCGAGGAGGAAGAAGAGAAAGGTGATTTTGGTCCCGACGCCGACAAAGGCCCGCCCAAAGACGACGAGGACTATCGCAAACCTGGGAAAGAAGGTGTTAAGAGCTACGCGGAAAGGTTGCCCAAGGCGAGACGTACGGAAAAGGAGCTACCCAGAGTGACGGCCTACTGCACAGCTCAAGCATACAAGCTGCAGTCTACGGCGACCTTTGTCAGGCAGCGTCATGGTGCCAGAGCTAAACTCTATGACGACTGCCTATACTGCGCGTATCATCTGCCACTATTACCGGGGAATGAAGGTTACAGAATCCGAAGCAGCCCACCAGTCCAGAGCGCTAAAGGCGGAACGGTCCTGGACGAAGAAATCGCCCGCAGCGAGCAAAGAGATTACCGGGAACCGTATTACGCAGAGGAAGAGGAGCAACATTCCGTGCGAGGTAACTACACCCCGGATGAGCAGCCTGTTGACTCAAATTCCGGTGACCCAAGCGAACTTGAACGGCCACGGCTCAACGGGCAGCGGAGAGAGAGTGACCATTCACAAAGATCGAACAGTCCAGGCGCCAGTCTCCCTGCCGATGCATACCGGTTCGCAGAGATGTTTGTCTTCAGCTACGGAGTCGTCGTATTTTGGAATTTTAGTGAGAAGCAGGAGAAAGATGTTCTGGCCGACTTTGCCTTTGCCACGATTGTGGATCAGAAAACCAACATCGTATCGCCGATCACACTAACCACAAATGCCTTGGATGAGGAAGATTTCGAAACGGAAGACTTTCACTTTGAGTACAACAATGAGATATTGCGCCCACGAGTATACAACGACATGATTACACTCCGGAGCGGCGACCATATGATCAAGCTCGCCATCAGCCATGCTATTGCCCAGAGCACCAAGCTAAGCTTCTTTGAGGAAACCATGGCTGCGCAGATGGAGGCGGCAAAAGACGTCCCCGGCAAGTTGGCCAAAACAGGTGAGCTGGGACTGAAACGAGAAGAAGTCATCAAGCTGCTCGGAGGCCTGTACAAGAGTCGAGTGGAGGTCAATTTGTGTAAGGTTACCTTTCGGCATATCTGTAAGAGACATGTGCGCTGACCTTTGCCGCCATCTAGCATCGAATGTCCTCGACGTGCCCAACCTGATTTGGGATAGTGAGCCTACCTTGCATCCTCTGTACAACGCGGTACGCGAGTATCTTGAAATCAAACCGCGGATCCAGATTCTCAACGAACGTTGTCGAGTGTTCCTTGACTTGACCGAGGTCTTGTCAGACTATATTTCCGATGATAAGATGTCGCGGATCAATTGGATTATCATCGTCCTGATCGTCATCTCCATTCTGGTCACATGCTCCGAAGTGTTCCTACGGTTTGGCATTTTGAGCACGCGCGGCGAGGACAAGAGTCCTCAAGCCTTGCAACGGTCATTGCTAGGCAGCGAGCTCTGAGTCCACGGAGGGTCTGCGTGGAATATTTCATGGTTCAATGTGCTTCCTGCGTAGTGTATATACCATTTCTGTCCTGGCTTGGTCGATAGCGAGGAGTTGGCAGAGCAAGGGTTCGTGGCGAGAAAAATAACTTTGATTTCCGGGATGAAGGCCACCCAACAGGATTGTCTACTTTCTGCTACATAAAACAATACGCAAGGAGCTGTCCACAGCGGTCAGCATTCCCGTTATCTCGGCTGGAAATTGTGCTTTCCGGAAGGTTGTCTGCAGCGGGCGGCAAGGCATCTGGAAGGGGCCGAGGCTGCCAGCACGGACTCCATCGACTGTGGCAATTGTGACCTGGTGAACGGCGTATACGAGCGTTCGTCTATCTCTTGTTGGTGCCCTCATTATCCACCTTCCTGCGCGAGATGGGGCATCCAAGAATCCTTGGGCCTGCCCAGAAAGCGGAGGCGACCGAAGTGTGGATTGTAACACAGCCGCCGACCAGGGGATATAGAAGGCGGGAGGTCTCTGATTCGACGGAGACGTCAGAACAACCGTCAGCCCCAAGACAGCCATGTTGCATTGGAGCTGCAACAGCGAAGCGATCGGTCTTGTAAGAAGCCAGAAGTTGACCGTGGGATCCCTCTCTTATCACTTGGCAAGGTGCCATGGCACGGCTTGGCCTGATAGTAGAGCGCGAACTGCCTCCTTAAGCAAGTCGATTCAAGGCTGAGATGGGGGAAATTGTGCACGAGGACGACAGGCCGCGGCGCAGCCGATGAGACGAGACGAGGCGCATCTCGAGCCACAACAATGCCAAGACTTGTAGCGTTGCAACGAGAGGAGCATCGGTGGCGTTGAACCACCATCCTTCCGCTTGTATCCCACCACTCATCTTCCCTCCTCCTGTATACGATTGTCCTCGGCAAGCAGATCACCACTACCTCTACGATCCACCCTGCATTGAGATTCGCACAATTCCACCCCGTGTGCCCCCTGCAAGCTCGTCGGAGCTGCCATCCTCTTACGGATTTCTCGAAGACCACACCCTGCAGCACTGGTGCTCACTACCCACGCACTCATTGCCTGGAGAAGAAAAAAAAACACATAATTAATACCCCAACTCCACCATGTCTCCGTGGTTGATCACCTTTGTCGCTTTCGTCCCTGTCCTCTTGGTCGCTCTTTCTTTTCTGCGATCCACTGTACTCTCCAAATACCTTGACGACAAGCACGAGCGGAGACAGCCTGCAGGATGAGCTCAAACCCAGACTCCATCGAGCCAAAGGAGGTCAGGGTGATCAACGACCACGTCGTCCACATGCACCCTACCGATGCGCCTGCTGAGGGGGGAGAGCGCAGACGGACACACCACGACATTCCCGCTCATGGCCACAACCCTTCCATGCAGAAGGACGTCGACGAGAATCCAGATTTAGCTCTGCACTACTCCCACGAGCATCAGCACAAGCACTTGCACCATGGCCGCCCCTCGCTGACCGGTCGCCATGACGAGGTCCTCTACGCCGATGGTACCACCGTTGATGAGCATGTTGCGAGCAAAAACCCTCAAGACTATGTGAAACACCAGCTCCGACATCCCTCGGGACCGGTCGACGAGAAGGACTTCATCACCATGGGCGATGCTGAGAAAGGAGACGTGGATCCCACGCGCGTTATGACCAACGGCTCAGAGGATGACGGGAAGAAGCATCGTTTCTCAAGAGCATATGGAAAATACAAAATCTTTGTTCACCTCTTCATTTGGTTGTTATTTACCGGGTGAGTCCCATCGACCTTTTCGCGATGAAAAACCCCCTCATTTGTTGCCGCAGATGGTGGATCGCTGGTTTGGTCATGCACCGCCACGACCTGGGCTGGCTGATTCCTTTCCTCCTCTATCTCGCCATCACCCTGCGCCTGATCTTTTTCTGGGTTCCCATCACTATCGTCAGCCGACCGATGCATTTTGTCTGGAACAACACGGGCGTCAGGGTCTACCAGGCTATCCCGGAGAAGCTCCGCATCTGGCTTGCTGCGCTGGTGGCTCTGGCCGTCATTCTGGTTGGATCCTTTGTCTCAGAGGAATCTGCCGACAATACTCGTGGAAATCGTGCCATCTCCCTCCTGGGGCTGGCGGTCATGATAGCCCTTCTTTGGATCACGTCGCGTGACCGTCGCAAGATTCGCTGGCATACAGTCATCGGTGGCATGTTGACACAGTTCGTCATTGCGGTATTCGTGCTCCGAACCAAGGCCGGTTACGACATTTTCAACTTTATCTCCTTCCTCGCTCGCCAGCTGCTGGGATTTGCAGACCAGGGCACCTCTTTTCTGACGGCGGAAAGTGTCATCGACTTGCACTGGTTCTTGACTGGAGTCGTCCCGCCGATCATCTTCTTCGTCGCCTTCGTGCAGGTTCTGTACTACCTCGGCGTCCTGCAATGGTTCATTGGCAAATTCGCAGTGTTTTTCTTCTGGAGCTTGCGTGTCTCTGGTGCTGAGGCTGTTGTGGCAGCAGCTTCTCCTTTCATTGGACAAGGAGAGTCGGCTATGCTGGTGCGTCCGTTCGTACCTCACTTGACCCTGGCCGAAATCCACCAAGTCATGTGCTCTGGCTTCGCGACCATCGCTGGGTCTGTGCTGGTGGCTTATATCGGTCTGGGCTTGAATCCCCAGGCTCTGGTGTCTTCTTGTATCATGTCGATCCCAGCGTCTTTGGCGGTGTCAAAGATGCGATACCCGGAAACGGAAGAGACCATCACCTCAGGTCGGGTGGTCATTCCTGACGACGATGAACATCGCGCAACGAATGCCTTGCACGCGTTTGCCAATGGTGCTTGGCTTGGTATCAAGATCGCGGGTATGATCGTGGCTACTTTGCTCTGCATTATCGCATTGATTGGGTTGATCAATGCTCTTCTAGGGTGGTGGGGAAGGTGAGTTCTCGCCATATGTCAGCCCACAAGGGTCTGTTAACGTTCTGAAATTCCGACCCACTGACTTGTCTGTCATTGCAATAGATACATCAACATCACCCAGGATGGCGAACCCTATCTGACCCTCCAGCTAATCCTGGGGTACATCTGCTACCCAGTGGCCTTCCTTTTGGGAGTGCCTCGCGACGACCTGCTGAAAGTGGGACAACTCATCGGGATCAAGGTCGTCGCGAATGAATTTGTTGCGTATAACTCTCTCACCAGCGAGGCACAGTACATCGACATGAGTCCGCGGTCAAAGCTAATTGCGACGTACGCCTTGTGCGGTAAGTCTTCCGGAACTCGAAGCGCCCTTCTGCAGTTGCGCACTGGCGTGATTCGTCCCATCGGTCGACGCACTTGATGCTAATTGTTCGTGCAGGGTTTGGTAACTTTGGCTCCCTTGGCACCCAAATCGGCGTGCTCAGTCAGATCGCACCTTCTCGCTCCGGCGACGTGTCTCGTGTCGCGCTCTCGGCGTTGTTCTCTGGGGTGCTCTCGACATTAACTAGTGCAAGTATTGCTGGCATGTTGGTCACGGATCAGGTCACCTTGAGCCAGAACAGTTCTTAGTGAATGGTTGCGGTGTGTCTCGCAGAAGAGAAATTAAGCTCTGATGGCGTCACGACTATGAACATATGGGAGAGAGGCTGCGTATCGAAAGGAATCCCAGCAGACGGGGCGTCAAGCAAGATACGTTCATGATAGGGGAATATAAGTTCAGCTGATTTGTTCCCTTTCCTTACACTTTCTCTGTGAAGACGGCCTAGATGTGTCACCATATATGAGTTTAGTTGGCCGACCTCGTGATCTCCTCTCTCCCAAGATCCGCGGGACTTGCTCCCCCATCCCCAGCTAGAACGCCGGTACCGCCCACGGAGGAAGCAGCAGACGTGTCCGTGGGCAAGCGAGACACGACGCCCCGTTCCACCGCGACCTTCTGGATCTTTGCCTTCTCGCGCTCGGTCTCGATGGTGCCCATCTCGCCGAGCCCGTACCAGACCACGGTGGCGACGCCGAGCAGGCCCGCGACGATGCTGAAGGTCAGCGCGACGATGCCGCGCGGGGTGAAGCCGTCGGGCAAGGGGGCGGGCGAGACGTTGGCGCCCGTGAGGTCGAGCAGGTCCGCCGTGTTGGCCGCGGCATTGCCGGCCGTGGGCATCGGCGGGGCCAGCGCGGCGCAGGCGGCCAAGTGATCGTCGGGGATGCGCGCAGAGAGGGTTTGTTGCAGGAGCAAGGGGGACTGTGACGTGTGGTCAGATTAGATGGTTTTGTCATTCATGGATTCTTGGTTGGAGATATCGGGGGACAAGACGAGGTCTCGGACCAAAAACATACCTCGACAAAAGTCATGACCAGGCCCGAGTCGACGTGCCATTCAATATGGCAGTGGAACAACCACACGCCCGGATTGTCGCTCCTGAATCGCATCACGATATGGCCGTTCGGTCGGACCAAGAGCGTATCTCTCCTCATGGGGACTCGGGGAAGTACCAAGCTCCCGTTCGTCACCGCGTTGGGGTCGTAGTCGCCCGAGTCGTCGGCACCACGCACCACGGCCTGGAAGGCGTGGCCGTGCAAATGGAATGGGTGTTTCCCGGGATCCTGGTTGTTCAGGACGATCTCGACGACTTCGTTGTGACCGAGGACATAGGCGTGTGTGTTGACGCCGTAGACGGTCGCGTCGGTGGCAAGGTCGCCGGTTGTCAGCGCCGTGTACAGCGAGGGCACCTTGGGGCGGACGTAGGTGATGCCGTTGAAGAAGGCATAGTTCTAAAGCGGCAAACGCGCCGATGTCAATAAAGGCCTGCTGGAGAAAAGTTGCAGGACGGGACGGAACTCACGACTCCGTCGCCCAAATTGTCCATCATCAGATCGAGCTGGACGACCAGATCCGGGTCCTCAAGCAGCTCCTCTCCATCAGTGGGTCGGAGCTTCATATCATCAAATGGCTCAAATGAATCAACGAGCTTGGGCGTCGGCATAGGTTTCTCTGCGTCATAGACCAAGAAACTCGTCACGTTTGGATTCAGATCCTTGGGAATCTTGTCGAACAAATCTTGGTCCATAGAACCCACGATCGCAAAATTGGCACTCGTGTCATTTTTGGTGGTCAGGAGAATACCGTATCGTTGTGCAGCAGTCAGGTAAATCATGCTTGCCTCGGTGGGTTCATGATATACACCGTCCACCTCAATGATGCGGAAAGTGTGCCCTTCTATCCAAAAGTACTGGGCAGCGAAGCCGGCCATATTGACTATGCGCAAGAAGTAGGTCTTGCCAGGTTGCACGTGAATTTGGAGGTTTTGGGTGTCGTTCATAAGGGCAGATTGTGGTACTTGTCCAGGGACTTAGCGTCCATGCAGAACAAAGGATGGATTTCGACTTACCTGGCTCAGCACCCGTGGGATTGGTCACGCTCAAGAACTTCTTGATGAGTGGGGGCATTTGCTCATGATACCAATCTGAGAGCGTCAATACTAACTCCTCCTCGTACAGGTCTGCGTAGGGGTTTTGCGGGTCGTGAATGATCAGTGGCCCTCTAAAGCCATCCGGATACTGTCCGTCAACGTGCGAATGGTACCAGTACGTGCCTGGCTGGGTGACCTGTTTTCTGCGTTAGTCCGGGGATGAGGTTCCTGAAGCAGAAGTTGGGCACACATTGAAATCATAGGTAAAAGTGGCACCCGGAGGGACTGGACACTGTGTTGTACTCGCGACGCCATCCATATGATTAGAGCCATTCATAAACAGCCCGTGGAAGTGAATTGAGGTAGACTGATTTCCCAGATCGTTTTTCAGATTGACAATGATCCTGTCGCCCACGTCCGCCTCGATTCGAGGCAAAGGCCACTGGCCATTGATGCCAATAGTAGTCCTGTTGAACAAGCCATCGGGATTCGTGGTCATCCAACCAGCAGTGAAGTTATACACCCGTGTTGCTGCAGAGGCGAATGACAGCAGAAAGACTGTGCTTAGGAAGAAGAAATTCGACAGGGACAGCGCCATGACTTCTGGCTATGAGTCGTGCTCGTTAGAGACAAGGAAAGATGTCGACCATCGATATCAGATAAGATCTTTTGAAAGGCGATGCTCCGAAAGTCCTCTGCCGGCAGAACGGAAAAACTTGCCAAAGCGTCCAGCGATCCCTGCGACCCTCGACGTTGCTCCGATACTGCTCCGGCGTGGCAGAAAATTCGAAAAGTCAGGCGGACGATCTGATAAGATTATCACTCAACTCGCCGGATCAGCAGGGAAGGAGAGACCCATCAACTCCTTCGTGGTCTGAGGATTTCGCACTGAATGGCGGGCTCATCGGGCTTGGATAGTGGAGAGCAATGCAAGTCGTCAAGCGAACAGCCAAGACGAAAAGTATTCAATCCGTAGAGAAGAGCTTGACACCGCAGGGTCCCCTTGGCAGAAGCGGTCCAGAGCGAGAACAAGCTGATGCTTGGTCGTCGCCAAGCTGGTCGGTCGAAGCGTCGGTTCTGGCCAGTTGTAGGGGTCAAGGCATTGGGCCACACATGGGCATCGATGGAAAAGAGGTCCGGGTTTGCAGATGTCTGAAAGAGAGAAGTTACACAGACGAAGAGAGACCGCCTCGGCGCGCAGTCGACGAGGGCGACAGGAGGGATATAGAGGGATAGAGGTGGTGCGAGCAATTGATCAGATAAAAATTGAATAATAGTATCAAGAGCTGTGATCTAATCTGGTGGACCCGTGTCCAATCGACTTGGGCGTGAGCTAAACTGCGGTCAGTTTTCTTTATCGAACGAAGACTTGCCAAGTGAGCAATGAAGACTTGCCAAGTGAGTAACGAACCTTGTGCTTTTCCGACCGTGCAACCCTCCGTCTTTTGAGGCGTGGCTTGCAGCTGTGGTTGAAGCGAGCCTAATCAAACCTGAAGGGTAACGTCAACAGAGACAAGGGAAGACCAAGGATTGAAGTGGGAAAAGTCGATGTGAAGCCGGGCCATGCGAGGCAACACCTGTGACGCGCATGTGTGCAAAGCAGAGAATTTCCCTGGCTGATCAAACACACGAAAGAAGCAGAATTTCAATCGTGTTCTTCCTAAACCCGGGCATCAGCCGACGAAAGTGTTTCCACAAGCTGTGTTTGCCAATTGACCAATCGACCGCCTCCTTTCGCGGGGGGGGCGGCAGCGAGCGGCGATCGCTAACTTTCTGCGAGGTGAGCCGGGGCGCAGGCGAGCGGCCTTCCCCAAGGGCATGGTGGACAGGGGAGAGTAGGACGGAGTGGAACCTGGCAGCGGACCAGAGGAGTGTCCAGAACAGCAGGATATGGACTCGAGCAGCGTGAGAGCGACATCGGCAGAGTGGACTGATGAAGAGGCGGAAATTCTGGGCGCAGGCTGCGAATTCGTGGCATTGACTGGCATTTTCGTGGCCAAGAAAAGTCGATGTCGCCTTTGTCCCCCACTCTGCAAGCTCCATGCGCCTGCGCACCACTCAGCATTCACCACTCATCACTCGCCCCTCGATCACCACTCAGCCACCGGCCATGGCTCTTTTTTTCCATGCATCCATCACCTGAATTCAAGGGGCCTGCCTTCCAAGCACATAATCTTATCAGATGCAGTCTTCCCAGCTTCGGCCGCTCAATTTTCTCCCTATCCTCTGCCTACCAGTTTCCGAGAGAGTGACTCGAAGAACAAAGGGGGCCAGAAACAGTACTGTCAGGAAGGGAGACAGGGGTTCTATAGCTCACCAGGGTTGAAAGTCACACGCACCAGCCGCTAACCATGCCGCAAGTCTTCGCCGTCCCGGTCTTCTTCATCGTCTTCAGAGAGACGCTGGAAACCACAATTGTCGTCTCGGTCCTGCTATCCTTTCTCAAGCAACAGCTGGGCCCAGATCGAGACAAGAATGTGTATAAGAAGCTGCGGAACCAGGTACGTTGTGGCTCCACCGGCCCATTGACCGATTGTTGTCCTTACCTTTGGCGTGTTGCAGATCTGGTACGGCACCCTGGTAGGGTTCGTAATATGTCTGATAATCGGCTGCGGAATGATCGGCGCATTTTATGGCATTGGAACCAACACCTGGGGAACCACCGAGGACCTCTGGGAGGGTATTTTTGCTTTGATTGCCTCCATTATCATCGCAATCATGGGTGCTGCGCTTCTGCGCGTCTCCAAGATGCAGGCCAAATGGAGAGTCAAGCTTGCAAAGGCCCTGGAAGCCAAGGACAACAGACATGGCAGACTCGGCAGTCGCATTAAGGGGTGGGCCGAGAAGTATGCTATGTTCCTCCTCCCCTTCATCACGATTCTGCGTGAGGGCATCGAAGCCATCGTCTTCATCGGGGGCGTGAGTCTCGGCGTTCAGGCCAGCTCTATTCCGTTACCCACGGTCTGCGGCCTCGCTGCTGGTTGTGCAGTGGGCTTCCTCATCTACAAGGGCGGCAACATGGCTCCCCTGCAGCTCTTCCTCATTGCGAGCACCTGCTTCCTCTACCTTGTCGCGGCTGGTCTCTTTTCTCGGAGCATCTGGTATTTCGAAAACAACGCCTTTAACCGGGCAACCGGTGGCGATGCCGCCGAGAGCGGCTCGGGCCCAGGGTCATATGACATCCGGTCCATCGTCTGGCATGTGAACTGCTGCAACCCTCTGCTGAACGGCGGCGGCGGCTGGGGTATCTTCAACGCCCTCTTCGGTTGGCAAAACAGCGCCACCTACGGCAGCGTCATCGGGTACAACGTCTTCTGGATCGTCGTCATCGCAGGCTTCGTCCTGTTGAGGTTCAAGGAGACCAAAGGGCACTACCCCTTTATGAAATCCAAGGCTGCGGATGCCGCGCTGACCGACGAGACATCCGCTGGAGACGAGTCAAGCGGCCTTGGCCCGGCGGAGGAGAAGGTCGTCGTAGGCGCCAAGCCCAAGGGGTCTAACAGCCATGCGTGAGAGGGTTCGCATGAAACCAGAGAACCAAAGCACCCGCGCGGAGTTGATGCAAGGGAGCATGGCAGCGTCCTTTTGACGTCTCTACAGGATGTCGCTCAACAACTTTCGTCGCCTGCGAGACACCCGTCTGCAAACAACTTGTTTGATTAGAGTCCGCAATATTTTGAGATGGTTTTGAAAGCACCAGGGATTAGGCATGCGGGTGAGGTCGAGGGGTGCCTGTGGGTGACTTTTATACACGGAGTACATATCCTTGCTGCGAAATAGCTAATCCATGATTGGCTGGATTTTTTCGTATCACCTCCCACTCACACGCCATAGCATTGCGCTTCACAGAACCGCCCAGATTCCCATTCTCGTGTCGCCGTAACATCGGGGTATTCCTTGCCAGGACAACAGAGCCCACTATTTATTGCGACGTGAAAACGCGAAAGTAGGGACAATTCAGGAATGGACGATTGGAGTCGTTGTTTGAGCATTCGTTCAACAGAGGTTTCTTGATTCAGAGACCACGAGGCATAACTGCGCCAACCGGGAGATCAACCACTTCAAAACACGTCCCTTGTCGCCAGATTGCTTGCTCTGCTACCCTCTTGGTCCGGCGTCCAGATGCTCTCATCCGTGTCAAGCTGAAAACCAAGCAACGTCTGCCGTCCTCCTCCCAGCGCAGGGCTACAACAAGAACACAACCGCAAAACGGAAACATGACTTTTCTTCCCCTCCACCCCCAAGCACGATCCCAGCTCTCATCCTCCCCGTTTCTGGTAACTTACAGTGAACTGCAAACCCACCCACCCAGCCATTGCAGTCACGGTAAGTTTAAGTCGAATCATTGTACATGTTCCTCCCAATCGACCTTGAGTTTTCAAGTTTATCAAAAACCTTGCATAATAGGTTAGGGTCGGACGTCGAGGAAGCCTCGAGGATTCTCGACGCAAGAATGTCGAGCGTAAATGCAACAAAACTATGGTTAGTGGCACAGGGGAATAGGGAGAAAATTTACTGCAGCACACCGTTGTATGGCAGTCGCCGAATGCACAAGTAAGGCGCCGTGGTGTGCTGAGAATAGAAGGGATCCTACATAGAGACCTAAAAGGTTAGATTCTGCCGTGATTAGTAAAGGTGAAGGTATTTGGCAAACGTCGAAGGTTGTGTTGCAGGCGAATCGAGTTTTGTTGGGCTATCTGCGATTACAAGTGTCTGCGGAAGAGGGATGGCAAAAGGTCGGAGTGATCGACTCGACTAATTATGATGGTCTTCGACGCTTCGGATCTGGCGTATCGAGATCGAGAAGAAGCTCATCTTCTTCCTCGGCTTTCCGCTTGGCTTGCCTGGCTTTGACAGGAGTCATGGGAGGACTTAGATTGCCCGCATACTGCGTGTCAACAGCTGAACCCACGTGCGAGGAGTTTTCGTCCAGGGGTTCAGCATTGCTGGGAATGGAAGGCTGTGTTTGAGCCACGTCCGCGTCATCTGCGTTTTGAAACGTCGGAACTGAATCTTCATCTTGGATGACTGCTGAGAGGTCTTCCGGCACATTATCACCAGATTCATCCTGCGTGACGAAGAGCTCTTCATCACCATAGGTTTCGTAGTTGGATTCTGGCTCAGGCCCATCGCCTTCGTGTTGAAAAAGATCTTCCGCTTCTTCGTTGGGTTGCCCAAGCCGTGCAGTCGCGACATCAGCTGCTTCGATATTCTGAAGGCCCGACTCTGCCGTATCGGCTTCTACAGTATGTGAGCTGTTTGTTTCATGTTCTTGATCCTCATGCAGTCGGTCTTGAACTTCAAAATGCAGCTCGTGCTCAGTGCCGTCGAGCTCTCGAGTCTCGTCATACACGTACTCTGGCTCACCGTCTTCTTGATCAGCTCCAGCAAGCAATTCTACCGGTTCAGCTGCCTCAGGCGCTTCTGTGGCTGCAAAAGGCTCGGGAAGATTCACATCGCTAGCTGTAGGCACAATGCTCTGGGTCGCATGATCAGAAGAGATCTCGTCCTCGGGGTGCTCCCCTTGACCGAAGGCATCTGTCTCATCGGCATTGGCTGCAGACAGTTGACCGTCCGTATTTTCTGCAACGGCCTCTGTTTCTTCTTGGGCAGGTAAGTGATCGCCTTCACTTTGATGTTCTTCATAGTGACTGGCTTCGTCTTCGTCATCGCCTTCCAGCTCCGGAGATTCTGAGTGATCGGCAGCGATTTCAGCATAGGTCTTTCCTTCAGCTCCCGCAGAGCAGAGATAGGCATATTGCGACGCCAGGCTCACTCGGCTGCTCAAGTGACAGTACAGAGGTTGGATCGCCTGACCTGCATTGTTATTGCATAGATGCAAGTAGACGTCGAGGATTTGAGCAAGCGTAATTTGAGCAGCATACTTAGAGTCCTCACAGACATGCAGGCCTAACCCAGGCACGTCAAGTACAAGCTCGTCATGGTGATCCAGCGTCCCAGTCAAAATCTCACGGCATGCAGCGAGCAATTTGTCCAACGGCTCGAAGGCCAGTGAAGCATCAGGCAGGAAATACACGCTTGAAGCGTCGCCGAGCATGGGCGGGAAAAGGGACATTTCCTCTTCTAGGTAAACAAGGGTAACAGGGTGAACGGCCGGAGTTGCCCTGTCATCTTCGTTCTGAATCGTCTCCTCATGCTGATCTTGGGGCCCGGGTTCACTTGTTGCAGTCGTTGCCTGGGCTTCGGCCCCGAGACGACTACCTTCCTCAAGGGAGAGGGTATGATTACCATCTCCAATCTCAACCTCTAGATGTTGTTGTGGCAGTTCGGGAGCATCATCATCGTGCCCATCTTGCGCTTGTTCAGGAGCTTCGTCCTCCTCACCTTGGCCGGTCACATAGTTTTGGGATGCATCCGATATTTCGGCTTTTGAAGCCTGACTTTCTTCTTGACTTTGGGCGGGTTCTTCTGCTGCGACCGGGGTGCTTTCATCGTCGGTGAGAGCCTTGTGTTGATTACTATCTGAATCGGTGTGATTTTGTGGCTCGGGTTGATCTCCGGGTTCTTCTAAAATGACGTCCGTTTCTACTTCTTGATACACCTGCGGCTGACCTTGATTTGCGTTGTCCTCGGCAACTTCTTCAACGTCTTGTATCGCTGCTCCAATATCTTCCTCGTCTTCATACAAGATTTCCTCATCTTCATCACCTTGAGTTTCTTCGATGGAGGCATCCATATTGTAATCCAGGTCGGGTTGTTCAGTTAGCATCGATACGTTTTGCTCATCATTCAAATCATCATCTGGCAGAGTCTCGTCAAGTTGGTCTTCCATAACATCGGCTCCAGTATCAAGAGGTTCCACAGGATCATCGATCATGTCGTCGTGCGGGGAGCCAATGACGGAAGGCTCACGGACAGAATCGAGGTCGATATCGATATCGTCGGGCTGTCGAAAAGGCGAGGAGGCTAGATCCATTTTGTCATCGAGCTGCGACGCGTCCATGTCTGGAAAAGCAAACGAAGGGATCGCAGCCATCACGAAGGTGTGCTGGATCACCACAGAGCTATGCGGCGCTCCAGATATTTCCGTACTCTTTTACTCTTTGCGCTACCAAAGGTTCTGTCTGTTGTTGAGATGAGAGCTGTGGCGGTGGGTAGTACTGGCGGACTGGAGAGTGATAAATCGAAGGGATGGACGCAGCGTAGTTCATTTAGGTTCAGTTGCTCAGGGCAAGGGACTGAAATTAGGAGCTGTCGCAAGTTGAAGAGCGTGGTCTTAGGAGAATGATTCGCGATCTTTCAAGTCTTCACGGTGGTTCGTGAATGAATCAAGGAGAAGCGAGACGTGAGCGAAGGCAGAAGGGCTCCCAGGTAGTTGAAGTCACTGGGATCCTGCCAGCCAAGCGCCAAGTCCATGAACGGATTAGTGCTCTTGGCATTCAGTGGATGTTTGCACCGTTTGCACCGCTCGCGCGGCGGTCGAACACATGCACCTGTTGCAGTGTGAAAGCAGCCTGGGGTGAGGTCTCACTCGTGAGGAGATGAGTTGCGTTGACCTACTAGTCGTGCCCATGTTACAGGTGGAAGTTGAAAAAACAAAATCAGAAAACTTCTACGCTGCTGTAATGCCATATCAAGACCACCCAGACTTCATGACAGTGATGCAGTCTTCAAGTGCATGCGTGCATAGGGGGACTTCTTGATTCCGTGCCTAGGACTATCGCTCTTGGATCTCAGCCATGCGGAGAAACGGGGTGCGAGCTGTCCCAGCAGTTATGGCCACGCTTGCCAAATAAAGATCCTGACATAGAATGATGCGGTAAGCTATTCTGGCAGAGGGAAAACCTGACGGCCGGTGATTTAGATCAGGTATTTCGAGATGAGAATCATCGAGACTTATGTTGACATTACTGCTGTGTTGGAACATTGGGGGGCTTCAAGCCCACCAAGCATCATCCAGGCCGTTCAGGAACTCAATATCAATATTGACGAAGCTCTTGCAGAAATCAATCTCCAGCCGCCAAGGCCGCGTCTGCACAATGAACGTGGCCGCAGACGCGAGTTTCAAGAGTTGCTCTTCGTTTTCTCCCATCACAAGAACCACATCCTTACGGATCTTGAGCCTGTTTCCATGTTCGAATTTGGCCATGAAAGGGTTGAATCTCTCAGTCATGTTGTAGTGTACGCTGTGTTCCGAGTAAGGCATATCCGTAGGCATAAACTTCCACTCCCAGGCACGGCCAATAGCGTCGGTAAAGGCGTGTGATGGCCGATTCCACAGCGCGATCATGAACGGATAGAAATAAGGTGTCGACCATAGGCGGAGCAATGCAAATCGGGCCTCGGGCCGAGATGTTGCAAATTGTCGGGCATTCTCGCGCAGTGATTCGATGGTGATAGCATAGGGACTGACCATATGCTTTGTCAATCTGGTTCCATTGACGGTCGGCCGGTAGTCAATGAACAGGTCCAAAGGGCGACCATGCTCTTTAGCCGCAAATGCCCTGCCAGGAATGCATTCCTCTGGAGTATATGAAACGCAAATCACACCGTGCTTGAATACTGGTAAGTTTTTGTCAGTTAGTATACGTCCGATGAGAATGACCCCAGCGGTACCTACATTGTGCGAGCTTAGGACGAATACAAATGTCCCACTCGGCAGGAAGCTCATCGTATAGAGTCTGTGAGACCTTCGTGCGCGATGCCTGAACTGCTTCGTCAAATGCTTTGTAGAATGAGCCATCTCGATATTTGGAGCTGTAGCAACTTCGACGGGTGGGAAGTTGCTCTGAGCGTCCCTTTTGATCGAGCAGTTTGGAATCTTTGTGCTTGTCACCATATCTGCCCCCAAGGAACGAAGAAGCTTTTGAGCTAAAGAGCAAGACCGCCGCGCAAGCCCGTCGTACGTCGTTCATCACCCTCGGGTGAGTTTCTGGATGGTACTCCAGGTGCTTCAGAACCTGTGCAGAGAGAAAGCACGCTTCATCGAAGAGCACTAGATCCTTTTCGGCGTCATAACGAATCGAGATGTAATCGTTCCAGCTGTCCCGAGCACCCGGTTCGAGATCGCATCCGTGCCATGCTTCTTTGAAGACTGCGAGCAGTTAGCACCTCTTCCAAGCCCCTGACAAGGTGGAGTAATGGTGAGGAAGACTCTGCAAAGAGGATTGGATGGTCATTTATGATGTGCTATTGTGAGCACTTACCTTTCGATTTATACATATCAATATACATCAGGTATTCTTCTTCCAAGTCGAGGTCCTCTACGTTGGGACCAGGCCCAAACGAATCCAATATCTTCCTGCTCGTGGCTACGTGGGAGAAGATATTAGATAGCAACTCTCGTGAGGATCTGGACATTGTCAGGCGGTGAGCACATCGAATTACTGTCCCACAAAGTAGCCGGTGAATGAAATAATGCCTTAAGCAGAAATACTCACTCATCACCCTCGTGCTCGGACGGGCGAGCAGCGTCCTTATGATATTCCTCCAGATATTCCAATTCGTCGCCCACTGGGTGATCGCGAGACGATGGAATCTGATCCTCCTCTCCAGCACCGCCTTGTTGCGATGCATCCGTCTCATCGGTATCTTCTTCCTCGATATATTCCATGTCCATGTCATCGGACTCTTCATCGCTGAAGTCGCCACGTTGAATGAACTGTTTCGTAACGAAGTCCTGCATCCGGCCTGACTCGAACATTGTCAGGCTGTTTTCGATCGGTTTGAAGCGTTGTTTGCTGGAGGAGCTTGAAAAGTCTTCTGGAAAGAGGATTTCGTCTTCGAGAGCATCTGCTTCTCCATACGCCAAATGCTTTGGCATCTCGGTATAAACATCTCCCTTCGGTGTTCGCCACTCGAACCTGGAGTCGTTTCGTATCTCATCCCAGATCGATTGAGCCGATTCTCCCTCGCGAATATCTCGCGGGCGCCATGTGTTTTCATCTCGAGTTACAGTCTTCAGAATTGGAGCGATTGAGGCGAATATATCCTCAGGCTGTATGACCCGATTCGCCTTATACAGCATCTGGATCGCATTAGCTATCGCATCCCAAAACTGGTCGGTAGACTTTTACCTCAATGACACTGGCGTGGAGCATCTGCCACGGAGTTCCCGGTTCTGTGCACCAAATATAGATATCATAATAATCGTCGAAGCCGAGGCTGAAACTCCTAAACCTCTCCATTTCCTCGAAGAATAACGGCCCGACGTATCGTTTGGTCTCCCACTCAGTCCTGGTCTCCCTGCCATATCCGTGCTTAGATCGGACGAGCCATAGGTCGTCCTCCGGCGGTGTCACAATAATACGCCCAGTTTTTCCGTCCCTCACCAAGATCAACATTCTTGTGGTTTGCATTGAGGTATACTGGATGAATCGACGAGTGACCGGATCAATGCGTTTCATATGCGCACAGATAAAATTTCTCATTTCAGAAGAAGCATGAATGCGACGGCCTACCTGATTGCGACCACGTTTACTCGCGGTGAGCCCAGATGCCTCGTTGAAAATGAAATAAGGGAAAAAGCCCTTTAGACAATTAGTAGTTATCAAGTAATGTGCGGTGCTAGGTTTCCAGTCCAGGCTTCCCGTCATTCGCCGACGTTCAGAGTCGAAAGAGGGAGCACTTACAACTTGGAGATACTGCCGTTTCACAAAGTCTCCTGCCCAAAGAAGCCACTCAGGGGACGGAAAGTATTGGTAGAGCGTCAGAACGCTTAGCTCGAAGAATTCGTCCCATGACTTGCACAGCTCGACAGCTTCGTGAAGATTGCATTCCTTTGCCATGATGCTGAAATGCAGCCAACCGCCTCGTTTCATTGCGCCTCGATAGGGGTAATGGTAGATGTAGCGCCCACAGATCTTGACTCGCAAGTTACTTTTTTGAAATTCGCCTTGTTCGTCGATTTTACCGAAATCAACACGGGTGCCGTGCTTCTCATCGAGAAATCCGGCTTGGTCTAGCATCTCCTGTAACGCAACTGAAGCTTGCGGTTGTGCGGTCCGAATAGCCTTTTCTCGGTTGGACTTCCATATCTTTGGCAGATGGTGTTTATGCCTTTTCTTCCTCAACTTCAAGTCCATCATGCCATCTTCCTTCTCACTGTGTTCATCTTCGTCTAACTCATCGTCCGGACACGCATTGTTGTCGTCGACTTTGCGACAAAAATCTGCACATGCGTCCCGGATCTCCTGCAACTGAGGCTGTTCTAACCTCAGACATAAATCTCGCAAATCAGCAGTTTTGACTTCGGGATCTGCGAGAAGGTCGTGCACGCTGTTCGCTTTCATAGCTGCCGGGAGCAGAACGGCATTTCCAAGTAAAAGCCGGCAGAACAGGTAATTCTTTATCTCCGCGATCTCTTCGAGCACACGGTCTACTTCTGAAGCGGGCATCGGTTCCATACGCTCGAATTTCTCGGTTCGGCCAGAAGCGTCGAGGAACATTAGATTATCGTTGATGGGCTTTGTGCCTTCAAGAAGTCTCATCCGAATGTCCTCTCGGCTTTCGATCTTCGCCCCGTCTGGTTCGGTTTCTTGTCGTTTGCTTCCTCCTTGGGCGGGGACAATAACTGTCCGTGAGTGGCTAGCTCCGTTCGAGGAATCAGGGTCGATATACTCAATCTCGGTCGTGTCATCCGTGGTAAGGTTGCCTTTGTTCTTTTTGCTCTTGGACTTCTTTTTGGCTTTTACGTTCTGCGACACTGAAGATTCGTTTGACGAATTTTGCGCTGTCTGAATGTCTTTGACTTTCGTTGATGGTTCGCATGCTCCATCGACATCAACTTCTGGAGCGAGACTGCTTTCTGAGGGCGGGTTTGAGCTGGGTCGAAGCTCCAACCATAGGAAATGCTTGATGAGCTCGATATAAGTGCCGCGTTCATTTTCCATGATATCTTCAATGGGATCCCAAGCCTCGTCATCCGACTCTGCTGATTGATTGGCAAGGCTCTCTTGATACACCGACTCTAGGTACTCTTCTTGTCGTCTGCTGTCCTCTTTTGCCCGAAGTTCCCGTATGCGGGCTTCGAGTCTCTTGGCTTGGCGACGGAAAAGAGCAGCTTCATGCTTGATCTTCTTCTGTTCGTTCTCACGCTGTTTCTCTTCCTCTTCTTGGCATTCTCGCGCCCACTTGAACCATTTCCGTTGCTGGTAGAGAACCTCAGCCAGGCGCTGCGTCAGACGCACCAAAGCTTTCTGCACTGTCAGCTTCTGCGTTATGAGTGTATTGAGGTATTTTGCATGGCCGTAGTCCATGGTCTGGGCATAGAAATGACTATGGTGAAGTTTGCGAGCCTTGATGACGCGATCCAGAAGAGCGTACATCTTGAAGAGATGATTATGAATTTCCTCGAGCCGGTCTTCATCTTCAACTGCCATGAAATTCTCATTTGCCAGTTTTGTCCCGCATTGCGCCAAATAGGCAGGAGGAGACGCTGTAAGAGCATCAAGTTGAGCATTGCGGCGTTTATAGCCTTTGTATAGGCCTGAGGTCAACCGTAAACCGTTAGAGTACACGAGTAATATAACGTCCGTTCCTAGGTAGGTATGATCACATACCATAGCATTGCCTGGAATGGAAATGACAAAAGTGGCCATTGGCGGATGTTACATCAAATTGACATGGGCTACTGTCTGCGAGGCCCAAGGCTGTGCACTTTTGTTTCCGGGGAACACCAGAACTACATTCTGCTGCTGGTACAGAGGCCATATCTCTGATAGCAAGGCTTACAGAAGACACTCTGGTAGGTAAAAGTAAATGACAGTTTGACTTCGCGGGTCGAAATAGCGAGAAGCTGGGGGCGGTGAGGCCGCAGTGTGGTCATTGCCAATTTGATAGCCGAGACGCGCTACTGGAGACGCGCTGGGAGATTCGCGACACGCGTTTGCCAAGACAAACTGCGGGGAATGAGATTTAACAGCAAATCGCCCTGCGCACGGAACTTTCCATCGTCGTGCATCTCAAGTTGCCCACTGAGTTCTGTACTTTTGCAGAATTCTATACTCGGTATTTCAAGCTTGCCTGCTCTCACTACTATGCTGTGGATATTTCTTCCATCCTTTGGCGAGCAAGATGTTGCCTGCAAGATCACATGCGCAACAGATGGTGGCAGTGTACCGCCTTGCGATGACTTGTTTGCAGCAGCTGCGAGTAGATATGAGGTACGCAAGGCTCCGCAGAGATGATCATTGGTAATCACCAGCTTGTATGAAGCTCAGGTGTGGCTATGGCTGCAAGTCGCCTGAGCAGGCCGAAACCTCCAGCAAGTCGAAAAGCATGACTTTGCCCGAACCGGGGCGTCAATACCAGCGTATTGGCTCTGCTGGACCTGTCCTTTTGATCACATGAACCAACACTTTGGCTACTTACCAGCAGTATTCTTTAACGGCGGCCATGTACCCATCTCCAATGCCTCAACCAGTGTTTCGAAGTTGTCAATTGGTCTGGGGCCGACGCTTCCCGTCCAAACACCTCGAGCTATACAGCTGGGAGCCTCGAATCTTCTTTCTCTGCTGTGCTATTCACATCCAGATCAAGAGATGGGCAACGGCAAGGGCCTTCTCAATGCCTTCAAGCCGATACTTGGACGCCTCTTCTTCCTTGATCGTGTACTGGTCAACCCTTCGAGAGCAATTTTCCCTTTATCAAATCTAGTGCCGAGTGTCCTCTACCGTCGAATCCTGCAATTGGCCGACTCTCGTACCATTCCAAAGCATTTCTCAACCATGTCCAATGGCCGCATGATCACTCTTTACAGTGCAATATCGCTCAATTTTTGAATCTGCAAATACGTTGGACAGACCGATCTCTTTTCTTTGATTCATTGCCCAAGGCGATGGAAAAATAGCAGAGGCAACAATCATGGCTTTCCCTTTTCTGGATTCCTTTCCCCCGTCCAGGACCATGATCCAACATCTGTGCCCTACTGTCAGCAATCTGCTTCTTGTCCACGCGTATACTAAATCAAGCAACCCTTCAAATTTCCAACATGAGCACCCCGCGAGAGGTAGTATCAAGCTAGCTACCCTAGCATCAAGAGAAAGCAGATTCCGAGGCATTACTGCCTTCTTTGCCGCTAACATAACAGTCTCAGTACAATGTCAAGACAGATCGATTATGGAGAGCCCGCCCATCATCCGTATCAATACCCACCCGGTTTGCTGGATAATCTGCTACCTTCACCAGAGAAGAACGAGAGCCGGAGGGATTTTCCATTCGAGGTCACTTTTGAGAACATTGAGCATGCTGCGTGGACGGCAGATCAATTCGAGGATCCATCCCTGGTGTTCAAAGAATATCAACACCTCACAGCGAACGGCTTTGAGCGACTCGGGAATGCTACTTTAAACCAGAAACGGCGGCTTGCTCAGCAGTGGCTATTGTACGGCCTCCTCTCTTCAACGTTCGGTATCAGAAAAAGGGAAGAGATTCTAGACTGCAGCAACTCGCTCGGAGGATGTGATTTCCGGAGGAAACTCCAAATTTGGCACAATGACCTCCACGAGGTGGACGTTATTGAAAACAGGCTCAGATTCGCTGCGTTGCAGATCAATAAATTGGATTCGGAAATGCCGACGGCTGAAAACACATGCACTGAGGACCACACGTTGGGAGCGCTTTTACTGTGCGGGAAGTTGGTCATGGAATATATCGCTTCTATTGTAACAGCTCACCGGATCGCGCCCCCCAAACCAGGTCTACTCAGCCGCCGCCACGAACCTTGGTTCTCCAAGAGCCTCAAACTTGCACACAACGCCCACCACGCATGGCCTAATGGGGATGACGAAAGGCAATTGAGGCTTTTTCGCCCGCTTTTGCCAGGGAGCTCGGTACCATGTAGTTTGTCGGGGAAACTTCTTCTCTCATGGTTTAGGAGGAATGGATGGTGTCCTGTTGTCGTCAACCGAATTCTGCAAAATTACGACTACTCGACCGCGTATTACCTTTGTCGCATTCGAATTCAACAAGCCGGAGTTGACCACGTAAGTTGTCAATCTGCTCTGAGATGCGAAGCATATGATCTTGGGCCCAAGGAACAGACTTTATATGAGCCAGCACACGCACCAGAATGTCCAGATCAAACAGACTGCCCAGTTCCAGTCAAATATCAAGACTTCCACAAGAAGCTCTGTGACATGGTTGCGGATAGCAAAATGCCGATTTGCTACATTGACCTCTCTACCGAGGATGGCGATCTCAACGTCGATGTTGAACCATACATAGGCACACAAAATTTCACCGCGATCTCACATGTCTGGAGTGACGGAATGGGCAACCAAAGCAGAAACCAAATATGGAGATGTCAACTGAAACGCATCAAAGAGGAACTCCAAAAGCTAGAAGACGAGAAACGAAATGCGTTGCATCCTGTGGAGAGAATTTGCTCCGTGCAGGTTGTCAAACAGAAGAGCGGGTTCCGGAGGCTTTATTTCTGGCTCGACACCCTCTGTATTCCAAGGAACCATCCCAGCAACGGTAGTGAGAAGAACGGTCACCTGCGTGAAAAAGCGATCAGGCATATCACCCCCATATTTCAAGCCGCTGACCAAGTCCTTGTCATTGACCGTGGCATCGAACAGTTATCCAAATTCACCGAAGATGGGTTATCAGTGCGTATACTGTTTTCGAAATGGGCACAACGCGTCTGGACGTTTCAAGAGGGGGCTTCAGCTAGAGACGTCCGTTTCAAGATAAATAAACAAAGCCCGGCGGCACTGCCAGAAATGACGTCCACACAGAAATCGGGGTGGTCTCCCAGACACGTTTTCGACCGGCAGTTGCAGCAATCGACTGTGCGAGGTCAACTGGGGATCCTCTCGGAGTTGATATCATGGCTCGATCGTATACTCATGGGGGAAAAGCTGCCGACTTCACCGAAGAGCGCGTTTTGGATACCTCTCAAGACAATCCATGCATCCTCGTTGGGAGACATTCACAAGATAGTGAAACGCGCGGGAAGTCAAAAGGCTGACATGACCGAGTCCGAAGCTTCGAAATCGGACATTTTGATCCATGTTCACAATATTCTCATCCGCAGGAGCGCCGCATGCCGTGAGGATCCTCTGCATATTGCGGCAAACATGCTCGACTTCGATACGAGTGGCTTTTCGAGAAGCAAGGTGGAAACACGGGGACTGCCTGCAATTCTCAGGGGATGCGGGAAACTTCCTCTGGCCTTGCTCTTTAACACGAAGTTGTCCATCTACGGGGATGTAAGCTTCGCTGAACTAAATCCCGAACATTCATGGATACCTTCACGAATTGAAGGCGACGAGCTCTCTCCGGGGGCTACCATGAATTTATTGGAGAACGGGTGGCTTTTCTTGAATATTGATGGAGGACCAAGACTGCAGCTCTTGAGCGTTGAACAAGCAGTACCATACGGGCGTTTTCAATTCCCGTACCTGCAAATTCTCGAAATTCGCGAAAGCGATGACGAGTTGAGGGAAGGATATATTATCGAACACCACTTGCCCCATTATCGGCTTGCTCCTAGGCGCCAGACGGAGGATAGCGAAATCCATCAAGTCCAGGTGTCGCACGATGAGCGACTCGAATATTATACCCGCGCGAAATGCAAAGTTGAGGAACAGAGGGGCACATTATATCTGATCGACAAATCCACGGGATCTGCTGAACTCGGCGGCTACGCTGGCCGTGGAGCACGACTGGCTGTGATAGAGAAGTCGGATGGCAGACAGTGCGTTCAATTTGTCTGTCCTATTACTGCGTGGACAGTAAGACAATGGCAGGCTGCTCATTCAACTTTACACTTAGCCAATGACGACGGTAGCATCGGCGGATCTGCGATTGAAGCTCGGGATATCGGGCACGAGAGGCCAAGGTTCTATCTCCGATGTGGTAAGTCTGGCCTGTGTTTCTCGTGCAACTGACAAACATGGTCAACTCTGGGACCGTGCCTGGACGCCTATTCCTTGTTAGTGTTAACGGTGTCGTGAGCATCTGCAAAAATCTTTTGGGCGTTCAGTTGAGACGATGGACCAAACGCTGACTTTACAGGTGGGCTCAATGGCCCTAAACTTGACGCGCGGGGTGTATCTACTCCGATCTTTCGACGCCCAGGTGCCATAGCCGTCATGATGGCCACTTACACGATGACGATGGTACTCGCAATTTCAATGGTCTGCATAATAGGAGCCTGCATCCACGATTGTGACGCAATGGTTGTTTCCATCGGCATCGGCAGCAGCATAGGCGGCTGGTTTGTTGGGAGCATCATCCTCTCTGTGGCTATTCGGTCTGGCTACGAGCGGTACCATCTCCGGCTGGTTGGAAAATGGCTCGAAGGCTATGGCGTTTCGTTGAAGCCTCAGGTTGAGAAGTAAGGTTGAAGAGGTTCGGGCTTGAGCGAGGCTAACCTATGGAGTTTACCTTCTGGACATTCGAGGAGGCTAGAACTTCGGATTGGGAGAGGCTTTGGGTATGTTTGGTCTTGTTTCATGTGACTTCGTAGCATCTCAAATCAACCAGCAATAACTACTATGCAGTTCCCGAATGACCTTATCAGGAGCTTATGGGCGTTCAGCAGGGGATTTATCGGGCCACTTTACTGATCGCAGGTCGCTTCTCGATCTGTCTTTGCGGTGTTGGGCCTCTGCGCTCACTCAGCTCAACATCCTAGCGACGAAGCGAAAAGCCTAGTGGGCGCACCCTTCAGCTGCTAAGGCTTCACACAAGGTCTTCTTAGCCTTTTCTTGTGTTCAACTTGCCATTTTCCCATTGGACGCTGCCTGTTCTCCTCCATTCCGCCTCGGCTATGAAGGAGAACTTAATGGAGGATGAAACCTGAGAGGGAAATTCAGCTCTGGATACCAATATGATTCCGCTTGAGGTCGGTTGTGCAGCCGTTTGTTTTGTATTGCAATGCATTTGAGGGCATCTTCTGGCTGCAAGCATTAACCACTACTGATTATTGGCATGCAAGGTCGACAGCATAGGCCACGCTCTTACTTTCGAACAGAAGACTTGCCAAGCTTCCAACCCTTCCCGCTGGCCCTTCGCTTAACCTTGGTCTTGGCCAGAAGCTCCCAAGATACCAAGACAATCCGCCATGCGAGGCTTGACTAACTACCTCGTCGGGATCAGGAAATTCTCGACTTCTCGACCTCTTGGCTTCGCGATTCGATAGGGCACATGGTGTGAGAATCCCGGAGCTGACCACACTGCCCAACCCACACCACCCTTTTCCGGACGGCTACTTTGCTCGCCTCAGCCGCACCTCCCGAATCCGTATGTACTACGTGGTCTGGCGTCCAGGCGAGATTACGAGGAGAACAGGATTCTTAGGATTTGGTTTAGGATTCGGTGGATTGCGGTGAAGTCGATCCGTGGATGACAAAGCCAGCTCTTTATGCTGATTGGCCGTAATGCCACCTGCTGCTCCCCCCATATTCCGGATCTGGTATAATCTCGCTCCGGTATGAATGTCCTGCGCAGCTCGTGGGCTGTCACTCTGGCCGCAGGAGATACAATTAAAGTCTTTCTACCACGAAAAATCAGTGCTGCCGCCAATATGCTACAGGACGGCGAAGCCACTTTCCAACGGCTCACCGAAGACTGTGCTGAGAAGGAGACCGCCACACAGATGCATTGACAGTCATGTGACTATCGGGCCCGCCACGTGCAGCCAATCGTATTCATCCGGCGAACGCCCTACCACGAGATGCACTAGCCCCCAAAATCATGGCTGGCAATTCCTGCGGACTTTGGATCTGCCCTTCTTGTGTACTGCTCTCGACAGTGGTCCCCTATCTTGGCCCGTGGTTCAGCTCGACCACGTCTCGTATTATTGCAAAGAAAGGCTCCTCTAGAATCCCCCTACGCCTTCGGAGTTGCAGGTGGTCTTTTCAGCTCCGCCATGATAGCATCGGACGTCCAGTCTTTGCTTTCTGCTACAAGTCCCGCGTCTCTTTTCCCTGGCCCATTCCCTGCTTAGTTGCTTGTCTGCATTTCCTTGTCTTCCTTTTGCTCTCAATCTCTCTTTCTCGACCTTCCGTCTTTGCTTTCAACTGCTGACTGGTCGCCGCACACAACTTAACCAAATCTACTAGCCACGAGGCATTTCAATTCCTTGCTTGCCTCAAGCCAAAGCGCCTGCATTTGTTGCAATCACTAGAAGTCCGGATATACGACGACCAAACCACCGGTCACGCTACCGCAGAGTATAGCTCTCCTGCTGTTGCATTCAAGCCAAGGTTCTGGTCCAATTCACGTCAAGGTCCAACTTCACGCAACGCAATGCTTCTGGAAGCAAGAAAAACCCGAATCGTGGTCGTAAACAACACCAATGACCCCAAGAAGAGTAAACCCTGGTTAATAGTCATCATCGTCCTCAGCAGCATTAGCCTTTTCTGCGGCATCCTCGCAATGGTACTCCGCATGATGGCACGGAGGCGTGCACGGGGCGCCAAAGATGAGGCGAATATCGATGGGGAAGTTCCCTCTGAAGAAGACCCCGCCCGTACCGATGCTTCTACATTCGATCCGCCGAGACATAAAGAACACCCGTACTACAACAGCACCGGATACGAGGCGACCCCAGATCAGAACCAAACTCTGTTGGGCAACGACGAAAGGGCTCCGGTCACGCGTTGGGACAGTGACTCTGACGCCGTTGCAGGGCTTCAGCGACCCGAGAGCATCGCTAGCTCCTACAATGCACCGCCACCTCGTTACGAATAGTCGTTTTAGGGCAGCATGGAAGGTCCCCTCGATACGTATTGTTGGGTATGAGCTAAGACCGTCCACAAGGTTGTATGACCAAATACGAGATATACCCAAGAGGATGTCAGTCGGCGACAGCGGATACTGGGAGAGATGTGCTGGTTGTACTCAAGAGGATAAAAAGTTCCAAGTCGGAGAAGGGAAACACCATGTACAAGGAAATGAGACACGCGCTGTACCGAGTACCTGAAGGTCGTCTGGGGGTTACTGTCGTTTCTATCTGCCGTATTGTTCGGAGTACATCTATTCTGCGCCCCTCAGATCCTGATCCAAACTTTGTGAATTGTATGGTTTCGCTTTCGGTGTCTACTATCAACGTGTTTCCCTGATGCCGTCCTAGATTGGGTCAAAGAGCCCTCCACGAGCACCTTCCCGCGGGATGGTATGCAGAATTGGGGCAGAAGGGCGGATATACCAATCTGTAACCCACGGGGAGCTATTGGCGAACTCAGCTGTACGGAAAACAGTATAGTATAGGACTGTTGAATTCGTGTCTGGTTGTTGTTGTGTGTCCGAACCAATTGACACTCGATACGGGCGGCGTCGATTCCTCAGTCCGAGGCTTGGCGTCTGCGATATACACATCTGGCCTCACTGCCCCCCAAGTTTCCTGGTCACCATCCACCAACGAACATAATCCCCGCCTCCATCATGGTTGTTCTTGCTGCGTCGATATGCACGCGAGGCGGCAAGCCGCTACTGTCTCGCTCGTTCAGGGAGATTCCTAAATCTCGCATCGAGGCCCTCCTTGCCTCGTTCCCCAAGCTCGCCGACTCGTCTACCCAACACACCACCGTCGAACAGGAGAATGTCCGTTTTGTCTACCAGCCTCTCGACGAACTCTACCTTGTCCTCATCACCAACAAACAGTCGAATATCCTCCAGGACATTGACAGTCTACACTTGTTCGGCCAGGTCGTCACATCCATCTGCAAGAAAGCCGAGGAGCGAGAAATCCTTCGCAATGCATTTGAACTCCTCTCCGCCTTCGACGAGCTCGTCACCATGGGCTACAGGGAAAATCTCTCCCTGAGCCAAATCAAGACCTTCCTCGAGATGGAATCCCACGAAGAGAGAATTCAAGAGATTATCGCCCGCAATAAAGAGTTGGAAGCGTCAGAAGAGCGGAAGCGCAAGGCGAAACAACTCGAACTTCAGCGGAAAGAGGCTGCGCGCTCTGCTGCGTACGGACGTGGCATTGCGCCCAAGATGCCTCAGCAGCCCGTCTACACGCCCCCAACCCGGCCGGAAACCTCCTACGACACCTACGAAGCCGAAAAGAACAAAATTTCCAGCAAGTTCACCTCACGCTCCACAAAGGGTATGCAGCTGGGCAAGAAATCGAAGACGTCCAATGCCTTCGCGCAGGTTCAGCAGGAAATAGGCACAGAAGAGGTGCCCGCAGCCGAGCCTTCAGCGGAACTACCTGTCCGGGGCCTACCTACGGCGAGCACTCACGACACAACGCTGGCCTCCCCTACCACCCCTATCCTCGTCTCCATTACAGAGACGCTATCGGCCAAAATTTCGCGGGAAGGTGCGCTGAAGTCTATGGAGGTCAAGGGGGATCTACAATTGAAAATTACCGACTCTGCTTTGACCAAGCTCGCCCTCTCCGTCCAAGCTGTCGAAGGGCCTCTGAAAGCCCAGTTCCGCACCCACCCCAACGTGGACAAGAATCTCTTCACCAGCCAAAAAGTCATCCAGTTAAAGGATACTTCCAAGCGGTTTCCGCCCAACAACAGTATCGGAGTCTTAAGATGGCGCGCGACCGCCCCCGCAGACCACAGCACTGATATTCTGCCGTTAACGTTGACAGCGTGGGTGAACAAGTCCTCCTCCGACGGCACTTATACCATCACAATAGAGTACGAACTCACCAACCCCGCGTCAACAACCCTCCGTGATGTCACCCTTACCATCCCTTACGCTTCATCAGAACCCAGTGTCTCCTCCTTCGATGCCGTATATCAAGTCACAGGTGACTCATTAGAATGGACCATTGGCGTCATCGACGCCGAGAACAGCTCGGGGAGCTTCGAGTTCGAGGCTCAGGCCGACGACGACGCGGAATTCTTCCCCATGACAGTCAATTTCGAGATGAGCAAACCGTTTGTGGACGTGGATGTGACGGGCGTGAGACTGTTAGAGGGAGGGCTCGATGAGGAGGTGAGCTTTGAAAAAGTGATCAAGGCACGGAGCGAGGGATTTGCTATTGAATGAACACAGCCATGAAGACGGGAGTCGGGTGTGGAATGCTGAAGTTCGCCTGGTGCCTTGGGCATTTGATATCTACCTAGCGATTGTGGTTACGAGGAAAGGAAAATGTGCACAATGACACCGAAGAATGTCGTTTGGCGCCGGTAAAAACGTGCAGGTTCATGCATGCATGGTATTAGATGAGAATACCCAGGACACTTTGGTGCAGAGCGAAACTCTCTACAAGATCCATTTTCCTACCCATATTCGGTACATTGTGCCGACGTCTTTTCTTCAAGGTTTCTATCCACTCTCACTATGACGTCGAGGATATGATGGAATATGAGACGGCACGAGACGAAGCCGGATCGTCCGTCGCGGTGTGTGATGTGATGTGATGCGATGTGATATGATGTGCCATGGTCTAATATGTGAGATACCACGGATACTTCGGACACGGCAACACCGTGCATTTCCCGCCGCTCATACACTTTTCTTATTATCTCCCGTTGGTTCTCCCTCCCGAGGTCATTACCCTGTGATCTGCGGACTTCCCTGAGGTACGAGGGCACATGACAAGCACACTCGGAAACCCGCGTCCCCTGTTTTCGTTATGAGGAAGGGAGCGAGCGAGAGCGAGCGAGCTCTCACTCCCTTTTGTCCTACCTACACGGGGTATGACATACGTACAAGGATGGAGGGATGGAGGGATGGATGGATGGATCGCATTTCGACCGTCCCGGGAGGAGATGGGTATGCATTAAAGGGGATGAAAAAAAAAAACAGCCCAAGATCTTATTCGTTGCGTCGTTAATTATATGATATGGGGTAGGTAAAGCAGAAACCGCCAGGGCCAGCGGTACCCAGCGGTACCAGCGGTGGTGTTGGCCGTGTGGGTCGTGATGGCAACGAGTAATGGTAAAAATTTGCGGATTGCCGTAGGAATTCGAGAGGGTGTCTATCTCATGGCTGGGGTGGGTGTATATGGGTATAATATGATGTGGAAGGGTGTGTGTGCATCGAGCCATGTAGCCGACGGGTGTAACGTAGAATAAGTTGGCTTTTTTTTGGTTTTGTCGAGGAGCGGGAAATTGTCACAACAAGGCTGGATTCGTGTGTCGGTTCTCTTGGTGTCTTGTCGATACATTGTCGACAATGGGACAACTCGTTTCCGCCCGGCCAGGTATCAACAATCTCTTCAGCTGAGCGCAGGCCACACGCCATAATCAATCAGCCTGAAGAGATCCCACTCGGCGGCGGCCTCGGTCTTGAAGTTCCAGAAGAACCAGCCCTGGATCTGGCTCTCGTAGAGGTCCAGCTGAGCTTTGATGTAGTTGGTGGTGGTGGTCTTGTTGTAGTCGCTCCATTGGTCGATGAAGTTGATGTTGGCGCAGGAGCCGACGTAGGCGGAGCTGCTGTAGCTGCCGTCCGAGTTGCGCTGGGAGTATGTGCCGTCGTAGCGCGCCCCGACGCCGTAGCCGTTGATGGCCGGCGCGCAGTCAGTCATGGCGGCCGTCCACTCGCCGCAGATGACGAACTTGTCCTGGCCCTGCGCCCACGAGCCGGCGTGCGAGTAGACGTAGTCGACGTGCTGCTCGGGAGTCATGGCCACCCCGTCGTCGGTGAAGACTTGGTACTCATGGTGATCGACAATGGCCCCGGCACTCCCCTGGCCCGTCAATACCCCGTTCCAGGAAGACGGAGCGACGAATCCGTCGTGGATGATCACCGGTGCCTGGCCTGACTGTCGAACGACACCGAAGCCTGACTGGTAGTAGCCTTGCGTGGCGCCCCGTCCGCCGGGCAGATTGCTCATCAAAGGTTCGTTGAGGAGTTCGATGCCTGATATGACGTCGGCATACGCTGGACTTGCATATTGCTGAGATATCTGTCTGATGACGTTGAGCGTTGCGTCAATCGAATCGCCTGTTGTCCAGCCGGGCGTAGAGGTTCGTTGGCCTGAATTATCCTGCCCGTTTTGAGAGAGAGGCGCACCTACAGAAAAGATGAGTTGGGCGTCCCACAGGTCTTTGAATAAACGATCTTACTCACCATGAAGGTCGATCCAAACCTTGAGGCCAGTCTGACGAGCCCAGCCAATGGCTGTCTCGAGGTAGTCCGCCGCTCCCTGGATGTACGGATCACCTTCATACTTCTGAAACGCCCAGTATCCTATCGGGATCCGCACTGAGTTGAAGCCATTTGCTGCGATCTTCTGAAAGTCGCCCAAAGAGACCCAGCTGTCCCAGTGACTGCGAAGAATGTCGCCAGCATTTGGCGCTTGTTGACACAATGTATACTCATCGACCACACTGCCTCCGAATTGTTGGAATATCGATGGTGTGATCCAGGGTTCGAGGACTAGCCAGCCACCGATATTTACACCACGAACCGGAGTCGACCCATATGAGAACTGCCGTTTGTTCAAAGGAGAGCTGAAGGGAGCCATCAATACATATGGGACACGACAATGGGCCTTGGAAGACTTACCCGACCGCAGCAGTAGCTAGCAGAGCTACGAGAAAGGCAGTTACAGCGCCCATGGTTCGACGTCAACGATTTGAGAACAAGGACAGAAGTCGGCAAGTGGGAGGATTGCGGTATGAGTGCCGCTTGCTGCTCAGGGTCGGGATGGAAGAAACAGAACTTGAGGTGAAGCAACCTCGTGCAACCGTAAGCCCTTTAACGTGCAAGGTCCAGGGACAACAGGCAGTGAAGCAAGCAAGCAAGCAAGCAAGCAATGACGATATTTTGTTGGTGACGTGATTGGTTCGAAGGAGAGGTACAAGGGAAAAATGAGGGAAAAGACGTTGGAAGAGGTCACACTTGCATATCATGTGGCATAGAAAAGAAATGGACTGCAGCGGAGGTTACAGATGTGGCTGGAAGAAGGACAGGACGAAGATGTTGATCGTCAAGAGTATTCCACGAGAGTGGAGGGATGGGAACACAGGATGACGGAGAAAAGCCTCGACAGGGAATAGATTCGCGACTGCGGTGGAATTCTTGTCACGTAACCAAAAGCGAGCTTTGAGAGCACAGATCCTGTATGCTCGGACACGACTTGGTGAATGTGGATATAGCATTTTCTGGAGCTCGTGGGCTGAATGGTTGGGATGAATGGTTGTCTGTTGGAGCAGCTGGTGGATAGAAAACGAGTGATACCAAATTCGGGTATTGGATGGCACCCCGGCCACATGACTGGAGGTCCCATGTTGATGGCAGAGCCAACATCGCAAAGTACCATCGAGACGAACGTAGGAGGTCATGTTGGAGGGGAAAGGAGGAGGCGAAGTAACAAAGAGGCAACTCAAGAGAAGCTAGAGGACCCTCTTGCTGTCTCCTCTTTAGGTATCCGCTCTGGAGGCCCCGGCGAACAACAGTCTCTGAAGTGGGTAAGTGAACGCAAACAGGGTCGAAATGGCTGAACTTGGGTCGGGGCAATCGCGATGAGATGAGGCTTTGAGAGTCAGCGCAAGCGAAAGCAAAGTCAGAGCCTGAGTCGAGACGCTGGAAGCTCAAGGTCCCGAGCGCGCGGTGTGGCAAAACAGCTGAATTGTCCATGTTGACCAGGATGGGGATTGCTGGGGGAAAGCCTGATGGCGCGCGCTGAGTCTTGTTGGTTTGCTGTCGATCCCGAAGACCACATCTCCAAGACGACCAACCACCGTCTCTCCTGGTCAAGGGGGCGGCGAGTCTGGTGACCAGCAAGCAAAGTTGGGCGCATATTTGTAGACAGTTCACCGCCCTTTCTGGAAAATGTGTAATGGCTTCTGATCCATGATCGGTTCCAGTGTCTGTCGCCCATTCGAACTTCTTTGCTCGAAGAATGAGCGATGCATACCGAGGTTGGTACTGCTTTGTGCGCCTCGCAGGCTCCCGGGAGGCAAGGCGCTTGTGTCTCGCTTGCCCTCGGGCTCGTCCTGGGCGCTCGTATTGTTGGTTGCCCCTCGCCCCCTCGGTTCGTGGTCCCTTGCAGCGCCAGCCACTGACACCCACAGCGCATGCTTGTCTCCTGGCACTAAGCCTTCCAGAGGCCAAAATCCCAGCCACAAATCCAGCTCTAGCACTCTATTTTCACGTGTCGAGCCTCTGCCAAAAAGGAATGCACATGTCTTGTCCCCGTTCTCGGGTCTGAACACATTGTCTCACTCTCGATCAGCTCAACAAACTCAGCTACCCAACTGCGTCTGGGTCTCCTGGTTTGTTGACCATCCTCCTCGAACACGTCCCAGAGCCACGTCACTTGTTTCAGGCACCGTGGCACCATCTCGGAAAAATAATATTTCGCCGGTATCTCGAATGAAAATCTCCTGCCAGGTACCAGGCCTACCGAGCGAATGACAGCGATGCACATGGCAGCCCTCGATTTTATTGCCACGAATGAATGCCTAAATAAAGCTCACAAAACTTCTGCGATGCTTTGTCGCTCAATGATCGAGTTTTGGGCCGAGTCTCGCGACACTCGGTAATAGCTCCCTGTGAACTTCGAGCATTCCATCTGTCGTAGGAAGTCTTCGTCGTGGGTGATCACCACAAGCTGGAAATTGGACTGTTGCTGTCGGTACTCTATGATCTCCTTCAACGACTGGGCCAGACTTTCGATGTTGTCGCGGTCCAGGTTCGTCGTCGGCTCATCCAGTGCAATCAGTCCACAATGGGTGCTGAACACCTCTGCCAGGGCTAGACGGATGATGATGCTGGCGAGGACTTTCTGACCAGCACTGCAGCGTCCTCGCATGTCCATTTCTGCACCTCTCTTGACCATGACCACCCGGTAGTTGTAAGATCGATTGCCTCTCCCCGTCTCATTCTCTGCTCGAATCATGATCGTGTCGACATCGGTACCACGGTACGTCTTGCGCCAAAGCTCTTCGATGATGGTATTGATTTCCTCCATCTTGAAGCTGTGGTATTTCATGATCGCCTTGTCCAACGCTCCCCCATATCGTCCCAGATCTTCTACAGCCGCTTTGGTTGCTTCCACCTTGATGTGGGCTTCCTTGTACCGTTGCGGTGCGTCCTTAAGATCTGTCTGGTAGTCCTCCAGGATTTCTACCAGCTGATTATCCTTGGATTTTACTTCACCCATGAGTCCGCCCTGCATCGTGGCTAGTCGATTGTATTCCATGCTGTACTTTTGTGATTCCTGCTGGAACCGGTCGCGGTCAACTTCGGCATTGTGGCCTTCAAGCTCCTCAATTTCCTCTTGAAGGTGTGCAAGGGCCCGGCTCTCTTGTCGATATCGGAGATTGTCAGAGTACCGTCTGCGCGTCGACTCACCATCCCGGATGCGTTCATTGGTCTTGTTGATTTCACGCGTGAGTCGGTTCTGCTCGCTCTGGAGATTATCTAGTTCCTGCTCTAGATTCTTGAGTTCCCGGTTGACACGTCCAAGTTGGTTCGGCCCGTCGCGGTCCACGTACGACTGAACCTGGTCATTCAAAATATCAAGATTGTTAACAGTATCGCTCAGCCTGGAGAGTTCGTCTGACATTTCGCGTTCTTTGGTTGCCGCACGCTGATCAATATCATCGTATTTGGCCTGGGCAGTCGCGATCTGAGGATCGAGCTTCTCGATTTCTCGGGTGAGATTCTCCGTGACCTCCTGCTGCTTTTGGTTGTTTGCTCGGAATTCATCCACCCGGGCTGCAAGAGAAGCCTTCTTGTCAAGCTGAAATATGATGTCGTTCAAGTTGCTTTTGAGATCGCGTAATTCAAGCTCCATGCTGGAGATGCGTGCCCGAGATTGCTCCTGCTCGGTCCTCAGGCGGTTGATGACATTCTGAATCCCTCGAGCTTTTTGGTCAGTTGAACTTAACTCCTCTTGAATCTCTTCCAGAGTCCGTGTGTTACTCAGTTGGCTTTGTTTGGCCGACAATTCCTCCACCTGAGAGTTCAGCGATTTGATTTCTCTGTCGCATTTGCTTATTGAAGAGACTATTTGACCAATAGACTCGACATCACGCTTGACTTGCTGCTTTTCGACCACATTCTTGTCATGATTCTCCAACTTTGCCAACAGAGACTGTCGCTGAGCATCCAGATCAGCCGTCTCCCGTGCTGCAGCTGGAAGTTCAGAGTCAACGAGCTTTTTCCAGGTTTGATGAACAACACCGAGATCCAGCACGCGCTTATATTCTGCTTCCGCCGCTTTGGGGTCAGACTGTTCTGCGGAGGCCTTTGTCTTCGCGATCAGCTTGTTGATGCGCTCCTGAAAATCCGCTAACGTTTTACTGCCGTGCGCGAAGCCCCGCATACAAGTACGACACGCTGGCTTGTCCCCGGAAGAGGCATCCAGGACTTGCTGGAAATAGTCGTGGAGGCCGCTGTAACCTGAGCTGTCTTCTCTGGCTTGATTAACGTTTTCTTCCGCCCGTTGCAGTGCTTCTTCATAGCCTTGCGGGCCGTCCTCAATAACAGCGCGTAGTTGTTGTTCACATTTCTTAACCTCGTTCTCTCTGCGCGAAAGTTCTTTGCGAACGGTTTTCTGCCTAAACTGCAGCTGCTCCAACTCTCGATTCACCGAATCTCTGTCTCGTTCGGCCGCTACAACCTCACTTGTTGCGCTTCCGAGGACATCCTGGTAGGCTTTTTCGATCGTATCAGTAGACCACGTTCCATCGCCAAGAAGGACTGTGATCCGGTCACTGTGGGCGTTCAACAAGGTGTCAAGGCGCTTCTGTTGGTCCTTCAATGCTTGCTTCGAATATGATAATTTCGCGAGCTCCTGTGCCTTGTTCGAGGATCGAACCATCTCATCCCTCAGTTTTGAGCCAATCTCCTCGAAGCCTCGGAACTCTGCATTAGCATTCTGAATCTTCTTGTCCCAGTCGGCCGCTTCCGCGGCCTCAAGTGTCTTCTGCAGTTCTTTTTGAAGGTCCTCAATACGTGACTCTGCTACTGCTTTGCTGCCTTCGTCGACCGTGATCTGATTGACCCTTCGTTGAAAGTCTCCGGCCTCGCGGTCATTCGAATCCATCTGCTTTCTCGCAGTCGCTCTTTGCTCGTGAAGAGCCAACTTTCGCTCTGTCAGTTTGTTGATCAGGGTCTGCCCGTCTCGTCGCTGTGCTGTATGTTCAAGCTTTACCCGATCGAGGCCTTCTTTTTGATGTTTGGAGATCTTCTTGATTTTGACCAGAAAGTCTTCAACTTGAGTATCATCGTCCAAATACTCGTACTCACGGATTTGATGCTTCGCAGCAGCTTCCCTTACCATTTCTTTACGTCTCTCAAGGTGACGCTCATGAGCCTCCTTCTCTTGTTCGTACTTGCCCTTTAGCTTCACTTTCTCCTCTCGCTGTTTACCCAGCGATTTCATTTGCTCTTGTTGTTCGATGTATACCTCTTGCTTCTGGCTCAGCTCGTCCCTCAACTCCTCTTGTCGGGTTTCGAACTGTGACAGGGTCGTTTGTAGCCACTCGTCCGTCTCGCCGACTTCCACCAAGTGCATTTTGAGATCGTCGATGGTGGACTGTTTGCCTTGAGCCTCGATCCGTTTCCCTTCCAACGCGCCCAGAATCTTTGAATATTCCTCGCCCTTCCTCCAAGTCTCGTCTGCCATCCGACGAGCGAGAGAGATTTTTTGCTCCAATTCCTCACTCTTCTTCCGGAGATTTTCAATTTCATCGGAAAGAGCCTCCTTTCTCTTTTGGGCTTTCAGGGCTCGATCCTTGTCCAATTTCGCATGATCCTCTAGGATCTTATACTTGCCCAATTCCTCATTATGCTTCTTCCGAATCTGTTTGATGTTTTCGATTGCCTTTGTGTATTTCTGTGCCTCGAAGATCTCGTCGAATTTCTTTTTCAGAGTGGTGGGATCACTCAAAGGCCAGAAGCTTTCATCTTGATGGCAAAAGATGACATTGTCAAGGATGGCGGTGGAGACACCGAGGTATTCCGGAAGGAGCGAATCTAACGCGACAGTCCGGGATGACATGACGGTTCTCTCGCCCCGCCTGCTCACGACCAACGAGCATTCCAGCGTCTTCAAGGAACGTGTGGTCTTTTTGACGTTCAGTTCCAGACGCCGAGAAATAGTTACTGCCGCTCCAGTGGCCGACTTGAAGGAGACTTGGACTGCCGCCTTGACCTGGCTGTCGCCGTTCAGTTTGGGGTCGTGGACGAAGGCACCGCCAACTTTGGTATTGGGAGGTTGCATCCCCGTGAAGGCAAACTTGAGGCACTCAATGATGGTGGTCTTTCCTGAACCATTCTGGCCCACGATGAGAGTTAGCGGGGTCTCAAACTTGATATGCTGTTCCTGGTTGTTGTCGAATGACCGAATGCCACAGATCTTCAACACGTGAAGTCGAGACATGTTTGCTAAGGCGTGTGGACAGTCACGTTCGACAATGTGAGGAGAGGCAGCTCGGAGCAACAGTGAGGGCAGCCTGAGAGCCCTGAGTTAGCCCAAGGTTTGAGTGAGAGAACCTTGCAACTTATGTGGTAGACGTATTAAGGGTTCTCAGTAAGACAAGACGTCGCCTAGAGGTGACTGATACAGGTTTCACCGTCTGGCCTAGCGATCTAAGCACAGAGAAGAGCCATGGCTGATGATCATCTCGGTACGAAAGTGGTGGAAGAACGCGATGTCCCTCCTCATTCTGGCGAAAGGCTTCCGCAGCATCTAGCGCGGCTGCCTTGAGTTTCACCCCACACGCGCCTGGTCACGTGTTCTTGGCAAAGACAAAGTCGTCGGCAGCCCTCAAGCAGAGTGGCAAGATCTGATCTGTAAGCCATCTTGCGATCTTGATTCTTCTTGTCGGCGTTTCGTCGTTTCATCGAGTTCCATCAGACCACAAGTCGTCGCTATCATCTCAAGCTTCGGGTCATCTCCCAGGGGACAGTTCTCGGCTGTATTTTCCGTTCCTGAGTGCGAGTGTGCTCCGTATGCCCCCCGAGCCCTCAGGTGCTGGTTTCGCTTCACCAGCCCCCCCCCGCGCTTCTAGTTGGTGGGCACGACCTTTTTGCTCCAGCGAGCTCCCTTGGATCAGGTACCGACGAACTGTTGGTCCCCGAAACCAGGCAAAAAAAAGAAAACAAAAACTTTGTACACCGACAGTCGGGCGTTGAGCATAAGACCCACCGCTGTTTTGTTTGTGCATAATGGGGACGTTCCAGCCCGAGCCAACTCCCATGATGGACTCCTTCAGTGTCCAACCAGCCATGCTAGACGCATCCCTCGTTGGTGGCACAGATATGAGCGTCTACTCTGATCCTCTGTCGCTTGATATGGCCTCCATGCAACCTACACCCTTTGATCCTATGGATTCCGTGCAGTCAAGCTTGATGCAGGATGGCTCGAGTAAACCCGATACCCCTGACAGCTCAATGCCCGCCAATGGCATCGGTGCTGGACCTTTACCTACCGACTTTGTGTTCCAAAATGTTCACAACTCGAGTAGCACCCTGACTGAATTCACGAGGAGAAAGAACTGGACCCAGCGCTTACTAGAGGAGCTCAAAGACTTGTTGTACATCCTCACTCCTGATGGCCGATTTCTTTACGTCTCACCCTCGGCCAAGCAATTGACCGGACACGACCCAAAAGACCTGATAGGCAAATCAATATCAGATTTCATCCATCCCGACGACTCTTCCCTTTTCATTCGCGAATTCAATGAGAGCATTGCTACTGGAAACTCGATTCGCTTTTTTCACAGATTTCGCAGCGCTGAGGACAAATACCAGATCTTTGAGTGCCACGGCCATCCGCATCTTACTAACGAAATCACTCAGCTTGAACTTTCAGGAACACCTGTGAGTCACACTGGGATTTGCCGGGGATTTTTCATGATGGCCCGTCCGTATCCAACACGGACCTCCGAACTCCTGGATTCATTCCTGGAGCACAAGATTGAAAATTTCAGGCTCCAAGCCAGGATCGCTGTTCTCAAGCGGGAGGAAGCCGAGGACGCGGACGCGCAACAGGAGCATTATCACAAGCAGGCTGCCGGAGTCACAGCATCACGAGCTTCATCAAATTCAGCCGACCTCCCGCCCACATCACCCTCCACGAGCGCCCGGCCAGATTTCCCCGACTATGGTGGCATGCCACCGCCCGCCAAACCGACAGTATCAAATATTGCCCTCACCCGTGAAGCATTGGATGAGGCCAATGCTTTCGCCCGTCCAGACTCTATACGGGACAAAATGGCCCGATACGAAGGCTCCTCACACGTCGACTCCATTGAAATGTTGACCGGGCTACGTTACCGCGAAGGCGAACGGTCTCACGGCATATCAACAGGAGGCACTTCGCCGGCACTTATTCGTGGTGACGCAGGCATTCATATTTCAATTGACAAAGCAGATGCACGATATTCATATATCGACAAGAAACACAAGAAAGTAAAAAGCGCAGAGGAATACGTTTGTACTGATTGCGGAACGCTCGACAGTCCCGAGTGGAGGAGAGGGCCTAACGGTCCGAAGACGCTATGCAATGCTTGCGGGCTGAGGTGGGCAAAGAAGGAGAAGAAGAAGCAAGCTGCAACGGATGGGATGTCGTCGACTGCAGTGGGAAATGCTAGCCCCGCGGTATCTACCACTAAGACTGGCGAGCCAGGAGCCGTCGACGCAATCTCGTCTATGGCGGTTGGAAATGCCAGCCCCATGCCGCGCGTGGGCAGGACCAGCGAGACAGGAGACGTCGAAACCCCATTCACGGAGGTGGGAACTCGCAGTTCTGCGGTATCCACGTCGAAGTTCACGGCTAAGGCTGAGGAGATGGGAGGAATCGGAAGGCCCAGATCAACTGCAACAGGAAACGGTGGTCCTATGGTACCACTCTCGAATACGATGAACTGCGAAACAACGACCACGGAGATGGCATTTCCCAATGCGGCCGAGAATGGCTTTGCAGTAGCAACCACTGCTGAGACTGTCGGTGTTGATGGTACTTTACCTACTTCTGCGGTCAAACAGGAATTTAGCTGAACGGCGTTGACGCAAAGAGCAAGTCTCGAACTGGACGCTCTCGATACGGTTGAGAACAACCGCATGATAAGATCTGTCGGACTCACCTTGAAGGTCTGATGCGATGCGCCCCGCAGTTGCACAAGGCTAAAACAGTCTTGTATGTTCACCAGCTCAAGGCCCAAACCCTCGGTGCCTCCGTCTCAGCTTAGTTCGAGGAACATGTCCATAAGTCGGAGCACCATCCGTCGAGGCCGAATGGCTTGCATTTTTGGATCAGCCGGATAAGCATCAACATACGCAGGAACAAACACCTCTGGATACCCCTAACCGGTATGGCTTGATGTACAATAGTAATGAATTGAATGAATGAAAGGCGCACATAGAGAAGAGATGGGGAGGATTGTGCATTTGCACACGCACACGAACACAAACACGAATACGAGTCGGACCACATGGGTTTATACATATAATTGACGTTCGCATGCGACAAAGTGGAAAGTGTCTTAAGTCATTCCCGTTCACCATGTTCGAGACATGAGCCATGCCTCTTATCTTACACAAGACATGTATCTGCGTCTCTGGAGCGGCCACCATGGACCTCGCCTCTGGCGTATCGGGCTGACCGTTTTCGATGGCCGCGTAGAAGTGCTCGTGGAATTTTTCCGCTTCTATTTCCTTCCAGACTCTGATTCAACTGCGAGTCTCGAACTGGTTTTGAAATCGCCAGGCGGTTTGGAACATCGCGGGCAGTCTAAGAATACCTTCTACTGCAGCAACCTCCTCTCGCGGCCGTAGAGATTGTCATAGAACAAAGTGCGACAGTGGCGAGGCCGGTTTCCTGACCGGTAGAACCAAGCGTCTCGACTTCTGCATGAGGATACACCAGTACCAGTGTATTGATTTTTTTGGGCTTGAGGCCGTGGCTAGATCTCGTGCAGAGAGGTCGTTCTTCAAGTCACGGTGCTGGCATCCACGGCATCCGGTCCGACGTTCTCACCCGAGTTTTCAGCCTTTGAATCGATCTCATCCTCGGTCTTTCCGTCCGCGTCCACAAGAACAATGTCACCATCTTCCGTCGGCGACTGCGACTTCTGCTGCTTGTCGCCGTCTTCTCTCCCGCTCTCGTCGACTTGCATGGCATCCACATCGCTGCCCTCGACAGTGTCCTTGAGCACAATTTCGAAATCCTCTGAACCATCCGATGACCCAGATCCGCCTACTGATACTGCACTTGTGGCTGTAGTGCCCAAGATATGACTTTCTCCTGGAAGGACTGTCTGTGCATCATTCGCGTCTATTGCCCTTTCTTTTCCCTCCTCGCCTGGAGGACTTCCAATGTGAATTTCCATGTCGTGACCATCGACTCTCCCTATATCGACTGAGCCTACGAGGTCAGGTCCGCGGGCATGAGGCACCACATCTCCTTCGTCCATAAGGGCATTCTCTTCCATTGTTCCACTCACGTGTGTATCTGGAGGGTTTCGGGTCACAGGCACCACGCCAGCCTCTTGTTCCATGCGGATCAACTCGCCTTGAGTAACTGCGCCATCCGGCCTTTCAGGTACTAACGAGTCACTGTCGCCCTGCGTTCCCGGCAAGATGAGCGAGTCATCTAAGCCATCTGTGCTGGTGCTGGTGTTTGAGTCTAGCGGACCTGAATCCTCACCAGAATCCTCGCCGCCATTGAGTCCATTTCGCAGCCATGGTATTGGAGTCAGGAGTGCGCCCCCTAGACTTTCGTCACTTCCCAACGAATTGCTGTCATAACCATGGCGCACCTCGCCATTATTCCAAAGAATCCCCCCTCCTCCATCTCCATTGACACCATTTACAACGGGCGGGGTTTCGGAAAGCGGGAAAATATCTGCAGCGCTACTAACGCTGACGACTCGGTCGATGGCTCGCAGCCACGCAGGGAGAGTTTTGTAATGTTTCGTAGGGTATAGAATGAGCTCTGCCAACCGTTGTATTGTGTGGGGTGGTCTCTCTGAAAATGATGTTCGCAGGGTATGGGTTACGCTGTTGAGAATTTGCAGTAAAAGCGCGGGAAGTTCAGAGAGCACGGTGACCTCAGCGTCTTGAGACTGAGGAAGTGAATCGGGCACATGGCTCGTGGAGGTTGCTGATGAATTTGGGAAGGGTGGAACGGGAGGAAGGTTCCGCACGGGTGTCGATGGTGTCTGCAAATTGGGATTAGAATCACCAATCTGGGTAGGCTGTGTTTGGATCGGTGAGGAAGGAACCGGGCGATTTATTGTAGGATACGGCCGCGGCATAGGGAATTCCGTATACACGATCTGTACATTGGTTGTCAACTTCACGAAGAACGGTATTCATCGAAGGAAGTACCTCGTTGAGTCGCTGGAGGAGTGGTTCGATGATGGTTGGCCATTTTTCACTGGTGCAAAGTGAGTCCCAGAAACCTCCAAGCTTCAGCAATAGAAGGAGCATACTAGTCCATCTCGCCATTGTTGGCCACATATTGGAGGGTCTGCTCATCCAAGGCTGGTGGCACAAGTCAGCGTTTCTGGAGGAAAACTTTGCGGATTGGAAGGAATGTCAACAGGAGCGAGAGCGTCGACGTACCTGGAGACATATTGAGAGCGCAGGAGGCAGATCAGCTATGCACAAGAAACCAAGTATCAGAACGGATATTTAATGAGAAGATGCGCAACTGACGAGGCTGCATCCAACATGAACAAATCTGCGCACGAGGCGGGCGTTTCTCCAGGTGGGCAAGGCGAACAAGCTAAAGAGGCGCGGAGCACGAGAACTTTGGCGCAGCTAAGCGCCTGCGGTGGTCGGTTGCCTCCTGCAGAGAATCACGGGCGAGGTGTCCGGGCACCCGCCGGGGTCAACCCCCCGTCTGGTTTCTCATCACCCCCCAAGCCCCTCGCCGCCCCGTGCTCCTCGGTGGCCCCCCCATGGCCCACCCCGGCTTCGGAAATATGTAAGTTTCTTGTTTAGGCACACCTATGCCTGCTCTAGCGCCCTCTTCGGGTCCTGTCTGCAAGGTGATGAAAGCCCAATGCAACACCGTTATTAATATTCTTACTTATTGCAAGAGTTCAGCACGCGCAGGCATCAGCCCTCCACGAAGACGGGAGTTCTCTGGATCATGTATCAGCATGCCATTGTGCTTGCCTCCTTCTCTTACGTCAACATTGAGCATTCAGAACCGAACTCTAAGCCTTAAGACTCGTCTTCTGGTAAAGTGCTGGCCAGCACGCCGCCTGTTTATTTGTCAGTTAAGAATGTCCAGATGTGTGTTGCCTCTAGGCCACCGTACCCTGAAATGGAAGTTCAACTCTGCCATGGTTACCTGCAGAAGGGGAAATGCCCCGTCAGCGTCTCCAGAGTGAGATCTTACGAGCAGTTTCGTGTTCGGGATTTTGCAGCACAATGCAGGACGTTTCCTTCTGTTCGTACGGTCCTACCCGTAGACTGAAGCCCTACGGAAACAGCTTCTCTCGATCGGGAGAAAGGGATCGTTTGCCGCCCACACAAGCAGTGCCTAGGTATTGTACCTATCCGTATTAGCTCAAATGCCCTCACACCACATTTTCCCAACACGGAACCTGTCAAGCGGCAGGACCAGACACAGTGGTCGACATGTATGGCTGGGTCCTGGATATGCTGGCTGCGAAACCTTGACATCAGGTTGATCTCGAGGGGAGCAAGGGACCGAGCGAGCCCGAGCCGACTCAACCCTTTGGTGCACAATCGAGGGTTGAGGTTCGTCAGTGGCGAAAAAACCTGCTGGCGAGGATTGATGCCCGGCCCCCGGCCCCTTGGATTGTATCCAATCCCTTTGGCTGTGCCCGTTTTAGACGCCTTTGCATGATTCAGTGTCCGTCAAGGGTTCGGGGATTCTAAAACATATCAATCTGATCCAGCCTTCCTTCGTCGCCCTGAAACACGCCTCCCCTTGCATCCCTTCGGAACAGCGGTTGACTTTCCGATCAGTTTTCGAGAGTTTACCGCACCCTTTATTCTGGCCCAGGACGGGAGAAGGGTGCGGGAGATGTTCAAACTCTCCAAATGGCTGGCTCGAGCCTCGGGCTGATGCTTGCGTGTGACGGAGGGAACAGCCTCCAGCTGCTTTTCCAGTGCTGACACAACGCCAGAAAGCCCCGGGAAGGCGGCAGGCTAGCCACGGCGGGCGTAGGCCTGAAGAATGTGGCTCACGCCTGCCATGGTGCGAACCACTCAGCGCAGTCCGGGCTGCCGAAGACGGGCCTCGATGGCCTCAATGGCCTCGATGGCTTCTGACCCTGGTCCATCAACTTGCCCTGGGACGTCCCTAGGGCGCTCTTTGGCTTCCCTCAAACTTTCTACGTTGTCCTCACACTGTTCCTCAGGCGGCCAGAGCCAACTCGGCTGTTGATCGAAGGGCAACCGCTCCCGCGCTTTGAACCTTTTCGCCCACCCACACCTCAAGCAAATCGCCATACAGTGCATACACGGCCTGTCCCACTGTCCGACCGCGTGCTTCCAAGGTCGCTTCATCCTCGTCCCCTCTCCACAGCTGATCCCTCCAATAATCGTCAGCATGCCTTTGTCCTGCTGCTCATCCTCGTCCTCGACCTTTGACCTCGCCTCTGCTGTAACGCATCGTGGCTTTGTTCCTTCTCTGGCTCTGATTGTTCGGCTTCATTGGCATTCACTTCTTTTGTTCTAATATTGTGTCATGACGCCGTCTGCCAGCTGCTGTCACTGCTGTGCAGCGAGCCGACCGTCCTTCACGCCTGTCCTTCCTTGACTCCGCCCACTGAATTCTCGAAACAACAGGAATGACCCGTACAAACCCTACCAGACTCCCTCTACCCTGACGACGTCCATTCCTTCTCCTCTGCGACATGGTTCCGCTCAACATCCCTCCCGAGGGGCTTGTCCTGAGGCGGGAACCCAAACATCACACACATAAACAGACAAAAGAACCCACCCAAGTGATACAGTTGGACTTGATAGAGTCCGTGACTAAGGACATCCTTCGATCTCTGAAAAACAACGAGCAAGTTCGGTTCCGATGTGGGAAAAGACCGGTGGTGCAGTTCGGCAAGAAAACAGTAACCCTGGAGAGCAGCGTTGATACGTTTCCCACGGAGATCTACTCCAAGTCCGACAATGACACAGCCCCTCTATATTTCACTGGCAAGTCAAGCCATAGACTGGAAGTCAAAAAGGCTGGAAAGGATACTGCAAAGGCCGACGAAGCCTTGGCTACGCTTGAAAGCACCCTAAAGTCTATACAGGAGGAACGAGCGTCGAACGAGACAAGCTTGAAAGAAGACCTTAAGCAGGGACTAAGGAAAGACGTGAAGCCATCGCCCTTACTGGGGCAGGGCTCTGCTTTGAGGAAAGATCATTTGTTGGGATCCTTGAGCAGATCTACACCAGGGAGCCCTTTCCTGAGTGCCTCGTATTCTCCGCGGCTTGGGCCTACCTCGGCCCCTTTGTCCTCTGGGATGTCCACGAAGGATCGAATACGACTCGACGCTATCCGCATACCACTCGTGCATCTTCTGGCCGTCCGGCCAATGACAGCGAAATCGATCTGTGATCAACTGCATGCAAGCAAGGACGACATCGACAAGTTACTCGACAAGGTGTCATGGGAGTCCAAAGCAGAGGATGGGAAAAGAGAGCTGAAAGAAAAGAGCTACCGTGAGCTGGATGTCTGGAAATTCCGGTATCGGTCGCAAGAGGACAGACAAGCAGCTATTGATCATGCCATTCAAGCATATGACAGGATGAGAGTGGAGAAGAAAGACCCTCTCTGGCAGCTCTTACTTCCTGCAGAGGATCGGGGAAAGGGCAAGATCTTGTCAAAGCTGAACTTCGACAAGCCAGTATCCAGTCACGCCACCCCTAAGCCTGAGCGTCCGAACGAGGACGGCAGCGAGAGTAAGAATGAGATGTCAGACCGAGATCATGGTAAGGCACGAGCAAAGAAGGACAGAGAGCCTGTAGGTGCAGAAAAGGGGCGGAAAGACAAGGCTATCACCAAGGCTGCTGTTAAGAGCGACTCGAGTGCTACTGTCAAAGGCAAAGACAAGGATTCCTCACACTTGAAATCTGCAAAAACAGATGCTAAATTCAAGTCCTCTGAACGCATTGAGGACTCTGATGAAGAAGCCGAAGCGGCGTCGGAAGTCGTCGCCAAGCCAAAGAAGCACGACGCAGGGACAACAAAGTCGACTTCCACCTTAAAGAGAAAACCAGAACACGGCCCACTCAAGTCGACCAAGTCGCCTTTGACAACTGCCTCTCCAAAAAAGACCGCCCACAAATCCTCGCTCTCAAGCTCGTCGTCATCCAGTGGTAATAACAGTGCGAGTGATAAACCCCGGCCCACGGTTACGGGCCCTTCCAAGTCGTTGAAACCTCAGAATCATCAGAAACTGGAAAATACGGCTTCTCGCATTTCTCCACGGCCACGACACGACAGTTCGCCGCAGAAGCCATCACCACTTGGCTCTTCACCTCCGACCACCTCGACTGATTTAGACAATTCCAGCTCCAGCAAGGCATCTAACCATTCTTCCGCTCCATCATCTCCGCCATCCAGCACCGACATGCCCCAAACGAAACAAGGCAATAAATACTCTCCTGTTATCTCGGACAAAAGTAGGAACGTGTCTCGAGGCAGAAGTCCAGGTCCAAGCCCTGTGAAGCGCAAAGCTGCCCCTGCCGAAGACGAACGTCCTGCAAAACGGCAGCATCAGCAACAGACGTCCACTTCAAATCATTCCACCCCTCCGACAAATGGTGTGACTGACCACCCTGTGCTGAAGCGGCCTACTGCTCCGGTTCGAACCGACTCCGAACGGTCATCTAGCCCCGAGAAACCAGGACCCAAAAGAGAAGATATCATTGAGGAGGCGAGACGATTTCAAAAGTATTATAAACGATACAAAGATCTCTATGACAAGATATCACAAATGGACGAGAAGGAGCGTGATGATAAGGACATGAGCGACCTGTGGAAGATGCACAAGCGGCTGAAGGAGATGAAGGCCGATATCTGGGCAAATTGGGGTAAAGTCGAAAAGGTCGACACGGCTGACTCTAATGGGGATGTGAGAGCGATGCTTGCTGTTGCATAAGAAAAGTGTTTTATGATACCAAGGATCCCGGAACCCGGATCTACACATTTGCAGGAGAGACAAAGGATTTCATTCAGCCGCCCTTTGTGAGTACCTACAGCCGTTCATGATTCTACAATGATCCAGACTCAGATAAGCCTGATTCTAAATAAAAATGAGATTTGCTACCTTTATGAGAACTGTGTTTGTCTATCATGCAAACCACATCACCGATGACAAACCAGAAAACTTCACTGCTTGCTCAGATTCATCTTCATTTGGGTCTTCGTTTGGAAGGTCTGGTAGAAACAAATCACAGTGTGACTGACAACAGCCAAGTCATTCTCTCTTCAAGATGGTTCAGAAAGGCTAAAACTTCCTTCCCAGCTCCCTCGTCTTCATCCTTCGGCCCGTCCCTGCTCAGCAAAAGTCCATCAACAGTTACTCCACCCTGTGACCCTCTGGCCTCTGATGATAATCAAAGATCAAGCGTCTTGTAAGTAATGTCGACTTCATTCCTCTTCTATCTTCTCCCTTGGCCTTGGCGTGGCTGATGACCGAACACAAGACCGTATCCAGAGCCTCTTGACATTCGCTCTAATCTCTACTGCTCACTTTGGCCTGAGCGAGACTCGGTGACCTTTTGCTGCCTCACTCTTCTGCGCAAAATGGCCAGAGACAAATCCCGAAAACACATGAGTGGCAAGCGTCATTCGAGTGTGACGCCACAAAAGCCCAACAGCCTCACGCAAGACATTGTCGATCTCACCAAAACCGATCCATGGGCTCACCAGGCCAGACGGGCACGATCAATCGCGCCTGTCGCACCGGGCTCGGGTTCCAAGCTGACACCACTTTCACCGGCGTTCTCAGGAAGGAAGACTCTAGACGGTGGACCAGCATCACGTCTGACGACCAGGATCGACGTCCCCCAGGATCCGAAGTCGAACCCTACCTACATCTTCCAGCAGCTGTCGTTGGCGAAGAATCGGGCGAACACTCGACCTTCCTTCTTTGGGGCTCTGGGCACAGACGATGGTGAAGCTTCGGGTAGGAGTGACATCACCGAGCGCGACAGTACTCCAACTCCAGGCCACAAAGGGGCGAGGGAGAAAGATAAGTCCAAGAAAAAGAGGAAGACTAGTGAAGGGAATAGCAAGGATAGGCTGCAAGACAGAGAGAATGAAAAGAGGCCGGCGGATACAGCAAAGGGTCAACATCAACATCACGAGAAAGAGGCCAGACAGCGAGAGGACAAGAAGAAACGTAAGGACGACAAGAAAAAGAAACAGCTGGCCAGACCCACGGAGGCACAGCCAGGTACGAGGACAAAGCCCCTTTATTTCTTGCCCTCATGAAAACGCAAGGTAACTAACTCCTCCCTAGTTGCCACATCCGAGTCGAGGAAACGTAAACGCGAGAATGAGGAGGCCGAAGCGTTCAAACGCCGAGTCGAAGTCGAAGCTAATGCGGTCAAGAGACTTCGCGAAAGTCTTCCAAGCGTCCGCCTCGATCGCGTGTTCCGCAGACTTGAACGCGAGGAAGGTATGACACCGACCGAGATGGCTGTGCTACTCGTCACCGCTAGGGAAACAATCATCGACTTTGCGAGGCAGCAGGTCTTGCAAACTGAGAGGGCGCAAAAGACTATTCAGGACGAGTTGTTGAGAGTACTGAAAGAACAGAATGAGAGGCTTGCCGAGCTGGAGGGAAAGACCAAATCCAGAGCGGCTCAGGTGTTAGCGGGACCTGGTCGGGAGGAGGAAGTCGAGGTGATCGACGACACTTCTTCTTCTTCCTCTTCTGACGACGACAGCAGCAGCAGCGACGAGGACAGTGTGCAGAAGTCATGCGTCGGAAAGAAAGCCAACAATCCGTCGCCACAGCAGAAAGCTCTTGACAGATGCCCAACTCAGTAAGGATTGGAATCATCGTGGAGTAAACCGCGTGTATGCCCGGCGTCTTGAACAAGGTGCAAATTGGCTTATTGGGATCTCGTCCTGTCGGGCAACATGTACGCATGAGACGAAAGGGGGATTGAATCGCATATGTGAGAGACGGACCACGGTGACGGGGCTACAGCCGTTCAAGGCTTTGCCCAAATGCAAGGAAATTGGGCTGGCGCTAGCACGAGTTCTGGAGGGCGGAGAATCATTGACGGCACCGTGAACGAGAAGGATTTCAGCATCGTATGTTCGGTGCCGTGAATGACCCTGGAAAGTTGAATACAGTGTCGCCTTCCCCTCTTTTCTGCAAATTCAGTGTCCACAGAGAGGAAGCAACCTCTGCGTTCCACCAACTGCCCATCTAAAGAGGGGGGGTTTTTACTGTAAGTGCGTGTGCAGGCTGCGTGGTGGGGAAAGCGCCTCGGGGCGGGCCTCACCAACCTTGGCTTGACCTCAACCGTAGGTGCCCAAGGCTGAATGAGCCTCTCCGTCATCATTGCAGCTTGACTCGAGCCCGACAGCCACACACACATTCAACCCTCTCCGGTCTGCCTTCTCTTACATTCCTTCGTCTCTGTGCTGCCAACGCCGTTGTATTGTCGGAGCGAATCTTGATGCCTCTAGGCTACCGGCTTACAACCCTCAACTCTCGACGGCCAGGCCAAAATGACCTCCTCATGCCCAAGTCGCCCGGTCTCCAAGGCGTCAATCGTGCACATTGGCTGCGCTAGCATTAGCGGACGAAGCCACCTCGAGTTGATGTCTCTGCGCCTGGGGAAGAGGTGGGGGGTGCTCGATCCAATAGCAAGGGCAAACATGTACCGGGGAATGTTGTCGTACAACTATTGGCCTATCTCTGCGCTGCGCAATTAGCCTAGCAGTCAGCCCAGACGCACGATTTCAGTGTCTTCAGCTGGATAATCCACAGCAAGAAGGTCATGGGTTAGGCTGCACCTACGCCTCTCATTCATCTCTCATTAGAGAACCTGTTCCCTTTCCTTCTTGTGGTGTTGCCTTCCTCTTCGATCAGCTCCCCATCCCTCAAATTTCTAGGCAGTCATACCCGTGAATCATGGCAGAGGCTTTTGGTCTGGCTGCCAGTGTTTTCTCAGTCGCTGGGTTGGCAGGACAGCTGGCACAAGGCTCAGCGTTTCTCTACAACTTTTTCAAAGACATCAGAAACGCACCAGCTGACGTTAGATCATTGTGCAATGAGCTCCGAATCATCTCTTCGACTCTCACTACCATCCATCAATCCTACGATATTCAAGACGCCGACCTAGAGCAGGCTCTGCGCCGTTGTGAGCAAGTTATCAATGGCCTCTCAACAATGATAAAATCCATCACGCCGGCGGATGAACTTCCGGAGTGGAAGAAAATTCGCCAAAGGTTTATAGCAGCTCTGAACCGGTCAGAATCAGCAAAACATCTTCGCGCTCTGGAAAGGGCCAAATCCATGCTTTTGCAATGCTGCACAAACAACATGAGGTGGGTGATTGCCTCGAGCTAGAGTTCTGCGAGATCCATCGAAAAGAGGATAGGTTTTATTCTCTAACACCTACGACGTACAGGAAAAGCCAATCTGCTCAGGCGTGCATCGCTGTAGACACTCACAACGTCGTTTTAGACGCCCAGAAGACGGCTATTGACACCATGAGCACCGTCATTGACACCCACAGAGCTGTTGTCGAGACCCGGAACACTACTATTGGCACTGAAAGGACCATACTTGACACGCAGAGGATCGTCGGAGAAATTAGAGCAGGGACATCAAGTATCTGTGAATCTAGTGTGCAAATCAGGGAGATCACCTCCGAAACTCGCACGCTGGTGAACAGATTCGCCGACGACACTTCACATATGCGAAACGTGACTGAACGGATCGAAGCTGCTTCGCGAGAGCTACTCGGAAAGCCTCAGGATATCGCACCCGAACTGCTACAAGCCTTTACCAAGGAAGTCCCTCGGATAATATCCAGGACTGTCTGTCGGCGCCTCGAAAAGATGCTGAGAGAACAAGTCGACCAGGGCAGCGGCAAGGGTCCCCACATCATCAACCCTGGAGAATGTAGCACGGCCAGACTTCGAGACGGAATTCCCGACGAGAGACCTTCTGCCTCACTACGACCGAGTTCAACTGAGAAACTTCCAGATCATCCCGCAGATCACTGGGTCTTGAAGTCGTCAATATCAACCTCGAGGCATCTGATTTCGAATTCCTTCCTGGGATCCTTGACTATCAGGACCACAGTCAAGTCATACTCCCGGAAACGAAGTGATGGTTCAGGTAGAGATGAGAAAGAGGAGCGTCAAACGACAGTCACATTTCTACCCGCGACCTGGCTCATGTCGAAAGGTGCTGTCCTGGCATACAATACCTGGAAACGCATTGGAGGTGGCGCACATCAAAGCCCCATTTACAGCTTAAAAACAGTCAATATTGTTCCGAGTGATTCTAAAATCATCCAAGCTTGCGTTTCATGTGATTTAACAAGTATACGAACTCTATTCGACTCCGGCCAGGCTTCGCCTTTTGATGTAGGCCCGGGTGGCACGAATCTTCTTGTCTACGTCGCCACGAGCCCCATCATCCAAGGCGTAGATAGTTTCATGGGGCAGCACTCACTCCCAAGATCACAGGCATCAGAAACGAAAAGCGAAATTGGAGAACTTCTCGAGATGATGCACATAGTGAACCTACTCACGAGCCTGGGGGTTGATGCTGGTGACCGTGACCTGAACAATTTGTAAGTTAAATGCTAGATTTCTGTTCGCACGGTTGACAAGAAGGCACAGAAACGCGCTCACTATGCTGTGTGTAGCCTGGCCAGCCTCCACTAAGCTTGACAAATTCAGCTTTCTCCTCGACAAGTTGCTACTGGAGGCGAAAACCGACCCTTTCAGTTCTAACAACCCACTCCTGCCCTGCTACCACCCAACTCCAGTAGAAGTCCTGATCCGTCAAAAGGAATGGCGGTTGCAATGGACTCCGCTGCAGTTCCTCGCGCTCTTCGATTTCGGCCTGATTCATGACCTGATAGACGTGCCCAGCCCAACCAGATCATTCGTTGAGTTCTGGACTGTGACTCCCGATGCCGCCATCGAGGCATATCTTCAGGCTAAGTTGAGCGTGGTTCAAATTTTCTTAGCACATGACACTTTCCCCGTGCAGAAATTCACAAGCCTTGGGGAGGAAGCCATTCAAAGGTTGATTCACCATGGAGGAGACGTCATTGCTTTGCTGTCCGAGCATGATGATGATGGCAATGATCCACCATGCCTGCATCGGGTGCGAAAATTGGTCCTAGTTAGCACTTTTATGATCACGGCACTAGGGCTTCTGTTGGAGTTTTGGTGCCCATATCTTGCAACAAAGGACCAGCACGATGAAATCTCTTTGCACGCCCAACAGCATAACATGCGGACCATAAACATTTGGAGGAAGGCACTGGAGAAGGCATGTGGCAATGCCCAAGACGCACAATCAAACAAACCTCCTTCTAATCATGGTACCGGAATTTCAGGATGTGCTTCAGTTGAGCGAAGGGATGAAGTCAATAGTTTTGACGAAGATGGATGGGAGACAGAAGCTTCTGATGGACCAACATCGGGCTGGGAAACTGAGGAGGAGTGGGAAGAAGGATACCTATTGGACACCGCTGTCGATATTGGCGATCGGAATGCGACGACTACCTTGCCGGCACGTTTGAAACGTTGCACTCGCTGCAGAGTCGCTTCAAATTGCGCAGCAATTTGGGAAGATAGGGACACGGCAGGGCTAAATCTCCCTTTCCCACTGCGACTCGCAACAGACAGGGGTTTTCAGATCAACGGTCGTGCTGTGCCCCGATTTGATTATGATGAGGACTACTGGCAGCACGTCTACGCTAGGTTTGGGTCGGAGGAAAGTGATCGTTGTCTTTACGAGCCAGCGACAGGTCAAGTATTGGAAACTCTGGCCAAGGCATCCGATTCATTCATCCTCGCTTCCAAGGGTCGCTGAACGGGCCCTCAACCCCCGTCTGCGCAACCGGTCGTCCAACAACCACCCTCAAATCAAGAGACACAACAACGAGGGGAGGTCAGGGCTGTGAAGCCAGGGACGCAGCTGGAGAAGAAGAAAACCAAAAGTGGAACGAAGGGTCAATTTTGACCTCCCCGTTCCCCCCCCTTTCCCAGCCAATACAGCGCGACAAGAACCGAACATACCCGCCCTTAGAGGACAAAAAGGGGGGCTTGGTAGAGGGGCCGTCTCTCCCCCCGTGTGCACGCGGGCAGGTCGATTCTCATCATCGCAACAAAGTTTGTTCGGCCCAAGAGAAAAGAGGACTTCCCTCTAGCGGGTCAGGACACTACAGCACTCAGCCGTGTTATTGTTGACTCAACCCAGCTGAGGGGAATCAATTCTTCGATGTTTTTCTACAGGCGGCAGCAATGGCAGTCTCACGATCTTAGGCTTTCAGGGGCATCAGATGTGTGACCCCGAACATAGCGCAACAGGAGCAGTAGCAGCAATAGCAGCAGTAGCAGCAGGAGGAGGAGGACAGGGAGGAGGACGGAAGAAGACGGAGGAGGAGAGACAAGTGAGTGATTCTACGCTAGAAGCAGACCAATATAGGGTATGAAAAGGAGATGTAGAAATATAGTTCCCGACTGATATAAGGCACTCGGTTTAAGATGTATTCTCAATTGAGCATGTCATTATGTCAACCTTGGACTGATACGAGTCTTCATTTTGATTATTCCATCCTCTCATTCTGACCGAGTCTGACCGAGTCATTCCATCCAGTGAGACAGCCTCACCATCCCATCCACTACTTTCCCCCCTTGCTTTTGAATTTTTCCAGTCCGACAAGAATTCTGTTTCCCTAACCCTATTAACTTTTTTCGACCTCCTGCTAAAAAAAATTCCTACCCTAGCGAGGTATAAATCACGCGGTCAGCGTCCAGTTCCCGCTCCAGACCTTCCCGCCCAGCGCGCCGCCCAGGCCGGTGACGCTCAAGACCTTGCTCGCGGCATTGTACGTGGCGTTGGCGACGGCGTGGCCGTTGATGCTGACGGCGGTGTTGGCGGGGGCCTTCTGCACGCCCAAGAAGGTGACGTTGGCCAGCGCGAGGTCGAGGCCGGCGTAGGACCCCGAGACGGCCACGGTGAGGCTCAGCGTGCCGTTCTGCGCCGAGGTCGAGCTCGTCAGGGTGACGCGCTTGGTCGCGTTCGGGGCCAGGCTCTCGCCGTCGTCCAGGTACAGGGAGCCGGTCGCGGTGCCGTCGACGCCCGGGGCGACGATGACGCTCCAGGACGTGTTGCGCGCGTCGCGCGTCGTCAGGGCCATCTGCTGCGTCGCCAGGATGCTGCCGCCGCGGATGAACACGGGAATGTGGCCCAGGGGCGCGTCGATGGTGGTGTTCTTGCTGCTGGGCACCGCGACGGGCGACTTGTTGTACCAGTCGTAGTACGTGTCGGTGCCTTCGACGAGGCCCGGGAACACGCCATCCACGGTCGTGGCGCCCTGCGTGAGGACCGGGGTGACGAGGATCGACGGGCCCAGGAAGAACTGCCGATCTGCGTTCGCGAGGCTGGGGTCGTTGGGAAACTCCCACGCAAGCGCGCGCATGACCGTGTCTCCCTGCGTATGCGCGTAGTAGAACAGTGTGTACAAGTACGGCAGGAGTTGGAACCGCACGTTCATGGCGGTCTTCGTGGCGTCGATGACACTGCTCCAGACATACGCCTCCTGGGAGTTCGCAGAGAGGACGTTGTGATTGCGATAGAACGGGAAGAAGGCCGACAGTTGCATCCACCGGTTACAGAGCTCTTCGTCGGAGTTGCCGTTGAACCCGCAAGTGTCGACGCCGAACATGGGGATGCCGAAGAGGCTGAACGAGAGCGCTTGAGGGATGGAGAAGTACATGTAGAAGAACTTGGAAGCGTTGTCGCCGCCCCAGTGGCCCGCCACAGTGCCGGAGCCGGGGAATGTGGACCGGCCGATGACAAAAGGTCGCTTGTTGGGGATCGCCGCTAGGAGGGCGGCGTAGGTAGCTTGGAGGATTTGGTGGCCGAAGAGGTTGTGGACGTCGTATTCTTGAATGCCGTTGTGGTGTGTGGCGTTTGGAGACACGGCATGCACCGCCAGATCATGGTTTCCCTGGACGTGGTTGATCACGTACGGTGGGTAGTTGATATTGCGTTGTCCTGCGGTCGGTGTTGAGCGCAGGTAGCTCGTTGTCGATGAAGACGAGCTCGAGCTTGACGCTGTGGACGTGGTGGTCGGCGTGGCTTGAGCTTGAGAAGCCGAAGAGGCGGATGCAGCTTCCGTGGAATTGGTCAGATTGAAGCCTTCTGGGTAGTCGTAGATGACATTGCCGGGTTCACCAGGGAGGCCGAAGGGTGGGTGCACCGGGTTTAGTGTGAGGTTGCCAGTGCCACAGCTTCCTACGCAAAATGAGGAGACTTCGCTCATGTCGATCCATGCCCCGTCGACAGGAAGTTTTTGATGCCAAGTAACAATCTGATTCTTCCACCATGCTCTGGCAGATGGCTGGAGCCAATCTGGAAAGACGGTGTAGCCAGGCCAGACCTCGCCGATATAGAGTGACCCATCTGGATTGAGGAGGAATGAATTGGTGGCATTACCGTCATTGAATGGCTGGTACGCATCACTTGCATTTGTTGGATCGGGAACATAGATGGCAGAATCAATGATGGGGACATAGTGTTGGCCTCTATTATGGAGACGTTGGAGGAAAGCTTTCCCGTCCGAGTAGTTGAAGCGGACCGGGTCGTTGTCGAAATCTCTGTATTGAAACATGTAGTCGATGTCGTTCCAGATTGTTTCAAGTGGAATACCAAAGCGTTCGTAGTTGTCAACAACCGCCTCCGTGACAGACCAGTTTTGATAGCCCCATCTGCACTGGTGGAAACCAAATCCCCAGTAGTTTTGCAGCATTGGCATGCCGATGACATTGAGGTATTGATGTGTCACGTCCGGCTGTGTCGGTCCGGAGAAGAAGTACAAGTCGATGCTGCCCCCCAATGTTCTCCACGTCACATTGTTGGCTTCTAGGAGGACCTCCATTCCATGAGCATTGCGGAAATACACACCATGGGTGAAGGAGGTATAGTTGCTGGTGGCTTCAGTCGTGTCGAGCTGTTCGGTCAGCAGAGTTGTACTGTTGTCGCTACCGACCTCGAAATACTTGGTTTGGAGATAGAATGGGTGGCTCCCGTACAAGTTCGTGTCGATCGGATCGCCAACGTCGGCGGCGTAAATTGTTCGTGTGAGGTTGTTGCCCAGTCGCAAACCATGAATAACCTCCCCGAGACCATAGAGATTGTAATTCTCTTGTTGGTGAGTGACAAGCTCGATGAATTGGTTCTCAAAGACTAGTTTTGTCCCTGTCGTCGCAAACAAGACGTCTCCGGTGCTATTGCGCGTGACATTGAATCCAAAGCCCGTGCTCGGTGAGTTGGCCCAGGAGAATGTCAGGTCGCTCGTAGTCATTGAGCCACCGCTCTGGCTCCCAGCGGGAACATAGTCGGTCGAGAGAAGATACCAGCTCTGGTTCTGGGAGGTTACATGGGAAGGCCGAATGTTGACGTGGAGCCGGGACGTGGTCTGGTACTCAACCGTCAAGTCCAGGTCATGGACATCAGTCCCATAGATATTGCAAGCAGTGCCAGCAAGAGTTAAATGAGCTGTTAATCCCGTCGACGATGTGCTCACTTTTGAGGCCGTATAGCCGGGACATTTCACTTGGGGATTGGCCGCGGTAGGGTCATCGATGTTAGGAAGAAGGGTGACGCCATAGTCAGCGCTTGCTGGGACAGTAAACTGCGCCGCAACACTGGTCGCCGTGGAAGACTGGGCCGCGACAAGGCAAGGAGCAAGAAGAAGGATAGAAAAGAGAGATGTCGATCTCATCTTGCAGTCTTCCTCGACAAGTAGCGACTGCTGGAGACACGATCCGAAAAGGGGACAACGAAACAGACGTTGGGTTCAAGCATGTTCACAGGATGGGGAGGAGCATGGGGTTTTATCAAGAGGCGCGAGGTGGACTGCATTGACCGGAGGGGACCAGTGGATGAACTGCAATGACCGGGCACAGGACGATTACCAGGTTGAACGATGGATTCGACAGTCCTCGTCAGTGGCGCACTCGTCCACCGCGCCCTCGTCAGCAGCCAGAAGCCTTGTATCCTCGCCATGTAACGTCTGCAAAGGCAAAGAGCCAGTTGGAACTTTCCCCGCGGGGACAATCAGACCCTGTTTCTGGCAGCTCCATGTCTGCTGGATGGAGTGTGTGCAAGCGGCCCATCTCTTTCTTAGGCGGGTACCATTTCCAGGGCTCGAGGCGGTCGCAGTGGGCAGAGTGGCAGGGTGGCAGGTGACGTTGATGGTTTGATGCAGACTTTGCAGATTGCGGGGAGGGAGGGAGCGTCTAGTGAAGAAAAAGGCAATGGTGACGGTTCTCAGAGGCGACAAGGTGGTAGTCGTCAAGATCCAGGAACAAGCTCCTCCACCCCGACCTCCACAAAGCTTGGCCCGACTGGCTCGAGCTGGAACTTGGCACATGGGGATGGGAGAGTGAAATGTGAGATGGCGCGATTCCGCCGGGCACAGATGCTGACTGCACAAACACCAAATACACCGAGCAATATTCCGAAGGCAACGTCCCTAACCATGTCTAGGTATCTATCTCTCTTCTCGGCGGTACCTGTTGACTTCTGGTTTGCGATTTGTGTCTGCTTGTGCTTGTGCTTGTGCCTCGTTCCTGTTGAAAACACAATCGTACAATGCTACGTAGGGGGTATCCATCTTTCCGATCCCACAAGTCTCTTTCAACCATCCGTGCCAGCAAAGAAGCAAAAGCTCCCAATGTCGAGACCCCAGCCCTCGAAGGCTCCAGCACAAGTCTCAACACTGAGCTTCCTGGTCTCTTCCCCTTCCAAGCGATAAACGAACGCCGCCAGCTAACGACATGAATCTGACTTACTTTGTACTCTGACACATAGAATGACCTTCCAAGTCCAATGCCAATTCACGGGCCCAATCTTCAATACCCGCCCGCGCCCGGGAGGGTGGAAGGAAGACAAAATGGTGGTTGCTGAATGCAAAGGCCTCCGCCAAATTCACACCCAGGTTGACACGGGGTGGGAAACCATGTCCGCCAATGATTAATTGATTACAAGAAAAGTCGATATCCACCCTTTGAACCCAATCCACCAAAACCCTTGGCCGAATCTGCTTTCCTTCTGCTGAAGAAGAGGAAACCGACATGTCTAAGCGCAGCTGGCGCATTCATCGATAGTCGCCATCCGTCGGAGCTCGACGGCGACGAAAGAAATCTTGGACCTTCTTAACCGCTCCGGACCTTCCGCTGTGTTGCGTCGGGCCATGGTCCTGGTCGTATGCTTCAGTAAACTTGCGGTTGTTTTTGACCAGCACTCCCCGAGCTTGGCGCCCTTGTTGCATTGACGGTCGACCACTTGGTTGTACAGCTTCAGCATATGCCATCATTTGTGCCATGGGCTCGCTCTGTTGACGTTGATGCGCTGTCTGTCCCTGCGGAGCATAAACAGCAGTTCCACCATAGACGTCATTCGTGGCCTGTGTCGTGGCGACGCGAGGGGCCTGATATTGGGACTGAGGTGGGCGGGAGAAGTTGTTGTACTTGACCGGCCTCGAGCCTTCATACTGTCCATCTGTGTTTGCAATGTGCTGATTGATCTCTTCCTGGCTGGTCGCGGGTCGACCTGAAGCCGGTGCACCAAATCGCTCCGTTTGCGGGGTGCCTGGTTTGGAGGAATATTCGTCCTTTGCACCCCCCATCAGACCTTTGAACGACATCGAACTAGGAATAAGTGAAAATCGTCGTACCGGCTTCTCTGTTTGTGCCTGATTCTCCATATCCGTGCTCCTCTTCTTGCCCAATCCAAAAGAGAAAGATCGCTTCGATTCTGTTGACATACGAGGTTGCGCTTCGGAAGGATACTCTTTCATGCTGGTGGGCGGGTACTTCCGCCCGTTCTTTTGTCGCTCTACGTCTTTTTTCACCACGGAATTGGATCGGCCAAAAAGTCGCTCTCCGAGCCCACTCAATGTACTCGATCGTCGGTGATGAGCAGCTTTCTGTGGTTGTTGCGAGCTAGGCGGCGGCATGGGCGTCGTCATCGGCTGTCCAATGGAGTTCTGGGCACCAGATTGTGGCAGAGGACCGGAAATATTGTAACCCCGACTGGTCTTGGTTGGTTGTGTAACGCGACCCTGGACGTTTGTTGCAGCCACAGTGGGAGCCACCGGTTGACCATACGATCCCCGGGATGGAAGACGGAGGTCGGATCTGGTGTTGACGGGTCCGCCGGCAGATGTAACTGACCCTTGGGTGCTCGGCCTGGTCATGTATTGGCTTGTTGGTGCTGGAGCTGTGCCAAAAGCGCTGGTGGAGTCCGAGACCGATCTTGGGATCTCTCGAACAGGACGTACGGGCGGCATCTTCTGTTGCGAAGCAGTTGGCACTCTGTCTCGAGCAGACTCGACCGGTGGATCCTGAGGTAGCGGTTTCGACAACGATATTGGTTGCATAGGCGCGGCAACTTGAGTGCGATTGACTGCTGGTTCTGTCGCAGCAGCGGTTTGTCCCCGAACCGTGTGAGTCTGAGGAGGGACATATTCTGGCTGCAGGGTATGACGGGTTCGCCGTGAACCAGTGGATTCCTCGTCGCCCTCGTGTAATAGTCCTTCTGGGGAACGGGCAAGAGCGCTAGGAGAAGCGCGGCTATGTTTCGCTGGCACTTCGCGTACCGACGCGCTTCTGTTGACGGCCGGCCGTTCCTCATCTTCTGCCCATGGTTAGTGATGTACTATACCAACAACAACGAATAACTCACCTGCTCGAACACTACCATGCGGAATATCGGCGACATTGGTGGTGCTGCTGGTCATATCGGACACCACGTGCTGGTACTCACTAAGCCAGCTGTGTCGAGCGACCTCAAATAAGTCGGCGCGCTTTCGAGGGTCTGGGACTAGAATACGGCGAAGAAGATCTCGAGCGTGGGGAGTGACATATTCCGGGAACGTCAATGGAGTGGTGGTTATGTACTTGTAGAGGAGGTTGATGTTGTCGCCTTCAGGATTTGCAGGATCGTCATCGAAAGGTAAGTAGCCAGCCAGCATAGCGTACTTCGAAAGGCGTTAGCATCACAGGCAAAAGGGGTTTCATGGTTACAAGCACTCACCAGAATAACTCCGCAACTCCAGACATCAACCTTCCTGCCCGTGTAGAGGGAGTCACTAACTACCAATTCAGGGGCCGCATAGCAAGGGCTGCCACAGCTGGTTTGCATCAGGTCGCCTCTTCTCATTCCGCGGGCGTCAAGTCGATCGAGTTTGAACTTCCTAATGAACTCCTTGTTACCGAGGTTGTAGACAATTTCATCAGACAGCTCGTCTTTGGGGTCGAATGTGTTGGCAAATCCAAAATCTGTGATGATGATGTTGCGATTCTGGTCGAGAAGGAGATTTTCCAACTTCAGGTCACGATGGACAATGCCTTTCTTATGAAGGTAGCCGACTCCAGAAACAAGCTGCGCGAACAGTCTCCTGGCCGCGGGATCTTTCAGATATCGGTGATTCAAGATGTAGTCGAAAAGCTCGCCACCAGAAGCATATTCCAAAATGATGCCAATGTGACGTTCTGTCTCGACCATTTCATGGAGTCGGACGATGTTCGGATGTGCCAGATCCCGCAAGATGGAAATCTCGCGATAGATCTTGGGTAGTCGTGTCGGGTTGGAAGCCACAGTCTCCCTCCTAATAAGCTTGATCGCCACTTGAGTGCTACCGTCTTTTTTCCAGCCCAATTTGACCTTGCCGAATTCACCTTCGCCGAGCGTCTGACCCAGTACGTAGTCCCCAAATTGGACGTCTTTGCGGCGAGACGACTTGGAGTAATCCTGCCGTCGAGCCGGTCCCGGAGGGGGCAGGAGATCATCGTCAAGTTCCGGGACGTTGCGAGCGTCTGGGTTCATGGGTTGAGCTTCAGCTACTCGTTCCTGAGCTCTTTCAATATCTTCCTGGGGATCGGACACGACCACTCTGTTGATGACATCGCTGTACTCGCGTGCCAGCGAGGCGGCGGTGTTGGATGGGTGCATGGTGGCTTCCGATCGGCTTTGGGTGGGGACAGTGTGAGCACCTCGTTCTCGTGTGCTTGCGGCACGGTGTGGACCGTCGGGACTAGCAGGACCCTTTCGTCGGCTACGTGCAGCAGACGCAGTGGCCGTTGCTGTATCGTCCCGTGACCTATCTCGCGTTTCCTCATTGTAATCTCCGACACGATTCTGAACCCGACCAGCGTGCGAATCTGGTGCGTTTTGTCTCGCCTGCCGTGTTGCAGCTACTCTTGCTTCCAGGGGGGCAGTTGAGGGAGCGACAGGGCCGCGTGGAGAGCCCTGCTGCTGAGAAGATGTTCGAGGAGGAGGAATTGGAGCGCCGTCGTATTGGTCATGGGCAGCAGATTGATTTCGGATGTGATAAGGCAACGTCGTAGCAGGGTGGTCATAGGAGGTAGTGGTGATGGGAGCGTGACCTTCATGGGAAGTGTAGTTCAGACCGTCGTCGTCTTGCGAGGGATAATACTAGGGATCACGAGAATTAGTATCATCCTAGAGTACCACTGTCAACCTTTGATCAAGGCGCACTAGACTTACAGGTTGATCGGTGTAGTAGCGGTCAGGATCTGCGCCATGTTGGTGTTCGTAGTGAAGACTTTCAGGTTGCGAATACGCAGCAGCGCTTGACATGTGTTGCCGATATTGACCTGGAGCCATGTCCATAGACATCCTTCAACCTCCCAGAGTCGTGGCCGCGACCACGCACTCACACCCTAAAAAGCCACGGTCAGGATACGTCAAACGTGAAATTCGAGAGATCGTTGTCTGAAGGATGCAGGAACGTGCTGAAGTCGAGGGTTGTACACTAGATTGCACCAGGAGGTTAGCGCCTTGCACTGAGCTGAGGACTCAGCCTGCTCACCGGGACACCGTTCCAACTCATTCAGAGGCGCGAATTATGAACAGGACGGCGCGGTGTGGAGGGCGTCGAGGGAACGATTTGTTGTGAAATCGGTGGTTCACTGTTGGCACCAGTGAAGCAGGGAGCTAGCGTTCGAGTGTCCAAAAGGACAACAAACTCGGGGTGAAGGGTCAAGGACGAACGCCGAGCCTGCGACGTCTGCAGCAAGATGAAGGAAGGCCAGTCGACCGGACGTCAACAGACAGGGAACGAAGTGAGGCGAGGCACAAGCAAGGCCGCAGTCATTATCGCGGATGCAGTAGATCTATCGAAATCGGCGAGGGTGAGGTGAGGTGAGGGTAGAATCAACTTAGGCGCTCAAGGAGGTGGATTGTTGTTGTGACTGGCCAGCAGAATGGATAGGCGGTGAGGCAGAGAAGGAGTGTCGTATGTTATTTTGTCTTGCTTCTAGGGATCGAATAAAAGCACGGTGCTGTTGTTTGGTGGGAGAAGTGCGGCAGAACAGACGTGAGTTGTTGTGGTTGACCGGTGAGAAGACGGACAACGCAGCATCCCAGCACCAAGCAGCGCAACTCGCTTGTCCACCCAAAACCCCCCAAAAGGGTGGCCGGAAAATTGGCAACGCTAGCCAGCAGGCGATTTCTTGTTAATCACAACCTGGCTGCTAGGGCTGTTGACTTGAACCGAACCCTCTGCTCCGGACTCGTTCTAAGATGCGCTTCTCCTGTCTACCTATTTTATGCCCCATGGTCTCTGCTTATCTCGTAGGGACTCTACTGTACCTAGGCATTGTTCGAGGCACAGACTGCAGTTATGGGGTATAGTTATCGATGATGCCTTGCAGTCTCCAAGAACCCACCCAACATTAAGCATGAATAAACCACATGGACCAGCCTCATGTCAATGAGAAAGTCAAACCTCATCGAGAGCGTTGTGCATCTATCTAAGTGCCTCCGACCGTGCCTGTGCCAGTGCCTGCGCCTGTGCTGAGATGTGACTTTGATGGTGTTCTCTGCTCGATTGAAGCCCGACAACCTCTTCGACCCGGGAAGTCTGTCAAAAACCACAGCTTTCTCCAGTCATCAAATGACACTTGACATGGACGCCGAGAATAGGGGCCCCCAGCCAGATCCACTCAATCTCAAGTCAACAATCATTGACTCCTACACGTGAACGCACTGATCATCGCGTCAACGGCGTTGAACCACCTCATTCTCCCTGTGAGACGACCAGTCCTCTCCTTAGAAGAAGACATTTCAGGCACAAAATTGCAGAGATGGGCGAGATGCTGGCGTTTCGAAAACCCAACGGATCCCCCCAATGAACTTGATTTCGTCTAGCGAAATTCATTTGCGCGAGGATCTCCAAAACGCGAGTCTCATGGAGCGGAGGGCGTTTGACGCGCAGCCGCAATGGGCGGCACAAAGGCCATGTGCCCAGAGGTGTGACTCGTGATTTGCTTGGGGTTTGCGGGCGAGCCACCGAGCCTCGGAGCCACCCTCGGTGGCTTAACCAACCACGCATCAGCAAAGACTTGTTCCCGGCGTTGGTTGCAACTCTTGATGGGTTTTGGTGCCCGGGGCCAGAACGAACTCCTTCTGGGGCACCCCCCCGTCTGGGCCAATACAGTTACGCCACACCTACAGGCTCCGAGAACTCAAGCCCCCATAGTTTCCCGGCAGGTTCCACCCCCCTTGAGCCTCGAGATCGACACATAGGCACATTTGCGTCCTGCAGCGCATCAGCGCCGTCGTGTTCTGTGCATAATGCAAGTCTAGTTCGTGCAGCGAAGACAATTTCGACGTTGGTAGATGGAGGCTTCAAAGAATCATCATTGCCGACAACTGTGTTCAACTCCCAGATAATACCTGAAGCGTGGCTGAAGTTTACCGGCACCAGCGGCAACCCAAAGTGACGAAATGGCGGTCAAGTAGTCGACTCGAGTCGAAGGACGCCGTGTCTCCGTTTCAGCCACTTTTGCCCGGCAGATGTCGTGCATGCAATCTGCGATCCATGTTTAAACCAGCCCAAAAAGGAGAAAAAGCGAACCGTGGGTACATCGCAGAACGCGGCCCGCGCAGATACTTGCCATGATCTCATTTGCCTGCAAGTTGAGCACGGACCTGTTTCATCCAGCTTGAAACATTCATCGACTCGTGTTCGAGAACGTCAAGGGTTACTCCCAAGCACTACCATCAATCGTCTCATGAAACATCAAATACAAGTATCTTCACGCTGTCATCGTTTCTCCCGCACATGCTGTCCCTGCAGTGTCGAACCCAAAGGTTCACCGACCCCCGAAGGATATGAAGGTGGTGCAGTGGCTGCATTGCCATAACTTTCGACTCCATACCCCGGCTGGCTCGCGCCGCTTTGCGATGCCCCTGAGTATGAGGAGAGATAATAATCGTTCCGCTTTTCGTCGGGCATATATGCTTCATCTGGCACAACTCCTCCATCACCAGAGCCGACCACGAGTTGCTGCCCATTTGGCATTCGGCCGACCACCATGCCCTTCGCCACCGACTTGATTACTGCCCGCCGGGACACTCCCATCGCATCGATGTAGACAAGTCCCACATTCTTGACACCCCCTGCCAGTCCTTGCGCTACCGTGCCGGCCTCCTTACCGTACCTGTGGCTGACCACGTTGGTCGCCGCTGCAGAGCTAGAGGCTAAGAGGTTGCGACCAGCCTGATCGATGCCATCAGCGATGGTAGAGAAAGCAATCATGGATTTGTTGAGAATGCCAGGTTTGTAGTCCTTTCCTATATCTTTTTTGTTCTTCTCCCCCTTTCGAGCGAGCGAAGCCCCAAAATTCTGGGCATATCTACCCAGTTGACCGACCGTCTTCGCACTGAGGCCCACGGCACCCTGAGTAAAGGAGTGGATTTGGCGAATGCGCGCGTGCGTGGCGGGCGAAAATGTCATGGGCTTAGGGTTGGGTTGGGTGCTCTTTTGGAAGGTATCTGCCCCTGATGACAGCTTATTAGCCAAGTAAGTGGAACTCGTCACAATGAGCCTGGAGGCAGTCGCAGAGCCTTGCACGACTCGCGAATTCGCATAGGCAGGATGTTTCGATATGGCGAGATAATCTTCGGAAATGTTGTCAACTCGGATCTGGTTGCCTTGCCCTTCGACGGGCAGTTGTATCTGGACAGGAGCTGCGTAAAATTGTCAGTATCGGTCGAAAACGGGGAGGAAGCCAATGCGCGTACTTTTGGATCCAGGCTTGACCGATGTCTCCTCCACCAATGTGTAGTTATCTTGCAGCTCGCCGATTACGCTTCCATTCTCTTCGTCAATAAGCACAATTTGGCCATGTTGCTGAGAACGATCTTTTTCTGGTTTCGGCGTGCCAACATAACCCTCTCCCAGTCGATAATTGCTTGGATCGTAACGCTCAAATCCCGGAGGCGTGCTCTGTACTCGTTCTAGGAACGCCGTACATTGGGCTAGAATGGTCTCAAACGTATCGATCTCGTCTTGGGTCACCTTTCCAGGCCCACTGCCTACGGAAGGGAACTGCAGCCGGATGAAGGCGCCTGCATCAGGTCCCAGATCCCAGCGCGGTATCAGGTAACTGCTGGGAGGCTTGTGATAGATCTGCGTGGTTGCAGGCAGAGGGAGATCTAGTTCGGGAGGCAGATGGAGGTGGAGGTAGAAGTCTTCTTCGGGCGCCGCGCTGGTCGGTTCCGTGGATGACAAGTCGGCAAATGGTGATGCAGTCGGCACCATCAACAGCGACAAAGTCTGTGGGCCTGATGTTGTGATCAAATGTTCCTCTCCATTCTGAACGGAGAATGCAGAGATGTTGTTGACGCTATAGAGCACCTGCGGCTCAGAATGACCAGCAGACATGATCGGGTACTCCCAAAAGCGCTCAATGTGCAAAGGTAGAGAAGTGCAGCAAGCCTTTTTGCGCACGGCAAGGGAGAACTGGAAGACGAGATAAAAGAACAAACCTTAGGGTCACGATCCTGGGCGGCTATCGCAGATTTCTTAATATATCCATGACTTGGACTTGAGTGCTGGGCATCATCGTTTGTCGCCAGATGAATGGATGACTGCGGTGAAAAGTGGGCGGCAAAGGGTCGCAACCTGCAAGCTGGCTGAATCCTGCAGTGAGCGACGTCAGAGTCCTGCTGCGCCACAAGGGGGCTCCAGCCACATATTGTATCAGCCACGGGCAACTCAAGTCCGCTAGGAGTTCTAGACTTGGTCACTTTGCAGCAACAGGCTAGGGAGGCCTGCAGATCAGACCAAGGGCTTCCAACGAGGCTAGTTGGGCCAGTGCAGGTGAGAAGACACTCGACACAAATAAGTTCTCGTACCCGGCAGTCGTGACGCGCCGAGATCTTTTGCGAGCCGCAGCAGTAGCACATGCTTAGTTGACCCCCTTTTCAACAGTAATACCACTGAAATAGCGGAGGCAGGCATCCTATCAATGTAAGAGCATTCTCGTAAATGAACCTGATGGCTCTGCTCTTGGCTCGTACATAGGATCCGAGAAGTCGCCGATCCTTCGATATCCGCGAGTGGCCCCGCCTGTCCGGGGAGCTGATGGTGAGCCGAGCACCGAGGAATCGCTGCGAGACTCCAGTGCGCAGGCCAGCAACAGCTTGGTTTGCATTTTGTTGACCGAGACTTTCCCTGCGGACTTTGGGACAGTCTTATATACAGATTCGTCCTGAACCTGAGCACGAATCCCTAGTCGTCATCGTACTCACCCTATCCCAGAAGTCAACATGGCTGCCATACCGAGAACATTGCGGCCCCTCGCAAAAGCTGCTACATACGTTGCACCTCTTTCACCCGCAACCAGGTCACTTCCTCGAAGGAATTTTCTACCGTATGCTCTTCTTCCCTCTAGAGCTCGACTTTGGCTAAATTGGACATCAGAAAGCGAACATTGACTACTACCTCAAGACGGCGCTATGCTGAACCTTACATGCCCGATGACATCGACACGACGTCCCTGTCTCCGACACCCATCACGCACTTCTCGGAGACCGAGAGAATGCTTTCAGATTCTGTCTCTCGCTGGGCGAACGAAGAGCTCGCACCAAAGGTGAGAGACATGGACGAGAAGGAACAGATGGACCCAGCCGTCGTGGAGCAGATGTTCGAGCAAGGGCTCATGGCCTTCGAGATCCCAGAAGAGTATGGGGGCGCTGGGATGAACTTCACGTCTGCAATTGTGGGAATTGAAGAGATTGCCCGGGTGGACCCGTCAGTTTCGGTGTTGTGCGATGTACACAACACCTTGGTGGTGACTGCCATCCTCAAATATGGCAGTGAGGCATTCAAGAAGGAGTGGCTTCCGAAGCTGGCCACGAACACTGTAGGCTCGTTCTGCCTGTCTGAGCCCGCATCAGGCTCCGACGCCTTTGCGTTGAAGACCAAAGCAGAGAAGACACCAAATGGCTACAAGGTATGTCAACCCATCCGGCGCCGCAGGTGGCAAGGGTCTTCCTAGGGCTCGGTTCGCTTACGAGGACTAGATCAACGGCTCCAAGATGTGGATTACGAATTCAATGGAAGCTGAATTCTTCCTGGTTTTCGCCAATCTTAACCCCGAAGCCGGTTACAAGGGCATTACGGCATTCGTTGTGACCAAGGACATGAAAGGCTTCAGCATCGCCAAGAAGGAGAAGAAGCTCGGGATCCGGGCTTCCAGCACCTGCGTTATCAACTTTGACGACGTCGAAATCCCCAAGGAGAACCTCCTCGGCCAGGAAGGTCACGGCTACAAGTATGCAATCGGTCTTCTGAACGAAGGGCGGATTGGTATCGGCGCTCAGATGACGGGATTGGCTCTCGGCGCGTGGGAAAATGCGGCCAAATACGTGTGGAACGATCGGAAGCAGTTCGGCAAGCTGGTCGGTGAGTTCCAGGGCATGCAACATCAACTTGCCCAAGCCTACACGGAGATCTGTGCAGCCCGCGCCCTGGTCTACAATGCCGCTCGGAAGAAGGAGGCGGGCGAGGATTTTGTCACCGATGCCGCCATGGCCAAGTTGTATGCCAGTCAAGTTGCAGGGAGAGTCAGCGGACTGGCGGTTGAATGGATGGGAGGTATGGGTTTCGTGCGCGAGGGCATCGCGGAGAAGATGTTCAGGGATAGTAAGATTGGGGCGATCTACGAGGGAACGAGCAACATCCAGCTCACCACGATAGCGAAGGCGCTGCAAAAGAAGTACACATCATAAGGGATTCGTTGGCGCTCGTGTATATATCGGGAATATCGACACTGTACTCTGAGGCACTCTGGAACATTCTCACGTCGTTCTTGGGGTTGCAACTTGTCTAAATACCACTCACCGGAGGTAACACTCGGACGTGGAATTGGCGTTTTGGGAAGTTCTTCCCAATTGGACGGTCTTGGCTCTTACATAAGGAGAGGCCATGGGTGCGCTTCTTGTGATCCTGATGTACGAGTATGTCCGGTAAATTCGAACTATACGCCACAGGGGATATTGCGGGCTCCTCAGTCAATCTATAAACGAGGACACGGAAGACCCCTCTGCATGCGGCCGCAAGACCGCAACTTCCTCGCCATCCATCGTCCTTTCGTCGTTCCGGGCTCGACGGATTTCCTGAAAGACCTTGTGCGCCACAATGGAGGTCGACACGGCGGACCAAGCTGATAAAGCCCCTCAAGCCTGCGTTTCCTGTCGCAAACAGAAGAGAAAATGCGACAAGTTGCTGCCCAGCTGCTCATTATGCACCCGCATGTCCCGGCCCTGTGATTACTCGGAAACCGCCCCCAATCCTACATCTGAAGACTTCGCCATGATGCGACAGAAGATAGCCGACCTGGAAGCCCGCCTCGAAGGTCGACGCTCTGAAGGCTGGCATGGACCGATGCGCTCTTTCAGCAGGAGTCCGGGCACTGGAGGCGATGCTGCCTTTGCCACCGACAGCAATGTCACCTTCCCGGCTGCTTTTTTCCTCGACGCTGAGGTCTTCACGGAAGCGCAGATGCCCATCCCTCGACCCAACATCGCCGTGCCCCCAGAGGTCGCGGCGACGGTGGGAATCTCAATCCTGGACATTCAGGACATTGTCGACCGGTACTTCGCCAATATTCATACCTGGCTTCCCTTCATCTCCAAGAAGCGCATGCAGCTGACACTATCCAATCCCGCTATGGAGCTCACCCTCGACCTGGCACTCCTGCTCCTGTCCATGAAGCTTGTCATCCAGGTTCCTCAAGGGGGCTCCCAGAGTATTCGGTCACCACTGTACAATCTCACCAAGGGCTATGCGACGATGGTGGAATCGAGCGGATTGATGTCCCTGCAGTTGCTGCAAGCGAACATCTTGATCGCAGCATACGAGATTGGCCATGCGATCTACCCAGCCGCATATCTAAGTTCTGGACACTGCGCGAGGATAGGACATGCACTGGGTCTCAACGACAGACAACACGCTCCTCAAATGTTGAGGAAGAAAACGGGAGCTTGGGCGGAGCTGGAGGAGTTTAAGCGGACGTGGTGGGCAACAATGCTTCTCGACAGGTATGTACCAATGCATCTACAAGGTGTTCAGACGCTTACACTTCGTTCAGATATGTCAATCTCGGTTCCTCAGGTCACCCTTTGGCTACCGACGACCCAAACCTCAACGATACGCTGCCGGCAGACGATGAGCTTTGGGATGAGGGCCAGATAACGACGAGTGAGCCACTCTACGTGTCCTCACCCACAAACGTCAAAGCCGGAGCGTTTACACGAACGTGCCAAGCGACGCACCTCCTGGGTAGGCTCGTCCGGCTTCTCAACGACAGACTACTTGATGCACCTATGCGATTTTCAGAAGCAATCCAGCTACATCGGACGCTTCAGGCATTGGCAAACCTCCTTCCCAACGACGTCCATCGCTCACCTGAGCGGTACGGAACACCCTTGGCCCTCTGTTACAGCAGCCTCATGCACCTTTGCGACCCGTTTGCCTGTACCGAATCCAATCGCGGCTACCGTACTGTTGAAGAGACTGAGATGCAGACGATTGCGATTGCCGGGCTGAAGTCGATCGCAGCAGATGTACTCCGTTTCAGCCAGCTCTGGCACGTGGGCATGACATCGAACCCTGCGGCGGTGAGTCCTTTGCTTGGTGATTGTCTATATTTTGCAGCAACCATCTACGCATGGCTAGCCAACGAGACAGGGTTAGGGGAGATGGGAGAAGCATACCACATTCTGAGAAAGGTGTTGGAAACAATGGCTTCCCGATGGGCAGTAGGACAGCAGTATCTGGCCCTGCTCGATATGAGCAAGGAGCATCTCTATGCCGATTCGCTCCTTGTCTGAAGGAAAGCTAGAAAATTGTCAAGTATGCAAGTGTATGAAGGGTTTCACCTTTCAATGTCAAGACGATGGGCAGCAATCAGCTCCAGTTATAGATTTGTTGGGTGCCAGCGTAGATGCCCCTTTTCCCTACTGTGCCAAATGTTCATGTCATTTGAAATGAATTGTGTGATTGTCGAGGCTGCGCCTTGTCATTTCAACCAGTTTGCTGCCACCTGTCACAATCACATCCAATTCCCCCTCGACATCAACACCAACGACTTCTCTTACAAGGTGTCCCTCCTCCAAGATGATATAAATCTCGGTCTCCTGCAATGGCCGCCTCCGCAGCAGCTTCTTACAAGGCTCGCAAGGAAGCCTTCGTGTCCAACCTGTATGGGAGTTCCTTGACCGAGATCAACCTGGTCACGCTTGTTGCCGCAGTACGGTTCCTCTCCCCGTTGCCCACCGCTCTCTTTGCACGCACGAACCATCACTAATGGATGTTCGCAGGCCGCAGTGTTTCTCTGGACTGCTCTGCAGAAGAGATACTCATTCTTCACGCCATACTCTCCTGTTGCTTTGCTGGCGGACTTCTTGCTCAATGTCTGCGCCATTTTATTCGCCATCACTCTATATTCGTCGGCGCCCTTGGTCTTGAACGTCTTCCTCGTCACTCCCGCGGTGCTCTTTGTATTCCTCCAGACCGGCGGACAGTCGACCTCTTCTTCGGATGATCCAGTAGTCAATCCATCGACAAAGACACCGAAGAAACCAACAAAAGTCAGCCCTGTCGCTGTCAATGGCACGGCTGCCAGCACTTCCAATGCTGCTGCAACCCTCCCGGTGCGACCATTCCTCACTCATTACCGCGGGTCCATGCTCGTTGTGACCTGTCTGGCCATCCTAGCTGTCGACTTCCCCATCTTCCCCCGCCGGTACGCCAAAGTTGAGACATGGGGCACCTCGATCATGGACCTGGGCGTGGGCTCTTTCGTCTTTTCCGCCGGGGTGGTATCTGCTCGGGCTGTGGTCCGTGCCCGTCCCAATGATCAAGCATCCCCCGCCGCCACCGCCACCACCAACTTCGTCCGTCGTTTTCTTCAGGCCTGTCGACACTCCATCCCCTTGCTCGTCCTCGGCCTCGTTCGCCTGTACAGCGTCAAAGGACTCGACTACGCCGAGCATGTCACCGAATATGGAGTCCACTGGAACTTCTTCTTCACGCTGGCACTCCTACCCCCTTTTGTCGAGATCTCCGACAGCCTTACGCGCCGGGTATTCAAGTCTTACGAGACCTTCGCTCTCACCCTCGCCGTCATCTACGAACTCGTGCTCAACAACACAGACCTTCTCTCATACATCCTGATCTCTCCTCGCGGCCCGGGTCTGCTGTCCAAAAATCGAGAAGGCGTCTTCTCCTTCACGGGATACCTGGCGATCTTCCTCGCCGGGCGCGGAGCCGGAATGCTCGTGGTCCGCTTCAACGAGCCCGTCCCCAAGGTTGCCAAGCAGTCGAGCGCCAGAGAAGTCGCCCGTCGCGAGCGGCAACTGGTCCTGAGAGGCCTTTTCGTCAAGTCCCTCATCTACGCGTCCCTGTACTGGCTGACGACGAGCCTCTACACGTTCAATCTCACGGTGTCGCGTCGCCTCGCCAACCTCCCCTACGTGCTATGGGTGGTCGCGTTCAACAACGCCCAGCTCTTCCTCTTTGGCGTGGTGGAAGGTTGCGGACCAACGTTCTCGTACGAAGCGGAAGACAGGGACAGAGTTCGGTCCGCGACCAGCCGCGTCCTGGCCGTCTACAACAGCAACGGCCTCGTCCTCTTTTTGATCGCGAACCTCTTGACCGGGCTGGTCAATCTAAGCTTCAACACGCTCGACATGCCGCCCCTCCAGGCAATGGGCCTGTTGGCGGGTTATGCCGTGGTGGTCACCGGGGTCGCCCTGGGACTGGACAAGACCGGCGTGAAGATCAAACTCTGAGGTGCGCGACACCGTACAACCTACCGTGGTACCCCAAGGGTGTCTAAGGCATCTAATGAGGGAGTCTTCCCTCGATGGAGAGTCGCACAATCCATTGCTCATGGGAGCGACAGGGAAACATTCACGAGCATTCAAGGGTTCAGACTCGCCAATCCCAAGGGGCTATGTATACGAATGTAATATACAAGATGAAATGCACTACTACATTTATCCTTCACGTGAAAAAATATTTATCCAATGTTTCTTTCTCTCTCTCTCTCTCTTCTTATTGCTTTGTTATGATTGTTGGAATTGATCGTTGAGAAAACATCCAAGGTACAGAAAGAAAGGTTGAAAAGTGGTATCTCGATCTATGGCATTATCCCTGAAACACACCCCGTCGTCGTCGTCATCATCATCATCACCTGGGAGTCTGCAGCTGTATTTCTGGCCATCTCGACGTCCTGACACTACCTCGAAACATGCACCGCTGTGCCTGAGCAAACCCAACGTTCAGAGATCCCCCGTTCATAGCTCGTATGGCCATCTCGCACCCAACATAGCCCATTAGCTCGGAGCGCCGACCGTTTTTCCGTGGCTTGACTTTGACCGCCTTGGCTCCATGTCGCCCAAATGTATGTACTGCTCAATGTCATGGCTCCATTCCAAGCCGGACACCGTGCTCGATCCACCCCACAATCCCACAGCCGCGTCTTGACTCAAACGATATGGACAAGATTAAAAAGGGGGGTTAACAGGCAGAGTTGAATCTCCTGTAAGCGTAGACGCGCAAAGCAAAAGGGACGGACGGCCCAACCAGCAGTTGAGCTCAATACGGCACAAGTTTAACCCTTTGGACAAGATCCTCGGGCAACTCTGCCTCCGTCACCAGGCCCAGCCGGAGGCAGTCGCCCCAGAAGAACATGGCGCGTTCCTGGGCGTAGGCGAGGTAGTCAAATTCGTCCTCAGGCTCTTCACCCGCCTCGGATGGGGAGCTCGGGCGGCTGTCCGGGTGAGACAACCCGTCTTCTTGTGTTTCTGCATGGCCGTTGTGGTCGGGTTCAATTCGGGGTTGAGTCTGAAGTTGTGAGCAGGAAGACACTCCTCCACCATTGACTGTGGTCGATTGTTCAAGATCGGTGTTCCTCTGGGCGTGCTCCTCGATGGTGCTACAACTAGTGGAACTGTGGTCAGTGGTGTCCGCCGAGGGCTTTATGACAACATCTCCGTTCCCTTCGTGGTGTGCTTCTTCTTGTGCTCTGCCTTCCGGTCGGTCCCAGTGGCTCTCTCCCTGCATTCGTTTCTCCTCTTCAGTCAGGGGATCGGACATCGGATCCGCATGTTCGCCTTGATGATGCCTCCCACCGCCATCCTTGCCCACCAAGTTCTTCATCTTTTCGACCACCTTCTGCTCTCCAGCAGATATCATTTCTGTCACGCTCTTCCTCCGCTCCTTGATGCGCTTACTCAAGGTCTTCTCCGTTGTCTTTTCTTCTTTTTCCCTTTCCTCCATTGCATCCAGCTCCGGCACCTTTGCCTGCACAATTCCCCACGCCACCCACTGCGCTGAATTGGCAGTCCGCCACAGTCTCGTTTGCTGCAGCAACCGATCAATTTCTGCCTCCTGGGCCTTTTCCCTTTCGTCTTCCTCTTTGTCATAGTCGAATTCGGATGCACCCTCAAGTCCGCTATTCCCTCCCCAGGCATTTGGGGTTCCGCCTCCAGGGGTACGAGCGTCAAGCATGAAGTCGCTGATGTTGGTCTTCTCCCGACCCTCCATCTTGGGCGTCGCGCTCGCCGTAGGGTTGAACTGCGGACGATGCATGACATAGCTCCTCACGAACCTGTGTTGCTCCTGCTCATCTGGGTATCGTCGCGTATCACACTGAAAGTTCTTGTCCGGGGGATTGTGATAGTTGTAGCACCACTCGGTGAAATGGTTCGCGAACTCTAAGCCTACCGGATTTTGCGCTGCGTATTCGAAGTCGATGACGACGAGTTGCTTGTGTTGATTTGACGGTCGAAGGAGTGGTGAGGTGCCAGAGGGTTGGAGGCGCATAAGGTTGCCGTATTGAGTGTCGTTATGTGCAAAAACGAGCAACTTGCGGATTCCCTCGACGCCACCACATTTTTCGATTAGCCGTTGCCGGTATGTGTCGTATGCCTTGCGGAAGACAGGCCACTCGACGCCGCAGATCAATCCGCGCCGGACGTAGCGCGTACTTACTCTTGACTTTCGCCTTGTTGTTCCGTCTGCAAGCTCCTTCTCTGCCTGGTGGACCTGCCCGTCGAGCCAAGTGATGACTTTCTCACACCGGTCGACCCATTTGTCCCAATTCACAAAAACCGCCGGACCCGCAGCGAGTTCAGATTCGAGGAGATCGATCCCTTCATGAAGTTCACGCATTCGTTTCGCGATTTGTTTAGAAGTTTCGGGCGCACGCAGATCTTCCGCCGTGAGGGTTTTGGCGAGGAGAAATTCTTCGAAACGGCCGTTTTCAAAGGAGCCCAAGAGGCGCGGTCCAATATTTTTTCGAGCTAGACGACGAAGAATGCCTAGTTCGGCCTCTCGGTCGATCAGGTGTTCGACCTGTGGACCGTAGATACGAAGGAGAAGAGAGGTAGGGCGACGTCGAGAGACAGGGATGGGCGGGGCAGAAGGATCAGAAGGATTGTGGGCATCGTATGCGGACATATCTTTGGGGGGATGGACAACGTAGACGGCATTGGTAAGGGCACCGCTCAGACGGGCAACATCAATATCGGCAGCTCGATCAATAGGGATGCGGCGCCAGCCCTTGAGCTTAAGCGTATGGGTCAAGCGGACAATGTCCTTTTTGAAGGTCACCCAATGCTCATAGTCTTGCCTCCTCGCACTATCGCTAGTATCCACATCCGCCGAACCGCCAGTGAAGGCCATTGTTTTGGTGTTGTCCAGCTTCGCCTCGACATTGGGGACTAAAATATCTTCACCAAAGAACTCCGTGTCTGATGAAGCCGGAACGGAGCGAGGCTGCTTGTATTTCTTGCCCAAGGATCCTCTTCTTAGGAGAGAGCTCGAAGACTTGTGGAGAAGCTTCGAAGTATTGTTGAAGGAGAAATTTTGGAGGATGCTCTCAAGCTTCTCCAGCGACATATCTTGTTCAGTGTCGACCACGGTGTCGTTGGTTTTGGGATCGTCGCTCTGCTCGTCGGGTGTCTTGGGCTGCTTGCTGTGATGACGGTGGTGCCGATGGGGTCTTCGTTTCTGTCGCTTTGCCTTCTCATCTTGGAGCCAGTCGGCCACCTGGGCCAGGACAGTACGTAGGTCAGGCGTCTTACTCTCTGCCGTTGTCCCTGGAGTGGTGGTACCTGGACCCCCTGACCATGAGTCAGGAGGGTTGTTATCGTCGAGGCTGAAATACGACATGGGTCTGTTGAGGGGAGCACCAGCAGGGTAGAGATGAGAAGAATGAGAACTTGAATTGGGTAGGGCGGGTCGCCCGGTCATCTTCTTGCCTGAAATACTGGCGCGGTGAAGTTTGGGGCTGTGCGAGGCGACGAGTGTGGGGGAGGTACCGACGCCGTTATCCTGGTCATCCGCGAGGACCTTGATATTGGGCTCGGGGATATGTTCTGGCTCGTCGAAGATGGTCACACCTAGAGATGCGTTAGAGGTCTGACTTGGATGCATCGCTCTAGCCATCGCCTTTTATCTTGCAGCAGAGGCCAAACAGACAAAGAAAAAGCAAACACAATGGCAGGTTCCGTCGCATAATCCCAGGCGCTCGATTGCTCAATGGAGAGTCTTTATTCCCACCGCATCCCACTGTCGTGTGCGCCAGTGTCGCGTGACAGATAACCCTGGATGTGCTCGAGCGAAAGGAAACGGGCAATCGCGCACGTGCGTGGCTCCTCGTATCAAGGGGTGTGCGTTGCGCCAGTCAGAAGCATGGGTGAGCGGTGGCACGATCATGAAATCATGCAGCAAAAGAAATGAGAGATGTGGGCACAAAGGCAACGCAGGGCTCGCTTTCGATCTGCTCTCTGGGCGGCTTCTGAGGAGATGCAATCACGGGCACAGCGCATGCATGGGTTTTTGTTTGTCATGGGCGACGCAGTGAGAGTCGGGGGTGGTGGTGGTGAGGCGTGGTCGTACCTTTTTGTGGCCCTGTGCGTGGCGAGGCGCTTGCTTTTAGACTTGGGGATGGATAGGAGGGTGCCATGGTGTAGTGGACGGCTCGCCCTGTTGGGGCTGGTTGTGTTTGGGACGAGTATTAGCTTGTGCTGGCCATGGGTATGGGAAGAGATACGAGATGGAGGCGGCACAGCAATATACTTGTCCTTGGTAGACACCCGGGTGCAAAGTGAAAAGGTGGAAAGAGACGGGCGAGGTGATCAGTGAGTGACCTCAGAGGGGACTTGCAGCCAACAGGCTGCATCTTGGGCTGCGCACGTGCTCGCCACAACCTCAACCACATCATCTCTCTCTCCTACTTTTCTCGCCTTTGCTGTGATTCTTTTCCACTTTTTCTCATGCTACGTTGGTTCAGCCAAGGAGAAGAAAAGACAGAGACCAAAAAGAAACAGGATACAGTATTCTGCTCGAATTCTTTGCTGCACCCGACTGACAATATACAGTATAACCTCCCTGTGGCCTGACGACCAGCCAGTGCCTGAATCAATCCACCCTGCCATTCCAGTTCTTCCTTCCTTTGGTCATACCCTTTATCCTGTCAAATGCTGGGCTTGTTTCGTCGCTAATGAACCGTTACCTATGCATGGATATCGTTACAATCAAAACTCTCTTGTCCAAGTCTACTCGAGACTGCACAGTCAATCACCTCCCAGGGGGCTCGCTCAATGTCACCGATTCAGACTCTTTTGATGCGGCCTATCGTGTATCGTCGTCACTTGCCCCCCTCTTATTCTGGGACTCCCGTTTCGATTCGAGGCCCCCTCCAACTCTTCTGGATCTTCCACGAGATCCGACAATCCGAAAGCACCGTGCTCCACGTCATAGTTTTGCATGAGCCCTGCACTCTCCGCGCTCACGTGTCGACTTCCACCCGATAATATCCCTCCAGGACTGAATGTGAGGCTGCTACTCCGTCGGTGCGGATCCAGGCTCCTCCTCGCTTGCATGCTTCTTCGAGTCTGCAGCCCGGCCAGAGGGTCGGTTGGGATTCCGTCTTCGTCCGCGATTTTCCCATTAAGTAGCCGATGGCCATCAGGGTCTCCTCTCGACAGATTGAGCAGGTATACCCCCGAGAATATGACCAAAAACCCGCAGAGAAGAGAGATGGTGTTGACGGCATCCGTCGTGTTGAATCCCTGGAATAGAATAAAAGACGCGCACAACGTGGCAGTGGTAAACGTGACATAATACAAGGGATTGACGATCGAGGTCGAAAATTGGCTGAGCGCCTTGTTGAAGTAGTTCATCTGCGTGAGAATGCACACGATGGTGACAATCATAAATACGTACGTGGAAGGGTGTGAAAATTGGTTGTTGCCCGCAAAAGTCAGCTTGACCGCAATTCCAAAGGCCTTGACCGACATGACCGACACTGATCCGACGGTCGAACAGATCGAGATGTAAATCAGGGGATTCCTCTTGCCGTACACCGGCGCAACTTTGTAAATCATGACGGTTGAGAAGACAATCGCTGCCAGACAATAAATGATGAACGCTGCGAGGGAGATTAGCTTGGCCCATTCCACTTCTTGTGCGCATCCTGCGTCGCATAATTTTCCATACCTGGTTTAATCGCATACGCCAGAATCTGATCCACCGTCTCAATCTCCTTGTCCGGAGGTGCGTGAAGCACAATGATCACACTACCAAGCAGACAGATCGCACATCCCAGCTTCCCCAAGACTCCCAACTCCTCGCCGAGGAAATAGGCACCTAGCACAGCTCCAATGAGCACGCTGAGTGCGCCCAGAGGGGTGACAAGAATCGCAGGCGCGAAAGCGTATGCGGCGAAATTGGCGATCTCGCCAACCACCAAGGAGCCTATCCCTGCCCACCACAGCGGCGTTTTCAGATATGCGAACCCTTCTCCTTCGAATCCGTGCTTATCTGCGGCGTCGTTGAGTCCCTTCTTGGTGATGACGAAGCTGGTTCCGATTGCGAGCGTAGAAACGATGGCTAGGGCGAGGCCAATGTACTTGTCTTCGAGCATGTTGAACACCATGTGCGGGGCATTTTTGCTATCAGCAGTGTCCCCCATCTTTGCTCTCTGTTTTCTTCACTCTCCCTCTCAGCCTTTCCAATCTCGCCAATTTGAATTTCGTGACGCGAGGGGCTCTCTGTTTCCCCAATGAAAATGCGGGTGTTCGAGACGAGGACAGCGAGCGGGTTTATTTCTTCTTTTACTTCCAGTAAATCAGAAAGGAGCGGTATTCACTACGTCGTCGCTGTAGTTTCGTGCATCTAGTAGTCCCTCTCCGAGATGCTCAAAAGTTGCGAGCTTCGTAAACAGACACGGCTGACCGGACTCCGAGCGCTGTCAAGAGAATGAGCGAGGAGGGGGGCTGCGGCCGTTTTGGAAAGGATGGATGAGGTTTGGCTGAAAGTACACTAAACGAGAGACAGGGAGATTTTGTCAAGGAAAGGAAGGTCAAGTCGATATTACATTCAACCAAGGGAATGGCGTTGGTGAGGCGAAGGAGAGGGGTGGTCGGAGGAGGAGGCGGCGGCGTCGGTCGGCTTATAGGAGGGAAAAGAGAGATGCGACGAGGGTGTTCTTTCGGACCTTTGAGAAATGATGGGGGTGAGAGTCGGAAGAGGTGTGTGTATTATGCGGTAGGGAAAAAAATGACATGTAATCGTTAAGATTTGTCGCAGATCAAGATGCCAGGTTGCGCCAGGGGCAGAAAGGGCGGCTGGAGGCGGTGGTTCCACGGAAGGGTGGGCGTGCGTGGTAACTTTTGTGGTGGTGGTGTTGGTGTTGGTGGTGAGTGGTTCGGTGAGGGCAGTCAGAAGGTCAAAAAGGTTCCTCCATTCCCAGGTCGGCATTACTATTACTGCCCATGTCGATGTCTGAGAGCTTTGCTCAGGGCCCTGAAACAAGCCTTTTAATCGCCCTGGGACTGTGGACCGAGGCGACGCGTCGTTGAATCCACCATCGTGAGAGGAAGCTGAACAGACTGGTGGTCCAATGCTGCTCATCCCTTGTCCTGGCTTTTGAGCTGCGCCTCGTTCATTTTCTCACCCCCCCGAACATGTCAATCCACCGCACGAACCGCGCCTTGGACTTGTGGCGCGCCTCTCTCCATCTCCAGCAGCAGGCAAGTCGTCAAGCCTAACAGCTTCCTAGCACCTAGACCTGGTTCAACTAGGCTGTTGACAAGCGACCGACAGAGTCCTCTCCAGGGTCCGTGTCTAGTGTCTACGTACGAGGTACTCCTCACACAACGCCTTCGTCTCTGCACCTACCGACATTCAAATACTCCAAGAATACTCCAAGAATACTCCGTACACTGGCAGCTCTGCTGTTACTTACAATGCCCCTGATTTTAAGGCGCAAGAGCATCCCACAGACCCAGCTCACAGCCTCAGCAAGCCTCCATCCCTCCCTCCACTCCTTCGTTCCGAAACCATTGAAAACTCTGTTGCCATCCGGTCCCTTATGTGGCTTACTTACAGTACCCTAACGGTGAAGCTGCTGTGATGATTCCCCAGGTCGATACCACTCCATCAACGGTAGAATTCACAGTCCGGAGTCAAGCGCTTCACCTATGCACCTTCCTCCCAATGGGGAAATACTCAGAGCCTCTGCAAGTATTTCTGCGGTGCTTATCGGACGATCCCTTCCCAGAGGCGGATGAATAAGGCTGCACACAGCGCGAGACCAGTCGAGTCAGATGGCACCGCGGTGGACTTGGATCCTGCTTTGTCACGGGGCTTCCACCGAAATAGAAAAGCGCTGACCAACCAGACATGATGAATACTTTGGACTGCTCTAACGGCTGTGATTATTCACTGTATCCAACTTTGCTGCTCTGCGATTCTCTATGGTGCAACAACTCTTGCTGAACGATAACTCATGCTCTTGCACATCTGCCAGGTACTCATCCAATACAAAGCTCAACTGATCTCTCCACCCACTCCAGACCGCTCCAGGAGGGAGACAGACTTCCCGCTCGTCGCGTCCACCACACATACATCACCTCCTCCAAAGCCTCAAGCTTAACACAACGTAGAAAAGTCTCTCTAAATCTGAACGTATCGAGCAGGGCCGAACCCCACAAAGTCCGCTCTCTGCGTACTCGTGTACAAAACGCCGCCCTTCAACCAAATCATCCGCTGGGAAGATGTAGGCTTGCAAGGGCCGGCCACCGAAGTCGTCTATCAAGCTGTCCTGTATCAAACGCCGTTGTAGTCGAGTCGAGAAATGGTCGGAATCGAGCAGTTTGCCTCCACTTGTGCGTCGTGGTGCCGGATCTGAACAACCCCCCCTTCCCCCCTTGAAATTTCGATGCAAGTAAACTTTTGAAGATAACCCAACGACACCTGTCTATGATTGTGTTGCACAAATTCAAACCATTCAGTCCGAGACGGACCGCCTGCATGAGATTTCTCTTGATCTCCTCCCAAGGGGACCAAGGCCTCTGCTGACCGCATTTGCTTGTCATCGCCTAGGATATTGAGCCTTACCAACTTTTTCTGTCGTGAGGGTAGCTCTTCCCATCATGGATGTTCGGCCGTCTCTCGTCAATTAATAATATGAAAAAGGAAAAGTATTCCCGATCAAAGCAGTAGCCAACCTGCTTGTGCGCATCGGATGACAATAGTCTCTTTGGTCGTAACATGCTGGGTATCTTTCTTCATATCATGGACAGATCCCCCGAGAGACCAGCTCCCATATTTCCAGTTTGTTGGCCAGCCATCATGTTGGGCATACCAATTGATGGGCTCTTGTTCGCATTCAGCTGAAGCTCCGGGTTGCAAGGCGGCGAATGTGTCTTGTGATACTTGAGCCCGTTCAGGTTTTTGTAGCGTTTCTGGCAGACATCGCACTTGTAAGGTTTCTCCTTTTCCATTCCCATGGTGCCGGGATAGGGTGCCTGGGTATCGGGATCGACAATCGAAAACGTGCCGTCCCCATTCTCATGAAGTCGTTGGTTATTGTGGCCGTGCTAGCACTACGTTAGTTACCCAACACATGACGAGTTCGTGATAACTTACCGCTTTGTGGTATTTCAATCCATTCTGATTCTTGTAGGCTTTCTCGCAGCCAATTACGGGGCATCGGAAGGGTTTAGGTTCTTCGTGCGGAAGAATGTTTGTTGTGGTGTCGGGTAGTCCGGCAGCGGCTTGTCGTTCGCGTATTGTCCTTGCGATTTCACTGTTTGCTCCGTACTGACCGGTCCCAAGTCGATTCTGCGCGATTTGTTGCGCTCCTTGGCCTTGGTTCATGCCCTGATTACCACTCGAGAATAGCCTCTTCGATGGCTCGTCTATGCAGAGATCGATCATGTCGTTATTCATGCCGAAATTATAGCCACCGATCCCGTTCGGGAGACCATTGTAAAGGGCGAGGTTCTGCATTGACATGTCGTCGATACCGTCCATCATCCCGTCTCCCATCTCGCCCGGCGTGCCGGGAGCGGACGAGTCTGGGGTACCTCGATATCCAGTCTGCAGGTCTTGGAACTGCTGCATGGGGTTTGGCATCAAAGTGGATGAAGTGTTGCCCTGGAAGCGTGCCGCGTTACGCCCTGGCGCCACGGGCGTGTTGGGCGCGGATTGCCGGTAGGCTTGGTGCCCTTGCATCATGGTGGTGTTGAGTTGAGGTATTTGGGGCTGTTGCGATGGGGCTGCGAAGGAGGTCTGGGGCGAAGTTTGGGATTGGTTCTGAGTGTACAGATTCGGTGGCGGTGTCGTCTCATCGGCTCCGTCAATGTCGTCCATCTCCATGTCCTCGACTGTGTCCATGTCTGGTATCGTCTGCAACGTGCTAGAAAAGCCCGAAGGTCTGTGAACGTTCTGGACCGCGTTCTGCAGCGTCCCGAAAGGCCGACCAGGGCCATTGTGTGACTGTTGCTGCTGTTGATTGCGCTGTTGCGCCTCTTGTTGAACCTGAGCCGCCGTGGTTGCAGCGATCGCAGCTCGGCTATCTGGAACGGTTTGCTGGCTGGTAGTGGACTGCTGCGGATCCTTCTGCGCGTGGGCTTCCTCGTAGTGTTGTAGCAGATCGTGCAAGGTGGGTAGGGTCAGGCCACAGCAAGAGAAGTCTTTCATGAAGTTGGCCTCGAGTTTGGGTAGATAAGAGGAGGAATGGAACGAGGGCGAATTAAAGGTGAAGGGTGAGGTTCCAGACATGACCATACTTCACATATGTTAGCATTCTAGGCGTTTCAGTGAGCAACGATCACGGGGGCTTACTCGTCTCGTATCCAACTTCCCACGGATATTCCTCCCCAACTCATGCCCGCGTTAAGGCTCTGGGCGAGACTCTCGCGTCTCGCCCTATCATTCGCCATGCCTTTGACCGAGATCGGCCTCGCACCATGCTCAAAGTTGGCAAAGTCATTCGAGGAACTCGAAGGCATCTGTGGTAAGGGGCGGTTGAGGGCTGTTTCTGGTGTTGGGTTGGCCATCATGCGCTTCTCTTCACTGTCGCTCCGCTGCAGCGCGGAGGTTAAATTTGACGGCTGGTTGCCACGCGGCGAAGTCGAAGTCTGTCTCAAGGAGATATCGAGAGGGTTGGCTACGCTCGCCATGCCCCTGTGTGGTGGCGAGGCGCCAAAGGTTGGGAAAGAGTTGTCGTCAAAGTCCGGAGCGAGGAGGGAGGAGTCGGTGTCTAAACAAAGTCTCGTAGTAGTGCGTCCGACGTCGATGGGTTTCCTGAACCACGGGAGCGTGTCCTTGTCTGTCTTCCTGCCAAAGAACGGCCCGTTGCCGACGGGTGTAACTGGGGTCGTATCTCGAGAGGTGAAATGCGACCGATCACTCGGAGAAGGCGAGTGATTGAGTGGCGGAGGACTCTCTTCGTATTCTAACATAGACCTGCAGAGGATAAGGTCGGAGAGGAGGATCAAGAGGAGGCAATCGATCGAGATTGTCGTCGCCGATAGTCAAAGGTCTAGGAGGGACCCGGCAAAGGCGGTGACGTGATGGAGGTCGCCTTGGAGATGGTGGTGGTGAAGGCGCGGCGACCACGGTGAGGTTGGAGATGGGGTCAAATGAGCGACGATAAGGTGGGGAAGCTGCGTTGGGGAGTTCAGTGCCTGTAGATAGAGTCTACAGCACAGGCGTCGTTGATAAGTCTGGGGCGTGGGAAGGCTGTGAGGGCAGGAGGGTAGGAGGGTGAGTCGGCGATGAGGATGATGAGTAGTAGGTATGTAGTTGATACAGGCTGGTACGCTGTCTGTACGGGTTTAGTCCCATGCGAGTCGAGTCGTTACGAGTAATAGTGGTTGTCGTCCAGAGTACGCCGTACGGGCTCGATGGGCACTTTCGGCTCCCAGATCCCTGCGCCTGCCAGGCTCCTCCCACTGCCGCTAGGCCATCATCTTAGCCAGCACGTCAAACTTACAACCCGCATCCACAATTGTAACTCTAGCCCGGACCCTCGGTAGAGGGTGGTGGGTGCCCGTGGTGCCCACCCTCTCGAGAACGAGGCCCTCGCTCTTCGCCGTTCTGGAAAGCCGACCAAAGACATCCTCGTCGTCAATCAACAACCAGCCTGCAGCGGCCAGTTACCTCATCCCAGTGTATTCGAGATGATCGAATGAATGGCTCAGCTCCTGTGACGATCGATGCATCCTCCTCTCCCTCCTCCTATCTAGGTATCACGTTATAGAGCTAGCTTTAGCGCTGCAAGACGACACTGCACCGTATGATTTCTGCGTCATCCAACACCATCGTCCCCTGCCTACCCAAACAACCTCCTCTGCGTTCCAGAACTCTACATGGTTCGATGTGCCCAGGAGGCCTCATTCCCAACCGTGTCCAGGCTCATTCCCGACGCAACAGGTGTGACAACCGTTGGATGGCGACGCTGGAACCCGCAGGAAGACTTTGAAGGAACCACCGGAACGGCGAGATGAACCGAAATCACAAAAGATGGCCTCGTATTTGGGCTCCGTGGATAAGTCGAATCTTTAGCTAGCACAGTTTCATAGTATACAAGCAAGGCAAGGGGCAGGCTGAAGCCCGGTTCAAGCCTGGAGTTTTCTTCAGCCGGAGCGATTGGCACCTCTCCGAGATCCCATCCTGGTGCTTCCCGACTCACTGCCAATGCTCAGTGTTTGCTTCATGGCATAGAGTCGTCTCTCCTCGGCGCCCACTCCGTACCCTTTACCGCCCGGGAGTTGAAGGCCAAGCCCTTGGCCTATTGCCGAGGATTTGTGGTTGAGTCTTCTTCGTCGCCAGTGAATGCGAATCTTTCTCTTCAGAGAACCCGGCCAGCACCGATTCCGCAGTGCCAGAAAATGTAACTTTTCGGGGGCTTGCCGCAAAAGGAGCCCCCATCCCATCACTCCTGACCGTAACTGCTGTTCTGTGGGTCGGCCGGAGCACCCACCAACCTTCTTGGGCATGGTGCTTTGGGCCTGGTGGCCTTTCAGTTACCTGGTAGCTTCCCTTCTTGCCAGTGCCCTGGAAATGCAGGGCTCTCAGTTAGAGTCTCCACCGGTTGTCGGTCAGGATGCCCTTCTGACGACTTTTCAAGCGCCCATCCCACGTCCTTTGGAGGTGGTCAAAAGGCGTAGGGCATCCGCTCAAATGGCTTCGTTTGCGGTCAACCCTTTCGCCCGCAGAGCGTAACTTCCAGGATCCAGGCCGCAGTTTATTCATTGTCTATCCAGCTTTTTGCCATTGACTGTAACTGGCACTAACAGTCCCAAATGGTGGTCCAGCAAAGGCGAGATTTTGTGGCGTCGCGTGGGCATCCATGTGGCTTTCTTCACAAGCCAACGGGCAGCCGGATGCGAAATCATCTCCGCCGCCTGACCTCGACGAATAATCCAAGCATCCTCCTCGGACCAATAATCTTGTCATCCCTCGCTCCGGGTATGGACAGGGATGGAGAGCTTTTTTCCTCTTTTTGGGAATTTGCTTGCTGCACGAAACATCCCGTTAGCATCGGAACAGCGCTTGCCTAGCTGACAGACTGGATATGGTCACTGCTTGATCACATTGTGATTCAATCCTGAGTATAGTTTTAGCATAGTTCGAAATAGCGAGCTTGAGATCGCTGATCCCAGCGTAGATAAAGCAGAAGATAGCTTCTTCCGGGGGTTTACTAGCTGGTTCGTCCACTGATGCAATGTCGATGAGCCTCCAAGTCGGCACCGGTTGGCTTGTGCATGGGGAAAACATCCGTTAGCAGGTTGAACCCCAAAGCCTCGCTAGGTTATCCAGCCAGATTGCGCATCTTAGAGGCCGAGCAATCGCCAGATGATCAATTCCCCTTTCGTACTGAGTTACGTATTGTTTTGAAGCTTGTTCGCGAGGTGTGGGAGTTGAGGTGTAAGCGTGCCTCAGGCAATTGTGCCGAGTCTGTCTCTCTGAATCAGTTAGAGCAGTTCGACCACCAGCACCCCGTATTCAAATATTTCGCATAAGCTGGCTTGGACAGGGGCACCAAGGGGTGCTAGTGATCTCTGCAGGCAGGTATGGGATATGCTCAAGGCCATCGCTTGGTCATTGCAACTTGCCCATTGTCTGCATATCATTTCGGGGCTATGACTCAATCGTGCATGAGCATCGTCCATGACGGTGGACAACAAATGGAGAATGCCACTTTGGGGCCCTGAGCGTTTGGCCACTCTTTTCCCTCACGGCACTAGAGTCAAGGAATAGAACCGTAGATCAGAATTGCCTCCGTTCAAAGAACGTCGTAAGAGCAAGAATTATGGCCACAGCACCGATTGTGGGTGGCTGCCCTCCGCGGGGTTCCCGAGTTCTGATCAGTATTCTCTCACAACAACCTTTCATCTCCAGCGGGACCCAAGGTGGGATAACCCGGCGGGAGTCCCATCTTGTAAGGCTGCGTCAGAAACTGTGTCGCCTTCGGCGCAGTATTGCCAGATGTCAAACGTCAAAGGCCTGCCGAGGTTGGTGGGATTTTGGCGGCCAACAAAATGTGCGGCATTTGCAGACAGCCTTGCGGAGCATGGTGGAGCCTCTTGATGTGTGTACGACGCCCCTTGATGGATCGGGCATGTGCCATTCTGCCAACAGCAACTTCCTGCAAGGTACGGAGGACGCTGGAACGATGCATCAGAACATGGGGTTTGAAAATTGTTTCAGAGCCTTGCGATCATTCACCGTTCGGAGATAGTTCGATCAATAACGTCAAGACCTGGCCACTGTCGACACTTGGGAGTCTCCTCCATTCCTCTTCCGGACACCGTGCAGACTGATCGAGTTGCTCGTGTGACCTCTGTGTTCTCTTCATATTCTCTGCCTATTCTAGGTATAGGTAGGTCCCTCTAGACCATCGCAGCTGACACTGGGAATTTGACCACCTGGCGTTGCGGATGAACCTTGGGAGAGCGGAGGCGCTAGATCTTCCTTATTGGGGACCAATCTGATGGCTTTCCAAGGGAATTTGCCGGCAGATTATTGACTGAAGATCGGTCGAGAAGTTGCATTTGCAAGCTTTGGAAGTAGTGTGCGTCAACGCTGTCATCGATTACCGAAACTCGTTCTGTCGAGGTCAGCATCTTCGGAGGTTTTGCCTCAAAAGCAGTGGCCACTCAGCCAGACAGGGCCTCATCTGTGCCCCTTGCAGCTGCCAAAGGCTTCTGGAAGCCGTGGAAGCCGATGGTCCCAGAGTGGCGGGACCGCAACGAGATGGGTGACGGCGTAGGCGTAGTTGCCTCAGGCTGAGCGTTGCAGACAGGGGCAGGTGACAGGCTCGCCACCACGGCTGAGACAAGCAGATTGCGAGTCATTGTTGAATGCACATTGGGTGGGAGATGAAAAAGGTTACGGATGCCCTGTTTGTCGGTAACGCAGACCCCGAGAATCCCTAAGACAAAAATCGCTCCCTCCCTGCACGTGACCGATTCAAGCTGACACCCCATCGTCAGCATCTCGGCGTGGCCATGTACGAGGTACTTGTACCGCTCTTGCATGGTTGCTTCAAGGAGGCGATGTGATTGTTACTGCTGGAATTCTAATCACCCATGAGCGTGCCAGACATCGCCGCCCATCCTGCGAATACCACTATCCCACGTGAGGCACATCTCTACCCAGAGATCCTGAATGAGCGACTGGCCTCTTGCGATCACCTCGCCGCGTGTTGGCGGCCTGATGTGTTCGCAGAGGCTAAATGGCCAGAATGAAATCCTTCCAAAATTGTACTTCGACCGCATCTACACTACCTGGCCTACAACATATTCGTCGTTCCTTCCAAGCGACTTGAAGATGCGAGCAAGGTGACACTCAACGCCTCCACAGCAGTCTCTTGCAGTCAGTGAGACACGTCCACGGTGGCGGAAACTGGTGTTCAAGTTGGTGCTGCATTCAAGTTCCGCGTCCAGTTCTTTTCGACTCAAGTCTTCATGATCAGCGTGTCGCCTTCATTTTCGCCCGCCGAGTTCGCAGAGAAGCTTTGTCTTGGAGCTGCCGGACCCTGACATCCTTCAATGGGCGAGGGAGGAAGGGCAATCTGGGGCCCAACAAAGTTGCTGATTGCTTGATGGCAGTGCGGGCACCGTGGGCCCAGGCTCTGTCGATACCGAATGTATCGGTTGAGGTTGGTGACAGCCACCCAGCCGTGCATAACACTGATATCAACGGTTAGATGTGATAGGGTTAAACCTTTGAAAAGGCGCAAATTTCCAGCGCATGTGTATTCTGAGAATCTTTTTGACTTACAAGGCAACTAGGGCTCCAATGGATGAGTATGCCATCAGCATCGTTGGGGGCCATCTCCAGCTTCCAATGGTGGCGGTCTCAATGGTGCTGCAGACATATAGGACCAGGAACGCAAGAACACCAAGTGTGTCAATCGCCAGCTGGACAATAGATGGGCACCGGACCTCGCCGTCGCCGTCACGGTTGTTGTCGCTCCATCTTGGACGTTTCTGACGGATTCTGAGCAGAATGACGAAGAGGTTGTAGAGTGCGGATATAGCCAACACTGCACCTAAGACGATGAAAAGCGGAAACATCACGGCAAAGCCGAGACTGAGTGCGATGGAGTTGTTGAGAATGAGCAGCAGTCGGATAGTCGACTCAAGGTCGAGTGACGGTAGGGGTTTGCTGAAGGAAACCATGTTGACACTTGAAGACGAGCAAAATGATGCTATCTGAGCAGTGAAGAAGCGACAACGGTACGGGGAGAAAGGTGAGAATCCTCTACCTGAGAATCCAAGACCTCTCAATGAGGACTCGCACGATATATACGCCCCCTAGTTAGTACCTTGATTAATAGAGAAGTAAGACATTCAATCGATCAAAGGGTGAATGAGGCTGTGTAGGGATTTGAAACGCGGTTGCCTGGGGAAGGGTGGGGATCTCGAAGGTGTCGGTATACTAAGTAGTGTCCCTTACCATTTGTGGGAGGTTCAAGTACCAATTGAATCGTCTCGGATGGATATCAGAATCCTTCGTGACAACAACCATCATTTGAAGGTCCAGTGAGGGTAGGGAGTAGCTTCCTCGATGTTGACAACCGCGCAGAAACCGCCCGAGGGGCCTCCCCAGGCACCAATTGTTATTCTTCATGCCAACACCAATATACCCAATTCTCTGTATATCGGGCGAGTGTGCGTGTACTCGGTACAGAGGATGTACATAGACGTCCACTCTTGTCAGATATTTCCAACATGCACAGAGAAATTGTCCAATCGTCCTCCCGGGGCGGGCGCGTCATCTAACATTCGAGGAGCGGGACAGGGGGCCAGGTGTTTTGCAAACCCCTATCAACGCCGGGGGCTGAGCAGATGTGCAGCCATGGTCGTGCTGGTTAAGAGAGCTAGAGGGGGAACGCATTTGCGGCATGTTGTGGACTCGGTCTTTGGAATACCGGGCGTTGGATTTCCTTCCCTCCTCGTACAAGCCGTAAGCAGTTGGGATGCAAGTTGGATGTCAAGCAAAACATTTCGGCCGGATAAACTCCAGGGTAGATTTTCCGGAGCCTTGGCAACATTTCTCAAAACTATTACCAAAAACGCTCACGCGGGCAAACTCCACACCTCTACAGACTTGCTCTCGATTTCATATTGCCTATCAACTCGTACCCTGCCTGTTCCTATTCTTGAAGGTGATATAGAGCTGATATACAACAGCGATCTCAAGGACGTTCGCTGAGATTCAGCGGTGGAACACCGTGGAGTGCTTTGTCACTGTGTCGCCCCGATGGAAAATTCTGCAGATCAGCCTCAGTTTGATATGTCGGTCGATGGGATATCAAATGGTGTCACTGCAGAGAACAGACCAGGCCAAACACCCAATGAGATTCCAGCCATTGTTAAGCGCAAGGTTGACGAAATTGAACCGTCGAGAGACTCCCAGGATCACAAACGGAGAAAGGGAACCGCACCCGTCAAAGAAGAATTCCTGCTTCAGTCCGACGATGTAATCCGAACAGAATTTGGTCGTGATGGACCCAATGATGATGCCGCTGAGGCCTTTCACCACATGGACCGGCTACCAGCCAGCCAGAACATCAAAGGTAACCGCCGTCGAGAGAAGAAGAAAGGTCAGAACAAAGCCCGCGATTTTGGGACTTCGAGGGATGAAGTAGGGTTGTGTTCAAGTCGAGCCTACAGGCCCGAGTTCTCGCCAGATTCGTGTGCCTACGGTGACAACTGTCGTTTCGAACATGACATCCGAAAATACCTCAGCGACCACAAAAGAAAAGACCTCTCCACGTTCAATGGTCTGTGTCCTGTATGGGAAGTGAAGGGGAAATGTCCGGCTGGATGGAAATGCCGTTTCGTGGGATCTCATTCTAAAGAAGTAGACCACGGAGACGGCCGACTGGAACTGGTCTTGGTCGAGGATGCTGAACGAATGGCCAAATATGCTGAGACTGCATTCGAAGACGAGGAGGCTGGCGTAGCGAACGCCCTCACTTCTCAGCAAAGAATTGGGCTGACAAAGAGGAAAGTATCAACTCCAAAATCAGATGAGTTTCTGCATTGGCTCGACAAACAGGCCCAAAACCCAGCCCACCAGGGTCGAGGACGAAACAAATCCTTTCGCAACTCCTCTTCTCCGGAACCCGAGTCTGGTCCAACTGGCCGAGACGGAGAGGGCATAGGGGAATCGAGAGCTGCCTTCCAGGATCCTCCCCTCCGACCATCGGAGAAACGTCGTCTGTACTTTGGGCCCGAGACGCCGATCCTAGCACCCTTGACCACGCAAGGAAATCTGCCCTTCCGGCGCTTGTGTACTTCGTTAGGGGCAACGTTTACTTACTCAGAAATGGCCATGTCTTTGCCGTTGTTGCAGGGACAGAAGTCTGAATGGGCACTCCTTAAAGCCCATGAATCAGAGGTAGCTCCCCCAACCTTCTCGATCAAGGGCAGCGACAACATCGTCTTCGAATATGACCAGAAACAAGACCTTCGATTCGGTGCCCAAATCGCCGCCAACAAGCCTTGGCTCGCGGTCAAGGCAACCGAAATCCTCACCACCTTATTGCCTCGAGGTCTCCGAGTGGTAGATCTCAACGTCGGTTGCCCGATTGATCTGGTCTACAAGGAAGGTGCTGGCTCGGCTCTAATGGATTCGCCACACAGGCTGGAGAAGATGCTTCGGGGGATGAACGTGGTCTCAGGTGAGACACCAGTCACAGTAAAGATTCGAACCGGGACTCGGGACAAGCAGCCGACTGCACAGAAATTGGTCGATCGACTGGTGCTAGGCAGTGGACATGGGCGGGGGAGTGCCTGTGGTGTTGCGGCGATAACTCTGCACGGGCGATCCAGGCAGCAAAGATATACCCGTTCTGCCGACTGGGAGTACATTGCAGAGACAGCATCTCTGATCAAGGGGCTCAATGAGAAGGCAGATACTCTGGCTGACACTATCCACGAGCCGGACGAGCGTGACCAACCAAATGGCCACAAAGGCTCACGAAACGGCAAAGTCTTCTTCATTGGCAACGGCGACGTGTTCTCACACGAACATTACTATGACCATATGCAGCATGCCGGGGTCGACGGAGTCATGGCAGGTCGAGGGGCCCTAATCAAGCCATGGCTCTTTGAAGAAATCGCAGCGGGGCAGTATCTGGACAAGTCGTCATCGGAACGACTGCAGATGATTGAGCGGTTCTGTCGGTTCGGGCTCGAGGCATGGGGAAGCGACGAGATCGGCGTTGGACAGACGCGACGGTTCTTGCTGGAGTGGCTCAGCTTTGCCTGCCGATACGTGCCTGTCGGGCTGTTGGAGTATCTGCCGCCCAACATCCAGGATCGACCTCCTCGATACAAAGGACGGGACGAGCTGGAGACGTTGATGGCGAGTGACAACTACCAGGACTGGATCAAGATCAGGTGAGTTCTTTCACAAGGACACTTGCGCAAAACACAACGGCTAACCAAGATGGAAGCGAAATGTTTCTAGGGCCCGCGCATCCCGACTTTCGATTCGAGCCGAAACACAAATCCAACAGCTACGAGATTCAAGCGGAGGGGTGAATGGATCGAGGGCCTGCGAAAAGATTAGGGGGTTGTACAAAACAGCGTGCGACGGCGTAGATTGAGCCCAACGATACTTGTCAAGCGTCAGGCTCGAGCCAGATGGATGGATGATTGTAGACAATAAGCCGCGGCGGCTCCCAGCCGCGTGCCAGGTCGCAGGTTATGCAAGGCTTCGGGCAAACTTGTGGATAGATGTGTGCTGACATGTGCAAATGATAATGGCCCCCCCAGAATCACGGCTTGCCACCTAAATCCTCCCACCTCTCACCTCTCACCTCTCACCTCTCACCTCGTGGCCCCCGTTTTCCTCCCAATAATAATAATGGTTCTATGGGGATTAATTACGGGGTACCGAGTACACATGGACAGCGTATTAGTAAACCCTCATCCTGGTTGCCATCTCGCATCTCGCATCCCGCATCCCGCATCCCGCATCCCGCATCCTCTCGCGCGACCTTGTCACCATCATCAAGGCTGCCTACCTACCTACCTACCTACCTACCTGAAAGTACCACCCACGACGTGGTTGGTGGCCGTCATTTTCTCCAAGCAACAAACAGGCCGCCCATCCAGCCATGGCGTCCCATAAGCTGACCCTAGGCGTGCCTCAGTGGTGTGCGAACTAATAAGACGGGCAGCGAGCTAGTCAAGAGCCTTTTGGGCTGTCGGCCTCCGCTCGAGGGATATTAAATGTTACGAGGTACATTGTTCAGCTGCCCGACTATTCCATACCCAGGGCCAACCACAACAACAACAACACCAACAACAACACCAACACCAACACCAGCTATAGGCGACCTGTTATTGGCGACTCGACGCTCTCGGGACTAGCCATGTCGCTGATCGAGAACCTGTCCCATCTGGCCTCTCTTCCCGCGCCTCTGCCCCCGGCCCCGGAGGGCGAGGTCTTCACCAAGGAGCAGTGGGACACTCTCTTCTCGATCCTCGAAGTCTTCGTCCCGTCCATCCCCAACACCACCTCATCGACAGAGTTCGACAAGGCGCTGGCCAGGCTGAAGCCGTATCAGCCCGAAGGTCTCTCCGAGGATGTGGCACGAGCATATCTGTCCGAAGACGCGGTCTCAGATCCCGACTTCCGACAAGGCGTGGCCCGAAAGTTCAAGCTCTACGTTCCTCCCTCGGACGCGCAGGGACTGGGCTTTGTTCTGTCCCTGTTCAATACCACCGTGGGGTCCTACATCTTGACGGGGTACACCACGCCCATCCACAAACAGGACCTCGAAACCCGGTCCAGAATCGTCTGCCAGTGGTCCGTGGCGAGGTTGTCTCTCCTGAGAGCCGTGCACAAGTCCCTCAGCGGCTTAGCGAGGCAGGTTTGGCTTGCTACGTCTCCCAATCTGTACCGCATGCTCGACTTCCCCGCCATCCCCAAGCACATCGAGCGCAATCCCAGCTACGATTTCCGATTCCACGACTTCGTCTCTCCAGCGACGCCCACGACGCTCTCGACCGACGTTGTGATCATTGGATCCGGCTGCGGCGCCGGGGTGGTGGCCTCACATCTGGCCCGTGCCGGCTTGAAATGCCTGGTCCTCGAAAAGGCCTATCACTTCCCCTCCACACACTTCCCCATGTCCGCGTCCAGCGCGGGGGAGCACCTGATGGAGAACGGCGGCATGTTCGTCTCGGACGACGCCTCGGTGGGCATCTTGGCCGGCAGCACATTCGGCGGTGGTGGCACCGTCAACTGGTCGGCCTCGCTGCAGCCTCCGCGCCCCGTGCGCGAGGAGTGGGCGGCCGACCACCTCCCGCACTTCCTGGGCGCCGAGTACCAGGACTGTCTCGACACGGTGTGCGAGCGCATGGGCGTCGCCCGGGCCACCGACCCCGAGGCGCTCGGGAAGATCGAGCTCAACTTTGCCAACCAGACGCTCCTCGAGGGCTCCCGCCGCCTCGGCATCGCCGTGCAGATTGTGCCCCAGAACACGGCGTCCCGGCGCCACTTCTGCGGTTACTGCACCTACGGATGCGCTGGCGCGACCAAGCAAGGGCCCGCGAACTGCTGGTTTCCCGACGCGGCGGCCCACGGCGCCGAGTTCGTCGAAGGCTGCTGGGTCGAGGAGATTGTGTTCTCCGAGAAAGACGGGGTCAAGACGGCCACGGGTGTCAAAGCCATCTGGACATCCCGCGACCGCAAGACGACGCGACACCTCCGCATCTCGGCCCAACGGGTCGTCCTGGCTGCCGGGACGCTGCAGTCGCCCCTGGTGCTCCTGCGCAGCGGCCTCAAGAACCCTCACATCGGGGCGCATCTGCACCTCCACCCGACCAGCACGGTCTGGGCGACGTGGCCGCAGCGGACCAACCCGTGGGAGGGCGCCATCCTGACGGTCGCCATGACGGGGCTCGAGGACCAGGACGGCCAACACCACGGGCCCAAGGTCGAGGTGATCTGCTCGACGCCGGGGTTCGGCCTGCTCACAGTGCCGTTCCGCCCGCAATACGCACTCCTCCATGACAAGGACAAAGACAAGGGCAAGGACAGCAGCAGTAGCAGTAGCAGTGGCGCCCTGTCCGCGGCCGTCGAGTACCGGCTCAACACGGCCAAGCACGGACACTCGACGGGCCTCGTGTGCATCACCCGCGACGCCGACACGGGCAGGGTGTACCTGGACCCGAAGGACGCGACGCGGCGCCGCCCGCGGATCGCGTACACGCCCTCGCCGCGCGACCGCCGGCACCTCCTCGCAGGCATGGTGGGCGGCATGCAGGCGGCCTTCGTCATGGGCGCCGTGGAGATGGACTCGGGCCACCCAGCCGCCGAGCGCTGGGTGCGGCCCTCGCACGTGGACCCCAAGGCCACGCCCGCCATGGACGACCTGTCCTTCGCGGGCTTCCTCGCGCGGGTCCGCGACCTGTGGCTCGCGCAGCCGGAGCCGTGCACCGCGGGGTCGGCGCACCAGATGGGCTCATGCCGCATGGCGTCGTCGCCCCGGACGGGCGTCGTCGATGCGACGGGCAAGGTCTTCGGCACGGATGGCCTGTACGTCGCGGACGCGAGCGTGTTTCCCTCGGCGAGCGGCGTCAATCCCATGGTCAGCACCATGGGCATTGCCGAGTGGATTGCCAGGGGGATCGTGAGAGAGGTGACGGAGGCGGCGGGCGAGAGATAGGGGAGATGGACTGGAAAAGATAAGTCAAGGGATTGTTCGATACATATACACACCATCACGATGTACTAAGATGGAGGCTCAGTGCCGTGGCCACCAGCTCATCCGAGAGATTAGAGCTCGAGAGGGTAATTGGATTTACTCATCCTTGTTTGTAGTTTAAGAACGGCGGCGATGAGGATGGACGGCAGCGTGGCCAACAGCAAATCTCGTCGTAACCCCAAGAGTCGGGAAGCACCAGGGAGCGCAAGTCTGCGAGTGTTTCTGCCTGTGATACAGTGGTTTCTGTGTCTGCTTGCGACTATCTAGGATATGGCGATTCACTCTGGTTCGGCCTTCGCTGAGACAACGTCGACCCAGAGAACTGTCCAGTGTTATCGCCAGCAGCGTGGCCAAGCATTCTCAGCTACTTCATATATAGCAGTGCAGCAGGCGACGACAAGCTCAGAGGAACGAAACTCCAAACCAACCGCTTCTCATTGAAAGATTGTTCCATTCGAGTCTGTCATTTCTGTATACAAACACAATCCCAACCATGATGCGTCCTATCCAACCCAACTCGACCCAACTCAATCCAACCTCTCGTCAATCCCAAAGCAGAATTGTAACATTGGACAATGCATCTCCACCAGTCCGCCGATCAACGATTGAATAGCCCTCCGAAAATCCCATAGTCATAGAAGCCAGAACGCCGCACATTTTCCCCTCATGACGTGAAATGTATTGGGTCGTCAGGTCGATATTCCATCCGTGGTCAGAACCGCTTGCTTGAAAAACCGATACAACACATGACAAAGACGCAAAACCAGACAATCTCGCCCTCACTTCCCTCCTGCCGTCTTCTTCGCCACTCCAATCTTCGTCTTCGATACTTTGTCGGCAAACTTCAGACTCGTGATCGTCTCTGCAAGGCACTTCTTTTCTGGTGCCACCATGACGAACATCAGTGTCTTGCTGTTCCCACCCAGACTGTACTGTAACAGATAGGTGAGCTTGCTGTTTCTGTAGGGGATGTGTATTCCGCCTGCTCCTGTGGCAGACGATGAGGAGTTGGATCCAACACTGTTGCCACTCTCTCTAGAGTTCAACGAGCCATTGACCTGCTGCTGGCCTAGTGCCCCAATAACGTCGCCTAAGCAAGAAAGCGACTTATTAATGTTTTGCGTCTCCCTCAATCGTGCGCCTTCGACCTTGGAATGAGACAGTCTTTCTGATCCGGCGAGATCGACCAGGTTTAGCGTGCCTTTACTCTTCTGGCCCGTCACCGTGTTAAAGCCTGCGAGTTTGAGGATGAAGACGGAGTGGCTTCGAGAACTGCGTTCGTTGGCTTTTGTGGCGGCCACTGAGCGACGGGACATCGCTTGCGCAAGGATGCCTTCGACTTGATCTTGGCTGTCCAGATTGACCGTGGTCACGTCGGTGATTGTGGTTTCACATGTTGCGCTGTCGTGAAGAATTTGATGTTTCTTATTGTTGTTGTCGGAGTCTTTCCCCAGGAGATCTCGCAGCTCTTCGTTGTATACTTCAACAAAGCTGCCTTCCATGGTGTATTTCCAACCTCGCGCTTCTAGCTCTTTGCTTGTAGCGTATATCTGTCGTAGGGCTCGTGGAATCATGCCGTCTTCAGAAGACATGGTAAACGTCTTTCCAGAGCCGGTTTGCCCGTAGGCAAAGATGCAGACGTTGTAACCGTCCAGCGCGGACTGTATGAGTTGGCTGATTTCCTCAAAGATTTCCGCGTTGCTGCTGGACGGATCAAAGACTCGATCGAATGTGAACTGATGTGTCTTTGTCGTCACTTTTCCGAGGCTGTTGGTTTCCTCTGCTCCTTTGATTTCAATGTCTCTGACTTCTTCGTCCGACTCGGGGAATGTGATCTTTGCCGTCTCTTCGGCTCCTTCACTTTCGTTGGTGGGTCGGACACGGCAGAAGACTCGAATGTTGCCTTTCAACTCTTGCACTTGGTTGTGCAGTTTGCGTCGAAGGATTTCTTCCTTCCTTAGCTTCTCTTCACATTCTGTCGCCTTCTCCAAGGCTTCATTCATTCTTCTCTCCATCGCGGCATACGCTTCTGACTGAGATTTGCTGTCTGATTCCAGGTACTCAATCTTGGCCTGTAGAGCCTGGCGGGCACTTTCCATGCTCATTGCGTTGTCTCCCGCGGTGGACAGGTTGCGGCGGAGATCGTCGTTGAGGAGCTTCTCTCTCTCAAGATCCGCCTTGAGTCGATCAATCTCCAGATGGAAACTCCGTATTTCGTGTTCTTTCGATTCGAGATCCATCTGGTGTCGTTGTTTCTCAAGAGCTCCCTGTGTGGACACCTGGCTCAATGCCTGGATCCTTTGCGCACGTTCGTATTCGAGTTCGTCTTCTAGTCGTTTCTTCAACTCGCGGATCTCTTCTCTGTGGTCCGCCTTCAAATGCTCCATATCGTCTCGGTGGGATTGGCGGACACAATCGACTTCTGTTTTGTGTTGAAGTTTGATGCTTTCAATTTCTGCTTCCTGGTCTCGTTTGAGGTCGTGCATTCCATGTTCGGCAGATTCTAGGCGGTATTTTGTGGTTTCAAGTTCACACCTGAGTGCGATCATGGCTTCGGTGGCATCTCTCCGATCTTGCTCGAGGTTCGCAATGGTGGACTTGTAAGTGTTGTTGATCTCTTTGGCTTCCATGTTGTCTTCCATGGCTTCTTTGTAATGTTTGCAAACATCTTCATACATTCTCTCGATGTTGCCATATTGTTCTTCGGGGTCCCACGCCACTAGATTAGAATCTTTAGTTAGAAATGGTCTTGCTTGACTTTTGTGGGGAGTGGTAAAAATGTCTTTAGGGAAAGGGGCTGGAGTAAATGGCTCCTTCATTGGAGGTGTTGACAGTCGAGGTGAAGGACGCGGAAGCCCGGAAGGGCTGTCTGGCCGACGTGGTTTGGGAGTTGGTGTCTGAGGGGTCAGGGAAAGACCCAACATCCGCTCGGTAATTGATGTTGTTGAGACATATCGGTTGAGCGGTATTGTAGACGCGGCAAACCCCTTCAGTGGTGAAATATTTCGAGCATCTCTTTTGGGTACATTCACAAGTCCGAGCCTCACGGGAGCACGAGCGGGAGCACGAGCAAGAGCGGTTGGTTTGGGTTGGGATGACAGGGAAACCATACATTTATTATTGGGACCATCCTGATTCCTTCCACGGGTTCCTAGTGATGTAGCAGGCCTCGAGTCGGCCATCCTTGTTCCTCTGTCTTTTGCGAGGGATGATTTCGGGCGGGCGAGGTTTGATGTTGGGTGAATTGTAGGCGGTCGAATACCAGTTCCCACACTGGCCGAGAAATGGGACGCCGCCGAAGAGTTTGAGGTGCTTCTGGAGTTGCTCCGGTAGGATTGAGAGAATACAGAAGGTTTCCGTGAGTGGAAGGCGGACACGAGTCCAGCACTTGTCGTAGCACTGGTCTTTGGAGCCGCAACCATTGTTCTGACGGGTTCGCCAGCGCGTTCGGCAAGTGTCTTTCTTTTGGCAGTCGGCTCGGGTACTGTTGTCCGTGTTAATATCGTCCAGCTCTTATTGCAGGTATATACAAACAATTGGAGCCCTGCCGCTTGTGGCTTGTGAATATGGGAGGCGGCATGGCACTGCGGGAGTTGGTTGCCGACGCTGTGACCTCTGCCAGAGGTTTTTGCGGCGAAGGAAGCCCATAGCGGGTGGGCTGGGGGAGTTGGGAGACGAACTGCGGTTTCTGGTCAATGTCATATACTCCGAGATGGAAAGAGCAAGGTCATACATTCTCAGCGTCTGCCATCTTGAAGAGAAAACCGTGTTGGACACCAATGAACCACCAGCTTCTGCTATTCAGGGGGGAAAACCATGACCAATTCCCCCAAAGGGACCAATGTTGTCGAGTCTCGGTCAAAATACCTGCACTGGAGGAGCAAGAGCAGGACGGCTTCAAGGATGCAGCCATTGTAAACAATTGTGCGTTTTGGGTTTAGTGCAAACTGCACGTGATGTGACAGGCTTAGTGTCGGCTAACCTTCCAATAATGAGGCTGAACTTCTTCGCTTCAAAGGGACAACAAGAACGTTGAACTCGTGTCAATGGGCTGAGCTGAGTGCGTCTGTGAGGGGAGCGAGCTGTCTAATATATGAACAGAGATCAATTGATCGGCGACAGAGGGCCTACTGAGACATTTCTCTGATCATTCCCAGCTTCAAAGTTTGCACCTCTACCAGAGGGTCCCAATGTCGGGTGGGTATGAACCAAGAGTGCAGCGACGACTTTACAAATTCTAAGGGTCCCCTACCAACCCCCTCACAAGAAGCAAAAATGACCCTGTCCTTCGACCTTTGCCATAGCTTCGTCCAATTCCAACTCGGATGAAAAATCTTTCAAAGTTCACGCCTCTTCTTGGAACCAGAAGGGCAATTGGTAGGCCGAACAGCGAGCAGCTGCACCCCGTTCCCGAGAAGCTCCTCGGTCGCTTGGAAGTATTGATCAATGGCCGGTAGAACCTCAGTGCATCGAACGCCGTTGATGATTGCGACGAGGTTGTTGGTGTCTTGGGTACTGAAAGTGGCGCCTTGATCCACAAATTTCTGCAGGTTGATCACGACATTGTTGAAGGTCTGTTCGCCGACGAGAACATCGTTCGCTTGGACGACAAGAGGATTGGGGTTGGCGACGTTGAGAAATGTGGCATCGAGGACGGCCTTGTGATTGAGCTCGTCGTTTTCAGCATTGAGGGCCAGTTGGGCTTGGGCAACGAGGTTGGCACCGGCGAAACTGGCGGCATTGGACAAGAACGTCGACACAATGCCAGTGTCCTGCGCCCACTTATTCTGTGCCGTCCCTATGTCCTCTGTCTGACGGCGACTGAGACCATGGCATGCCGCTAGGGGCAGAACACCCACAACACCAAGGAGGGCGACCAGCTTGCTGATGGTGAGAGAATACTGCATGGTGCAAGACTCGAAGAGTTTTGTAAGTCGGCTTGTGCTGTAAATTTGAAGAGGACTTGACACTGAAGACACAGAGAGTATTGGCCTGAACGTCGACAGATGGTCTTTGAAGGAGCGAGCTGCTTGAAATGGAGAGAGTCAGGTCCATTTATACCCTCTCGGACTTCAAGGCACATCCCCATCCAGGTTAACCCCTCGCAAACGCCATAGGGGCCTCGATGAAGCCAAGTGGTCTATTCATTTGTACGAGGATAATGAATATCCAAGCACTTTGGTCGAGACCTGCGAGCTAGGAGCTTGTCTGGGTAAGGGTTTGGCACGTTGAAAATCTCCCAATCGGGTAGCTGCCGGCTCCCATTTCTACAATCCCCAAGACCAGTTATTGTCGTCTTCCAGGCTCTCTGCTAATCAATGACGCCCAGTTTCGAGCCCCGAACCCATTGTCCCAATCCCGCTACGGACTTAGAAAAGGATTTCTAGTTAGCTAATCGTTCAAAATCTTACAACCGTCGAACAGATTTCCTAGAAGGTTGTCGTTTACAGCCGGAATGTTGCCGCACACTCGGCCCGCATTCTGCTGTTAATGGCAAGGAAACCGCCCCCATGGTCAATAGCTCTCCGAACAGACTGGTTGCTCGCAAGGCTTAGGCCTGGAGGCGCATCGTCCATGTCCACCCCGGCGCGACGCCACGTACAATATTACTCTCATGCGCCAGGCGCACTTACCAGGGGCTGTCCACATACTTCGGCGGGTGAATACTCTGATGAGTCTTGTCGACACATGCCGCAACTTACCCAGGGATTTGAGACTATTGCTGGTCGGACCAGCGCAAAAACTTCAAAGGGACCCGGCAAACCCCTTCTGGTACCGGGTCCAGTCGCTGTCCAGTGTCCGCTGCCCATGACCCTGCATATCCAGTCACCTGCGGAGGTAGATGGAGCTGCGAATGGGCCCAACGGGCGCCAGCCTATGATTTGAAAGCGAAGCCTAGTATAAGGCGCAATGGGTCGTTGCTGGTTCATCCTGTCATCCAGGCACATTGTTTCGTGCGTCTTTAGTGGTTCTGCTTTACTTTTAGGGTCGCTCAATAGACTTCGCCTCGCCTTACACGCAGTTGGAATACCAAAAGCCCCGAGACTCCTGGTTTAGATGGCAACAAAAGTACAGTAGCGTGTGATCGAGGGCGATGTTGTCGAACTCGCAGAATCACGACGATCAGGGCCAAGAAGAGAGCAGTACGAGGTACAATATAATGATGAGATCCAAGCGGCTCGATTGTCTCGTGAGTCGATGTCTTGTTCCATACAGATACAGATACCGCATCGAGGTGCGGTCGACGGCGAATGGACGACCGCGCACGTCCTTGCAAGGTCTATTTTTGCAAGGCCTACGCTCACCAATTTGCAACATTCTTCCTCTCGGGGTCCTCGACATGCTTTCCTGCTCCTTCCTTGATGACTTCATCCAGCACCTTGACCAGACCTTCGACTTCCTCGACAGTGTTATAGTGCAGCAATGAGCACCTGACCACGCCGTCATCGCTGTCTGGAATGTGGAGGACGTTGTCGCAGAGGCGCTTGCTATAGAAGTGTCCGTTGCGGCACCCGAAATTCGACCTCGCTTCAATGGCGTCAATGATCCCCAATGAACTCTGGCCCTTGACCCTGAAGCTGATGACCGGCACCCGCAGCTTTCTGTCTGAGGAAGGCTCCCCGTAGATCTTGATTTGGTCGGGCTTCGACCGCAGGTACGCCAGCAAGATCTCCTGGATCTTCTCCTCTTGCGCGGCGATGGCGCCCCAGCCCACCGTGTCGATATACTTGGCGATGAGGGGAACGGATTGGATACATTCGTAATTGCCTGCCGCTAGCCCCAACATCTCCTCCAGCGTGTCGCCGGGCTTGAAGTAGTGGCCGAGGCTCACGATCTGTTGCTGCGCCTTCTCGCTGACGTAGAGCATCGAGACGTGCGGCCCGTACACTTTGTACCACGAGAAGGAGTAGAAGTCGACGCCGAACGCCTTGACGTCGACGGGGGCGTGCGGGGCATACGCCACGGCATCGACACAGAACAGGGTGTTGGGGTTGGTTTCATGGATGGCCTTCGACAGCGCGGCAACGTCGGTCACGGTGCCCAGGATATTCGACGTGTGCGTGCAGCAGACCAGCCGGGTCTTGTCCGAGAGCAACTTCTTCAAGTCCTCGGGCTCTAGCTTGGGGTTGGAGTCTGTGTTCTGCGTCGGAATCCACCATTTGACGGTCACGCCTTTCCACTCGGCCATCTGCACCCAGGGCGCCAGGTTGGCCTCGTGGTCGAGGCTCGACAGGACAATCTCGGCGCCCGGCTCGATCTTTAGGGCGACCGAGAGGTTACGGAACAGCTGGGTCGTCGACGGGCCAAACACCACCTCCTTGGGCGAGGCGTTGATGTACTTTGCCCCCGCCATGTGGCCCTCGTTGAACTTAGTCGTGGAGATCTGTGACACCGGGTACGACGCGCCCAGCTGCACGTTGTTCCGGGACAGGTAATCCGAGATGGACGTGATGACGGTCTGCAGCACCTGCGCACCACCGGCATTGTCCATAAAAACCTGGTCCTGGGCGAGGGCCGGGAAGTGGCCTCTGATGGCCGCCACATCGAACGACGCTGCCATGCTGGCCGTGGTGGTAGCGGACGGTGGTTGAACGAGGACAGCGGATTCCAAGCACGAGCGGGAGATCAGTCCCAGTGTTATTCTGTCGTATGGATCGCTACCGACTGAACGAGATCCGAGTACGAGCACCTTACCGTGGGAAAAATCTGCATGGTTATGAGGGCCATTGAGGTGGGATGTGGAGTGGAAGCGTCGTTAGGTTGCTGGACCTGAAGAGGAAGGTCGCTCAACTCCGCGTATGGAGGCAGTGGAGAAGGAGAGTAGAGAGAGTCAACGATGGTGCCGCCTTTCCTGCCTCGTCTCAAAGTCGGAGACGCCTTTAGCACAGCATTACCGTCGAGGTATCAACGATTGACAATGAGTGTGTGTTCGATGTGAGGCCCTGGAGGCAGTTCCAAGATACTTGGGGATATCAGGACGTCAACTTGACATTGTCCAGAGCACGGCATGAGGAAACTTTGAGCCAGATCTACACATTCAAAAGTGAAATTGCAAGCGTATTGATGCATTGATGATCTAGTTTGAGTCCATCGCGGTACGCCTAGCGCATTGGTGCTCAACAACAGGTGGCGCTTGACCTCAGGGGCCAGGGAATCTCTTTCTCAGCGTAATATCCCACTCTCCTTCTGACAACATGGTGAAAAGGCGGCAGGCGATTGTACGTGATGTCGACAACCCGGGAGAAGGGGATACGACGCAATTTGTCCACTTGAAGATGCCCAGGTTGAAATGCGTGCACACTTCCTTCCCCCTGATGCCCATTGAATCCGAACCGTTTGGGCCACTGCCACTCTTCGCTCTGCGCACCCTCGAGTCCTCAGTTCACCTTTTTCTCCAAGGTATCGTGCATCTCCTTCGTCTCCAGTGTCTCATCGTGCTTCTGTTCTCTCGAGGGCATCTCCTCTTGCAACATGCTGCTAGGGCCAGAGGAAATTCCGAGTTGGCCACCCGCTTGTTGGTTCTCGATCCGCGCATTCTGGTTTGTCGGCGCCGGGGGCCCTTCACCAATCATCTGCATCTTCCACCGGATGTATTCCTTCGGCTTCTCCTTCTCCAGATATTCACCCCAGGCAGTGAATTCTTTGTTGGAAAGCGACCGGAGGATCTCAGGTGGCGGCGGACAGCAGTGCTCGGTTTCGTCTTTGACACCTTGCTGCGGCTTGTGAGTGGTGTCTGATTGGGCTGGCTGGAAGTCGCCGCTTTGTCCACTGACAGGGTTTTTGGTTTCTTTCGCATCAGACATGATTGCAAGGCTGAGATTTCGTCCTGGGCGGTCGCTAATCGGTGGCTGATCTCGTCTTGATGAGCATGCTATCCCTTCGTCACGCTGGCACGATCTCAAGTTTTCTAGAGATGGAACATCGACTTGGTTCCTGGTTGAGATGATTCACATCGGGCGCGGTCAGTGTAAAATTGGCTCATCTGAGTGAATACCACGACAAATAGGGCGCTTTTGCGCAATGTCAGGAAATATCTGTTGTCCATGGCAGTTTCCATAACGGGCAATGCATTGTGATCTGGGGATCATGAACGGCGCCTTCCAACATCGAAAGCGGACTTGATCCATCAGTACCTGACCCTGGGGAAGGCAAATCAAAGGTCTATCGTTAGAATGCTAGAAGCAGATGTTGGTGAGGATTGTGACATTGTAACTCCGCTCTCGGATGAGGCTGGCCCTCCATGCAAGGCTCGCCCAGGCAAAGCTACAGGTGGGTCGATGGATGCCCTGGATATGATGTCCGCCATGCCACATGCCATGGGGTGTTGGCGATGGTGAACAAAGCCTCTGCGCCCAAATGGGACGCGAGTAGGGGGTTGATGCGATGGTGTGGCGAGCCGAATCAACCGAAATGTTGGGACAGCTTCACATGTCCGCTCACTCACATGGCCTCTTGCCCTGCTTCACACCCGCGCTTCCCACCAGAAAAGAGTGAGGTGCGCAGATACGCGGACAGACACGGACAGGGGCGGCAAGTATAGCACCAGTAGCAGTACATCGTACATGCGCACAGAAAGTACCCTGCCTTGTCGTGCTTGTCCCAGTTGTATGGAGAAGACGTGAAAGAGGGACCGCGGTGGTGGGTGCCAAGCGGCTTGAACGCCTCGCATGTCATGGGTTGGGCTGCAATGGCATGTGCTGCGTTTTTCTCACCTTCGATTCCCACTCGTACCACTACTACTCCATGATTCCATTGCCCAAACACTGCACTCTGATGGCATCCCGTATCCACACAGTGCCATCCGCAGCCGCAGTCTAGGAAGCCTTGCACTTTGGTCCGCCTCTCGTTTATCAAACCTTGACCGCGAAGGTACCGGTACCTCACCTGAGTCGCCTGGTGTCGGTCCAGCCGCGCACAATATGACCAGATGACCGCTCAATCATTTCTCACTCAAGCTCTTATTTGCCATGGTGCACCTGTACTCTCCTCGCGTTTCTAGCATTTGACACTCTTGCGGCGCTTTTGCGATCCGTTCCAAGGACCCTGTACCACCTGTCTAAACCCAAAGGAAAAAAAAATGGAAAAGTTCTCGCAGTTCCGTGACAAAGGTATTGTCTTCTCGGAACAAAGACACAGATGGATCGGGGCGCTGATCTGATTTCATCCACAGGTTCCGGCATCGCTCCATTCCTTCCCATTCCGACCGAGCCTGCTGGGTTCGCCTTGCCCTTGCACATATTCCTCTTCGTCTGTCGTGTGCCTCTGCTTCTGGTCTTTGCGCTCTCATACTTCCTCATTCTACAATGGATGCCGATCGGTATCCTGGGCAGAAAGGCTTCTTTGTGGTGCATCCTGGGCATACCTGGAATATGGTGGATTGATTTACAAATCGACGGGGTCAAGAAAGGGTATGGCTACATGACGGTCGCTGAAGCACGTGCTGATGTCGCGAAGGTCTCTTGCCCAAAACAAGACGAGAATTCCTCAAGAAGGCTCGGTAATTGCTTCATCAAGCGCTTCACCCATTGATCCGCTGTATCTGGCCGCCATTTTCGACCCGGTGTTTGCTGCCACCTATCCTTACACGAGGCTGGTGGAACCCATCTCTTTGTTTACAGCCATCCGCCGGACCTTCTGTCACCCCAAGCTGGCGCCACCACCCGGCTCCAGACTAATGGACGTCGAAACAATGTTGAAACAAAATCCAGGCCGCGTCGTGGTGGTTTTTCCAGAATGCACCACAACTAACGGAAGAGGCATACTGCCCATGAGTCCAAGCCTTCTAGCAACCCCTCCGCGGACAAAAGTGTTTCCCGTTTCCCTCCGGTACAGCCCTGCAGATGTCACGACACCCATCCCGCACGCTTACCTGACCTTCCTCTGGAATCTCTGCAGCAAACCGTCCCATTGTCTCCGCATCCGCATTGCCGAGGCAGTGTATAATAGCAAAAAGTCCTCAGATCCGGAGTCTGCCATCGCAGCAAAGGTTTCATCTTCTTACACTGCAAACTATTTCGACACGCTAGTTTCGTCAGACGGGGGAGCCAGCAGCGATGCAGACACGCTTGTTGGTAGTGGCCTCGAAGACCAAGAACTTTCCATCACCAAGGAGGAAAGAGCATTCTTGGACAGAATTGCCGAGGCCCTGGCGAGGTTAGGACGTGTCAAGAGAGTGGGACTGGGAGTTAAAGAGAAAGTCGAGTTTATCGCCATGTGGACGAGGTCTCGAAAGCGATGACAAGGCAAGACGAATGAGTTGCGTGGGTGAGTTGTTCATCAGCTGCGGGGAGGTCCATGAAAGATATCAGCACCACTTCCTATCCGAGACCGACTGCTCGCTCAGATGGAACGCCCTGCCCGATCTCCGCCCTCGACACTTCTTATGGAGTAGTGGGAGGCATATGGCAACACCTCTTCTGACTTTTCCTTTATCCTTATACCTCGACGTGGCTTTATATCTTGGCAAATAACTTGATAGAAACACAGGCTCATTTTTCTCTCGAAGATCCCGCGAAGTTGACTTCGGCCGACCCGAATGCCGCGGAAAGACCACGGAGAGTGTATGTGCGGAGCAAGTGTTTTCTGTACAATTTGTCAAGAGATGGGGATCGGGCGTTGCCCTCGGTGAAAGAGGAGATGGCTGGTCCGGTCAATGACACCTCTCCTACCTATCTCTTCTCGTTTGCAGGGAACGCGACGCCTCACAATCCAATGCTGGTCCTGCGAATGCGTGGAGCAAGGACCACGAGGAAATGGACGGTGGCTGGCATGGGCCCAAAGGAGCAACAAGCGTGCAGTAAGGTTAGCCAACTCCGGCTATGTTGACAGCGCACCGAAGAAGAGCCAATGGTGCTCAGTGCGTATGGGGCCAGGCAGGGTGCAAGAACCGCTCAAATGAGGTTTGGTCTTGTGGCCGAGAGGATGATCGAGACAGGGAAAAGAGTGGTTGCCTGAGACCGACCCCAGCCTCACGAGGTACCTGTTGGCCATTTCATGACCATCCAGGCATCTGAGCAGGTACAGCTGTTCCGCTGCAGCATTACTCATAGTTTCTCGAGGGGAAGAGCTAAACCCGTCGTTTGCGGCGACTAACCGCGAACCGGGGAGAACTCTGGTCAAGCTGGCCACCTGGTGGATGCTGTGCACTTAGTAATAATGGTTGAATAACCTGAAGCGATTCCTCGGCCCCAGGAACTAAACTTCTTCCAGCGCCCTCCTCGTGAACCTCTTGCCTGTTACAACTGGGTGCTGCTGCAGTACGGAGAGATAGCGCCTTACAGCTCCAGACGGCAGCTGGGTACTGTTCCGTTCTGTATCTATCAATGGAGCTCGATGAACACCACCACCACCGAGGTGCGGGGCGGGCGCTGCTGGGTGCCTGCCCAAGGCATATTCAATCTCGATTTTCGATTTTCGACTCTCGATTCTCTGGGTTGAGGTAGAGGAGTTCGACGTTGTCCGGACCTGGGCTGCGCGAAGAAAGCCCCGCCAACACATCTATGCCGCGTCGAGTCCCTGACACCGCACCTGTTGACTATCGACGGCAGCCAACTCTCTTCGCCGAGAGACCTTGCGCAGCCTTGCAGGATCGAACTGCAAGCCTAGAGTCCCGAGTGTCTCTGTCTGAATATGGTAAGGATGAGTCTAGATTCCACTGGCTCCGACTACATCGTCCTCCCTGGCGCGAGCTGTCGGACAACAGACTGAGTCGCGACAGGATACGAAATACCATGATTTCCTTGCCACGATCCATAGCCCGAACAGGCCAAATTTGGAGTGAGCGGAAGCTTCTCCCCTGCGGCGGTGACTGACTGGTATGCTGACTACATTGAGCATTGTCGCTGTGCACGGCCTCAACCCGATCAATACCGAGTCCCACGCTTACAAGACTTGGACTGCACCAGATGGGACATTCTGGCTTAAAGAATTCCTCCCACACGCATTAGAGGAAAGCGGCGTCAGAGCGAGAGTCATGGTGTTTGGTTACAACTCCAACGTGCTCTTTGACACTTCCTCAGCTGGGGTCCAAGAACAGGCTGAGAACCTGCTGAATCGGTTGAACAGAGAGAGAGACAAGATCAATCCGCCCCACAGACCAATTCTCTTTCTTGCCCACAGCCTCGGAGGAATTGTTGTAAAGAGTGTAAGTTGAATAAGCATCCTTCAAAGGCTTCAAGACTATAAGCGACTGCTGGAACTGCAACCCAGCGGAAGATCCCGTCATAGACGGACATATCGTCAATTTTCTGGCCCGAGTAGTTTAACTATTCGAGTACTTCACAGTCCTTCTCAGGCTGACTCTAGTACCGGATCAGGCGCTTGTCCAGGCAGGGCTCAGTGACACCTTTAAGGACATCTGCGAAGCAACTTTCGGACTTGCTTTCTTCGCTACTCCGCATCGAGGCGGCGAACATGCTAGGCTCGGCAGCGTTGCGGCTGAAATCGCGAAGTTGGTGACAGGCAACTCGAAGAATACGTTTCTAGACCATCTACAGAAAAACTCCATCTTATCAGAACAGCTTCGTGGCTACTTCAAGAACCAAATTAAGAGATATAAGATTCTGAGCTTTTATGAAGAAAGATACATGGGGCGACTTGGGCTGGTTCGTATTTGGTCTTATGTCTATGTTGTTTCGAGAATACTAACATGAGATAGATAGTAGATCGAGAGTCAGCTACACTTGGACTCGACGACGATATCGAGACTATTATTGGTGTTGAAGCTGATCACCGAAGTATTTGCAAGTTTGACAGCCGAGAAAGTCCAGCGTACAGGTCTGTCATAGACAACCTTGTCAAACTTGCCAATCAGGCCGTGAAGAAGTTCAGAGAAGAGATGTTTCGAGACTCGCAAGATGCTTTTGCAGCTGGAAGGGGAAAATGTATGCCAACTTGAGCTTTCTGGAGAAAACCCTTCTCGATGGCTGACAGGATGCCCAGGGCTTGTTCCATATGCGGAAAATCCACGATTCTCAGGGCGCGAGGCGGCTTTGAAGAAGTTGGATGAGTATCTAGAACCTCGACTTGGATCACAGCGGAGAGTGGCCTTATATGGACTCGGCGGAGTCGGGTTCGTTCCCTCCTTTCAGGTCGAGAAGACGGAACAGCGACAGCACTAACGGGCATAGAAAGACACAGATCGCGCTCAAGTATGCGTACAGGATCCGGAACGACTACGAGAAAGTCTCGATATTCTGGGTCCACGCCAACAGCCGCGAAAAATTCCATCAGTCATACCTGCTGCTGGCTAAGGAACTCGACATCCCTGGTGCCGATTCCCACCAAGTAGACAAGCTGGCTGTGGTCAGCGAGTGGCTCAGTCGGGAGAGGGTCTGCGGACAGTGGCTGATGATCCTACAAAATGCTGACGATGTGAGCATGTTCCAGGACCGCCCAGCAGACCAGAACCAGGAGACCTTCGCGGCGAAAGTGACAGACTACATTCCCAGTTGTCAACACGGTGCGCTCCTGATCACCGCACGAGACAAGAACGTCGGTGAAGCCTTGGATGCAATCAACCACCAGATACTGGCAATGGACCTATCTGAATCGGTAGACATGCTGGCACAGATCCTCCACGGGGACCAATATACACGGGATGATTTCGAAAAACTGGCCCATTGTCTCGAAAGGGTACCACTGGCAATGAGTCAAGCAGCCGCATACATATCGAAGAACTCGATGAGGATCAGCGACTTTTTACAAATGTTTGAGAAACGAGCAAACGCCCTTGATATCCTTGCTCGGGACGTCAAAGGCGTAGACAGATCCGTCACGGCTACATGGCAGATGTCCTTCACGCAAATCCGAGAACAAAATTGTCTTGCTGCCGACATTTTGTCTCTGATGGCTTTCTTGGATCGAAACGACGTCCTCGACACTCTCATTACAAGTCAGTACGAGAATACCTCTGACACGCAGTTTGAAGACGCCTTGGGGCTCCTGAAAGCATTCTCCCTGATCCAAGAGACATATGCGATTGTCGCTGGTGAAGAGCATCGAGCTTACAGCATGCAGCATATGGTTCAGTTGGTTACTCGGCATTGGCTGGCAAGTCAGAGCGCCGCAGATACATGGGCAGAAAAGGCACTGTTTGCGGTTGCCAGGGTGTTTCCTCCTGGTGAGCACGAGGATTGGGAAAAGTGCGAAGTCTACCTCCCTCATGTTCGAGTAGTCTTGGACGTGGAGATCAAGTCGAAGGCAGGGACCAGAACCAAGGCTGAACTGCAATACCACTCCTCGTCCTTCTTCCGGGTCAAGGGCTATCATGCTCGAGCCGAAGAAATGGCCCGTCAGTCGATCATCAACTGGAAGGAAGCCCTTGGGCCAGATAATGCTTCGACGCTAGCGAGCTATACCAGTCTGTCTCGGATCCTTCTTGAGCAAGGGCAGATTGAGGCCGCAAAGGAGGTGCAGGTGGAGGGCCTGAAGGCTGCTGAATCGGGGGTGAAGGAGACTGATCCTGCCATGCTCCGGGCACGTCGCCATTTAGCGGCATTGGATGGCCTTCAAGGAAAGTTCGAGGACGCATACAACACGCTGCTCGCCGTGACGGAGAAGAGCCAAATCAATCCTGGCAGACAACACGCGGACACGCTTCGGGCTACGCGCGACCTGGCCGTCACTCTCGCCCACTTGGGCCGATATAACGAAGCCAAGGCATTGTTGGAGGAAGTGCTGGAGATTCGCAGGCAGGTCCTGGGCGCGGAAAACCTGGAGACGCTCATCAGCATGTTCGATCTCGCCGAGTTGTACAAACTGCAAGACCCGGAGAACAACGCTGCCAGGGCAGCAGTCCTCGAGCGAGAGGTCGTCCGAGTCCGCGAGACAACCCTCGGCGAGGAGCACCCGGCGACCATCCTCGCGATGGAGAGCCTGGCCGACAGTCTCAGGTGGCAGAACCGGTACGAGGAGGCCGCGGGACTGGGCAAGAAGATCGAGGAGATCCTGAGCAAACCCCGCCGCAAACCCGCGCAGGAGAAGGACCATGGACACCCGAAGTCGGCGCCGCTGCACACCATGAGCTACAAGATCCAGACGTACAAGCTCCCGCAGCCACCGCAGCGTCCGTGGCCCCAAGCAGTGCAGATCGGAGGGTTGCCCAACAACGTCAAACCGCAGCGCGTCTCGGTCAGCAATCTACCCGCCGGATCATCTCCTTCTTCCTCGTCGGGCCCGTCTTCGCCCTCGCTCTCCCCCCCGGCGGTCAAGGGCGATGCTGCCCAGCGCCGCAAGTCGAACCCGGTGGACCGCATCCTTGTGCGCTTCTCGCACCTCAAGGCCAAGGTCGGGGCGGCGTATGACCAGGCCAAATGAGGCGGCGTGGGAAATACGGAGGACTGAAACTTGAGATCTGACACACACACACGCGCGCGCGCATGTTTCACGCTCGCACCCGCTTATGCAATGCTATGTGTACATCCTCAGCCAAGAACCAAGAGGCTGGATTACGAGCCCGTTGATAGGTAGTTACTAGTTAGCTACTTGACTTAAAAAAGAGTCGAACGCACAAGGGGGTACGAAGGATATCATGATCGCGACTAGCGAGCAAGAGTCCGAAACTGAAACTGGAATTCGGGCGTGAGTTGATTTGACTTGACTTTTGAATTGGAGCCTTGAAATCGAATATCTGTCGAACATTCAATCTGCAACCATCTCCTCGATAGAGGCCATCCCATCCCATCCCATCCCATTCCATCCGCGTACGCCATCGCTTGCGTCGCGGGAGTCCTTGAGCCGTACTCGGTACAACCTCGTTCGTGACCAGGAAGAACGATAGAAAACCGTGGAGCTGACGAAAAAGACACGCATGAAGAATAAGTAAAAAAGTAGGTACGTGCCATCCATCCATCCACCCATCCATCCAGCTTAGTAGCACATACATCGGACCCGACCCTTGCTTTTGAGAACCGAGCCGAACCGAACCAGGCGCAAAGAGAGCAAGGACAATAAAACAAGGAGGACGTGGAGGCGGAGGAAGAAGAGGAGAGGATCGTCAGCAGCAACATTCTGATCCTCGCTGTAGTTGCGGTACATCAGGATGCCATGCTCCAAGCCTTCTCCAGGCACAGTCGACACCGTGGCAGCGGCGGTACTACCTCCACCGTCTCCCATGGCTTTCCCTCTCGCCCTCAACCAGGCCCCTTTCGAGATCCTCCTCGTATTTGTACGTGACTCGTCTCCCACCCGTGCTTCCGCCGCCTGAGGACGAAGCTTGTTTGGCCGCTTTCTCTCGCCGCTGTTGTTCCTTGAGCATACGTTCACGGTTCCTTGCTTCGCGCTCGAGGGTGTGGGGGTCTTTCTCTTCTGGTTGAGCGGAAGCCGACATTGACTGTGTTGGTGCTGGCGTTACAGTGCCACTGGAGCGATGGGACTGTGAGCGACCATTGACCATTGAGCTATCCATGCCGTTCGGATCCTCGGCTTCGCGACGATGCTCTTTCTTGTGACGCCGAGAGCGATGTCGCGACTCGGGTTCTTCCGCGGCCTCATCCTGCTGTTGGTCGTAGTCGTAGTCGTACTCTTGATGCTTGTCGACGTCTTCGCGGTGGCGATCATGTCGAGAGCGTTTGCGATCGCGGTCACGGTCACGGTCACGATCGCGATCTCTGTGTTTGTCGTCTCGATGCTCCCGATCCCGGTCTTTGGTCCGCACCTTCTCACGATCTCTATCACGGTCACGATCTTTGTCTCGGTCTCTGTCTCGGTCTCGATCCCTATCCCGATCTCGGTCGTCGTATCGAGAGGACTTGCTACTCCGGTGTTTGCTCCTACTTTCTACCTCGTAGCCGTCTCGAGTTGACCTTGTCGAATCGTCGTAGTCGCCCATCTCGTGGTCTCCATTAAGATCTTCGTCGTGGTGTCGCCGCGAGGAGCGGGATGAGTGCTGCTTTGATGCTCGCTCCTTGTCGCCTCGACTGCGTCGCGAAGATGACTTGTAATCTCCAGAATCCGAATCGGCATAGGAAGTTTCGCGCTCGTGCCTCTCATAATCATCATGAGTACCTCGTCTTGACGATTTCCTGGATGGCTTGTCAGAGTCGCGATAGTCCGACTCGTCTTGCTCGTCCCCTTCATATCTGGCGTTGGCGTACTTGTCCTGTACGGATTGCCGTCTAGGCCTGTCGTTGTCTTTATCAGGGGTCTTACTACGACTTCTCTCGACATCTCGAGACTCTGAACGTTGAGAGGCAACCATAGATGCTCTTCCCATGATTTGAAACCCGGATGCCGCAGGTCGCGAAGGTGGCCTCCCTGGTCCAGCTGGTTCACGCATCGCTCTAGGACCCGTTGGTGCACCGACAACGCCCACTCCCTTTGGTTCCATAGGTGAAGCGCTTTGTGGGAACGGCTTTACTGGTGGAGCAATATGACCATTTGGCATCGAAATCGAGCCACGACCGCGAGAGGAGAATCTACCGTGTCCTCGAGCGCGGAAGCCATGATCACCGTATTGAGCCGAAGGCCCAAGTGGCGCCGACGGCGGTGGCATCGGACCTTGTAAATCCTCACTGTATGCTTCCGGTATTGGCTTTTCTGGTGGTGAAGCAGTTTTCACCAGCTCGGAAACCGGCGGTTGGACCTTGTCCGCGTCGTCCTGCCTGGCAGTCACATTCATTTTATCAGCTTCCAAAGACTCGTCCTTTGGTGCAGATTTTGCCTCTTTCACAACGTCATCATCTGCAGCAGCAGAAGCTTCAGGAGTAGAGGCAGTGGTTGTGGTCTTCTCAACGTTGATGGGCTTCTGGTAGTCTTCCCCAAGGGCCTCTTGAACTTCTTCCTGACCACCAGGAGCAAATTCATCATCTTCATGACTCTCGTCAACAAGATCGTGGTTGTGGTCGGCGCGTTCCTCATCGGCGGCAGCTTCGGTGGAGTCGGTCTGCATCGTGTGAGACTGCACATTGTGGTTATCGAATTGTTTCTGGCCAGACCAGTTCTGATACCCCTGCTGATGGTATTGAGAGTATTGATTGAAGTTACCACGGCCTCTCGTAAAGCCGCCACGGCCACGGCCACGGCCTCTGCCATAGCCGCGGCCGTAGTAGCCATTTTGAAAATCACCAGAGGCATAGGGCTGTTGAAAGTTGCCAGACGAGCCCATATTGAAACCATAGTTGGAACCGAAGTCATTGCCCATGCCATTCGAGAATGCATTTGCATTATTATTCTGCCACATATTGTTGTTCTGGCCGTCCCAGCCATACATTCCTTGGTTGGCATTGTAGTTCATAGCCATGTTCATGCCATTCATCCCATTCATGTTCATGCCGCCTCCGTTTGGACCGCCAAATCCGCCAAACATGCCAGCTGACATTGGACTCATTCCCATAGGCATTCCTGCAAGCACGGTTAGAAAGGTGTTGTTGCGCTTTGTGAGAACAGTGGTCGAACTCACCCATCATTGGATTGAAGCCCATTCCGTTCGCCGTCATCATTTGCATCATCTGGTTATAATCCATGTTGCCGAACCCATTCATCATGTTTGAAAAGTCCATGCCATTGAAACCCTCTGTGTTACTTTTGTTCACATCTTGTGAGTTCGGTCTCGTCTCGAACGAATTGGCGGATTGGGATTGAGAAGTGTCTTCTGTGCTCTTCACTCGGGTGGGAAGTGGTTGCAGACTCTCGTCCTCTGCTTCCACCTGGATCTCGATATCGTCGTCGTTATCGGCTTGCTCGGGGTCCGGTTCCTAAAGAGAAGATCAGAAAAGGTGGTCATAGAGGATGGTGAGTCAGGCGATTACCTCGATTGACGGCTGGACGTCTACAGCAGGTGTCTCCTCACTTTCTGCCCCGTCTACTGGTTGCTGCTCCTCTGTCACTCCTGCTGCAACCCCGTCTGCCTGGCTGCCGCCATTCACCGCGGGTTTGCCTGCATCTGGCGGGAGGAGAGCCTCATCTTGTCCGTCGGATTTGGCCCGCTCGTCCACTTTCGTCTTCTCTTGCGCCTTGAGATAAACCTTGATGGTCTTTTGCATGGCTTTACTTGGCTTGCAAATGTCGTCGGTAAACGGTCTGTGTTCACATTTGGGACAACTGGAGCCGCGAGTAGTGGTGAAGCCTGTCTAGTGTGAGTCAAATGCCAAGAGGAAGAGATCACACTGCCACTAACATGATTCGCAGATGCCGACATCGCAACAAGACGTCTTGTATGGATTCAGGTTGAAGTTGTGGCAGCGCGTGCATTTCAATTTCTCCGGCACTTTGTCCAGATCCAAGGAACTATGAGAGTCAGTGTGAGAAGGAACAACACCTGCGATCTCCAAACATACTTAAGGACATTGGTCAAAGATGCATCTAATGCAACAGCAGCCATGTTGAAAACGGGTTTGGAGACAGTCTGGCTGTTGTCGATCGTGAGGGAGCGGACCAGGCCTGCGATCTGGACGAAGGAATAGAAAGATCAAACGCCATTAGATGACACCAGGCAGGGGCGTCGCCGGTCTCGTGTGACACAATCGCTGGACTATAAATGACAAAAGATTCACAAGCATATCACAGTAAGGGTGGAAGACATGTGCAGGATGGATGGTAGTGATGGGAAGGAAGTTTTCAGTGGTTGTTTTTGCGCAGCCGGGAGCCAGCCTGAGAGCCACCAGAGCCACCAGAGCCTGGCCGCAGCCTCCCAAAGGCAAAAAAAGGACCGTCGCGGCTGCAGGAGCCTCTCCAGCTTACGCTAGGACGGATACAGCTAGAGTAGCCCTTGACCCCAAATCTCTCTCGGCTGCGTCGCCCGCCAGGAATGCAGGAATGCAGGAATGCAGAAATGGGTTGAGATCCCAACTCCGCCAGTCCGATACTTGGCTTCACATGTATATACATGGCTAGATTCTCTGACGCTTACACTTTCTGCTTGCACTTAGACTAGACTCCACTCATACCATTCTCTCCTGATCCACAAGTTATTCTTATCTTGTATTTTTCTCATTTATCAGATTGAGTCGCCCCAGACAGAGCACATATATGAAGCTCGACCAATGCCTCACCGTCCCAACCGCCAAATATTAAATACAAATAGACCAAGATGATCCTGGGACCAATCAACGGAATTGACTGCGTCGCTTTCGTCATTTTCTTAATCCCACAGCTGCTCTTTCAAGTAGACATAAACGAGCTACTTGGTGTGATACTCAGAGTAATCCCATTTTTGAGTATGCAAACCGCACGGTCTCTCTGCATGTCGCAACAATATACTGACCACTCGCGACAGTTTTCCAACTCCCATACCAGCTTGTACATGAACGATATTGCACCAAAAGTCACCTTCAATCACCCTTTACACGACATGCCACGCTCTTCCAGGACGTGGTCATTCGCTGCGTTCGATATGCCTTTGCCAAGATCCCTGCCCGTGTGGGCAGAGTCTTCTTTTCCAAATGGGTCGCATATCCATTCTTTCGGTTCCGTCTGTTGCGACATGGATTTCTGCATTGCCCCATGTTTTATCGGGAGGTCATCAGACACGGCGCCAGAGGTCTCTGGATCGTGGATGATCCAGACTGCGACCCGGACATCATCATTTACTATGCTCACGGTCAGTTATCGGACGTTCGTTGCCTAGTAACAAAGTCAGCTGATGTTTCGTCCCAGGCGGTGGATTCTCCATGGGTTCGGCGTATTTCTATGTCGAGTTTCTGATGGCTTGGGCAACTCGATTGAAAGAAAGTGGCTTCAAAAATCCCGCGGTTTTTGCTTTAGAATATACCCTCGTCCCTGATGCGCAGTGGCCGGTCCAATTTAACGAGACGCGTGCAGGATACACTTTTCTTCGAGACACGTTTGGGGAGGGTTCAGCAGCGAAGATCTGTGTGAGCGGCGATTCGGCAGGAGCAACACTTATCCTGAGCATGCTCCTCCAGCCGGGTCATCTTGATCAAGATCCTCAATCTCTATCACTGCATCGGCCAGGTCTTGCTATACTGCTTTCGCCTTGGACCCATCTGGTGTCGGAGTTGAACCAGAATACAGCTAGTGACTACCTGGACCGAACCAGCTTGCACCTGTATGCAAAGCAATATGCAGGAGAGGCGACAATGATGGACGGTGTCATATCGCCAGGACTCTGTATTGGGCGTTGGAAGCAGGCCTCGCCGCTGAACGGGTTTCGGATCATATACGGGGCTGAAGAGGTCTTTGCCCCTGGCATCCAAGTGATGGCGGACCACATGAAGAAGAACGGCGCCATGGTCAAGCTCCATGAGCAAGAAGCAGGTATTCACGCCTGGCCTGTGGTGAACTTGTTCCTGGGAGGGACGCGAGATGAACGCCTGCGGGGTCTGGACATTATGACTGATTTCATTCTGTCCTCCGGCCTCGCATCGAGTCTATAGTGGACCCATGGGGCCATTCACCTGCGTCTCATTCCGAAGAATCCAGTCATGCCATCAGATTAGATCAAGTTTGGAAGGTCTTTCATCGATGACAGATGGACGAGCAAAACAACGACCACAGCCGCGTTGGCGCAGGGTTGTCGCTTTGCACCTTTGTCTTCAACCACCATCTCCAGATCGCTCTGTCATCATTTGGCAACCGGTGATTCACGAAGTTGCAGGCACCAGGAGAGTCCTTCCGAGGCCGCTCTTGTTGCCGTAGGTGTGACTGTCGCAAAAGCGCGCGTGTCGTGGACGCGCGTCTGATAGTTACTCGTACCGTAGTTTCTTCCAAAGTGCCCGGGGTGGGAAAAGTGGATTGTCATTCTCATCCGCCTTGGCCTTCGTATCGCCATCGCAGCGATTCGGCTAGCATGTCCCAGGCGACGTCGGGAAATGCAGAAAAATGTCATAGGACGCAGGGGGCCAGAGGGGTCTCCAATGATGAAGATGGGAGAGGAAGACAGCAGAGTTTGCAAAGCGCAGATGTGGGATTGTGGATTCGCGAAAAGATGGCAGGGCGGCACTACAAGTGTGCTCGAATGATTGGGCGACCGGCTTAGCGTGTTTCCGAGCCTGTTGATCTGATCAGCGGATGCTGGACGCCCGCAAGGCCCTGAGCTCAGCTTTTATAAGGCCCCTCCGACCCCTCCGCTGCACATCTCTGAACTACTGCATGACTCGTCTGCGTCTGCGTCTGCGTCTTGCTCCAGACCACAATCCTAGCCTCCTCGCCTCTCCGGATTTATGTTCTTCCACGCCTCTGCACACGTGACCCCACGGTGCCCTTGCAGCCACACCTGTCGTCATTCTGGTATCGAATAGTCGCTCTGTTACCACTTGCACCGCCCTTACCGCTGGACCAACTTGCGCCCTCTCTCTACCAACCTGGTCCGCGGATCGACTGGCCCTTCCTTCACATACTGCTCCCGGTCTCTCCCAGCGGCAACAATGAAGGTCGGCGCGATTTGAACCCCCCCAAGGCGCTGTTATCCCTTCAAAATGACTTGTTGCCCAATATCACACACGCTCCACTGCACCGTCACCGATACTAGTACTGACCAAATATTACCCCGGGATTCCTGCACCACCGTCCAGCTGCACCCTTCATTCGCCGAGCAATGAACGAAGAACACGACAACACCAACTCCGAGTCATCATACCGTCCTTCCAGCCCAGATCTATCAGGCTTCACCTTTCCAAACGCCCCACTACCCAGGCTAGCCCGAATCCCAAGCTACCACGCACCAGACCCCAATTTCCCAACTTCAGGTTATTCATTCACTCCTCGTGGGAGCTACGACGCCTCGCCATTTTTTTCCCCTTCCACGGCGACGTCCACCACCCCGTCGACGTCGTATTTTGGCTCACGCCCTCCGACACAAAGCTCTCAAGCCAACTTTCCTTCTTCGCAGACGTTCCGTACTCCCAGCTTGCCTGGCCAGACCCCGACTCAACATTCTCCACGGAGTCAATTTCAACATTTAAGTCAGCCATATAATAGTCCGCCACCTTCTCACTACTCTCAATCTGCGTTTGGACCTCGTTTGGACACAAGCTACAACTACCCACCACACTCGTCTGTTCCCAGCCTACCTCACGGAGACATGCCTCGAACGCGGCAACAAAAAGCTGCCGAGGCACTGGAACAAGACTACAGCCTCCATGGCGCAACAAGACACGTCGTCCAACCCAAGATAGAGCAAGTTGATCCTGTACCACCAGTCATGCCCATCGTTACGGCAGACCCTTCCTTCGGGATTGATGTGAGAACCAAGTTCCCCGTTGCCCGCATCAAGCGCATCATGCAAGCAGACGAAGATGTGGGCAAGGTTGCTCAAGCCACCCCCACGGCAGTTTGTGAGTTCTGGGATAGCTCTCCATAACCCCCGTCCGTTATTCTAACCCCCTACATAGCCAAAGCGCTGGAGCTGTTCATGATCAGCTTGGTCTCCAAGGGCGCCGCCGAAGCGAGAGCAAACAACTCGAAACGAGTCACGGCACAGCATCTCAAGGCCGCACTGATGAATGATGGGCAGTTCGACTTTCTGAACGATATCTGTGAGGCCATCCCCGATGAAGGCTCGAAGAAAGGCAGGGCCAAGTCGGAGGCCAAGAGTGAAGATAGCGAAGAAGATATCAAGCCCAAAGGCAAGGGCAAGGGAGGCAAGAAGAGGAAAGTGGAGACTGATGATGAAGAAAGTGACTGATGTGAAAGCACCCGTTCGATGGGCTATGAAGAGTTTTGTATGATTATGAAGACGACCTGAACAAGCCGGGTATTGTGCTGGAGCTGTCGTTGTGGCAAGAGAAGACTGCCGCGCTAAGACAGGGAAACCCGTCCGCCAAAAAATAACGACCATGCGTGGACCTATCGAATAATATTCCCCTGCATCGATGGCACAACGCATCTTTCTTGAGAGCCCATCAAGGTCCCTCCTCTCTATCACGTCCGTCAGGGCCACCCGCACTGCGATGTCTTGGGCTTGGGGACGGCGTGTTATCCCGCCACGGGAACGGAGCCTGATTCATCAATGCCAGAAGGATGATAACTCCGAAGAGACTGGTAAATCCCAAGGCCACCCACCCGACCACAGCGGTATATGCAACAACCACCAGGCATAACAGCACGAAAGCCCCGATAATCAGACCACCCATCAGACCAGCAGCAACGATCGCGTACATCTGAACACTCCGTTGTGAAGTTTTCCCATTCAGCCCGTCCCAGTCTGCAATCCAGTGGTCTTTGAAGAAGGTCAAGATGGTCGAGCCAAGGGAGGCAATTGCCAACGCAAGCAGGAACAAGAGCCAGCTCATGGCCAGGAATTCTTGAATCTGGTCCACATTGAAGACTGGCTTTCTTGCTCGCGGGGTGGAGGTGTTGTTGGACAAGACGTAGGAGAAAGTGATGCTCGCGCCGAGCGTCGAAATGCCGATGATCGTGGTGAACACACCACTATAGAATGTTGTGACTGATGACCCCGGGTGCTTGGTGATGGGTCGGATGTGAGAGAGGGAATGGCCGTGCTCAGAGTAGAAACCCGTATGTGTTTTGGTTGGGTTTTCGACGCTGTGGGTGTCAAAGGTTCCCGGTTGGTTGTATACACCCTCCAGGCCCTCATCTTTGTAGGATTCCCTCGCCTGTGCTCGAGCTTCGGGCGTCGTGGAGGACTTGAAGGATACACCGGGCGCGTTTAGACGTGAGGGCCCTTCCATGGTAGGGGTAGAAATGCGCTGCAACTGTGGATGTAAATCAGAGTCAGAAGCCTATATTTCCACGCCAGCTGGACTCAACAACGGCAAAAACGTATGGTCTAGTAATCCAGCAATGTTGTAGCAGAGGAAGAGAAACAAGAACAGCAGGAGAGGACAGTCATTTCGTCTATTGAGAGATCCGGCTGAGAAGTAGCTGCTGGTCTCAGCTTAACAAGGAAGCAACGACCAAACAATTGGGCTAGTGAGTCTCAGGCTCTCAGGCATGACTCCGACAACTACTGATGCAAGTCCATTTTCTTCATATTATGGATTCCACCTCCGCCATAACCATCCTACCATACCTGTTATCCCAATGACCATTCCAAAATGAGGCAAAGGGCATGGATATCGTGAGTTGCTTACCCAACATACATGCTGTGCAAGGTCTGAGCGGTCTAACGTCACGATGGCTGGCTAGCTCACTCGCCTGATTGCCGGTACTGGCTCGTACCAAACAAAACAAAGGACAAACACACCAGCTGAGCGCCTTGGGTCTTGTAAGAGCATCTGCAATGCCTTGACTGTGAGTGAGCCCCACCCTTCTGTGAGGTTAGTCACATTAACGCTGTGAAGCACACCTGGCGCAGCGGCAGCGTTGAGCGCGAAGATGAAGCCGCCTTGAGCTACACGGTCAAACTCCTTCAACGCCTTGAGGGCATTCTCCACGATGAGTCGCGCAGAGCCGCACCGCACTCCTGCCTCCGCTATGTTGCCTCGAGCCAGACGTACATCATCATCACTAAGCTCGCCGTTTCCTCTGCCAATGCCGACATCATCAAATCCTCTGCTCAGCTCTTCCACATCCTCATCAATGGCGAGGCAGAGGGGTTGCTTGACAGCAAACTGTTTACCAGGTCTTTGTTAGATCTGGTATGCTTTGCTACAATAGGAGGAAGGATCATCGTCGAAGAACGTCTAGAAACAGACCTGGTGGAATTGCTATTCGAGATAGCTACCAAGATCCGGCTCGACCCAGATATCCTTCCAGCTTGGTTCTATCCAGATCGAGAGGCCACACGTGGGCGCAATGCTGCGGACGACTCTAGGAGAAGTCAATTCCCATTGTTCCATGTGCTCGTGCAGTATGTCCACCACGACGGCCCTGTGGGCGACTTTGCTCGCACGGCATTGTTATACCTGACGGAAACCGCCTCCAGATTCAAGCCACTGGAGACTTGGATGATCGAGAGTGATCTAGCGCCTCAGATGGCTAGTGGTCTCGGTGCCCTATACAGCAGGCTCAGCAGACAGTCGACTCCCGTTAGTGGCCAAGCCGCTGCACCTCCTATTGTCTCCCTCTCAGATCGCTCAGAGACGCTTGCTTCGCTCACGGAAGCACCACAAGTCTTTCAGCAAGACATAAAAGCTTTCTTCACTTATCTGGCTTTTTGGCAGGACACTTTGAACCATTGCAAGTCGCCGGAGGTTAGTGATACTCTCCTCGACCATTTCCAGGTACTCTTTGTCCAACAACTCCTTTATCCCTCGCTCCTGGAGTCATCGGATGTCGAAGGTGGCTCTACCGCCGCGGTTATAACCCATCTGTCTCGGATCTTACTTGCTCTAGATCACGATCAGCTTGTCGACCGCATCTTGCGCTACCTTTTGGCGTCACCAAGCATGCCTCGCGGGCCGACAGAAAGAAGCCATCGAAGACAGAGGATGTCTGTTAGTAGACGGAAGTCTATTGATCACTTGAGAGCGCTTTCAGAAGTGGCCGACACTCCTTCTCCGAATCTCTTCAATCTCCTTGACTTGATGGTAATGAGCCTCAGATCTCGCCATTCAGAAACTGTCAATGCTTGTCTCAAGCTCTTATCAGTCATTATTGAGAATCATCATTATCATGTGCTCACAAGTCTTTTCAAACTTGAACCGACGAATACGTCTCCCGGCCAGCGCGGAGTAGAGCGGCTGAACAGCTCTTTGCTCAGATTGTTTGACTGTGCTGCTGCGATAGCCAAGAATCCTGAGATGGATGATTCATATCAGGCAGCACTGCTTGATGTGCAGATTCTACTGGAGCAGCACAGTTGTCTCCGCATGAACCAAGCAGACGTAGACCGAACGGACGAACGAGACATGTCCATTGCCCAAGAGTGCAAACTCTTCGAAGCTCTCCTGACACTGCTCCGAAGCTTTTTCGCGAATGACACTGTTACGAATCTCTATCTTACTGAGGCTGTCATGGCCTTGGCTGCTTGTGAACATATGAACCTGCAGGGGTGGCTTCTACACCCAGGGACGGAGACCCATAGTGAAGACTGCTCTACAACCAACATCACCTTCATCGTCGGTGAACTGATCGAGCAAGTTCGTCAATGGCGCTCACAATTTACTGAATGGGACGAGCTTATTTTTCGAAGAAGACTGGAACTCTCAGAGGATGACCCACTCACCAGTCCTCAAAACTCAAGGACTCTTACGCGGCAGACGAAAGAGACTGAACCGAGTCTTAGAAGCGCCTCGCCCTCCGCTAGCAAGTCCCAATCACCGCCAGCAACTCCAAGAGGGCGAAAGATAACGACTAGGGACTTTGGATCCATTGACAGTGCTTTGTCCAAGTCAGGAACCCATCGGAGCAGCCTGACTGAGCGCCCTCTCGGCCATTCGCCCCTGCGGCAATCAGTACCATCACAATTCGAGGAAGGCGAAGAATCAGCACCGCAGCCAGCATCTTTGGTGCCACCGCCATCAATCCCGCTCCTGAAAACACAAGTTGCGCTGCTCAATTTTAGGGCACCGGAGGAGGCTTCTGAATCCCTCCCCGTACATGCAGGTCGCAAACAGACTTCAAGCCCTGCTGGTGACAAACGTCCGGTTTTCTTGGATGCAACTGGCAACTCCGGAACTGCAACTCCAAGCGGTCCAGACGACTCGTCATCAAACCACAGGAACCACGTTAGTCTAAGCCACATACTGACCAACGCCATCATTCTTCAGGAATTTATTCTTGAGATTGCGGCAGTTGTGCAGCTACGGGCGACGTTCTTTGGCGAAGTCGAGTTCAACACGAAAGTCTCGGATTAGTGGTTGTGGAAAAAACCAGAGCTGCGAAAAGACTGATGTTGGCTTCTATGTTTATTAGTGTAAAGATACCCTTCCGCATCGTCGCATGCTTCTTTCGGGCTACTGCACAGCAGGTCATCAATCGTCAAATGCCGTTTACTAAAGCTTCTCCTTCTATATTGCCCAACATCTTTCTCTCATACTCGTCCAACATCTGCAAGAAATGGTTCCTCCGCCAACTCGAGATCCAACTGATCATAAAAGCATTTCTTTGCAGTTGGATTAGTTCCTTCTTGGTGACATCGGTGCCCTCGGCCATCTTCAACATATTCTCGTTCACGTAGCCACGGAAATAGGCTGGGTCGTCGCTGTTGATGGTAACCTTGACGCCCTGTCGTAGGAGGCTGAGAATTTCCCGCCCCTTGAAATCCTCGGTGACGACGGAGTTGGAAATTGGACAACAAGTCAGCCCGATGCCGCGGGTCTTGATCGTGTCGACCAATTCCGGGGAATCAAGGATGTTCGTGCCGTGGTCGATCCTGTCCACTTGGATCTCGTTGACGGCCTGCCCGATGTGCGCCAAGATGTTGGGCTGGTCGATGTCGCAGTGCATGGTGAGCAGGTAGCCTTCGCGGGAGGCGCGCTGGAAGACGGAGGCGAACTTGCTGGGCGGGTTGTCGCGCTCATCGCTGTCGAGGCCAACGCCGATGATGCTGTCCTTGAACGGCAGCGACTCCATGAGGGTCGACATGGCGTACTCGGCGCTGTGGTCGCGCAGGAAACACATGATCAGGCTCGCGGAGATGCCCAGCGTGCGCTGCGCCGTGGCGATCCCGTGCCGGTAGCCGCGCACCACGGTCGGGAAGGGCACCCCGCGCGACGTGTGCGCCTGCGGGTCGAAGAAGAGCTCGACGTGCTTGACGTTCTGGGCGTGCGCCGTGCGCAGGTAGCCCAGCGCCAGGTCCGAGAAGTCCTCCGCCGTGACCAGCACGGCCATGTTCGGGTAGTAGATCTGCAGGAACGAGGTGAGGTCGTTGAACGCGTAGCCCGCCTCCGGGTGCGACGGTTCCAGGTGCGCCAGCGACGCCGGGGCGGGCAGGTTGTTCCGTGCCGCGAGGCCGCGCGCGAGGTCTGGCGTGAGGCAGCCTTCCAGGTGGACGTGGAGCTCCGCCTTGGGCATCTGCGCGATAAAGGTTTTGAGGTCGACCTCGGGGGATTGAGGTTGGGTTGTTGGGCCCTCTGATGCCATTCTGGCCGGGGGTTGTTTCCGCTGGTTCGTCGAGGAAAAGAAAGCCTGTTTCTGTGTGTGGTTCCGATTCCGACTCGTTACTAGGTCTCGCGAGGCTGGGGGCTGGGCCGACAAGGCTGTGCTCGGTACAACCTCTTCTTCTTTCTCTTGTGGAACCTCGGACTCCGGGGAAACTCAGAGTTTTCGGTCTTCGTATCTCAAAAGACCTATCACCCCCACTTCCCGCCAAAGCTGATGGATGTGTTCCGGTAACCCAATTGCGAAAACCGTGATTTGGGGCTGGCTCGTCTCTGGAGGCTTTTGGGATGGCTTGCGCTCTCGTGTCTATGTTATTTTGCTCCGTTCCCAATACGAGCGCACTGAGCAAGAGGCCACCTAGACCACCATGAGGGTTGCAGGCTTGGTAACGCCGTATCAAGCGTCAGTTTGACCTGGAACAGCGCAGGTGGCACCGGATATTAATGATCTCGGCCCCGGCTGATAAGGGTCCAGGTGGCCAGCAAGAAGTCCGGTAGGCCAAGTAAGTTCTGTAAAGGATGCACACAAGTGTTGGCTAAGGGGGGTTAGCAAGCAGTCATTCGTCTTCGTGATTTGTCTATGGTCAGACATGTATCGTCTGGAAGGCTTGTTCAAGACGATGGATGTCGTCAAGGTGGTAAACGAGTCCTCCAATCATCTTGGATAAGGCCGATCGGCAATCACGTGCCGCAATCGTCAGCCCTTGAAACCTTACCAGAAAAGAAGTTTCTTCAACCAAGGCACAGAAAGGCAGAGAGCCGCAGTTTGCGGCTGAGGGCACCCATCACGAGTGGCGGGAGAACCACGGGGGATGGGAGTGTGGCGTTTGTCTTTCCCAGCCAGGGCGTCAACGTTGAACCTGCAGCCAAAGGATGGAGACCGAGAAGAAGATCAAACGCATAATAAGGGGGGAACATATTTTTTTTGCTGCTTGTTTAGGGCCTCATGGGCGCCAGAGACGCATGGGAGAGGGGACGCTTAGCGGTGAGCCTGTCGGGGCTAGGCTCGAACCAGCCACCTGAAACATGGCTTGGTGCCCGGGACTGGGAAGTTGGAGCCTCCCGGGGCCCTCTGGGTGGCCCTCATCCTCCAAGGGTTGCCAACTGCCCAGTAGTCCCCAGTAGCCAGTCCCTCGTAGGTCGTGCCAGGCTGCGCAGTGGGCGACACCTCTCTTGTTCGACAGAAATAATTCTCCTGAGCCCATATTCTTCATCGCCGCCAGCATCATCATCATCACCATCACCATCATCACCGCATCAGTCTCAGTTTTGTGCCTGTCGCTTCTGTTGCTCCTCGCCCCTGTTCGCGTTGTACTGGGCCCTTGCCTCGGATTGGCTATTTTGACCGCACCGACTCTTCTGCACGAGCGCGTCCACATCTTTGATCGCGTTGGAATTAATTGGGGGGTTTCCGGTGCCTGCATAAGCCTACCCTTGGCAGCCAGAACTGAACCGCCAGAGAAGCATCGACCACCTTGCATAACCCATCGAACTTATCGTGGCCGCGGTCCTGGTCCTGGGATACAAGTTCCTGTACTTTCTGGCCGCCTCCCTCGGTGTATGCCGAGACGATGGATTGTGCTTGAATGAGGTGTATGGTTCGCTCCGCGCAAGTTCTGCGCATCTAATACACCGTGTCCCATCTGGCCCTACCTCCCGAGTCCCAACGTTGCGCAGTCACGAACAATGGCGTTCTTCTTCAAAAGCAGGAGAAACGCGCCGCCCGCCTCGGGCTTACCCCCTGCGAGTCGAAATATCCATACCTCCGACGGCACTCCCACTTCTGCCTCTTCAGGCCCGAACGGTTCAATAGACAGCACAGGCGAGAGATCGACACAATCGCCGCCTCCTAATTCTAATCCCACTTCCAATCCAAATGGCTCCATGAGTTCAATGAACTCGACCTTGGCCGGCGGACCTGCTTATCCCCGCCGCGAACGATCAGAGTCTGAATCTGGGGTGCGTCAACTTTGGGCTGGCATGGAGACTGGATGGAAACGCTGACTATGGTTCTGTATAGGCACGCCCCTCGACGGCCTCACAGCCGACCCAAGTCCCCAACGCTGCCCTGTACCCCTGGTCACAGCGCCGGTTGAATTTCCCTACTCCGCAATCCAATCCCTTTCCTCGTTATGGCGCGGCTGTGAACGCAATTGCCTCAAAAGATGGTGACATTTATATTATGGGCGGCCTCATCAACGGTTCCATGGTCCGGGGCGACTTGTGGATGGTCGAGTCCGGCGGCGGGAATCTATCCTGTTATCCCATCGCAACCGTTTCGGAAGGACCTGGCCCCCGCGTCGGACACGCAAGTCTGCTTGTTGGCAATGCTTTCATCGTATTTGGTGGTGATACTAAGATGGATGATAACGACGTACTTGACGATACTTTGTACCTGCTCAATACTTGTAAGCGGATTGGCCCTGAGCTCCTTCGTGAAACGAGCATCGCTCACCATCTTCTAGCTTCTCGACAGTGGTCCCGGGCATCGCCTCCAGGTCCACGACCTTCAGGGCGGTATGGCCATACCCTCAATATCCTGGGCTCCAAGATATACATCTTTGGAGGTCAAGTTGAGGGCTATTTCTTCAATGATTTGATTGCTTTCGACCTGAACGCGTTACAGAACCCGACAAATCAGTGGGAGTTCCTGTTACAGAACACGGGCGACGACGTTGTCGGCCCGACAGCGAAAGTGCCTGCCGCGAGAACGAATCACACGATTATCAGCTATAATGACCAGCTATTCCTGTAAGTGAACTATGATAGCCCGTGAGATTATGTCTAACCAATCCATCTGTAGATTTGGAGGCACCAATGGCACGCAGTGGTTCAATGATGTTTGGACGTACAGTCCCATCACCAATGTCTGGACGCAGCAAGACTGCATAGGGTATATTCCTGCTCCCCGTGAAGGCCACTCCGCCGCTTTGGTCAACGATGTTATGTATATCTTCGGGGGCAGGACTGAAGAAGGCACAGACCTTGGTGATCTGGCCGCCTTTCGCATCTCATCAAAGCGGTGGTATACTTTCCAGAACATGGGCCCATCGCCGTCACCCAGGTCTGGTCACAGCATGACAGCATACCGCGACAAAATCATCGTTCTCGCTGGGGAGCCTAGTTCGGCGCCTCGAGATCCTGCAGAGCTCAGTATGGTTTACGTCCTAGACACTGCAAAGATTAGATATCCAAACGATGCACCAGCCACCGGTCAACCTGTGGGTTCGGCGCAGCCTAGCAGTCCAACTCGAAGGCCAAGCACAGAAGCCAGGTCTGCAATGCCCATCCGTTCAACATCTCGAGAAGGGGCGAGGAGTCAAAATGCCGCTCGCGAACAGTTCTCGGGTGGTCCAGTCCAACGGCCAGACCCTGCCGCCCAGAACAACTCACAATCGCGACTACCACGGGCATCCATGGGGCAGGCGCCTGCCGGACCTCCGCCGCAGGGACAGGCGCCAACGCCACGTGCGAATGGTGTCCATTCTCCTCCAAATGCGCCGAACGGGCCAAAAGCCAGGTATAATGGTCCCCCACTCGACACAAGGGGTGCTGCTGCTGGTCCGGATGGCGTTCGAACTGCTCCTCCAGATGGGGTAATACAGCCTCCGGCAGTGAGAGATGTGCAGAAAGAGAATATTAGACCAAGCCGCGAGGGCAGTCCGAGCACTTTTGGCCGCAGGACTCCGACCCAACGAACAGAGTCAAAGGCAAAAGCCATGGAAGCGGGTGAAGCGGCCCCTCTCATGAGCAGCGGAGTTGCCAGACAACGATCACTAAGATCCCAAAGAGCTCAAAGTTCCATCGATAGCACCGAGGACGGCTTTCTGGGACGCTCGTCGTCGGGGAGACATCATGGGGAACCACAAGGCGATAATCGAAGCTTACGAAGCATGCCGGGTGATGAGCCTAAATCTCCCAAGATGAACGCCCATCAAGAGGCGCTTTTAAAAGAGCTGGAAACTGCAAAAAAGACAAACGCCTGGTATGCCTCAGAGTTGGCCCTTGCTCGAAAGCAAGGCTACCAAACTGGCACTTCCTCTAGTCCTACTTTCGACGACCGTGCCGTCAGCCAAGTTGCAGATGATGATCGACCGCTGATGGAAGCCTTTATGACAATGAGGACGGAAATTATCAAGATGCAAGAGGCTATGGAGACACAAGCCTCATCCATGGCAAGACGGATCGCCGAAGTTGAGCATCAGCGTGACGCCGCCGTTACAGAAGCTGCGTACGCAAGAGCCAAGCTTGCAGCTCATGGCGGTAGCCAGCGCAGCACACCTCAGCCTGACGCGACGCGTGAGCCCGATGAGCAGGAACGTTTCACTGACCTTACACGCCGTCTTGCATTGGCTCTCGCTGCACAGTCTGAACTCAAAGCCAAGCTTGATTCTTTTAACAACGAGCTTGCTTCTGAGAGAAAAGCTCGAGAGCTAGCAGAAGAGTCTATGGACGCTCTGCAACTCCGCTATGATGAGCTGAGCAAGAATCGGAACCCGGCAGAACTCGAGGGTCTTCGCGCGGAACTTCACGAGGCTCAGAGCTTGGCTCGAGCAGAGGCAGGCCGCAGAGCTGAAGTTGAAGAAGAGTTGCGGACACTGCGGGTTGACCACGACAGCTTGGCGAAGACACACGAGGATACATCGTCTCGACTAACGAGCCATACTGCTTCGCTGGCCGCTTTGGAAGCCGCAATTGCAGCATCAACGAACAAGGCAAGCCTCTATGAACGGCAAATTGAGGAAGAGCGCGGACAAAGGGAAGTTGCCGAGAGGAAGCTGTCTCAATTAAGAGCTGAGCATGAAGACAGAACAACGGAACTGGAAACCGTCTCGAAACGCCTGCATGACGCCGAAGAGTTGGCAGAGACTCACGCCAAAGAAGCCTCAACTCATCGTGAGGCTCTGCTTGCAGGGTTCGCCAAGCTGTCATCTTCCGACACAGGATCTAAACAAGACGCCGTGGCCGAGCAGAAAATGGCAGCTCTTCGTGAGTCAGCCGAGCAAGCCTCGAGTCTGGCCAAGCGCAATCAGGAAGCTGCGGACAAAGCAGCACAGAAGCTACGCAATGCAGAAGAACGAATTGCTGGGCTGGAGGCGTATCAAGAGCAGTCCAGTCGCGAGGCCCTCCAGATCCGGCGACAGTTACAGACGGCTTTGCGGGATGCTCAAAACTATCAGACGGAAATCCGTGAATTACGATCAAACCTCGAGATGCATCAACGAGACGCGAGTGCTCTCGCAGTTCAACACAGTGCGCTCAAGGATCTGTTGGGTGAGCGCAGCATGAATGTCTCCGATGTGAGACGGTCGCCCATATTTGATCACTCTCCAAGCTCTCGCTTTGGCACACCGGAGCAAGCTCGTCTCCGAGAACTTGATCAGCAGTTGCAAGCCAGTATCAAAGCCCACGAAGAGACTAAGAGTCAATTTGAGGCTCGTATGCAGGAGGCTGACAGCACCTACAAGGAGAAGTTGGAGCAACTTGAAAACGATTATCAATCTGCCGTACATTACGTCAAGGGCACTGAGAAGATGTTGAAGAAAATGAAGGAGGAGCTCACCAAATATAAATCCCAAAACGCCCAGCTAACAGGCGAGTTGGAGACTGCTCGAAGCACGAGTGCAGCTTCTGGGACGGTAGCAGACACCTCGGCCTGGGACGATGAACGGAAACAACTCCAATCTTCAATTGAGGAGATGAGGACGCAGACGAGCAAACAAATTGCTCAACTAGAATCGAACCTTACCTCGTTGAAGTCAGATCTTGCAACTATACAGGCAGAAAGGGATCAGCAAAAAGCCAACAATGAAGAGCTCACGCAAACCGCGCAGAAACTGGGCAAAGAACTGGAGCAGCTCAAGTCGGAAAATTCCATGCTCGAGAAGCAGGCGGAAGAGGCGGAAAGCCGGGTGACAATGCTCCTTGATCAAGTGGGCCAGTCTGTAGGAAACTACCGACGGCAGTCACAATTACAGCCAGTGCCACACGGTATCACTGTGGTTGGACACAACCGAGAGGAAAGCACCTCGACGCTGACCGACGTCTCGGTTAATGATGACGCTTTGTCTCGAGACGAACGAGGGTCTATTGCTCTAGACAACCTGGCTTCCGAGTTGGAGACGCTGCGATCACAATGGGAGAGCACGAGCAGGAACAACTATCGACTCAGCACGACTTTCGACTCAGAGAGGACACCCACAACAGAAACTCATGGGACGGAGTTGAGTGATAATCTCGCCAACTGGAGGCGGCGACTTGAAGAGGAAGAGAATGGAACAAGAGAAACGTCGGCGGTCGCGTGATGAAATTCGACTTCTTGTTCAATGTCACATTAACGAAAGTGTTTGGGTGTGTGTATGTGTAAACAACGTCCACCTCTGTTTTTACATTCTTATTGGAGTTTTCGTGTCTTCTGGGAGCCCAACATGTGGATGACAGTGATGAAACCAGTTTCATGGAGCTGTCTACTGGCTAGGAGCTCAATGTAGTTTTAATTGCCAGGTCATTGAGCGCAGAGCCGTTAAATACTGGATCGGGGCCGGAATGTGGTTGGTTGGGTTTGGCGGGATGTGTCCCAAGTTAGGTGAATGGGTGTCGAATAACCACATGCGACCAGTATCAATAGTCGTAACAATCTCGTGGATGGCGAACGAGTTTAGAGATGTGAGCTTTTGATTGATGTCTAGAGAGGAGAATTGTCAGGCTGGGTACGATCCGGCGAGGCTGCCGGCACTGCACGTGACCTGGAATTGCTGGATCGCGAGGCTGGGACTCTTGCGCTCCCCGCATTCTGCACCAGGCGGTTTTTTTGGTCAGGCGTCGAGATGCCCTCACCTTAAAGATTTGTGTCACCAGGGCTGCTCTACTATTTGGGCATTTCGAAGCCTTATCATTCTAAGCAAAGATACCCCCTGTACCTGATTACGAACTTCTAGCAGTTCTAGACAAATTGGGGATTCTCAAGAGACGATCTTGAGCGGCCAGTCTGTTCCCCCGTGAGCTCATATCCCTCCCAAGTCACCGCCGTTTCCGCCAACCAGTCGATCCTGCCGATGTTTCGACTCCACGAGAAGCTTTCATTGTGACATGACGGCTTTAAGTGCCATGGTTCGTTGGACATGCGCGAACCTGATCTAGCTACACCCGTCGCGGAGACCATGGCTTCCCACAACGGTCTGGTGTCCGGTGGATTGGGGCTACTTGACGTGAGCCGCCGCATGCCTGCAACTCAAGAGGGGGACCAGTCTACACCACATGACATACCCGAAGATGGAGGTCGTTTCCCATCAAGCTCCGTCCTCAAACAACCGTCGCTGCTCAGCGGACCAGGTCGAGGGCAGCAAAATGGGCCGTCTACCCCAAGAATAATACCTCAAGAGGCGGAAGACTACTTGACAGCGAGACCAATTGCCTTGTTACAGCGCACAAAGAGCGACCTTGGGCCAAGACGCAAAGAGGCCCTCCCGAAGGTCGCCGCAGAAGACAAACTGGCGCACATTCGACATGGCTGGGATGACGAGTACACGTCGAATGAATATCTGTCACTGTTACACTCGACATTCTACATGTACTACACGGAAAAGCGGCATGAAAGCAACGGCTCGTTGTCTGAGGAATCTAGACAGTTTCCCAGTGTGGATTGGCGCATGAAAGACCGCATGAAGACTGTCTCCGCGGCTTTGGCTATCTGTCTCAACATCGGTGTGGATCCTCCTGATGTGATCAAGACGAATCCCACTGCGAAGCTCGAAGCCTGGGTCGACCCAACGGGAAGTAGTGGTGGCACGACAAAGACGATGGAACAAATCGGCAAACGCCTGCAGGAACAATACGAGTCGCTAAGTCTGCGGACAAGATACAAGCAGTACCTCGACCCTTCGATCGACGAAACGAAACGATTTTGCATTTCATTACGTCGTAATGCGAAGGATGAGAGGGTGCTTTTCCACTACAATGGCCACGGCGTGCCGCTCCCTACTCCCTCGGGCGAGATATGGGTCTTCAACAAGAACTACACTCAGTATATCCCGGTGGGGCTTTACGACCTGCAAGCGTGGCTTGGAGGGCCTAGTCTTTTTGTCTATGATGTCTCTCATGCTGGAAACATTGTCTACAACTTCGACACGTTCCTGGCCAAGCATGAAAAGGAAAATGAGGAGCTCAAGAAACGAGATCCCAACGCACCTATTCAGAACTATGGAGATTGCATCCAGTTGGCGGCTTGTGGGAGGACTGAGATGTTGCCGACGAACCCAGAGCTGCCTGCCGATCTTTTCACGTGTTGTTTGACGACGCCGATAGATATTGCACTGAGATACTTTGTTTTGCAGAATCCACTTCCCAACGGACCTGCTATCGAAGATGGCAAAATACCCGTCCCCGGCCGATTACAGGACAGACGGAGTCCTCTGGGGGAGCTCAACTGGATCTTTACCGCCATCACCGACACGATCGCATGGAACATCCTGCCCCGGCATTTGTTCAAGAAGCTTTTCCGTCAAGACCTTATGGTCGCAGCACTGTTCCGCAATTTCTTATTGAGTGAGCGTATCATGAGGGCAAACCATTGTCATCCTATATCATCGCCCGCTTTGCCTGAAACACACCGTCATCCTCTCTGGCAAAGTTGGGATCTGGCCATGGAGATGGTGTTGGCCCAGCTCCCCATGCTCCGTGAAGCCGAAGAGGGGAAACGTGTCTATGAATACCAACACTCGACATTCTTTTCGGAGCAGCTTACAGCCTTTGAGGTGTATCTCAGCTCCGGCCCCACCAAAGATCGTGCGCCCGACCAGTTGCCGATCGTTCTGCAAGTTCTCCTCAGCCAAGTGCATCGACTACGTGCTTTGATTCTGCTTAGCAAGTTCCTGGATCTCGGACCGTGGGCCGTTCACCTAGCTTTGAGCATTGGAATCTTCCCTTATGTAGTGAAGCTTCTCCAAGCAGCCTCCTTAGAGCTCAAGCCGGTGATGGTCTTCATCTGGGCTCGAATCATGGCGGTCGACTATACTGTACAGAACGATCTGTTGAAAGACAACGGTATTCACTATTTCATATCCATCATGAATCCTCGTTCAGACATTCCCGTCGGCAATGCCAGCGAGCATCGAGCCATGTGTGCCTTTATAGTGGCCACATTCTGCAAGAGGTATCCTCCAGGCCAGACAGTCTGCCTGCTGCCAGAGCTGTTCAATGCCTGTTTACTCAACATGGCAGAGCCCGAAAATCCCTTGCTACGACAATGGTCTTGTCTGTGTCTCAGTATGTTGTGGAGCGACTATGCCGATGCAAAATGGATGGGTATCCGTTGCATGGCCCATGCCAGACTCTGCGAACTGTCGCTTGATCCCGTTCCAGAAGTTCGAGCGGCTATGCTCCATGCCCTCACCAACTTCCTTGGCATTCCAGATCTGACGGATCAGGTGTCTCAGATAGAAGAAGGAATTGCCTCGTCGGTCCTTTTCATGACGTCCGATGGCAGCACATTGGTGAGAAAAGAGTTGGTCGTCTTTCTTTCCCACTTTGTGAAGCGCTACGAGAACAAGTTTATCGTGGTTGCCTACGAGCAGCTCGTGGAAGAAAGAGAGAGACACCCTCACAAGCAGTCCGAGTCGAGCGGCTTTGAAGCTGGTGATTCTCTCAAGTGGATGCCAATCTCTACAAACACGATTTACGGCTCGATCTGGGTTCAAATCTTGATGCTGTCGGTCGATCCACACCCAGAGATTGCTCGGAATGCTTCGGTCATTGTCGACCATGTGCACGACACATTGATCAACTCGCCCATGAGTCAGATGGCCTTGGCCGTTATTGATGACCTGCTGCGATTCTCGAAGCGGGAAGAGTCCCAAGTTAAGAAAGTCCCTTCCCGGGATTCGCTGAGGGCAGTCGAAAAACAGCCTGGCACCCCTCCTCCCACATTGGCAAAGCAGCAGAGCTATCTGTCACTAAGTCTGAAGAGGGCGGGCAGCTCACTTCGCAACCTCGCTTTTGGCACGGGTTCTCCCAATCCTTCAGCTTCTTCCAAGGACAACAGTCCTCAAACATCTCCCACCAAAACAAGGGAACTTGTTCAACCTGTCAATACTCCTCGAAGTCGTCTCCCACCTGAGTGGAGCCGTCCACCCGAAACATCTGATGCGAGGAGTAACCCAGGATCGTATCATTCTGCCGTTCTGCCTACTTCGGCAGGCTTTGTTCCCCAGGATCCGAAAAGGCGACCCATCTTCCCACTCCAGAGTACTTTGCTAGACTGGTCAACCGAATATTTCCGTGAACCACAGATGAGACCCAATGACCCGGACGAGCCGGGCTCGGCCGACTACAACTCCAGACTCTGGCGGCGCAACCGCAACGAAAAGATCATCGCCGACAATCAGCCCCTGAAGGCCGTAGCGGGAAGCTCCAAATGGACCCGCTACGAAGGGTTTCTCAACAATCAGAGCCAGCCGATGAAGATGACATTTCATCAATTTGACAACCACCTTGCCGTCACCGACGACAAGGACACCGTCACTATTTGGGATTTTCAGAACAACGAACAACTGAGTCGGTTCAGCAATGGAAATCCTACAGGAAGCAGGATCAACGATGCAAAGTTTTTGAACGAGGATGACCAACCTCTTTTGATGGTGGGTAGTTCCGACGGCGTTCTCAAGGTTTACCGGAACTATCATAGTTCAACGGACGTCAAGGTGATTACTGCATTCAGGGCCTTGACAGAGCTGATCCCTAGCAACAAGAACGCCGGATTAGTCTTTGACTGGCAACAAGGACAAGGAAAAGCGCTTGTGGCAGGGGACGTCAAAGTGATCAAAGTGTGGAATGCGGCGACAGAGCTTTGCGTTGGAGACATTCCAGCACGCAGTTCTAGCTGCGTAACCAGCCTGACTAGTGACCAGGTGGCAGGACAGATCTTCATCGCGGGTTTTGGAGACGGTGTGATCCGCGTGTTCGACCAGCGGCTCAACCCTCGGACTGCGATGGTCAAGCTCTGGCGCGAACACAGACAGTGGATCACGAACATTCACATGCAACGCGGTGGTGTACGGGAACTAATTTCGGGAAGCAGGAATGGCGAGGTGAAATTGTGGGATCTGCGGAATGATAAGGCCGTTCTGACGTTGAACGCGACATCATCAACTCCTTCGCCCTTGAAGCCCGAGCATGGCAGAGATGGTACGAGTGCATTTGGGAGTACCAGCTCCGCGGCATCTCTGGCGGGAGGCTCGACGACTCTGCTACGCAGTCTCTCCGTCCATGAACACGCTCCAGTCTTCGCCGTGGGCACCGACAAGCATGAAGTGAAATCGTTCAATACAAATGGGGACACGTTGGGCATCTTTGAACCCTCGAGCAGTCGGATGGCGCATGTTGTCGGCGGCGGCCTTGCAGGCAGGGGGCATCATGCTCCGATAGTGGCTACAGCATACCATCCGCACCGCATGTTGCTGGCGTGTGCAGCGTTGGGAGATGGGCACGTGAGTTTGGTGACCTACTGAGAGGATAGCCGAAGCCGGTGAAGGGCTCAGGATCACTTTAATGTGTCTGGGTCGTGAGAAAAAGCTCTGGTGTCTTCTGCGGCGAACAATTTGGCGAAGCCCGCGAGCCAAGTTGAGGACGCTGTTTCCTTGCACGGAGACAGCATGCAAGCTGTGCTTTCGCTAAGGCTGTATCACTCAACTTCGGCTGCAAATGGACGCTTTGTGAAGAACTCTGGGGTATGCTCACCTGATGGACCATATTCGAAGCAGCCCAGCGAGCTTCGAGCACCAGATGACGAGCACGTCCACATCAACGTTAATACCGTTCTTTCTTTACGATGGTCGGGAATGTAGTGGTAGTATCAAGGGCGTATGGATGCTCTTCCAGCGGACGGGCTAGTCATGGGTTTGGGACGGAGAGCACAATCACGACGGGGGGAGCAAGTAATGGCGAGTTTCATCCAGCGGGCGTTCATCACTGTAGTACTGTATCCAATACACATGGCACTAATGTTGCCCAGCCTGTGCTGTCCTGTCCACGTCCCAAGTGTCTGGTCTCCCCTTGCCATCGAGATCCCACAGCCAATAAAAGTTGCCAAAGATTGTTCGTTTCTCGCTTCGAATAGCCCCGTACGCTTCATGTCATGTACTCCGTACTCCGGCCGAGGTGCAACGTAACTATAACCAACTTCTCGTCCGCGATTTGCTGGTCGGGTACAGGGTATCTACCGCTTTGATAGTGTGCTGTACCTTGCCGTGCTTCATATCGTCGAGTCCGCCCATTGACTGGTCGTTAGCTGTGCCAGTCCGGGAAAGTAGTCATTAGCTACACAAAGATACCTAGGTAGATATAGAGGGGACCCTTGTCGAGGGAATAATAATGATAGTCCCTTCCGTCGAGAGGTGGTATGGGCACTTGAGTTTCAGCCTGATGGGCGATGGGATGCTGGAGGGGGAGGCTTCCGAAAGGCAACAATTGGCGTCGACAAGAAAAGAAAAAGGAGAGGCACTGGTCGAGTCTGCCAAATTTTTTTTCCCATTTCATCCACGACATGACATAACAATACGGAAGTCGTGAAGGTCCGCAATAGAATACAGGATGGTTAGTCTAACATAATACATAGTGATAGGGTGCCGTGTTCCCGGAGAAAAGAGACAAAATGGACCACCCTTCCCCCCCCTCAATTGGTTGTCGTTGGTTGTTATACACTCCGCCGATCCCACCGGCGGACCACGCTGCCCAGGCACACCTTCAACAGCCCCTGCGCGGTGAGGCCTTGGTCGTCGTCGCCACCGGCGCTGCCGCCTTCCTCGCCGTTCCAGGGCACCGTGTCGACCATGTCGCGGATGTGGTACTCGCCGCTCAGCGCGTCGTCGAGTTCGCGGAGCATGTCGGCGGCCTCGGGCTCGCGGCCGACCTGGAAGAACTGGATGCCCACCTGCCAGGGCTCGGCGGAGAGGGCGTCGAGCTTGCGGGCGGCGTTGACGATGACGCTCTCGACGTCGTCCGAGGGCACGCCGTCGGTGATGACGATGATGTTGAGCGGGCGGACCGCGGGCGCGTCGGCGGACTGGCGGTCGACCGACTCGGCCAGTTCCGCGAGGTACGGCTTCAGGATCTGGTTCAGGCGCGTCCCCGTCGGGGTGCCCCCCAGGGGGCGCACGTTTTGGAACAGGCTCTGCACCGCCGCCGTCGTGGTGATGTTCGTGTACCCGCCCTGGCTGCCCGTGGCGTGCGGGTTGCGGTGGTTCAGGAAGTAGACGTCGATGCCGTCCGGGTCGTGGGCCGTGCAGATCGGGGCGATGGCCGCGAGCGCCGCAGAGGTCTCGCGCCACGAGCGGCCGGCCATGGAGCCCGAGTCGTCGATCAGGAAGATGGTGTCGAAGGTGCGCAGGAACGCGTAGGGCGAATCATCCGCGACTTGCATGGGATTGGACAGGTCGGCGGGCGAATAGGGGACGTTGCTGTTGGTGGTCGTATTATTATTATTCGACGCTGAGCGAGGCGAGTAAGGGGGCGGTGGCTCAGCTGCCGCCGGACGACGCGTGGGAGTCGTGGCGGCAAAGGGGTTGCTGGCATCTTGGTTGTTTCTGGCCCAGGCGATGGGAGGAGTCTGGGACTGTCTTTGGGAAGAAGCCGTCGAGGAGGCGGAGGAGGAGGACGAGGGCGCTGGCACTGAGGGTCTTGATGAGACGACCGATGAAGCATTGCTCTTGAAGGACTTCCTGGAGCTGAAGCGGCGGAAGATATTGTCCATCTTGTCGGGGAGACGGTGGTCGCGACGGGAGTGGAAAGAGTCGTGGTGAACAAGGATGGAGGTCGCCATGGTGTTTGTTTTCCTCTTCTTTGACTGTTTTGTAGGGTTTCAGTCAGCCAAGTGACGCGTTGTTTGTTTGCCACGTGGAAGCCTAGCAGTGAAGCAAGCGCAGGCGATGTTAAGAAGGAGAACTTCTTGTTTGTTCTTCTTGTTTTTTTTCTTCTTTTTCCTATGGCTTCCTTCTTCTTGTTCATCCTCTGCGTCCCTTTATAACCCTTCTTGACCTCTCCATTTCTCTCACTCCAAAGTGAAATTCAGCCCTGGGCAGATACGACCGGGCAGTGATCCCCAACGGGGCTTTTGCTCATTTCTTCAATGTCCACCGGGGGTCGTGAGCTTCATTTTCAAGTGGACACGCTGCTCCTCCGGGGTTGTACTTTGCACAGCCTGGGGATACAGCATGAGACGCTGCCTCCTTAAGCTTCCCAACGGCTTGTACTCGGTGCTACTAGCAGCTCCGTGCATAGCCGAGAGCTGGACGCCTCTCTCTTTTCGGACACGCGATCCCTGAGAGTCCGCTTACTTCTGCGGAACCGGTGGTGTGCACGGGGCTAATCAGCGGGCTAGGCTACGATGCACCGCCACCATGTTATCATCTGTCACTTTCACCCCTTTGCCTGGACTAAATCTCCCATCGATTCGCCCCCACCGGAGAATTTGAGCCTACGAGTAACCTAGTTCGCAAGGTAGAAACCTTTGCGCGCGCTTCTCGAAGAAAACCTAGTACAGGGGCTCAAACGAAGCGCCCAAAGACAGCCCACAGACGACCGGGGCCAAGATCTATAGCCTTCCTCAAACACCCTGCATGCGCGTATGGCGTTATTCTCAGCAGAGCGCGTATCAACACACAGCAAGAGGTGGAGTTACATATGTGGACCGCAAGCCCCCATACAGGCTCATTGATACCATCAGGAGTGTATGGGGTAGACTAGAGTGGCAGTACGGCGTGTATTCTGATTGCGAGCTTCATCTTGGCTTCCCGTTTCGGCTTCAAGGCAGACTCGACATGATTCCCATCGTTCGATCCGCATGCGAGGCCTGGCAAGACGAACGTCATCAGGGGGATATTGCTGGGGTGGTCAGATATTCCCGTGCTGCTCATGCCATTATTGCCTTTGAACCAAGTGCACATGTCTACAGCAGCCCCCTGACGGTTCAAGCATGTGGACAAAGAAAAGCCTTGAAGCGCAGATTACAGCTCTGTTGGCTAGGTACTCGGGGGTCATCCTTTCGCCTGGCCTATCTGAATACCATCCAATCCACCATTGACATCCAAGCCACCCAACGCCATGCAAGGTTCTGTACCATCGTGTCATGCACATTCTGTTCATCGTTCCAATTTATGTTCATATCATTGCCCAGCTGGGTATGTGTCGCTCGTTTCGTTCGTGGCGCCGTTTCATTCACCGGTTGGTCGTTCGCGGACCAGCATGCAAGGAAAACAACTCGGCGCAGAAAGCAAAGCCTCTTTTCACGCTCCGCCCATGCAAACATCCAACGCCATCTTGTATGCTGGAATTCGCGCAACATAGCAAGTACATTTGTCACCCAACGCCCCGCTTCGTATGTATGGCTCCGCGGAACCGAGTAGTCTGCAAACAAATCTCGAGGAGGGCCGGGCGCCAGGGGAATCAATGCCGCTTGTATTTCTAAGCTCTTCATCAGCATTGTCCCAGAAACAAGATATTACTGGGCGAGTACGACTTACCTCATCGATCCTCCTCAAATTCTGTTTGTCCAGCATATTGCCAGCACCCATCAGTGTCTGCCCAACCGCTTTGGTGGCTCCAATCGCCGGCCGCAGGATAATGGTCGGGCTCTGTTTTAGGATTGCCTTGGCCGCACCCTTGGCTGAAGAACTGGCCATGACTTCTCCAGGGACTGCCACGATTGCGTCTCGGGCAATCAGTAGATCTCGTTCCAGGCTAGCATATGCCGTTCTCAACCCTTGCTTGATGCCAATGGGCTGATCAGCATACAGAGATATTTGTTTCCGAGTCTCATCGTCCTCGTCCGTTTCGCCTTGTAGTTCACGGGCCACAAACAGATCTTCCGTATTTTGAAGGATCTGCTGCGTGCCAATCGCCATTTTGGCCCCGAGGTTGACCAATTCAGTCGCTGTCGTCTTTGCAAATGCCAATGCTCCTTTCTGGATGCTTCGGACAAGTCTCCCGTCCTTGCGATATTCGCGAATAGGAACGGCGATGAGGTCTCGCACTCCGCTCGTAACATCAACCAGAGGTCGGACAGGTGCCAAACCAGCTAGAACTCCAGGAAGTTGATTCCGCCTGACGTCCGGCGTCCAGATATTGTTCAACATGATGCCCAGTCGGTCAAATCCAGACACCCCGTACAGGATAACTCGACGAAGGACCATATCCGCACGGTCAAGGACGAAGAAATTCATAAACTCGGTCGTTCGTCCGGATCGCAGTCCAGCATAATCCACTTTCTTGGGCTTGTAGTCCAGTTTGAGTGCCACAGCGTTCACTTCCACACGCTGCAAAAATGGTGGACTGGAGGTCTCACTCGATGCCGGGGCACTGTCATCTCGGAACTCGAAGAACCGAGTTAAGAAATCCAACGCATCCTGGTCAACATGTAGTCTCAGTGGAAGAACGCTGACTTTGAGTACTATTTCCGAGGCCGATAGTTCTGCGACTGGTTTCACGTTGAGAACTTCGATATGAACCATGCTGGCCCCGTGCTCGCGTTCACCGGCATCTTGCATATAAGTTGCGAACTTCTTCCAAGTCGACGTAGGTACGTGATCAAAGACCTCGATCTTTTTGATGCGGACATCGATTGAGCTTTGAACCTCGCCGCTGCCAGAAGGGAATGCAAGGAAATCGGCCGAAACGCCTTCCAGTTCAAATGTCATCTTGTGATGCTTGCTGCGATTGAGCTTGAGCTTCTTTTGCCTGGGAACCGTGCCTGATGTGCGTCGTGACGTAGTTGCAGTGACCGTCGTCCCAGTGGCGTAGCTACCCGTCTCACTCACCAAGTCATCGATATCATGATTGATAGCATTCGCCAAATCTCGGGGATCCTTGTTCGCCGGAATGCCAATGTAGATCGAATTGAACAAAAAGTCCCCAATCACAGACTCGTCCTCGTCTTCCGCGCCAGGTGTTCGGCTGCTGCTCCGCGGGCGTCTTGCCATGGCTTTGTTCTCAATCTCCTTCACCGCATGCGAGATGGTATCCCTCGTGGCTTGCCAGTCGTACCCATCAAACAGATTCCAAATGACGTGGACATCCCTCACGCGAACCTTCAATGGAGATCGCTCGAATATCGCATCGCTTGCTAAACCATAGGTGTTGTGGACGGAATTCCAGCGATGTGCTGTGCCACCAACCGATGACTTCGGAATGAAATGGTCGGCTCTGAAGTCTAGCAGGCTATGCATCATCACGCTCTCGCCCGCGTCGCCGACGTCGGAGCCAGTGGCATCAACAGGGGCTATGTGCACACTTTCGGACATGACAGATCGACCCAGATCTGATTCCACATGGCTTGCTGTCAGCTCGTCGTCAGCATCATCGGCGTCCCCATACATGCCAGTCATGAACTCGTTTTCGTCTTCCTCCTCCTCGTCGTATCCACTTTTGCCCTTCAAGGTCTCAACAGTGGAAGTACTGGCCGATGCTTGAAGGCCGAGCAACGGTCCAGGCTCTGAGACGAAAGCGTTACCAGTGAATGATGCCAACATATCCTGGATTGGGACGACTTCGGTCCGGTATTGAGCGACCTTCGAAGGCGGTGACGGCGGCGCAAGACCGCTCAAAATCTGTATCATGGTCTGGGTAGAATCGGCGCAAGTCTCAATGAAGAGAAGATTGTTGCGGAACTCTACGTCCAATCGTGTTTCTGACGTGACTTTGTCTTCAATCACTTTGATGATGGCTGATGCAGAAGATATCGACCCTACAGGGACGAATCCGGCCTTTGTGAGTTGTTGGACTTGGTCATTTTCTTCGAAGTACAGCTTGTGGTCCACATTTCCCGATTCCAGCCCAACAGTCGAAGCATCGTTGATGATGAGGAGGGAAGCTTTCTTGATGTCTAAGTTGTCCGTCGACCCCTTCTTTTGATTCTCGTGACGGATCACCGCGTCCGTTAGCACAAAAAGACCCTTGGCTGGGCCCTTGTCAGGGTTCAGAGCGATGGCCGAGTCTCGGAAGGTTACAGAGAATCTGATTTTCCGCACTAGACTGCCTGCATCTCCGGCGTTCGATAATGACGGGCTCGAGGGCTGTGAAGAAGAACTCTGCCCGTCGGCGGCTGCATGGTCGACTTTGAGACGTTCAAAAAGCGAGGTGAGGTCAACAACTGTTGGCACCTTGTACTCGATGCAAGTATTTGAGAGCTTCATTCGAACCGTGGGTTCCATTTCGTCTGCAATGAATCGACACATGAACATAGGCGGGCCCATGACTGTTTTGGTTTGAGACAATACATCGCCAATCAATACATCTTCCTCGCTTCTCGACACTGACCAGGCTGCAATTTGGGCAGCAGCGAGTGCAGGCACATTGATGTGAGCTCCCTCCATGAGGTCGACCTGGAGTTTCACGGGCCCAAACTTCTCATCGACGTCGAAGCGGAAATCCAGCTTTTTTACAAGCCCGAAAGTGAGGATACCGGGTCGATCATCTTCAGGCAGGTATTTTGCGACTGACGAAAGTTTCGAGATCTCGTCGGTGAGTTTTGTGAGATGGGGCACCCACCGCAGACCTGCAGCACCGGCTTGAAGATCTCCAACGGTCAGACGCAAGACGCCGCCTTTGCGACGCTGTCTCAACAAGGTATCAACCATAATATCGTCGTCTTCCTCATATTTGTCGCTGGAAGGTGTGATAAGAGACAGAAGTCTGTCCAGGTCGTCATCATCTGGGGAGTTCGAGTAGTGCACCTCGATGTTTCGAATTTTGGCGTAGATGTCTCCGCGAGCCCGGGAACCGGAAAGCAATGGACCCTCGACCGCGGCGCCGTCAATCACCACCTTCACATTGTTGTCCCGATAGGCTGTTTTGATAGCTGAAGACTTGACCTGCATGGAAGACTCGGACCCGATCAAATCGAGAACTGCTCCTGAGACTCGAATATCGACCTTTGGCAAAGCCGATGAGGGATCACTGTCTGCCCTTGGTCTTCTTTGAGGATCGTTAAACCTCACGGTGCGTAGTTTCGAAACTTCTGGAGCCGGTGCGGAAGTCTGACCCTTGACGGTGTGTGTCGACATAATGGAGTTTCCCAAATCTAGCAAAGAGCTCAAGCCACCGCTTCTGCTGAGCACATCGTCGATGACCAACAAATCCAGGACAATATAGATGGGCTTAATCTGGACTTCGTACCGATTTCCCGACACGTTAACCACAACATCATGAGGCCTCAGCATAGAGCTGGTTGCGATCGAGTCTCGGACGTTGATAGAGTCAACGAACGTCATGACCTCCCTAGCACCATGGTTCACGACAATCTTAGAGATTGACAGTCGCTGGCTCTTCTCTGGCGCGGAATTGACCGAGTAGCTTATTGAAGTAATTGACACCTTTAGCAGAGCTTGCTGGCTGGAGAGGATCGATTCAATCGTCTGGACTCCTACTTTGCTCGGTGGCTTTCTTGGGACGGATTCGCAGAAGTTGAGGTTTACGCTCTTGATGCTGACATCGGGGATGGCAGTCTCTCGAGGGGCTGGTGTGGGCGCTTTCGACTTCTGAGGGGCTTTCGTTGCGACTGCGTCAGTGATGGTCTGTGAGGCTCTCACAAGCACCCTACAGAGCACAATATCGAGGTCCACTGAAATCTCTCCAATGTCGACGATCAGTTTTTCTTTTGGTTGCTCCACAGTCCGGCTTTGACCCATATTACGTAGAGATTGAAGTCGAGATTCGTTGAGGAACGTGCTTGGGGAACTTCTCCCACCCATATGCATCTGGCGGATCTGGGAAGCATGGCTTAAACGCTGTTGAGGGATTGATTGCTCAGCTTCTGATAAGGCTTCTTCATGATGCGGTTGGGGGATCTTGAGGTTCAGAGCATTCACACGTAGAATTCGAGACCGAAAGCACGAGGCCAGGTTATTATCCAGGACGCTTTCTCCACTTGATCCCTCAGGTTCGTTGACAGACTGTGATGGTCCACTGATCGAAGCTCCAGATATATCACCCAAGGGTTCTGTTTGGTCGATCAGAGGTGCTGACACATCTTCGGTTTCTCCAGGGTGTTTGTGCTGTTCTGGTCCAGGATCTGGCATAGGTCGTGACCAAGCAAACCCGCCCGGCATATTGAGTGGCCCACTCATCGCGCTCATATACATACTCTCGGCCTCATCATGGGTGAACGTCCTAGATTCTGCCAAGTCCTCCGACTGATTGTCCAATATCCCAAACGCTTCGTCGCTGTCTCGGCGAACGGACCGTCGCATTTCTTCAGCATGAGCTCTGTTGTCGACGGATTCAGATCCACCAGTCGACTCGGGTTGGACTGGGATGGACCTCGAACGCCGTCCGAAGATGGTAGACTCTGAGAGTGCCGCATCTTCGAGCCCAATACCAAGCCCAGAGTTGCTCAATGATGCTAGAGAGCTCTTTGGATGATCGGAGTGCTGGCTGAGGCTGGTGGTGCTTGACCGCACGAGATCACTGTTGTCACTGCGTGCACTAGCGGGGTGTGACAGCGGAGGACGTGATTTGGCCAGTTTCGGCGAGCTGAAGCCAGAAAACTCTGAGAAAGTCTCGGACTCGGACAGGACAAACAGCTGGACTTCGTCGATGGATATTGACCGTCTCGTGTCTGGCTCAGTCTCTGGGCTTTCCGGCTTGTCTATGGGGTCCACGGCGATGTTCCCAACTGAAAGCATAAACTTTGTATTCTCTACTGGGCCAGCGCCCCCCGTCGAAAGATCCGTTTCCAAGACGACATTAACGTCCTTGATGTTGACGGACAACCGGTCTGCCACACCTTTGAGAAAGTTTGCGACAAAGGTAGGTAAGGAAAGCCCTCCAGGCATGCCGAGCCCTACATCCTCGCTCGAAGCCGAGGACATTACCGACTCTTGCATGTGCATCTGAGATTGTGATTCGAGTGCAGCTTGTAATTCGTCTCTTTCTCCAGGCGACTCGGCTTCCAGGAACGACGCGGCCAGATCTTCTGATGTGGGAATGACTTGAGACAACTCCAGTGGTCCTCCTGCATCCCCATGTCTGCCACCAGGGTCGTGAATAGGCGGAGACGCCGACCTAGGTAGGTTTGCACGGTCTGTTCTGCTGGGAGCGAATCCTGCTTTTGAGCGAGATTTTCCCGCCGCCGTCACTGCTGTGGTGTTGTCTGGTCGAATCGCCACGATTATCTCCACCCCTTCCACTTCGATCTCGATGCCGCTGATGTGAAGATCCGCGGGGAGGGTAAGGCGCAAAAGCTTAGCGGAGGCATGGTTCAGGGCGAAGGCGGCGGGAAGTTGGAGGACGTCGATGATTCTCTTGACTTTGATTCCGACGTTCTTGAGTTCGACCACGGTCCGCTGACCCCATTTCAGCCCCAAGTTGTCAAGGTCGAATTCATCTGAGTCGATAAAATCGAGACGGAGGAGGGCGTACCGAAGCAGCCGCTTCTGAAAGTAAGAAGGAAGAAAGTACGACATGGTCGAGGGTACGATGAGCCCTTCCCGGCTCCTAGGTGTGGCTATGAGGGCAACGTTTTCATCGTGGTTAAGTTAGGGAGGACAAGAAACGGTACAGACGTCCAGCAGCGAAGAAAGGAAGTCCGAGTGTTTGACAAGGACATGGACGTCAACATGAGGGACAGGGAAGGTCAGCGATCAGCACAAAGTAGTTGAGGTTGAGAAGCGACGGGCAGAGGCCTGGTTCTCTCGGCGCGGACCCGCGTCTGGCTGCTCCAATCAGACGGAAATAGACGTCTTCTTTTGCGTCGTCGTGGTCAGAGGAAGCATATCAGCTGTCCTCCAGGAGGCGGAGGCAATGGAGGAAACGTGTCGTCCGCTCAGTCAAACGCAGGCACGGTTGGAATGAGGTATGGGAGTCGGAGAAAACAGGCAGATCTCGACGCACCTCGTCCTGACAACATCCAGGGCTTCCTGCTCCACCCATGATAAGTGTGCCGGCGGGATGATGCAGCTAGCAGCCAACGAGGGGCACCCCCAAGTGCTTAGGTAGCTAGCGTTGGGCACTGTGAGCCAGTGGAAATGGGCCCTCAACGGCGCAGTGGGGGGCGGTTCACTCGGTGGTCACACGAGGCGCCTTTGGGTGCTCAAAAACCCCCATGACAACGTCCAAAGGGGCACGAACGCGCCCAAACCACCCCCAACACCGCCGACAGCAAACCGAGCAGGGGTCGGCCCGGCCATATTTAACAGCCCGAGCGTCACAGCCTGATGCGCCTTACTGTTCAGCCTCACGACCTCTCTATTGTCCATGAAACAGTCAGATTGGGGAAAGGGAGACCCCTAAAGGTATCGTCCTTTGTCTGTCAAAGTGTGCATATCCCGCTAAAACAAACCCTTGTAATTGTCGTTGAAGACCGTCTAGAACGTCCCTGCATCCTGTTGAGCAACGAGACACAGGCGACCAGGTGAGATGCGGCAAGGTTGACGAATTGCCTTCTAACGACCACAGCGGCAGCAGCTGCAGCAGCAGCAGCAGCAACATGCCCGCGGCAGTCAATCTAATCTTCATCGTCCTCGTCGTCGTCGTCTTCTTCGTCCTCCTCATCCTCCTCGGACTCCTCTTCGTCTTCATCCTCTCCATCCTCTTCCTCGGCCTCTAACGGATACTCCATCAAAATCCACTGACACCACTTTTCAAACTCGCTCCTCCATTCTCTCAGTAACTTTGCTTTGAAACCTTTACCCAGATAACCCTCGGTAATATCTTTGGTCCACTCACCCGGTTTTTGATCTTCAATGGCGCACCATTTTAGAGAGTTCTCGGCCATAGTTGCCAGGCCTTCCAACCCGAGGTTCTCAAATGCCATGTAGGCCTGCCAGAAATCATGACTCAAGCCATTTTTCCCGTGGCCCAAGATTGCAGGGTCGTCGTTGTTCAATGACACGGCCACCCCTCGAGAAAGGAGGGCTGGGAGAGAGTGGGAAAGGATAGAACTTGAGAGTCGCAAGATTTCATTCGAGATCGGGCAGCTCTCGACCAAAATCTTCTTCTCCTTGACCATGTCAATCAACAAGGGGTGCTTGTATAAAGAATACCCGTGCCCAATGCGTCGAGTGCCTAGCAGAAGCGCATCAAATAAGTTGTTGTCCGTGCTGTCGCCGTCACCAAGGCACTCGCCTGCGTGGAAAAAGAATGGCAAATCCACACCTGCTTCGGCGCACTTCTTCTTGAACCAGAATATGAGCGGCGTGAGATCCTTGAGGGTTCTTCCCTGGTCTTCTTGGGCCACGAAGTCAAAGCCGCAAATCATGTGGGGGAACTTCTTCTTCATACGGATGCACTCCTTCATGGAATCGACAAGTGTTCGATTGTCCGACTTCCGGACGACCGTCCATATCATGCGTGCGCCTTTGAAGGCCTTGCCGGCGGGCGACCGTTTGAACTTCTCGATCTCTTCGCCCAAGATCGTGAAAAAGTCGTCGAACTTGCCCACTTGACCCGTAGTCTGTCCTTGCCTGCGGAATTCGAACTTGAACGCGATTCTGAAGTCGACGTAGACAATACCATCCTTTGCCAACTGGCCGAGAAGTCGCTGAATTGCGCGGCGGAAGATGGGTTCGTACGTAAACATCCAAGTAATGACCAGAAAGGTACTCTGAAATTTCTTCCAGATGGCGTCCAGACCATGGTGGTGGCACAAGGACTCCTCGCTGGTAATGGTGCATCTGCTGATCAGCCATTTCTTAAAAGTTTGGTCATCGTCGGGAAATGTTCTCTGTGCTTCTCTGATCGTAACTGGCGTGTTTGGCGTGTATGCCGCAGTCCAGATACTCCCCGTACTCTTTTGTTTCTTGACTACCTCGTCGGGATAGTACCTGAATTGCAACGCACCCGAAGTCCGCTTGCCCTTATCACTCAGCCCTTCCGGTGCGATCATGCAGAACCCCTTCTCCGCTAGGGCCTGGTCGACCAGCCAGTCAATATCGATCATCGCGTCCAGATGGGCATGCAGCAGTGCGCCCTTTGGCATCTTCTCGACGATCTTCCACAGCTCAGTCGTCTCCATGCGATCGCGAGCCAGGGTGAACATCATGCCCGGATACAGGTTGCCGCCGTTCTTATCGGCGAGGCTATCCTCAAACTCGGAGGTCCAGACTGTTTGCAACTCTCGCCGTCGAATAGACGCCATGATCTTGGATGCCTGTTTGGCCATGGGAGACATATTCTGTTTGAAAGCTCGGTCATGGCGTTGCTTTTTCTCCTGTTCGATCAGCGCCTGGCGCCCCGCCATGTACTTTTGGATGAACGGGTCATCGACTTGAGGGATGCCTTGTTCCACTTCCCATTCATATTGAGAGTCATCAGACTCATCGCCTGATAAATCCTCTCTTGGTGCCATGATGAAGAGGGTCCTGACTTTTGCAGTTACAGTTCTACTGGAACCAGATCGTCTAGAGACCGGCGCACTGCACCGTCGTGGTAAAGGCTCGTGTGATTAAATCGATGGTTGATTTCGGCTCGACAAAATGTTAATCCGACGGCTTGGCACGGCTCGCTTGGCCCGCTTCTATCGCTCTACTCCGTATATGTATCTACCAAGTTCAGACAACAATTCACGAGTATAGATACTTTTGAAAGGACGATATCTACAATGGGGGCTTCGGATACCAATCCAGCTACGTGGCCAGCCTCTCACTGATGATTTGGGGAGCGACAAGCTCCTCATGCGCCTTCATAATGCACAACGTTAAGGGATCAGCCACCATGTCTTTGCACGCTTCGGTAGGTGCTGAAGACTGACCGCTATTGCAGATGGTCATATACAAAACAAATGTCGACCATGCCCACATTGGTCTGACTGGGCCAGGCCTATCCTCACGCTCTCCTCCATGCCCAAGGCAGTACCGTAGGCACATGTAATCACCACATACTTTCGTACAATCACAAATCTCCTAGGTTTGCTGAATGTATCTCCGGTATGATTCATTGTGCTAGGTCGAATTTGCTGAAGTAGGAGGGATACCTGCCGATGTTTTCAAATCTCTTTATAGTTGAGACTGGCTCCTTAAATTTTGTTGTTGCTGGGCTAGAGAATAATAGAACATACACTAGAGATGGTGTCAATCTTTATGCTGAGATTGTTCCCGCCAGCACATTGCTAGCGAACCAGCCTTATCTCTCTACTTGGCAGACGCGAGCCTCTCGAATTCGATTTCGTCGTCTGACAGTGTCTCATAGAGTATTACAATTTTGTCCATGTGTTCATTCATGGGGAGGAACTTGTCGGCAGACAGAACACACCATCCTAGACAGCAACGCCGAAGGTGGAGCGACCCTGATTGGCAGTTTCATATCGCCGTTATCATAGCTGAGGATAAAGAAAGTGACCACGAAGACAACTCCTTATACCGTCCTAATACACCGGAGTCCAATGGTTGAGGTGCTGAAATAAATTTTCGATCTCCTGGACGTAGAGGAACGCCACGGGCTATAATGTTGACCGTGGGATCGAAGAGTTCTGGATGCCTGTCGAAGAAATGTGGATCGAGTAAGAAGTTTCCCACTCCTTTATGCATCCCTATTAACTTGAATGCTTTCAGAGCATGTAATTTCGAGCCAAAGAGCACACTTGCGTTGGGCGCAGGTAAAGAACCTGCGCCACTGTTTGGCTCTTCCTCCTCATCAAAGTCATCAATGGTTTCCGGAGAATTCTCGAAATCCGGCTGGAAGAGATTCGTTGCATCTGAACTCGATGTGGCTTCCGGCGCGATCGACCGGACAAGATCCCACACCCCGACATAGCCTCGAGTAGGAGGGATCCCCGTGATAAGTTGTGCAAGATCGATTTCCATGACATATGAATTGCCGATTTCGCAGATCAAGTCATCCAGATGGGGATCGGCAGAATGATAGATGACTAGTTTGTCGCGTAGGGTAGCATAGGGAATCCAGTCGATGATTGCTGGATGGTGTACTGCCATCTGAAGTTTGGTCGGACGAAGAGAAGGGTCTATGGCAGCATACATCTCCGGAGTCGGGTTCAGGCGCCACGCCATAAGGCTGCCAACTGGCATATGAGCGCGGGTGTAAGTATGCCAGGCGGCCATGGTAGGCCACGATAGACATATGAAAGTGGACAGCATGAAGCAAACCGAGCTTGGAAGTCTATAGGGTGGGTTAGTCACGCTCCATGAAGTATAGCACATATGCCTCATACCCATCGAATGGATTGTTTTTCCCATTCCTCCGAAGTCCCAATGATTTCCACTTCTGCCGTAAGAAGTATTCAAGAGTAGTGATATGGTCCGACCACGGTGAGGTTGTCCGATGTAGCTGTCCATGAGGACCTCGCACCAAGACCGGACCATGATTCTCAGCAGCAGAATATGTACTCGGGCCCATCTGCGGAAAAGTGAAAGACAGTCGTTGTTGGAAGATCGGATCTGCTATCATATTTTCCCACACAAGGGGATTGTTCGTGTCTATGAAAGTCGCGCCGTTGTTAGAACCAGAAGAGTCAAGAAGATCCAACGAAGCGAATATATCGGGGTCATGGCTTATTGCTGCTTGCAGGGCATCCTTGAAGTCGTCGGGGATCTCGTCGTAACCTGTATCCATATCGGACCAATTCGTTACAGTCGCCAAGATCTCTGGACGTTGATGAGTGGCATCATAAGTAGAATCGGGAACAACAATGCCTCCTTTACTAGTCGAGTCTGACCTCGGTGCAGACACAGCGACGTCTCTCAGACTCGGTGAAGAAACATGTGAGGTCGACGAAGGCACCGAGGTTGGACGAGCAACCTCATCTTCTACCTCTTTGTTGGCATCCGAGTCCTTCTTTTTGTCCTTGTTGATCTTTCGCAGAAAGAATCAGTCCCGCGTGTGTGTGAGGTCTGAGAGGAAGTTGAGCTAATCGCGAAACTTACTACCATGTCAAGTGCCTCCGCGGTAGCCTCTGACAGGGCTTTTATGGTAACCTGAAGGCTCTCGAGCTTCTTATGGCACTCGAACAGCCTGTTGGCGAGAAAAGTATTTCGGTCTTCGAGCTCTGCGATTCGTTCGGTTTCGGAAGATGGCCTGGATTCCAATCTATCCTCCAACTCCTTGATTCGCATTGCTTGCCGGGCGCGGAAGGCTTTCTGCGACAGGCGATTCCGAAGTTTCCTGTCCTCATTGCTCATCCGGGCTGAACGGCCTCCCCGACCGCCCTTGGACTGGTCAGCATCATCCTTCATACTGTCGAAATGACTGTTGGTCTTTGGTCAAGCCAGTGATGACTTAGGGAAATCTGAGTAACATAAAATGAGGAAGTAGAGCTAGGATGAAGGCGAATTCATGGCTGTCGCTCCCGAATTGCCTCTTACGCCATGCAATTGCGGGGCTAGCTGCTAAAGAGAGTATAAATATGACCAGCAGAAAGGGTCCTAGGAAGTCTTCAGGTGGAGTGCATCCAGACCGTGGTGAGAGAGGGGGCCGGGGGGTTACGAAGGACCAATGTTCTGGAATTGACGAGCAAGGCAACCCCAGATTTCCTTGACCCCGCCACTGTGCAAATCGAATGAGCTTCAACTCGGGGATTTGCTCAATGTCCCTGGGGTGCTAGATAGAGATGCGAAACTATAGCGTATCCGGGAAAAAGGGGTTCAAGTTGCTGGACTCCCAGTGGTGCCAGTAGAGAGCCGCGGATATCCAGAAACGTCTGGATTGAAGGCCTGATCAACCAGAAGCTCAGTATAACCGAGGGTAGCTTTTCTACGCTCCATCGAATGCTCGTCAGCAGACGCTGAGTTCTGACTGGGGTACTCCATGTTAGGAGGCCACATCAACATCGATTCGTTTGAGACGAACCGTGCAAAAGTCTAAAACGTGAGAGGTCCTGCCGTCAGTTGGGTCGAGTCAGGAAGAATTGATTCAGGAGCCCATCGATAAATGCGGGGTTGAGCGATGGATGTTTCTTGGTCCGCAAGACATCGTCCTTTTGTTGGCTAGGCTGGCGTGGCCACGAGGCCGAAGCCCCTTGCTGCCGTTTCAATTACTGCGCAAATCATTACTCAGGTGTTGCTGCTGCGTAACAGTCGGGGTTGCAGTTGGTCCTGGACATGGCAAAATATCATGGAGGAGGTCCGTCCCGAATATGAGGACGAACAACCATTTCCACACTCCATGACACGAAGACTTAGGCGAAGATGAATGTCTCGCGCCCTTCGGCATCAAGCAACCAGCCAAACGGTGTACCGAATGGCTCCAGCACCGTGGCTCCTAACGGAGTTGCCAACGGAACGACAAGTACACCCACACCAGGCTTGAGATATGGGATGTTTTCCAACTGGAAGCCTCATTCGAAGAAGAGGGATGATCGGGAGGAAGCGCTGGAAGTGATTCGAAATGGACTGCCGAAGATGACCAGGGTCAAGGCTGTTCTCGGGCTGGATATTGGCTTGGACAGCGGGCCATTCTACATTGACACGCGGGAGGAGCCTCGCATCCTGCAAACATTTGACGGAGAACCTGACTGCCGCGTGAAAATCAAGCCTCGCTATATCCTCGCTTTCGCTCAGGGCCAGCTGGAACCGAGATATGCTCTTTTCAAGGACGGCTTCTTCGACGAATCGACACTACCAAAAGGAGATATCAAGGTAGCGGTGAAATTCGCTGACGCCCTTTGCCCTGTGGATCCCGTACACCCTGTATCGCCCAAGCCTGGCGCCAGGTTGCCGACTCCAACGGAAGATATCGATCAGGTCAGGCGGGATCTCAAAGAGTTTGGCTATGGTTTGGTGAAAAACGCATTGACCCGAGATCAAGTCGAACTATTGGCCGAAGCCATTCGTCAACAGGGACGTGGAGAGGTGGAAGCTGGCGTTGCCGCGAGAGACGGGGGCCCAAATGCACCCAACCAAAGGATCTGGACGTTGATCAATAAAGGGCAGGAGTTTCTTGATTTGCTAGAGCATCCCCTGATTGACGAAGTCATTCCAGAAAACTTGGGTGAACACTTTCTGGTCCACAGCTACAGCGCCAACATTGCACGGCCAGGCAACACGCCGATGATGTTGCATACGGATCAGGTCGGCATTCAACCACCTGTTCGAAACGTGTACTTTGGCATCAACATCATGTGGTTTCTGACCGATGTCACCGCAGAGAATGGAGGAACGCGGGTGTTCCCGGGCAGTCACCTCGGTGCTATTGCTCCAGACGGTGAGTTGATCTTCCGCCATAGTTTCGTTTGCCATTGGATTCCAGAGCCATGGACGGTGGCTACCGTGATGGTTGTGGAGTCGTAATGCCGATGGATGCCACTAACATAACGCGCGCTCCAGATCCTTTCAATATAGACGGGACAGTGGCGGCGGAAGGGCCAGCAGGGACAGCGCTTGTCTTTGAAAGTCGACTTTGGCACGCCACGGGTCCAAACAAAATGACGAGTGGTGAACGGCCGGTCATTCTCATGTTCTTCATGCGGTCCTTCATCCGGCAACAGGAGAACAACTTCCTGACAATCAGACCTGAAGTCGAAGCTAGCATGTCAGATCGTGTTCGGAAGATGCTGGGGTGGTGTACAGATGGGGCATTCGGTGGCATCGAAGGGGAGATTAGAGAAGGACAATTTGTCAAGAAGATCGCCAACCCGGTTGGGCCGTTTAGAGACTCGCACCGATACACGCCGTTCCGGATGGATGTGAGAGCCAAAGGAGCCAGTAGTGTCCGCACTGCTGAGCTGGTCGGAAACCGAGCGACGTAGAACTTGGATGACGCCTGCTACAGGCAATATCTTTGAGATGCTGTTGCGAAACAAATCAGTTAAAAGTTGCAAGTCTGTGTGTCTGTATATCGGTGACGAGGCTGCCAGGCTTTAGAAATCTCGAGAGCGCAAGGCTGAAACCTCGTCATACTTTCCTTGTGAGGACGTGGAGTCCAGCAACTGTAGACCACCCCTCCGAAATCGCAGCGAGAAATAGCACAGAATGCACACGACCTGACGTTCGTTTGTTTCCTTTCACAGCTCACAAAAACACCAATTCAGGCTCTCCGACCTGCCCCTAATCCTCTCTCACCTCTTTGCGGTCACATTGGGGCGCTGGCGCCACGATGTCCGCCTCACTTCCAGGGAATAGAGATCTCCCAGCATCTCAATATGACCTCTCGACATACTGGGGCCGTGTCATGCAGTCGGCACAGATAGCAGATCCGAGGTGAGGACAGAGCAAGCGTCACACTATCAAGTGTTGACCTGAAATTTCTGGGCTCGCGACCAGTTGTGCCATCAAATGGTGCTGAAGGTACAGCGCAACAGACCGCAGCATATACACCGCCGTCCTTTTACTGAAGCCGTGGTACTGACCTTTGCTTGACTCATAGGACACTCTTTGTTTCCTCCTCTGGCCTCGAAAATGCGAAGCGGCTGGTGACATCTTATAAAACTGGGGAAGCAAAAGCCATGACACCTGAGATATGGAAAGCCAAAAAGATTGTGGATTCTACACTCCATCCAGGTTCGACTATATCTCGTACCCCTAGACGGAGAGTGTCTAACACCGAACAGATACTGGCGAACCAGTTTTCCTCCCTTTCCGCATGTCCTGTTTCGTCATCTCTAATCTAGTCGTCACTGCTGGTATGCTCACACCCAACCTGAGCAACACGGGCACAGTAGCTTGGCAAATTATCAATCAGTCTCTCAATGTCGCGATCAACTCGGCCAATGCAAACAAATCTTCACCGCTTAGCACATCTACCTTGGTGAAATCGTATTTCATGGCGGTCTCTGCCTCTTGCTCTGTCGCGGTGGGATTGAACTCCCTTGTTCCACGGTTGAAACGCCTCTCTCCCAACACCAGGCTTATCCTCGGTCGCCTCGTTCCCTTCGCAGCAGTGGCGAGTGCAGGCGCATTGAACGTCTTTCTTATGCGCTCCGAAGAAATTCGTCGCGGCATCGACATCTTTCCTGTGCAATCCGAGCAAGAAAAGGCCGAACGTGAGAAGACAGGCAAGGAAGTCGCGTCGTTAGGTAAATCTCGCAAAGCCGCCATCCTCGCCGTGGGCGAAACAGCAATCTCCCGCGTCCTCAATGCGACTCCGATCATGGTCCTTCCTCCACTCATCCTGGTCCGACTCCAGAAAACCGAGTGGATGAAGTCCCGGCCGAGGATGGTCCTCCCCGTGAACCTGGGCTTGATTCTGACGACCAGCATCTTTGCCCTGCCCTTGGCGCTGGCGGCGTTTCCGCAACGGCAGGCCGTCAGCGCGAGGAGCTTGGAGGAAGAGTTTTGGGACCGGGGCGGGGAAGGGGGGCTGGTGGAGTTTAACCGTGGGATATGATCATGGGGGGATGTGAGTTGAGACCGGCTGTCTTTCGAGGCGGACCCTGGTTTTGGTTGGACGAAAGAAGCAAGTCGGAAAGACCCGAATGAATGCCAAATGCGATTGCAATTGCAAAAGCAGATGCGGATCTGCCTGCAGCTCTGCAGACTCGAGTTCACAGTTTGCGCGCAGAAAGCACGGACGGATGGTGTGTCCCGATGTTACGTCCCTATTCCATCCCCGTCCTGGCGAAATGGAGACCGGTGGTCGTGCGGTCTAGCAGAGCTTTCCATACATAACTTCCATACATACTTACCTCCATACCTTCCTGCAGCAAAGCCCCTACGTTACAAGGCAGGGAGGGGAAGGTAACAAATGTGTGAATCGATATCAATAATACTAGAGACGCGGATGGGAAATGTGAGCTGCGGCCAGTCTACGAGTTTGCTATGTACCTGGTAGCTATGCGCCTCCTCCTTGGGTTGTTGGAAGTATTCATAACTACCTCGTACCCATCTAGGTATCAGGCTTTCCCGGTATGTACAATTTTACCTAGGTAGGTATTATTCTGGTTGCCCTCCCTGTCTGGATTTATTCATTATCTACCTAGGTAAATAGGTATTAGCTCTTGCATCATTAGCAGGCTCGGTCTGATGCACTGCAGTATTCCACGAAACTTCTGCCACGCAGTCCAACAGGCTCGTTGTAGGAGCACGCCAACCCCGCCGGGCTGGTAGATTTGCAAACCTCTTGATTGAATCAGGTCGCTGCATGCCTCCATGAACGATATGAGTTCGAGAACCCCCGGGTCCGGGTGGATGCCCTTGCATTTCGATTCGATTCGATTCGACGTATCTTTCGTCGAGCACAGATTTCATCTCAGGCTGCTGCTCACTGCTGCGTGTGTGCATCGTGCTCGGTGTTCGACTCAGATTCCCCAACCCTCTTTGTCTTTGTCAGGTTCGCCTTCTTTCGTCTCTTCCTCCTCCTCACTGGACCCTTTCTTGACCACCTGTGCCCAGCTTTGTCCTGCTCCATTCGTTCCATCTTCCTCTCCAGCCTTGTTGTCGCCATCAGCGGCCACATTCTCATCCCTTACAACTTGACTCTCATCTATAATCTTGTCCTCTTCCGTTTTCTCAGCCTTGGCTTCTTCACTCTCGCCCGCCTCTGTCCCTGTCGTCTCCTCAGACTTGATTTGGTTCTCATTCGCGCTGGGACCAGTCTCCTCTTCGGCGGCGATGCCATTTCCGTTTGGGGACTTTGACTCGGATGTGTACTTCTCTACCGAAGATTTCGATTGTCCCTCTTCTGTCGACGTGTCTTTGTCCGATTCCAAACGCTCTTCGATTTCCTGTTTAATAGCTTCAGCGTTGCCTTCGGCTGTTTCCGGTTCCACTTCTGCAGTGTCTCTTTCTTCATCGCCCGCTATCTGCCCTGACTCGGGGGTTTCCTCGGCATCTTGTTGGATCTTCGGGCCGGTCGTTTGGGACGCCTCAACTGCGCGTTCTTTTAGTTCGGTCGCCTTTTCAGCAGCATAATCGGCAGCTGGCCCAGCCTGTTCTTTCAACTCCCCGGCCGTTTCTTTGGCGTAGTCGACAGCGGGTTGGATCTGCTCTTTGACACTTTGGGCCGTAGATTTAACGCTCTCCATAGTCTTCTCGACGGTTTCAGTGGTAGAGTCCATTACGGATTGCGCCTTTGCTGAAAGTTTTTCCTTCGTCTCCTCATCCCCGGCCTTCGCAACAGCATTCTTCACCTTTTCGGCAGTATTGTGGAGATTTTGCCTTGCCTTTTCCATATCACGCTGAAACTCCTGTCGTACCTTTTCGGCATCGGCGCTTGCTGTTTGCTTGACCTTCGTCGAATGTTCCTTGATTGTGCTCGCGGCTTGTTCTGCAGCCTCTTTTAGCTCCCTCCTGACCTCGTCACCATCCACGAGCACAGTATCGTCTCCGATATCTTCTGAGACACGATGCATCTCTTCCACAGCCTCGCTAAGCCGTCGCGCCACACCTTTCGATGCATCGTGAAAGCTCTTTCGCGCAACCATCGCAGTTTCGCTGGCTGATCGACTTCGCCGTCTCTCCACTTGTTTGAGGTACGACGTGATGAAGAACTGTAAGAACAACCAGGTCAAAGGTAAGAGGTACATGCAGTTCAGTAGGATTGCAAAGACTTGGCCACTCGTGTCGAGACATTGAACCCACTGGAGCTCATCTCTGTACCTTGTCTCCTCTCTCCTGATGACATCTTCAACGATGTGAACAGCATCGACCCCGAATGGCTGGCCTTCATCGTTTAACACGTTTTCTGCAAGACCTTCATAACCTGCGCCCCGGAGGAGCGCCTTCTTTAGCCAAGCTCCCATATTGGCGGAACCTGTCGAGATCGCCGCGGAGACACTCGATGCGATCTCTGTTGGAGCTTCTGACACAACCTTGGAGACAGCTTCTCCCACATGGTATATGTAAGGGACGCTGACCGGGATTTGGTAGGCGACAAAGAGGTGTAAGAATGCATACGTCGCTCCGACGACAAACTGGGTGATTTGGAGTGTCGTCAGGGTCTGTTTGAACCATTTGGGAACCTTGATTCCGACTGCAGAGCAAAGGTAGAATGTGTACTGTATCCATGTCAGCTGAATGATTTATTTGGGGTTATAGATCGAAATTACCATGACTGAGTGGATGCCAGAATTGACCAGCACAAACATCCAGATTGGTGGAGACATGTACCTGATTCCAGCCCACATGCACAGCATCGCCCCGGCATGGTGATAAGTTTGCAAGAGACTGCTTCTCTTGCCCTTGGCCAAGATGATCAGGGTATCCACGACTTCATAGAACTTGGAGAGGTAGAAGAGCCATCCATAGAACGCCAGCCCTTCATTCCAGATGCGGCCTACATCTGTAGTTTCGGGACCAAGTCCATCAGCAGCCAGGTGCAATACGCGATTCGTCATCTGCCATGCGCTGGTGGTTGCATTGTACGTCGCAGCACTTCCAGCTCCTCTCGGTCCGTGCAATTTGCATAGAGCGTCCACGGTTCCAGCGACTTTCCACTCTTCGTTCCATTCCGGCAGGGCCAGATGCAAGGCATTAACCATACCCACACAAGTCCAAGCTGAATATATGGCGAGGAAGATGTTGTGGACAATAACGAGAAATTTGAAGACGTATGTCCGACTGAATGCCCATGGCTTGTATTTACGATTCGCGTTGACGGAATTTAGGAAAGATACCAAGGACATGTACACCAGCGCAACGGTTATGGGAACATGCGGAGAGAGGAGGGTATTATACAGGTCCGTAGGGATCGTGAATGGGTGCGCAAGCGTCGGGTTGTTTGCGGGCGGAGGTACGGTCGTTGGTTCTGGCGAGGGAGGAAATTTGAAGTAAGTGGCCGGGAGGGTGGTGACCTTGACTTGCGGCGAAGTCTTGCTCAGACTAAGCCAGTCAATGAGGTCGGAAATCGACATGATGGGCCGCTGACGACAGAGCTATGGTCGCGTGAGAAGGAGGGACTCAGAGGTAAGGAGGGAGGGCAGAGAGCGCAGGCGCAAGGGTCGAGGGAGGGAAAGAAAGGAATGGCAAGAAGCTAGACAAAAGGCATGATGGAAACGAACAAGGAGCGCGACAAGTGACTCGCAAACCTATCACAGTGAAGATGTGGTGTGTGTTTGCAGTGATAGAACCTGAAAGCTGGTGTGTGCCTGACAGCAATGCAGCTCCCGCTACGCACACAACGTCAAAAGCTTTCTGTCCAGCCACACCAACGTCATGGCGCCAACCACCACCACCACCGACCACCGACCACCAGCTGTCACCAAGCTGTGACCACTGACCGCTGACCACTGACGGGCGCCCACCCGCCTCTCATGTTGCCCGCAGGCCTTGCATCATCCGAGGTTTCTAAGTGCCACCAACATGGGTGGGGGCTACTGGGGTCCAAGTCCGTCGTTCGGGAATTACGTCCCCAGCGCCAAAATGCCAACCGCGAAGCACATTCTACGACTGGAATACTCAACAGTCCGTCATTATACATGTGTTCGCCTTCGTACTAGTTACGAACGTAGGGCCGCCCTTGACCAAGACCACTCTCTACAAATGCAATCCGTTGAACCTGCCAACCGCCTCTCTGGAACTAACGTGCAGGCCATGGAATCCAAACCCAATCACACCATCGACATGCGCACGCCCGACCTCCGTCATCGTCTTCGCATCGAGCACAAGGAGATAGCTCTTTCCTCCTGCGCCATCGAGGACCACCGACAGGAGCACTCCGCCGTCTTCATCCTTAGATTGGGGGTCTCCCACAAATATTGGCTCTCCTGGGCTCTGGCCATGGACGCTCCATCGTGTTGTTGCATGTGTCTCGGCGTCGTACTTGACAAGGCCGTCGACAAAGGTAGACTTTCCTGTGTCAGTGATCCCATACATGTACCGATGCTTCCTTGTCACCATTTTGGGGTTGATGGTGGGAAGCTCGAATGCATCGACCTTCGTACTCGCGTACTCCAGATCAGCTCTGGAATGCCCAGGTTTTGGCGTCGATGGTATGACTGGCAGGCGATACCGGCGGTAGCTCGGGCGTGAGCTAGAACTCAATGAGTCCGCACAGGCATGTGCTTGAGGGTGATCGCTCATTAGGTTGTCAAGATAGAAGTGGTGAAGAACATCCATGTTCTCATATGCCGCCAGGTCGCATACGATGTCGACAGCACCTTGTTGGGTCTTCGATGGCTCCTCGTATGCGTTGATGGTGTGAAAGGAGTAGAACGCATCAGAAACATATCTAGCGATGACACCTTTACCGCCTTCCTCCGGGGACCTCTTATCAACCACAAACCAGGTGGTTGGCCGCTTACCATCCCATGCCATTGCATCCAGAAGATTTCGGTTCCATAGAATAGATGCGCCTCCGGCTTTGTAAAACGAATTCCAGACGCACAAAATCACATAGTTCTCGGTCAGAAAGAGGGAGTGGAGGTAGGCTGCGGCGTGGTGGAATGTAGCCAAAATAGAGGTCTTTCCTGTAGACGCCGAAACGCGCCACAGACGATACGTCCCAGTGCGACCAAAGTCGAGATTGTAATTGAAGACGTCCCCTGTGTCGGGGTCTGATTTGGCATGTGCACCGCTGCCCACACCCTTGAGGTCAGGATGAAGAATGGCCTGGTGAGCGATGCCTAGAGGCTCCAGGGTTTCTGGTTCGAGAAACTGAAAGATGTTGGCATCTGTTTTATTGCATAGAGTCATCGCTTGGTTGGGACCTCGAGGACCCTCTTCCTTATGTCCATCTCTTGCGAAGCCGGGAAAGTTGACCGACATGGTTACTGCGGCGTTGACCTCGTTCGGCTTTGGTGGAGGGGCCGACGGCTGAAAGGCAGCTTGTACTTTCTGAAATAAGGACTTGCAAGGATCGTACTTTGCGGCGAATGTGAATTCATCTAGCTTTCCGGTCTTTTTGATCCTTTCAATCAGTCCATCGCTAACCAAGCGAGAATTGTAAGTGACCCGCACTTTCGAGTCTGGCTGGGGTGCGTGTATCTGGAAACGATGCACCTGGGAGAAGTTATCGAACCAATGATTGACTTTGAACTCAATGTCCTTGGATGTGTGGATTGACCTTGGCCCGAGGCCGGTACGAAAAAGAGTGCCCGCTGCGTAGGCCGGAATGACGCCTTGCACCCTCAACTCAACTGGGGTCTTCTCTTCATAGTTCACATCGAACTGTAGACGGTACCCGTTAGGACTGTCCATGATGTGGGAGGATATGCTCACCCCCATAGAGTTTGGCCAATCATGATAGTGTACAATGGCGGCCGCCTTTGCACCCGAGGCTCCCATTTTTGTATTTGAACGTTCAAGACTGGAAAGGGACCTGAGTGGCCGTCTCTGAACGTCACAGTGGCTGGTTCTCGAAAAAGTCTGGGTGATTGAGCCGCCTTTCTTGCTATTGATCATGGCAAACACTTGACATACTTTGCTTCGGACGACTTCCGCGTTTCTGCTCTTATAAAATATGCCCGTAACCCACAATCTTTGCGTCTTGCTTTGAGTCTCTCCGCCCCGTACCTGTTAAGGACGTAAGGCCGTTGAAGTTGGGTAGATTTGTTAGCAATGACCAGCGATCTGCCAGCGGCCGAATTGGGTATAAAGCGCGATGCCGCAGGTATGACAGCCTTGCTGGTGTGCTTACGGCCGAGAGCGATCGTAGCCTTACCAAACGAGTTGCCCTTCTGCGAGCCGTGAAGGATACAGGGAACTGTGCGCGGAGGGTTCGCTAATTCCCGTCTTGTAGGCAGTGCGGGTGAATGTCAATCAGAAGAAAGGGAAAGGGCGAAGCGGGACAAGGTCGACCCAGGTAATCAAGCGTGGCGACCATACAAGTCTTGACGCCTTCCCGCTCAGGAGTGCTTCTTCCCTTTGATGTTCAATTCCTCGTACTGAAGACCCCAGAGACAATAGATGGATGTCCTAATGGGAGGAAATTGAAGACTCACAGTAGCTCTAATAGGCGTGTGCCTCCTTGAGACTCTTGTGGAGTCGCCCCGAGGATAATAGACAGCATCATGCCAACACATAACCAAGACCTCTAGTCAGCCACCAGAGCACACCAATTGACTTTATCGAAGCGAGGTCCGAACACCCAAAGTTCAGTCTTACCTGTCATCCCAATAGTCGTGGACGGTCTGGGTCTTTGCATTTGACGTTTGATGTCTCAAAGGGTTGGGAAGGATCCTCTAGAGCAGTCCGACAGTCGTCACCGCCTGGGCGCCAAGAAGCTCGCTCGCTTATTGGCGAGACCCTGCATCCAGATCCAAGTGATTGGTTTGGTAATTCGGCACACCTTCCGTCCCTTGTTTGCCGTCTATAAGTCTGGATTTGGTCGCGTTCTCCAGGTGTTGTTAACAACAAGTTTTCACCCCTGTCGGACACTCTGACTCGCGCCATGGCAGATCCGCAGGCCCACGACAGGAACCTGGAGGACGAGTACGACGAAGAAGCTGACAGTGACTTTGAAGTCGGTGGCTCCGATCCTGAAGGCTTGACCTCTTCTGAGGATGATGATCGAGATGCCGATGATGCGCCCCGTCGACCCCGAAAACGGCAGAAAAGCGACAACCAGCCCGGACAAGGAGATCTGATCGTGGAACTCGACTCGGGAGACGAAGCCACCGTCCGCGAACACAAGAAGGGGCGAAGGAAAGGCAGGAAAACTGACGATGCAGTGCCAGAACAGAGTGGAGATGACACAGAAGGATGGCGAGCCCGCACCCGTGGTATGCGGACGAAGGAAAAGGAAGAAAGACGGAAGAACAAACTAGCCTCAAGCAAGGGCAGCACGATCGATGTAAACAAAATATGGGAGGAGATGAACCGGCCTGGTACACTTCTTCCTTCTTGTGTGGAAGGGAGCGCCACGGACCAGACGGTGCAATCAGACAAAATAGCAGGGTCTCCTGATGCTGGTGCTGTCAATAAGGATACTGACAAGGAGAATGTGCCCGTGGATGATGATGAGGAGACCATCACGATTAAGCGAACATACAAATTCGCCGGTGAGGTTCACGTTGAGGAAAAGAAGGTGCTCAAGTCGTCGGCTGAGGCCCGGCTGTGGCTGTCTCAGCAAGATTCCTCAAAGCCTGGAAGCCCCCCGACTGACGGCAAGGCCGTAAATCGACCGCTTCGCAAGATCTCCCGGTTCGATCCTAATTTCAACAATCCAGAAGCCTTCAAGGGATCTTGGACGCCCAGGACAGCGCAAGAAGTTCAGTTCAAAGGTCCCAAACTCAATGTTGTTGAGAAGAGTAAGATGGATTGGGCCGAGCATGTTGATACTGAGGGCCTCCAGGAGGAGTTGGACACACATGCAAAGGCAAAAGAGGGCTATTTGACGAGAATGGACTTCCTGCAGCAGGTTGCAGAGCGACGGGATGCCGAAGCCAGGGTTGCAAGAATCAAGGGCCGTTAAAAGGTTACTGCTGCACCTGCCTATCTAAGGTATTCACGGACCCCAGAGTAGATGCCTCTTCTCAGACAGAGGTCACCTTGCACATTGCCGACTTTGTCGGTCCTGCTTTCTCATCCTTCCACGCTGCTGCTACTCGTGGCCATGGACATTTGAGACCCGCTCTTCTTGAACCTCGACGCACACTCACAACTTCGCGCTATCCAATCTTCACCGAAAAAGGAGTGCCCACTGCTCCCTGGCTGCCGCGGCCCTCACTCGACGCCTCAAATGAATCACACCCCATCCCTACCGACTACCTGCATTTACTGAGATTGCTTCCCTTGTGCTTCAGCAACCCTTCTCATGGAGAGCCACTCCACTTTTTCCGGCCAAAGGATGCACGAACGAAGTCCACGGCTTCCTTCTTCATCCGTGGTCGGTACCCGTTGCATGCCAGCCAGTGGATATGTAGGCAAAGGCAAAGGCGTCCTTACAAAAAGAATGGCGTCTGCCTCGCCTTTGAGGACAATGGACACAAACACCAATTCACCTCCTCCAGTTCGGCCAGTCTTGTCTGCGAGAGCCTCGATCACCTCCAGGACAAGCAGCATCCCTACCACTCCTCTTGACGACATACCTGAGAAATTGTGGCCACGAGTCCTTCGCGCTACGACTGCCACCGAGACTACCAACCCTGATCTTTCGATTGACGAGATCACCTCCACCAGACTTTCTCTTGACGACCAGGCCATCTTGACCAATATACCAAGAGAGGGTAGTCGGAGAGAGGCACAGTCGCGCAAGCTTATCATGAAGGTGGCGATTGGGGGCATCTGGGGAGAAAATAATGACCGACTCAAGAAAATGACAAAACGGCTGAAGAAAATACCCAATGGCTTATTCACGCGAAAGGAGCGAGGTTCGCTAGAAACATTGGCTCCTCCAACAAGCCATTCGCAGCCTGTTCCAGAGCCGTCGCTGCCACCATTGGAACTCACAACAGAACTCTGCGTCCAGAACACCAGCACATCGTCAAATGTAGAAGCTTGCGACGAGAGCAGATCCAACCCACCCTTGGTACGCCACAACAGTCGCCATTCCACTTCCAGCTTTCGCTGACTCGTGTGGAGCAGATGGACTACGAATGCAAACTCAAGGAATCAGGGTCAGGTCAGGATGAGATGGCAAAGGTACGACTATGAGCAATCGCCCAAAAGGTTCCACCTAACGACCTCTCGAGATATCCTCTCTTATCCGCAAAGATATCCATGAAGTCACAAGTAAAGACCGTATGCTGCCGCCTTCATTTTCTGGAAACCCCGAGGTTCCGTCTGCCCGCCTTCATCAAGATGGATTTTGACTGACCAATGTAGCGTCTACCTCGTCACTTCACGCAGCACCCCACCTATGCCTACGCAGCCTCCTCTTCAACGGTGAACTCGATTCATGTTGCCGAAGATCGCCTGCTGCATGGTCCACGCTCATTAAAGGCATTCTCTCGTCATGGTGTTACGAGGACCTCTTCTATTGGGAGTGTGGAAGAGATGCGCAGTCACGCCTTTGGAAATCGAAGAGTCGGTCGCCCGAGCTTATCTAGTGCATCAGGCAGACACAACTCTGCCCCAAGTATCAGCCGGACATCAGAATCGACCTCTCGCCCTGTCACTCACGCAGGCTCGATATCTTCACTAAGCGCTACCATAGCCCCTCCAAGAAGACCAGTTGTATACATGGACGCGCCCAGCTCGTTTTCTGAATTCGTTTGGGATGGCTGTGACTCGAAGAAGCGTCCATCGGCATCCTTGACAGCGCGGCCCGTGTCTAAAGGGGCTTCCATTCGAAGCAGCCAAGATGCTCACGGGAGTCCATCTCTGAATCTGGCTCCCGAGGTCGAAATGGGCTTGGGGGAGTTGCCCGGCTACAACAAGGTGCCGCTCTACGTCCCTAGGAGAATTGAATTGGCAGAACCTTCCGAAATCTCACCACTCGACGAGGCAGCTGGGCAAAAGCAGAGATTTTTCTTTCATTCCAAGCTGAAGAATTCGAACCCAACCGTTTCGGACGTCTCATTCGCATCGCTACAGGGACAAACTTCCATCCGGTCACATCTTGAAAGAGAAGCTGTGGTTCAAGAACAAGAAAGCGAGTCTGAAACCCGTCCATCTATGAGTGGTTGTGAGAAGCTCTCCAGAGCCTTCTGTGGTGCCTGGTCAGAAACTACTACCCGACGTTGGCAGAAGGGGTACAAGCGGCACTGTCTTTAGTGCAAGCAGGTACATAGGGCACCGGCCTTTACGTGATGCAAGAGGGGATGGAACTCATGCTGCTGGTTGAATTCAGTGCTGTACAGAGCAGAGTATGTTGCCTTGGGTGGGCCAACACAGTGTATCATCTCGAGCACAAGCAGGGGCGGTCAGGCTAAAGACGGATGATTAGGTCCAACTATCAAAGTTGTGCTGGAATGTGCACGGTGAAACTTTTACTCTGTCCATAGTGAAGACTGTACTCTTGTATAGGCAACCTCGCTGGATGCAATGGCCAGTCAATTGTGCTCCTTTGTTCGTGAAACCGCAACTCTTGCCCTTCGCGCTGCAGCCATCAGAGACGCGACCCGGACGCGACGCAGACGCGAAAAGGCTTGGCGCGCGTCTCTGTTTCAACGTTCAAAAGTCCGTAGCTCTCCGTCTCACTTTCTCCGTCACTACGATATCTTGTCAAAAATGGTGTTGACACATATTTCTTCGATAGGATTCTTTCACTCCCCCTGTTCTTGGTTCTAGTCGCTTTCCTGGATTGGTGTCTGCTATTTTACAGGTTGTCTTTGAGCAGAGACAGATGCCTCCGCCATTCCCGAATACCGCGTCAAGTCAAACAGCCTGCCATGCAATGGCCCTTTCCCTTCCCAGTACTCGTACAAGTGCAAGGTGTAATGCCGACTGCGAGAACTATGATGTCCCAACTTTTCCACGCGACCCAAGTTTCTCGCCCATTGGTACAGTTCAACCAAAGCATATTTTCAATCACACATCACAGAAGAATAAACCAGAAACAGGAACGGAACGGTCTGCACAACTCCGTCAGTCCGATATGTCCCTTCCAGAAGTGCCATCACTCTTCTATGGCACGTCGAAGTGAACATGGTTGACATGAGGCTGACAGCCGGGGGCGATGTCAATGGATCGGATATCCATTTTTGTCGAGCTCGCCCACCCAGTCTGGATCATAGAACTCGCTGTTCTTGTCCAGCGTGGCAACATATCGATTTCCCCGGACCCCCGGTCTTTTGGAGTGAGTATTTCTCAAATGACTTTTCAGGTTGTCCGTTCTCGAGAATGGTCTATTACATTCGGGGACCCAACATTTGTATGTTGTGTGCGTAGACTTTTCATGTACAGTTTTCTCATGACGCTTCTTGTGTTCCTGCCTTTTGAATCGCTTCTGTTTTCCGGTGTGTTTGTCGATACATCCGGGATAGCTGCAGGCAAATTCATTTTGTGCGATGACCAAGTCGCAATTCATACCGGTCTTGATCGGCGTGGCCTTCGGCTTTGAGGATGAACCAATAGGACGCTTTCGCTCATAAGGGCGCCGATGAAGCCGGTCAGTATTTGCTCGTGGTTTTTTGACTGCACTGACAGTATGCTGCAGTGATTCATACGGTGACTCCTCCACATCATGCTGCGAGGGTAGCATCTGCGGTGACATCACCGATAAGGGACTGCTGCTCAAGATTGCAGATGGAGTTATGTGCAGCCTCAGAGGCGTCGATGGTTCAACCTTGTAATTTGGAGAACTTGCCAAGGTCGTCGCACGAAAGGCAATGCTTGGTTCTATTGTCTCTGCGGGAGGATGGATTGCTGCAGAGCTCCATGGAAGCAGATCGTCATCCGTTGCCGTCATCATCGCACCCGCACCGGAGCCCGAGGGTCCAGCAAACATCGCTCTCGTCAACGCTGGATTCGTGTTTCCGTGACTCAGGCCCTGGACGTCTGGATGGTAGAGCGGACGGCCAGCTTCCGCCAGAAGCAGCTCGTGCGTGCCACCTAGCAAGGACAGATTGGAATATCCAGAAGCCTCCCACAAAGACCTGTGCGAACCGCGCTCTTCATCTTGCGCATGATGAAAGACATGATGTCCTCCGGTAAGGTAAGCCGTGGGCTTTACGTATTGTTTCGAAGTTAAATGTGTGCTGGGCTCGACCATCATGGGGGTCATGGGGCTCGCGATTGTTGCTGATGGAGTCCAGAATGCCTCAGGCGAAGCCGAATAAGTCGAAGATGCGAGCGACGGTCGACGCAAGCCGCCAGAGTCTGCGCTGGCTGCATCGGAAGAAAAGAAACTGGACGAGAGCGAGGGACATTCTCCCACAAGTTCCAACGAGGAGTCTCGGTCAAACTCTGGATGATCCATTTGGGGCAAGGTTTCGAAGGTGCTTTCTTCGACCTTCAAATGCGGCTGATATACTGGGCACCAGAGTTAGCATGCGGTTTTCTCACCAGATCAGGATCCCAAGGTGTTACGAACCGACTTCTCGGCAATGAAGGCACATCTTTTGCATTTGTCTTCGGGATCTCGTTGACGCTCGACACAACGAAAGGATTGTTGAGGAGGGATGTGAAAAAGCTGGGGGAGTATGGAAATAAATGGCCTATTGCGTCTGGTTTGACGTGGACACACGGTGCGCGTATGTCTTGAACAGAATGCAAGGCGAAAATATGTGTTTCCCACCGAATGGTTCGCGAGGTGTGGCCATTCGACTCCACTCTGCATTGGTTGACGAGCTTAAGCCACCGGAGTGGTGGAAGTTTCAGTGAGTTGAAGCCAGATTTGTCGACTCGGAATTCCTCAAAGAGGGACCCTTGACACAGGGAACCCAACTTGGAAGCCCTCTATGGGATCGGGCTCTAAAAGCTCGGTAGAGCGGCAAGGGGTCCTTGTTCGATGGACCAAGTTGAGCACAGATCAAAAGACTGGTGACAGCCTCCAAGATCGGCACAGGGGTGCACGATCGGTTCTACGAGATTCTGGCCCTTGAATGGAGGTTCAACCACCTCTAGCAAGCCTAGCCACCTTGATACGCGCAACGGGCGCCAAAAGCGGGAAGTCTAGAAACGAAGGTTTCCCACCCGCGAAAGGGATTGACCGGTTCCAGACCACAGATCTCGGGGAACAAGCACAGATGATGGATGAGCTTTCCGATTCGTGCGCCTGTATCGCCAGAGGTCAAGATTCAGCAAGCTTATCGTGAGCGTCCAGAAAGTTATTAACTTCACGACAGCCTTGCATGATATTTGATGTCCAGATAAACGACTCACGATAATGCAAACCTGCATTGCTATCAATTGTACGATCACCTAAAGTGCTTGCATCCCAGGGACCGCCTTGCAGGATGTCAACCCGTCAAAATGGAATGACACATGCAGCCCCCGTTAGGAAATGGGGGGTGGTTGAGCACTCTCAGTGGACATCCTTGTTTCTATCGACACATGCATACCAGAGTGTGGGGCTGGTGTCAAATGCGAGCCCATCGACGAGCGATAGGCGGCGAACATCTGGAGACCTTGCCATTGGGAGAAGAGAAGTTCTCTTCTCTTCTGTTCTTTGGGGGTTGCTACCATGTTTTGGTTGAGAAATGCCAAAAGGAAAACAGTGTGGTTAAGCCTACATTTTCGACATCTTCGATCCCAGGAGGGATTGCGATGGGCTTGAGAGGGCTTCCTGGCTTCTTTTCGCTCCAGCCAACAACGACACCAACCCGGGGTTGTGTAAGGGGCTGATGGCGTTTCAGGTTCGCGGCATCCTCAATCTCTCGCGGGGCTTGGTCAAGTAGGTATGTGCTCAACTGCCACACTGACAAACCAGGTCAAGAGGAGCGACTGTGGCAGGAATGCCAAGTGCAGGCAATGCGGACGCTCTGACCATGCTGCAGGAACCCAGCGAGCCACAGCCAATGCCAGTCAAAGGCTTGATGCCCCCACCAACTAGCTTTCAGGTTGGTATGTGGCGGCGTTAGGATGTTATTGGACGGCGTTTCTCAGACACGAAGTTGACATCTACTAGAGGCTGGATGTCGTGCATAACTGACATCACCGTCCTGGGATGTTGCTTGAGCTGTCTCTCGGCTTCCCGAGTCCTGGTGGTCAGCATTGCTTACATCCACAGTTGAAGCTAGAATGAGATATGTTCGGGCTTTCGGGGATCACGACCTGTGCATTGCATTCCCACCTGCAGATTACGGAGTGGCAGGGGATCTATGCGAACTGACTGCGAACCATCTGGCTAGATAGGCAGTCTGAGAGGCATCGCTGTCAAGCTGCGCCTCCACCTACCCTTCACCGGGAGGTATGTTTGAGAAGCAACGCCTATGACCTCGATAACCAGGCTCCACAATGTTTTCAGCCCCTCCACTACCTGCGTTAATGGTGGTGTCCTGCCCGGCTCTACAGCTCCAGCACGATTCGGCCAGGAACATCTCCCTTTTCCAATAGCTGATACACGTCTGGCAGGTCCCGAAAAGGTCGCACTTTGACATGCGGCTTAACTTTTCCATTTCGAACGAATTCCACGGCCTCGAGTGTTTCTTTCAACGACCCTACCAGATTGCCCTGGATTTTGAGTCCTCGGATGACGATGGTAGCCACCGGCGTGTCCAGACGCACGTCCCCCGGAGGAATGCCCACCATGCATAAGGATCCACCAATCCTAATCATATCAGCCAGCCCTCTGAAGGCCAGAGGGTGGCCACTTGTGACGACAACCGCATGTGAACCCCCTCCAGTAGTGTTCGCGATCTCTTTTGCGAGGTCCTTGCACCTCGAGAAGTCGACATACTGTGCCCCGAGCGACTCCACAAATTGCTGCTTCTCGGTCCCTGCATCGACTCCCAGTACTTTTGCGCCCAGGGCGAGGCCGTATTGCACTGTTGTCCAGAGTCAGCTGACACTCGATGTGCGCGAGGAGCAAGACACGGCTGTACCTGCGAAGTGGCCTAACCCGCCACCTGCTCCGATGACAGTAAGCCATTCCCCCTGTTTCAGATTTGCATTTTTGATGGCCTCATACAATCAGCATCTCTGCATGCTGTGGAAAACTGATGAATTTCACCTTGTATGCAGTAACCCCGGCACAAAGAGCAGGCCCAACCACCTTCGGATCAATGTCCTGGGGCAACTCAGTCAAATACTTTGTGTCAAGCACACAATATTGCTGGAAACTGCCGTCTTCATGGTGCAGATGGTTCGTTGCGTTGGTGCAATGCTGCTCTCGGCCAGAGGTGCAGTACTCGCACTCGTGACATACTCGAGACGCAAAGCGGATGCCCACTAATGTTCCTAACTGAAGTCTATCATTTGGAGATAGGTTGGGACCAAATGCGACAACGCGCCCGACTCCTTCATGTCCGCCCACGTGAGGCAGTTTTATGTTCGTGATAGGGACACCGTCGGCCCCAGTAGCAGTTCCAGCTTTGGTATGGAGATCTATGCAAATCACATTAAGCTTTTCAAGCGTCAATGCCGAAGGAAAGGATGTGTTTGACCAACCACTCTGGCAGACACCAGTATACAAGACCTTGACTAGGATCTCGTCTTTCCCGGGTAAAGTGACTGGATAACTGTCATCGAATTCGACCGGCCCACCTTGCTTCCGGACTATTGCTGCTGTCTGCGTCTTGGGAATGCTGTTCTCGGCCATTCTGCAAATGGGAACAAGATGTGGTAGGATGCCGCGATGGACACTACTGCGTTTGTCGGGGCAATTGGCCTTTTATTCGACAGAGAGCCCTTGTAACTTGTACTGAAAACCGAGAACTACTTTACTCCCACGAGTGGACGGGCCTTGTTGTCGGCGAGCTCAATGATGCGACGAGTTACACAACCCGTGAAGCGGCAATCCCGCACATGAGGGGGTGGCGTCACAGGACAGCAAAGGTAGCATCAGCTTGTGTTTCCACAGCGCCAGCCCTCGAAACAGACGAGCTGGTCTTCCGTGGGATGTTTGTCTCTCCCTGATTCCCTAATTCTCTTTTTGCTGGCTCCGCTCTGGCGACCCTGCATCATGGAACCCCGCATCTGCATCACTCCGGTGCTCTTAACTGAACCGGCATCCTGGGGAGTGCCGGGGATTTCGTGACAGCTGGCATGGCTTTGGTTGACCTAAATCAGGGGGCCAAATATAAGGTTTCTGTCAAAGGCCGACTATTGCATTGCAAGGGCTTTGACAGATATGGACTGACCACTCAGTGCGTTCACCGAGGAGAAAACCAGAAGTCAGAAGGCTGTCAATGAAGCGGAACACCGAGACAACTTGGAATAAGTTTTGGCTGGAGGCACAATAATTCCCCTGCCAGATTGATCTTAACTCTAGTCCAGGTGACAGATCCAAGGGTTCTTCTTTCGGCGAGATCATGGCCCGATATCGTGTCGAGAAGGGATGAAGCATGTGCAAGGGAAATGGTGGTAGGTGACAATTGACATAGGTAAGCACTTTGCGTCGCTGAACTGAGCGTGGGGTTGATTGCTTGCTCCCCATGCACCAGGGGTGATCGCTCACGAAAGGCGCATCTCTCCCCACGAAAGCGCTTTGGGCTGTATTGTAGATCCGGCGGATGAATGTCAGAAGTAGTGGTGGCACATGTTTGGAGGCGGAAATAATGATCAACGAGGACTGCGCCATTGGTGGCGTCAAAGAAAAGTGTGGCTGCAGTGGCTGCAGTGGCTGCGATGGCTTGGATAACCCCGGAGTCACGTGGAATACTGGCCCTCTGACGTCACAGTTGACTCCATCACGCTCTCTCTTGTTTGTTGTATCGCTACCAGCCACCTGCACATCGCGCCGCACTCCAGACAGGTATCAACTTTGGCTATTATGTATTTCTTTCCATGGACAGGAGGTTGACTCGGTGACCCAAACTCAACAGCGCGTACCTCGCAAACCTTCCAACCTCACAACAACAGCCCTCCATGGTGTCCTCGTCCTATAACCCGGCGTGCTATCTGCCTCAATCATGGGCCTCCTACCTCCCCAATGCCATCTCCTGCCCTCCGCCGCCTTCATACGCCCAGACCCTCTATAGCTATGCGATCTCCCCCTTCTCGTCAACATACACCACCTTGCGCACCATGATGGACGCACTCATTGGGCTGCCGATGCTTTCTTTCCTCCTTATACCAACAATGTCCTCGTACTCCACCTCCCTCAATCTCTTATTCTTCTACTTGACCTGGTCGACCCTGGTCCTCTCACACCCTCCGCTTCAAGTGGAGATTGTCGCGACTCTGGCAGTGCGAGTGTTGTTCTACATCGCCCCTTCAATACTCTTTCTGGGCTTTGATATGCTCGTTCCTTCGGCGGCCGAAAATCTCAAGGCACTGGGTGACTCTGCGTTGCCATTCAAGAACGCCAACCGGAAAAGGGCACTGGCCCTGTTACGCATGCTGGGCTGGTCAATATTCAACATCCTCCTGGCGGTCTTAATTCAAGCACTGGTGGAACTCCTCTTCACACGCGTCCTTTTATGGCGCTCTGCACTTCGCGTGACCACAGCACTACCCTTGCCATGGGGTATCCTCAAGGATCTCGCACGGGGTTATCTCCTCCGCGAGCTAATAGCATATGTCTTGCACAGATATATGCTGCACGACTGGCACCATACCATCTCCCTGAGTCGGGCGCACAGAGATTGGTACCATGCCCTCGCCGGCATATCCACGCCTTTTCCGCTCAGCGCCACTTATGACCATCCAGCCGCCTATCTCCTCCGCTCCTTCTTGCCGACCTACATTCCTGCGGTGCTCTTCCGATTCCACCTCTTGACCTATATCTTCTACCTCATCCTCATTTCGCTGGAGGAGACATTCGCATACAGTGGATACTCCACAATGCCCACAAACTTCATTCTCGGAGGAATAGCACGGCGGACTGACAATCACTTACTATGCGGTGGTGAGGGTAACTTCGGTCCCTGGGGGCTGTGCGACTGGGTTATGGGTACATCTGTCGGGGCCGATATCATTGATGATGTGGTCGCGGAAGCAGATAAGCATGATGTGCCGGAAAAGATGGAGAGGATGAAGGATAGAGCGAAGAAGAGAGTCAATGGGAAGATCAATGACGCGAAGGGGGGCGTGCGTAGGAGGACAAGGAATCGAAGCGAGGACTGAAGGGGACGTCAGTGGTCATTTAAGGGTGAATGATACTTCGCACCAGTTGTCATTAGATGTTTGGGGGCTCTCTTTTCGGTCGATTTGGTGGGAGGAATTGATCTGTTAGCAAGCGCTTTCAATGTAGCAATCGTGGGTCATGATATCACTGCTGCAAATGATTTGTGTAGACGGATGAGGAGACTTGGGTTTTACGGGACTCCAGGATAGAGCGGATCAAGCTTGGGTTTCGACCAATCCATTACTTGCAGTTGATGCTTGACACATTTCTCTGTTATTGGGTCTCTTGGGGCGCAATAATGAAAATGGCATTATCGGCCATGATTGCACAAAGCTCCGTTCTTTGTTCGTGTGTGTGTTTTTTGGGGGGGGATCGCAAGATCACTGGTTCAAACCGCCCCGTCCCACTTTGTCACAGCTTGGTGTTTCTTTTTTCTTTTGGTCCTCCCTTCATGTGTGGGAAAAGAGTCATGGCTAGCTGCTCGAAAAGTCGACCCCCCTTGGGTGTGGTGGTGCAAGCATACACACATCATAACGCCCCCTCGAATCTCGGTTTTCTATCTCAATCCGCTCCCACTCCCCCGCTCAACTAACTGCCTCTCTGTTGGATCTCTCGCTGGCAGCCAGGTCCCCGAGCAGAAGCAAGCAAGCAAGCACCTCCCTTGCGTTCGCAACGACACCCCTCGCCCCCCCTTCAAAACAACAAGCAGCATTCGGCTCCTGCTCAAGAAGTCGAATGACCCCGGCCGGCTGTGGACGACCAGCTCAGAACGCCATCTCGTGGGGCTTCTGGCCGTGTCTCAGGCTGAAGCTGGACTTGAGGTAGCTCGCGAGGAACTCTTCGTTCTTGATGGCGGAAAGTATGGGCTTGTCAATCGTCTTCTGGTCGGCTGCACGTTCGGATGCGGGGGCCTTCTTCTGCAAAAACGCACGGACAGATGTCAGTATCCTCTCCCAGTCGTGGTACAAGCAAGATGCAACAAGTCAATTGGCTTGATTTTTTAAATCTCTTACCTCTGGCTTCTCTCCCTGCTTCAAGAACGCCTCCTCGCCCTTCTGCTTCCTGCTCTTCTTCTCCCGCGCGAAGTACTCTGGGCTGGCAATCTTGTCCAGTGTTGACTGGTCCAGTCCGCCGATGTCGACCTTTGTGGATGTGGCAATGACGTATCTGGAGTTCACTCGTCGGAGAGGCACTCCGTTGATCTTGAAGGGCCCGGTGACGAGGAGTGCGCCTTCCTTGAGGTTCTTGAGGAGGATGACTCGCTTGCCGCGGAATCGACCGGCGAGGAGGATCAGCACGGCGCCAGGCTGTAGCGATGCTCGAGGTTTGGCTGGGTGAAGCGTCTTGCGGGCCTGGTCGTCCATCCACATGTCAGTCAACGGTGTTTCTTTGGCACAGAGTCGCACCCTTCCAGCGTCCAGAAGGTGTTCGGTTTGAGGAAAGGGATGAAAGCAGACGGAGGCAACTGCTCTGGGGGCATTTCCAATTTTTTCTGAGCGACTTACCTTCTTGCGTTGAGGCTCGTCGTAGGCGGGATACCACTTCCTGGCCTTCTGGGAGTGATGAGGGACAGATCGCTCGCCGGACCCGAACTTCTTGACGACGGCTGGATTGGCCTCCGTAGAAGACATTTTGACCTTCAACCTTGACCACGCGGGCTGGAGATTCGAGAATGAGTTTCGTGGTTGTTGTTCGCCGGATTGTGTGGTGGAAGAGTCGATATCAAGCGCAGAATCGGGAAAGTGTGCGGTTTCATTTCTTGGCGTGGGCCACAACGCTCCGATCTTGGGTGCGATGGAAATTCGCAATTGGGGGTGTGTGGTGGCATCCCACGTGACTGGATGACTAAGTCAGCGGTGGCGGCCCTGCCAAGAGCGTTGTGCTCTCCAAGCGGCGCGTGGTGCACCGTACGGGGTACAACTTGCAGGCAGGCTCGGCCTCGTATGACCAGGCTTCAAATGCTGTCGTCCCTCCATCCAAATTGTCAATGTCATTGCAAGCACCTCTCTGATTTCACAACCCTGACGTGTCAAAGCATTTTGAGCTTACGTCTAGATTCCAAAAGATCAATACAACTTCAATAACACGTTCTTTCTCTCGAATTGAGTCTTCCTGCATCTGCGTCCCTTCGTCATCTCCATACCATGTCGATTTCGCCCATCTTAACGTTCAAGGCAGGGCTCTGTGAGCTTGATGTAAGTGTTGAAGTCCCCCCTTTTTTCCCTTCCTCGATCTGCTAACAGCTAGATTCCCAGACGAGCACCTCGCCTCCACGAGCAAAACCTCTCCCAACTCCAGGATACCTCTACCTCTACGAAGATGAACTACTGCACCTCTGCTGGCGACCGCGGAGTGCTCCGTTGGACCAACCACAACTAGACCTGCTAATGGTGCCAATGGACGGTTCTTTCACTCCTTACCAGCCTACCAGCGCTGAAAATCCGTCAAACCCGAAGACGCCCACGAACGGCAGAATCTACGTCCTCAAGTTCACCTCCAGCTCACAAAGATACCTCTTCTGGCTGCAATCCCGCAGTCAGCATCCTCAAGGCGACCCGTCATGGTTCTCTGCTCGAGATCTGAAGCTGGGCCAGATCGTGAACAACCTTCTTCAGGGCGAAGAGGTCGATGTCCAAGAACAAATGGCCAGTTTGCCTCCGGATGGGAATTCACCAGACGACGAAGGGCCGGAGCCGATGGAGGATGTGGAAGGGACAGATCACAACCCCAATCGTCGCCCTTCACAAGGCGGTCCCGGAGCTGGTCCGGATGCCACAGGTGGGGATTTTCGGGAGGAGGGCGAAGAATCACGCGAGGGCGGCGCGGACGGCGGACGAGCGTAGGTACTTGCACCCCATGCCTTGCGTTTTTCTTGTCGCTGCAAAGCCATCTGTCTGACTCCCCACGTCAGGGCGGCCGCTGGTGGGCTAGAAGCCAACGCCTTGGTTCGCAATTTTCTTCAAGCCATGGAACAACGCAATCAGCGACAAGCACCCCAGGAAAATCTGTTCACGACCCTTGGGGACCTGTTGACCGCAAATACAACGGTGCCGTTACTCGAATCAGCCGACGACAAGTTGTTGGACCGGTTATTTGCATGTCTCCCACCTCAGTTATCGGACATGGTGCAGGCCTCGGTTGACACGTCCGCTTTGCAAAATGCCGACTCAACTTCTGAGCAACGGGATGCAGCGAAGCGAGAATTGACCAAAGCGAAGAAGACCATGTTGCGCAGAGTGTTGCACTCGCCGCAGTTCAAGCAAAGCCTGTCGAGTCTGACGATCGCACTGAGAGAGGGTGGCCTTCCGATAGTCAGTGAGACGTTCAAGATCCCGGTCCGTAATGGTGGATACCTCAGACATGGCGGAGTACCCATGGGCGGGGGCGAGGCTGTGGAGGCCTTCGTAGAGGGCGTGAAAAAAGGCGTTGAAGACGAACTGGCAAGAAGAGATGGGGATGGGGCAGGCGACAGGATGGATCAAGACTAAATGTCTATGAATCTATCTTACATCAAGTCAGGATTCATCTCTATCCGAGGAGCCCTTGAGGCTCAAGGCTATGTTGTCAGATTCGATACATCAGAGGGTTCGCCTTTTGTTCCTGGCCCTAACCAATCGGACCAAAGGCGCTCCATAAATTAATTAGCTTCAAGATGCCCAATACACAACAATGTTAACACTACTTCACCATTTCTCTAACCGATAGCCCTTGGGAAAAGCATCGCTTGCTCAGAGATGAGCGACGAAACCTCGGAGAGTTTCCATGTCCCAATCTCTTGTCCGTTCACGATTGAGCAGATCCAGACCAGCGGCCTGACAAACTCGAAGACGTATCTGATCCGAGAGCATGATCGGTACGGCGAATTCCCGCACATATACGCGAAGATCTGCGGCACTCCATCATCTGCAACGCCGAGCAGGAATACTAGTCCAAGGCACGGCAAGACTTGTCGAGTACCTGGAGTTGCAACGCAGGATGGGTGGGAAGGACATCAAGTCATTGTCCTGAGCGACACTGGTTGCGGGACTGAGGTACCCAGTTCAAGTTCTCATCCGTCTCCTCCAGCGCGGGGGAAAGACGTGCAAGACCACTCCTACATGCGTGCTGAACCTGAGGTCTGGAACATCGGCACATTTCTCGAATACACGATCAACCCTGGCGGAAGGATAGCCTACCTCGTCATGACCACGCATTGCCACTACGATCATATCATGGGCATCGGGAAACTGCCTCCGACCTCGACGGAACACGAGGAGAGCAGAGACCAAGTCCAGGGCAATTTCCTGTCTGATGGGTCCGCCGCGCGCCCTGCGACGACGGTCCTATCGTCCTCGTATGGCAAGTCGTTCATCACACCCTACTCCAACCTCCAGAACCATAGCCTGTGCGACAAACTCGACCTCCAAGCCCCGCGATACGACGTGGGAATCTGGGCCAAGGACGTATCCCGCGTCGTCTATACGCATCCGACCACCTCGTCTTCGTTTTCCACAGAGACCTCTCCGCGGCCGCTGCCTGCCAGCATTGCGACGCCTCTGACAATCCTCCATACGCCAGGGCACACCCCCGACTCTCTTTCATGGTACGACTCCGACCTCCGGCTCCTATGTGTCGGGGACAGCTTCTACGTCAAGGAGACGCCGGCCACGCGGAATGCCAAGTGGGGTCCGGAACCGCCGATGCCGGTCATTTTCGACCTGGAGAGTGATTTGGGACAGTGGTGGAGGAGTCTGAAGAAGGTGTTGGACTTTGTCCGGGAGAGGAATGCCGAGAGTGAGGAAGAGGAGGGCCTTGAGGATGAGAGGTTGAGAATGGGAACAGAGGCAGATGGCGAGGCTGACGCTGACGCAGAGGGTGACGAGGGGTTCGTATATATCGACCCCAACGAGGCGGCGTCCGTCCCTTCGACGAGCGGAGTGGATGTGGATTCCAAAAGGAGAGCGCAACCCGCCCTGCAATCTCAGTCTGTGGCAGCGTTGCCAGAGCAAGCTAAGGCGAAGGCGGCGCCCAAGAGAATTGTCACAGGAAAACAGGAAACGCCACGAGCACAGGCGCAACAGACGGGCTTCGACATCCCTTCACCCAGCAAACGCGGCGTCATTGCGTTGCCGATCCTGGCAACACCGAGGGGCCGCCTCCCCACGGATCCAGACCAGGCTGACGACGTGTGGATGATGGTCGTCGACCCGGTTGCTCGGCCCCGTCCTCAACGCACTCCGGACCATCCTGTCCGCCCGCGTCTGGATCCCGTCATAACACCACGTCGCGTCCATCCGGGCCCGCCGACTTCGTTCAGAAGGGACAGAAATCTCCTCGCTCCTCCTCTCCACTGCCCGCCGATTCAAGCTCAAATCCAACCTGAAGGCCACGCGGGCAGGCGTCGTCGTCCCCGCGTCCGCCTCTGCGCCGCGCACACCACGCTCTCCGTCGACGCGGAGCGAGCCATCCTCTCCATCCAGCGCTTCATGGCGAGGATCCTCGAGAACGACGTGCCCTGCAGACGCGCCGAGGACGGGCCCCGCGGCGAGGAACGCTGGATATGGGACGACGCGCTCTCTTCTTCTCTCGCGTACGCCGCCGCGCAGTCAGACACGGGCGGGACGGTGAAGCATCAGCGCGATGCTAGCGTTCGTGGGGTGGTTCGAGATCTAGAACGCGCGGATCCAGGACACGCACATGGCCAGCGACACGGGATTGAGCTGGATGGGAATGCGCCCTCTGCGCCGAACACGGGCAGGTCCAGACACAGTTGCAGTTACAGTGTCCTCGCGCCGCTGAGCGTCATCAAGCAAGGCCGCAGGAGCATTCTCGGCCGCCCGGCCGGGGTGGTCTAGAACCGTTCTCGTCCTCCCGTGCAAACCATCTGGATACCCTGGTAGCTACATAGTCAGTGAGTCAGGTAGCAGAGAACGACGAGACTCGAGGTAGACACTGTTATTACATCGAGAGATGTTTCGCGGCGTATAGATGCGGGATATAGATACGAGCCCGCCAATTCACCCGGCCACATTGGAATGGAGGCGAGAGTCAGAAACGAGACCAGCCAGAGAGTCCCGTGGATGCGCGGATATAGTCTTGCCTTTGCGGACCTGGCGCCGTCTTCCTCGGTATCTGAGCTATTGGCACGGGACGTGGAGGTGGAGGAAAGAGAAGAAAAAAGAAAGGGGCATTGTTCCGGTATCGAACAGGTGGGGCAAGGCAAGACACGTTTTCACTCCCATTGGGTTTGCAACCGGTTTTGGTATACGCGGGCATGATACGGAGGACAGCGACAGAGGCCGATAAAGGGACCGCGAGCTGCGTTCAATCACTCTCGTCGTCGCTTGCAATCTCGACGTTCCCGTCGGGCAGCAGTCCTACCCTCCCAGCCGCGCGACCGTTGGCTTGCCTTGAGTCGTCGACGTCGATATCGTGGTCGTCGTCATCGTCAGCGTGATGAGCAGCGGTGTCGTCGTCGTCGTCGTCGTCCTGATCTTCGTCGTCGTCCTCTTCCTGGTCGTCTTCTTCTTCATCCTCCTCCTCCTCCCCCTCGTCTTCCTCTTGTTCGTCATCGTCGGCCTCCTCACCATCTTCGTCCCCTCCTTCATCTACATGTGCATCTTCCTCCTGGGTCGGATCAGGCTTCCCTTTCCCCTTACCATTCCGCACAACCACCGAAATGCCCCCGTTCTCTCGACTTTTCGTCTTGGCTGGCCCTTTCTCGGCGGCCGAGGCCTCTTCGCCGGTTGTCCCGTTGAGCTGCTGCTCCAGCATCCGCTCCTCTTCATCCTCGTCTTCAGCGCTCATGCGCCGGATCTTCTTACTACTCGGCTCCCCCCGGTCTTCCATTTCCCCAGCTCCCTCTGCACCGCCAGACTCCCGCGCTTTGACTTTCTCTCTGTACCCCCTCCTCTTCCTCCCTATGATCTCCTCGTACACCTCCACCTCCCGTTCCAGTCTTCCGCCGGTCCTCCCGTCCTCCCCCACCGCACCCAGCTCCATCACATTTCCGAACTCAATCTCCTTTAACGCGGCCATGACGTCCTGCACATTCAGTGTTTTCTTGTGCCGTAGTTGCGATTGCTCGTTCGCGTGGTGGGCAAGGTAGGAGATGAAGACGGTTGCGGAGCGGGTCAGAGCGAGAAGGGCGTCTTTTTGTAGCGAGGTGTTAGGGGGGAGGACCCCGCGAGAGAGACGGGATACGAGAGAGCGGGGAAGAAGGAGGTCCTGTGTGAGGTAAACCAAACCGTCAGTATACAATGCTCCTGTTCTCGTGCGCAACCAAGGGGGGATCTGTGGGTATTTTGCACTGATCCTGGGTGTATTTTCGCGGGAATCGGCGCGGAGTTGCAGGAAGTCGGAGACGAAACGTACATCAATTCCCACACCATCATCCTGCCTCCCCGATCCAGCTCCCGATTGCCTTGATGATTTCGGATGCGCATGTTGAGTGGAAGATGAAGCTGTAGCATTCGTTGCAGTGGACAACGTGGAGACGTCGCCGTTTGCCTCTGCCCCGGACACCGTCGAGGCGGCGCTCTTTCGTGGCGGCATCGCTCCCCCGGATAGATTCGCCTGGGTGGACAGAAGGAGAGAGACGATATATTCCTGCAGTCCAGAGAGCGGGGAGAACGGTGGCGCGGAAGATTAGCAGCGATTCGGTTCTTGAGACGGTAAGAATGCGAGGCGTTGTTGTTTCGTCCCGCCGTGGTGCTCGATGCCCCTCGCTGTGCTCCGTGTAGGTTTGCTAGGTTCTCCTCGCCAAGTCCAGGGACTGGATCTGTTCAACGTGCTCTTTGCCTCGAACCAGTTCCGGTACCCAGCAGATAGGATCTGTCGACCGGGTTTTTGTATTCTCGATCTCGGACAACAACTAGTGTCCAGATGTCCTATGGTCGGTTGATGAGGGATGTAGCAATAGTAGGGGTCAAGGGAAAGTCCTGGATCCGAGACCGCGATCACGATCGCTCCGACTTGGGAAGAGAGGTATTCCTTGCCTCTGTAACAAAGGCGTGCCACTACCTGTATAGAGATAGAGGGGCGTTGTTGGTCAAATGCTCCAGGTGTAGTGTTTCCAGAAGTCGAGAATGGGAAAAAGGGCACAATCAGCGGAAGAGGGTGTTGGAGACGACGCGGTCCAATCGCCCAGACGCGACCGCGAAAATGGGCCGCAGTCAATCAATTTATTATTGTGGGAGGGAATCTCCGAGCGCAGTTCCGCCCCTCGTGTTGCCAGCCTTGTGCGACAACTTCAATGGCAAACTGTCGCATGAGTTCACGGACAGCAGGGATTGATGGATGATGCGAAATGGCTTCTCCCTTGAGCTTGTGACATGCATTCATTCATCCTCTGGGATATCATCGTGTCCTACTATGAAACGCCCATTAAACATCTCATGCGGGACATCAGACTCATGACTCTACCTGCATAGCATCATCTGCCCCCTTCCCGCTTTCAGGCCCATCCCCCCAAAGGCCCTCTAGCTTGAACTCGGCCGCCCATTCCTTGACAATCTGCTTGCGGTCCACGCCAGTGGGCAGCTCCCTGCTGCTGTCCACGCTCTGGCCTTCGACCATCTCCTCGTCGTCCGCGACTTTCAATACGGGCGGCTCTGTCCACCCTTGTATCCTTCCATCTCTCCAATCTGTGATCACGGTCATTGCTGCCGAGGTCAGATTGGGCACACCGCCTTTACCCAACCTGCCTCGTTTCCTTGCGACCTGAACCAGAAAGTCTGTTGTCTCGTCCCCCCGTGCGAATGGCCCTAGTGCTACGATGCCGTAATGTTTCAAGAGTTTCTCGTATAGCGTTTCGGAAGCTGAGAGTCTCTCGAGCAAGAGGTTCACTGCCGGAATGGGATCCGAAATCTGACTGGGCGGCAGCGCGTTCAGAAGAATTAACCGAGCCTCGTGCTCGGCTTTTCGTCGCTGTTTGTCTTCTCTACCCTCCCCGTCCACCGTTGAGGGGAAGACAATGCCCGGCGAATCAAGGATTTTCAATTTGCTGTCGACCTTGACTTCTCTCAAGCTTGTGGTAACGCCAGCCTCAGAGCCTACAGGACAGGCGAAGCTTTGGGCACCCTTGTTCAGACGTGAGGTCAAGGCGTTTATGACGGAGGATTTGCCGACATTGGGGTAGCCTATGACTCCGACAGAGATTGACCGTTTGAGTTGCTTAGATGCGGCGTAGGATTTCAAGGAACGCAGCAGTGTCTCAGAGGTGGCTTTTAGGGTAAGTTGCTTGTGGTCGAAGGTCTGAGCGTTGGATGCGGGAGTCGATGCTCTGAGTGGTATCGTGGGGAAATATCGTCGTAGATGGGTTAACCAGCCTTTCAACACAGACGGGGGGATCAAGTCTATCTTGTTTAACACAAGAATCAGTCGTTTCGAACCACCTTCCGCAGCCATGACCTGTCGTTCTACCTCCCTCGATCTGGTGCCCTCAGGATCTCTGGCGTCCAGGACGTACAATATAACGTCGGCGGCATCGAGAACTTGTTTGAAGATTTTGTCGAATGCTTTTCGTGAAGAGTCCGGGTTTCGGTGGTCCGAAGATATTGTGTCCGAGATCTGAACTCCTTCCGCGACAACCTCGCCGTCTGCAGTGGTTCCGATGTCTCCTGCTAGTGCTCCGCCGTCGTACTCGGCTGCTCTCGCTTGCGCTGACGCTACTAGAGCCGCTAGAGGGTTTGCATTTCCACTTTCTTCGTCGTCGTCCTCATCCATATCCTCATCCAGAAGCTCGTCCTCCTCTTCCATCAGGTCGTCATCGTCCTCAGCCTCGGCAGTTTTTCTCGTCTGGGCATCTTTCCCACCCCTCTTCTTCTCTTTGGCCGCCTCTCGTAACCTCTGTCCTTGTTCGGCTTTCTGGCGTTTCTTCTCTTCGAGTTCCTCGAGGAGCTTTTCTTTGAAAGGGAAAAGGTTGGGAATGCCGGGATCTTTCTTTAACCGTGACTTCCACTGAGGATTCTGTAGAGCTGGCATTAGCAGAAGGAGGGGTTTTAGTGTGAACCACCAACAGACCTTCTTTTCTTCTTTTCTTAGTTTCCTCTGTTTCGCCGCACTGGCTTTTTCAATTTTGTGCCGCAGTCGCACGGGCGTGCGCTTTGATTTGGAGACTGCTTACGGTCAGGCAAGGTACTTCAGGAGACTAGGACTGCACTTACACGACTTGACCATCGCTGGAAACAACGCCCAAATCAGAACTGTTATGGCTGGCGGACTGGGGAAACTTGGGCCATGATTTCGATGTGGAAAAAAGTTACAGATCGCAGGCGACGCCAAGATTTCCTCCGGCCCATCTTCAGCCCGACAGCGAAGATGCTCGGGTGACTGTCGTCGACTTGTAGTTCCCCAATTAGGCCACACCGCCTCTGTTGGGTGGGAGTGCTCCCCAATCAAGTAATCCTGCCGCCCCGGAAGAACCCTTCAGAACCACATCTCACGCCCTGGTCTTTTTTCAGTATATATGCTCCGTACCGGCTCTCAGTAACTTCTAGGTAGATGAGCCCTTTAATGGATGTATATATTTCCTATCTTGCACACTGCTTCCCGTTCTCCTCCTTCTACATACGGCTTTTTCGTTCACGCATAGTTGGCACCTGCAATGGGCTCAGTCGAACAACCTAATTTTTCCGCGCCACCGGAGGTCGCCTCAGCCAGAGGCCTCCTGCTGGATTTTGATGGTATGGAGGCTTCGTCGGGTTCGCAAGGGAATGCAACTAAGCCATTTGACAGGCACTGTCATCGACAGCACAGCAGCAATCATCAAGCACTGGCACAAGCAAGGTGAAATCATGGGCGTTGATCCCAACGTTATCCTCGCCAGCTCACACGGACGGAGGAGTATCGACGTAATTCAGATGTACGACCCGTCGAAAGCGAATTGGGAATGTAAGAATCGTCTCTGAGCGCCTCAGAATAGGCCTGCCGGGTAGTTCATTGCACACTGACGAACAACTGGCAGATATAATCCATCAAGAGAGCCTTATCCCCAAAGAATTCGGCCAAGATGCTGTGGAAATCCCTGGGGCGCGCAAGCTTTTAGAAAGCCTTGACGACGTCAACGTGCCTTGGGCGGTGGTCACTTCAGGAACGAGACTGCTCGTGAAGGGCTGGATCGAGGTGCTGAAGCTCGCCCATCCACGCACCACCGTCGTGGCAGAGGATGTCGAGAACGGGAAACCCGACCCGACTTGCTATTTACTGGGTCGGGAACGCCTAGGACTCCCTGACACAGCCGAAATGATCGTTTTCGAAGATGCTCCAGCGGGAGTCCGCGCGGGAAAAGCGGCCGGGTTCAAGGTCATAGGATTGGCCACCACCCATACTGTTGGTCAGCTGAAAGAGGCTGGAGCGGATTGGATTGTGGAAGATCTGAGAAGTGTCAAACTGAAGAACTTTAAAGATGGCGTGGTGCAGGTTGAGATCATTAATGGACTGGTCGATGCCTCTTGACGGGTCGATCGTGATCCCTTTGCTGACCGACTTGTGACACGGAGGAGCATTCTTTTCAGCATGGCGTTTGGAGCTCGGGCATCTGGAGCTGGTCGTATAGAGAGCTTGCAGGCTAAGGCCGCCAATAGACAATAGATAGGGCGGTCATACCGCCTTTTAAAGCTGGCGCTGGACACGCGCAATGCCGTCGCCCAACCCTTACCTTCATCCGCATGGTCCAGAGGTGGAGTGTGGTGCTTCGCAAGAATTCCTGCGCTCCCACATTCCATATTCTGTTCACGACGAGTATATCGGCCCATCCAATTTGGGTTCAACTCCCATACCTATTCAAGAACACAGCGGCGCGCCAACCCCACAGGATCTCGCGGACAGTCGGCATAAATAAAGTCAACACCTGATGCCTAAACCCAGCCTGAACTCCCCAGCCATTACAGCGCAATCAACGCCAATGTAAGATACATCACTCCGGCTTCGGGACTTCCAACGACTGACAGGGTGAATGTTCGACCACTGCCCCACGTCTATTCCCATGTGCCTGTGAGAAACGTTGGTTGCTCCGCTCTCTGAACGAAGCATGCTGTGGTGAGATATACTCCTATGGTGATCAAGAGCTGTCCATGGTCACCGGACATATTGTAATACCATCACGTCTCACGCGACCCTCTCGAAACTGTGAACTCCATGAGCTAGCGGAAGAATAGTTCACTCGTGCCAATGGAAGTGCACTATCAGGTGTGTCGCTGAGGGCACTGTGGACAGAGCACGACAATTCTGGTGCAGTCTGCATCTCGATTCCGTTCGAGGTGGCCATGCTGCTCGTTTCACGAGCACCAAGGTAGTGCCTGCCTGGCGGCAGAAGTGCGGAAAACCCATCACATGATTTCCGGTGTCCAGGACGGCCATAGCTGTCAGCAAAATACACTGAGTAAGGGGTTGCAACGCATCGAAGAAAAGTCGCACGGGGGATGTGTGACGCTAGATGCCTGAAGAGGAGAAAAGGCCCGGCAATGGCTACCACTCGAGCCGTCCGGGAGCGTGGATTTGACATTGATGCTGTAATTACCCTGTCCTACCAAAGAGCCGGTTCTTTGTGCATCGAGGACTCGGTAGTATTGTACTGCTTACTTGGCACCCAGAGGAAACTTGTCCACAAACAGCAGCTGCTGCATGGTTACACAGCTGAAAATGCTGAATCCCCATGATTGCAGGTTTCTGTGGCGGCGAAGGTTATTCTCAGTATCCGGGGCGATACTATGTCGCGATGCTGAAGGGCTAAGAAAACTATTTTTGTACTGATGTCTCGAATGGAAAAGCAATCAGCATCAAGAACGAAAGTGAGAGGACGAAGGAGGTCGTCGTCGACGGCACAAAGGGCCAAGGCATGGAGCTGGCTTTGCGGCGAGGGACGCCCCAGAAATGCGTCGATGTGCAACGTGGAAAGCGGATTGGCTCTGGCGATGGAGGGAGGAAAATTAAACAGAGTCGAGGCGAGACTCCTTAGGGCCGGATGAGCCTGAAGGTAAAAGAGAGCCATGCGGAACGAGGCTCGGCTAGTGGGCTAAAGCCCGAGTGGTAGGCATGCCTGACAGTGGATGCCGGAGCAGCAAGGCTCAAGGCGCACAGAACGGGCTCACCGTCAAGCGAGAAGCCCGGAAGATTTCTCGAGGAGCGGCGGAGAATAACTGCTATCGGTCGCCTATCTTAGCTTCCAAAACAACATTGTCCAGGACCGTCCAGACAGAGAATGGAAGGAGCTTGCGCTACCGAGATCAAAAAGGAGTCTCGCATGCGAACAGGCGAGGTTGGCAAGGAATGAAGGGCAACGGAACCAGGTAGTAAAGTGCCCCAAGGCTGACAGGTTCTTTCTGGTGACTTGAACGAAGGCTGAAGGCAGCACTAGCCAGTTGGGGCGATGCGAAATTGCTGTCTTTGATCTTGTGCTCCCTGTGGTCGGCTTCCAAGTCCCAGGTTCCTTGCATATGTCAGCTCGTCTTCAAGGGCCTGTGAGGGCTGATTTCAAGGGCTGGAGAGCCAAGGGATAACATTGTGCCGCAAAGCACGTATCGTACGCGTAGGGTTTTCAATCAGCAGTTTAGACGATGGTTTAGGGAAGAAACCCCCTGCATGAGTTCCATCTCATTTCACGCCGAGCGAGGGAGTTTGAAGGTTGTCGCGCGTCTGGAAGACGACGTGTAAGAGGACAAAATTCGTGCACCTCGCTGCCTGAGCGTGTAACGGCCAAGTCTGAGTGGTGCAATGGTGGTGGTTCGTGATGCATATGCGTGATAGGGTGACTTTGGCATGGCGGCCACTGAGTGGACGGCTGAAGTGGGCTTCGGCTTACCTGTGCAGGAGGTGGACTGGGGGGTTCAGCTGCCTCTGGTTGCTGCGGGATCCTCCGCCACATCTGCAGGTACAGATTGTATTATGCGTCTCTGGCTACGGGGTAAGCAGCACAGGGACGCGCTTTGAGTCAAGATGGGCCAAGATCCAAAGATTCGGAGACGGGAGCTTGTGTACCTTCACTGAGGATCACCATCCATTTGGAGACGGATGATCGTCAAAGATTTGCATGTCTACTCTCGCAGCTGGGGGATCATGATCGGAGGTGCTCGTCGTCCGGTAACTGGGAGAAATATCGGCTCATCTTCAGGGCCTGCAAAGGTCGTTGTTTGAGAAGGTCTTCGACGGCTGTGAAGCTATGGGCGAGGCGCCCGGATCGCGTGTAATCGATATCGCCTCACAACATGTTATGGTTAGCTTCGTGAGCAGGCAAAGGAGAATCGAGAGACGAGCGAGTCTGGACCCGAGAGTCGAACGCGTCGAGAGTCAAGATCTGTCAAATGATGACGTGCCAGTCGCCTGTTGTTAGGGAGTTCGGAACTCTGGCGAAGAGAAGATGGGGGGCAAAACAACAGTCTAGGCGCTCCGGGTCCAGGCCAAATCATAATGGCACAGTCAGACGAAATCCAATTGCCCTAGGAGCGTGCTTTGGGGTTTTGTCTTTCGGCAGTGATTTTAATCCTGCGCATGGCCACATCTCATCTCGGCTCATCTCCCTTCGAACGCCTCCTCAGCAAGGGTTCGGGGCTTGCGGTGCTGCCACTGGCAGGGCACCTCCACGACCTTCCTCGTTTGGTGCATGGTTGTGGCACAGGAGGCTCTCTGGGCTGAGACCTTCGCAGAAGGGGTTAGCTCAGGTGAAAAGGTTGGCCGGGAAGAGGCCAGGGTGATTGAGGAGTGAGAAGGGACCAGGTGGAGCATGATTACTTAGCCTGGGCTCAAATTGCTACCGCAGACTGGCTGAGTCTCAGCATGGGGATTCCTTGTTGTCGACACTGTTCCTGCATTGGCGCCGACCAGGACAGGCCAGGGATCTCTGTCAACGTTCCCATTCCCCGGAACGAGGCGGCAACTATCGAAAAGTCAACGCAGGTCGAGAACTCAGCAGAAAAAAACAAATCAAAGCAACGAACACAGAAGCGCGGGAGTGACGAGAGTCAATCTGTTTGGTGTGGGAGTAGGTTTTGGGGGAGTGGACTGCGCAGATGGCTGTCTCCGAAGAGACGTGCGAGCAGTAGCTGTAGGGAAGAACAGCCGAAGGAGGGGGAGCAGGGCAATTGGGGGGTGGTTGTAATCGCTTGTCTGACGTGGTTTCAGTGGTCGGTTGGTCGATTCAGTGACTGGTTCCTTGTCCGAGGGCGCTTCGTTCCGCAGGCCAGCGTGCAGCTTGGGGGGGGGACTCGACTGTCTACACGTCCTTCTGTTCACCTTTTGGTTCCCTTCCCAGCGCCTACGAGTATGCCACCCCTCAACCCTCACCACCTGCAACTCTCTAAACATGTTTAACCTTGACGCTGGTAGGGGCGACCAGGAACCTTGAAGGTCGAGGGCTAGCCTACACACTCCACCCACAATGGGTTCCGCCGTGGCTGACTGGCTCGTCTCCGCTTCATGGATCCCCTGACGCCCCTGTCGTCTACCAGGAGCTTGAGTGCTGCTGGTTCCTCCACTACGATTCTCTGCGGTGGGGAACTGGCTTGCTTGTCTCTTGTTGCTCTGCAAGAAAGTGAGTCTCCTCTCTCCCACATCGCGATTGATCAAAAGATCCAGAGCGCGCTCTCGATGGTCACAGACATCTTGTTTTGTTGTGTGCTGGGCCAAGGGCGATCAAGACATCCTCTTCGATTGCTCCAGCGATTTCTCCGTGTCACTCTCCCGTCACCACCTCATTGAACTTCAAAACGCCCCTTCGGCGCCTCGATTCAAATTTTCCCATCTCCCCCGGTCTTGGAACCTCGTTAAAGGGTGCGACGTACCCTCCGTACCTTTCGCCTGATCCCTCGCGACCGCCGCCTCTAAATCTAAAAATCCCCCGAGTCCGCCCACTTGTCTTGCTCCTCTTGGTCTACTTCTATCGAGCCTATCTATCAACAGCTCCATCGTCCTGTCTTGTACCACTGCTGGACCACCTCAACCCTCACTGTGTCGCTCTCGTCGACAGCAGACCTCACCCCCAGCAACCGACTGCGCCGTCGTCCTCGTGCCTTCCTACACATCTCCTCGCCTATCCGTTCCTTCTCCTCGTATACTGGGACAAACTCACTTCCTTCACCGTGTCTCTCACCTTCAGTCGCTCCTTACCTTCTCAGACAGTCCAACATTGCTACTGACTTCGAGCCCTGGCCAATACCTGATCTTGAACCTTTGTTCATCAATAGAAATGCCGCATGCCTGATCAATCGCCTGAGCACTTTGATCCCACGACTGCGCATATACTGGCTTCAACTGCTTTTGCTCGAAAAGTAGGCTATCTGGGGGACAGAGGTAGCGGCTTTACAAACCAAACAGGCGATATTCGACTCCCCGCCGAAGAACCTGCTCGAAGGAATCCTGTCTTGACCTATCAATCCTCACAAGCAGCCAATATGGACTACATGCAACAAAATGCTTTTGCCTTTGCCTCCCAGCCTCAGTCACAGTTCATCTACCCGCAAGTCCAGTATCAAGCCTTCATGACTCACGCCCAGCAGCCTGTTGACGATTTCTATATGCCCTACGGCGGAGCAGAGTATGCCGATTTTGCGGATGCGGGCATGATGCAGGATGAGTTTGGAGAGAATCAGGAGATCTCAACGCGCCCTAGACTCACCAAGGAACAAGCTGAAATCCTGGAAGCCCATTTTCAAGCAAATCACAAGCCGAGCTCCCAGTTGAAGAGGGAATTGGCTATACAGACAAACTTGAAGCTTAACCGGGTCGGGGTATGTGTCGACTGTATTGCATGAGCACGGATTGTTGGCTAACTGGCATGCAGAATTGGTTCCAGAATCGTCGAGCAAAGGCAAAGCAGCAGAAGAGACAAGAAGAATACGAAGCCCAGCATGCAGCAACCAAGCCTGGTTCGAAAGAGCCGAAGGACCTTGTTCTGGCTGAAATCTCAAGGCGAGAAATTATTTCTCCCAGGTCTTCTGTTGCTTCACCAACAAAGGAGTCAAGCACGAATTCAGCCGCAGCATCAGTTTCCACCGCACAAACATCACCTTCGCCCGTTACGGTCGTCGAGAACCCCAAGGAAGCTAGTTGGAACTCTTTGCAGCGTGCTCTGGGGCAGGCCAAAGCAGCGCAAGGCCAGCAGGTGACTCAGCCGCAAGCCACCGCTATGTCGTCTCTAGAGATTCCTCCGCAAACTGCATCGATGCAGCTCCCCATTCGACTAAACGACTCACACACCGCTTCGTCGACATCTAGCTTGCCAACTTGGCCAAATCGGACTGCTGGAACCGTGCCATATCCCTCTCCGATCACATTTCAGGATACTTCCTTTGACTTTGGCTTCGGCGATGAGGTTGCAGAACAGACGCCCAGTCAAGACCCAACCACCATTGACCCAGTGGCGGACTATGGGCAAGAATCTTTTGTAGTGACGCCTGAAGATTACCGGGAGTCCCTTGCTACTCCGAAAGGCATGCACAGTCACCAGAGTCCCATGACGGCACTGCCCTCGCCAGGTCTGACTATGCCTTCATATCCTGGTTCGCGACGCCCATCGACCACGGAGGATCTCTCGACCAATTTCAGCCACTTTGCTCTCGCAAGCGATGCGCCCAACATGCTACCAGACCAGCGAGTTTCGGAGGGGATCTGTCCTCCGCAGAGTGGCCCTCTCGACATCGCCGCACGAAGAAAGCGACCTCGACCCGCAGCCTTGACATCAGCCTCGCTTCGAAGCCGGTCCTACGGAGCCATGACATCGGCCTCCCCCACATTTCGCCAGGGCATCATGAGCCCTCAAGCACCACATGGTGTTCGACACGTTAAGTCGGCCGGTCAAAGCCTTCACTCGCGATATGCAGGAATCCGGAAAGCCAGTTCGGCTCAAAGGTCGCCCATGTGTGCCTCGACTTTTGCTGAAGCAGAGGCTTTGAACCAATTAATGGCTCAACAAGCAATGACAACAACACCACTGGGAGAATTGGCAGAACCCTTGTTGTCGCCAGACCACATGCCAAGCGGTTATGTAATTGATCCGGAAAAGAACCCATTCTTTGCGCAAGCCATTGACATGTCCAATCAATATTCCATGCGTCCGCCTCAAAACCTTGCGATCGCAGCAGCGTCACCCCCGGTGACACCGATGATGGCGGCCTTCATGAGCAGAGCGCAATCGCAACAATCTCTCATTCCGCCTGCCTCTGCTCCTCCGCAATATGCGGCATTCACCGATTACACACCTCCTTACTCAGCTGGACCACTTACCAACAGCAGCTGGTCGGACTGCCCCCTAACATCGCCGGAAATACCATCATTTCCTGTGACACACATTGCTTCTCTTGGTTTTCCGAATCAATGTGATGGACTCAGCGGCCAATTCCAACAATTTGTCCTACCTTCGGACAACAAGTCTGAAGTGGACTTTGTATCTCACGTCGAACAGAAGAAAACGGAGTTTTATATTCAAGAGTTTCCAAACCAAAAAGAGGAACATGCACATGTTGCGCAACAACTTGCTCAACAGAAGCCTAAAAACTATGTGTTTGCGAACACAGCTCCTCAGGATTACACCGGCACCTAGATGGATGAATCCATTGGTCAGAGTCGGCCTACGGTTATGAATTTTGATTTCATTGTTTTGAGCGTATTTCTAGCTCTCTCTCGGCGGCAAGCAATCGTGGGAGGCAACGTTTCAACGGTATATGCAGGATGGATGAAAATGCATGAAAGATAGAATTGAGAGTTTTAGCAATGGCGCTGAATGGCCGACCAAGACTACAAGGGAACATGTTTATTGCAAGACTGATGGAAGTACAGGTATAATAGGATGAGGCACCTACGGGAAACGAACATGAGAATTGCCTCGGGAATATGAATTGAGATGGCCGCAATGGACGGGATTAAATTTTCAATTTTGTAATACCACAATCAAATATCTTCTTTGTCAGGCTTACAGCTTCTCGATCATGTTTGTTTCAGGTTGTATATGTCGAGCAAAAACAATAACATTGAGACAAAGTTTCGGAGCAGAAATATCTCGTTGTCGAGGAAACTGGGACAGTGTTTATTCTGAATGTAGCCTCTAGATCTACCTATGGTTGCTTGACTGGGGAGTTTAGGTATATACTGATAGATGACAATTAGTTCTGGTCAAAGTTGAGGCGAATTCCCGCCCATTCCATCCTTTTTGCTCGCATCCATAGTGTTGTCAAAATCCACTCATGTATCCCCAGACCCAGTGAATCCCACTCCTAAGAGTCCTGGTTCATCTTCAGACGCTGGTCTGGCTCTCCGTCCTTCCTCAACCCCTCGCCGCCGAGGTGGGACGCGCCCTGGGGGTTCTCGCTGCTCCCGCCCGAGCTGGACGAGTCCGAGGTACCGCCGCCCGAGGAGTGGCCGCCCTTCTTGCCCGCCTCGTGCGGGTCCACTTTGCCGTGCGCGAAGCCGGGCTGGTTGACGCGCTGGTCGGGCTGGCCGTCCTTGCGGAGACCGTCGTGTTCTAAGGGTTGCAAACGAGGAGGGAACAGTTAGCTTTCGTGTCATTTTTTTCCAAAATTGAGATGGGGTGAGGATATAACGACGAGTAAAAGGGAAGGAAGACACATGGATATGTTGGGGTAGATAAGGAGCTGAAAGGAAGCAGTAGCTAGAGGGTGCCCCGGATAGAGCTCCAGATCATGCGGGGGGAGGAGGATGGGGTGTTGTTGGGTGGAATTAGTCGTACCAGTTGGCTTGTAGTCAGACATGTTGATGGTGGTTGGTTTGTTTGGAGTTTTGGTTTGTGGTGGTGAGGTTGAAAGCTGTTTTCCTGCTGATGATGGTTTGATGATGAGGGAAATGTGCTTCAGACCGGGAGGAAACGACTGTTTATATAGACAAATGATCGCTCTTCCTGTCACGCTTTTCTCGGCTCAGCCTGAGGATCTGATGATGGCCTGTGCCCGGGAGAAGCGTCAATGCATCTATCATGACGTCGGGTTATTTCCTTTGGTCGTTGTTCTTCGGTCCTGTTCTCCCTTCTGCATGAACAGTGCCCTGTTGGCAACTTCGATCTCGTCATCACTTCAGCTCGCTCAAAGCAGAACTCGTCTGAAATCGTGTCTTGATGAATCATCGTTTTCCTTATTTCGAGACTCCGTCCGTGCTGACTTGGCTCATGCATCGCCGGTGCCTGGTCACTTGCAGATCGATCTTCGATCTGAAACAAAGCGGTGAGCTCAATTGTCAGCCATTAGACCAATGCTTGTTTCTTCAGGAACAGGCAGCTAGTGCACCGATCACTGTGTAGAGTGTAATGATCTCTCAGGTCGTGACGGCGTGACCTGCTGGCTTCGCGAGGCCAGAACCTCCAGATCTGAGATGTTAGTGCGATCTGGCACTGGAGCCTGGCGATCGCTTAAGAGACAGGGCGCTGTAGATTATGGAGGTCTGACCAGGAGAACAAGATGCATCCCCCACTTCCTGCATCGAACCAGGTCAAAGAACAACAGGACGTCATGATAAGGTGGACCCATGGTGCGGAACTGGAGAGCCGTTTCAATCAGGCAAATGCAACAGCTGCAGGGGCCCGTGCGAACTGAAGAAAACAAAGTACCTTCTGGGAGGCGGTCAGAGACAAGATGAAACTCCCCGGTAGCATACATTCCACAATGCCATGTGCTCCTTCTGCTTCGATAGTAGAAAGGCTTCATGCAGAAATCATCACCGAAATTGTCATCACCAAATATCGGAATTTTCGAGGGACGTCCTCAAGTTAGACGCAAGCCGCCGCAATCACCAAGCAGCTCAGCGCCGTACGGCTAAAGTCCCGGAGACTGCGAGCTGTAGGAAGGCAATGAATTGAGACACACCGTGAGCATTGGGCATTGACCTGGGTCGTAGGATGAGTAGGTGAGGTTGCCGGAGACTAAGTGATGGTGGACTGTGATTCGCTCCGTGGGACATGCCGAATGATAGACCACCTTGCTACCTCAGGGGAACCTTGAGAGCAACAAGATGAAGGTGGGTACGTGGACTTCACTTCGGTTGCTGGGCCGTGCTTGAAAGGATTCCTGCATTGTGTGGATGGGAAACGTGGAAGCTGAAAAGTCATGACGCCAGGACGGAAAGCCAATGACACGGAGAGCGGAGGATGTGGAGGAGTGGAGGAGGCGAGGACGAAAAGGGGGGGAAGTTGAAGCTGTTCAGCCTTGTCATTGAGATCTGGAGCCTTGGCGCGGGCTTGGCAGGGACAATGCAGCGACGTCAGCAATTCTGAGAACCGCAACTGCTTTCTCACTCAACACTTCATTGCCTATCATGGTCATCATAATCATCATCACTATCATCGTATACTGAATAGCGGATATTCCAAAAGCTCCGACAGCACCCTCTGACGTCATTCTCGAAACCTCACCGAGAGAAAATTCATTGCAAATCCTCAATCATCAATTCAAGCTCCCTAGACTGCTGACGGCCAGCCGCCTTCGTCGCTTCCTTTGGGGTTGAGATAGGCCGGTTTCATTGGCCCAATGCCGATTTCTGGGGTTGCGTATGATTGTCGCAGTGGGATTCCATACAGCTCCTCGTGGATTCTCCTCCCTCTCGCGCCATCTCTCGCATTGTGGCTGTTGCGCGACCTATTCCTCGTCAAGAGCTCCCAGGTGGACCGTCTTTCGACTGCCTTATAGTTCATATCGCTGACGTTTCTGCCCTCCAACAACATAGCCACAGGACCACCTGGTTGCCGCCTCCTGATCCTCTCATGAAACTGTTTTCTTTCAATCTCCCGTTCACGCAGATCCATCTCTTTGCTGCGTCGAAGATAGCTAACCCAGGCCAATACCAAACCAAAAGTCAACACAATACTCACCGTCCAGTATATCGCGAAAGGCACAGGCACGATAACCTGTTTATGATCCTGCGGCATGGCAAAATTGAAGATGGGAGTATCGAAGAATGATGCGACAAATGTTCCCGGTAGAAAGAGTAGAGAGACGAACGCAATTGTCCTCATTGCCTTATTGGTATTTTTCCCTTGCCACGCGAGCTCGTTGTTGATGTCGGCAACGGCAAGACTGGCGCGGGAATCGCGCTGCGTCGTCAATTGAAAGACAGAGGACATGGCATTATGAAGACGTTCGCCTAATGAGTCCGCGTCAAAGAGGTGAATGAAGGTATAATCCCACATCACATTCATGAAATGGTCGAGTTCTTTACACTCACGCCAGGCTGACTGAAAATTTGGCGCTGAAGGGTCAAGAGACTTTCGATATTGATTGTTACACCTTGAAATGAACTTGATTTGTTGCTGGAAGGTCTTGAGTCGGAAGCGGATGTTTGTAAGCTTGCCTGAAAGGATGTTGAATCCCTCGACAGCTTGATCGTGTGTTTCAGCGACACCACGTCCAGGTTCGACCCTATCAAGGACCCAGTTCCAAGTAGGGAACCCAATTTCCTGTTCGAGAGCGAGAGTTTCTCGATTCATGTCGTCCAACATATCGAAAGTGAAACTCAACGAGACTTTGGTTTTGATATAACCAAGAAGCATAGGATGAGACAGGTGGGTTTGTAGACGAAGGAGGTCAGTAAGAACCTCATTCTTTCTTTGATCTCCGTCACCTTCACGATGCCAAATGACAGCTGCAGTATGATTGGTCGCGCGGTTATGAGACCACGTGACAGTCCAACTAGTCCCAGAACAGTAATATGATGTCGATGTCTTTCGGATGGTATTATCAGACTGAGAATTCGATGAAAAGGTAGGGACACAGACAAAAGTTAAGTGAGCCTTCAAGTAGGCCCCGAATGCGGCTAGCGGAAGGTCGAGATTGGTAAGGATGTCAATCACAAATCCGGCCTGCTTCTGATGCTGGGAAGTCTGGGTCGGAGGTGGTTGTCGAGATGAGGCAATAGAGTTAGACAAAAGGCTTGGTGGTCGTTTTGCAGTGGATTGGTTATGGGTTTGGATCAGCAGAATCTTCATGGTGGCATCGCTCGAGTTTGGTTTTGGACTTGGGTGCCGTAGCCATTGCGCGATATCGTAAGGAGTGGCTTTGGGGTCGACGGGGATTGTGGAATTGTCGTGGGGCGAGCGAGGAAGTTCGAGAGTGTGTATGGCATGGTGGCCATTGTATCGCTGGAAGTCGTCGAAGGATATGAGAAGGCTGTCTAGGCTCTCTGCGGGCATATGATCCGTAGGGATGGGTTTCCTTGGTGATGTGGTCGTGTGAAGGCGTGCGCGGCTGGCCAAGAGACTATTGTCAGTCGCCTTGGCTGCGGTTCACAGGGTGTTGTAGGGTAAGTCTCTCTCGCAGGGCTTATCGGGTAGAAAGAAAGAGGTCCAAACCCGAGGGAATGAACAGGAAATAGGGGGGAGATTCATATAAGTTGAGACTGCGAGTCATGGCACCCATCGACATCGTCATTTGTGGCAGCGCCGCCTCATCGGAGAGGCCCGAAGGACCAAGGTTTTGACAAATCAGATCCCGTGGCCCAGGCATGATATCAAGAAAGTTACTAGTTCGACCTGGAATGCGAACCGTCCCGCCAAGAGTGTCGTTGCCTGGTTTCAAAAGAAAACAACCGGCCCAGAGCCTCATTTTCGGCATCTCTAGGTAGAAGCCTAGAAGGATTTAGGCGACGGTTTGGAAGCGCTTGGTTGCCTTCTAGCGTGGGGGTGTGTGTGTATGTATCTCTTTGTACCCATTTCTTATCTACCGAGGTATCTAGCTCGCTGGGTCGTCTCATGCCAAAACCGGGTCGCATGTTCCCATGGGACATAGCCTCAGGGCACAGTGGCGCCTTGCTGGGTGCTGTTTCTTGTCTGCTGGTTGACAGGCGAAGTTCTACTGTTCACTCGATGGGAGTGCCCTGGGCGGTCACTGAAGGTATATCATTATCCCACGACGCTACCCTGCAAATGACTCTTGTAGTTGTAGACAAAAAAGGGAGAGGGGATCCGAGCGGATGAGGTGCACCTTACTACCGAGTTTGACCAGTCTCGGTGTTCAGAGACTCAGGTTCCGTTCTCTGCTCCCACGACTCCCTCTTCAACCTCAGCTGCAGAGAATCCCACCAAATGCCGCCGACCTCCCACATCCTCTCCGTGAATCCGCTCTCCGTAAACCCCTGCCTCTCCAAGAACCTCACGCACCGCCGGTTCCTGGGCTCCACCTCCGCAATCACCTCGTCCATCCCCCTGGCCCCGAACAGATAACCCAGCACACAGCTGACTGCTTCCTGCGCGATGCCCGTCCCCCAGTGCTGGCGGGAGAGGATGAAGCCGATTTCGTGGGATTCCGGGGCGTTGATGCCGACGATGCCGATGGGGTGATTGCGGTCGGGGCGGAGGGCGATGATAAAGTTGGTTGTGCCGTTCGTTGGGGAGTCGATCATCTCTTGGAGCCGGGACTGGGTTTGCGATGGATCCTCGTGGGGCAGGGTGCTTTTCCAATTTCCATGAGATGCGAGTTGGGAAGGGATCATTTGATATGTCGGAAGGGGTCCTCACGTACCAATATCGCATTACTTCCGGGTCTGAGAATGCTTCATACACGCCCATCACGTCGTCCTCCCTAGCCGCGCGGAGCAGAAGCCGCTCCGTGGTAATCTCAACCTTTCCATCCTCCAGATGGGAAATCACCGTGGAATGTGCCATGAGGTGCCGTTTGGAATCTCACACCCCTTGTGCCTTTTTTGAGTTTTGTCTTGTTGATTGCATGGCTGTTTATGTCTCTTCCAGCCTGAACGTGCGGACGGCGCGGATAGACAATAAAGAGTCATATCGATGCAAGCGTCCCTTCAAGGACTAGCGTGCATCTGTGGCGTCGAGATGGGCTTTTACAAGTAGTAGTTGGGTTGGTCAGCTACTTTCACTTGTATGACAGAATGAAGCTTCTCTCCTATGAGTATATGTATGTGTTGCTTAAGGGCAGGGGTTCTCGTCTGAAAGAACTGCCTAGCGGAGAGACAAGTCAAGCCGATTGCTGAGACCTAATTTGGCCCTCACCACGCCTTAGTGAAGCTCTGTTAACGCTCGGGTTAAAGCAGGCTTGGCTAGTCCTCGAGGGTCAGGTGTGGAGTTTGAAGTGCTTCGTATGACTTGAAGTAGAAGCCCACCGCCAGGACAGTTGAATTACGAGGGACTCATCGGTGAGCTCGTATTGCTGCATTGGTGTCGACGCCCAGCTCATGGCTTCCTACATGGGTAGTTGCGGCGCCTAGAGAGCTGGGCAAGACTCGTGTAACCCCCACGGTGCTAACCATACTTCGCCTCTGCCTTCTTCTCTGGTTGTCAGTAGCTTCTAACACGGCAGCGCCATCAGGCTGGGCGCCCGACGTCACAGACACGGTCGTCCGACTCAGCCGGCGCTTTGTTACAGATTCTGTCTTTCGGCCGCGCTGTCACGGACCAACTAGTGCATCCCACAAGAATGAGGTCATGGTCGCCTTCAGCGCCTCACTCTGCCTCAACTTGCAGCAAGATGGGGCGTGCAATCTGCGACTTCAGGCCATGCTGAAATTGATGTGGTGCTTCCTCATGACAAAGTCCAGACCAAAGGGCCCGTAAGCGCGCTCGTCGTCGTCTTCCCACAAATATTCCATGAGGGTTGCCGCCTCGCTCACTTGGGAGATGTCGACCCTGGGTTTCGTCCGCAGTAGTCGGATGTATTCTCGCCGCTGGTCATGGCTGATCAGGCAAGACCCGACAATCATAATCGGCCAGAGCAATATGGTAATGAAGGGCGACTTGGCCACGGGCACAAACAGCGGGAATGCCGTGTCGATATGGCGCTGAATCGCTACAATGACCTTGGGGTTGTTGACGACGGAACCACACATGGACGTCTCGATGAACATCAAGAGAGCTTGCCGGTAGATCTCTCCAGTCCAGACATGTTCCGCTTGCCATTCTGCCATTTCGGGCGCCACCGGAGGGGATTGCCATTCGGTGATTGTGTCGATCAGCAGTTCGTACTCCCTTCGGGTTTCCGGGCTGTTCACGCCAGATTCTTCTTCTGTCAGTCTCTTCGTCGCCAAGATGGAGACTTGAGAGATCATCTCAAACAGACCCTGTCCACAGCTGAAAAATACTCCAAAGGTCTCGTATTCCTTGAGAAAGTCCAGGGACGAGCAGAACGAGTCGAAGGGTAGCACGCGAGCTTTGTCGCGGCCGTAGGGTGTGATGCTGTTCACCAAGACCAAGTAAAAATACACCTCCAGCGCGAATCCTTTGACCAACTTGATGTCATCGTGAAGTGTCCGCTGCGGCTCTTGCAGGAGTTTGAGGACAAGTTCACGGCTCGCCCATAGGTGCGGAAAGATACCACCGTGTGGTTCACCAGAGATAGCCTGAAGATCAACGTCAGCAATTGCACTCCTTGTCGACCAAGCATGAAGGATCGAGTACCTCAACGTGACATAGCACAACCAAGACCAGAAGGAGGCGCAGCGTCCTGCGAACATCGTCATGAGAAGATTCGTCCGCGAACAACGAGCGGAGATTCCGTAGAAGCAGCGAATAATGCTGGCGAGTCGCCAGTTGGATCTTCAAGTCATCGCGCTTCTTGTAACTGAGATGGGTCCCGCTCAAGGCCAACACAGCGTGCATGAGCAGGTCATCTGAGTAGGCCAGGGGCAACACCAGCGTGATGAATGGATTGCTCGAGAGGGGCTTGGCCACCAGGAAAGTGGATGTGGCTTCCAGATAGTGCTGGAGCAACAGAATGGAGCTGGAATTGAGCAGAAGAGCTCGCTCGGTGCTAAGGAAGGACGCCGTCAGTGGTTGCCAGAAGATGATCGACCCGGGCTTCTCGTCCCCGTCGCTGTCATGGAGGTCAACACCGCCAACTGGACTTGGGCAAGGAGAGGGCGCGTGCCCCGGCGGCTTCGGGGAATATCTGTCGAAAATAAACGTGATTGCCCCTGGTTGGCCGACGATGTCGTGTACGCCTGCACTGGCAGTCGTGCTCCTTGACGACGGCTGCCTGTCCTTCCGCCTCGCGAGTCCGGAGTCTGGTTTCGTTCTCTTGGAGCTCTTGTCTGGGTTCGCCGGGACCGGCCATTGGCAGTCAATGAAATTGCGAGCGCAGCCGGTGCACGTTGGCCTCAGCTCGTCGCATTTCTTTTTTCGCAGGCGACATGTTAGACAACCTGTCTTGGTGCGAAGGCAGGTCGACTTGTCTCGCCTTTGAGACGAGCCCATTCTGTGCGCTTCGACCGATACGCTGTTCCTAGTTGCCCTAGGTATGCTGGAGCGGCCCCATTCTTCCCCACGACGGTGATCGCGATATAGGAACGATCGCAAGAATCAAGCGCGGTGTGATGTTGAAAGGAATCGAGGATGAGAAGAGAGAAGAGTTGGAGCGCGAATCGCGGTTCGTCTTTATTTAACATTGGAGATGGGCGTCGCCCAATGCTAGGGTTGGAAGCTTATGCATAGCAAAACCTCGACCTTAGCCGCGGTGCACACCCAACCGGGGCCGCCTATCAACGAGACGATGATCTTTGCGTCCACTTATCTGACCCTCTTCTCCATACGACCGTAAGGGTTGTGGCTGCACATAGAGAAAACAGGGTCACGGACCAAGGCTCGTATATCCATCGTCCGAGCTAAGAAGTCTACGTATTCGCCGTATCCCGTGTTTCCTCTTCGTCAGAGTCTTCATTGTGCCACTCTCAGGAGCTCTGTAGGCTTCTGCCTTGTAGTCAGGGGGTATAAATATGGTGCTTGTGATTCGAAATTACGAGTCCCTACTATGAACCGATTGTTTTCCCTATCATCTCAAGCCAAAGGTGTCTGATACAATTGCCTCGAGGTTCATTTGGAGAAGATGGCGCCCCGCGACGATAGACCTGAGGTCCGGTTCAGTGACGCTCCTGGAATGCCTGATCCCGGCTTCTACTCGCACGCCGTCAGTCTGAGTCGATCCAACCGCTTGATCTTCACGTCCGGAATCATTGCTCAACGACCAGATGGGAGCTTTCCGGACTCGCTGGAGGAGCAGGCTGAAACAGTATACAAGAACCTGCAGCAGGCACTGGAAAAATCCTGCGCGTCTGCTCGAGATGTGATCAAAGTCACCTTTTACGTTGTGGACTGGTCTCTCGAGCAAGGCGAGACGTTCATCAAACAGTTTCTCAACTTCATGACAGATCAGGATGGCACCACCCGTCGCCCCATCACGACTCTGATTCCGGTCACGAAGCTCGCCATACCGGGAGCCAAACTTGAGATCGAGGTGGTGGCCGCCATCGGAGGACATGCGTCGCGATACGCAGTACCCTCCATTCGCTCCTTCGATCGACCAGCAGCGCCGTCAAAAGTCGATGTGGTGGTTGTTGGCGGCGGCTTCAGCGGCGTGCAAGCAGCATGGGATCTTCAAAAGGCCGGCTTGAGCTGCGTGCTTCTGGAGGCGAAGAATCGCATTGGCGGTCGAAGCCGGTCGCAGCAGCTTCAAAGCGGTCCAGGCATCGTCGAGCTCGGAGCAACCTGGATCAACAAAAAGACGCAACCGAAAGCCTATGCCACAGCCAAACGGCTAGGCTTGGACATCGTGGATCAATATACCGAGGGAGACGAAGTCTGGCAGTTTCAAGACGGTACGATTGTGAGAGCCAGCCCTGGTTCTGTAAGTCATGCTCCTGTCGATATTTGGAAAGCGCGCTTTTGCTGATTGATTCATGATGCAGCCCGAGGCCGCACAGGTCATCCAGTTCAATATGGCGCTGTGCGAGGCAATCGACGGGGGAAGCCAGGACATTGACATCCACAAATTCAACGAGTTCCCCACGAACCTTGATGTCTCGATGGAGACGTGGTCCGAAAGCAAGGGGCTTAGCGATGACTTGAGCAAGGCTGCAATGAAATTCTTCACCAGCGCCGTCGTTGGCCGCGATCCCGCCGAGATTGGGATGCATTATTTCCTCGACTACATCAAGTCAGGAGGCGGGTTTATCAGCATCGCGACTGAGGGCGAAGATGGGGCCCAGTCACTCAAGATCAAGCAAGGTATTTGAGCCAGGACCAGCGTGAGACTCTCCTCCGCTTACACACTGCGCAGGTACATCGGCTATTGCAACTGGTCTCGCAGACGAGATGAAGCCTGGATCCATCTTCATCAACAGTCCGGTCGACAACATTTACCAAACCGCCGAGGGCGCACTTGTCCACACAGCGACAGGGGACAAGATACTTTGCCGGAAAGTAGTTATTGCCGTCCCGACTAATACCTATGGACTGATCAACTTCTCGCCTCCGTTACCACATGATAAGAGGGCGCTCGTCTCGCGCACCAAGCCAGGCGTATACGCGAAGATGATTCTCACGTACAGTCGCCCGTGGTGGAGAGAACTCGGCTTGGTGGGCAAGTTCTCGAGCTTCAAGGGCCCAATCTGTTTCTCGTGGGACATTTCAGACGAGACGCGCAAGCAGTACTCTCTGGCGATGTTTATCGCGGGTGAGATAGCGGCCAGATGGGCGACGCTCAATGAGCTCCAACGCATCGAAGCTGTGATTGATCATCTTGCGGAGCTGCTGGGTGCCGAGCATGCGCATCTTGCAAAGGACGACGTGCTCGAGGTCAACTATGTCAACTGGTCCGAAGAAGACTACCTGGGTGGCGCGCCAACGTCTGCTATGGGGCCCGGAATGCTTTCGAAGTACGGTGCGGCGCTGCGGCAGCCATTCAAGCACATCCACTTCGCGGGTGGCGAGACGGCGTTCGAGTGGAAAGGATATCTTGAGGGAGCGCT